ATCGACGAAAAAAAAAAAAAACGCCGACATGGCGGGGGGAAGTGTGCACGAGGCAACAAGTGACAGCGTGCAGGGGCATTTGTTTTCAGAGTGTGCATGCATGCCAATCCTTGCGCATTTCGACGTGCATGAGCTGCGGCAGAAAATCGGCGACACTGCTCACGCGCCTCCAGGGAGGGAGTGACATGTCAGCTCGCCTAACAACGCGCCTGAAACCAACACGCACGCTCGAATGCAGATCACAAACACGCACAATGCTTCGACTTGATAGCTCTTCGCTCGCCTGTACTGCAGAGCACCAGGGTCGTGCTCGCACAGGATTCGATGGGTGCGTCGTCCTTTTGTTGTTGAGAGCTAGGAATACAGTCGTGCCGGAGAACAGACGACATACAACCCGCCGCCGGGCTTGAGGGGGGCGTGTGCAGCTCTGACCCAGTACGGTCTACGGAGTTTCTTTCTTCCTTCCTCGCACAGCTTCTTTCAGTCGAAGAGTCTTCCAACGAACGAGGTCTCTGGCTACCCACAGCCTAGTGGCAAGTCGCTAGCTCAGTCTAAGCACTACTCTCGCTTGATCTCAGACCTCCCGACAAACAGCCGATGCGCCACCTGCTCCGAAGCGAGAACCGGTCGATCAACCATCTTCTCTCGCCACCGATGACCTTCAGCAATGACAACCCTGTTTCTGCCAGCATGACGCATTTCAAATTCGTACGTCCGTAGGCGGGAAAAGGGCAAATCGACACGTCAATTGACACAAGCTTCGGCGTGTTGATCTCGGTGATCTACTCCTCCTCGCTTGCTTTTTTCGAGGTGCAGATCCGAGGCTTCGGTAGACGAGAAACCGTAAGCGATATGATCGTCACACTGCACACTCGGAGCTTCTTTCTGGTACATCTCGCGGGGTTATGAGAAGAAAGATCTTTGCAGCATGCAAAGCGAGGTTCGAGCATGATCTTTGCCAAAGCAGAAGTCCGTTTTCTCCGGGTCACTGCTTTTGCGCGTGATTCACAGCGCTGGTTTGTGCTTTGTGATATCAGCGAAAGTCGCCGTGAATCCGTCCTCGCACCCTCGGGTGGACGCAACATACACCATCTGATAGACGCCGGTCAAACTCCACACAGACATCATCGTGGGGGGTGTTTGTTTTGATTTCCTTTGGAGAGCGTCGATGCTCACCGTTGCACCTCGCCGTGCTTGCGCACGATCCATACACGCTGACGCATAAACGCCTGCGAGTTGGGGATATCTACAAAGAGCGTACGATACTGAAGCGTACCGTCTTGGTCCTTGACTAACTCGGCGTGCACCTCGCCGGAAGACCACGTCCCTGGCTCGGAGCTGCGTCGCGACTTGGGCGCAGTCGGTGACGACAGCGTCGAGGTGATGGCTTCTGTTGAGCTTCGTACGACGCTCGTGATGCCGCCGAGGGCGGAGCTCCAGGTTCTACTCAGAACGTTGTCCGATGCAGCGCCTGATGTCGCGTCCGCTGGTGTCGGCGAGATCCCCGAACTGCTAGCCGAAACTGGGGGTGCTTGCTTGTGTCCGTCGACCTGGTCGTTGGCTCCTAGATCCACTCCGAGCTGCTCGCCCAGCCACTCACCGCCTTCCATCACCTTTCGACCGATCCACTTGCCTGCTTCCACGGTCTCGTACCGCGCCGTGTCCAGGATCGACCAGTCTTCTCCCTTCTCCCTCGCTCCGATCCAGAATCGAAGCAGCATCTTTTCTTCGCCCGTTCGCTCGTCCGTAAACGTCACTGAAGGAACCGACCTGGACCGTCTCCTGTCTTTGACTGATGGAGGGTTGAGCGGGGAGAAGTCACTGGAACCATTCTCGGCGTTGGGCGAGGTGCGGAAGCGGTACGGTGTCAAGAGATGGTTTGCGATCTCGGCGCTGTTCTGCACGCGTTTGCATGCGTCTGCGTAGATGACGGTGGGACTGTTCTTGGCGAAGAGCTCGCTCGTAAGGGCGTAGACCAGCACGAATGTCAGTGCGCCGCCGCCGAGGATGAGCATGGTCCGGGAGGACTGTACGGTAGCACGCGCTACTTTCTGGCCTGTCTTGAGCTGCGACCAAGGCTTGCCTTGGCCCGTAGCTCGGTCGATCAGTGTCGGCTGCGAGCTGAACCCTCCTCCACCAGCCGACAGTCCAGCCATGCCGAGGGGAATGCCGCCACTTCTTGATCCTGATGCGGCATCGAGCGCCGCTTCGGCGGTGGCATTGAAGCGTGGTCGAGGCTGAGCTTCCGACAGCGACGAGGAAGAGTTTGATGCAGAAGTGGATGCTCTGAGCTCGTCGAGGATCTGACGCTGGGTGAAGGCCGCTTTTGATCCCTTGTGATCGCTGGCATTTGCGCTCACTTTGATCTGTTTGCTGTTTCTGATTACGGAGACGTGGTAGTGTCGTTTACTGGTGGACGCAAACTGGCTGGTCGATGCTGCTCGAGCTGAGATGACGAGTGGAAAAGTGGTTGAGCCGCCGAGTGTGCGCAATGCCGGCAGCATCGCCACAATCGGCTGCGTTAGCGTCATCGTCGCAATGTCTGTCAAGGTTTTCTCGACGATTCAGCTTGGCACAAGATAAAAGATGGTTGGTGCGTCGATGGCAATGAACAGAAGAAACCTTTCTTGTTTGCCGAGAGCCGAATAAGCGCGTATCGGCCGGCTCTCAAATTTTGGCCGGCTCCAAATCTCCACTTGTCCGAGGTATGAGGCTCTGTGGCCTGAGCGCTGTGGCTGAGTTGCAACACTTGACAAGTGCAGCAGGACCCTGAATTGCACTCGATGCTGCTGCTGTTGCCGCTGTCAAACTAAAGACTCTTTATCGGTACACTGTGCTTTCCCTCAGCCCATCAACTCGCATTGCTCCTATCTGGGAATCCACTGTGACCCTTGCTCGCGCTCGGTCCTGACCGGCGGTTCTTGCCAGCGACAGCGGTCTTTATCTGCTCCCTCAGACTACGGCCAGACGACAACGAGCAGCTTTACGGCCACTTCTTACGACCCTCTGTGATTGTGATTTCGGAGGCCACATCTGGCAACATCGTCATCGAGCTCTGAAGACTCTCGACACAAGCCTCATCCTTCCCTGAGCGTCACGATCGAGCTCACGACGTTGGTGAGGCCTGCTGAGTGTCGTTCTATCGCAAACATCGCCTCTCCGTGGCAACCACACACAAGACTGCCAAGCTCGATCTCGTAGACGATAGCAAGGATGGGCATGACACACAAGCAGTACCTCTCTGGTCAACGCGTGTTTGGCTGTAGAGACTGCAAGACACACCTGACTACGATCGAGAACCTCGTCAGCCGTGCGTTCAACGGCCAACATGGTCGAGCCTATCTGTTCGACCTTGTGACCAACATCAGTCTAGGTGAACCTGAGGATCGACACATGACGACCGGCTTGCACACGGTGCGCGATATCAGTTGCATCAAGTGCAAGACGACGCTCGGCTGGAAGTACGACCGCGCCTATGTGGCCGCCGAGAAGTACAAGGAGGGCAAGTTTATCCTCGAGAAGGAGCTCACCGTCGACGTGCACTGAATGCGCTCATTTGAGCGACGTATGCGCCAGGGACAACCGTCGTCGAGTGATCTTCGATAGGCTGTGGCCCCCCTCTGTCTCGTTCGAGGACTCCGATATCTGGACACCAAATTCATCTCTTCGGAACCCTGCTTGCTTCTGCTGATAACTCGCAACAACGCTACCTGACTGAACACGCCGGGCCCCGATCTGGTCTCGCAGCGCTCGTCGTGCTCCTCACGCCGGCCTCAAGACGACCGAGCGAGGTCGTTCGGCCATTCGCACAAGCAGCGAGATTCATTCCTCGCCCTACATTTGGTGGTGACAAACAACCATCGAGACCCTATCGCAATCCTCGGAGCTTGGCACAATCATCTTTCCGTCATAGCAATAGACTCGAGCGTCCCGATCCCAGCTTGGCTATCGGGCTGACCGCGTATTCCAGCTCTGCGAACAACCGTCGCCTGCATTGATTCGCCAGCTTGCATGTCGCCGTTCCTCAGTCCCCTGATCTAGGCTACACTGTATATGTACCCTTGCGCGAGCCCGGTCGTATCTATCTTCAATCGGACAGTCTTGTGCAGAGTTGCCAGTCGAGACTGAGTGTGAGGAGCGTGTCTATGAGGGGTGTGGTCACGGCCGAGTCTAAACCAGCTTGTTGACGGCACTGTCAGGCGAGCATCGGCTTGAGTCTGCAGAACAAGGCTGCGGGGTAAAACGTTGATTTTTCCACAGGGTCGAGAGCAGTCATCAGCTTCGGGAAGATCTTTCATTGAGCGCTGCCGAAGCTGCCTGAAGCGTTCGACCAGTGCCATCGGCTCCTCTGCTCTGGGATAGGGTCGAAAAGAGGGGGGATCGACGACGGGCATAGTTTGAATACAAACAGATGCGCGTCTCGTTTCGAAAAAGTTGTAAGGGATCGACGTGAGATTTGAGCGTTCGAGTCGTGTTTCGGCTTGGCAAATTCGAGGGTGTCGTTGGTTCGAATACAAATTCCAAAACACACACTTTTGCTTGTTCGAAACAGACACTGGCCAGGTGCCTGGTCTACGAGAAGAAGGGAAAACAACACAGAAACCTTGCGAGAGTGTTTGCCGAGCGCGAGCAGGTGCAGAAGTGCCTCTGTCTAGGCTGCTGCTGCCCCTTTGATGCAGTGGCTGCGCGAGTCGAGTTCCTGACAGACAGTGCTGCCAGACTCGTGCTTGGAGGCGTACGGCGAGCATTCCAACCCAAGATGCTGGTTTCGAGCTGCTGCTGCTGCTGCTGCTGCTGCCGCGCGACGATCATCGTGTCCGCCTTCGCCATCAGCTGCTATCTCACCTCTTCCCTACATCCATCTCATCGAATTGCTCTCTCTTCTCCTCGCGATCCGTGTCCGAGTCCTCATTTCACCCCCCTTCTCTCCCCTCTCCACCATTTCTCGCCCTTTCCCCTTCTGCTCGTCAGCAATCTAGCGTCACCACGCACACACAGCTTCACGCTCGCACCTTCGACAAGCATCACCTGAAAACGCACGCATTCCTTCTTACGTTCGTTATCAATACCTCTTCCACAATGAAGTCGTTCACCCTCTCTGCTGCCGCTGGCTCTTTGGCAGCCACGCTGCTGCTCGTCGGCTCGTCCGTAGCACCGGTTGCTGCCCAGACCGCCGTCGCCAACGTCACCTCCATCCCCACCGACATCTCGTCCAGCTGCTCCAGCTTCCTCTCCACGCTCAACTCGGACTCGCAGCTCGACGCCTGCACAAAGCCCCTGCTCGCAGCCACCAAGTACTACTCGTCCAACTCGACCGACTCGGCCGTCCAGCTCGACTCGACGCTCGCCGATCTCTGCTCCACCGACACCGGCTGCGACGCCAACATCATCCGTCAGCGTCTCGACCAGTTCTGGCAGAACTGCCACACGGATCTGCAGAGCGGAAATGCCAATGTTCAGGCTATGTACGATAACTTGTACATGATCACGCCGCTCGTCAACTCGATCTGCAGCAAGGATAAGAACAACGATTACTGCCTCAAGACGATTGCTAAGGCTGCTGCGAGCTCTTCCAAGGTGACTTCGAGCAAGAAGCGCCGAGACGTCGACGACGAAGACGAGGAGGAGGAGGATGACGACGAGGAGGGAGAAACCGTCTCGCAGCTCGTCAAGAGGCAGTCTGCCGCTGGTGAAACCCTCGGCGGCCTCTACAACCAAACGGAATCGACCGGCAAAGCAAACACCAACGCCGCCTTCCTCTTCATCTCCTCCTCCAGCCCCAAATCCATCCTCTGCTCGCTCTGCACCCAGAACATCCTCGCCTCGTACATCAAGTTCGAGACCTCGATCCCCTACGCCATCGGTCTCAGGACGTCGGAGATCCTCGCTCCTCAGAGCGATATCTACAAGGCTGCAAAGACCGACTGCGGTCACGACTTTGTCGCTCAGGTGAACAAGATCGCCAACACGACGCAGTTCGCTGCGGTGGTCAGTGGCGCTGAGTTTGCGGGGGCTAGGAAGGGTGCGGTTGTATTGGCGACGATGGTCGCATCTGCGGTGGTGGCCGTCGTTGCTCTTTGAGGCTGCAGCTGTTCAGATAGACGGTGGGGGGAGGAAAGTGGGGATGTGTTCGAGGAGAGGGATGCTCGCTGCTGGCACGCGTTTGTCATCCCCACCGAACCGTAATCCACTCGTAGCTCTTCCCCCCGTCTGTAGCCACACACACACACATTCACGGTCGATGACCCAGTATCCCGCTCTCTTTTGTTCTTTCTGCACTCTCTTCTTTCTTTCGCTTCCGGATCGCGTGTTCTGCTTTCGACACCGCGATGAGCCACACATGCTCTCGCTACTCCGTTTTGGCTTCTGTTCTTCTGTTGTTTATGCTCCGTTCTTTTTTTGACATAATAGTAATGGTTTCTCTTCCACACACACAGGTTTTTCGGGGGACGATGTGAGACAGAGATCGTGTGTGTTTCAGATGGAGACGTTGGTGCAGGTTAGGACGGTACCGTAGAGACCCGAGACGAGCAAAGTTCCGGAGCCATGGTGGTGGTGGTGGGGAGAGAAGAAGGAGCTTGCGCTGCTCGGGAGGTGGATCTCGGAGTTGCGGTGTTTGACGGGTTTGCCTTGGGTTTGGAGGAGGCTGCGGATGGAGAAGCTGGTGTTGGAAGAGAGGGCGAAGTCGGTGGCTGAAAGTGGAGCGTCGTCGTTGAAGGGGCGGTGGGTGGAGGAGGGGGTAATGGCAACGACCCAGCTAGGGGCGGTACGGGTGAGCGGGGAACGAGACATAGCGATCAACGAGAAGGGTGACGGATGACCTGTAGCTAGCAACACGGGGTTGTTATGGTGAGACCAGGCTAGGTTGTCTACGCGAAAGGGGAGGTGAAGTCTCGTATGCGGGCTCAACCCACCTATCATCGAAGCGAGGTCGCGGGGAAGGTCGTACATCCACACGCCGGGGAACGTCGTAGCTGCAACCACCATGGTCTTGCTATCCGGAGTGACTGCGATTCCATTCGCAAATGGGATACCCGTAGCAACAACCTTCGCATCCACCTTACCAGCGGTGAAGTCGACATGGCTGACCCAACCCAATGAAAGTCCGAGGAGGGTTTCCACTTGCGCCAGCCCTGCCGCTACACCTCGATGACGGAGGACTTTCGCCAGCTGGGCAACGATGGGCTCCTTCCAACCGAGCCGATGGCGTAAGAGCGGGATGAGATGGGTGGTGAGGGGAGGAGGTCTCCGGGCGAAGAGGTGATCGTTCGTGACGATGAAGCTCGTATCGCTCAGCGCATGGATCGAATTGGGCGTGTGCGTGGCAAGAGGATGAATGACGCTGCGGATCCAACGAGCTGTCCATCCTATGCTTTCCGAGCTCGTCGGAGGAGCGAGATGGAAGACCTCGACGCTGGATTGCTCTCGACCGTGGTTGATGACGAAAAGCTGCCGATCACCTTCTCCATCCCGAGCAGGGAGGATAGATACCCCGAGCGGGTGAAACGTCCTCTCCGCCGGGAAGTCGATCAGCTCCACAGGTACCGCAACTACCTCCCTCCCCGAACGACTCGAGGTAGGATAGTCGTATGTGAACAGTCGACCGCGAGGCTCGGGTGTCTTGAGAGGTCCCATGACGGTATTCCATCCTGCGCGATTGGTATCACAGCTGATCAAGACTGTTCCGTCGGATCCAGGGATGTGCTCGATATCTTCGCAGAAGCGGAACTCTGCGCCTCCGCGAACGTTCCAGCATTCAGCATCATCGTTTGCCTTCACAGATGAGGATGGTCGAACCCAAAAGTCAGGCAGTCGTGATCCTGGACCGAACGCACTGCGAAGCCACGCAAAGTTTGCTACGATCGGTGCGAGGATCAGCGCCAAGAGCGAGATCTTGGTCGCTCGCCACGCGGAGACGCTTGAACGGGAAGCGGGAGCGGGAGGTCCACACTGCTTCCTCTCATGGTTGAGTTGCTGCTGATCGAGATTCGCGGAGGACATCGTTCGCATTCCAGCTTACGCCGTCGCAACGTTGATGGTGCGAGTGAACGAAGGGAGTCTCGTCGCTCAGATTGAACACCTCATAATGCACAGACCCCCCACAAACGAAAGAGGCTCTTGCTCAACAACAACCCACATCTCAATTGGGCGTGCTCCGACCCTCCCGCTCAGTCCACAATCATCAGAGAGCCTCGCACAAGTGAACTGCGAGCGAGCAAGTCCTGCGCACAACAGACTCCATTGCTGCACTACTCGACGCAGACCACCACCGCTTCCGCCCGCCCTTTACTGTCCTCCACCACATCTGCTCGATCACACAACAGCCCTCACACAGAAGCATCGCTCATCAACAGTCGTCTAAACACAAACAACTCGGAATTGGGTCAAGTGCAGATTGATTGCTTTTTTTGGCGAACGACCCCCCAAGAAGCCGATAGGAGGGATCAGAAGGGTAGTATCGTACATGCTGGGGAAGCCGTCAGTGCCCAACGAGGTGGGAATCAACCACCCCAAGGCGAAGGGAGAGGTTAGGAGATGAAAATGCAAGTACGCCGCTGAACTGATGCAGCGAGCGATGAGCAGATGCAAGGAGGGGGTGTGTATATGAATGAATGAAGGCACGCGGAGGATCCGGATGTGCCGACTGCAACCATTGAGAATAGTGCGTTGCTGCTGGTGGTAATGATGACGAGAAAGATGTGCGCGACTGTAAAAAACAAAGACTGTAAAGAGGAAACAAAAGTACAAACAGGAACCAACAATGGAGCTTGGTGGAACCAGTTTACTTCTTCTCCTCGGCCTCGTTCTCGACAGCAATGATGGCAGCACGCTTCTCGAGGACACGCTGAGCACGGCGCTCGCGCATGGCCTTGTTGCGCATACGACGAGCCTCCATCTGGTCGGAAAGGTGCTTGGATCGGGCAGCCTCGGCCTTGGCCTTGTGGATGTGCTCCATGAGCACACGCTTGTTCTTGAACACGTTACCCTTGCTCTTGAGGTAGAGCTCGTGGTAGAGGTGCTTGTCGATCTTGCCGGACTCGCGGTACTTGCGCAAGAGACGGCGGAGGACACGCTGGCGCCTCATCCACATGACCTTGGTGGGCATACGGGCCTCGGACGAACCCTTGCGGTGACCCTGTCCGGTACCACGGCCGGCACGCTTGGCGGCGGCGGTGGCGCGGGCGCGCGATCGCGAGCCACCAACGACGGGCTTGCGGATGATTTGACCATCACGGATGAGCTTGCGGATGTTGGCGCGCGAGTTGGCGTTGCCAATGTCGTTCTGCTCGGCGGGGTCGAGCCAGACCTTGCGCTTTCCGCATCCAAGGACCGAGGCCGCGAGGCGCTTCTGTGTTCGGAGGTTGACCATCTTGAAGACTGTGGTAACGACGGTAGAGAAAAGGAATTAAGGAAGAGGTCAGACACATGTCGGTGCTTGTTGGCATACGTGATGTCTTTTGATTCGGCACTCCTGCTTTTGACGTAGGCGGTAACGAGGCAAAAACGATGTGCTGAAGGAATGAGAAAAGTGCGGTGGAGTAAATGATCGTAATGTGGGGTGTAGAGACTAATGCCGGAGCGCCTTGATATAGCAAGGAACTGGACGAGGGCAGATCACTGTCATGTGAAGCTGATCTGGTGATAAGAACAGATCGCCTCTCGTCACAGTCAAATGTTCTCGACGAGATGTGAAAGGTCATCCCACCATGACCGTGTAGCAGCGATTCCCGGCTGTGTAGGCGAATATGTCCTCTCGCCTCGGCCACCCCTCAGCGCTGAGCGCACTGCTTGCTCTGCCTTGCCATTCCTACTTCCCAAATGTGAGCATGCACAAGACGACTTCACGCCATAGGACAACTGGGACTGCGGCCTTGCCCAATGCAAAGCTCTGTGTTGTGGCTGATGCATACTGTGAGAAGGGCTGGCTGTGTGTTTGTCGATTTGGTATCGGTGTAAAGTCTGTAGGACAGGAACAGCTGAGGTTGTACGGCTGCGCTGCTGCTGAGATGGTTACTCGCTGCTGGTTGCTAGGGAAGAATGAAGCGGTCGAGGCAAGGATAGGCCGAGCCTGAAGGCAGATTCGACTGGCAGTATTGCACTGCACGGGTGTTTGTCGATGATAATGTCGGGCCTGGTCTTTGCCTCTCGTCGTCGTCGATAGCAGGAGTGATGATTCGATGCTGTTTGAGCAGACACTTACGTTAATAGGACTTGAGGGGTCGGATGATGATGACGAGGAGAGGAAGAGGGAAGTGTCGACCAAATCTCCAACTCTGACTGATTGACGGGCGAGCTGAGCTGACTATGCCGCCTGCGCCCTTGGTGGCTCGCGAGCCAGTCTTTGACTCTCTTGCGATCCAGACAGAGGCTGCTGGCGCGCTGCTGCCTCGAAAATTGTTTCTGCTCACTTTTTGGCGCGCGCATCAACTTCAAACAACTGGAGACTTAGGCTGCTGGCTGAGTAAAGAGTGCCGATCTACAGTCGCCGTCTGCTGCCTTGAATTTCTTGCTAAGCGAATGTCGCGCGCTACTGCCTCGCATCTTGCTCAGTTCGGGCACCAAATAGGCAGAAAGACAGTCTCGTGGGAAAGATGGCGGCATTCAAGCCTAATATTCCGAGACCAGGCACTTTGCCGGTGCTAAGAACGCAGCTCGAAATCGAATACAAAAAACGTTTTCTAGACAGGCGTCGGCCGGCCGAGATGATCACGTGCAGACCCTTTTTGTATTCCACGCCTGCTAGAATTTGAGTTCGTCATTTTCGATTGCCCTCGTGCACAGATTGACTGCTATGGTGCCCCGTCCCTCAATTTGGGAAAGGTGTGACTGTAAAGAAAGAGAACCTTGCCGGCCTAGTCTCTGGGCAAGACAATCAAGAGACGGCTGAACCCAGTCCGAACACAGTGGCTCAGCAGCCACAATAGCTGGAACGCCTAGCGAACGGCAGCCCAGGCACCCTTGGCCTGCTGAGCAATAATTCGAAGTTGGCTGCAGCAGAGCCTTAGGTCACTGGCTGAGCAGCGCGAAATCTCAGGCAGCCTTGCCTGTCTCTGCCTTCGTTTCATTTGGCGCGCGCAAATTTTACTCAACAGCAGCACGCGGCAGCGTAAGTTCCAGGCTGAGCCTCAGCGAGCTCAGCCAGCCCCTCGTGTGTGTGACCGGCCAGCCAGTCAGGCTAGGCCAGGTGCCAGTTGCGAGCAACATCGATATCCGCCACTCGTCACGTTCCTTGCCTTCCCTCCAGTACCACACTCACATTCTCATACACCAAAATGGTAAGATATCATCCTCCGACAACGTCGACGCACGTCTAGCAGCGCAGCAGCATACACAGCAAGCAGTATTTTCGACCCGCCCATTTGTTATCGGCCATTTAGACATCTCGACGAACAACAGCATAGCATCCACACTCAGAAAGAGGTTCGACGAAGGTCTTGACGACTCATTGGCGCCGATACAGAATGCCTTGCCATCAGCGAATACTACGCATCGAGCATGATCGACCCGCCTCGCATACGCCATCCACCCTGCATACAGCTCTGTACTACAGCCTTCCGGACGTTGCCGAGCATCAGTTCCGCCACCAGATTCGCGCCACCAGATTCGGCATGGTCGACATGATGACCAGCTCAGCTTTTCGACATTATGCTCGCATAGCTGGAATCCTGCCAGCATCGCGCAGCTTCGAGCGCAAACGCGCTCAGTGCCCATCTCAGCATATCATCAAACGGTTTTCCACAGCAGCGCATGACCTACAAGGAGGCCAGGACGATAGGCTGCTGGCGTTGTGCAAAGCTGTCCGCACTCGAGCTCGTTATAGATCAGCGACAGCTCTGTGCGCAAGGATCCCCGCGGCAACTCTTCAGATGCTCTCGATATCGCGCTCAAGACGCCCTTGGGTGTTGCCATTGGCATCGATTCCGTTCGGCAACCCTGATGCATCGTCTTCCATCACATTGCTAGCGATTCGCTGCCACGTCCTTGGCGTTCATGAAGGGTGGACATCGCATGTTTAACACTGCCCATGCTCACCTCGCGCACGCTTGATCTGCACGACCGGCCTTCATCAGCATCTTCGACTTGACCGTATTCGCTATAGGACAGGTTCTGTGCCGCCGCGCCGCCTCGACCGATTCATCCTGTCGGCATTCGCCTCATTGCTCCGCTGCGCCGCCAGACTGTGCTCACATCCTCACTTTCCGTCAAGCAACAAACACTTACATTATTGCCGTTGCACTTTCCTTTCTCCTTCGCCCCACAGACTCTCGCCGTCGACCTTCTTAACCCCTCCGCCGAGCAGCAGGCTCGCTCTCACAAGCTCAAGCGACTTGTGCAGAACCCCAACTCGTTCTTCATGGACGTCAAGTGCCCTGGTTGCTTCGCCATCACCACCGTCTTCTCGCACGCCCAGACCGTCGTCGTTTGCGGCTCGTGCGCCCAGGTTCTCTCGCAGCCCACCGGTGGTAAGGCCCGCTTGACCGAGGGCTGCTCTTTCCGTAAGAAGGCGTAAAGTGATTTTTCGCATTGAAAAATCCCCATATCGTCACCTTCCCTCGCAAATCAGTTTCTCGATCCCAGCATCTCGCAACACATACACAATCACATCATAAAAAAGGGATGTCTCGCAGTTCGAAGGAGCTGCTGTTGACGCATCATCCCAGGAAACAGATGGAGAGCTAGCACAACCTGCACTCTTTTCGTTTGTTTTCTTGTAACATCTTTCAATAGGCCACGGCTCATTTCTTTTTGTTTTTGCATCGCGTTCTTGTCAAAGGCGTTCGCACAACAATCTTCACTTTTTCCAACAATTGCAAGCATGCTCTTGTAGACCTCTCCTATGGCAATTTCGAATTGCAATTGATCCAAAAGAGTTGATTGATGCGTGACGTGTGAGGTGCTTCTGGTTGGGTTGCTGAGGAGAAGTGGGTTCAGTGATGAGGGTGTTTGAGTGATGAGGGTGATCAGGTTGAGTGGAGCGGGGTGGATGTTTGGGGAGTGGTGAGAGTGGTGAAAGCGAGCAGATGTAGTACGGTAAGGATGAGATTGCAATGCTCTATGGGTAAAGACGATCTATGTGCGTGTGATGGGCATGTAAGGCTGTTCAATGGGGGAAAGGTGTCTACACGGTCCAAGCGGCAAGAGGACGAACTTCGTAGCCTTCGGAACCGCGTCGGATGGCTACTCTGGGGTGGAAGTCGTCGTCGCTACTGTCGTCGACATCGGAGTCGATGGCTTGTGCGTCGTCGTCGTCCGAGTACGAGTCGTAGGTGTGTGGGTAGGATTGAGAAGGCTGAGTGTAGGCGGTGGGGTCGTCGTCGAGAGCGGCTAGTTCGTCGGCGTCCGGTTCGGCCATACCCATTCCGTGACGGTAAGCACTTGTGTGGTCGATCTCGTCGTCGGAATTGCTGGAAAGGCTTTCCTCACCATCCTCGCTCGCTTGCCCCAGTCGATGGGTTCCTCGATACCGCATGCCCGAATTCGTAGGTCGAAGATTCGGATTGAAGCCAGAACCGTACGTGAAGGGTGTGGACGAGGTCGCTCCAGGTGGTAGTGGGGCGAAGAGGTCCGGTGCTTGTGTGCCGTCGGCTCGCCAGCCGTGGGAGGAGAATGGAGTGGTGGCTTTGGTGGGGTCTTTGGGTGGCCATCTGTATTGCGCGGAGGTGTCTGTGGGAGGAGAAGAGAGGGAGGGATGGAGATGGGGTCAGTGCGTGCTAGGGGTAAGAGTGCAAGATGGAGGTGTCGTGTCCGGTTTCACAGCAGCGAGGAGGGAGCAAGGAGGATGGAGCAGGGGGACGTACATCTGTCTATGGCGTAAAGGTGTAAACAAAGTACCGCCCTCCCCCTTCCCCTTCCCTCTTCTCGTTGCAATCCTGTCAAGGCGGTCCCACGCCGCCTCCCGCTCGATCCTGCGCAGCCCGATACCGCCATCTAGCTTGCTGACGATGCCAATTGTCCCACCTCAACCTATGCATGACACTCGCTTCCAATTCCGGATCCACATACGTCTCCTCGTCGATCAGCAACTCCTCCATTTGGACCGGCTCGTCGCAGTCCTGCATTGTCGTCTGCACTCGCCACCGACTCTTGTACTTACCTAAACCACTCGCCACGGGGTACTTCAGCCCATCGCCGCGCATCGCTCTCCCCGGCCAGCACCACGTCAACGGGTTGCTTCCCACAACCTCTCGCACGTTCCGCCTCACCCCCAAATCATACGGATACTTGACCTTCCTCACCCTTCCCCTCCTCACCATGGTCGCAGTTCTATCCTTCTCCCACCCCTCAATGGTCGTCTGATTCACCGCGACGCAGTAGAAGTGGTACCCGCTGAACACGCCTACCAGCAAAATCACCGGTATGCAGAGCGCATAGTTCACCACCAGCCACACGAGCTCTCGTCCCGAAGGCTCCCTCCAATACGTGTACGAGTTGAACTTGTCCAGCACACGGCAAGAGATCATCACCAGGTGGTAGGCGCAGGTGATGTCGACGTAGAGCAGGAAGCGGATGAAGTGCGGGTAGTTGAAGTGACCGACGCAGTTCGCTAGCCAGGGACAGTGGTGGTCCATGCGAAGGACGCACCGGCGGCAGGTTTTGCAGTGGTGCGATCGGGGTGGTTTGAACGCAGAGCACGTCTTGCAGTAGCGAGGACGATAGATGGCCTGTTTTAGTTCTATGGACGGTTCCTGTTCTGCCGTCGAGTCGGCAGGGAGGGGTGCAATGGGGTCGAGAGCTGACCACTCGGGCTGCCACCCTAGAGGTACAGCGCCGGGATCGGTGGTGACGCACAACCAGTAGTTGAAAAAGATTCCCAGCAGGCCGAGGTTGAAGGGCACGAGGACGGCTGCTAGCGCTCGCGGTGAGAAGGAGGGCGTTTTGTGATAGTAGGGCAGCATGATGCGTAGCTGTGATGAGTAGCCCAGGATGGCTATGAGCGAGAGTGTCAGTGTGACCCAGATGATTTCGGTCCACTTGAGTGGCGTGCGACGTTTGCCGTTGGCGACCGGTCCAATTGATGCCGCAGATGCCTTGTCTTGGAGCGAAGCTTGCTCGTCGCCCATCGCTAGTAACGACCGTGTCTCCGTGGTTGCCCCGCCCGCTTGTGCAGCCCCGTCATCATCACTTTCGGAGGAAGGATAGGCTCCATCGTCTGGATCTTCGTGACTTGCGTTGAAGCTGTTGGCTTTGGTCTGAACCGGTGCAATCGCAGCCGCGCTGGCACCAGTATGTGATGGTGCCAGCTGCGTCATGTCGAAGCGAGCTCTTCGAAACCTTTTGGTGATGTCGACCGATGCGAGCCTACAATGTGTAAGTTGAGCTTGCTGCGGTCATGGTGGAAGGGAAGGAAGGCAGAGCCGGTTCGATGTCCGAGTCGCGAAGACTTCGATGCTCCTGCTCTCGAATGTGCCTGCACCCGAAAGATCGATCCTTCCGACGAGTTCTGTCGGATGCTTGCGAGACGATGTGGGGATCGGAAGAAGGAAGGGCGAGCGAGCGCAAATGTCGGGATGAGGACGAGGTCTGAGCGCAGACCCTTGTTGCCCACTGCACAGCCGAAACAGAGTCAATTTGAAGCCAGAGCGCGGAAAAAAGTGTTACTTATGATACGCGCCACAGCGCTCGTTCCGCCACATGCAGCGAGCGACAGTCTAGCAGGAGGCATTTCACCGCAGGTCTTGCACATATCCACACTACAGCCATCAAGCCGGCACACACGTCTCGCGTGTCCATTGATGAATAGAATGCCGGGCCACAACAGAGGGTAAGAGAGATAGAGAGAGGCTAGCCTATGTACAAATCAGATTGACGCAGCGGACAGAATTGGGAGAGAGATGGAAGCGACTTCCGCGGTTCTGGAAGCAGAATAGAGATACGGTCTTGACTGCACGTCGCCGACACCAATATGGCGCTATGACAGTGGCGAGCAGAGCCACCAACCTCGTCGATCACCCTCCATCTACATGACCACACAGCACGAATTCTGCTTCTTTGCCGTCTTGTAGAACATCTTGCTCTGTTCGCTCAACGTGCCCGACTTCTCTACCAGCTTATCCAGATCTTCACCTCGCTGCAACACCGAATCGATAGTCTTGTGCAGTACGATCTTGGTCTCGTCCAGCTCCTGTTGAACCTTCATGATGGTATCTGCCTGACGTGGGTCCTGGTATCTCTTGACGTAGTCGACGGATTGCGGGAAGGCGCTTACTCCGAGCAGAGGCTCGCCTTTGGGAGGAGCTGTGGCGGAGCCGGTGGTGATGGCGTTGACCTTGGTCTCCCATTGCGATTTGGGCACCTTGATGACGAATTCGTCGAGCGTCTTGTTGAGCAAGGAGAAGGCGACGCGGACCGGGTATTCGGTGTCGGTGATGAGCACGCCAGAGATGCCGTCCGATGCTGGTCGTGAGTGGACGTGGGCAACGTACGAGTTCTCTTGCACGGACTGTCGCTGCGTGGGCTGCGTTCGTTCCGCCACCGTCTGCGGGCAAAAGGAGAGGGAAAGAGACGTGCGGTCAATAAGCGTGAAAGCAAAGGGGGAAGTCGAAGCTGTGATGCTTCAGTGTACTCACTCTTGCCATGAATCCCATCATATCCTGTACAGTGCCTCGCTGCAGCCAAGAAAAGGAACCAAGCTCCCATGCTGTTGTGAGAGGAACCGCACCGGCACCGGGTGGGTTGGCGAGGATGAGCAAGCCGTAGATCTGCATGTCGGAATGTGTGCGCTGCCTGAGGCCGAGAAGAGTGTTTGCTCCGTTTCGTGTGTCGGATGTCAAGGGTTCTTGACGAGCCTCGTTGATGGTCGAAGCGAAGATAGAAGCCGATCAAAGATGGATGGTCGAATGTAGATTTCGAGAGTGTGAGTGGAGGAACACGATGCACGGCAAAGGCACACACGCACTGTCAATCTGCATGCACGACTACGGTGCGTGAATCGCGGCTGAAGCCAGCCAAGCAGCCACGCTGCCGCGCTGCCCCACGACCGTAATTGTTCAATTGTACAAACACACACCCCTTCCAAATTTATTTAAGGGCCACACACACTCTCTCTCTCGGCAAGCTGGTTGACAACGAATGTACTCTGCTCGCCAATGGATGCTGAGCTCTCGAGGGCCATCTCAGTCAAACTTCTCTCTGTAGCAGACAATGTGTTCATTCAACGAAGTCGTTCGTCATCAAGCAAGCTTTGCGAGTTGTCAGCCTGTGTGGGCAATTAAGACACAGCGACTCTTTGACCGTGGCAAGAGCCATGACCAACTTTGCCAAAGTACGTTGCGTTGCCACTACTACTGATCCGCATCGCCGCCCTCGGCCAGGCTTCTGAGAAATGCGAACACCGCGCCTGCACGGCGTCTATCGCTCGGCTCTCCCTCATCCTCGTCCTGGCCTCGAGCTCCTCCTTGCGACCGCTTCAACAGCGACCTCTTTGCGACGTTGACAGCATCCTTTCCTGGCACTTTCGAGATCTTTATCCTCCCCGCACCAACGCTGATCCCCGCTACACCGATCCTCGTGAGCTCCAGTGCATCCAATGGAATCGAAGTGTGCGTCGAGAGGTAGTGGTTCAGCGCCGGCAGCAACGATTCGTCTAGCGCCAAGCCGTCCAGCAGATTCATGCAAACTTCCCATGGCACCGTGAGAGTGAGAGAGGTCAAGTCTGGCGCTGGTCCTGATGGCATCTTGCTCTTGCCAGATTCGGATTTGACTCTTGTCGGGAACGCAAACACCAGCTCTACGGGCTTGACTGCCGCATCTGCTGCTCTTTGCTCTTGTGTGCGCTCTACGCCGTCGGTCATGCCCATCTCGGACCGAGTTTGACGTACGATGAGTTCGGCGAGCGCTTCCAGTCGCGGACCGCGCATCTGCGATGCAATCGCAGCTGCTCCTGTCGCCGAAGAGATGCGACAGTCGAATCGTTTCTGAATCCAGTCGAGCGCGTGTCCCAGCACAACCGGCCCCACATTGACCGACGTCGCCAGCAGCGGATCCGAGCTCGCCGTGCTCGAGGATGGAGCCTTTGTCGCGATCAGTGGGTATCTGCGACTCGTGCGTGAATGCTCGTCCCGCGTCGTCGACGCAGGCACAAACACGATGTGGCATAGCTCCGCAGGTGTTGCTTCCTGCGCCGCTCTGGAGCGCAACGACGTGATCTTGGCCTTGTTGCCCTCCTGTTCTGCTGCTGGTTTGCCTAGCTCGATCTCGATCGCCCACGGACGCGCCTTCGCCTCGCCAGATCGATTCGATTCTTGCAGCGCTCCCGTGAACTCCCCATCCTCCAGGAGGCCGATGCGCACCTGACCGACTCGATCGATATCTGCGCGACGTCTGCGCTCGGGCGGACGAAGGTCGCCGCTTTCCGGATCCCGCGCGTCGATCGTGGTACCGGCTGATTCGAGGAAACCAAAGCCGTCGCTCAATCGCAAGTTGATGTAGTGTCGCAGTTCGTTCCGAAGCATCTGGAACAGAGGTCGGGACACCTCCTGGATCGAAGCCGGCAACGAAGACAAGTGTAGCGGCGAGACGCTGTGCAGACGCAACGTCCTGTCCAGCAAAACACGTTCCGCGTACGCCCACCTTGGCTCTTCCTGCACAGCCGCAGATGCCGAGTCTCGCGGACGTCTGCGCACCGAGGCGGTCGAGCCCGAGTCGGTCGCAGAGTCTTCGCCTGAACGACGCGACGTCGAACCAACTGATGGAGACGGACGAGGATTGGCGCGCTGCTTCTTTGTAGGCGTCTGCGCTTTGCTCGTCGACGGCGGTCGTTTCTGAGCCCCACCAGCCCTCGAGGCCGAAATGCCTTGATCGAGTTGACTTCGAGACGACGACGATGACATGGTGACTCAGGAACGAGGTCGACTTTGATGATAAAGGGGATTCGTTCGGCCGCTGCGCTCGGTGCCAGGTTGAATCAGAGGCGAGAGAGGGATGGCAGCAGGGCAATCCTTTCGATTGGCAGTCTGGTATTGCTTGACAAGCAGAGAGTCAAAGTGTGTTTTTGCAGCTCGACCCAGGTGTCAAGGTTGCTTTCGATGATGATGTTGAGCGCAAGTGATGCTCAGGGTGAAGGGTGGCAGTGGTGACGGTGATGGTAGCGATGAGAGTCCGTCGGTCTCGATCGAGAAATGCTTGCGAAAGCGCGTCACTCCGAGACTGCAGCTGCCATGTGCATCATCTGCAAGCCTCCAGGAACTCAAAATTCAGCAGCAGTCCAACACTCAAAATCCAACGCGTCGACGCGACCGGAGCGTGACCGCTGATTTCAACTCGGCTTGTCAATGACGATGCAAGCCTCCACGACACTCAAGAGTCTTCCACTGCAAGGCGCCAATATGGCAAGTACAGTTGGGATGTCGTCACACGGGCAACATGAGCGGTAATGTTTATTAGATCAGAAAATGGTCCATTCAATTGATGCTTTGTGCGACAGAGACTTTGAGAAGGTCGCGGACGAGACGAGAAGAGACTATGACAAGGAACGTATTTGACAATGTGGGAGGGCGAGAACAGGGGGAGAGGAGCGACACAGAATTGCAAGGCGAGCAACGCGCGTAGCAAATCAGCCGACAGCCTTCGTGTTCCGGGTTTCTAGGGAAAAGCGGGGGAGGAAAGAAGCGACAATGTTCGCAACGATGGAGCAGACGAACGGACAACGAATGTGGAAAGGTATGCAGGAGACGAGAGTTCGGACAGATCTGCAGGGAAATGCTGGGGGGATTTTATCAACTGTGCCGCGTCGATCGCAGCTGCATGGCCCGTCTAGAGCGACTTGCAGAAGGTGCAGTTGAGATCGATCGTCGACGAGAAGACCGCCGGCAAGATGATCAGGGCGAGGAAAATCGCGTAGGCGAAGATGAACAGGATCAAGTATCGCCATACGATCGACCTTCGCTGCTTGCGCTGACGAAGCGAGAAGATGGGTGCGTGGATCTGCTTCGATGGTCGCAGCCAGAAGAGCGCCGTCGAGTGCAGCTTGTCAAAGTAGGGGATGAGGCATGGCAGCGACAAACCGAACAAGAGGATGTGCGCCGTCAAGAAGTCGGCAGAGAAGAGCGACATCTCGATGATCTTGACCACAAACTCTCGCGCCGGCTGGCTGAAGGCGTGTCCGCCGAGACCACGTCCGTACCATCGACCCGTCCACCAAGCACGGTTGGTCTCGTCGTGCTTGAGCTCTCGCGAGAGCACCAAGGCGATCAGGATCTTGAAGATAGCTCGCTGGATCGAGATGACGGCAATGACACCGAGCACAGCGTGCGAGGCGTTCCACAGCTCGAGGAACCACAGGAATTCAAAGGCGACAATGACACCGACGACGGCAAGCACGTGGGCAATCGAGGCCATGATCGATCCGAACTTGGCACAGCAGTTGTTGAGCGCTGGGCCGAGGAACATGCTGATCAGGAACAGCACCAGCAAGATGGCGGCGTTCCACACGATGGGACCGAGGGCGATGATCGCGATGCGAACAATGGCACCCTGGGGCGGGTCTCCAGTCTGGTGGAAACTCTTGACGAAGGCGTAGGCGACGACAAAGATGACGGCAAGGCAGATGGGGAAGATGACCTCGGCAAACAAAATGGTCCTCCAACCGGCACGAGGCACATCGCCGGCCAGCTTCTCGCTCGGGTGTCCGAGACGCTTCTTCTTGTAACCGGTGACCTTGGTTCGGCTGAGACGGCAGTAGCCGATCCACGAGTTGGCGTGGCTGCGGCTGTTACCACGCGACATCCAGCGGAGGAACTCGCGGTAGTCGATGATAAAGTCGGACGCAGAGAACTGGTGAGGGTTGAACAGGAAAGGAGCGATGCAGAGCGCCAAGATCGAGATCCAGAAGTAGATCAGGTGCGGGATCCAGAGCGTGAGCGTGATGTAGAGCAGCAACAGCAGCAGACGCATACCCGAGTAGATCGACGGTCCAGCGAATCGGCTGTAGAGCAAGGCGAAGCTCTGACGCGTGGTGGCGAAACCTCGTCCGGTGGCGATGTATCGGGCACCACCGAAGGTCAAGTTGCTGATGATCGAGTGCGAGTAGGTCATCGTGGAGAACACCTCGAAGATGGGACTGAGACTCATAAAGTGCTTCGCCAAGCGGATGAAGGCCGAGACGGCGCCACGCTCCGAGAGCTCCTGCAAGAAGAGCGGCAAGAAGGCGATCATGAAGACGAGGAAGATGCTGATGATGGTACGCTTGATCCAGAGGAAGACCGGGTTGAGGTAGTAGCAACCACCCGTGCCGACAATGTACTCGCTGTTAGTGGTGGCGCACACGCGCAGCTGCGAGTTGAGCGTGCCGATAAACACCATGGTGAACATGAAGAGCTGCACCGATAGGATGACGAGGATGTTGTTGATGTGGAAACCGGGGTGGCCGTAGTAGAATGTGAGGAAGCGGTCGACGGGAAGCTGCGTGCCGAGGTAGTAGTACTCTCGCGACAGCATCTGCTCTCCCATTCCATTGCCGAGCTTGGTGGTGAAGTTCAGGATCGTGCCGAAACCAAGATCACGACCCTTACCACACTGGTAGTACTCGACGTGCTTGATGCGTCCACCACGACCGAAAGCGGTCATACCTGCGTAGATATCTTCGTTCAAGTGCAGACCCTTCTGCGCCTTGGAGACTCCGCCGCGCGTGGTCATGAAGATCGTGTTGAGGAAATCTGGGTGACCGTAGTGCAGCTTACCACCGATCTGGGCAAGACCACGACCAGCCATGGTACCGAACGTCTGTTCCTTACCGGCAGCAACGTCACCGAGGATACCAATGTTCTCGGAGAAAATGTACTCGCGGGCACCGAGAATGGCGACGGGTGCCTTGGCAAACTCCTGGTGGCCGGATCCGTACGGGTTCTGGTTCGAGACGTTGAAGGACTCGAATTCGCCGAGCACGCTGCGCACCTTGAGGCATTCCTCGAGGTAGTTGTCCTGGTTGGCGTCGATAAGCTGCACGTACTCGCCGCGGTTGAAGATGATGGCGTGGTTCTGGTTGTCCGACTTACCGTCACCGAGAATGGGGTTACCAGGCAACTCGACGCGGAACTTGGGGCGACGCTTTCCATTGGGCAGGATCTCCGAGTGACCGTCGACAAGCGCAGAGAACCATCGCGACTCGCCGCCTTCCTTGCGAGGAGCCTCCTCATCGAGGTAGGCAATCTGCAAATCGGGGTAAGCACGGAGCAAGAACTCGGCGTTTTCCTGTTCCTCCTTGTTGAACTTGGAGTATCGCTGCATGGAGATGACAAACTTGAATTTGCGGCGCGACATGCGTTCGAGCTCGCGTTCGAGCTTCTCGGTGTTGCCGCCAAAGAGCTGGACGACCTCGGGGTTCTCGACACGGTAGAGCAACTTGATGGCCTTGGAGTAGTTCATGAATCCGGACACGGTGCGGTAGAGCGTCTGCGCGCGCAGCGACGACCAGATACGCGTTCGCAGCGTGTACTCGGGCGCGGCCGACTTGAAACCGATGCAGTAGAAGGGGAGATCGTCCGCCTTGGCCGAGTTCTTGGTGCCAGACTTTTCGTCGCTGTCGCCGCCAAAGGGCGAGTTACCTCCGAAACCTTGCGACTCCTCGGCGAGAATCTTGGTGTCCTTGACGAAATTGTCCCATTCGACAGGGTGAAGCTGCTTGAGGTACTCGAGCAACGTGACACGCGTGTTCTGGTCCTCCTCGCGGATGATCTCACGCAGCGAAAGCAGGATCTTCTCCGAGTAGTGGGGCACGAGCACGGTGAAGGTGGGCATTGCGTCGATGGGCAGCGGCTCGGGCAGGGCCGTGGTGAGCGACTGAGCAAAGAAGCTGATACGGCGCTCGGCCTCGGAACCCTTGGGGAAGAATTCCGGCTTGATGCCCTTGTCGGTCTGGCTGATAAAGAAGGTGGGCGCACGGAGGGTGCGCTTTCCGTTCTCGCCGGCAGGCACCTGGTGATAGAGAAGCTTCTGGACGTGGTCGATGGAGAGCAAGTGCTCGCGGTACATGGAGATAATGACGGCGTTCCAGACCTGCGAGACGAGCACCTTGGGCTTGTACTTGATCTCCATGTCGGCGGTGGCGAGCAGCTTGGCGTAGATACGCTTGGGCAGTCGCTGGAAGATGTCGGACCAGGGCGTCCAGATGGAGAGACCCATGTGGAAAGACCATCCGATGGAGAAGACCGTGTTCCAGATGACGTACCACAGGAACGTGTCGAGGAAGAAGAGGCAGAGATCCATGATGGTCATGAACGTCAAGGCAAACGCGGGCTGATTGGCGCAGAGGGCGGTGCCGAAGTACTTGTCGCTGCATCCCTGCACCTTCATGGTGATCATGACGGCGAGAGGATCACGGAACGAGAGCGTCAGGAAGAAGTACGACTCGGTGAGCTTGCATCCGAAGACGAGCGCCCAGAGCAGGATCGAGACGGCGCGGTGGCTCTTGACAAGTGGAGCGTACGATGCCGTGAACGTCTGGTTGGCCAGGTACTTGCGCGCCTTGCCTGCGACACGGTCGCCAAACATACGGCCTGAAGGCACGATCGAGAAGAGAGCGGTGATGCATCCGGCGACGGCTAGGTGGACAATGGAAACAATATTGGCCACGTTGCCCTTGTTGTTGAAACCAAAGATGTAGACAGCGGGAGCGATGGTAAGGGCGAGGCAGATTGCGAGGAAGATCATGCGGCGCATGAGATGGCTCGTGTTGTTCCAGGTGGTGGGAATGTACGAGAACTCGGCCATGGTGGCGGCGATCATGATGAAGGACGAGATGGCACCACCGAGAGCGGCGGCCGACAAAGACTCTGCTGTCGTTGGGTTTCGAGAGCGAGCGTAGATCTTGGGCGCATTGTAAGCGGTATAGTAGAAGAATACCGAGATGTGAAGGATCCAGATACGGTTGAAGTTGACGAGCAGGTGGAAGAAGGAGCGCTTCTCCTTGTACGTCTTGAAGAAGACGCGGGCCCAGTCGATCTTGTCAAACTTCATGAAACGCTGGCTTGGCGGCACATCGACCAGGCGCGACTTGTCGTTCAAGATGATCCTGCCGATACCCTCCGGGTACCAGAAGAGCTGGTTGACGTCGTCGTATCCGATGATCTTGTCGTGGTCCTTCTCCTTCTTGACAAATTTGCCGTCGACCACCTCGAAGACTTGGTCGCGAAGGAAGCGGTAAAGGGGCTTGACGACGGCGCGAAGGTAGAGGCCTTCGGGGACGGGCTCCATGCGGTTCTGGCACTCTGGCGAGCGATAGTAGTCGTCGGCGCACTTGAAGATGAAGCAGAGACATTCGGGCACGAATCGGACCTGACCACCTTCACCCCAGCAGAGCAGGTAGAGCGCCACCTGACGCGTGCGGTCGTAGTCGCCCATCTTGAGCATGGCGTCTCGCCAACGGGCAGAGGCGGTCTGCAGCGACTTTGCGCTCGCCGACTGGAGCTTGGCAGCGGCACTGCCGGCGTTGCGACCGCGGTTGGCCATGCTTGCGGCACGAGCGAGACCGGGGTTCTGCACCTTGCCGATGGCGTCGTCGAGATCGAGCTGGGCGGCAAAGTACCATTTGCGGTAGTTGGCATGCTCGCCACCGATGTAGTCTGCGTGGATGGTCATGAGGGCCTGCTGTGGGGTCATGCGACTGGAGCGCGAGTCGAGCATGATCATGAGGTGGTCGTACATGTTGCGCATGTTGTCGCGTTGGAAGCCAAACTTGTTGGCAAGATCGATGAAGATGTCCTCGATCTCCTCTTTGGAGAGCGGGATGTTGTGCTCGGCGGTCCAAGCCGGGTAGGGCTCACGCTGACGGTATCCTCCGCCACCAGCGCCGGCGTCAGGGTAAGGACTCGAGATGCCCGATGGAGCGTACGAACCCTGGCCAAACTGGCTGCCCGGACCCTGAGCATAGCCGCGAGATGCGGATTCGGTAGAGTAGGCATAGCTGTCCTTGTAGTTGCCACCCTCGTAAGAGTCGGCGTCGTAGCCGTGGCCGGGGATGAGCTCGCCGTCGGAACGTTCCGATGCGTAGGTATCTCTGCGTTCGTTGGGGAAATAGCTTGCTTCGCTGCCCTGGTCTTCATGGAAAGCAGCGCCAGCAAAGGGATTGGTCGGTGGCTGCTGATGCGGCGGACCGCCAGCGCCGTGATGGGACGACATCCCGAAAAGTGTGTGCGTGGAGGATGGCGTCTAGGCCAAGCAAGGCAGTATGAGCGATGGGCGGATCAAAGGAAAGTGGGCGTTCAAGAGCGAGAGAGGTTTATGATGATGGTGATATCTTTGACCTATCAAAGGACATGCGGTATCAATGGATGAAGAAGGTGTTTTGATCGCTGTCTCGTGTCGATGATGGATCAAGGTCGTGAGATGATGTGGCGTGAGAGAAGACGGAGCTGCGGATGGCGAGCGTGTTGTTGCTAAGCTTCTGCAAGCGTGATCAACTACGACAGATCGTCGATGCTGCTGGAGGCCGATAAAGATCGCTTGCGTATCAAGGCGGATGTGCTTGGTCCTCTTGTCCCCTCGACCCGTGTGATGGACCCGTGATGGCAGGCTGGTGCTGAAGCTTGCGGGGCTGAGATGGTGGGAGCGGAAAGGTCAAAGAATGCAAAGAGGGAAGGATTGATGAGTGGGAAGACGTTGAGATGGCGAAGACGTCGGTCTGTCAATCTGACCACGGACGAGCGGAGCGAAGGATGAGAGTGCCAAGCGGCAGCGTGAATGAGGCGATACAGTGAATACCAAGGGGCAAAGGAGGCGCAACGGCAATAACAGCCCAGCAGGCAGCAACAGTCTCGGAGCTGAGACAGCAAAACCGCGATCCCTGCGAGCAGCGAGCAGGAAAAGGCAGCGTAGGCACAGCGCAGCGCAGAGGCGTTAGGCGCCAAACAGGCAGACCGACGAAGTGACAGCGAATCGAACCTGATGCGCAGATCGCTGTTCAACTTGCAGAGGCAAGAGACACACACACGCGCACAACCTGCCAACCCGAGCAGGCAACTCGACGCAGAGCCCCATGAGACGGCGCCTTCTCGCAAACCGGACAGACGGACAGACAGACAGACAGGGGGAAAATGATGAAATTTGCAAGGAAACCCTGAGCAGCACAGCCCGGTCAGGCAGCCGAGCACACAGGCGGTGCGCCCGACGGACAGCCAAAGTTTGCGCTGTCCACCTCTCGCCGAGGGAATGCACATCGATCGCGTCTGGTTGTGTGTTTATTCAGGTGTTTTCCATTTCTCGAGGCGGAACACCAGTCGCAGATTTGGGAAACTTTTTCAAAAATATGTCGCGGGGCAGACAGGGTCACTTTGCGTAGACTTGTCGTACACTCCTCATACATTTCTACTCAAACATGGGCGCAAAGTTTCTTTGGATTGACGCATCGTACAACCAGCAGCTGCAGCCAGGCTTCTCTGCCTTCCTCCCCTTTGAGACCATCCTGATGTGCGATCACGTTGTGAAAGATTCGTGGCTGTAAGTTACGTTCGAACGCATAAACGACGCGAGGGCGAAAGATGGGCTCAGGGGCTTCCGATTCTTGACCGGCGACAAAACACAGCAGCCTGCTGTTCGCTGCAAGGCCGCAGCCGATTGGCAGCAGAAGAAGAAAGGTCGAGCCTCTAAAACACAGCAGCGGAGACACGCACTCGGCGAGGACAAGGAAAAAGGGAAGACACCTCGCCGAAGCAAACAACGACGTTTCTTTTACAGTGTGCAAAATATTATATTATAGAATCGAAAATGTTTGGAGCCATCGTTCCGATCGGCACCCGGCATCGCTGCTTGAGTGCCTGAAGAATTTTTTCGAATTCAATGTTGACGCAGCGCTCCGGAGAGAGGGCATGCTGCCATGCAATTGCGGACTAAGCGCGTGCGGTAGTTCGAACCGTCAACCGCGAAGAATTCAAAGACCGTCGGCGATGCGTCACCACCTGCCAAACGTCGGAGGTGCCGCGTCAAGGGCGAATCCACCCTCCTTGGCAGTTGCTTGGCTTTCGTCGATTCGTCTTGTACACCGTAGCTCGTTGAGCCGAGCCTGTGCGAAGGTTACCCAGTGAGTTTCTCGGCGTTCGTCTTGTCATTCGGACCGCACGTCTCGAAAGACACGGCAGCGGTCGCTCAGAATCCTTCCTGTGCTCCTGTAGCATACATGCAACTCGCCTTGAGGAAAGGGCTGTCGGCGCTCGTCTGCTCAACCGTGCGGTCTTATGTCGATTGGTAGCCGCCTGCGCACGCCCGTCTTGTCTTCGTGTGTGTCGAGAAGCCCTCGATCTGGTCGCGGAAGGCTGAGCCAGGTTTGACTGGCCACTGAGGTCTCTGTGCTCATACGAAGCAATCCAGCCGCCGGCTTCGTCGGACAATTTTGGGCGTGTGGTGCTGCCGAGTTGTTGTGACGCTCGATCAGTCCTGCACGAAGACCTTCAGCCCATATTTGTTCCAAAAGCTTCCGCTTTCGTCGGCGCATTGCGTCTGGAAAGGCAATCTACAAGGCGATCAAAGATCGACCTCGCATGAATTTCGTCAAGATGCAGAGCACAAATCTTCGCGTGCCAGCATCTTCGGGTGCCAGCGAGACGTTGTTTGGAAGCGTGCGGTCGTACTTTTTCGTGCCCTCTGCTGGTACCAGTCTGCAAGCATGCCTTGCCAGTCTTTTGATGTGCCGGCGAGGGATCGGCAAGAACCCCAAATGCATGTGGGATCTCTTGACCAGCATACAGTAGCTGGCGACATGCCGAAAGGACGTGCTTTCGTGCGAGTCTGAATGCGAGACCATCCCGACGCAGGAGGCCGTGAAGCGCGTCTGGTGTGGGCGCAACTTGACTGCAGATGATCTCGTGCTTGTACTTGCCGATACGGGCTGGATTGTCGAGATCTGGCATGCAGCTGAAGGATCGAAACAGTCTTGATCACCTTTTTCTGTTCCTCTTTTTTGGACCAGGATTTTCTGATACCAATTTCTATTCGCAAGCATAAATATTCAAGGTGGGTATTTGTCAATAATCTCGCTCGCCTGTCAATGGTCGAACATATGCGCCGGACGACGGAACGACACTCGAGGGCTTTGACAGGTATCCTGATGTTTTGTTTCGTCCTACTAGCTGCACGCCAAGCCTCAACCTGTGCGACATGCCAAGACCAATTATTGCAACTGCGCTTCAGTTGGATCTCCTATGCATTGGTACGTCATGACCACCTTCACAAGCTCGTCCGTATGATCATTTGCACAGTCGCAGCGGCTGTGCCAACCGGACCCACACAGCCGCACAGGTTCACCACCCGAGCCGATCACTTCAGTTCTTGGCCCCGAGCCCGCCGACGCTTCACTGTAGAGCCAACACAAGGATTACGGTGATGGCAAGGATGCAATTATGCTTTGGTCTCGCAGCGCCAAGAAGCCGTTCTGTGAGGTAATCGAAGAAAAGCCGGCTCGGCAATGCATGTGCAGGCTGGCTCGGTGAGAGGTGCAAGCTGTCCGAGCCTGCTACCTGTCGCCAGCAAAGGGAAAAGACATTTTGATTTTGGGTCACGTTCCGAATGCAGCGGACGCGTGTCTAACTCTTAGGCAGGCTTCGCTGTTTCGACTGCAGCTTCCACTGTCAGCGCTCGAACGGTCGGCCAAGTTGGCAGACGAGCAAGCTGTCCGCAACGGGTCGTGTCCAGTACCGCGACTAGAGCGTCTCATCGGTCCTGCTGGCTGCCCAAAAGGTTGATCCGCGGAGCGGCAGAGCGGCTGCCAGGAGTCATGTCGAACAAAGTCTGGAAAAGCTGAGACAGCGACACGAACTCGGGCAATGGAACCCTAAATGAGTGGGCTGTGTGAGCGGATCTGCCTGTGCCTGATCTGCGCATCTTGACGATAGAGTGCTCGTATCCCTCTCGTCGGAATTCCTCGTTCCCATTCCCCGCAAAATTTCATCAAGGGCGCGGGCTGCGGCGGGATAGCTTGATTGCATGGTGGCGTCGAACAGCATGCACTCATCGCGGTCGACGCCTGTCCGTGGTGCTCTCTACGGAAGCGAAGGCATGAACATGAGCAGAGCACACCGTCCCGTGACTGCTAATCGAAGACGTCGTTAGACCGTGGTCCATGTTCTCTTGGCATCGGTGCTCCGTTGTGTTGAGACCAGAACCACCTGATTCTATTTCCCAGGTTTGTCCGGGCTAGCCGAATTCTTGGGTCGAAACATATCAGACTCTCCGGTCTCGTTCCCTTCCACCTTCTCGCCTCCATCACAACTTCGGCATACCCGTGACCGTGTCAACGTCGGAAGAAGCGACAATCCCACACACTCTTCAATCCTCGTTTCACCTTTACGCCGTCACGGAACGATCCGATGATAATCACACCACATTACATCATGACTCGATTCGGTGCGGTGCATCTTCGGCCACTGAGCCTATTCTTCGCCCTGCTGGCGTTGGTCGCCTTGTTAGCTCAGCCATCGACTGCTGTCCCGGCAGTGACACGTCGAGGAAAGTATCTGTACCAAGGCAACGATCGCTTCTACATCAAAGGGATCGCATACCAAGAACCTGCCCCTGTTGCTGCATCGTCTGCAGCCAACGACGAAAACGGCGGCTTCCCGGAGCCAGACAGCTTCACAGACCCACTTGCCCTTCCAAGCGCATGCACACGCGATGTTGCCAACTTTCGCGATCTTGGCATCAACACCATCCGCGTCTATTCGGTCAATTCGAGCCTCAACCACGATGCTTGCATGTCCACTTTCAGCAACGCCGGCATCTATGTCATCCTCGATCTTGCGCTACCCCTCAACGGTTCGATCAACCGCGCACAGCCTAGCTGGGATGTAGGACTGCTCAACCTTTACGCTACTACAATCGACGTCTTTACGAAGTACGACAACTTGCTGGCGGTCAACATCGCCAACGAGGTCGTCACTCAGCCTTCCAATGCCGATTCCGCTCCGTTCATCAAGGCAGCGGTCCGCGATGTCAAGGCTTACCTGCGTTCCAAAAACTCCAACGTGCTAGTGTCGTACTCCTCCACGGACGGTGCCTCGGGTCTCAATCAGTGGCGAGACATGCTTGCCTACTACCTCACGTGCGGAAGCGCAGACCTCAGTATCGACTTGTACGGTCTCAACTCCTACTCTTGGTGTGGAAACAGCTCCTACACCGAATCCGGGTACAACTCCTTGACAAGCGATTTCAGCTCGTTGCCAGTCCCGGCCTATCTGGCCGAATTCGGTTGCGTTGAAAATGTCGGCACCAACAACCGTCCATGGACCGAGGTGCAAGCGCTCTACTCTACACCCATGACCAACACCTTCAGCGGAGGCGTTGCCTTCTCCTACTTCCCACAGCAGTCCGGTCTCGACTACGGCCTCGTCAGCATTTCCGGCGACTCCGTGACCACCCGTAGCGATTGGCAGACTCTGAAACGAGCTTTCGCCAACACATCCGCTCCCACCACCACCCCTTCGGGTTCCACTCCATCCTACCCAACGTGTCGTGGAAACACCAACAACTTCCCTGCCTCCACCGCTCTCCCACCCACCCCCAACCCCGCACTCTGCTCATGCGTCGAATCGAACGCCTTCTCCTGCGCTCTCATCCCGTCCACGTATAACTCTCCCAACACCGTCGGATTCCTTACAGGACAAGCGTGCACTTATCTTTCGGATCAAGGCGGATCCTGCGCACCGATCCAGTCCAATGGACAGGCGGGCGTGTATGGAAACTACTCGTTCTGCACTGCCGCCCAACGACTGGAGTGGGCCATGTCGCGCTTCTACCAGATCACCAACTTCAACCGTGACTCGTGCAACTTTGCGGGTAACGCCACCGCCAAGGTTCCACCGCAGCCGTCGGGCTCGGCGATCGACGGTGCGTTTGCTACTTGCTTGAGCCAAAATCCAGTGGGTGTGCAGACGCCGATGCCGGATGTAGGGGCGACGACGAATAGCACCGCCAGTGCAGGAGCGGCGACACCGTCGCAAACCGCGGCGAGTGGTGGAAAGGCGAATGCTGCAGTGCAGAGTGGAGGTGGAAAGGTGGTAGGCGTTGTGACGCTCGGTGCGGTGATGCTTGGAGTCTTGGCGCTGCTCTGAAAGAGCTGCACGCCGCTGCTGCTGTCGCTGTCGCACCAATCTTTGGCTTTTGTTATGGCTTTTGTCGCATCCCGGAACACTTGATATTGCATATCCGTTGGTCAATCGACTGTGAGCGCCGTGGCCGGCTTCGTGTGTGTGCAGTGGACAGAGTGAGAGCGGTCCGTTCTCAGTTCTCACAACTTCCGTCTGACTCAACCCTGATCACGCTAGGCTCGAATCGATACTCTGTCATGGCAAAACTTCTTTGTCCATTCGTGAATCATATGCAGCTAACGTGTTGCGCCGTCTTGAGCCTTTCAGCTGCTCAGGATCCACCACCGCTCGTCGTGGTACTCGAAGTAGTCAACCCATTCCCCTTGCACGAGTTGAACACAGGTAGACAGCTCAGATACCTACACCAAGTACACGCCTTTGTCGGATCCGGCGAGTTGTAAAAGTTGCTTGCCAGTCCGGCGAAGAACCCAATCAACAAACCGAACGCTACGACCCTCAACACCCACGTCACCACTCTATGCTGCTTACTCGCGTGGATCGAAGGTGCAAAGAGCAAACCTCCCAACAAGCCAACGCAGAACCCACCGATGTGAGCAAAGTTATCCAAACCAGGCAGCAGACCGAGTGCAAGACCGATGATGGCGAACCCGATCGACATGGCCAGTCGCATCTTGGCACGATACTCGTACTTCCAATTGTAGCACAGATCGACGAGTTCGATGCTGATACACGTGTAGATGGCTCCGGACGCGCCGAGCGCAGGCTGTCCGATCAGCCCAAAGTTCCCGCCGAGCAAATTGCCGCCGATACCCCCTGCAAAGTAGACGATGAAGTAGGCGATCGAGCCGATGAGCTTCTCGATCTGCGCACACAGCGTGAGCTGCACGAGCAGGTTGAAAAAGATGTGGACGAAGCCGGCGTGGACAAAGATGGCTGTGACAAATCGATAGCTCTGGTTGGGGTTGTTGGCGTCTTTGAGACCGCAGATTTGCGAGATGGGGCACAGCTGGTCGGCAGAGTAGAGGTTGGAGCTCGAAGTGGAGTCCTTGAGGCAAGGAAGCTGCTCGGAGGTGGGAAGCGCGGGCACTTTGCGCATGCAAGGCACGAAGCGGGCACCAAACGAGATCATGAACTCTGCCGAAGGGCCCAACATGGGATTGATGCTCGGTCGCGTCTGCACCGCCTGACCCGTCTCTGAGTTGGCCTTGATGAGTTCCACGATAAAGACGACGACGAGGGCGACGGCAACCACCCATGAGACGTATGGCCATCGCTGGCGTCCGATCCCCTGTCTGCGTCGCTCGATCTGGTCACGCAGCTTGTCTTCGCCTTCGAGACGACGGCTTGCGGAATCAGAAAGCTTGCCAAGCAAGCCGCTCTTCGCTTCTTCGTCCCCGACTGTCGGATGTGCGCCGTCCATCTGGTTAGACCAGAGAGCAGCAGATCCACGCTTGATCTGCTTGGCCTCATCATCTTCGTCCTCTGCGTAGCCCATGGGTCCAGCGTTGCTCTTGAGAGGTAGATCAACACCGCTCGTGTCGTATTGTCCATGGCCATAGCTGTGATCCATATGAGGCTGGTTGTAGTAGCTGCTCGGGTCCTCGTGATGATCTTGGTAGACGACCGAGTTGCGCTGCATGTGCTGGGCCCTGAGTGCGTCCTCGGCTCGCGTGTCGGCGTACTTGTTCGGTCGATCTGGCTCGGTGTTTCTGCCAACACGAACGTTGTAGCTGCTGATACTGTCATTGGGTGCTAGCGTGTCGGCTCTGTCGAGGAACGTGTTACCGGCGAGCGCACGATCTTCAGAGGCGTACGGGTCGTGCCGGAGGTAAGAGCTGCGGGCGGCAGCAGAGTGGTTGGGTGGCGGTGCGGTGCTGAAGGCTTCGTAAGGATCGGTGTACATGGAAGGAGAATCGGCACCGACGTTGGTTGCAGGCGCAGGGAGGCGGTAGGCGTTCGAGTTAGCCCCGACACCAGCAGAGTTGCGACTGTAGGCTTGCGGTTGGTTCGACGAGATCATCTCTTCGACCTGATCGTACTCCGTGGTTCCGTAAGGAGCAGGATCCCATGCCGAGCTATGATAGCTATGCTGCGCAGCATCGCCGCGATATCGACTCATCGTGGCAAAGCACTACTAGGCTGGCGGCGAAAGAGGCTGTGTTGGATTTGCTGGCCAACAGTTCTAAGGTGAGCCAGCGTGAGCCTGGCTCGGACTGCGATCGCTGGCCTGGAGGGATTTAAGAGTATAGCCGGGATGTAGGAAGGACTGTTGTACCCGTAAAGGCAGAAGCGTGAGATGAAGGAGAGAGGCAATGGTGAGGGAAAGGACAGAAGGAGCGGTGAGTCTGTACGCATGTTCGGTGTTGGTCTCTGAAATCAAATTCGAGTGTTGCTCCACACTTTTGCCAAAAGCTCAATTTGCACACTCAACTCGGACATGCTGGCTGCACAGCCCACACGATGCAGCCACGCAGCGACACAGCGATGCAGCAACACAGCGTGCGCCATTGTGCGCTTTGAGAAGTGACAGCTTACGCAGACAAGAATGTACGTCAGGCCTCGGGTCACACCGATAGCTCAGCACAGAGCAACTCGGAAACGATCCAAACGACCTCAATGGCACCTGGCGTATCGGACCTCTTTCAACCGCGATGCTCTCCTCTGCCAAATTGCGAAGCCACACCGACAGCCAAGCCCATCAACTGCTTCATCTGACACACCGAACCCTCCCTTTGTGGCAGGCGACGACATAGATGCTGGGTCAACGGGGTTAGCGACAGTATGCTGCTTCATCAGTAGCAAGTGACATGTCACTTGACCCAAAAGGAATGTATTGTGATGTTAGTATCCTCGGGCTCACACTTGCAAATGAAAATATCTTGTCCGTGTTCGTGACCAGGTCACGAGCCAAGTAGTGAATCAGATGTGGAGCTTCCAAAAGCTTAAAATTTGACAAGAAGAGCACAGACACCTAAAGGTGTGCAGCATGTACGCCATCGTTCCGAGCGCTCAACGACAATTGCAACCTCATCCTCCACCAGCTGCGGGCACACAAAGCCTGTTAACGTCGAGCCATATGCTTTGATACACGACTGTCGAGCCCGCTTGCGTGATCAACAGACGTCTCGAGAAGCTTGGCCGCTCGCTGCTCTTTCACAATGTCGGTCGCTCATCCTTCGACCGCGGCGCCGACTTCGCCTGCGTCCAAGTCCCTAGCAGCATCACGTCAGGGCTCTTCGAGTCCGCTTGTATCGCAGGAGCCTGACAGCGACAATGATGCGCACGGCGTACAGATGATCCTCCGAATCAAACGAAAACGCAACCAGGATCCCGTAGACGCACTCATCATCCAACAGAATGAGCGTAGAAACAAGCGCAGGTCCATGGTGCTGCCGGACGAGAGCGCAGACAGCGATGCTTCTACCGGCAGAGATGCGGACACGGCAGAAAAACAGCGCGGCGTCTTTCGTCTGGCCGAGACCGTCTCGCTTCAGTCTTTCTCTGACCCCGTTGCCGCACGTAAACTCCATCAGCGTATCTCGGCGCTAAGCAGATCCATCACACCAGCACCGAGCACAAAACCTCTCACGCCATCGAAACTAGCCCAGAGCGTCTCGTCACCTGCACTCAGCCAAGCAGCCACGGGGCTGCCACAGTCATCGCCCCAGCTCAACGACGACGAGAGCCCTGTCCCATCCACGTCGCGTGCACACCGATCGCTCGGAAGCTCATTAGCATCTCTCAATGCAGAGGCGCCAGCTTCGGCGACTCCAGCATCCCGGCTCAAGGCTCTGGCGTCCGAGCAGATCGACCGCGACAAGGACCGTAGATCTCGTAGCAGCACACCCCTAGGCATCCGTTTCAAGGTGATTGCCAAGGACCATGCTGCCGGCAAAGGTCTCAGACGGTCTGGCAGCTCGGCAAGTCTCCGCAAGATGCGCAGCAATGTGGCGCCGAGTCGTCCATGGCATACACCCGCTGGACCGCCGGTGATCAGATCCAAAAAAGAAAAGGAGGCTGAGGCCATCTTTGGGCGCATCATCGACGCAGAGACCGAGCCCATCCGCTCCGTACGGGGCTCAGCGCATCCATCGGCTCCCACACAACGACAAACAAAGCCGACTTCTCGACAGGATGAAGAGATGGCTGGTCTTGACGCCAAATTTGCAGAAATGCTCGGCGACTACTTGCGCTCCAACAACATCGAGCCATCGCAGGATCTCGATCAGATCGCCCAGGGTGCTTCGACCTCGAAAGATGTAGCAGAAGAAAATGCATCGCCAGCAGCTGCTGCTGCAGAGGCAGCCAAGCTCGCCGAGGAAGGCGAAGAAGACGACGAGGACGACTACGTCTACGATGTGTACTATCGAGATATGCTGCCTACAAAAGCAGGCCCACAAGGATCCGCAGAGACGGGTCTGCAACCAGCTCAAGTTGCCGGGCGTGAGAAAGGCGCCTCCACCGGCTACAATGCCGTTCCGGATTCTATGGCCCTACCGAGAGTGCTGGGCGGCGAAGTGGTGCCTCCAGAATCGGCTGCACTCACGCCCAACTGGTTTCCAGGCCTGGATTTCGCCGGTCCCAACGCGGTGGTGGCATCGCTCGAGGGCTTTGAGGACAGCGACGATGAGCTTGAGCAGGCGGAAGACGAAGGTTTCGAGAGCTACGACGAAGGCGAAGACGAAGATAGCAACGACGAGGGCTTTTACAGGAACGACTATCCGGAGCAAGAGCTTCCCGAAGCGGACGAATTCGACTTCGACTGCGACGATCAAATGTCGGATGAAGATGAACACGATCAGTATTGTAAGTCTGCCAACGAGGTGCCGATGCCTGCACCAGCACACATTCGCTGACTTTGCATTACCGCGCCCTTTGATTAATCGCAGCGCTATCTGACGGCAGTTTCTGATGATCCGCCCTGACTTGAGGCAAATTCATTTCGCGATGTCGCACTGCTTCCTTCCACCGATGACAGCGCCTGTGAATCGAGAGTAAGAGATGCGTCATTCGGAGCGGTCTCGGCTCGGTCTGAAAGTTGCATGACGACTCATCGGAGCCAGAGCAGCGAAGATCGATCAGACGTGATCTGCGACGATAAGCGCTTTAGTGTTTGTGGCTTCCTGGTCCCGTAACAGAACATCTGGTCTCGATGTCGCTGTGCTCTGTGCGTCGCAGCAGCTGACAAAATTGCGCCTGAAAATACAAGTCAGGGCTCAACACGAAAATCAAGGCGTTGGGTCCCGATTCGGATGTGCAGATGATCTGATCGCGAATGAAAACGCCCATTCGCAGCCGAGTCTCGTCAAAGCGGGGAGTGTACATGTGAGCACCTTTGTTGGCCTTGGTGAAGGCATGCTCGGGGCCATCCGAGACCAGTCATCGCTCTAAGGGGTGGGTTGTGTAGCTGCAGCGGGGTGCGCACCGGGCGGAGTGCGGATGTGCGCGGGCTTGGACGAAGCACGTCAGGTCTCGGACCTGCAGCCAAACTTGGTCGGCGACGGAGCATCCGCATCAGAATTTTGGTCGTGTTAGCTGGAATATCAATCCTAGACAGTTCGGTCGGAGCGTGGAACGAGCAACATCGCCGCTGGATGCCGCAAGCAAGCTCGAGTCTAGTTTTGCTACTCCGCTTTGAATCTTTCCCATGGCGGCTGAATTGTCCAATTTGGGACGTGGTCCATGTCCTTCCTGTAATACCGTTTCGAAAACATCGTACACGGTTAGTTAGGGTGCATCGTCGAGTTGGCGAGGTGGCCATTAGCTCCTTCGCTTGAGCGCCGCCGTGTGGCTGTCGTGGTGGAGGCTAGATTTTTCCTCCATCGGGCTCCGGCGTAGAAGCTCCACTGCTGCGAAGCAACCAAATCAGAGACACCGTTGACCGGCAGGCCAAAGATTGCGGGCGTGGCTTGACTCTTTTGTCACGGGCGGCGGCAAGTGCCAATTTGGGAAAAAGAAATAAGCAGCAAACAGGGGCGAGGGGCGCAAGGTTGGGGAATTTCGCGCGTGCCTGGATGTGCGCAACTGTGGAAACTGGCGCGAGGCGATGGAGACTTCTTTCTCGCTTGCACCGCGTTGCAATTCTGGCTGTGTTGAGCGTGTGAACCGGCCAAAGACCAGAAAGGAAGAGAGACAGAGTTGAGCGCGCTTTCTCCCCGCCAGCTGTCGAGTGGTGCAGAGCGAGTAATTCCGCTTGCGTCTTTGCATGTGGATTGCATGCCTGTGCGCCAGTCTCTTCCACTCGACCAACCCTCACTCACCTCTCACTCATTCCATCAGTCACACTCACTCACTCGCACGCTCTCTCAGCTCCGACCTCACTCTTACTCGTATCCATCAATCGTCTTTTGCCACCACCACCACCTTCTTTCCTCCTTCACACTCATACCACGTTCGAGTCGCTGTTCGCGCACAGCACACTTCACGACGCTATCGTTCAAACAGAGACCACACGGTCAGGATCTATACCCTTTTGGTCTGCGCAATCCCTGTCGCACAAGCACGCACCTGGCCCCTACCTCCTGTCTCGAGCACCTTCATCAAGTCTCGATCCTCAACGCCTCGTGTACCTTCTGACACTGGCCAAATTGTGCGCGCAGGTAACCTCTTCTACGCCGCTACGTCACACATTGGTGCGCGGTTTCTACCATTGGCAGACACCTTCGACGACGTTGTGAACACATCGCTCCAAGACATCTCGATCTTCCTTCGAGAGCACTGTCCCTTTCGTCTCGACGGAATCACATCGCACAGCATCGTCCGCTCCCGCTCATTCCGCTGCATTCGTTCCTCGGCGTCGTTCCAGATCTCACGGGTCACGGACCCCCTCTCTGAAAGAATCGACCCGTGCTGCGTCTCCGATCCCGCACTCACAGTCTCGCACCTGCACCTGCAACCGCAACCGCATCCGCGCTCCAGTTCCTTGTGAATTTCACGCGCTGCGGCTCACCGAGAACCACTCCTACCCTCCCTTTTATCTGCAAACGCATACGAGCTTTGGCAGACGTCCGACAGCCGACTCGTTCCGGCATTCGCCTCACTTTGTAACGCCTTCGGTTCTCACCGCATCGTTCGCACAGACCACTCGTTGCCAAACATGAGCGGCAAAATGATGATTTACAAGCTAGTGGTGCTAGGAGACGGAGGTGTAGGAAAGACAGCGTTGACCATTCAGCTGTGTCTCAATCACTTTGTCGAAACCTACGATCCCACCATCGAAGACTCGTATCGCAAGCAGACCGTGATCGACGACCAACCGTGCATGCTCGAAGTGCTCGACACCGCAGGTCAGGAAGAGTACACCGCGCTCAGGGACCAGTGGATCCGCGAAGGAGAAGGCTTCCTGCTCGTCTACTCGATCTCGGCGAGGGCGACGTTCGAACGTGTAGAGCGATTCCGCAGTCAGATTTCGCGCGTCAAGGACCAAGAGCCACATACAGTGCCCATCATGCTGGTGGGGAATAAATGCGACAAGGTCAACGAGCGGGAGGTGTCGAGGGAGGAGGGGCAGGCGCTCGCGCATAGGCTGGGCTGCAAGTTTATCGAATCGAGCGCAAAGACGTGCGTCAATGTCGAGAGGGCGTACTACACAGTGGTGAGGATGATCCGGGAGCAGAGGGAGGGTACGGTGGTGCACAAGAAGGAGAAGAAGAAGTCAAAATGCAATATTCTTTGAGGCTTCTTTTGGGAGTAGCGACGTTGCGATGGATGGTGCCGGCGTGGGTTCGGCGGGGTTCGTGAGGGGAGGGACTAGACTGGACAGGTTCGGAGAGGGGTCGGAAGCGAAGGCAGAGCGGGACTGCGAAACACGGAGGTCGACCGCTTCCTTGCACGATCGGCGCTTCCGACAAGCAAAGCATCAGCCTCTATCGCAGCCACGCGCGACACTCTCTCCTCGCTCCTCAAGACCACCGCCCATCTATCCCGACCTACGCACACTTATCCCTGCCGATTACATCACATCGCTTCTTCCAACCATCCTTGTTTTTGCGCCCATTCTGTTTGTCACATACACCTTTTTTTCTGATCATCACCATCCACCGAGTTCAGGTTTTTTGAATTGTTACCCCCCCAAATGCTTATTGGTGCGAATGCGCTGCGTGTGGTGCAAGTGGCGTGGAGGAGTTGCCGTGTCCGGGACAGACGGTGCACGGACGAAGAGGATGACGGCGAAGAGATTCAATTTGTGAACCGGCTTGGAGACGATGAGTACATTTTGTGAGCGAATCGAGGGCGTGAGACGAAGAGAGACGGGTGAGAGGGATTCAGAGGGTGAAGAGGTTGAGGAAGGGGAGCGGTCGGTCCGGCGTGTGATTGATACGGGATCGAAGACGAGAGGTGGCAAAATGAAAGTGTCGGAGACAGAAAGTGTAGAGTTGCGGATTCGCGACGGTCGCAAACGATCGATGACATGGAGAAGGCTCGACTTCTCCTCGTCAACACCTTTGCCCGTCGATCACCTGCATCTCGCAGTCCACGGTCCCTGACCAATTTCCGTTCGCTTCCTTCTCGAGCTTGAACCTGATCTTTTGTGCCTTCCTAACCGCTGCCACTCTTTCTCGTGCTGCTGCTCTGATTGCCGCCATTTCTGCCTTTTTTCGTTCGAGAGCTGCCCTCCTTTCTTGCACCTGCCGAGCCGCTTCCTCCTTCAGCCTCTCCGCTACCCACGGATGCTTCTGCCTGTAGTGGCGCATTCGGTCCCGTTTGAAGTTGAAGCCTTTCACCTCAAGCGCGCACTGATCCTCGCGACAGAAGTACCGCTGGACGCGCGGGTACTCGTGCACCTGCTGGTGCTCGTTCAGATTATGCTGGCTTGAGAAAGTCTTGCCGCATCCAGGTTGGTGACAAGTCAGTCTTGGACCTGCCTTCGACTTCGATCTGCGCTTTGGCGGTGGCTTGGGCTTTGCCGTCCCCTGTTCCCTGCCCGTGCTTTTCTTCTTCGGGACTGCCCCAAGAGGTCCACCTGAGATGTGTGAAGCATCGTTGAGCGGGACAGCAACATTGTTCACGGGACTCTCGCCTCTCATGCCGGATGAGAAAGGTTGCGATGCGGGCTCGACCACAATAGCATCACCATCGCTGCTTACGCTGTCGTGCTGGAATGTGCTCGGCATTCTTTTGGCAGCCAGGTTCTTTGCTGTTCTCGACTGCTGAGGGGCCCACTTGGCCTCCTTCCTTGAAGTGATGCTCATGGTATCGTACAGCGCTATGGAGCTCTGTTTGCGAGTGTTATCTTTGTCAGAAGCCATGCCGGTGGTAGTTACTGGAGAGCTTGTAGTCGAAACCACCGGGAAGGCGAGACTATTCACTTCGGCGAGGGCAGCTGAATCCAGGTAAAGACCGGTCCCGTCTGATTGCTGGCTGGCAGGACAAAGGCCCATATGGTACGGACTTAGAGCTGGAGATGCCACCGATGCTTCATACACCGTGGAAGACGCGGCAGCGTACTGGTTTGATGCTTGTAAATTGCCACAAGTAGAGCTCAAAGGCACCTGCTGCCCTGGCGAGGGCAGAACCTCGAAAGACAGTCCGTTCAGAGGCGCTTGCATACTTTGTCCCCCAGGCATCTCGTCGAAGGTGAAGTCCACTCCATCTCCGAGGTCGAGCAGAGCAAACCAGTCATCATTAGTGGCGAGACTTGCCTCGGAGGCGGTGCTTGGGGAGAACAAGTTTGCTCTCGCGCTCTGGTCTCCAGGAAAGGTTGAGCTCAGGCCGAACGACCCGCAGAAAGAGAGGTTCTCTTGCTTGAGCATGTGCGATTGCGTCGGTTGCCACTCTTGTCCAGAGTCGGTGACCGTTACGACTGACCAGCTATTTGCATCCCCGAATGTCGCCGAAAGCTGCAACGGGAGGACCGAAGGCACGCCAAGGTCTGTGATATAGAAGCCCTCCTTGACATCATCTGCGCTGCTTATCGCTGGCAACTCGAAAGTGAGCGGTGAGACGGTGTCGAAAGTCTTGTTGTCTGAGAAGACCTCCTCGTCTCTGCTCGTCGCTGACGCGTCTAAATCCACCATCGGATAAATAGAGCCCACATCCGCACCGTCGATCTGGAATGGCCCGGCAAATGTATTCATGAGCATCGGTGTAACAGTCGGAGATGATAAACCCGACTGGCTCGGAACCACCGGTGGCTTGAGCAACGAGCCATCACTGGCTCTGCTCAACGGGATGCACGACGAAGGCGGAGTGTTCAGAGTTGCCAACTCTGGACGCCGTTCGCGTGGGGCCCCGGGCGGCCGATTGAGCAGATCTATCGCTCTAGCCACCAGGCTCGACCCGCAAGCTGCAATTGCAGTTTGAGAGCCTGCAGATGGCCATATCGTCCTATTGCCCGTTGTGGTATTGAAAAGTTGAGGTGGATTCGGCATAAGCCAGGAAGAAAGACCTTCCTCCGAGCCTCTGCAAGAGCTCGGTATTCTGCTACCGTAGTAGAAGAGATGGGGCAGAGTGACTTGAGAGCTTGTGAAAAGAGTGTGAGAATTGCTGCCTTGGAAGGAGTGTGGTAGGCACTGATGCAATGTTGAAGTCTGGTGAAGCACCGGTACGCTGAGCCTTTTATGCGTGGCGACACGGTTGTGTAGGGAGGTCTCTCTTGTCCACTTTCGCGAGGATTCCGTGGTGTGCCCTGGGGGGAAGACAAAGGCACCGACCTGTTCCAGTGTCGGCGGTGGGCCTGAAAAGTCCGCTGCCAACCAGAAGACCCTCCGGTGAAGCATGCTGTCCCGTTACATTCTGCGTGTTTACACGCCAAGGCAGGCGAATCGAAAGCGATGAGCGGTGGTCGCTGCTCTCGATGGTCTGTGCTACTACTCGGCTACAAGCTTAAGGCTCACAGCCCCCAAAGAAGGCGGAAGCTGCACCATTCGTTGGAACAGACAGAAGCGAGAGGGATGAGAAGGTCAGGTAACGTCACTGATTGGGCGACGTCGTTGCCGCTTCGGGCGTTTCGACGACTCTTGCAGCTCTTCGGTCGAGAAGGTCCACAGTTCGACCATTTCAGAGTTAATGAAGGTGAGTCCGAAATGCAACAGCGTGAGAAGGTCAAGAACGGTCCTAACGGTATCAAGCAGTGGATCAGCTGCGAAGCGACCGGTAATTTCGGGAGATGCCAAGATTTAGACCGAAAGCTCAGAGTGTTCGAGGTTGATACAAACTTACTTCGGTCGGACTTTCTCGAGAACAATGGATCGCCGATGTGATGCGGACGAAGAGCGAGATTTGAGTGAAAAGGTGGGCTGAAGAGGGCGTAGCCGCATCGGCCCGTTTATGAAGCCAGCGAGGTGAAGTCGGCCGTGTGGGTCTTGAGCTTATGCCGCACAATGCTGATTCGAGCGGTTCTTGAGCTCAACCTCACCACGTCGACATTAAACCTAACGAGCTTTTTGGACTCCAGTGTTTCTAGAAGCTGGGAAAACAACGAGATGGAGGGCGAGCTTCACAGACCAAGGCAGGCAATGGAACATAGGCTCAATCGTCAGCCGACTCAGATAAATTCGGCGTACAGGCGATGGATCGATTTCGGAAACTAGTCAACTTAGCTGCCTTTGTCAGGAATTGACGTGTGAAATGGCTCTTTTTGGTCCAGTCTGGCGCTGTACCATACAATTGGCTCAAGCGACAGCCGTCATCGGTAAGAACTTGAGACGATGAACACACACATCCGACGAGATCATAGGGCCAACGAGACTTCAAAAGCTACCAGTGCTCGTACGACTGGAATAGTATGTTTTGACTCGCTGCCAGACCGTCGACTCAGTCTCAAACCCGGACAGAGCTTGTCCCGCTCACAGATGTCCCGACGCAGCGACGCTTGCCACCAGGGAAATCCACGTCATCGGCGGTTGGCGGTCACGAGACAACACGGCGGGTCGTGGCCACATAAGGTACGTGTGCACCTTCGTTGGAACGCTTGCATCTGTCGCCCCTTTGTCTCACGATGTCCTTTCGCGCAAGTACAAACGAGGATTGCTCCGGCGCACTTGCTTTTGCGCCAGCGCGAAAAAGAATGCCCCAGTGCAGATGAGGATGCCCCCGTGCAAATGAGGACTGCCACCGACGCAGAACATCCTCATCCAGTTGGCGAGGCTCTTGCAGGCGACTGTAAGCTCAGGCTCCCGTTCGGCACGCACCTTTGTCATTTCGAGAGTGTCATGTTGCTCATCAAGCCCGCGCTCGTAAGTACCACGATCCGGTCTTGATAACGTGACTCTTCTCTCGTCACAACCGCCTCTTACACAACCTTGTTGTACAACCTGTGCTCTGCCACAACCTTGTTGTACAACCTGTGCTCTGCCACAACCTTGTTGTACAACCGGTGCTTTGTCACAATTTTTTGTCACAAGTGGTCCTCGTCACAAACGATCTTTTGCGACAAGTTTTGCCAAGAACGGTCTCTGTCACAAATTTTGCCACAATCGGTGCTCTGCCACAACTTTTTGTCACAATCGCTCAGACTCCAGCAAAGAACACACCGAGTTATCGACCTCTCATCGGAGCCGCGCCAAAGATGCTGTCTGAAATGAACATGTCGCTTGCGGCTGATGAGTGCGAAGTTGCTCAAGTGTCTGGTAACGTGGGCGGTGAGTTCGCCTACCTCGTTCTGCCTTCCAGAATATCGAGCGCCTGACGAAGCTGAATCCGTGCGGTATCGAGATCTTCGAAATCCACCGCGCTTGCCGCTCCCTTTGCCAGCTTTTGGACTCGTGTGGACAGTTTCGCATCCAGTGTCTCTGGATAGACCGCTGGTGCTGGAGGTTGCGGTGCAATGGCTGGCGCAGAAGGTGCAGGTCTCTGCTGGATCAAAGCTGCAGCGGAAGGAGGCAGAGTCGAGCGTGTCGCGGGAGGTTCCGTGGGTGCCGTTGGTGCCGTGGGCGTGGCGGTCGTGGGAAAGGGACTGCTGGGACCACCGAGTTGCACACCAGGCGTTCCCGGGAGCTGCCCGGGAGTGGTTGGTAAGCTCGGTGCGCTGGGCGAAAGAGGCGGGTCAATCCTCTCGATGGCAGGATGGCCATTCAAGCCCTCATTGCCGCTAAGCGAAGGCAACCGATCCGAAGGAACTGACGGCAGCACCGAAGCTGCACCTGCAGCGTCTGGTCCATCGGCACCTGCTCCTCCCCAAAAGGAAGCGGGAGCTGCACCGGGTCCTGCGCTGCCCTGATCAAGACCTGGACTGGAGCCCAGCATGTGGTGGTGCGCGCTGATCGGTGGAATCGGGAGACCATCCCTCTGTGGTGGAGTCGGCAGTGGACGAGAGTTGGGACTTGTACCGAGACCAGAGGTGTAGCTGCTCGACGATTGGATCTGTGGTCGATCTAGGCTGTCCCGTCGTTCCTGCTGCTGTGTAGAAGGGCTGAGTGACAAGGTGTCGGCGACGTTGGACTTGCTGCTGGTCTTCCACATCTCTTCTGCGTCGGACGAAGCGCTGCCCAGCGTACCGGTCTCGACAGCGACGTCGGTGGGTGCTTGCCTGACATCATCGCCGGTCAAAGCGCTCCTGCTGGGCGGCTCAGCCCCAGTGGACGGAACAATCGAAGGCTCGTCCGTTGCTGCAGACGTCAGCTTCGCCATCTCCCTTGCCAAATACTCTTGCTCCTCCTTACTATCTACCGCACTCGGACCCATTGCCGCCTCGACATTTGCAGCTTCCTCCTTCGGATCGCCGCCAGGCGGGCCTGCCTGTGGCTTTCTCCCCTCCTTGAACGCCTTTGCAATATCTGCTGCTTTCCACTTGGCATACTTGATCTTCTCTCCCATCTCCGGTTCCAACGCACCAAAGATCTTGAGCAACTCGATGAATTGACTCGCCGCCAAGAACTTCTTCGCCGTCGCTCTCGTCGCTTTCCCCGCACGATCCTCGTTGTCTGCGCCGACGAACACCTTGAGTGCAAAGTTCTCGACGTAGGCCGAGCTAGCAGCGTCGTTGGTCACAGCGTCGTTGTCGGCGAGTTTGGTTTTGAGGTCTTCGAGCGTATCCATGAGCGTGAGCAGGTACATCTTGGCTTCGGTCTCCTTTGCGTTGCCAGAGATACCGAGCTGGGCGGCGTAGTAGCAGCACCAGTAGGCGATGACCTTGTCGGCTGTGCGTAGCTCGTTGGCTCGCTGCACGAACGGCAGCACGGCTTTGAGCTCGGCAGGTGGGTTGGCCAATGGCTCGTCCATGGTTGCGGTCTTTGTTTCGACTGAGGCTGCAGCAGCTAGGCGTGTGTCTGCGTGTGGCGTATGGTCTTTGAGTGATGAGCAGCGATGGCGATGATGGTCGATAACCGCTAGAGCTGCATATGTGCGTCTCTTGTTTGCTGCTGGGGCAGTGTCGCAACCCTGCATCGGCTGGACTGTGCACGCGTGTCAAAATAGAGCCGCGGACTCGGACATCGAGACTCTCGCTCGCGTGGCATTTTCCTCGTCTCCTCTTCATGACCCTCGGCCACATTCTTTCACAAGGCAAATGCTTCGCGTGACAGTAGTTCCGATTCGCTGTAGAGGTACAAGGTTCGCGACAGGGGGCCAGGGTCATAGAAATGGGGAACGAGCTCGATCGGGAAGCATTACAGGAAGGGTTGATACAAAACTGAAGCATGAAACGATGTTCCAATAGGGAAAAAAAGAACGCGGCAATCACGAGCTGATACGACGGACGGTCCTGCGCTCGCGCTCTCCCGCCGTCTTGACGATGCCTTCGCTTTCGAGCGTGCGCACGAGTTCGTACAGATCGTTCTGGTCCACTGGCGCCGACGATTGCTCGTTGAGCGCCTTCTGCAGATCCACGTATCGGACCGCCTTGGTAGGTTGTGTCGAGGAAGGACCCGATGGAGACGTAGCTCTCCCCGACATGCTACCCATCTCGTCGAGCAGCTGCAGGAATTCGCGTCGCAGGTCACCGGCGAGCTTGCGCTGATGATGCGATCGTCCCGTGTTGATGAGGTCGAGATCGATCAGGCCGGTTCGTGGATCGGTGGCGGAAGACTTGGCTGCTTCTCGGATGAGACGAGCCGCCTCTTCCACGTCGTCTACGATGACTTCGTCGGCAAAGCGCATGCGTGCGTGCGCTTCGGAGAGACGGATCATCGATTCGAGCTGACGCGTGGTAGCGGTAATTCGACGTTCGGCGTTGCGCGGGTCTTCACCGACCTTGCGAAGCTCAACGTAGCGTGCGGCGAGCGCATCGCCGGCTTCCTTGGTCAGGATCGGTTGGATACGGTTGCGAGCGTACGAGATGTAAGCGGTGAGCGTCTCGATAGGCAGCACGTCTTTGCCGCCTGTATCCGGCTTGTCTTCGAGGTACAGGCTGACAAGGTGGCGAGCCAGGCGGCGGTCGTTCGCCTCGTCGATCTTGTCGAGCACAAGGTAGACCAGGTCGAATCGGCTGATGAGCGTCGGCGGCAGGTCGATGTTCTTGGTGATGGGCAGATTGATGTTGTAGCGAGAGCCTGTCGGGTTGGCAGCTGCCAGGATCGAGGCACGCGCATTGAGCGTCGTGATGATACCGGCTTTGGCGATACTGAGCGTCTGCTGCTCCATGACTTCGTGCAACACACTGCGCGTGGCTTCCGACATCTTGTCAAACTCGTCGATACAGCAGACACCGCCGTCAGAAAGCACAAGCGCACCCGACTCGAGCACCAGCTGCTTCGTGTCCGGGTCACGTGTGACGTAAGCGGTGAGACCGACGGCCGAAGAGCCTTTGCCCGAGGCGTACACACCACGCGGTGCGATCTTGTGCACGTACTGCAAGATCTGACTCTTGGCGATACCTGGGTCACCGACCATGAGCACGTTGATGTCGCCACGGTAGCGTGGTCCACCACCGCCGCCACCTGTGCTGATCGTCTTGTTGGTGCCTCCGAAGAGCTGCAGCAAGATCCCCTTTTTGACATCGTCCATCTCGTAGATGCTTGGCGCCAAGCTGCGCGAGAGCACTTCGTAGACGTCGTCACGCTGAGCGATCGAACGAAGCTTGTCTTCGAGGTCTTGGCTGCGAGGAGCATCGGCGTCCTCAGCATCGGCACCATAGCCGCTCTGCACCTCGACGTCCTCGTCGTCCTCCTCACCGCCGACGCCGACGGCTTGGGCGCCAGGACCAGCAGCCTGTTCCGAGGCATCTCGAGTCGAAAGGTCGACACCAAGCCTCTTGCCGTTGGTGCGCTTGATGTGAAGGATGTCGACGAATGTCTTGTACAGACTCTTGAGGCTGCGCTGTCGAGGGTTGACGCGAACCGGGGTGCTGCGGAAGATACCGGTGATCTCGACGCGGTCACCGGGCTTGCTGACATCCACCAGCTCGTCGTAGGCGCACATGCTGACCGTGTGAGGCGTCTGACCGTCAGGCACGACGTCTGGCGTCTCTTGAATACGGACGACCTGACGATCCGAAAATTCGCAGCGGTTGTGAATCAAGGACATGGAGCCTTGCAGGTTGCACACCTGTCGTGGACAGCGGTCAGGCTCGGCGATGCGGCCTCGGTCGATCTCGACGGGCACAGTGTGGTTGCAGACGAGGCAGCGGAAGAAAGCCTGCTTCATCTCGGGGATGATGGGCGTTGCTCGGATGACGAGCCCGCGGACGGTGACGAGCTTGTCAATGTCGGACGGGTTGAGTTCGCGCATGTTGATAGCGTCGGCGCCGTAGGGGCGCACCTTGTAGAGCTTGGTCTCCATGAGCTCGATTTCGGCGAGGCCCATGTCGCCGCCCATGCCATCGCGGGCTTCCTTCTGGTCTTCGTAGGCCATCTCGAGCATCTCGTCCTTGAGCACCTGATCCATGATGGGGACCATCTCCTGTGGGTACCGGATGAGCTGCATCTTGAGCCTCTTGGAAGGCGGGAAGGCCTCGAGGTCCGAGATGCGGAGGTTGAGGTTGGTCTGGTCGGTGATCCTCATGCGGCGGAGGTAGCCCTCATAGACGAGACGTTCGCCTTCCGCGGGGTTGCCGGTAGCAGCAGGCGGGAGTGGCTGTCCAAGCTTTTTGGCGTGTGCCCACCTGTACTTGAGACGGAAACCGCGAAGGAAGGAACGGAACATCTCCATGGTCTCTCCGATGGAGACGTTGGTACCCCAGATGACTTTGGAGACACCGTCCTGCCCTGGAGCAGCTGCGTCACTGGTGACGCCGTGCTGCGAGAAGCTCAGGGCATCGCTGTGGCCGTCGGCGGCTGGTTGACTGCCACCAAACACCGACGAGGAACGAGCAGGTGCACCCTGAGGCTGACTGGAGGGGTCGGCTCGGTTCCTTCTCGTCAAAGATGGCGAAGAGAGCGCGACGGAGGAGTGGATCTCACCACGACGCTGGTGACGCGGGGTAGTGCCACCGGAACTGGGGAAGAAAAGGGGCTCATCGAGCCTACTGACGCCGCTGCTGCTCGAAGGCAGACGGTTCTCTGCATTCTGGCTGCGTCGTGCCGAAGCAAGAGGTGTTCTCTGCCCCCTTGAGGTTCTAGCCGACGGGGATGAAGTGGGAAAGTGTAACGGCGACGAAGCTGTGAGCACATGTGAGAGGATAGGAGAGGTCAGTACGGGCGGCTGTGATCGTCAAGTGCACATGACAGTAAGATTGACTCACCTCCTAGTGAGCTCTGCGGCGCTCTTGCGTTGGATGCCTGGCTTTTGAACGGGCTGCTAGAGGGGAACGCTAGCGGCGACGAGGCTCCTGCTGGGCCGCGGTTCGAAAGAGATGCTGGTGCAAGAGGTGTGCGCTGCTCGACATCGCGCATCTCCGCATCGCTGGGTGGGCCGCCGGGGGTCGACATGATCTATAGTGTAAGAGCTTTCCGAGGGACAAAAATGCTTTGGGGAGCGATCCGTTGACGCTTTCGAGGTTCGCTTCGATGCGGTGACGATGCTGGTCGACGTTCGCGAGATGATGGTAAGGTGAAACAACGTTGAATGTGGCCGATGTGGATGAAGTTGGCTGTGTAAAAGAGAAGTTGCGATTGCTGGCGCTGCAGCTTTGTGCGGAAAGAGGACCTCACCAAAAAGACACACACACGCACCCAAGCGCGCACTCAGTCTTTGTGTTGATTCCGCCAGAAGACTCTCTCCGCCGTCCTCGCTGCTTCTTTTTGCGCATCGACGCTCTGTCGACTGCTTTTCTCTCGCTGCTCAAGTGCTGTGCGGGAATTCGACGGACAGCACAGACGACACAGCTGTCGTGCCGCACGACCTGCCTCTTCCTGTTGTTTTTCTACCCTCTCAACGCGAATCGTGCGCATTGCTCGACGCGTTAATTAGAAGTGCAATTTACGCGACACGTCTAGAGCAGTGACTTGTCGCGTCAAGCATGAGGTGACGCGCTATACGAACATAGCAGGGCCGAGGGCGACGTTCGCCCTGTCAGAGCACGCGATGTCGATGTCATTCTCGACACTGTTAGACAATTCATGCGGAGAATGCCGTGAAATGCATGATAGATTGCCTGTACATACGATAGCAAGATATGACTGGTATAAGAGCTGCTAAGGAAGTAAAGGGACGACGCAAAACGGTCTTCATGATATGCCTTACTCTTGCCGCAACTTTATCGAAGAGTGCGGACGTTGAGACCCCCACCGGCGCTGTGCGAGCCGAATCCAGCACTCGTTTTGGCGCCCTTGCTCGACTCTTGCGGCTTCTCGAAGATCCTCCACAACTTCAACTCCTCGTCGTCGCTGACCGTCGCTAGCACCTCGCCGTCTGGGCTGAGACTCGAGTGCAGCACGCGCTTCTCATGCGCCTCGATCTCCGCCACCTTTGTACCCTGAGGATGCGACCAGATGTTCAGCAGCCCCTTGCTCGATTCTGTGGTCCCCAATCCATGCGTCGAGACAATCTCGCGGTAGTGGGGTGCCCAGTGCAGCGACGTGATCTGCGCACCTGTCGAGATGGTCATGGTACGAGAGTTCTGGGTCGTGTTCCAAAAGTGAATGTTTCGGTCACTGGTGCCTCCTCCGGTGGCGAGGAGGCTGAGGTTGTGAGGGCACCAGGCGAGAGCCTTGACGGCAGCTTGGTGGTTCTCCTTGCGCATCTTGGCGACAGAGGTACGACGATCCCATACCTTGACCACGTTGTCGTTGCCTCCGGACGCCATCAGCGCACTGTCCGATCTCCATTCCATCCCGCAGACCGGTCCGTGATGCGCCTTTTCCAGCGTTCGGGTAACAGCGTCGCGCTCTCGGACGTCGTACTCTCGAATGATACCGGATTGGAATCCGGCGTTGAGCGTTCCATCCGGAGCCCACGCGGCTACGTTGACCGAGGCGTGATCAGCGCCACCGTCACCACTCGGCTTGAGCGTTCGCATGCGAGTGCTGCTCTCGACATCCCAGATCTGCACATAGCCTCCCTCGAGCCCGACCGCGAGGATGTTGCCATCGGCATCCCATCGAAGTCCCGTGATGAGTCCGCCTCCTCCCACCTTTTCCGCCTGCGTCGAAGTGTCCAGAAGCGCACTCGCATCACCCGTGTTGCCGTTCCAGATCCACAACCCAGTCTGCAACGCCACTGCTACCATGTTGGTCGAAGACCAGTCCAACAGATTGTAGTAAAAGTCACCCACCATGCTCGGTGCATCCAAGGTCCTTTCCGGTGTCGTTGGGATCCTACGTCGTCCTGCGCTCTGCAGACTGCTCGGCAAGGCGGACTTGGGCTTTGTCATCGCGTATCGGCTCCTCACATCGGGATTCGCCAAGGAGCTTGGAGGCGCAGCAGAGAACGACAGGATCCGCTGCCCCATTTCCGCAGAGACCGAGTCCTCGAACGACGGGTGTCCATCCAGATCTGTCGGATTCGCATTGGCTGCTGCAATGTTGGCCGCGATGTTGGGATCGGTGGCATCGCCAGACATTTGCGAACGGATCGTGTCTCCATCTGCGTCAACGTGAGAGTGCGGGGTTGTCGATCGTTTCAGTTCTCGGTTGGGGATGTATCGGTCTCCACGCTGTTTGAACCATCACGACGTGATCGTACGTTGGGAAAGAGAGCCGATGTCAGCCAATCACTGCCTGTCTCACCGAGCCACAATTGCTGATCTCGATGCGGTGTTGGGACTTACAGAAATGCTCGCTGCCACCTTGGGCTTCAAAGCCTTGTCTGGCCCTTGCCAGTCCCTCGTGATGCCAACTTTAAGGTCAGCAGACGAAGACGGCACAGAGTCAAGGCGATCTTTTCGAGACAGACCCAATCGACCCGAGTTGGCTTTGAGCGCACCACCTTTGATGGGCGAAGCGCCGAGCTTCATGTCGCGCATGTTGGCGGAAACATCCTTGAGAGGCGAGTCCATGGCGTGGTATGTGTTCGATGCCGCTCGTATAAGTGCGTGGGAGCCGGAAGCGCTCGTCCGTGTTCCAAATGGCGAATATGCTGTTAGGACGCCTTTTTTGGTCCGGATCGTGTGCGAAGGCCTTTCGGGCTTTCGGTCGAATAGACTGCTTGACGGATAGATGGATGCTTGAATGCTTCTTGCCTTTTTAAATGCCGATGTCTTGGTGGCGGGATGTGGAAAGTATCAGATGGAGAGAACATTGACGAGCTGCTGATGGAGCAGTGCCGCGCTGCCTGTGTCTGTCGCACCACGCACCAAGCTGCAGGTCAACCAAATTTCTACATGCACCAGCGAGCCTCGAAGACCAACACTTTGCGCGCCTAGACGGTCACGTGCAAATTTTTATCGATATTGATTTAACATGATGAAAAAACTCCCCACCATCAAATCGACTCGGATGCTGTTCGCAGAGGTCCGCCACTTTGGCAGAAGCATACAAGCTGACTTCGTACGGTGACTTTGATGTTGACTATAGTACATGAGCTCCCATGCGAGACAATTCAAATACACAAGATGCCACGCTGCGTGAAAGGCATCCTAAGATTGGCGAGCAGACTGAGCCTGTCCAGCCCGGTTGGCCACCGGATGCGCAAATGAGCCTTGAGCGTTCGGTTGCATGGGACGAGCCTGGTAGCTCAGTCCACCGCTTGGACTCGCAAAAGCGTATGATGCGTTGGGACCTGGCACACCTCGTTGCGTATGAGGCGACATACCTGGTACCGGACCTGGTCCATACCCGGAATGCATGCGAGCGTTCGGCGACATGGCTGCGGGTCGTGCTGCCGGTGAAGACATCTCTGCTCTCGGCATCGAGGTACGCTGCTCGCTACCTGCACCTGTCGCAGTATCTGTATGAGCGGGATCCATGTCGTGACGATCCTGCTTGTGATCATAAGTACGGCTGCCAGCAAATCGTTCCAGAGCGCCTCGACCACGGTCTTCGACGTTGCTCGCACCGTTCCGGCGTGCAGGCTTCTTGACTTTCGAGCCGCTTCCATCTGTCAGGCGTATCGTCGTGTCGTCGCGCAACACCAAGGGCGTCTCCGTGAGCACGCCGCCCGTTTTCGTAATTTTGACCACATTGGAGTCCAGTGCTCCCCAGAAGCCGTCGCGAACGTCGCCGAGGAGATCCGGATCGATCGCGCCGCTGCTGGCGGAGAAGGCGCGCAACTTCGCCGCGTCTGGAACTACGCCATCAACGACGTTGGAGCTCAGGTCTACAGCACGTGGCCGCAACGCAACGAGCGAGCTGAGAGACTCGAGGAGGAGCGATGCTGTGGCCTCTTCCTCTGCGCTCGGTGCTTCGTCTTCGACAGCCAGAGAGCTCGAACGGCCGGAGCCAGAAGGACGGTAGGTTTTGCGCAGCCTCGCCCATTGGAACTCTTGCAAGCGATGCAGAAGCATCATGTTGAAACGGAGATGCTCGGTCACGAGCTCGTCCTGGTCGAGCTTCGCCAGGCTTTTGCCGACTCGATCTTGGTCGACGTCTTGCAGCAAGCTCTGCAGCGCTTCAGCGAGTGGGTCGCCTTGTGCTTCGTCCATGGAGATGTCGCCGTCATTGTCGACGTTGCCCGACGGTGCCACGTGCGCATCCGAATCGAGATCCTCCTCTTCGTATTCTTCATCCTCGTAGGACACAAAAGGCCTCTCGCCCCACGCCAAGGAGGTCGAATGCTGGGAGCGCGCCTTATCACGCCAGAGATTGCTGCTGGGCCCATAGCTGACGGAAGAGGCAGACGAGTCATACGAGGGTGCAAACGAGCTGTAGTTGCCATAGCTGAGGAACGTGACCGGTTGAATCCGGCCGTGGTGATGGGCGGCGCGTTTGGAGTCGATACGATGTCGCGGGCCGTTTCGGCCTAGTCTTTGACCAAGGGTCGGCGTAGGTACAAGACCCGGTCGTTTGAGTGCACGCATTTGCTCTTCGCTCTGTGCGCTGATCTGCACCAAGTCAGCTTGAGCAGGGTCAAGTTGCTTGAGTTGTGCTGGATCGAGAGTGATAGCTTTGGTGAAGTAGTCTCCGCGGGGGAGTCGCATGTGCAGAGCGTACCTGTTGGCGGATGAGTCGACGTCTTCGGAGCGTCCGACATTGTTGCTTGGAGGTTGTTTGGCAATAATGGCGTTGACCTTGCTATGCTTGCGGGCGTTGCTTGCCTCCAAAGACTTCGCCCTCTCTTCTACGAACGCACTCAAAAGTCGACCTTTGAGAGCGTCAGTGCTTGTGTCTGCTTGGCGCAGATCTGAAGCCAGCTGGTCGATAAGTCCAAGGACAAGGGTGAGCGTCGAGAGCCGGGCCAGGTCCTTGGCGACTTGCGCAGATGCCGCTGCGCTGTGGCCGGCGTTGAGATGTCGAGCAATGTCGGGCTTGGCGAGGAGCGGCTCGCGAATACTTTGCAGATGTGCGCTCAGCTCGCGCAAGCTGGCACCAGGACGCAGCAAACCTTGAAGGGTCGGCGCAGGGTCCGACGTGCCATTAGCACTGCGCAATTTGCCCTTGGCAGATGTTGGAGGAGCCAGGGCGATGAGATCTGCGCTGCCGAGAGCAGCGAGGATGGTGGAGAGCTTGTGAGCGTCGTGTTGGCTGAGAAGTAGCTCTTGCACCTTAGCGGAGGCCGTTTCCAGGCCAGCTTGCGCGCTGTGGGATGCCTGCAATGATGCGGTGGAGGAGCCGGTAAAGCCGAGGAGCGACTGGATCTTTTTGGATAGCTGTGGTTTCTGTGAGCTTGGATCGATGGTAGGGGCGTCCGCGTCGTCGCCATTGGCCTGAGTAGAGTCGGCAGCGGTCCCTCTGTCGATGCTTTCCGCGCTAGAATCGGCTGCTGAGTCGGCCACCTGCCCGTTGGCTCCGTTTAGGTCGTTGGAAGGAACGGCGGGATCGTCTGCACGCTTACGTTTGCGGTCGGCTTTGCTGGGTGAGGACGACGGTGAGATAGCGGACGGCTCTGGCGTGGTGGCCGATGGGTCCGCGTTTCTGGCGCCACGCGCAGATCTGCGCAAGGGAGACGCCATAGTGTTGTACAGAGAGGTCACCTTGCTGTCTAGGGTCGATGCTTGCTGCGTGGGCAACCTGATAGCGCGTCACACCGATATGAGAATCGGTCGATGGACTCGGCACGACGAGAGCAACCACACCTTCGGCGGATGTGATCGAGTCGCGGTGCGCGGGGAGGGTATGCTCGACGCCGCGAGGGTCGAGACTGTTGCCGAAATGTCGACCCGGGCTGATACCAACGACAAGAAGAAGAGGAGACGCGCTTGCTGAGTGGAGAGAGCGCGTATGCGTAAATGAGAGTATCCAGAGACGCGGACGAAATTCGGTATAAGGTAGCGCGACGGCAGCCTGAAGGTCCCACACTCGGATCTGGACTTGCAGAGGAGCGGAAAGTAGGGAGCTGATCGAGCGGGGTCAAGCGGGATGGCTCTCGACGGGAAAGTGTTGAGGGGAAGGAGCAAGACGATGAATGCGCCGTCGCTGCTTGACTTGTGACCAGGTTGAATCTTGCAGAGCGCGGGTCACAGAGTCGTGCTTCGAGGGAGCGCATCAGCGTCGGATTGCGGAACAACAGAGTCTTCTCTCTCACCTCAGATGAGAAATGAAGCATAAATAAGAAAAATACAATAAAATCGATTAAGATTTTTAGTGACTCAAAGGGGAGCCTAAATGAAAAGTGAGCGGAAAAGCGCAACACACTGTTCCAGTGCGTTGTGACTTGCTACTTCAGAGCGTTCAAAAGAGCCTACCAAAGTGCCGCTTCGCTCGACGGGCCCGTGTTCGAAAAGCATGGTCTCCGCTGCATATGCTGCGACTCTCTCGTATTCGTTGTCAGTGTAGCGATTGTTTCGAGTTCGAGACTGTGACGCGATAGCGCTTTACTTCTGTGTGGTATGTGAGGTAGGGACGCGATTGGCATTTTTTTATCGGACTCGAGTGTGACTTCCGAATCGCTGGGTCGAGAGCGCCGCTCTGCCCAAGTGCAAGGTGATTCGACACTTTCTCAAGCCTGGTCCGCCTCAGGAAGGGGTCACAGGATTCCGGCATCAGCCGGCTGGTCACATGCACTGCTTCATTTGCATGCAGGCGCCTGCAAGATACAGCGAGTAAGCAAGACCGAAGTGTCGAGCAGAGGAGTACGATAAGCCCTTGATTGGCGTCACTGATCTCTCCCATGACGGCTGAGGAGCACGTGCCCAGAGTCACTGAGCGTTCCGGCGCGAGTGACGGAGGTTGTTGCTCGAGTGCATTCGGCGCCATCCATTAAACGTCTGTTTCGAACGACTGAGCATGCCGTTTGTGTCTTTGACCGACGAAGTGTATGTGACATTCTCCTCGGCTCCATTGGCTCTGTCATAGATCCAAAAGACAGAGCAAGAATGCGGGGATGAGACGTGGTTTGTGGAGTGTGGATTCGACGACGTGAGGCGACGAAGAAGACCGGCTGCTTGTGCAGCTCACAAAATGCCGCAAAACCAGTACAGCTATCACAAACTCATGCGTAAGCTTGTGCGCTGCGCTGCGCTACCGATAGGCTTCGGCTGGATCCGAATGGACGTCCCGCTCCTTTCTGACGCTGATCTGATACTCTACGTCGGTTTGAAGACTGTGCTGGAGGCGAGAAGATCCGCAAGTGCGAGGTCGGCTTATCCGTGACTGTGTGGCCCAACGGTCGCGCAAGGACCACCAAGGCTGGCAATTATGAGGGCCAGACGTAGACTGAATGTGCACATCCAGCGATGAATGCTGTGACTCGGCGCCGTGGAACACTCGCCATCCATATCCTTCGCTGTCCAAGACCCTTGGTGCTGTCAAAATGCTGTGGCGCGCGACTACTGTATATACAGTAGGCAAAGTCGTCATCCGTCTCCTCCGCTGCCCCTGTCTGCCTTGCTGCACTAAGCGCTTCTACACATGGTGTCTCTGTCCTTGCTTCCTGTCCATCCTATCATTCCGCAAGCTTTGTTTGCAACTGTGGCCGTTGCACGCAGTGCATTGCCTCCGCATACTGTCAGTGTCAACTCTCTCGACCCGCACCTCTTTGTACGGGATCTCAAGTCTTCGTCAATGTCGATGATCTCGATGCATGCTGGAAATGTCCTGACAAGTTCTCCTCTGTTCTAATCTCTTCGACCACGCTCTTCGCTTCCCTGCAGTTGTCTTGACGGTCCTGCTGGATGTTTTACTACGTTCCTCCTCAACGCGATGAACCCTGACGACAAAATGTTTGAGCCCAATCGCCACTGCGACAATACCCTTAGTCAGTCAACCCCCGTCCCGACCTTTGCAGCCGATCAAGAAGAGTCTATGCTGAGGTTGAGCCAGCTCAGACTGAGCGCGACTGGATCTCTTCCCCAGCAACTGCCTCCGCCTGAACTTTCCTGGCCCGAGGGAGATCTCGGATTCCACCACGAATGGTCTCTGCCGTCCTCTACTGCCCCTAATGTCAGCAGTGGGAGCACGATAACAGAATCCTCATGCCATAGCCTCGACCTCAACGCCGACCGGTACAAATGGCCCTCATTTCCCAGTTGGAACATGAATGCACCTGTTCTGAACGGCTATGATGCTACGTCCCTTTACCAGCCTACCATCGTTCCTGAGACTGGCTTCTGTCCCGGCGGCCAGGCACTGCCAAGCCTTGCCTCGAGTCAGGCTCGTCCACCTAGCCTCAGCCTCGACCTGGGTCTCGGCCAGGATTTCAATCGAATTTCGGCCTGTCACTACACTCAGCCGCTTCTTGCGCTTCAGCCCCACAGATTGTGCCAGCTCAACATCCCTAATCAAACTCCTTCTGGAACCAGCTGCCTTCGTACAAGTCTTGATACTCAGACTCCCACTCAACCCGCAGCCCTGGCAACCTCTGCGATGGCAACGTCTCAGAGCACGATGTCTTTGGCTGCTTCGCGCAACTTGCTCTCTACAGTGCCCGATCGATTCGGAATGTCCGACTGCTCTCACCAGGCTAACAATCGCAATGAACTGCATCAAAGACACCCCGGCTCTATTCAGCAACCGTCGGGCTTGGATCAGCAATGTTTCGATCAGAGGTCTGCTCAGTTCGCTCACCCCGAGCATGGATCCAGGTCGGGATACGGTGATCGAGCGGAACGACCTCAGGGATCGTCGCCATTCAACCAAAAGACGGAGGAGTACAAGTCGGAGCTGTGTCGCAACTGGGAGGAAAAGGGTTCCTACTATTACCGATCGTGAGTCGATCATCAGCCTGCTTCGACAAGTCTGTTACAGAGAGGAGACTGACGAAGGTGTCTTGCTTTCCTGACTTCTCTCTCGGTAGACGATGCCAATTTGCACACGGGGAGCACGAGCTGCGCAAAGTGGAACGCAATCCCCGATGGAAGTCCCGACTTTGCAAGCGATACCAGCTGTGAGTGGCCGATGGCTGCGAGTTCTCCTGCCACTGCCGCCAAGGTTACTGACGCTATCGCACTTGATGAAGGCAGGACTGGATCGTGTCATTTCGCAAAGCGTTGCTGGTGAGTAGCAACTTCCTTGAGATCGAGACAGATGCATGTGTGCATGATACGCTGACGCTCGTTTGACGTTTGCCTCACGACTCAGCTTCATTCACGACCCGAACTCTAAACCGGAGCAAGTTGCGTCAATCAACCGAGCTCGACGAAGCTCACTTCTGCAGAGGGTCGGCATCGTGCCTTCCCCCTCCAACAACTAGCGCTCAGTGATAGAAAAGCTCGGCCAACGAAGAGCCCAAAAGTCTTCTAAGACCCAACGAAGCAGATCAGACTCAGATGTCACGACCAAACATCAGACAGCGAACGAAAGAAACGATTCGATTGCATCTGTTAGGGTATGAATGTGCGATCGTACGATGCTAGAGGTCTGTTTGTGTGGTCTGATCCCGAACAACAGGAGTAGCGCGCGGATATACGTATTTCTCGTTGTACTCTGTGAGCACAGCTGCTTGAACGACACCTTTGTCCTTGACGAGCTGTGCGTACTGATGCAAGATCAGATGCACGGGTGCTGATACCGCCACGAGCAGAAAGGCAAAGACGAACCAGCCGAAAGCACCCATACGAATGAGTGCGGAGGCCGGGTAGATCACAGCATGCGCTGGGGAGAATGTGGCGAAGAGGTTCGCCGTGTAGGCGCTCGGATCCCACATCGAAAGCTGACGGATGCCGTGTTTCGAGTGTATGCTGGAACTCTGCGGTTCATTTGGCTTCGGCTGGGAGTAGAACTTGTACATTCTGCGTTTCGTGAAGAAGATGTACGCGTTGGCGCAACTGGTGACGAAGGCGATGAAGAAAAGGGAGGTGGATGCGAATCGAAAGAAGCGGTCGGATGCGTGGTAGACGGCGCTCTTGCGAGCATGACGTTTGAGCGCGTCTGCCATGGCGTACTCGTCACCTGTATGACTGACGAGGTATTCGTATGCGATGGCTGGGTTCTGTGCTCGTCGGTAGGCTGGCTTGTTCATGAACCACGATCCCAAGCTCGATTCGGGCGATAGTAGGAGCGCGAGCAATGCGACCGCATGCAACATGACCCCCAAGACATTGCCTGCCTGGTCGGCAAAGAGCTGCTCTTCGAGGTCGAGCACGCTCGACGTTAGACGGTAGTATGCATCCGCCGGCCACTGCTGAATACGTTCGAGGAGCGGCCGTTTGCGGACGAAACGCTTTCGAGGCGTCGTGCTGGGTATTGGCGGTGTGAGAAGCGCCTCGTTCGGCGTAGACACCACCGATTGCTGGTCGTGGTCAAAAGCGCTGGGATCCGGTGTGGCGGACGACCTTGTTGCTTGTGCGTAATGAGCGCTTAAACGTGGAGCGGCGCGAACTAGTGGAGAGCCGGGCATAGATGAGGGTGTCCCTCCTCGTACGGACGGCGAAGCGGAGCCATAGCTTGCACCGCGTTGCACGGGTGAATCCACGAGACTGGAGCGACCTCTCGAAACACGAGAAGCGCGCCATCCTGGCTGACCGAAAGCTACACCCTTGCGGTACGCTGGTGATCCAGGCGACCCGGCCGGAGACGGCGAGTAGCTTGACATGTCGTCCAGCGATCGAGATTGTCTAGGACGCTCCTGTCTCGTCGTTGCTACGATGTGGAGAGGCAACAAGCAACATCTGACACCAAACAGAAGCAACACTTCAGGGTCCAACACAACACGGGCCGCCTTCTGACACGCCTTCCTTCAGTTACAGAAGCTCAAAATTCCAGATTGGCAGAGAGGCAAAGTCTCACATTACTGGCCACTGAAAATCAAACTGCGGTTTAGCTGTCCAGAGATTTTCCGAAGGTTCGACGCCAAAGATGGATTTTTTCTTCTTGAGCAGGAGAGGCGTGCGTGAAGTCTAGAAAAGCTCGGAGAGGACAGGCAACTTCCTTCTTCTTCTCTTCGAACAAATATCCAAGAAGGTATGTCACCGTAAGCTTGGCCTCTGCCTTTGCTCGCTCATTGTAGCTCCAGATGCTGACAACAGCATTCGGCATTCACGTCTGCCTCCCGCCATCGCAAACAGACACAAAAGTTCGAGCTTGGACTTTTTCTCCGTGCCAAGTTCGCGTTCCCGTCTTCAAGAGTAACAGAAGGAGTTGGCAAAGCAGCCTTCCCTTCCGTCCTGTCTGCTCCTCGTGGCAGATGGGATGGGTCGAATAGCATCTGCTGATACCGGCGAGGTCCGATCCACCGCATTCGTCGCTCGTCGTCGATGTCTACGCGATGCGCCCGAGGATGGCGACGGTGAGTCTCTTCGTGAGACTCCCGACGCACATCGTCCCAGGATCTAGGTTATCGCGGAGGTGGTTCGGATCGTTTGCAAGTCGGCAGCGTTCTCGACCGATATTCTTTCAGCCGCGGTGCAATGTCTCGCTCGAGGCCCACTTCGCGGGATGCACTCGGCTGACGCAGGTAAGTCGTTTCTCTTTTCAATGCCTTTGTCTCGACCTAGCACTTGTGCATGGTCTTGGCAACTCAGCCATCTCTCCGTTCACAAGCAGCGGCGAGATCGGCTGATTCGATCAAGGTAAGTCTCAAATCTCTCAACCTATCGTGGACTGCGCGGCAGAACCTCTGCACGACTTCCACTGCAACGACGACAGCGATGATGAGCAACCAGTGTCGCCCCAGACTGCAATTCTATTGAAGAGTGACTATCGCATACAGCCAAACATGCATCACTGAGCTGTCGTCGTCTTGCAGCAAGGTCGTCGGAGGTAGCCCTGCCCTTCCATCGACATGCAGTTGTCGTTTATGATGAACAGCGAGCTGACCTTTGCCCACGATTCTCGCCTTGCTTGCCCCTCCGCGACAACTTCAACAGCTCATGTACCGTCAGTATGCATGTCATTCAACTTCATGTCTTGTTCTGTTCTGCCAATCGAGTGATAAACCATGAACGTCACATGTGCTTCAGCGGTTGCGGTGTGAGATCGGGTGATGGGATCGGTCGATTCAGAACCCTGCAAGAGAAATATTCGCGGTTGTCGGTTTGAATTCATTTTTGATTTAGGCAGAAACACAGACCGTAAGAGTGAGATTTCAAACTGGCACACTGCGCGTGAGCTCTCCCAGGCAAAGGTGCGGTGTGAAGCGGCGGTTTGGCCAGCGAAGGGCGCAGCTGCTACTGCTGCCTCTCATTTGTCTGGCCACTCTAGCCACTTCTGCGCGGGGTGTCGCGGCGTGCCGTGCGTTTGTGTTGCTTGATGGCTGTTCCAGACTGGCTGCAGCTCAGACACACACACCACGCACCGACAAAGCGAGACGCGGGCTATCTTTTCAGACCAGCAACGCTTTCACTCGTTTTCAACCAAGCCGCTTCCACACTACCCTTTCATCATCATCACCATCTCCTTTCTCGGCAAGCACATCGACCCTTCATCCACTCTCGCTTCATCAAATCATTTGGACCGTCTCGAAGCTGGCTTCTACAAACACAGAACACGTTCCACACCGCTGAACGTACCATTTCGAATCGACTCCTGGTCCCCGTCTCTTCTGTGTATCTTTTGCACGAAGCCTCACGTCTTGATTTCGACGGCAACGATACCTCTCCGAAGCAGACTTCTTCGCTCCTTCACTTGTGTCTGACCCGCACTGCAGACAGTCTTACCAGCAAGACTTTCCCTGACACCCACCCACCACATCGATCATCATGGCTGCGGAATCCAACTACGACTACCTCTTCAAGGTGGTGCTGATCGGAGACAGCGGTACCGGTAAATCCAACCTTCTCTCCCGTTTCACCCGCAACGAGTTCAGCCTCGAGTCCAAGTCCACCATCGGTGTCGAGTTCGCTACTCGAAGCATCTCCGTCGACGGCAAGACTGTAAAGGCTCAGATCTGGGACACTGCCGGACAGGAGCGATACCGCGCCATTACTTCGGCCTACTACCGAGGCGCCGTCGGTGCTCTCCTGGTCTACGACATTGCGAAGCACCCGACATACGTTAACGTATCCAGATGGCTCAAGGAACTGCGCGACCACGCCGACAGCAACATCGTCATCATGCTCGTAGGAAACAAGAGCGATTTGCGACACCTCCGTGCGGTCCCCACTGAGGAGGCGAAAGCCTTTGCTGCCGAGAACAACCTCTCGTTCATCGAAACTTCGGCCCTCGATGCCTCGAACGTAGAGCAAGCTTTCCAGAACATCCTCACAGAGATCTACCGCATCGTATCGAACAAGGCATTGCAGTCGTCGGACGACGTGATCAAGCCTTCCGGCGGAGAGACCATCACGGTGCAGCCCAGCGCCGACGACGGTGGCCAGACCAAGAAGAACGGATGCTGCTAAGCCGTCAAACTCAGTCACGATCCATTCTCGCTTCCCGTTGCATGTCTACAGTCTGATCCCGTTTTACCTTGTACACTTCTGAACTCCATGGCAATCGATGCAGTCTATTCCATGCGTCGTTTTGCTGCGGCCTATAGGCACACAAATCCTAGGTCTGACGTACGCAGAGCAAGATGACGAGCAGAGTTTAGGCCTTTCCGTTTGACGGCGGGTGCATCTTGGCCAAGTTCTCGTTGAGATAGGAACAAGGGGCCTTTGGTGTTAGCGGGCGTGAGTGTGTGCTCGTAGGCGGGGGTCCTGAGATGGGTAGCACTCTGCCGCCCTGCGGAGGTCGGGAGTATTTGCCGTTGTTGCGATTGCAGCCTCTGTCGATAGCGAGACTGGCGGTGATCTCGTGGCCATTGGCGGAGGGAACCCTTTGTAACGAGTTGTTAATTCGAGCAAGCTCAATGTCAAGCCGAAGCCGATTTTCGACGTGGGCGGGTATTGCGCGGCTCGCTGATCTTGTGGAGGAGACCGCGTCAGCCGAGCATTCAAGTAACACAAAACTCCTTCCGAAACTTACTTATGAAGCAAAGCAAAGCCAAGCCCAACTGCTACTCTGGCACCCACCACTAACTCAGCACCCTGTCTCGTCTCTCTTCCTCTGTACGAGAGAGCAATACAGTACACAGCTATTGAGGCTTAGTCGAGCTTCAACTCTCTGTGCCCCTTTCATCGCGACCAGGATCATCCAAGGCATCCCGCTCCGCATACATCGACCCCGCGTACATCAACCATGGACGACGATGACGTCCTCGAGGTCGATAGCCCAATGGAGCCCGCCGTCGACATCGACGAAGATGAGGATGAGGAGATGCCCATCTTGAGCCTTGACGGCGCTCCGCAGCCTGCAAAGAAGCAGAAGGGTGAAAACAGAAACCTCCAGCTCGACTATCCCAACAGCTTGCCATACACCTGCGAGACGCTCGAAGAATTTGACGCTCGCCTGGACCACATCATCCGTCGGCTTGTCGACTGCGTCCGCACCAACGATTACGACATTGGTCTAGTGCAATGGAACCACCGGCTGCAATGTCTATTGTCGCTCAAGTATCCCATCCTTCGAAAGACAAGAGCCAGGCTCGCCCGGCTTTACTACGAGCTCGCCGTGTTGCCCGGCCTCAACACGCGATGCATAGAGCTGGCCGCCAACATGTGCATGACGCTCATCGAGAACAAGAAGAAATGCGACATCAAGGATCTCGTCCTACCGTGGAGGCCGCTTTACAACATCCTCGAAAAGGAGCTCTTCCCAAAGCGTCGCAGGACGGGACTCACCAACATCGCCGACGTCCTTCTCGACCTCGCGGAGACGGCGCAACGCTTCTTTCCAGCCAGCGAGGCGGACGAAATGCTGCGCACCTTCTTGCCCAAGATGGACGGTTCCAACCTCAATTCCGTCATCGCCACACAGGCGTTCCTGGTTCACTTCTTGCCCATCAGTCACCCGCAGCGCTGGCTGCCGACCATGTTCCGCCTATGGGAAAGCTTCAACTCGTCGCTCTTTGACGACCAGATGCTCGACCTGCTCGCACGTCTCGCCGAGATGCACGTCACCGACCCTTCGATAAGCTCCGCGTCCTCTGCTCGAAAAGCCGGCTCCCTGGCCGAAGCGTCAGTGCGGCCAGAAGTGCAGCCTGCAGAAGCGGCAACAGCTTCGAAAGCTGACGGTGACGAGCCGATGCTAGTCAGCGAGCCAGCACGGCTCTCAGAAGCCAGCAACTCGACGACATCATCAGGTACAGCAAGCCCATCAGGCAAAATTGGACTGTTTAGCGAGATCGGCATCTTCACCGAGCAGCAATACTCGCTCATCATGACAAAGTGCCTCAAGTCGGCCGGCCTTCCCGTTGGCTCGTCCAAAGCAGCCAATGCTGCCCTCATGGCTCAGTCTGCAAGCGTACGAAGCGGTCCAGATGCCGCGGCATCGGGCGCCACCCTCAAGATGAAGAAGCCGACGGATCGTCTCCGGTCCTTTGCAGTCATCATCGCTTACTCGATATCCAAGGACGGACTGACTGTCGGCGAGTCTGCGACAGTTTCGGACGTTCCGACCCCGGCGGAAGGAACCTCGCCAAAACTGCAAGGCGCCACCAAACCAGTCGCGACATACCCAGCTGGTTCCAAAGCGCTCGAACATCTCGCCAAGTTCGTGCAGGCCACCGAGAGCTACTTTCACCCGTCCAATTGGGGCATGTGGCAGATGTCGCTTTCAAACCTGGTTCAGCAGATCATGTTTGAATTCCTCAAACGCGCCAAGGAGGAAGAGCGTCCGCAGTGCAAGACGCCCCAGCAGTACCGACTTACAAACGAGATGAAGACCGAAATCGTTTCGATTCTTCGCACGGTCTGCTTGCTCTCCATGTTCTCCAAGGATCCGATCACCATCGCAGCGTCACAAGCCAGCTTGAAAAGGATGGCCATTCTCGCACCAGAGATGATCTTCCCTGCTGTGCTGGACAGAGCGTTCAATTCGCTAGAGGCGCTCGAGACTACACATCGCACCAATGCCGTCATCACGGCTTTGTCGACGCTGTCGCCCGTCTTCACCTCTCGCCAACTCTACCGAGCTGGCGGAAAGCATCTTGTGCCGCTCCTGCAACTCTGCATTCCCGGTATCGATCTCAACGATCCTATGAAGACCATGAGCACGTGCATGTTCGTGCTCCTGTCTACCCTTTCGATTCGTATCGACGATTTGACCAGGCCAGAAGCTTATGCCGACGACGAAGAGGCGTTTGAGGGCATCCCGGACTTGCCGAAGCTGAATGTGGATGCTACAGAGGCATCTGCGTCTGGTGGAGAAGACGCTGTGTCGGCTTCGCCAGAGCAAGAAGATTACGAGCTGCGCATCAGCACCGCCGACTTTGACGCGTGGATTTCGGCCTTCTTCCAGAGGGTGTTGTCTCTGTTCGAGACGTTGCCCGAAGAAGGTAAGGGCGGCCGCACCGGTGGCAAGTCCGAAGAGCAAGTCATCAACATGATCATGGCTGCTTCCGATGCCGTCTGTCGAGCGATGAGCCCCTATCTGCTGCAGAAGTCGTTCGACAAGATCGCAGACTACTGTGCCAATACTGTGTCGGCCACTTCTGCCCGTGTCATCGGCTCGCTCGTTGGCTGCTTTGCCCGCGCGGACAGCAAGATGGTGCTCAAGAGGCTCGTGCCTCAATGCGTCGCTAACATCCGAACCGAAATCGCCAATGGAGCGAGTTCGACCCGAACCACCAGCACCAGTCTGCCGGCACCAAGCGACGCTGCCCTGCATTGGAACCTCAGCGTACTGACCGGAGTCGTGAACGGGCCCGGCGACAATCTCTTGGACTACAAAGACGATCTGATCTCGGTTCTGCACCTCATCACCACAAGCTGCAAGAGTGAAAGAGGCTACTCGTCGAGTGCCAAGCTGGTGCAGAAGGTCATCTCGTCCTTGACATCCGTCTATCCAAGCGAACAGCGATTCGTGAATCAGGAGACGTGGGAGAGCGAAGCGTTCGCTAAGCGATCTCACCTGTTCTGGGGCAAAATGTACGACGAGAAGAACGTCAAGATCAACTGGCACGAGCCGTCAGAAGCCGAGATCAGCATGGCGCTCGAGCTACTCGACCGCATCGTGATTCCGGCACTGGACAATGTCGAAGCCCTTCAGGCAGAGGCACTTGCTCGAGACAAGGCCTGGTCGAACGACTTCTGCCGCTATCTCATAGTGGTCAGGATGGGTCTCATCGGCATGCCAAGCCTGATCGACGAGGACGACGTTGGAGGTGGACATCCGGCCATGGACCTCGGCGACGAGGTCCCCGAGTTTATCGAGGTCCCACCCCGCTTCAGATCGCACTTCTGCTTGACTGACCGCCAGGATGGGCGTTACCAAAAGGTGGCAGAGTTCAAGAGGCGCTGCGGAGAGGTGCTGCACCTCGCAGCCCAGAGCACGCAGGACTCGGGCGCAGAAGACCAGATCGACTGTGTCAAGATGCTCGTTCGAGCCATCCGCTCCTACCTCACCTGCTACAGCTACAATGGCGAAGACTACAAGGCTCACATGCGTTCCCTCAGCTTCTTCCGCAACGTTGCCAAGCTGTACGCCAAGCAAAAGGCCTTCCCCCGCGTGCTCTTCATCCGTCGCGCGGCTTTTTACAACACCAGTCGAGCAAGGCTCAACAGCTTCCACCGCAAGCGCACTCCATTGGCCGACAAGCTGATCCTGCAGATCCTCGAGTTCTGCATGTCCAACTACGTTGGCATTCGACAGACGGCGCAGAACACGTTGGACACCATCGGCGGGGTCTACGACGGCACCTGGATCCTCTGCCTGCCCAAGCTGATTGAAGCCGTTCAGCCAGGCGTACCTGACGACAGGATGAAAGGTGCATTGTACGTGCTAGGCAGCAAAGGCGCTTCGTATCTCTGCATCACCGACGCTCGCTTCAGCGCCGAATACATCATCAGCCTCCTCGACGCTCAGCACCACTCCAAGCCTTCGATCCAGAAGCTGGTCCGTGGTATCATCAATGACTTCATCGTGCGTTTCGCCGAGCCATCGACGCTGACGGCCAAGGTCGACTCGCCAGCACTCAACGAAGCTGCGGATATCCTGGAGCGGGCACTTCCCGCTGATCTGCAGACTTCGGACGCCAAGCTCATCGAGGCTGTGGCTGCCAAACGACGTCTTCGCCTGGACAGGGTCGATGTATTGCACCAGGAGCTCACGAGCAAAGCGCTCGACTTTGCGCAGAAGGAAACCACCCATTGGGCCTTTTCGATCTTCGCGGCTCGTCTGCTGAGGGCGTTGGTGCGAAAGGACAGGCCGCTGGCGCAGGGGTCCGCGACGTATCTCTCGGAGCAGATGATATCCGAGAACCCCAAAATGCGTCACTGCGCTCAGGCCGCCGTCACCAAGATCCTTTACTACGTCAAGCTGCGCACGCTGGCTCCGACTGATGAGGATTTGCTGCTTGGTCAGAGCAAGAACCCACTCAAGCATTCCGAGAAATTACCGACTCCCGTGTCGAGTGAGTGGACGCAGCAATACATTGCATCTTTTGCTGAGCCATTGCGGCCAGATAGCAAGCTGCGGGACAAGCCATCCCAAGGCTGGCTCGTATGGGGCGAGGAGGAGGACTTCTACGAACCGCCACCTGCTGACGGTACCGTATTCGACTGGGATGCTGAGTCTCAGTCGGCGATGGCTGCGGTGCGCGCTAAGCTCACCCAGGAGTCTTGGTGGCAGTCCTTCTGCCGTCATCTGTCGCAGGAGAAGGACCGCGACTATCCGGGCAGCGACTCTGTGACTCTTCTCAAGTCGATCTTCCAGATCTTTGGCGTCGAGCTGTTGCCGTTCATCCAGACGACGACGGAGCAGTACATTGCAGAGAAGGACCGTCACAGGCATCGCGCTGCAGCGGAGCTCGTTTGCGGCGTCTACCGGGGCTCGAAGCACTGGAACATGAAGGACCAGGACAAGCTGTGGGCGTGGCTCAAGACTCTGCTGCCAAAGATCTTCGAGGGGTGCACACCGGATAGTCAGCCAGCTTGGCAGTCGTGCATCGAGTACATGCTGCAGGCTCGCGATCCGCGTCGTGCGCTCCCGCTTGTCGAGTACATTGTCCAGGCGGCTCGCGACAATATTGGCAAGGACAACAGCACGGCCAGTCCGTGGGAGCAGGCGAAGGCGCAGAATCTGTTGCGCGGTGCCATGATCTCGATGAATTTGCAGTTCGCGCCCTTCGGAGCGGATGAGTTCATCCGCATCTATTCGGAAAACTTTGACAACCACTTCCAGGAGGTGAGGAGCGTCATCAGCGAGGGACTGGCAGATTTGGAGCTGCTCCAGGTCAATCCGTCGTTTGGCAGTGTCGAGCTGATGCTGGATGCGTGCAGTACGGGTCACGGATCGCTGCTGTCGCGACCAGAGCTGTACAGCGGGCGTCTGGAGACGCTGTCGCAGCAGCTAGCGCAGTGGCGCACAGAGAGGAAGCCGACAGCCGAGGGCACTTCTCAGTACGATCGAGCGGCGATGACGGCGTTGCTGTGGATCTCGACGACCATGGGCGACCATCGCAATAGCGCGTTGGCAGGAGAGGTGATCAAGTACATCCCGGACATCTTTGGCATGCTCGAGCTGCACGACAACAAGGAGCTGTCTGCGCTCGCGCGCGCCGTGTTGACCAAGATCTCGACCTATCCGTTCACGTCCGAGTACGCGGGTAGATTGATCGAGACGCTGCTGCAGGTGACGCGTTCGTCGGTCGACTCTTGGCGTGCACGTCTCGACTCGTTGCCAGTTCTGCAGGTGATGTACTTCCAGAACCTGTTTTACTTGGATGAGAAGCTGGTCAACTCGATCGTGGAGCTGCTGTTGGAGCTGCTGAGCGACAAGCATCTCGAAGTGCGCGAGATGGCAGCGACGACGCTCTCCGGTATCGTGCGTTGCTCGCAACGACGATTGATCAAGACGCTCAAGACGCGATTCACCAAGACCGTCTCTTCGACCATGGTACCTAGAAGAGGTGACAAGGACTACGACTCGCAGCTGCTCAAACTTCACTCCGGGATCTTGGGTGCTTCGGCTCTGTTGGCTGCGTTCCCGTACGAGGTGCCGGACTGGATGCCGAGCTTGATCGTCGATACGGTGGCACAGCATACGGATGATCCGGTGCCCATTTCGACGACGGTGAGGAAGTGCGCGGCGGACTTCAAGAGGACACATCAAGATACGTGGTCGGAAGATCAGCACAAGTTTGGGGACTATTTGGCCGAGGTGAATGACTTCACGCTCGGTAGGAGTGATTATTTCGCTTGATGGTATAGGATGCATGAGCCAAAGTCTCGTGGCACGACAGGAGATGTTTCCGATCAGTTTGGATTGAACAGTGGGCAAATCTATTCGGAGTTGTATCGATACATCTTGGCCACGACGATGGCGGTGACGAGGTTGGAGAATGCAAAGATCCAAAACACAGCGCCTCCGGTGTGATTCGCATCGTAGCCTGCCAGCCAATTTTTGATGGGTAGGAATGCTGAGCCTACGACAAAGTTTGCCGTCCAGTTGAGTGTCAATCCCAACGATGTTGTGGTCGAGACTGCTCTTGAGGGGACCAGTTCTGGCAAGATGACGAACGGAATCGGACCCAGTCCAAAAGAAAACCCTGCCACCATCAAGACCATGCATACAGCACTGAGGATCTTGTAGCCGTAAATGATGCCCGCTCCCAACAGGGCGGAGGTGATACTCATGACGCATGCGGAGAAGATCATGAGCTTCTTGCGACCGACACGATGTTCGTCGATCAGGTAGATGGGTGGGAAGGTCATGATGATGTTGATGAGCGTAATGAGGATGCCGATGGAACCGGCTAGGGAGGGGAGGATGGATCCGAGGATGCCTACGCTGTAGTACAGCACGGCGTTGATGCCGGATAGCTGTTGACCCAGTTGTGTGAGGATGACGAGGAGTGTGCCTGGACGAAGCTGCGGGTCGGATAAGAGGGTGGTCAGACCGACTTTTTGGTCTGACCCGGAGACAGGGTTGTGATCCTGATCGTCGGACAGAAGTCCTTGCCGCTCCTCGTCTGCGTTTCGACCGGTGTTGCCGGTGGATCCCCGAGACTCCTTCCAACTCTGAACTTCCTTTGCCGACCACAAGACCTTTCTAACTTCGTCCGCCTCATCCCCCACCACCGGGCCATGCCTCCCTTCACCCTCCAACCATCCCGGTGACTCCAACCCGATCGTCATCGACCCCACCAGCTGCACGACGGACAACACTCCACTCACCCCGGGTACACTTCGCCACCACCACCCATCGCTCCCCAACCAACTCGCCCCAATCGCTTGAGCTACAAAGATGCCCATCACGATCGAAAACTGATTCAACACCCCGATGCTCCCCTTCAAGGCTGTAGGAGAGATCTCGTTGATGAAGATCGGAACAATGACTACACCGATTCCCGAGCCGACGCCTTGAATGAATCGACCGGTGCCGAGGCCGGAGAGGCTGGAGGAGAGGGTGAGGATGAGGCTTCCTATGATGCCAAAGGCGGCCGAGGCTGTGATACATGTCTTTCGACCCCACCCAAACGATTTGGATACGGGTGAGATGAGAAAGGATGAGGCGAGACCGCCGAGTGTGAATAGGGCTGTGACGAGCCCGAACTGCGATTCGGTGAGCGGAATGCAGTCGGAAGAGACGAGCGAAGAGGGTGAGCGGCGTTGACATGTGAGGATGGGTTGGAGTGCGTTGAGTTCGGAAATGCCGAAGCCGTAGTTGGCTGCCGAGAGCAGGATCCACAGCAGGACGATGCGGAATCGTGCAGTAACGGACGACTTGGTGTCGGAGGCGCCGTTGCTCGCTGGCCGACCGCCGCTGCGGGAGGTTGCAGATGGTGCCGACATGATGCTAATCCTCGAGGTCCTGGCAAGGTGTCGTGAAGACTTTTTGTGACCAACTATCAATACCGTCGCGCTGCGAAGGGCCGAGAAAGGTAGACAGCGCCTGCGAATGCACGAGAGCAGCTCGGAGTAGTATGATCAAGGAAGTGCGGGATTGCCGGAGGTGAACGAGCTTGGTCATGCACTCTCGTGCAGCCAATTGCGGAGGTGGAGCGTGATTTTCAGGGTCCTGACTTTCAGCTGGCCTGCTTCCTTGAGCTGTGTGCTGAGAACGACTTTTTCATTCAACAGTGAAATCCGCGTTCGGACCACCCGTCTTACTTTTAATCAATCACACATATCAAACCACCTCATCGACACCTCAATCACTCAGCTCTCATCATGAGCAGACGCAATCGCAAGGATGTCGACGATCTACTCGCAGATCTCGACAATCTCGGGACCGAGTCACCCACCAGACCCCCTCGCAAATCTGCCGACAAGTCCACGTCGGGTACTGGATCCAACGACGGCAAGGCACCCGATGACGCGCAAAGCCTGCTCGACGATCTCGACAGTCTAGTGCAGAGCAGGGCTGCATCCAGCAGTAGGGCCTCGCTGCGGAAGAAGGACGAGAGCGCAGCACCATCATCGGTAGCATCTGCAGTGGCCCCGGTGAAGACCGAGACGGAGCAGCCGACGTCGTCAGTGGTCTCAGAGACTCCTGCCGCCGCAAATGCGATGAAGTCAGACCAGCCAGCACAGACAGCAGACACAAACTTGTCTGCATCAGCGTCGGGTTCTGGCGGTGGATGGTCAGGCTGGGGAAGCTCGCTCTTCTCCCAAGCCACCAAATTTGCGGATCAAGCGCGACAGGAGTTCGAAAAACGCGCACCGACACAAGCTGAGCAAGCTCGTGAACTCGGCTCCAAGGGCTGGGACCTGGCCAAAGGCGTTCGCGGATTCGTCAAGGAGGCCAACCTGGAGAAATGGAGCGAAGAAGTGACGAAAGTGGGCAAGCGAGGCTGGACGGATATCGTCAACGCTGTGGCACCGCCGATCGCAGCTCACGAGATCATTCAGGTCACGCTGAGCCACGATATGGTCGGATACGATGGGATCTCGGACGTCACGTATCAGGTGCTGGCAAAAGTCATGGAGCAAGTGGATTCGGACGCTACGGAGCAGCAGTTGATCGTCAACAAGGCGCAGATCGAAACGCCGGCTTCCAAACCCAAGACGGCAACGACGGGTGGAGAGCAAGATCGTGACTTGAATGCCGTGGAAGGATTCGCGGCCGCTTTCAAGTTGGCGAAAGTCAACTTGGACGAGTGCATCAAACAGCACGAGGTGGCAGCTCCACCCGCAAGAGTGACGGCGGATGCGTTGCCTATCACGACGTGTCCCGTGTTCGTACGCATCCAGGCATGTCTCGCTGATCTCCCCGGAGATGCGGAAGCGGGTGCTGTTGGGAGCTCGACGGACTCCAACAAGTCGCTCTTCTTTTTGATCCTGCTCAGAGACCCGCAGCACGGGCTCAGTCACAAGACGGTTTCTCAGGCTGTTCCTACTTCTTGGCGTAAGTGTCTCACGGCTGAAGCGACTCCTACTCTCTCCCCCGGACAGAGCTTGCTGACCGTCTCATCCTCGTCTCTCTCTTCCGTTTGCGTGTCTTTGGCAAAACAGTCGATGTACCCTTTGAGGAGAACCAATGGGTCGAAGAGTCGCTCGTCGATGTCCTGTCGAATGCGCTCAGCATCGTTGGTCAGGATTATGTTCAGGGCCGAATGTCTGGTCGCACCAAGTCCTCCAAAGAAGGGCTTGCCGATGTGACTAGTGACAAGGCGGCGGAAGGCACCGTTTGACGAACGCCGATGCAAACAAATTTTGTTTCAGCTTCGTGTTGTCGAGCAATTCCAGTCTGTGGAAGAGATCGGGTTCGGGCCGGACGATGTTGGTGAGCACGCTCTTGAGAGCGCATACAATCTACCAGCTAGGCAAGTTGCCGTTGAGAATCAAGATCGATTGGGATTTATTGATCAGGACAGTGTCGAGTGATGTGAGACGGCACAGGATTATGCCTTCTTGCCAATGATCTGGGTCGAGATGATCTCCTCGCCGTTGACGTGGTACTTGATGTCAACCTATAGAATTTGACGGATGCGCGAGAGAATTGCCAGGTTAGCCAGGCTGCTGAGCACGAACCACGCTTTGTTCGAACGGGATCTACTTACGTGACCGCCAGTCTTGACGTCGATCTTCTCGATCTTGCCCGACTTGACGTCGCCGCCGAAAGGTCGGTCTGAAAGCGAAGCAAACGTCGCCGATAGGATGAGAAGGAATACAAGACGAGAAAGGTATCAGTGTCTGTTCCACCTTCAGCTGCAGCTGCACCAACATCACCGGCTGTGTCACCGATCCGCTCGATGCATGAGAAACACTTACACTCGATAACGTCACCAACAACGTAGAAAGCCATTTTGAATGATGTGAGGAAGAGTCTGTCGACGGAATGGAAAGAGAGTGTTGATAGAGAAGAGTAGAAGGAAAGTGTTGCTTCCCGGAAACGTGCGAGTTCAAAGGCTTTCTCCGAAGATCAACGGCAAAGCACGCAAAGTGTCGGAAATGTCTCGATCGATCGATAAAAATCCCCAGCAGGAGCTGGCGGGCCAGCATCGACCGTCATTGTACACCGGTATCTCGCTGTGATTGGAGCTTTGGCCATGCTGAACATGTCACGATGCAGCCAGGATCTACGGTCCGGTAATTTCACATTTTGGACGAGGTGTTTCTCGCACGGTTGAGAAAGCCAGGTAAAAAATCTACTTCGTTGAAACGACGTTCTAACATTTTTATCTTGCAATGGATCAGCAGGGTCCAGTCCTCCTAACGGTGTCGCAACGATCTTCGTTGTGTCTCGACATTGCACAAAAACGCACGCTACTCCGGCCTTGATGGTTGCGAGGTGGGTTCGGTGCACACACAATTGTTCCAAGTACCGCCGTGGGAACAATCGAAACCTCGTGGTGGGTGAGAAGATGTCCAACCCACCCCCACCGCATGGACCTGCCCGAAAAGGAAATGCGAAGTGTCACGATCCGACCATTGCTCGGCGATGTAGCAACCATCGGCATGACCCTGCCGACCAGCAAAACACCATGGTTTTACCACTGGATGGCCCGACCGCCCTGCGGATTCCACTGCTTTTGCAGTCGCGAAGCCCCATCCCGTACCCTAACGCTTCTTTTTCGGAAAGGTCCATGATCGACGCACTGCATGAAAGTCGCGGATTTCTTTTTTAGAGTTTGCACTAATGTGACAGCTATCAGCTGCGAGCCCCTGATTCAGTGGTGCTAGCTTATTCGATGGTCGAGCTTGGCGCGCAGCCGATCAGCTTCACCCCATCTAGGGAGAGAGACGTACCTCGGAAGCTTGCACTGTGCCTCGCTGATGGGACATGAGACGAGGGCCAGACTAGCCGTTCGGAGGTGCGTTTCCGGGGGCAAAGCATCGCGCGGTGGACCTTTTCGAGGGGCGACCCCCTTCAATCAATGTATAAGTATAAGTTGTCTTGTCAACAAGCCCTGTCTCCTCGTTGTCGTACAGGGTCAGCCGCTCCTGTCCTTCTCGTGTATCTCCCTCGTCATTACCGTCATTCCAACCTCGCGGAAATCTCAGCCCAGAACAAGACATAGAAGCCTTATAGGTTCGACTTCTCCTCGTCGGAAAATCCATCCGGGCGGACATCGTCCTTTGCCAGTAACTAAGTCTGTAAGAGCCATGGACAAGACAGCGAATAGTGTGCAAGGATGCTTCGCCGGTTTCAAATCGTGGGTACAGATACCGGAATTCACTTAGGCTCCCTTACTTGACCTCTTGCTGATCATGATACCTCTAATTCCGTCAGGCTCTTCTCTAAGAAGGCGGGGATCCTGCTTCCTTCGCAAGATCCTTTCTACACTGACCGGCCATCCGACTTCTCCGCTCTTGCCAGCGGCTCCATACTACGTTCGCGTCCCATCGAAGTCGTCTACTTCCCCGGCTTCGACGATCCACCGCTCCAAGCATGGCAGGTCGCCTACAAGACCAAAGCCCAAGATGGAATGACACCCCAAGTCACCGTTCTCACCATTCTATGTCCATCCACAGCAGCACCAGACAGCGACGGCAAGTATCGCGTCATGATCTACGGCGCCAAAAGCGATTCCGCCGCAACGAATTTCAGGACCAGCTACGCTTTGAGAGCGGGGAACGATTACACCCTGGGAGCGGCTTCGGAACAAGTGTTTATCGCTCCTTGTCTGGACAGAGGTTGGATCACGGTGGTACCGGATTACGAGAGCGAGACGTGCGCGTTTGGTGCTGGATATCAGTCCGGGTATGCTTTCTTGGACTCCATCCGTGCAGCTTTGAACTTCGAGCCGATGGGCGTGGGTAAGGATGCGGAAGGAAAGTTCAAAGCAAAGATCACGATGTGGGGTTATTCAGGAGGCGCGCTTGCAGTGGGTTGGGCTGCACAGTTGCAGCTGACGTACGCTGCCGAACTAACACAATACATTGTGGGAGCTAGCATGGGTGGCTTGCCGAACGATCTCAAGGCCATCGCCGAGCACACGAACAAAGGTGTAGCAGCAGGACTGATCGTAGGAGTCATGCAAGGTCTCGCCAACGCCTATACGTATCTGCAAGAATGGCTCGATCAGCATGCCAACAAGACCGGAAAAGCCGCACTTCAGATGGCTCGGACGCAGAGCTTCAAGGACGTCATGGCCCATAACATAGAAAAGGACGTGCTCGGAACCTATTTTGACGTGCAGGACATCTTGACCACTGGTATTCCTGCTCAAGTGCTCGGCGAAAACAAGATGGGCAACTACGGCCTCGTACCAACTATGCCGTGTCAGATCTACCAATCGCTCCACGATGAGGTCGTACCTTTCAAAACAACAGACGACCTCGTTACGACGTGGAGCGCCGCAGGTGCTTGCATCGACTACACGCGGGACGAGCTGTCGGCACACATCATCCTGTGCTTCACCGGATGTGCTGCAGCGATCGACTGGATGCAGGATCGCTTCGACGGGAAAAAGACCAGGGCGAAAAAGGGAGAGCCAAATATCGAAACGGTGGTGACAAGCCTGGATACGAACGAAGCTAGTGCGACGTTGGGCAAGCAGCGACAGACCGATCTGCAGAATCTGTTGGAGAATCAGTACGTAAAGCCTGGGCGCATCTGGTGGACTTGATGGCCAGGTAGTCTTTGTGAATCCCTCCTTGCGTGCCTGCCAACTACATTCAGGTCGGAGCTCCCCCTTTCATTGTCCATATAGATTCCAGCAGTACCGTTGATTGTCCATCCTGCTGATGCTTGCTTCTTCTGAATTGGACAAGGTCTTTGAGATGACTCAAAGCCTTGTGTGATCTGGACCTACCTGTGCCCCGATCGGGACGACTCATGTAGGAACGAGAAGATGCTCGGACGAACGGTTGCAGTACCCTTGGCTTTCGCGGCCATGTCCGTCTGAATCTGAGTCGGACCGCTCGGTCGGTACACGGCTCGCTAAGCCGCAATTTCGGTCGTCAAGACTCGAAAGCGACGCTTGGCAACGATGATTTTTGAGCGCGAAGGAAGAATTCGTCGCAGCTGCAAGTCAGTCTCACATTATGGGCTGCAGAATGGGTATCGGCTACTTTTTCAACCGACAGCCAATCCTGCTGCAGGAGAAGGAGCAATGGTGCCGATGGATTCGGAAGGTGGTTTGTTCGAATGCACGCGTGCAGGTCGTGAGCAAGGTCTTGTCGTTCTTGGCGGAGAGAAGCGCGATGACGTCGGCGATCGGAGTTGTTGCGGCTTTTGGTCGAACTCCAATTTGACTCTGTTATTTTTTTTCGAGCGGCCAAAAGGGCGTTCTGAGTTGACCAGAATGCCGGTTCTTGCGCACTTGTACCGGTACAAGACAGGGACCCTGCTTCCTCGATCTCGTCTGTGATCAGCTGAGCGTAGAATCACACTTTTTCAGGTTCCTGATGACGGCGTTGTTGCTAGCGTGATGCTGTCGCTGCCGGTCGGAGAATGAACTCGATAAAAATTGAGGTACTAAGTAAGGGCTGCCGGGGTGCAATGATCTTGACGATTCCGATGCCGTTCCCGATCAGTGACCTTACTTTAGGCGATGGGCCCGAAGCTTTCTTTCTTCCTCTGCTTTCGACGAGATCGTTCTTCATTCGCGCGGAAGGCGGCTACGATTCGGGACGAATTCGCCGGACAAGTTTGGATTTAGTCGCCGCAGCTGCGGCCTGAGAGGGGGTGCGTGCGCGCGCTAAACACTTAGGCAAGCGGAGGGCACACGACCGGCGATGTGCAGAGAGTATTGATTTGATGAATCAAGGCGGAATGGTACAGCGTGCAGGACGGAAGGCCTCGGTAGAATAAATGTTTCGTTGTGGGTGCGTCTTAGCTGGAGCACAGCCCTCATTGGACATCGACCAATGGTACGGTGCGAGTTGGCAAATTCGAGGGTGTGGTGAGGAGGACCTCGGCAAAAGAGCGTGTGAATTTAGCGAGCCGCAGTCGCGTCGTGACCGCTTCAAATGCGGAGAGGCTCCCTTCGAGCGAAAGACGTTCTGGCGAACGCCGCCGATCTTGTGCTGTGAACGAGCACCTTAATCTACGGCCATCGAACTTCAAAATCTCCGCCTGCAAATGAAGGATGAAGAGCAAGGACGAGGTGGGAAAGCTACCAGGTACGGTGGTGCGTGGAAACGTTCGCTTGCGAGAGCCTGCGTGGCGTTAAGCGAGCTCCGGATCAAAGTCGACGCAGGATCAGAACGAGCGGTTCGGCGCGCGCCGAAAGAGGATGCGGCTCTAAGCCGAGCCAGCTGCTTACCCCGCACTGGTCAGTGGTCCACAGGGTCTTGCGATCAGGACGCCAGAACGAAGGCAGTTGAACGAAACTCCAGTGTGGCAAGGGCAGTCAACCAGCTCATGTAATCTAATGTTGGTCGGTAGCGTGTGAAGCCAAACGGATAAGCGAGTCGCTTGGTATGTTGGACGATGGGAAGCGTTCCTAGCTCGTCCAGGGTGCAACCCACGAGACTCCCTGGAGAGAATTTCGTGCTCCGTTCTGCCTGTTTCGCTGTCCATCGTGTCCGAAACCATCCGATCCTCGCTCCGCAGGTCCGTCCTTTGAGCCTTGAAATCCGACAATCGCGACACCATGGTATCCAGTGCAGCATGCGGCATATACATGGTCGCGACGGCGAAATAAGGCGAGCGGCCGATCAGGCGGCGGAGTCTGCTGGGAAGAACGTCATTTTGCCGCTCATGTTCCAACTCCGCTGCGCGGAAATTTTTTTGTTCATCGAAATAATGGACTGTTTTAATTATTGAAATCGTAAAAAAAAAATGAGCAACGATCGGAGGTCATCCGCCTCTGTGCGTGGTCTGCAAGCTCTTAGCGCGCGCCAAGGGCAATCGCCTCTTAGCTCAGGAACTATAACTGCTAGCGCCGCCCAAAGGGGCCTCGTTGCTCGTACACGTTGTGCGTGGACAAGCAGCGCTGACACTTTGAGCATTTATGGCCGAAGGCGGCGCCGAAAAAGAAGCAAAGGCGGCTTCGGTGTCGTTTGATCGCCGGCATGCTGCATGCAAAGAGGAAAAGAAAAGGAGGCGGCGCATCTCAACCCCGCTTTGCGGGCTCATTGGCTGGGGCGCATGCTCGCTTTTTTCTCCGTTGTAAACACCCTCAAGCCTCGCAGAAAACCCCCTATGCACCTCCGCAGAGCTTCGCGCCACTGTGCTACTGCCCGCCTTCACGCTGTTCCCCCACTTTGAGCACGAGAAAGAAGCAAAGAAACAAGGCTCGACAGCCATGCCAGATCGACGAGGTTTCCAGTTCCGCCGTCGTGTTCCGCTGCAATTCTACTGGAGCATCCGCCTCTGCTCGCCCGCCCTTCCTGTCCTTGCCGCTAGAAAGGTCAGAGCACCCTCGTCAGGCGCTTGCAAATTCAAGGTCAGACGGTGGGATGATACGACACAACGCGACGTGATGTGATGTGATGAGAGCACTCCGACGGGATCACGGCCTTATTCTTGGCGTAGATGTCACTCTCATTCCGTGGGTTCGCAATGGAAGGGCCGGTCACTCGACACACGCGCGTAAACGACGAGCATCCAGCAGTACCGTCAAGGCTGAATCCCTCCAAGTCCGGTTCTCGGTTTGTCCCCCCTCATTCGGCTAAAGCATCCTTGCAGCGCGAGTGCAGCCAATCGTTCGACACCGTCAAGGCCTTCTGCCTCCCGCTTCCTTTCATCTTCCTCTGCTGCACTGCATCGTCGTCGCCGCATTGCGAGCTGCACCGGTGCCGCTTTCATTTCGCCCGTCTGCCAACTCATCTTGAGCTGCTACGCTCCTCTCGTACTGTGCCTTGTGTTCCGTCGTAGCCGCCCAGTCTTGGCTTTCGACATCACTTGGGCTCGCACAACAACCTCAGACTTTACCCTCGCCCGTGTCGGATCTGTCTGCATACTTTATATATAAGGTAGGGGTCCTTTGTTCTCATCACCTCTCTTCTCCTCACCACACCTCGCTCGATCAAGCAAACGGCGTCTCCTCTTCAAATACGCCCATCACAAGGTCTCCCCTCACTATCCTTCTTCCACACGTGTCTTTTTCCCCTGGCCGCTTGTTCTCCATATCGACATCATGGGTCTCGCGGGTATGAAAGAAGGCACGCCCGAGACCGGTGGAGTTCCTACCTTCATCGGCCTTCGCGGTATCAAGCTCAACTGGGCCATTGGATTCGCTGCTTCGGCTGGTTTCCTCTTGTTCGGTTACGATCAGGGTGTGCTCGGTTCGCTCTACACGCTTCCTTCATGGCTGAAACAGTTCCCCGAGATCGACACCACCGGAACCAGCGCTACTTCCAATGCTGCCGTGCTTCAAGGTCTTGTGACCGGTGTCTACGAGCTCGGATGCTTTGTGGGTGCCATCTCCATGCTCTACTTGGGTAACCTGCTCGGTCGTCGTGCCAACATTTGGATTGGATCCATCATCATGGCCATCGGTGCCATCGGCTGCACCGCTTCGTACAGTTTGGCCCAGCTCTTTGTCTTCCGTGTCATCCTCGGCATCGGCAACGGCATGCACACCGCAACCATCCCCGTTTGGCAGAGTGAATGCTCGCCGCCTCATAAGCGAGGCATGCTCATCATGGTCGAAGGTGCCATGATCACTGGTGGTATCGCCATGGCCTACTGGGTCGATTTTGGCTGCTTTTTCCTCGAGCCCAGCGAAGCCTCGTGGCGTCTGCCCCTCGCCCTCCAGCTCGTGCTCATCTTGCCCACCTTCGTCACCGCCTTCCTTCCCGAGTCGCCTCGTTGGCTCATGCTCAAGGGCCGCGAAGAGGAGGCTCGTGTCGTTGTGGCTGCTCTTGACGATGTCCCCGTCGATGACCCCATTGTCAGCAAGAAGCTCCGCGAGATTGCTGCTTCGCTCGAGGCTGCCAAGACGACCCGCATTTCCGACATCTTCACCAATGGTCCCGAGCGCAACTTCCACCGAACCGTGCTCGGTTTCATCTCGCAGATGTTCCAGCAGATCTCGGGTATCAACCTGATCACCTACTACATCGGAAAGACGCTCCAGGAGAACCTCGGCTTCTCGGACATCAACTCTCGCATCCTCGCCGCCGCCAATGGTACCGAGTACTTTATCGCCTCCTGGGCCGCCGTCTTCTTCATCGAAAAGATGGGCCGTCGCCCGCTCATGCTTGGTGGTGCCGCCGGCCAGTGCATCTGCATGATCGTGCTCGCCGTTCTCGACGTTCCCCGCATCAAGAACTCGGGCAACGGTCCTCCTGTCGCCTCGGTCGTATTCTACTTCCTCTTCAACACTTCGTTTGCCTGGGGTTGGCTCGGCATGACATGGCTTTACCCTGCCGAAATCACGCCTCTCGCTATCCGTGCTCAGGCTAACGGTATCTCGACGAGTGCGAACTGGTTGTTCAACTTCATGGTCGTCATGGTAACGCCGGTTATGTTCCAAAACATCGGCTATCAGACGTACGTCGTTTTCGCAGTGCTCAACTTCGTCATTCTCGTCACCACCTTCTTCATCTTCCCCGAGACAGCCGGTCGATCGCTCGAGGAGATGTCAGCTATTTTTGCGCACTCGAGCAAGATCAACCCTTACGATGTCGTGCGCAAGGAAAAGATCACGCCCCGACGATACGACAAGCAGGGTCACCTCATCAGCGACGACGTGGACATCATCGAAGACGGTGCCAGCGACCTCGAGAAGGGCGCAAAGCGTGGCGACCACACCAACGTCGCTACTGACGATGCTGTCGGCACACCTACCTCGGAGGGTGCCAGCTCCTCAGAGCAGGCTGCTCATTCTTGATGTCCTTTCCGCCGTAGGAATGTAGAGATGTTCTGCAAGATGCTCTGTTTCTCTTGCGATTCCTTCTAGCTATACGAGCTACCCGTTCACGCTTCTGACTACCTTTTGACGTGTTTTGCGACGTCCTATACCACGTATTCCTAGCCTCTCTTTCCTTCGTAAATGAAGAGCCTGATCCATCTGATCATCGTCTCGCTGTGCCGTGTAACTCTTTGAAGGGTCCGAGATCTCGGCAGTGCAGTCCAACGGTCGGTACTGAGGACAGGGAAGACTCTTGTGTGTGATGATTCGAGTGCAGTCTCGTATCTGCTGACACCTGAATTCTTTGACCTCTCCGATCCTGGGACCAGCCTGGCTCGATGCGCTTAAGAGAAACATTGGAATCACTTCTGAAAACATAAAACTCGTTTCCAGTAGCGAGAGCTGGGTTGCACAAGCGTAGGAGCTAGAAGGGATTGCAATGCATCTCGGCATTCACGTCTGTGTGACCCTCTTCGGACATCGCCACACCACCTTCGCACCGCATTGCTGGCGTCGCAAGTTCGCCACTCGAGGTACACCATCCTCAGCACGCCGAACTCAATCTTCGCCGCTCACAGCTCACACTCACTCAAAACCATGAATCAGAAACAAATGTAATGAAAATGTCAAAAAGATTCCTTCCCAAAACAACTAGCCTGCTTTCTACCATACACCCGCGCCGGTCGAAAAAGCAGAGTATCCCGCACCGGAGCCATACGCGCCACCAGACGCAGTCGTTTGACCGTACTGTCCACTCTCACGCTGATCGATCGGACCAACGCTGTTGCTGCTCGGTGTGGGATCGAGCGAGTAGTCCGACTGCGCGTGGTGGTGCGACTGAAGCTGCTGCTGCGACGCGGGCGACGTGTGTTGCCCGAGCCGTGCTTGCTGCGATTGCGATGCTCGCTGCGCCGTGTACTTGGACGGGTTGAAGACGCTAGCTGCAGGTCGCAGCACGCTACCGGCAACACTGATGCTGCTGTTGCCACCAGCGCCGGTGGCCGAGGTAGGCCAGGTGCCTGAAGCACCTGTCGCATTCTGCTGGCTTGACGACTGCTGCTGCTGCTGCGACGGGTAGCCGCGAGCGCCGTAAAATTGGCTCCTGCCCGTCCCGAACGCGGTGTCGTCCAAGACACCCAGTCCGTCCATCCCGTTGCTCGTCTGCGAGTTCCTCGAGCCGACGTTGTTGCTAGTCGAGGTGCCGCTGCCGCCAGTGGGGAAGAGTGAATAGCCCGAGACGCCGCTGTTCAGGCTGCCCGCGTGACGGCTCATTCCGCCGTAAGGTGATCCGGGCGCAGAGCGAGCAGTTGAAGCGTGCGAGCCGTACTGTCCATACGACTGGCGGTTAGGCGTCATTGAACCTGCGCTGTAAGTTGAATACAGTGCGTCGGTCGTGACACTTGATCCCTGGTTGCCAGACGCACCGCCACCATAGCCACTGTACGCTCCAAAGGCGCTTTTCCCCAGACCGCTCCCTCCATCCTGCTGCCGCTCTAGTGGAGAGTAGGAGGACGTCTGATGCTGTCCGTAACCCCCACCATTAAGAGACGAGTAGGCATTGGATGCTTGCTGTGAGACCGAAGAGTAATGCTGTCCGGCTTCACGGGCGCGTGCCGCAGCCGCCGCAGAGGCGTCCATACCCAGAGCTGGGCTGCGAGAGGTCGGATCAAACCCGTTGGATCGACTGTTCACGGGAGACAGGTCGCGCGAGTGCGAGCTCATCTCGTGCTGACCGCGACTGTACTGCTGCTGCTGCTGGTATCGGTTGAAGGTGGCCCACGAGTCATTGTCATCCTGGGCGCCTCTTGCGTGACCGTCGTCCGCGCGGAAGTCGTGTACGCTCATAGGCAGGGTGGTAGGCATGAAGTCGTCTCCAATGTCCTTGAGCGAGTTTTGCAGCTCGCCAGCATTCGAATTGGTGGTGAGCGACCATACGCTTTTGATGTGGTCACGGTCTGCCAGATTGGAAGAACGCGTCTCCAGGACGGGGAAGGTGAGCGAGCTCTGGCCCCACGTCCCCTGCGTAGACATGCTGGGTGATGGTAGCATCGATCCCGCACTGGCTGGTGTTTGGGTCTGCGATGCTCGAGTGGAACCGGGGATGGCAAAGGGCGAGAGCGAGCCTCGCGCGCCTGCTGCGTCGCCCTTGATCTCGCTGTTGACCATGAACGAGACAGGCGAGGGCGTGCTGACTTGGCGTTCGTCATAAAACGCCACAGCAGCATTCGATCCACGGCGCCCCTTGGCCCGGTAGGCGCCGGTGCCGTTTTGAGAACCGAAGCTGTCGACGGAGTATCCGTTCTGTGGATAATCGAGAGGGCCAAGCGAGCCAGGAGCAGCTGCTGCTGGTGCTGGTGCTGTACGGAAGGCCGCCCTGGTGCGATCGTCGAAGGCAGACTGAGGCGCGCCGGAGGAGAGAACTTCACCGATGATGGCGTCAGTGGTCGCATCGACCTGACGGTCGCGTCGATCCGCCTGCAGGCCACCAGACACGTGGCCTCCAGCGTGAGGTTGGACGACAGTGCCGTGATGACCGGGCAAGCGGACTTGAATCTGACTTGCCGGCGACAAGGTCGTTGAGGGTGCGTCCGCGGCAAATCGTGAACCCAGTCCGGACGCGCTCTGAGCCTCTGACTGGTGGGCAGTCAGATCGAAACGAGCCTGCTTTCGCGAACCCGGACCGGCGGTCTGCGACATGATATGCGGCACAATGGGAGGAAGCCCGCGCGGCAACACGCGCGACGGCAGCTTGACTGGCGCAATCACAGTGCCACGATGATAACGCTTGGGAAACAATTGATCGTCCCGTGAGAGCGTCTTGAACGAGAGATGGGCAAGAGGAGGATCCCACGTGAGGGGATAGACCGCTCGGCCGGAGGCTTTCATGGCCGCAATACGGGCGAAAAGCTGCTTTTGCTGGTAGCGGTTTAGCTTGGGTCGTGGGCGCGAAGGCTTCAGGTGAACCACGAAGCGGTTCCAGGCAGGTGGTGCATCCAGTGCGGCTTCCTGTCTAGTCTCGAGGCTCTCCTTGGGCACGACGGGGTGCAAGCGCACCGGAACCGGCGCCGCAACAGGCACTGCCGGAGTTTCAGACGTGGCTGCTGCGATCCGAGGCGATCTATCTTGCGTCGCGGCGTCTTTAGGCTTCGAGGCGGAAGGAATTCTGGAAGTGGACCGGTCTGCAATCTTCTGTGACCTTGCGTCTGTGCTCGGTCTCGGCGCGGATGGATCAACGCGAATTTCCGGGGCAGAGGGTGTGGCAGGTGCAGAAGCTTGTTTGACGGGTCTCGAAAGAATGGTTTTGGGAGCGTCAGCTACTTGAGCTTTGGCGACGAACTCTGCGAATCGTGCCTCGCTTTCGGGATCCAGACCAGATCGAGTGAGCTGATTATTGATAAGTGCGCTTCTCTGCTCATGCTGGTCCTTATACTGTGCCGTCCTCTGGTCTCGTCGATGAAGAATGCGCTCGTCATCAAGACGAGGCGCACGCTGCGACGACACGGTTCTGCCGTCGCGAATCTGCTCGCTTGGACTCGTGGCTGAGGTGGCAACGATGCGGTCGGTCGGCGACACTGGCGCCTGCTGCTGACGCGCTTTCCTGAAGTCCGGGTGTGCTGCGAAACCCTCTGGGCGCGCGGTCCTCCAGGACGCAACGCTGTCTGCCGGACCCGACTTTCTGAGTGACGAGGAGTCTTCGCTGGCGAGGGCGATGGCGGCTGTTTTGGCCTCTACCGCTTGCTTCTGCGCAGCTGCTTGCGCCTCGGCTTCTTTCTGCTGTTGTGCTGCCCGAATTCTGTCCTCGATGGCGAGAGCCTTTTGGCGAGCACGTTCCCTCTCGGCAAGTCGCGCTTGCTCTTCCTCCTGGCGTCGCTTTCGAGCACGCTCGATGGAAGCATGCACGTCCTCTTCCTGAACGGCTTCGGACGAAGGAGGCAGTACTTGCGTTGGAGGAGGTGGCTGACGCTCGGGCGCATCAGCCGAAGACTGAATTCTGGTCTGAGCCATGGCTTTGGGACCCCAGGGCGCTCGAGGCTGGCTATCTGTGCGCCCGATCGATGCTTGCTGGGACTGAGAGGTAGACGGCTCGCGATCCGATGGAATGCGATTCGCAGCGTTCGCGGATGGCGCCGACAACGATCCAGCGGTGACGTCCGGTCGACTCACCTCCTCGTAAGCATGAGAAGTCTTGCGGCCGACAGAGTCGGGAGCTTGCGCAGGTACAGCGGGGCGTAGGTTCTGGGCGAGGTGAGGAGGCAGAGGCCTGTTCGTCGTCGCTTGCATAGGTGGACGGCTGTCGCCAGAACCAGCAACGAGGAGATGAGGCGGGAGCGGGCGGCCATTGGCACCGAGCGGCTTGGCGGCTGAGGTTTGAGGCTCGCGAGCGGGCACCTCGTGCCTCTCGCGAATCGGCTGTGGCGCAGATTGTGACTGCTGCTGCTGCTGTTGCTGTTGTTGCTGCTCAGCGGAGGGGAGCGGGGCGACAGCTCTGGCCGGCTCAGGTACGGCGGTTGTCGGAGCCGCGCTTACACGCGGTACGCTGATATCAGCGGCGGTGGGTGCTTTGGTGGGTGCGACAGGGGGTGGTGCGGATCCTGGATTGAGGGAAGCCTGTCGTTGAGCAAGAGGACCCCAAGACCTTGCGGCCTGTGTGGAGGTAGGGTTGGAAGATGGCGGAGGGCCGGATTGCTCTTGTCGGCCACCATAGGGTGTTGCGCCAAGTCCCGGCCTTCTCTCGCGACCGTACGAGAACCCTGACACGTCTCTACTTTCTGTTGGCGACCGGAGTGAGACGGAAGCACCCGTGGTGGGGATTATGACCTTTTCGGCTCGTTGCTCTGAGCGAGACGGTCGAGCCGAAGGTTGCGAAGATTCATTCGGAGTTGATGTTGCCATCTCACGATTCTTCATGGGACCCCACGCGGGTGGCTGAGCTGCTGCTGGTCTGGCTCGTTCGGCCGGAGCTGTCGGAGCAGGTCGTGCCAGATCGCGCTGAGGCCAGCTGCGGTCGTGACTGACGTCCTTGAAGCGGTCCTCTTTGGACACAGGCGGACCATCATCCGCTTCTCCGCGAGAACCATCGTTGGATGTAGGGATCTTGTACTGCGACCCGTCACCAAATTCGACGACCTCACCGAGGAAGCCTCCGTCTTCGTCCTCCATCTCGTCCCAGTGCTTTCCTGAACCAAGCGATGTGCCTCTGAAACGGTCGAGGGCCTGAAGTGCGGCTTGCTGTCTGGCAGACTCCCTGGCAGCAGCGGCTGCAGCCCTCTCCTCCTGCTCCTGCTTTGCGCGTGCGGCTTCGGCGGCGGTGGGAAAGTCGGACAATTTGGTTCCTCGCGTGGAAGGAGGATGAGGTGAGAGGCCAGACTTGACACCGGCCCAGGGAGCTCGACTGACGTTGGCAGGACTCGGAGCTCGCAAAGACGAGCCGAGCGCGGCGTTGCGAAGACCTGGACTAGCTCTGCCTTGGCCGGAGCCACTGTCAAGACCAGCAGAGCCTGGCCTCGGCGAATCCCTACCCATGCTAACCAACCGTGGCGAGGCAACGGCCGCCGTAGCACCATTCGCGGCCTGTGACGTTGAAAGATTGCTGGGCTTAGGACTCGGCGCCGCCTTCGGCAGAGGTGCAGATGCTTCTGCGGGCAACGGGTCTGCGGATGCGGGAGCAGCTGGAGTTGCATCGGAGGCGGGAGCAGGCACTGCCGTCGACTCGGCAAGTGCGGGAGGCTGCGACGACGGAGCTGTCTTTGTGGTTGGCGCAGTCGCCGGCTTGGTTGTGGCCCAACCGGCCGGCTGAGGTTTAGGAACGCTGGAAAGCTTCGCGGATGTCAATCGAGAGGTGGCGGATGGCGACGAGAGACGATGGGTTGGCAGGGGCGAGGCCGAGGTGCCGAGCTTGAGAGTGGCTGGCGAAGCGACAGAAGGGGTCGGGCTCGCCTTTTCGAGGAAGCGCTTGTTGACATTGAGCGAAGTGAACTTCTTTGCAGGTATACCCGCCATTTGCGATGACGACGCTGCTGCTGCCAGGTTGAACGCTGCTGAGGCGGTTGCACTGTTGTCGGACAGATTCTCGGCGCGTTCGTGCAGGGCGGTCAAGGCTTCGACGTCACGCTCGGACGTGGATGCCGTGATGGTTGAGTGCAGCGCTTCATCATTGACCGCAGCTGTATGTGATGCGGCAGATTGCTGGGCCCCTGTGTCATTTACGCTTTGGTGATCAGGCGTGGCAGATGCGTCGACGGGGCCGACATGCTGCTCAGCATTGTCGACCGCTTGCTGTTCGGAAGGAGGAGGTTGGGCGGCCGCCACCTCACCTGTCCGTTCCTCGCTCATGTGTGTGTGCAGATGGGAAAAGCCAGGCTGTTGAGTATGGCCATGAAGATTGTGCCCTCAGCCGAGGTTGTTCGAAGCGGACAAATGCAGGTCTTTCGAATGGCTGAGACTACGCCAAGGTGCGTCTGATGGTTGTTGCAATATGCGGCAAGCTGGCAACGGGAGAAGAGCAAATGCTTATCGCCAGAGGCTGGAAGCTGAGTCGACCGAGATGCCGAATAATCGAGATGGACGAGAGAGTGCCCACTGGAGCGTACAGGTCGAAAACGTTGGGCGCAGCTTCTTGATGAAGGGAGATGTAGAATGCGCAAAGGTCTGCGTGCAGAGACCGGTACGATTCGAAAGAGCTAGAGAGAGGGTCGTCCGAGACGAATGGACGAGGAGGAAGCGAGGGATGCCGGGAGCGGTTGGCACAGACGGGCTTCCGTATAGCACGCAGACTGTGCGACACCGAACAGAGAGGGAAAGACAGACACACAGCGAGAGGGTCCTTTCGCTCGCGTTGCTCGGACTGCGTGACTGGAAATGGAGGCTAGAAAGGGCGTCTGGCTCTTGCCCGTCTTGCCCGCCTGACCTGTCAGTCGCAAAAGAAAAGGGAAAAGGCCATGGAGCAGCAGCTTTAGCTGCCGCTCGACCGACGCTGATTTCTCTCGCCGTCGTAGAGAACCTTTTTCTTTCTTTGCTCAGCAGCCAAAGCCTTTCCGCCCACAGCGACACGGCAAGTCTGGAAAATTGGTTTTTGCCCTGTACGCGCTCGCTATATGTCTGTCTGAACGGAGCCGAGTCGTCGTGGGTCTAGCAGCCCAACAAGATCGGAGCAAATAGATCGGGGCGATGCAAGACCTGCAAGGGTCTGCGAGAAGCTCGCATGCTTGGACCACCTTTGGGTCAAGTCACACTTGATGCTTCAACCACCAACGAATCTTGGCTCAATCGACCATCGCGCACATCTGTCGGATCATCCGTCTCGTCATTGCTCTGGGAACGCACAGCATACTTTGGGAGGAGAGCGCGCCGCCATGGCTGCTTTGCAGCAGCATGTAGCCAACATCAAGCGTGCGTACTACTCGCAAGATGCTCGTTCCCTTTTGGCCGCCTTTCGCGTGGATGCGACAACCTTCTCCGCTTTGCAGAACGACTTGAACAAGACCGTGAGTGTCGTGTTTCCCTGCCAGAAAGCACGCTCGATGCAATGTCTGACCTTTACCGCTTCTTTGTCACCCTGCAGCCACGCCGAGACCTCGCTGATTGGGTTATGGGCCAGATTCCGTTATCTGGAGCACCGACCGACTCGGATCGCTTCCAGACGCTCGTCGCCGACTTTCTCTCGTACATTCGCGATCATGCTCCCCTTCAATACGCCGCACCGTCCACAGAGCCCCCGCACCCGACCGATTGGGATCGCGCGTACGATGCATGGGCGCTCGTCTACTCGCGCGCTTCCGCCTTCTTTTCGCTACCCGATGCGACTTGGTTCGTCCCCTGCCTCCGCTTCTTCGCCTCGAGCCTTGTCACGCTGGCTATGGCTGTAGATCAACGCAACGACGCAGTACGAAAGCGCAAGACCACAGACGCAGCAGGCAAGCTCTCTAAGGCAGCCGGTATGGCGGGCAACGATCGGTCGCAGGCTCCCGGGTCCGAGACCAAACGTGCTGCGGTGCTCATGCTGGCCAACCTCAGCTTCAAGGCGTACTTCAAGCTCAACAACACTCGCCTATGCGAGACTGTGCTGGGCAGCGTAGAGAACGCTCTCAAAGTGAATCGCCTCTTTGCGCGCAACAACGGCGTCGACGACGATTCGGGGGAAGCCTGTTACTCCAAGGCGGATCGTGTCACCTATCGCTACTACCTTGGACGCTTGCGTCTCTTTCAACACAACATCCGAGCCGCATCTACCCACCTTCGTTGGGCATTCGACAACTGCACGCTCAGGAATCTCCAGAACAAGAGGTCGATATTGATCCCACTCGTGGCCACGTACCTCATTTTGGGCAGATATCCACACGGTTCCCTTCTCGATGCAGCCAACCTGTCGCCTGTCTACGGCAGGTTGACGCACTACCTCAAGAGCGGGCAGGCATCTGCAGCGCTCAACGAACTCGAACGACACATGGACTGGTTTAGAGCGCGTGGACTCTACTTGATCCTGCGCGAAAAGCTGCAGATCAGCCTCTGGCGCAATCTGTCCCGCAAATGGTGAGTAGTTGCCAACTTCAAGTGGTAAGAAAGGGCCTAATTACTGACGGCGGCTTCCTTTGTTCGTGACGAACGATTCGCACAGCTTGGGTCTCTCGCATGGACCTGCGCATGCTTCATCGGCCCCTCCGACCATGCGCCTCGATGTCCTGCTTTCGGCCGCACGTATAGCCTGGAACGACGCTGGTCTGCAATCCGAAGATGTCGAAGCTATCGTCGCAAGCATGGTCGATCAGGGCTACATCAAGGGATACATTCTTCATTCAAAGGCCATGCTCGTCTTGCAAAAGGGCCCACACATGGGCTTTCCTCCAATATGGAGCGTGTTCGAGGCTCGATGACAAAAGCTGCATGCAGCACGCAATTCAAGACACAAACATCTGACAAACAGCGTGCATGGTATGAATGACGGGAAGCGGGATACAAGTACAGGGTGATGTTAAAGTGAATGCTGTGCGAAGCGTCTCAAAGAGACACGAAAGTGCGCTCGGGGCTCAATAATCATCGTCTGAATCTTGCTGACTTCGAGCGAAGCCCACTGAAGGTGCGCCGCGGCTTCGTGCGCGCAGCACAGAGACAGCATCTTTGCGCACGCCTCCGCCGCGGAAGGCAAGACGTGCCGAAGCTGCCTCTTGCTGACGACCCGACTTTTCGCTTTTGGATTTTGCGCTCTTGTTCATCAGGTGGTAGAATTCGCCCCCAGGCATGAAAGCGGGGTCGTTGAGTCCCAGAGGGTCGTCCTCGTTCTTTTGAGGCTTGGCGTTGGAGCCTTTGGTGGAAGCAGATCCTTTCGAGGCTCCCTTCTTGGACAAGGTTCGCTTCTTGAATGCTCTCGCCTTGGCGTTCGGCAACGAAATAGACGGATCGAGTGGTGTGGCTTTCTTCATCTCGTCAAGTGGCTCCTCGATCTGCGTGTCTTGTGGCTCATCAAAGCTCGTCTTGTGGTTGCTCGAGGTGTTGAGTGCACGGAGGATGGTTCCTTCGGAGGTCATCTTCATTGGCATTCCATCCCGACCCTGGACCACACCGCCTGCCCTCTGCTTCTTGCGCTTCAGTCTGCGCTCCTTTTGGAGCCTGGCTACCTCATCAGCTTCTTGATCGGCCGAGCGCTTCTTCAAGATGGATCGCGGTGTCGAAACGGGTCTGGAGAAGACCTCGGCAAAGAGCGAAGGGTCAAGTCGATTGGACGGGCCAGCTTCGGCGTCGCTATCCGCATCTCTTGCTTCGCTGCTGCTTTGAGCAAGGTCTTCCTCATCCTTCGCCCCCGTCAGCCCCTCCGAGGTGTCCTGAGCTGCTTCTTTCTGATTCTGCTTCTCGACCTTCTTCCTCCCTGCTGCTCGACGCTTCGCCTTTTCGGCCTTCTCTTGTGCTCGGAGCCTAGCCGAGTCTTGCGAAGCCTGCTTGCGTGATGTCTTATTGCTCACGACTTCGATGGGAGCGTCGTCATCCTCGCTGTCATCATCGGGACCTGCGTTTGTCTGCTCGCCAAGTTTAGGATCTGAAGTAGATGGAGCGCTGCGAACGGCGTCGGCGTCATCGTCCTCGTCGTCATCGAAGGAAACATGATTGCTAGCTGGCTTGGAGTCGGTGAGCGCCTTGGAGATCTGCTGCTCCTGCAACTTCTGCGCTTGTCGCTGCCTGCGTGCTGCGACCATGTTTGAGCTATACTTGAGGCGCAATGTAGATGAGGAGGAGGCTTACACGAGAAGCAAGGAGCAGCAACATGGATTTTGACTGGAACTTCGAAAAGTTGGCAAATTTCGCTTAGTCAGGCTGATTACGCGGAGGTCAGCTCGGGTCACGGAACCTACGCGTCTCACGACTCGAGACTGCCGCCGAGGGGCAAGAGCAGCAAGAGTGCGGATGTGCACTCTGTCTGTGTCGCTCTCTGTCCCTGGTTTGGCTAGACCGCTTTTCGAAAGCGGAGAAGCAGCAAGTCGAAGCCAACCATCTCGTCCACATCCATCCTCGCGACTTCACCGCATCCTCTCCCATTCGGCGAGCAAGCCTCTTGTCCGCTCTCGACTTATTCTGTATCCCCCCTACACCGCCGTCGGCTGCCTCGAGACCTCTTGCTCGCGCACGGAACGTTGGCCGGCTCCATTCGATCAATATTCTGCAGGTGTTCAGAGGAACAGCACAGCGACAGATCGACGCTGCCCGACCTTCACTCGTCATCCATCATGTCACAGCCAGGCTCGTCAGCGAATATCTCGCCCCTTGCTTCGGCAGGCAATGCCGCCGATGCCCCAGCAATCGTTCCGGCAAAAGCAGTGTACGACGAAGAGGCCGAGGAGGGCGAAATCGTCGACGAGGAAGAAGGCGAGATCTCCGAGAGTCAAGCCACCAAACCCACAGACTCTCGAGCAGCACCGTCACAGTCGGTTGCTGCAGTTATCGCTGATCCAGATGCGGACTCACCAAAACAACCAATGACTCCAGAGCTGCCGACAGATCCAATCGTTACCGTCGACAATGAGCAGAAAAAAGACAGCATAGAGACAGATCTCGATCAAGCCTCGGCTCCTGAAGCAATCGATTCAAAGGCTCAGGCATCGCAAGCAACGGAATCTGGCGGTACAGGGTCTGGGCAAGTTCCTCCCATAAATGACGCCGCCCCCGTCTCATCCTCCGGGGTGAGCACGCCACAGGCACCTGTTCCGGAGCTGACCGGCTCTGAGAATGCTGCTGCTTTCGCCTCCGCTGAAACTTCTGACAAGCCTCAAGATCCAGCGGCGGAGTCGTCCGCACCACAAACGACTGAAGACCGAACGACACCCGCGCTTACTGCTACAGCTGCGCCAGACGCAGATGCAGCAACTGGTAGCGCTACCCCAGCAAAGGAGCAAACCGACTCTGTTCCCGTCGAAGAAGTCTCGCAAATCGTGGAAAAAGCAACGACCGACGACGCGAGTCCGTCTGCAGCCAAAGCGCGGCCCACGGAGAGTGGCGCTGCAGATGCGGTCGCCGACACTGTCTCTACAGCAGACGAGGCAAGCGGCATGGAAGTCGACGACAAGGTCGTCACTCCAGCGCAGCCTTCGGTGGTCGCCTCTCGAGCACCTGCCGAGCCCGAGCCCGAGCCGATGCAGATCGATGACTCTGTTCACACGCCTGCGCTTCCATCGGATGGCCCCGAAGCTCCCGCTCCAGCGGAACCAGCCGGCGAGTTCGCAACCGCAGAGGCGGAAATGCAGGACGCGGCACTGCAGGAGCGTCCTCAGTCTCAACCTCGAATCAAGGGCGAGCCACAGTCACAGGCCTTCGAGCAATCGCAAGCAGAGCCGACGCAGGCGCCTGAGACAGTTGTATCTGAGACGATCAACGCCGCCCCTTCTGAGGGCTCAGAGCTGGCACGAAAGGAAGAGTCGAGCCATGCTAGCCTCGCGCCTGGTCGAAGGCAGTCGAGGGATCTGCAGAAGCCATCCGAGGTTCGTCAACGATCTGCGACACCGCGAGTGGGCACCGATGCACAGATGTCGGAGGCGCCGGCGCCGACAGAGTCGCAGAGTCGTGCCACGGTCGAGAGGGACGACCCGTCTACGTCAAGACCTTCGAACCTGGATCCTGACCGCTCAAGAACAGCCAACAGAGGCTCGGCCGCACCCAGCTCGGGTCATGAGAGACGCCTTGAGAGGGAGAGGACTAAGGATCGATCTCATCCGTCCGAGCGGTCTCAGGATCGAGAGCAGCGCGCTCGCGAGAAGGACCGACGGCGCGAGCTCGAGCGTGCGGAGCGCGAACGGGAACGCGAGCGCGAACGAATCCGCGAATCAGAGCGTGACCGCGAGATTATGATCGCTCGCGAGAACGAAGAGGCTCGACTCATTTGGCTCTCGCTGCCCGGCAACGATCACCCTCAGTACTATACCGACACGGACTCAGACTCGTGCTATGGTGTCGGCGGTGCTCTCGGTGTTGACCTGACGGACGAGGAGGACAAGGACCTGAACCCGCCCCTGCCTCTCTCGCTCCAGACCTACCACCCTGCGCCATCCTACTCGCAGATTTACTTTGACGACGGCTACTACACCTCGAAGAGGAAGCGCACCGACGGAGCGGATGGAGACGACGTTGCTGCTTCCTCTCGCCGCTACCGTCGCAAGCCTGTCTCGAAGCCGTCGCCCGCCGATCGCTTCGCACCCATGCCACGCAACGCGCTTCCTTCGACCACGATGATCGACATTGACGACTTCCCCGTCCCAGACTCGAGCATACGCGGTGAGCCGTCCGAGCGTCCCTTTGCGAGCAGGATCGAGCGCGCCTCACTGCCACATATCCCTCCCGCTGCCCGCCTGGACGATGCTGTGGAGGATTTCGACAGCTCCGACTCGGACGAGGAGGCGATGCGCCTCGCCCACGAACGCAAGCGACGCCACGGCAACCGCAGCGGCAATCGAGGCAACAAGCTCTCGCGCGACAAGGGAGCTCGTTGGGTGCGCCGCGGTAAGCTGGGCGGATGGACCGAGATGCGCATGGAGAAGGAGATCGGAGATCGAGTACGACACCGTGTCGAGGCGATGCAGAAGGACAACATGCGCGCACTCTTGTCTGCCATGCCCGAGGAAGACAAGGCGATGCTGGCGCAGTTCCCTGCTCTCCGCAACGGTCTCATCCCGAGCGACGCTCCGAGCAATGCGCGACGAGATGCACGAGGTCGACTCTTGCCTTCCGATGTGTCCGAGGCAGCACGGATCGATGCCGAGCTAGGACTTGACGGTGGAATTGCAGGTCTGAGCGGAACGAGACTCGATCGACCCGAGCATCTCACATCCACCTCGCTCGCACCGACGCTTCTGAAGCCCGCGATCACGCCACGACAGTTGCTGACGAGCCACACCCTCCGTCACACGTTCCGCAACCCTCACATTGCTGCTCTCGGCAAGACGGCGCTGGACCTGATCGAAAGCGAAGGGGTGGTGGGCCGTGCCGTGGGACGATGCTGGGCTGCGATGGAACGTGGCGGATGGAATCAAGACCCCGAACCCAAAGGCGACGAGGCAGAGCAAGGCGAACGTCATCAGAACGGTGTCAACGGCATGGACGTAGACGGATCGGATGCGGAGGAGGCAGACGGTTCGTCTGCGAGTGTCTTTGGCTCTGTCACCGACAACCCCGCACTATCGCATCTGGACAGACTGTTCGTAACCAAGCAAGGTCTGGCGATCCCCCGTCTCGACGATATGGGTCAGCCCATCTTTGTGCCGCCTTCGCCAGCGACGCAGACTGCACGTGCGCAAGCTGGCCTGGCAGAAGAAGCAGCCAACGAAGCGGCGATCGAGACGACCTTGTTGCCGGCACCCGAACAACGATCGATTGTGCTAGCGGCGCTCGAGTGTCTGCAGGACTTGGCGGCGGACTCGAGGGAATACGTGGAGAGGCTGGAGGAGGTACGTTCGCGACTGGCTGCGGTCAAGCGACGCCGGGTCCAGGTGTGGAATGCAGTGCGGCAGTGGGCGCTGGACAAGGACGAGGCTGCGGAGCCGGCTGGCGGAGCGAGGGCAGACAATGCATCGTGGGTGGTAGAATCCCCGGGTGGTGCGTCGGTATTGTCCGCAGCCGCGGCAGCTGGTGGGGTAAACGGCACCTCGCCTAGGAAGCGGAAGTGAGTCGATCACCGAGACGATGGACTGTATAGCACAGCAATGTGCTTTGTATCAACATGTGCCTTGGACGATATCATTTCATCATGCAGCACGCACGGATGAGCTTGTTTGTTCGCGGCAGGTGCATCTGCGAGGTGTAGGCTGTGCAGAGAATGGCTGCCTTGTCGAGACCGAGTTGGACTCGAGCGGTCGAGTCAGCCTGCATGTGGGCTGGTGCGTCCACGAGGCTGTCATGCAAAAGACGTCCGTTTGATAAGGCAAAGTTAGCTCCAAGCTCAAATGCAGCGGAAATCCGGATTGGCAGCTGCGGCTACCGGGGCGATGCGCGCATATCTGTTCGCCCATGCAATCAGCTGATCGCAGTGTAATGAAACAGCCTCATAGAGCATGAGCGAAGAAGAGGGCTGCATTGGATTCGTTCGATGCAGCATGTACTGCATAGCACACCTGAAGCTAACATATTTGCATGTTCGACAGGTGCAGCTGGGTTCGACGCTTGCCTGTATGGATCGATGCAAGATTTATGCGTTGATTTTCCGCATCAATTCTTGGGCATCTTTTTCATGACCCCTTTTTTTGTGGTACAACGTTTAAACTGTAAACAAAAACCCTGGAAGTGCTGCACGTCGATCACGAAGCACATCACGCACGAGACAGGCAAGAAAACTGTAAGCGAGATTGGATTTTGATGCAAGTTCGGGTTTGGCCCGCAGTTCCGCGCTGCCGCTTGGGGTCTGCAGTGTCGGTGACATGGCACCACCCGAATCGGCGAAGGCGTTGGCTGAATCATTCTGAAGCGATGAGAGCTGTTTCGCAAGGCCAAGTGGATCAAGGAAAGTAACGCCTCTACACAGTATCATCGAAGGGAAATGGAAGGGAAGGGGACGAGAGACGAGGCTGTGTTCTGTGCAACATGAGTGTGTCACTCGGCGGGAAGGCACATCCGAACGAAGCTCGGCCAAAAGTCGCTCCAGATATGACCGCCGCTTTCGCGAGTCTCTCTCGCAATGCTCGTTCGAGCTCACGAGCGTGGATTGGACCATGCCGACGGACAAGCTCGTTCCGGACACGAAATGAAGCCGGTCGTGGGGGCTGCGTGTCACTCTTTGCCTCGACGCGGACTAGTCTTGCGACACTGCAGCAGGCAGAGGAACTAAGCGAGGATGCCACGAGCTGTCTACTCTACAGTATGCCTACAAGCCCCATCCGCTCCCTTGGGAGGAGGCATAACTACCATGTGCCGCACTGTTTCAGAGCCCAGGTGCATTCCACCATCTTCTTAGACCGCATCGTGTGCTGCTCTGGGACGCGACCAAGACATGAAACAAGGCTCCGTAGGACAGGTCAAATCGCAGCATGTAGGGTCTCTCTCACCCGAAGTCCCTGCACGCTATGAAAGATCATAGCTTTTGAGCTTTTGTGCTGCTGGGCGAAAGTCTCTGCCACTGATCGGTTCCGATCTGACAGCCGCAACTGGATGCCTCGCGTCGTAAAGATGTGCCGAGCAGACGCCTTCGTCAGCATCACGCCGCACGATGCAACCCTGAACTGCACGGCCAGAGGGCGGGACGCGGAGAACTTGAACGGGTCATCTCAGAGTGAATGAAAAAGTGGGAGAAAGAGAGCGGTGGCCCTTGCCGGTCATGTTCGGAGATGACAGGACCAGAGACATCTTTTCAGCGGCCGAACTGCGGCACTGGCATACAGAAGATCGGACTCACAAAAAATAGTCTACTTCCTCGTCAAAGCGCAACGGTGTCCTCCGCAAGATAAGGCATGCACTGCACTCGTCCTGCAGCCAGCTTCCACTGGTGCCCCTCCGTGGGTGTAGATCTGTCCATCTTCGTCTCACTGTGCACGAAAAGTGACAACGACTCGCTCATCTCTGGGACAAGCAGGGCAAAACGTTTGCACGGCTATACTCATGTAGTCCTGCATGGAGTTACAATATACAAGCCCTGTCTCGGCTACCCGGTTCGACTGTTCGACGAATCACGCTCAGAAACGTTCCTTTTCCGTGACAGAGAGGTGTTCAAAAGATAGTTGCAGACTGGGAGCGAAGAAAAGGAAGCAAATATTTTTTTGGGGGGAGGGGGGGGGAGATGAATTTATTCATTGTGTTAATCGAAATTTCTGCCCAGCCCAGCATTCTCAAGGCCTCGAATAGCGAGGATTCAGTTGACCGCTGGAACCTTCCTCGGGCTGTCTTGATGCCGAGCGAGGGAGAGCATTGGTGCAGACTTTGCCAAGAGCCATGCGATCCTTCTCGTCCTCTGTGTGGACGAAACAAGGTGCCGAATCCGCAAAAAAAGTGCCGAGCTAGGGCTTTGCTGGCGTGCTCGCTGTAATTTAATACAGGTCGCGCTATTTGAATGTGATTTTGTAGTGAGAAATGGAAAGCCAATCAAGTTGGGTCGCGGTTTGGGGTGAACCGACGTAGTAACTCACTTAGCGATAGGTCGCAACGAGGCGCAGGCCGACTCGCTCTTCCTTCGAATATTCCACGGCTTGGCCTCGCTCTCGCCAATCAAGCGCTGTCTCAATTTCTCTGCCGCTGCACTGCCTTGTTCAGAAACGGGGTCAAGGCAAGGGACGTCGGTGTTAGAACAGCAAGCTTGAGCTCAATCGAACTGGGAAAAGATGAATCACGAGCCCGAGAGGGATCGACATTCCGCGAATTCCCCCCAGGGGCCACCACCGGCTCGTTGCAGCTCCTGAGCGTCAGTATTCGAGCATGTGCGTGCATACATGCGTGTGGATGCGTGCATGCGTGTGTGTGCACATCCCAATGTGCGTGGCGAGCGAGGTGGAAGGCTAGGACGGCCATGATTTGCGAAGAGGCGTCGTCGCTCGCCGGTGCAAAGGCACTTTGGCACAGACATTCAGATTGGCGGGCCAAGCACCTTGCGGTGGCGGCAGCGGATCAGCCTATCTGACCCGAAGTCGGCCAGCGCAGGCCGAGCACGCTCGAACGCGCTAAATTTTCTTCTTGCAACCCTGCGTGACCATGGGGCATGGTCGCTGCGCAGATCTGAGGCACTGGAGCGGCGACACACTCTCTTTCCTTTTTTTCCCCCTGGTGCTTGTCTTGTCAAAAAATTAGACCTCTCTGAGAAATTCCGCCTGGTTTTTCTTCCTCCTTTCTTCCTGCCTGCCCGGCTGCCTGTCCTGCATTGCGCCGCGAGTGACCGCTGATGCTGCTCTTCTGGAGCTGCAGGTGCGCCTGTTTCTGCGTCTCGCTGCTCCTCGTGCTTCTTTGGCTGCCGTCGACTTCTGCCGCAATCTGCTTGGCTGCTGCTTTGTGGCTTCTGGCTGCCATTTACAAGCAAAAGCAAGCTGCAAGTGCGTGTCGTTTTCCGGTACTTGCTTTCTCTTTCCTCGTCCCTTCCCCTCCCCTTTCTTCTGCTCGACACTCACACCATACCGATTCAACTTTGTCGTCGTCGTCGTCCGATCGTTCCTCAACGCCACTTGATCGCTGTCACCGCCACTGTCGCTCGAGGCACAGCTTGGTTCACTCAGCTCGTCGCGGTCTCTTTTTCGATCGCGAGCTTCGGTCATTCCACCCCACCTTGCCCAGCCTCGGCCATTCTTGCTCCTGACGCGTCTGGAAGGTCCCTTCGACTCGCAACCCATCTCTCCTTGGTTCATACTCTTCTTCATCACGTCGCACCTCGATAACGCGGGCACAGGTCTCCAGTCCAAGGTATTCACCTGTATTTCTGGACGTTCTCTGGTCCTTTTCGACATCGTCTCTCGCTGACGCTCCTGGTCTTTCTCGCGCATCTTCCGGCGAGTCCCGCTTAGTACGGAAACATCATCGGACCGCTCATTCGTGAGACCCCCTTTTGATCTCCTCACCCTCAATTGTAGTCGGTCCCGTCGGCCTTCTTCAGGAAAAGCATCTCGCAACGATCCTCGTTCGGACAAGCATCAGCCCTTCCCCTCAGCCACGAAGGATTTAGTCTTTCACGTCATTTCTCCCTCTTCTCTTCACTGAAAAGCATAATTTCACGTTGTAGTAGGCTCCCCTTAGCAGTCCACATCATCATTCCGCTCAGCATCATGTCTACAGCTTCTCCCCTTCACCACGGCCATGGCAACACCAGCTACGCCAACTCTCCCGCCCCCACTGGCGTGACTGGCCGAGACGCTGGCGTCGCAGCAGCAGCTGTCGCTGATTCTGCCGTCCGCTCTGGCTCCGTGCCTGGCTCCGCGTCTGGCAGCGCTCCCGGCTCGGCCTCTGGATCCATGTACGGCGAAGGACACGCGGCTCATCACGCTGGCCACCACCACCACTCGGCTCACCACGCCCACTCGCACGGAGCGCTCGCCAGCCCCGTCAACGGTGGTCACAGCTCGAGCTGGTCGCCCTACGGCTACCCTTCTGCCCCCGTCTACGGAGGCAGTCCCAGCCCTTATGGTCACAACGCCTACTCGCAGTATGCAAGCGGCTACGGTTACCCTACCGGCACCGCCCATCACGTCGCCACTGCCCCCACTACGCCGTCTGCCACTGGCACCGCCTACCATGCCGGTGTCAACGGCATGATGATGCACCACGGACAGCATGCTGGCTACGGCTACGGCAGCCACCACCTCGGATCGCACACGCCCACCCACACCCACAACCACTCGTCCACCTACTTCATGAACGGCGACGGCTCTCACAGCCATCTCAATGGCTCCGCACACCTCTCGTCTCCTTCGTACACCACCGCTCCTCAATACTCGACCCAGCTTCCCCTCGCTGGACGACACCGCGTCACCACTACGCTGTGGGAGGATGAAGGCACGCTCTGCTTCCAGGTCGACGCCCGCGGCGTCTGCGTAGCTCGAAGGCACGACAACAACATGATCAACGGCACAAAGCTCCTCAACGTCTGCGGCATGTCGCGTGGCAAGCGAGACGGAATCCTCAAGAACGAGAAGGAGCGAATCGTCGTCAAGGTCGGCGCCATGCATCTCAAGGGTGTCTGGATTTCGTTTGCCCGTGCCAAACAGCTCGCCGAGCAGAACGGAATCGCTGACGCGCTCTATCCTCTCTTTGAGCCCAACATCCAGTCGTTCCTCTACCACCCTGACAACTACCCGAGGACCGCTGCCGTTATTGCAGCCGCTCAAGAGCGACAGGCGCAGCGCCAGCGAGCTCCTGGACAGCCCAGCCCAGGCGCCAATGGCGCTTCGCAAGCACCTCCGCTCATGCGCGCCAACACCACCCCATCCAACGGCGACACGGCGGGGTTTGGTAGCGGACTGAGCAGCAGCACCAGCTGGACCGGCTCTCACGACCAGGGCCACGCCTCGGCTCCCACTACGACCCAGCCCTCGCCCTCGTCGATGCACAACGGTGCTGCCACGCAGATGCACATGAGCCTTTCGAGCCACGGTACCGCCTCGCCCACCTACTCCCAGCAGCAGCAGCAGCAGTACCCCATGACCGCAGCGCAGCAACTCGCGCGTCCTGCCGCTGGCGATCGCCGCCAATCAGCTCCGATCTCGCTCAACAACAGCGTCGGCCACGCTGAGAACCCCTACGGTGCCACCAATCTCGGTGCTGCAGCCAACGCAAGTCTCGTGAACGGAGCACGCAAGGTCTCTGGCCTGAAGCGTTCTTGGAACGATGGCGAGGACCTCAATGGATCCGTCACTGCCTCGCCCTCGGAGCGCGACATGCAGCGAAGCGGCAGCGGTGCTTCCAACGGCTACAAATTCGAAGGCGACGACTCGCACAGTCCTGACACCTCGGACGACCGCCTGTCCAAGAAGAGCAAGGGTGTGGCTCAACGCGGTGGCGCTAGTGCTGCCACCTCTGGTATGCCCTCCCTGTCGAACAACATGCTCATGGGCGTTGGCAACGGCAACGGCATCCACCACGAGTGAAGGGTCCGTGTTCTTGGTTTCTGCTCCGCAGCCTCCGATGTGGCCCTCTCTTCTGCTGGAACCATCTCGTTCCTTCAAAAAGTTCGCGCGTCTTGTCGCCTTTCCCGCGTCCTGCAGTTCCAGCATCCTTGCATCTCATGATTTTCTGGCACCTCGACCGTTCGTCGAGCATCCGGACCGGCCTTTTCAACTCCTACATCATCGCTAATCAATCGGATGGAGGGTGGCGTTCCGGCTGGCCATATGTCCGTTCGACACGTTGCCACCCGACATCGCTAACATCCACCTTCATCGTCATCGTCACCTTCGTCACCATCAATCGTCACAATGAACCTCTCAAACATCATTCACCACAACAACAAACAACACCACATGACGCTAATTTTGTGAAATAAAAAACTCAATGTTCTGGTCCAATTTGTCTTTTGGATGCTGTGAACCTGTTTGTGATGATCACACGAGTCGAGGCGCTGAGGTTTATGAGTCACGGACTGAAATGGAGTCGTATTTTAAAGAGCTGTCCAGACAGACAGTCGGTGCTCGACTTCGGCTGTCTGGCACGTCGATCGCAACCCGCGAACGGTGAAGCGGCGAAAACAAGCTTCTCAACCACACCTTGGAACCACGCATCCGCTCTCTCGTGATGATTCAAAAGCAGCAAGCTGCTTGATTGGAGGAAGGGTATCAAATAAATTCACCACAAGAGCGCCTACTTTACCTTTGCAAACTCCTCCACAGAGCACTCTGACTAAACTCCCATCCGTCATCCGGAACGCTAAAGACGTGATCCAACAGCCTCTGCGCCGTGGGTCGCTTGGCCGGATCGACCTCGAAGCAGTTCTTCAAAAAGTGAGCCGCCTGCTTGCTCAGCTTGACATCCGCCGGGATCGGCGGCGCCTTCCTCTCTGCACCGATCTTGAACATGGCCTGCACCGCCTCGTCGTCGCTCCACGGTCTCCTCCCCGCAAACATCTCCAACACAACACATCCCAACGACCAGATGTCAATCTTGGCCGAATACCCCTTCTTGGACAAACTCACCACTTCGGGTGCCATCCAAAAGATCGATCCTTGCAACGACATGTTCTCCACATTGCCGTAGATGTCGTCCGAGCGACGAACCGTTCCGAAATCACTGATCTTGCAGATACCCTCGAAATCGACGAGGATGTTGTCCGCCTTGAGATCTCGATGCAGGATCCCCTGCGAGTGCAGATAGGCGAGACCTTCCAAGATCTGGTGCAGGAAGGACTTGATCGTAGGTTCTTCGAACTTGCCGTGCTTGCGAAGACAGCTGCCCACCGATCCACCGGGGACGTACTCGAGGAAAATACTCAAGAACTGCGTGGTCTCCTCGAATCCCAAATACGAGACAATGTGAGGATGATCCAGATCCTTCAACGTCTCGATCTCGGATTTGAGCGCTGCCACCACCCCCTTCTGCCTCGAGTCCTCCCGATCACTCGCCGTGCGCGGCAATTCGACCTGCTTCACAGCAATCATCTCACCCGTAGTCGCATTCAGCGCCAAGTACACTCGACCATAAGTACCCTTGCCGATGAGATCACCCTTGACCCATTTGAACACCGGTTTCGGCGAGGCAGTGTCCGATGAAGGCGATTCGGCCAACGTCGCCGACGCCGGCGTAGCAATCTCTTGCCCGGGAGTCATCTCGACCACCTTGGTACCCCAAAGCTTGGTGCTGCGCCGTCGCACCAGTCCGTTGCTCGCCTCTGTGCCCTGTGCCGCAGGTCGCTTGTCCGCACGATCGAGGATCCGTTTGCGATCCTGCGCAACGAGTCGGATGGATTTCTTGTGGCGACTGCGTTGATTCATAGCTTGCTGAGGACCAAGCGATGGTAGGCTCGGTGGACTCGCCTCGGATCGAGGACTGCTGACCATCGGACTCTCTGGCACTGCAGCGGTGTCGAGCAGAGGTTTGTCGAGATCGTGCTTGGGGAAGAAGTCGTCGAGGTTCTCGTACAGCTGTTCGGGTGGAGGACGGAAGGCCCAGTCGTCATCTCTGCGGGCAAACGAGGTGCTGCGCGTAATGCCTCCGCTGCTCAGCGCCGTCGACATGAGGTGAGAAGAGCCAGGTTGCGGTGAGCTGCTGCTGCTTGCATGGGCCTGATTGGGGGTCACCAACGTCGGACCGGCGGCTGGATCGATGGTCAGGCGCAGTTCCGGACGCTTGGGGCTGGTCGAGGGAGCAGTCGAGGAGCCTCGCACAGAAGACAGGAGAACGGTTCCTTCACCTGGCAGAAGAGTGCGATGATCGTCCGACGACTTTTCGCCCTCGGGCTCAAGCCGCAAGGGGAGGCGTGGTGCATTGGCGTCCGAGTCGAGCGGCTGAGCCCACGTCCCGGATTCGCTCTCGTCGTCGTCAAAGGCTCCAAACGACGCAAAGGTGCCATTCTCGTCCGGTGACAGACTCGGGCTCGCCACTCGAGGCGGGTCCAGAGTTGCTGGAGGGGTGCTACCGTCCTTGGTCATAGGCCTTGAAGCTCCTGGCGTGCTTGGCTCTGCTCTGACGGTATCACCGTCACCGCCGCTACTGCCACTGATCGCAGTGCCGCTCACTGTGCCGTCCAATTTCGGGTCGAGAGCGCGCCACAGCTTTGCCCATTCACCTGCACGCAACGTGTCTTCGTCCTCCGACCGCCTCACGTTCCCGCGCGCTGCGCCATCGGCACTCGAGGATCCACGGTGAGATGGATCCGTCGGCGTCGTAGCCGAAGATTGAGGCAATCTGGGCAAAGGTCGGACATTCTCGAGCTCGTCATCGGCCAGATCGCGGTCTTGGTCGGCGTAAGAGGAACGATTTTCAGCATCGGGAGGCTTGGCCGAGGCAGGTCCGCTCTGTGAGCTTCTTGCCGATGTGGGAGCACTGAAAGATTCTTCGATCGAGTTGCGACTGTTGCGATCCTCGGTATAATGCCGTCCGTGCTGGGAACTTCCCTGACTCGAGAACGACGATCCCGAAGAGCGCTCCGAAGCATTCGTTCGAATGGGTGGGTCGCGCCTTTGGGCCTCGACGCCAGGCGCAGCTTGGCCGTACCCTGACTGGTGCTGGTGCTGGTGCTGATGCTGGCGCTGGTGTTGATGCTGCTGCTGATGCTGATGGTGCTGTTGCTGCGCGGGACCTCGACCTGCCGAAGACGCTGAAGACTGAGGTCTCATCTGCGGACTGGCATGATGCGCAGGTGGAGTCTGGTGTCTGTCGTGAACGCTGCGCAGGGGCTGAGCCTGCGTCGCGGGATGAAGCTGCTGCGGATGCGAAGTAGAGTTTTGATGCGGATTCCCCATCGCTGGTCCCTGTTGGATGGGTCGCTGCATTTGAGTAGCCGCTGACGCATTCGAGTAGGCTTGCTGACCTGCATACTGGTTGTATTGTGCAGGATGACGGGGATCGCGAGGGCCATATGAGGGTGCCGGCGGATGCGCGTGTGCCATCTGGTACGGTTGACCGGGAGATCCGACTGGAGCCGAGCCGCGAATCGCTTCTTGTGTGCGAAGCGTTTGCTGGACGGTCATGCCAGGTTCCAAGCGGCCGGCCTGCATCTGAAACTCTGAGACCTGTCGTGAGCTCGAGGCAGGAAAGTAGCGCGTAGTGAAAGGATCCTCACGCGACCGGTACTGGGGAGCGGTGCCAAGATTGGGCTGCCCGTAAGGCAGGTACACGGGCTGTTGATGCATAGAGGGCTGCTCATGGTAAGAGTAAGGCCGTGGCGTGAGCGATCCTTGCATGACGTTGCCATTCATTCGCGGATCATGACCGTGATAGGTGTTGAAGACAGGCCCGGAAATGGGGGCTCGGACGCCAAACTCGTTCATGTGTCCCTGACCCATGGTTCGTGGACCGCCGTGTCCAAAGGACTGCGCCTGGTATGCTGGCTGACCTGCGAACGATGGAGGAGCGCTGTACTGCGGACGCGCCCCCATGTTGGATGGGGCTGCATTCATGGGATGCGCAGAGTGGGGAGGTTGGGTGTGGAAGCGAGGATCGATTTGTCCTTGCCCGACGTACGCGTTTTGCATGGGCGGCGATCGGATCTGGGGTGTGCTCGACATCCTCGTTGGGCCATGACCCACGACTTGCTGACCGCCTGGTATGGATGCCTGCGCACTGCGATTGCGCTGCAACAGCCTCGGATCAACAGGTTCCGGTGGGGCTCGACCGCTGCCTTGGGCATCGGAGCTGTATTGACGGTGCGATGAGCCGCCTTCGCGAGCGCCTGTACCGGCCGGTGCCGCAGTAGAGGGCCTCAGGATGGCCGGTGGCGGATATCGACCGTCTCGATCCATACTCGCTTGCTTGCGCACCTCGGCCTGCATTGCCGTCGCGGACGGCTGAGACGCATGCTGCGCAGGACGATGCAGATCATCCATGCTCCTTGCATTGTGTAAGGTGAGGGCGTGCGTCTGTTCTGCCGTGCGTACTCGGAGGGAATCGCGCGCGCCTTCATCCGATTGATCTTGATGATGGCCGGAGCCATTGGCAGGAGTATGCAGCGATCTTTGTGCGCGAGGGTTCGCATCTGGCCGAGACCTTTCGTCATCCACGTTGCTTGGACGACGTCCGCTACCAGGGCCGGTGGATTCTGCAACTGATGCAGTGGTGGCATTGATGGAGCTAGACCGCTGATTGAGGACCAACGAAGGGGCGCCTTCACTTGCTGAGGCGCCGTGCATTGCGCGAGATTCGGTGGCGGAGCCGTCACCAGATGAGGCGATTGACCTGCGATCTTGGATGGCGCTCTGAGTCGTCGAATGGACACCGGCTTGGGTAGGGGAGCGCAGATCATCGATGGGCGGGGCGCTTGGCAACGCGCGCCTTGCCTGGGCTCTGGACCGCGTCAGACTGCTGCCTGAATTGCGATTCGAGCCCTCGTGACTCGTGTCGGCGCCAAATGTCTCGGGATACACCAGAGCGTCGCTCAGCGAGCTCTTCGACGACTGGCTCTCGGTGCGGAGATGCTGGCTGGCCGCCGAACCGTTGCCAGATGTTCTACGAATCTCGTTGAGCGCCCTCTGTGGGGCGACGACAGATGTCGGCGGTGGCATGGCTCGCACTGTCGAATTAGATGAAGGTGCGGTTTGATGCACCAGAAATTTGAGGGTGCCACGATCGTCGCCCATCTGGAGGCAAAGCACGAGCAAGGCATCGTCGCTCACAACGGGGCCGGTAGCTTCTGATTGACCGATTTCGGTGCGGAAGAGCTGGAAGCTAGAGTGTTCCGCATCAAAGAGATGCAGCTTGGCGAGCATTCTCTCCTTGATCGCATCCGCCGAATCGACGCCGGAGATGTCGACGACAGAGAATCTTTCGTTGTCGTCGGTCACTTGAATGAGAACACGTTCAAAGAGGCTTGAATCTCTGCGATTTGACGTGGCTGATCGTTGACCACTCGCGACTCGAGGCGAGCCGATTGGACCCACGCTTTGTGTCTGCTGTCCAGGCGATTCGGGAGCCAGGTATGGCAGCTCTTCGATCTCGTCTTGCTGTGATGCGTTCGCGGGCGAACTTGCCGCACTCACATGTGCAAAAGCTGGAGCTGATGGGAGAGGTTGAGGTGTGACTAATGGTGCCGATGGCTCGCCGCTGGGAGTTGCAGGGGTACGACCGTCTGAGTCGGTGGTGGTGGATTGCGAAGGAGATGCTTGCGAGGTAACGGAGCCAGACGGCGAGGCGTGAGCCGTTTCGAAAGAATCTGCCGCTTCGGGTGTAAGTCCGATGGGGGGTGAGGCCTGACTGGCGGAGCGACGATTCTGCGAAGACGAGCCCGGCTGCTGCTCCGAGGTCGCAGTGCGTGTGTGATGGACCTTGCGTCCAAACCGCTCCCAAACGTTGCCAACGTGTTCGAAGACGCTGCTGGGTCTCCTAGGCTTGGCAGCTGCATCACCATCTTGAGCCCTGGACATCGAGATGCTGAGGTTGCCTGGAGACGAGGGGCGCAAAGAAGCGAAGAAGCCGCCGCCACTCGTTGCAGATTTGCTCGATAAGGTGGGCGACAACGGTGTAGCCGAAGGCGCAGTGGGGCTCGAACCGACGGCACTGACGGAAGAGCGTCGATTTGAAAGAGCATCATGGGAAGAGCCGGCGAGATGGGGGGCAGACTGCGCATCAGGAGGTAGCAAAGGCGATAGCTGCGCTTGGGCGACTAGTGAAGGCTCGATGGGTGCACCGGTGAAGGTAATAGTGGGGCTAGTGGCAGACGATGTGCGATTGGGCGTTTGGAAGTATAGCTTGCTGAAGTAGGAAGGCGACACTGAGCGCTCGGGACTAGTGGTGTGGCCATCGTGCGGCAGCACAGAGGCGATGTCGGTGCCTTGCGGTTCTCCGGGCGTTTGAGCGCCGAGAGCAGAAGTGGTAGCGACAGAGCCGGTGGAGCGTAGCCTGGACATGGGTGGCGCAGTGGTCGTGGTTGAGCTGTGAGGTCTCTGCTGGCTGTCGGTCGGCTTCGTGTTGGCGTCCCAGCCAAGGTACGAGTCAGTACTCGAGTGCAACTGCCAAGGTGGGCTCTGATCCGCAGAGGCCGGACTTGCGACGAATGAGCTTGGCTGGAAAGACATGCTGATGCCGTGCGCAAAGAAGGGCAAAAGGATCGGAGCGTGCGCATAGAACTACTGCCAAGGTAGGCAGCGACGAGGGCAGCTCTTACTCGACAAGTGTGAGAGAAAGAAGTGCGTATTCCTTGACTGTGCTTAGCATCGCTTTGAGTGTCGCAAACGAAGAGACAACGTTCGTGGAGCAGAGTGCCCAATGGGTCTTCAAGGCAACCAACGACGAATGATGTCGGGGCGCGAAGATTCAGCTAGGTCTGTGAGGGCCGAGCTTAGCAAGGGCCCATGTCACTACGGGAAAGAGGATGGTAAAGAGAACCGATCACCGCTGATTGCATGTGTCGGTGAGGAAGAGATGGCGTACCAGGTCGGGGCAGCTTGCAAAGCAGTGATAATGTCTTACAGAGCTCGCTCGAGAAACAAATAGTCAAGCTGATCCCGAGCCGGGTATTGCCAGAGACGTCCGGAAAGACGGAAAAGCTGAAGGAGCTAGATTGCGACAAGGAAAGTGAGCAGAGAACGTGTTGAGGGTCGAATCGAAATGACCACTTCGAAGGTATGCGGCTAAGACCACGAAGGCGCTGTTGCAGATCAGTAGGGATTGTTGTCCGCACAGGCCGCGAGGGTCGCAATGGCGTTTGTGCGAACGTAGGAGGCGATCGCTTCTGATCTGCTGGCAGGTCGGCTCAGGCAGCCGTCGCAGGCTGGGATCGCAGACGAGCCTCGAAGCGGGAGAAGGACGGGAGAAGGACGGGAGATGGAGCTGAAGGGCGAGTGTTGATGAATGGAAGAAGTGTGCAGAGTGTGCTACCATCAATCGACGATGATCCTGTGGATGCTGCTGCTGCCGCCGCCTTCTGCAGTGCTACGGTCCCACAATTGACTGACGGAATGACCGACTGACTGAGTGACACGGCTAAGCTCGCGCAACTGCTCTTGCACACGCTTTCCTTGCTACAGTAAATATTGGGCGGCGCAAGCGCCGTTGCACGATAAATTAAAATAATAAATGGTTTAATCGCGGTAAGCAGGGTCATATTCATAGAAAAAGGCTCCGTTTCCGGCGGACTTCTCTTCACAATCACATCTCCTTGGTGCTGCTATCTTCTTCTGTCAATCGACATGATCTCGTCGTTGTCGCAATCACATGGTGTTCGGTGGTGCAATGGGTATCTGACTTTATATCGTGTACGTAAAGGGGTGTGTGTGGGGTTGTGCGTTCGTGCGTGTGTGCGTGCAATCCTATCTAAGGCTGTGGAGCATCGTCATGCGTTTCTGAGCGCGCAGGTCGACTTGTTTCTGTCCTGCTCTGACCAGCTTGCGCGACACCTTGTCCGCATGGCGCTCGCATAGACGTTGACCGCCTACGACGTAGTAGTCCGCCAGCGGCTCCGCACACGCGCCTCTCTTGCTACTACTGTATTGACAGCAGAAACACGTTGGATGGAAGCGATCGCCTGCGTCCGTCTGACGGCAGTCTCCCTCGATGCCGGTCTCGCACTCGCGGCAGAGACTGCCGTTCAGCCGGTGGTAGTGGCGAGAACAGTACGGCTGGTTGTTGAACACGTAGAAGCTGCCATCAGTGAATGGCGCCTCGCACGCCGCGCACGAGAAGCAGCTTCGATGAAACACGCCGCGAAGTGCACCGTCCGACGACTTGACGGCGCCTTTCTCAACGATGAGGTTGCACTTGCGACATTTCGGCAGGTACAGCTCCTTCCAATCGCGCGCACACAGCAACTTGCCGTCGCGCTCCACAAATGGCGTTCGACTCGATGAGAGCGAGCAGTCGCACACGCAGCACCGTTTCGCCGCGCGTTCCCGCTTCTTCTTCTCCTTGAACCGCAACACCTGCAGCTGCCTCGTACGTTCTCTATCTCGCATTCGTTCCAGCTCCAGCTCCAGTAGACGCTCCCGATCGCTTCTCTCGCCGGAGGGTGCAGCAGCTCTTGGACGTTGAGACGCGTCAGCAGCTACGGTACCCTTCTGCCCAAGCCTCTGTGGCGAATCGACCAGCGTTCGCTTCAACGGCTCAGGACTCGCTGTCAAGTCCTTCATCATCTCCTCGATGCTACTCAGGTCCACATGCCCCCGTTCGCGAGGCAGCTTTGATGCCGTAGGACTCGGCGAGGCTCTTATACTCGTGCCACTGCCTTTCGCTGAGGGGCCTGATTGCTCAAACGATTCTGCATCCGGCGATGTCCGAGATTCTGCCAATCGAGGTTTTGATGTCGTCGGCGAAACAGCCTTCACGGTTCTAACTGCGCTAGGCGAGGCTCCCACCGAAGCTGACCTCGACAGGTCTTCGGTCAAGATGCTTTGCTGGACCAGGCTCGAGGTCGTTGCTGCTCTGGGGATGGGCGAAGTCATGGTGTGTTTTACCTTGGCTGCCCTCTGCTCTTCGATCATCTTTCGTCGCGCTACCGCGTCTGCTTGCGTGTCGCTCGCTGATCGTTGCACTGAGGGTGGTTGCAGCGGCGGCGAAATCTCCCCCTGAGCGGGGGAACAGGATGCCTTTGAAGGCGATACCTTGAACGCCGCCTGCATGCCCACGACCCTGACCGCATGTGCTTTGGGAGTCGCATCGTCAGGATCCCCTCCACGACGTGCGTCGGTGTGTGTGGCCTTTGCGAAGACGACCGGGCTCATGGGCCTCGAGTCGTTGACCAAGGAATCGTATCGATCAAAGAACGGCGACCGTGGCGTAGTCAGAGCAGACGACGTTGCGCTTGAAGACACGCTCGAATCACTCGAGGATGCCGGAAGCTGAATTGTCAACAAAGGCGGCCGGACTGCGCTCGACGGCTGGCAGGTGTGGTTGGCGAGCTCTTCAAAATCGAGCTGCTCTCCGCAGTCGGCACATTTGGCCTTCGGCAGATCAGGTTCTAGGACCGTGGCACGCACGATTTTGAATGACGCATCGGCCGATACGTCGTCCAGCAGTGCACCGGCAGGAGGGTGTGATGGATTCGCTGTAACGTCAGTCGGATCGACCGTTGGTAAGGTGGCAGGCTCTTCGTAATCATCGTCGTAGATGGTGGTTCGATCCTCCAACCTGATCTGTGGGATTTGAGCCCTTGCGTTGGGCCTGGCCGTCTGAACGGAGTTTGATTGCTCGCTGAGGGAATAGTTGCTGTCGCCGCTGCGTTCGTATGCGAGACGAGCTGTCGAATCGGTCGCGGAAGAATCGAGACCATCAGATCGCCACGCTGCGGCTGAGGTGGCATCTTTGCGCGAATCTACAGCAGCGTCATCTCCTGCTGCCCTCGCCTGGTGATTGTGGGCGGCTTGAGCGTATCTCACCTCGTGACGAGCCTGCTGAGGGTAGCGAGGTATATCGGCAGCCGCCGTGTGATGCGAAGACGACGTGGATCTCGACGTCGTCGCAGGAAGTGCATTCAGCTGAGTGGGTGGACTATGATGATAGCTATGGTTGGTGTTGCCGTGGAACGGCGCATGTGCGCGTCTGTCTTGGTTGCGGCGATACGACGCGTCTGTCGATGAATGGTTGGCCTGGTGGTGATGATGACGATGGTCGTTTCCACTCTGCTGGGGATAGTTGTGCTGCTGCTGGTACATATCTTGCATGAACCTGCGAGCTCCGAAGCCAGCCATATTGTCAGACCCCATTGCGCCGGGATGGACGGCTACGGATGGGGTGTGTTGGTAGCTGCCCATTGCGATCATACCGTCTCCATCGAAATGAGCGTGTCTCGACGAGTGATAGCTGCTCGGCGCAAGTCGAAAGAATTGGCGTGAGGAAAGACGTGGTATAAAGCGTGTTTGCAAGATTGCGTCGACGGACAGCACAGATGGCGGAGGGAGTGTGCAATGCAAGGATCACCGGTTCATGAATGGGGTTGGAACGGCCACCGATGCGCTAAAGAGAGCGCTCAGACCGCCATGGAAGCTCCGAGGACCCTATGTGATGCCGTTGAGAGATGAAACAGCTCCGCCGAAAGCGATCCTAGCGCTGAAGGCGAGTCAGTAATTGTCGCCTCTGATCCTGCGTGCGATGAGGCGGTCCAAGCGTTTCCGGTGCAGATGAAGCCCTTCTGGGAGATGATGGGCTTTGTAGGCCGAAGAGGTCGAAGTGTCGTGGGCGGGTAAAGTAGATGAGCGGTCGAAGGATGAGGTGGTGAAGGTCGTCCGAGAATGAATACGTTCCAGATCGAGCTGGCAACAGCAACGTGGTCGTTGAAGCCAGATGGGCGGAACGACGCTTGCAGCCGATTCAGAGTCGATGGCAGCCTGAATCGTCGGAGGACATCCCGAATCGCGGCGAGTTTGACTGTGGCGCCTTGCATCGGGTTGACACGCTATCAAGACGGGATGACCGAAGCAAACAAAAGACGAGGGTGCGGCGTTTTCCTCAACACTCCGCTTCTGCAACCCCAGCCAGCGTCTTAACGCATGTAACGCGCGCTTGTGCAAACGAACCAGAGTCAGGGCATGCCGCTTCGGCAGTCGACATGCAGGTTGCAAGACCGGCAGACAGGGGCTTTGTCAAAACGAGTCAAGATCGGCGCAGGACAGCCATGGCCGGAACAACAATGGAATGTCACTTCTTGAATAGACTTGGCTGCAGCTCGAGAGGCGCAGCAGCATGCAAGAGGAGCATGCAGCACACCTTGATTTTTGCAGAGCCGAGCCGGAATTCCGGACGCAAGGAGGGTGGCGTACAGGCTGCCCTCACCAGCGGGGCAGAGCAGGAGGAGGAAAGTGCTTGGCGCACACGACGTTGTCGCAACTGCACGGTTCCAGCAACATCAGCCCCCCATCGGCCAATTCTTGAAAGCCATGAGCATGCCTGGACAGCGTGGTCGCCTGCGTGCACCACCTTGCCGACACTCCGACGCCTCGGCCACAGCAAGAGAATTCGCCAGCATGCAGGTCGGGCCGTCCCACACCTGGCCGGCCACGCGACACGCGGCAAGCGCTGGAATTGTCTCATGGAAAATCTCTGGAAATTTCTGGCTTTGTTTGTGTGCAGCTGTCATTGGAGGACTCACAAATCCAGGAGATTTCCTGTGTAATATACACATTTTGGCTGCTTGGATCGCGAGGAGGCGCTGATGGTAGCCAGCGCTTCACTATGGTCGTGGCGCAGAGAGCGACAGGTTCTCGCGATCGTACAGAGAAAGCTCAGGAGCCATCGACGGCTGTCGCTGTTACAATCTGCACAGCTTGTTACCCTCATCTTGAAAACATGCGCGATTCGCAATGCCAAGGAAGCTTCTCGGTGTCGGAGATCGTCACAAGAAAATCTGCATTCTGCAGCGGACGCGATGATGTCGTGCACAATTCATTCCTCTTGCAGGAACTGCCAAAGTCCAATTCATCGAGACATCGAGATCTGTCAGCCCGATCACTGAAACCATTGTACTCTACATACATCATCGATACTTCACAGGTGGCCACGACCCTCCTCTTCGAGCGCCTTTCGTACGGCGTCGATCACCTTGGAGTGATGCTCTCTGCTTGAAGCTACTACTCCGCGGTTCTCGCGAAGCGTTCGCCCAACGCCAAAGTTGAGGTCCTTGCCTCGAATGTCAGAAACCCTACCTCCAGCTTCTTCGACGAGCAGAGATCCAGCGGCGTGGTCCCAGATCTTTTCCTGGTAGCTGCCATCGCCGACGGGCAGACGCAGGTAGACGTCGCCATCACCTCGGGCGATGCTGGCGTACTTGGCTTGGCTGTCCATCCTGACCGAGGGGGCGGTGATGCCGAGCAGCTCCGCGATCCTAGCGTTGGTACCGTGCGAGGAGTGCCCCGCCTCGACCGACTCGCAGAATGAAGCCTCCGATAGCGAGCTGATCTGTCGCATCGAGATCTTCTCCTCCTTTCCACCCTGAATGGGCCGCTGGAAGGCGCCTTGGCCACGCACCGCGATGAACAGGGTGCCGAGATCCTTTCTCCGGTCACCCGCCCCGAATTCGCCTTCTTTGGGCTTGGCAGACGAGGCATCGTGTGGCAGGTTGGGGCAGCCCATGACACCCACCTGGACGAGACCGTCGACCATGAAGGCGAGGCACACAGCATATTGACCTCCTCGCAGAAAGCCCTTGGTGCCGTCGATTGGATCCAGGGCCCAGCATCTGCCCTTGGGACCACCCTCTGCGCTGCCTCTGTCGATAGCTGCGAGGAGCTCGTTCTGGGACAGCTCGCGTTCGCCCCATGCTTGTGTGCTGGCCTTGGACTCGGCCTCAGCTACAGCCGGGCACTCTTGTGCGGGGTTCTTTAGCGCTTCGTTAGCGAGGCCAAAGATCTGTGTGCGAAGCGCCTCAGACTCTGGCTTTTGAAGATCCTTCGAGTCCTCTTCTCCCACAATGGGATCCTCTGGGAAGTGTGATCCGAGGATGGCGTTGACGACCGCCTGTGCCGAGTAGTCGCCGACCGTTACAGGCGACTTGTCCTTCTTGGTGACGGTGTCTGCTGTAACGAGGTTGCGAAAGACCTTGTCTGTCAGGGAGCAAGCTCGCTCAACTGCCGAAATGGCCACCGCTCGCTCCAAGGCGTATTGTGCTGACGAGGACGAAGACATGTTGATGTATCGTTGTGGATTTGTATGCTTGAAGGTGTGTGGAAGAGATCGAGTGATTCGTCCAGTGATGGAAGAGAAGATCGACATGCACGATTTTCTAGCTCACCTTGATCGTTGAGAAGGGAGCCTGTTCCAATGGGCGATCAACGAACTTGTTGACGCAACCTGCAGGTGATGATCAATGCTCAGACGCCATCTCGCCGCCCAAGTCCGTCACGCCGGATCTCGCTTACTTTTTCTTCTTCGCAATTCTTCCGAACGGTGGCACGAGCCGATTCGACAGCCACACAAAAAAATGGTATAACAATGAAAATTGTCAAAGTCGAAAAGGGCTAACATATCAGAGACAAAAAACCTCGATCGGGCAAGAACAAGATCGGGAGATTGGATCAGGATGTGTCGGCGAGCCTGCTACGTGGGCGAATCTGGCTCCAAGGTCTGCACCAGACTTGCGAGCGACATTTTGAACTTGGCTACCTGCTCGCGGAGAGCTGCCAGCTCTGCTCACTCAAAAACGATCCGCTGAGGATGGTGTGTCCGGCGGTATTCGGCAGGACAATTGTGAGCATACTGGACCTCCGTGGTTACTCTTGTGTCTTCCGCCGGACGGAGTTGGTTTGTGCGGTATCAATGCTTTGCGCGCGGATCGTCCTCCACAGGCCGCGTCATCAACAGCTCTCGCAACGTGGAGGACAAAGCCACGATGCAGGGAGAAGCGCTTCGCGGACACGCGCAGGAGCGACCAAGGTTTCCGCTGCGATAAGAATGCAAAAAGAGTGCCACAAGATCGACGTGGAGCTTCTTCGAACAAGGCACGAGGCTGTGCTTGTTTCTCAGTATCGTCATTCATCTAACTCGGAGCAGATGGATCCGAAGCAGAGGCTGCTACGTGGAGGATCGTGTAGCAAAGCGTCGGAGCTCGAAACTGTCGGTCAGCAGGAAGGGGCTACAGTTGGACAGCTGATCGACCTGGCTGGACTGGCTAGGAGGAGGATCCAAGTCGAGTCACGTCGGATGCCGTGCTCCACGTCTCGGCCCTGTCTCGCAAAGAAAATAAAATGCAAGCGAGGCGCGCACCTAGGAGTGGACGCCGTGGGTGAAAGGTTCGGCGACGTTGTTAATCTGATAAGGGCTTGCTCATGCCTGTTGCTGTCGTGCTGAGCTGACGCTCTCCACTCGCTCGCTTCCGCGGGAAGCGTGACGGTATCGCGTAGAGCGGACACTGGCAAGCGAGGAGGCCTGCCGCGTGAGAAGCAAGGAATCAAGCATGGCGCCCTTATGAAGCTTCTACCTCACAACCTCTTCATCCGTTCCAGCGGAATACTGCAACAAACACGGGAATTGGATTGTCGGATCTCAGGCGTCCGAACCAGATTTGCTTGCTCCAATAGTGGGAAAGCGACAATCGAAGAGAGTGTGGCCAGAATGAAAGCGGGAGCGAGGCACCGAAGCAGGCATGTTCGGAAAGCGGCATTGGCTGTCGCTCGAGTCACCAACCAAGGCAGAACAAAGACATAATTCTCAACGAGACAACAAGCAATATTCGACAGGCTAACTGCCGTTGTGCTTCTCCACACTTTCCACCGAGTTGGATCACGTATATGTGCTGGTACACTTCCACGGAGCAAGAAATTCGCGTTTATCGGCAACCTCAGGGTTTGACGGGCGCGGCGTGAACTGCACAACTGCACAAGCTTCGACGAGGGAAGGCCGTGGAAGCGAAAGAAAAAATTTCCAAGCTGACTGTGTTTGGGGCATTTTCAGGAAATTTTAGGTCCACGGACTTGGCTAATGACCGAAAATTGAACCCTGTATGCATGGGATGTCGTCGTGGTCAGTTGGTAAGCTACCTCTTCTCCGCTTGCGAGGCTGCTCGACTTTCCATTGCGTACGATCGGCTGGCATGTGAGCGAACCTGCCGAAGAAACCTTCAATGAAACACCGAGTCAGCAATCTCTGACTATATGATAAAAGAGAGGCGGTCCATGGAGAACAAAAAGTCGGTGGCGGTCAGTGGGGTCTACGATCGCGGGCTTTCGGATGACTAGGATAAGTTAGGAGACGCGCGCGCGTTGCATAGCCAGGCGAAGACCCTGCAGACCCTGGAGGCCAATTTTATAATTAAAGATAAAATTTATTTCTTAAACAGCCTCCACCCAGCTGCACTGCTGTGTGCTGTGGCGCCGTCTTCAATATTCTTGCGCATCGGAAAATTCACACTTTACGATAAAATGTGCTCTCGGAAATATCGCCCGCCACCCGACTCTGATCCCTTGAGGTCCCACCAACCCCGGAAAGTCCCCAAGTGTGACATCTCTACTTTAGCGTCTCTCTCGCTCTCGGATCTTGTCTTTCTCCCACCATCACCATCCATCTACATCGACATCATCACTCGCTAGCGAAACCATTTCACTACCAACCACCACCATACACCGCTTCGTGATCACGCCCACCCGCACTTCGACTTCCCACCGTCACCGTCACCGTCACCGTCACCCTCTTCCTCACCGCTCACCAGCCACCACACTGTTTTCACCGCCAGTCGACCAGTCGTCTGCAGAGATCAGCGCACCCATGCCCGCATTCTCTCTTCCTTCCGCTGGCGCCATCCTCTACGGCTCGCCACCTTCCACCGACAGCTACACCAAGTCGACCGACTCCAACCCTTCGGACCGCATTGACGAGCTTCAAAAGTTCCTCCTCGGCAGCGACTGGTCCTCTCTCTCCTCACTTAGTCCTCCCACCGCATCCATACATTCCGTCGCCGAGGATTCAACACCCTGGCCTTCATCCCAGGCCAACGTACCTATCATCTCTTGCTCGGTAGAGACCGTCAAGCCCGCCATGCAGAGCGTATTCGCGGCCTCGAACGACACTGCTTCGCCCGCCGCCATCTCTGAGCCCAACGAGGCATTGCCCATCATCTCATCTGAGCACGCCTTTACCGCCACCGTGCCAGCATCGATTCCTGCAGCCGCTATGGCCACAACTGCATACCCTTCCCCTATGACACCTCCTCACCGTCACTCCTTCGACACCTGCTACAGCGACTCAGTCGGCTCGCCAGACTCGGAGCGCGACTTCCTCACATCGCCTTCCATGTTCGACGACAACGACTTTGAGTTCGAAGGAGATGCGCTCGCCAACATCCCTCTCTTCCCGGATCAGTCCTTCGAGGATTCGGCAGAGGCTCCCGCCGAAGATCCCGTTTCCTCCTTCGTATCCAACCTCGAGAATGTCAAACTCGAGGCCGGCGAGCAAGACAACTCGGGTCTGACCGAGACCGACCTCGACGCCAGCCAGTCCACCGTCATGGCCCCCCACAGTCAGGTCAAGGTCGAAGAGGACGTCCACAACATATCCTCCACCCTCGACGACGCCTTCAAGACCGAAGCCGAAGCTTTCAAACTCGAGCCCAAGTGCGAAGACGAGCTCGACATGTGGTCGGCAGAGGACCTCAAGCCCTACTTCAACGACGAGGAGGCCAAGGCTGCTGTGCTCAGCACTCTCGCTCATGCTTTTGGACACGACTTTGCCGAGCCCATCAAGGTGTCTTCCAGCCAGGAAGAGGTGCAAAAGCCTTCGCACGTCGGCCCTATCCGCGCCACTCGCACCAACCGAGAACGTCGCTCCTCGCCGACCAAAGCCACCGCCACCATCTCTTCGTCTGCAAGCCCCGCTCCGATCATCGACCCAGTCACCAAGGCCAAGCGCTGGCAGTGTCTCGAGTGTGGCAAGTGGTTCGATCGCGCCTACAACCTCAAGACGCACCGCTACACCCACGAGGACCCTGACACTCGTGCTCGTCCCTTCCCTTGCCCCGACGCCGAGTGTCAGAAGCAGTTCGCTCGAAAGCACGACATGCAGCGTCACTTTGAGAACGTCCATCGTGGCGAATCGAGAAGAGCCAAAGGCGGCTCCGTCAAACGGAGCCGCACCGACGACCTTGGTTAAGCCAAGGCGTCCGGTCGACCCATCTATTTTGAATGTCTTTGTCTGCAACAGTAAGTTTCCTCTGCCACGGTGATACGATTCTCTCGCCGTTTGCGCAGTCCGCATGCCATCGAGGGTATCGTCTTTTTTTCGGCACAAGATCCTTACCCTCCTCCTTCTCGTCTTGCTTCTGCTCCCCAGCCACTCAACCTTTGCACTCCTGAACAGATCGCTGTCTTTGCTCCCGCGGGACGCTCACCGTCACGCCGGACCTCGATGCGACTGTCGAATTCCCAAACGCCTCGAGCGGGCCGCCGCTCTTCCAGCTCTTCGCCTCTTTTCCGCAAGGCTGGAGCTCAAGAAGTCGGCTCTTTGAGCGCACATTCGCACTCTTACAGCCACCGCTCCCACAGCATCACGACGAGGTCGCTCGATTCTCCACCCCGTTCGGGCGGCGTCAACTGCGGCCCACGTCTGCCGTCGACCTCTCATAGATGCTCGAAACGCTACTGCAGCCATTGCCTTGAGCAACGCTTTCTCGCCTGCAACGAGCAACCGATATCAACGGAGACCTCGTTCGCTCCCGTGGAAAGCTTCTGGCTGCCACATCAGCAACGTTTTTTTGATGATCTTCGTTCTGAGCTCCCTTGCTCGTGCTCAAACCAAGCAACGACAAGGCTTCTCTCTCTGCCTCGCGATCGGCTCGGCTCCAGTAGCGTTTTCCTGGCCCGCTCTCGTCTTCTTGCGTAACTCATACTCTGGGTGATCTGAAGGGTCATTAGGAGTAGTCCTCCTCGCAACACCCTGTTCTTCGCCACGGTTGAGTTACGCTGTAGCGTGGTTCTCGTCCGTAAAGGACGTTGACCTGCCACGCTCGACTGCTTCTTTTTCCGCTCTGTCCCTTGTCTGTGCTCTTGTCCGAGGTCTAGTTGTCTTTCTGCGCTCGCCTTTCCGCGTGCATGCCATTCTGCGTGCGAGTAGAAGAGACTCTACGTCCCCAGTCAAGAGCTCATGTGTCTACTGTACCACAATCGCAAGTAAAACCCACAAAAAAATTTCTTCTTCGACGGTGCTTACGAATGGTCGCCTGTACTACTGTCGATCGTTTGCTAGCACACTTCTCTCTCGTCTCGTCCATCACAGTCTCGATGATGTTTCTTTCACGATAGCTTCATTCGCGAAATTCCAGGTTCAGGTTCAGTCACAAGCTTTGATTGTGTTTTCTGTCTGTGCGGCGATTGAAAGTGTCATTGCGGTTTGTGCCGTCACGGCAGCTCAAGTGGGCTGCATGTGTCGCCGCCTGGAGTTGCAGTGTCCCGCCTCTCGCCGGCGGTATGTGCTTGACAGCAATCAGCTCTTCTGCAGCGCGAACAGTGGATCTCAAACATTGGGAGGGAAGAGGGAGCGGCTCTCAGGATGTGTTTGGTTGCGCTGATAAGGTGTCTAATTTACGCAACCTTGTGCTGCTGTCATTGACGGCTGTGGATAGGGCATGGCAGTCGTGGGAGGGGCGGTCATCGGTCTTTTTCGGCGGTCGGTAATGGGTTTATTTGCCGGCTCAACTTTTTTTTTTGGCCGCCACGGGAGAGGGCCGAAATCGGGGGCGGTGATGACAGATAGAGGTGCGGATTATTGGATCTTTCCGCATCGACGTGGGAGCAGCTCCCTCTCTCTCTCCACCTTGAACGCACGGAAAATGAAGTTTTGTGACGTCGGGTTTTTTCTTTCTTCGTTCGACCCTTGATTTTTTTTGGTACCGTTGTGTGACCCTTGGATGTTTGCCTTGCTGCTTGTTGACTATCACCTAATGTACGGCGTGCAGTTCTCGATCATCATTGGCAGAGACGGAAACGGAGACAAAGGAGCAACCATCAACCTATACTTGATACAAAGCCAGGAGTTGGCGCGGAAGAAACCAGGACTCTATCTGCTCATCGCGAAGACTCTTACCGTTCGACGAGGACCTCGGACACCTGTACTATCTGGATCGCTCAACCAGTGTACATCGATCTCTCACCCACCCCTACCCTCATACCTGGCTCGACTAGAAACGCACACGATTGATCATGTCTGCATCAATATCATCGCCGTCGAAACGGCCACCACCACCACCTCCAACCTCCAAACCCAAAAAGTACCCCTTCTACCTCGGCGGTACCGCAGCATCAATAGCGGCACTCTTTACACATCCGCTCGATCTCACCAAGACCCGCATGCAGACCGCCTCCGCTCGACAAAACATGTTTTCGCTCATGCTCAAGACTCTACGCGAAGAAGGACCTCGGGGGCTGTACGTCGGACTCACCGCGTCGTTGCTGCGACAGATGACGTACAGCGTCACACGGTTCGGCGCGTACGATAAACTCAAGGAGATGACGTTGAAGCAGAATGCGGATGGAAAGGCGTTGGGGCCGTTGCAGATGGCGTTGTGTGCGTCGGCGGCGGGGGCAGCTGGTGGTTTGGCGGGCAACCCAGCGGATATTTTGCTCGTTAGGATGACGAGTGATGTCAACAAGCCAGCGGCGGAAAGGTACAATTACCCGAACGCCATCACTGGACTCGTGAGGATGACGAGGGACGAAGGAATCGGCTCGCTCTTCCGTGGCCTGGGTCCGAATACAGTGAGAGCCGTTCTCATGAACGCTTCCCAACTAGCAACCTACGACGTCTTCAAGAACATCCTCCTCGGCACCGGCTACTTTTCCGAAGGAACCCCCCTCCACTTCAGCGCGAGCTTCATGGCCGGAACCGTCGCCACCACTGTATGCAGTCCAGCGGACGTCATCAAGAGCAGAGTCATGAACGCCGCCGGCTCCGGAGACGGCATCCTGAAGACGTTGAAGGGCGATTTGCGCAAGGAAGGCGTCGGCTTCCTCTTCAGAGGTTGGACTCCGGCTTGGATGAGGTTGAGCCCCAATACGATCATCGTATTTGTGGTGTTGGAGAAGCTGAGGTTGTTGGTGGATTACACGAGGGAGAAGAAGGAGCAGGCGATTGCCGAGGTTCAATCCAAGGCGTGATGGGAGGGAGGGGCGAGGAGAGGGTTAGAATGTACAGTTCGTCAAATTGACATGGATGGCTGCTTCGTATAGACGATCTCTGGATCACTCATCACATTCGCAATGCACATAGACCATGTTACATCACATTTTCATCGCAGCAGCAACGCTCGTGTGTTCATTGCGTCGAGGAAGACAAGTGACAGCCGAGTGAAGACAGGCCTTGAGTGAAGCAAGCAAAGTGGAGATCGATCGGGGAATCGTTGCGCCCCGATGCAGCTGCGGAAAAAATTGGCCCGACATTCTCCACTTTGACATGCAATCACAATCCTTCGTCATTTGGACGACTTCTCTCTACCATCACCCCAAAGTCGTTCGTCTACATACAATCATGTCTGGTCAAGGATCATATCTGTGAGTCATCAAGTCGACACGGGCTAGCATAGGGACGATGGAGACACCGACGAACGTAAATAAGGGCGAGAACGGCCTTCGAAATCACGGGGAAGTGAAGCAGACGGTGCAGCGTTCCTGCGGCTGACGGGCGGGATCGATCGACAGCGTGGACCATGAAGCGAGATCTGGCCCTGATGGAACTACTCCTCTACGACGCCAGGCCAAAAAGCTGCGACACCTCGGGGCCTCACATCCTTCTCTCATCGACTGAACATCAACATGGCGCTACACCGACACCGTCGCTCGTACCTCCTCATCCCACCCGCCAATCGAGCCATGGCAACTGACACCAATCATCCTCAACCATCCTTCTCTCTCCTCGCCATACCCTGCATTTATGACATGACCACCAGCTCGGCACAAAAGGGCTTCCTCTCCTCCCCCTCCGGAGGTCGTCCCGCGCCCAAGCAAAACTTCCTCATCAGGTTCATCAACACCCAGATCCTCGCACCCGAACACCGTCCAGGAAACCTCTCCATCGTTTGGGGTCTCGGCGTCTTCACAGCAGGCATCATCGTCGCCCGCAAGTTCGGCGACCTCATCACCCCTGTCTTCTGAACACCATTTGCAATTTCATACTCTCACTTCTTTCCATCAAATCACACAAATGGACTCGTGATCCTTGGCGTAAGTCTGGGACCGTTGCAGATCAGGTCATCGGCTGCAACGCACGCCGCTATCCCAGGATTTCAGCTGGACGCGAGACCAGATGTACACTGAAGGTCTGATCGACACATCACTGAAACGACGGATCTGCACAGACTGCAATTGAAACAGTCATTTGTGTTTCGGAACAAGATTCAAATGCGAATGCGACAAAAGACGACAGAACATACTTGACAGTGATACCAGACGAGAACGCAGCGGAAACCGGTCAAAAGAAAGCGCCGAAGGGAACAGAAGCTTTTTCGTCCTTTCACTTGCGGCCTCCATTCTTGCTCTTCTTCTTGTGCGACGCCTTCTTACCGCCATTGCCGCCACCACTACCACCGCCACCACCTGGCAGCTGATTGTCCTTCTTGAGTACATCATAGAGAGACTGCTTTGCCGAGTCAGCATGAGCATGTCCGTGCTCGTGCACCTCATGGGTGACGATGTCGATCTCTTTGGCCTGCGGATGCTGCGTACCGTCTTCCGAGGCGCCCACCACGACTGTGGCGTGGGGACGCTCCTCTGTGCCGTTTCCACCGGCCTGATCGGGCGTGGGTCGGTCGGTCTGCGCTTCATCGGTCGAGTGCTGCTTGTTGGACTGTTCACCATCTTTGTGCTTATTTTCGCCAGTCGAAGCACCAGAGACCTTGCTCTTTGGAGAGTGAGGTCCTTCGATGTCCACGTTGGTCGCCTCTTGCGTCTTGTTTGAGGCAACTTTCACAGCATCGGTGGCCATGTCGGACACCTTCTTGGCCATCTGGCGGACCTGAGATTTGAGCTTGGACGATTCGGCCCGTCCGGTGCCACTGCCTTGGCTGAAGACAGAGGGATAAGGCAGCTGCAGCTGATGAGGAAGGGCGAGATTGAACACCACCGTTGTCGTGCGGGCCAAGTCTTCGACGAGTCTCAAAGGTCCGTGTGTCACGCGAGAGACAACATGAGCGCCATGCTGGCGAACATGTTCGGCAGTTTGGACGCCGGCGTCGAATCCCTTGACGAGGCTGGGAGGAAGACGGGGCTGAATCTTGCGCTGGAAGGCCTCATTGGCCTGCCGGGCGTAGCGGTACTCCACCAACTCGACCTTGGAATGGAGCCAGAAAGCCACGTTGCTGGCCCAGAGGAAGACGAGGGTCAGCAGCGGCACTAGCAGAGAGCCGTACAGGGTGCGTACAACGGGCACGCTTCGGATCACCTGCTCCAATGGCCATTCGTCCCTCCACTGGGTGCAGTAGAGTGTCTTTTTGGCACCTTCCTCGGCGTTGAAATTGAGCACCACTTTCGTAGGCACTGCGAAAGAGAAGAGCGGGAAGAAGAAGGGGCGAACGTAGCGGGTGGCCTTGACGATAGCAGTCGAGCTTGCAGCGTCCCAACGAATGTCTCTATCGTCAATGTCTGCTGCGGAGCCAAAGTCGAGGACGTTGAGCAAGTATGCGGTATGCTTGATCTGGCTGGCGCCCTCGATCTTGAGCCCTCTGCCTTGGTATGTGGAGCTCCCGGCAAAGTAGGCATTGATGGTCGAGTTGAACTTGACCGGGTCTCTGGAGAGCAGGTCTCGAACGACATCTATAGAAGGAAAGGAGGACAAAAGGTTAAAGCAATCGTTGAGCGATGCATGTTCCGCTGTGAGCTCAGACTTATGAAGAACACTCACGTTGGATATCTTGGTGGGCTTTGGAGGCGTTCATGATGGCAGAGACTACTTTGTTCGATGAAGACAAAGTGACCAAATGCAAGGAGAATGCGACTCCAACCGGACGACGTGATGGAACAGAGTGAAGCCAGTACCGTCGGTGCAGATTCGACTATCCTTGGAGAACGAACCTCTGGAGCAGAGCTGGTTTGACTTGACGAGAATCTTCGGCAGAGCAACACTGGAACAGCCAACAGAGGTGTTGGTTCGGATAGCTCTGCAGCGGGCGCCTCACAGCGTGCACGCGCCAAGCACCTCGAGGTCAACCTTGACGTGACAACGCAGACGTCACACCATCTTCTTCAAAGTCACAATCGAGAAGCTCAGCCTGCGTGGGAAGCGGTGCAGTGTGTGACGCGCTGAGTGATGCGGCCGTGCATTTCACGGGCATTACTTCCGAGCCTCACTTTCAAAAGCTAGGGTGACCCGAGAGTGTTGCTCTCGGGCTGATTTGCAAGAAAAAATCCAGCTCTCGCCGTTGCTTGGCCACTACCTCGTGTGATCAGACAGTGAAGGTGGCTGCGAAGACGTTGTATTGGAATCGCAGCGATGGTTGAAAGCTAGGCAAGGTCATCAACATCGTCTAGACCGGCATGCACAATGGCCGACGAAGGGGGTATCTCATAGCCCTGGTGGATGCTCTCAATTCGTTCCTCTTTCCCGGCGGCAGCCTCGCGTGGTCTTCGCAGCTGCTTCTCGCCCTCGCTTCCTTCGAAGATAGACTCGCTCCTCAAGACGCCCTCTTTCCAATCCGCGTAGCTTGTCTCTGTGTCTCCATCAGCCCGATAATCTCCGCCCGAATCGGCGCCTCCATCAAGTTCCGTATCCTGAAGAATGCCACCCATCGCACGTTGTCTCGCCCAGAGATCCTCAGCCGCATCCAAGCTTCGGCACTTTGCGATGTTGCGCAGCATCTGCATCTCGCGCCGTCGGTGAAGTTGTCTGCGGAGGCTTTGTGTCAAGAATGTCTCGAGTGTCTGCAAGGACCAGTCTGTGGGCACGAGCTCGAGCACCTCGCGGTTGTCGAGGTGAAGGGCTTGCGTGTTGAGCAGATGTGCCGTGGCGACGCGGAACTTCTCTTCGGCACCGTTGAGCATGTAGACCGACAGAAGCTGCTTGAGCAGCTCCTGCTTGCGTTGTTCCGCGGTGATCCCACGTTGCGCTGTCGCCTTGGCATGTGCCTTGACGCGCTGTGCGTACGTGCGGCTCAGCGTGGCTGCGAAAGGCTGCAGCGTCGGATGATCTTCGGCGATCGAGGCGGCCAGCATCGGCGAGAGCACTTCGCCATTTTGCGAGCAGTATGCCTCGGCGCTGTTGGCGTCTCTGAGCTCGATTGCTAGCAACGAGAGTGCGTCCGAATCGCGACCGAGCTTGCCGAGGATGATGGCTTTCTCGTAAGCTAGCGAGTCTAGCGGCGCGACTGTGGCGAGCAGTGCCTCAAAGTCAAGCACGGTCGAGCCTTGCAATAGCATCGCCAGCTTGAGGCGGTCTGCTTCTCTTGGCCGGCCGCCGATGGCCAGCGCAAGATGTGCAAAGAACGACTCCGCATACGACCCTTGTGCGTAGTCTCGTGTCACGGCGTCCATCTTGTCGCGGTATACATCATCCGTGAGGTGTTGCGCCACACGTTTGAGCAGCGCTGCTGCTAGCTCGCGATGCATCTGCTCGTCCTGCACCTTGACCGTCGATAGCGCCACCGCCTCGAGGTACTTTGTTGCCGCATCGTCGTCGATTCCGCGCAGTTCTTCGATGGTCGCTTTCTGCGCTGAGATTGACTCGAGCTCTTGTGCCTTGCTCCGCGTCGCCGCCTTCTGCGATGTGTCGTCCTCGGGCCTCGCAGTGTGTTTTGTGAGGATTTTGATACCCGCCTCCGCATCTTTTTGCACGAGCCAACGTCCGTATGTGGAAAGCAAATTTGGGTCGGTTTGATCCTCGAGGAGGCTGGCGACCTTTGCGAGCGCGGTCGGAACATCGACTGTTGCGTGGATGCCATCGACGATGTCACCGTCAATCAGCGCGGTCCAAGTCTTGAGCGAGCCCTCGATGTCGCCGATCCGTTCGTAGTGGTCTGCGAGCAGGGTGAAGAACCGCTGTCCTTTCAGCCCGCCCTCCACCTTGGAAGGCTCACAGGCGTGCTTGGACGACAGGAACGTCGCAAGTTGATCTTGAACGGCAACGACGTCTCGCTCCGAGACCCCGCGTCGCTCGGCGATAAGCGTCAGATACGCAGAGTCGACGAAAGTGTTGACATTGACCAACATCTGTTCGTCCATGAAGGATCCAGCATAGAAATACGATCCTGTCGTGCCCTCGTTGGCGATCGCGGACGCTGATGCCGTACGCCACCCTTCCAGCAAGATGCGCAGCATTCTTTCAGAGCCTTGGAGGAGGTTGGCTCGCAGCTGAAGGAGTGCCTTGTCCTTTGTGATGTCCAGAGGTGGGCAATAGTTGAGGGTGAGGTTCGAGGCTATGAGCTCTTCCATGCTTTGCAGCCGATTGGAGGTATCATTCCTCAACCTCTCAAGGCTGCCGAGCAAGATTGCCGGCATGATAGCGTCCTCTATCACCTGATCTCCTCTCAGCAAGGAAGGAAAGAACGCGATAAACAGTCGTGGATCGAGGTTGGCATGGAGCAAGACGTCGGCGGCTGCGGCAAAGTCCGTGCGGTGCAAGAGCTCGATACCGAGGAGTGCGTGTGCGGCCGAAGCTTCGATGAAAGCACGCGCCGTATTGTGGTGCTCTGAGCTTCGCTCGCGACTTGATCTGTAAGCGGCAAGATCCTTCCGCAGATTCGTCAGTCGGCCTCGATCCAGCTGATCAACCGTCCACCGAAGGATAGGATCTTGCTGGATGGCCGAAGTCGAATTCTTGCCGCAGAGGAGAATTTGCCTCCGTTGAGAAGAAGTTGCGCCATCCTGCTCTGATGCACGATGCAATACCGATGCGCTGTCACTCGTAAATGCGTTGAGTGGAACTTTGACCATGTCGAATTCATCGTGAGCATCTGTGACCGCTTTGAGCTGTTCTGAGCTGCTTGGTCGCGGTTGGGAAGCTGGATCTTGCACGACATGTAAGAATCGTGGATCAAGGCCAGGAGGCAATTGCAGCGTCTGAACCCTGTCTACCGAGTTCGCACCGAGATGGTGGACTTCGAGGGTGTCGTTCCTCAGCAGTGAGACGAGATGCTCGCCGTCGTACGTGACAGAGCGAGGGTGAGAGGGCCACTCGAGCAGCTTAGGAGCTGGCTCGCCCGAAGGCTTGACGAAAACGCCCAAGGTGATGGAACCGGTATGAGATGTAACGAGAAACTCGCATTTGGCAGTGGACGCTGGGACAGAGGTCGAGCGAGAGGTGACCGGCGATGTGCTGCCCTCTCTGCTGCTTGCAGCGGTGGCGGCAATTGTGACGATGCTAGGCCTCACTTGTGCGGAAGGCGATTCGCCAGTCTGACTGATAGGAAGCTGCAAGGGCGTGACATGGCCAGAAGACAGGTTGACGAGACTGTACTCGGTGGCGTTGGCAATGCAGAGGGTGTCAGCGAAGCGGCGTGCAAAGATGGCGCCTCCAGGGAGTTGAATGTCTTTAATGGTGGCCCAAAGCAGGCCGGACTGTCCTTCCGCTCCGATCTTGCCAAGGATGATGTTTTTCCTCCTCACGAGACAGATGCTGATCATGCCAGCGGCGTCGGTACCAGATCCATTGTCGGACTCCTCGTCATCGAGGACAATGGTGCTGACAGCTCTTGTGGATGGGAGAGACCGGATCGGTGACCAGTGAGGAAGCGAAAAGAAGCTGACAACGCCCTCGCAGAGCACTGCAGCTGCGTTGAACGGGCGCAGCAGCACGATCTTTTCGACTGGCTTGGCATGGTTTGATATCGAGCGGCTATACTTGAGGCGATAGCTCACGGTTGTCGGCAAGATGATTCTCGACGAGCTCGCCTGCGAAGGGGCCGGTGACACAATTTCGAAAGAGTGTATGAGACCATCAGAGGCACCGATATACAGAAAGGAGCCGTCGGATTCAGAGCAGCGGATGGCTCGCTGCGAGCTTTGCTGGATCGCAGTGGGAGACGATTGATTCGCCTGATCGGCCACATCTTCAGAAGGCAGGGTCGGAAAAAGCAGCGGCGTGAGGGAGTACGGTGGTACCGGCTCCTGCGAGGCGGGCGCTTGAGGCGAAGCCATGATGGGCAGAGCAGGACCGTGCTTGCCGCGTGTCGGGGGCTTGCCGGCTATGAGCGAGGGCTTGCAGTCATCTGCATGAGCGCGCGACTGCCTTGTCGGGCGTGTTGGCTGGTGTTGCGGAGAAGCGTAGGAAAGGTAGAGGTGCGCTGGGACCACCAAGCTCTTCTCCATGGTGCAGCTGCGTCGTCTCGGATTTCGGTTGACAGGGTCCAGATCTGTGAGATTTGGCTGGCCATGTTAGGTTGCACTATTGCTGTGATGGCTGAGTGCGATCTTGGAAATTCCGATCGAGGACAGAAGACGGAGCTGAAACACACCGACACAAGGCAGCTGAGCAGCACAACGCGTCTGCCTCGAACCCCCGCTGTAAGCCCGAAGTAACTCCACAGAGAGTCGCAGAGTGTTACAGAGACGCAGTGCATAGGCGAGCCCCGGAACCCTGGCCAGGGCACGAGGCTGATGATGTCGTTGCAACCAAGCACATGCGCTGCAGTCCACGTCAATCACCGTCCAACTCTGTTCGTCACCTTCCTCCGTCACTACTCACACCCCGACACTCTGCATCACTACCATCGAAACACAACAGGACATCGACACTGGCGAGATCTGCGACCAGCATCATCCGCTCGGCACACTTCTGTATCAGCCGCAGGGACGTACGATCCAGCATCGTGCTCGTCACATCAATCTCGGACTGCGACGCAAGCTCGCCTCACACATCCACACAGATCTAATACCGTACAGCTCAGTGCTCGCTGCGTCGAAGTCCATTCTCTCGGACATCCTTTCTTCACGCACGCTCGTTGTCGCCCGCTGCTGATATCGTATCTCGCTTTTCACCATGGCCAACTCGGACTTCTTGAACAAGGCGATCGAGATCGTCCAAAAAGCGATCGACGAAGATGTCAAGCAGAACTACCAAGAAGCGTACAAGCTCTATCAGAACAGCTTGGACTATTTCATGATGGCCATGAAGTACGAAAAGAACGACAAGCTCAAGGACCTCATTCGTAAAAAGTTCACAGAATACCTCGACCGCGCTGAAAAACTCAAGGAGCACCTTGCTAAGAGCTCAGAAGACCGCGGTAGAGCTGCAGTAGGGGCGAATGGTGCCGAAAAAGGTGTCGGTGGTAGCACAGGCGGCAAGAAGGATGGCGACGATGACGATGTCGACCCAGAAACCAAGAAGCTGCGGGCGGGCTTGTCGAGCGCGGTGCTATCAGAGACTCCCAACGTTCGATGGGACGACGTAGCTGGTCTGCATACAGCAAAGGAAGCGCTCAAGGAGGCCGTCATTCTACCTATCAAGTTCCCACAGATGTTCACAGGCAAGAGAACGCCGTGGCGCGGCATTCTCATGTACGGACCTCCAGGAACCGGAAAGTCTTTCCTCGCAAAAGCCGTGGCCACCGAAGCCAAGTCAACCTTCTTCAGTGTCTCGAGTTCGGATCTGGTCAGCAAGTGGATGGGAGAGTCGGAACGACTGGTCAAGCAGCTCTTCCAAATGGCGCGAGAGGCGAAACCCTCCATCATCTTTATCGACGAGGTCGACTCGCTCTGTGGTACGAGAGGCGAGGGCGAGTCGGAAGCATCGAGGCGAATCAAAACCGAGTTCTTGGTGCAGATGAACGGTGTAGGTAACGACGAAACCGGCGTGCTGGTGCTCGGCGCCACCAATATTCCATGGGCACTCGATCTGGCCATCAAGCGTCGCTTCGAAAAGCGTATCTACATCCCACTGCCTGATCTCGAGGCGAGGAAGCGCATGTTCGAGCTTAACGTGGGCGAGACACCGTGCGCCCTCGAAAGCAAGGACTACCGCAAGCTCGCCTCGCTGACAGACGGCTACTCCGGATCCGACATCAGCGTCCTGGTCCGAGATGCGCTCATGCAGCCTGTACGCAAGGTTACCGGTGCCACGCACTTCAAGAAGGTCATGGCACCCGCAAAGCTCAAGACGCAGCAGGACAAGGCAAAGAATGGCAGCGCCGATAAGGGAGCGCATGGAGATGCTGCTCAACAGGACGGTGACGAAGCGGCTGTCGAGGAAGAGGTGCAGGAGATGAAAGAGTTCCTCACTCCCTGCTCTCCAGGCGATGCCAACGCAATCGAGATGACATGGGACGACATTGAGGGCGAGCAGCTCTTGGAACCGAAGCTGGTAATGAACGACTTTTTGCGGGCCATCCAAGCGGTGCGTCCGACGGTCACAAAAGCCGACATTGAGAAGCACATCGAATTCACCAACGAGGCTGGTCTCGAATGATGGCGTACGCATCACCTTTGCCAACTCAGTGCTCATTGTCTCGTTGTACTATATCGTAGACACGCTCAGGCTCAGCACTGTACGTAGCTCTTGTCACCTTCCCTCATAGACCATGATCTTGTATGAGTGCCTTGGCGAATTACGCTTTTTTGTGTCTCTGCAGCTCTACACACGTCTCGAAAACATCACTGAGCGAGCCGCGATCCTTACTGTGCAGACCTTCCATAAGGTCACTTCGGATCGTACCGTCGGCCAAATTTTGAGAAGGCCTGTGTGTCGCAAGACTCGAATGTGCGAAATCCGAAATTCCAACACGAGCCAGAAGAAGACCTCTTTGCATGTTACACGAACACACACAAACCAATCTTCTTACCAATCCCACTGTTCCGCTTGTTCAGTCTTTTCTCTCTCGTCATCCTTCACCTTCTGCAAGACACCCGCGGTGAGGGTTTCAGCATACCTCAGGCCGCTCGCCAGCCTCGAAAGCCCCTCTGCAGCGAGGCTGTGGTGCCGTTCATTCGTTCGAAGGAAAGCTGGAGGTTCGCGAGCGACCCTGAACCGCACATATCGACATAACACCAACCAAACCAGCAGTCTCCGCCATCATGTCTTCGACACCAGGCTCAAGCTTGACGAACCCTGCGTCAACAGAGCAGCAGGCCACACAGGCGGTGATGCAGGCTCTCAATACTCTGTACACCGATCCAAACAACCAGGCAAAAGCTTCCGCCAATGCGTGGCTTCAAAACTTCCAACAGACCTCGGAAGCTTGGCAAACCGCCAACTCTCTGCTCTTGGCCTCCGAGCTGCCCATCGAACCTCGACTTTTTGCCGCCCAGACCTTCCGATCGAAAATCACCTTCGATCTCGAGCAGGTGCCCAGCGAGCAACGGATATCTTTGCGCGATACCCTCCTCACGGCGCTCTCAGCCTATGCATCGGGACCTCGCGTCATTCAAACACAGCTCAGTCTGGCACTCTCGGGCCTAGCCCTCCAACTTGATGAGTCCGAATGGCCTACCGTGGTGCCGGGAATGATCGAAAGATTCGGCTCGAGCCCAGAAGCCGTCCCCGTCCTGCTCGAATTCCTCACCGTGCTCCCTGAAGAGGTCATCACCAACCACCGAATTCCTATCGACAACGACTTTTATAATGCCCGATGCCACTTCCTGCTTTCGGCTGCGGCATCCGAGGTTCTCAAACTGCTTTCCATGTATGTTCAGGCTTCCGGCTTGACCTCGCAGATCCAAAACGGTATCTTTCAATGTCTGCGGTCCTGGCTCAAGAGCGGCGAGGTGTCGGCAGGTCAGATGGCCGAGACGCCTCTCTTTGACTTGTCATTCGATGCGCTCGCGTCGGACGAGCTCTTTGACGTGGCAACCGACGTCGTCTGCGACCTCATCAACGAAACGCAAGAGGTAGAGGAGAACATGCAGGTGATTCAACGCGTGCTGGCGCGCCTCCATCCTCTGCGCCAAGAGTTGTCCTCCGCTGGTGACGACGAGGACAAAGTGCGAGGGCTCTGTCGTATCTTTGTCCAAGCGGGCGAGGCTTACCATCGCATCATTGTGCGTCACCAGAACGAGCTTTTCCCAATCGTCGAAGCCATCGCCGAGTGCACGGCGTATCACGATCTCGACATCGTCCAGATTACCTTCCGCTTCTGGTACCTGTTGTCAGGTGCCCTGTCATACGCGCGTGATCAGTCCGGAAGCGCTGAGATTGCACGATTCTACCCGCTCTACGAGAGGCTGCTCGAAGTCATCATCCGGCATCTCCGTTTCCCTGATGACCCGGATGCGCTCACAGGGCAGGAGCGCGACGACTTCCGATCCTTCCGCCACTTTATGGGCGACACGCTCAAGGACTGCTGCCACGTGCTCGGTTCACGCCAGTGTCTTTCGCGGTCCCTCGGTATCATCCAGGCGACCATTTCGCAATCGACACCGCAAACGCTCAAGTGGCAAGATGTTGAGGCACCGCTGTTCAGCATGCGTGCCATGGGCGCCGAGGCGGATCCTAGGGACGACGAGATCCTTCCGCAGATCATGAATATCATCCCTACGCTTCCTGATCATCCCAAGCTCAAGTACGCCGGACTGCTTGTGATCTCGAGATACACGGAATGGATCGACAATCATCCCGAGCAGATCCCTGCGCAGCTCTCTTACATCAGCGCCGGTCTGGGAGAAGCCGAAAAGGATGTTGCAGCTGCCGCAGCACAGGCGATGAACTTTCTCTGCCAAGACTGCTATCGCCATCTCGTGACGTACTTACCCCAGCTCTACGAGTTCTTCCGCTCGGTCAACGACAAACTCGGTCCTGACGATCTGGTCTCGATCTCTGAAGCAATTGCATATGTGATCGCCGGCATGCAGCCCAACGAGGCACCGCAGGCGCTCATGCAATTCGCACAGCCGCTGCTCGAGTCGCTCAGTCAAATCCTGGCCCTCGAAAACCCGGGCAAGGATCAGCTGCGCAGAGCAGCTGACAGGATGGAGCAGCTGGAAAAAATGCTTGCAGTTGTCGGACCCGAAGTCGCGCGCAGCTTGCCGCAGGCGTGTTCCAAGACCTGCGATGAGGCGTACTCGGTCGTCGATCGTGTGCTTGCCTCGCATGGTCATCACTATTTCATTTCGGAGCGCGCATGTGGACTGCTTCGACGCGGTCTCCAGCTGTTTGGCCAGCTTGCTGCGTCGACGCTGGTACCGCTTCTGGAGCGTCTGGCATCGTGCTTCGAGCAAACTGGCAACCCAGGCTACGTGTGGATCGTAGGCAAGTGCTTCGATGCGTTTGGTAGGGATAGCAGTATGGCCACCGGCGCAGCGCTTCGAGGCGCGTTTGAACGGATCAACGCCAAGGTGACGCAGTTGATGGAGAACACGATGCCCGCCGAGATGGGTGACGTGCTGGATGACTACATCAACACGTGCCTAACTGTTCTACACAGCGCCCCTTCGATCCTGCTACTGTCGCCACAGTTCGCGCAGGTCTTCCGAGCGGCGCTAGCTGCGCTGACTTTGCTCAAGACAGAGACCGTCTCGACGGCGTTGGACTTCGTACTGGGTGTCGTAGGACACGATGCACTGATGATGCCGGTGACCGGATCGCAACCGGGTACACCTCTGGCGGCGGCAAATGCTCAGGGCTCCGACGGGACGCCGTCGATGGATGACATGACAAGCTTCGCAGCAGCCATCCGACACGTGGTGGGACAACAGGGTTTCCAGCTGGCATCGGTGCTGCTGAACGGCCTGGTCACGCAGTTCAGTCCCGACGTGGTTCCGGTGGTCAACACGACGCTCAAGGTGATCTCTTCGGGCTTTGCTCAGGAGATGGCGGCTTGGGTGCCAGGCATCGTGGAGCAGCTGCCAACGAGCTACGTGCCAGAGAAGGACAAGGAGGCTTTCCTCAAACGATACCTGCGCGCCATCGGTGGTGTCAAGAGCTTGGAGGAGATCACACAGTGTCTGCGTGGATTGTTTGCGGCTTCGCGCCAGGCGCGAGAGAGGAGCCGTGCAAACAGGGAAGGAGGACCAGCCGGGTTGTTGGATCGTTGAGCTTCAAGCTTGCGATCGATGGAGAAGCTACCAATCAAACATGCGTTGCGAGTACTCTACACCTGTGCTGAGAAGCGACTTACCAGACTCCGATATCGCAATGCTGTGAGTGCTGTACGACCCTGAGAGAGACGCACGTCAGTAAGGCGTTAAAAGTCCGCGGTGAATGGCAGGTGCAAGTCAGCTCTGTTCTAGAGGGCGAGAATTTCCAAGCGAAAAAGAGGTGAGAACGTCATGCATGATGAGGCAGAGTCAAAATGCGCGCTCGGGCCGGTGTCAGCCTGCTTGGCTCGAAAATGCCTCCACAGCATGCCACAAAACCCTAAACCCGGCTGGCTTCGTGTGCCCTGTTCTGACGGCAATGGGAGTTTCTCATTCATCGTGACGCTGACGTTCTGTGTATAACTTGGCAGATGGCCGGCAATGCTGCGCTCATGAGCACAATCCTTGGCTGAATCCTTCATCCCCGAGTATTCTCCGAACAAGTTTGCACAGCCGAGGTCAAGAAGCTAGCTGCGCAGCGGCCCGTCCTGACCGTCATATCCCCCGGCCCGGTCCTAGATCCTTTCCCCACATTCAAGACCGCTCGACGCTCTGACCTACGATATACGCTTGGCCCTGTTTCTTCTCTGGCAACCACGGACCTCTCAGTCCTCGCCACCTAGCATCGACTTCACCACATTTCTTGCAGCCTCGTCATCGATAGCGCCCACAACCATCCGCCACGCTCGTGAACAGGTTCCCCTCAAGTCTGTTCAACTTTCGTTACATATTGCCACTATCATCAGCGAGGTTGGGCTTCTGAGACACCCTAAGCGGATCTGCTTTGCTTGGAATAGTACCTCCCAACCCGCAGCCTCGTCATACCATCTCCGCCGACAGGGTTCGGAGCCAAACTGCACAGCATGGGAAACCCCATCCCCGTCCACCTAGAGCAAGAGTGCCGCAAGGCGACCAAGATCCTCAACGACTTTGTCGACCCTGTCAACGGGCTTGACAAGATTGTGCCCCTCAGCGTGCTTCAGCGAGCTCGTGGCTTTGCCATCTTCTCCGTCTTCCGCATCGGCTTTCTCTTGTCAGCACGAGCCGGATCCGGCGTTGTCATTGGACGCACCGACGATGGTCGTTGGTCTGCACCGGCCGCGATCGGCATCGGTGGACTGGGAGGCGGCTTCAACGCCGGAGCAGAGGTGACCGATTTCTTGATCGTGCTCAACTCAAAAGCCGCCGTTCGCTCCTTCATGGCTACGGGGTCGCTTCAACTCGGTGGCAACCTGTCTGTCGCCGTCGGTCCCTTGGGAAGGTCGGCAGAGGCGAGTGGAAGCGTCAACACCAAGGGTCGTGTGGCAGCCATGTTTTCGTACTCCAAATCGAAAGGATTGTACGGCGGTATCTCGGTGGAAGGAACGGTCCTCGTCAACCGCGAGGACGCCAATGTGAAAGCTTACGGCATGTACGGGAAGAATCCGAAGCAGATTCTGTCTGGTGGCGTGGAGCGGCCCCAGTGGGCGAGAGGCCTGATTCAGACTATCGATCGCTTCACGCTCGCCAACACACCCAGCAAGGATCTCGACGGCGAGTACTTCAACTACGACGACACGAGCAGCTTTGACAAGCGTGGTCTGAGCGGCAGCGGCGGACGCCGGGATAGCTACGACTCGATCGACAGCCGCGATAACGACTTCCCGTCCTCATCACGGCCTAGCGCTGGACAACGTAGAGCATCTGGCAATGGCGGAGGACTCGAGGATCTTCCCAATCGATTCGATGCGTTTGACCTGAACGACCGGGACCGCGACCGTAACCGCACGGACGACTGGGACGACCGCGACCGGCGAAGAAAAGAAGACGACTACGACAGCCGCAACTACGGTTCCTATGCATTCTCGCCCTCGTCTGCGATCAGCAACGTCCCCGCTCGCGTCGGTTCCGCGTCGTCCCAGAAAAAGCGTCCTGGCATCCGCCAACGATCCAGCAGCATCGCCAGCAATCTCAGCTTTTCCAGCCTGGGTAAGAAGAAGCTCGATCGATCCGGTCCAACACCTCCACCGGACTGGAATGAGATACCCGGGCACAGTTCGGGCAGCAACGTCTGGGACGAACGTCAGCACGACGGGATGGACGCTCTGGATCGAGAGCTCCAAGGTGGCAGCCCTTCCGCTGCACGCAGATCTCCTTCCGCCAACAGGAGCTACAATACTGGTTCTGCAAGTCCCTTTGCGGCGCCGGACAATCGCATTCGGAGCGGAAGCATCGGCGGTAGGGGTAGCTCGAATACGCCAGTAGGTTGGTCGCAGTTCAGTGCGTCGGATGATGCGAACGACGATCTGTTTGGCGCGCAAGATACCCACGCCGGCGCTTCCGTTCGCGATCCATTCGACGACCTCGATGCACGGGTCGAATCACGCTACACGGGAACCAGCAGCAGCTATCAGGACTACAACAGCCCTAACAGCAACGGTAACACCCGCACCAAGTCTCCCTTCGACAAGGACCAGCGAGCACCTCCTCCTTCCAAAAGCAACCGTTTCGGACGATTCCGCACCCCCAGTCCTGGAAATTCCGCCTTTGGCCGTAAAAATACCCCCACCATCGCGGAAGACGACGCTTTCGACAACCTCATCTCCCCCTCTTCGGAGGAATATCACTCGCCGCCAACAACAACAGCATCAGCGATGTTGGCCAACGGTGGCAGGAGGGAAAGCTTTTCACTATCGAGCGAAAACGCTGCAGTGCCGGTGATCGAAAGGGTGATCGCACTGTACGACTTTGAAGCGCAGGAAGAGGGCGATTTGGGTTTCCAAAAGGGTCAGGTGATCGCAGTGACGAAGAAGACCGAGAGTAGGGACGACTGGTGGCAGGGACGCGTGGAAGCAGGGTTGACCGCAAGCCGCATTGGAATTTTCCCCGCGACGTACACAGAACCGCTGTAGAACATCGGTGAAGCGGAGGGGGATCCTCAAAGATGGACATGATCGCGGTAGACTCTAGCATCCAAGGGTACTTCTTTGTTGCCTGTCTCGGTTTATGTTTGTGATGCAATGGTAATCTCATCCTCTCTCAATGAAGGACCGAATGCAGCTTCTGGACGGATCCATGCGTTTCGCCTTTTTCAGTTCTGTCCCAAGTAAATCGTTACTGAGCCTGCGACCGCGTCCTGAGTCTTGCAGATGATCCGCTGATCGCACGCATACCAACACACAAGATCGGAGAACGCATAGAATGATTGCAACGAAATCCAGAGGGATGAACAAGTGTCTTAAACGCCAACTCGTATGGCCGCGATCCATCTTGCCATCGAGAGTTTGCCGTTCTACGACAGTTTAAGCGAGACCTGCCTTCTGCATGGCCTCCTTCATGAGAGCGCCAATCTTGGCAGGCGAGTCGGCAACGATGGCGCCCGCGTCCGTGAGAGCCTTGACCTTGTCGTCCGCACCACCTTTGCCGCCAGCAATGATGGCTCCAGCACTGTAAAAATATAAGAAATAAAAAAATAAAAAATAAAGAACAACACCAAGAAGGAAGATACGATGGTCAGTACGTCGTCTGTGACATGGTCTTCGTATCATGGGATGATGGGTAATGATGCTCGCTGACCCATTCGCCTACCTGGCGGTGCGGTTCGTCCTGCGATGAAAGCAACGACGGGTTTAGGGTTGGCCCTAGTCTTGTTGTACTTGGCGAGGTATTCGGCGGCGTCTTCCTCCATGCTTCCGCCGATCTCTCCGATGAGGACGATACCTTCGGACTTGTCGTGGTCGAGGAGAAGCTTGACGAGGTCGAGGGTGGTGGAACCGGGGAAGGGGTCACCGCCGATGCCGACGCAGAGACTCTGGCCGAGACCGACCTGGGTGGTCTGGTTTACGGCTTCGTAGGTCAAGGTGCCGGAGCGGGAGACGATGCCGATGCGACCGGGGGTGTGGATGTGTCCGGGCATGATGCCGATCTTGCAGCCTTCTGGGTTGATGATACCGGGGCAGTTGGGTCCTACGAGACGAGATTTGGACTGCGAGCGGAGTGCGGCGGCGACGCGGATCTCGTCCTTCTGAGGGATGCCCTCGGTGATGGCGACGATGAGGGGGACTTCGTTCTCGATGGCTTCGATGATGGCGTCGGCTGCACCGGGTGGAGGAACGTAGAGGACCGAAGCGTGGGGCTTGGTTTCACGAACGGCTTCCTTGACCGATCCGAACACGGGCAGGCCGAGGTGGGTCTGACCGGCCTTCTTGGGCGAGACACCACCGACAAGTTTGGTTCCGTACTCGAGGGCCTGCTGGCAGTGGAAGGTACCGGTCTTACCGGTGAAACCTTGGCAGATGACGCGAGAGTCTTTGGAGATGAGGAGGTTCTTGATGGTGTCCTCGTACGAAGCGCGGGCGGCCGAGGAGGAGAAGCCTCGTGCCAAGGGGCGGCTGAGAGAAGCTGCGGCGTGCTTGAACATGATCGCTGAGCAGTGCTGTCGGGGAGATCAAGTTGTCAAGTTTGAGATGGAGGAGAGGGGACGGTGGTGGTGAGGAGGAGGATTTGCGGAAGATCTACGGTGTACCAATGAGTGATTGTCGCTCTCGAGCCTTGTGCCACTGTGAATCGGAACCCGGCGCACTCGTGCTCACTGCAAAAAATCCACTCGGCCAGCTCGCTTCGTTCCGGAAGCCCAATTCCACCAACACGAGCACACACGCTCAGACACCAAAAACCACAGAGCCAAATTTCCTTCAGCGCTGCCACCTCTTGTCCTCATTTGTGTGGGGATTCTTCGCAGCCAGCAATGCTGAGCAATGCTGAGCAGTGCCAACCGCTATCTGTTGGCTCTTTGGTGCCTCAACACGGGAATCACCTCGGCCAGGAAAGGCATCGGAGAAGCCGGGAACAGTCGTGAGAAGCCGAGAGAGGAGAAACGGCGGCTTGAAGCGCGATTTCGCACAAGCCAGCGAGCTGAGAGCTCTTTGTGTGTGTGGTCGGTCAATTGTGTTCTCTGCTTTTTCTTCTCGACGGAGAGTTCCGCTCTGTGCTGTTGCTTCTTTTCCGCACTCCGTCGGCGTGATCGAATTTCAGAGACACGTTTGCAATTCTTATGAAAGATGTTAGGTCTTTGACACCTGGGGGTTCACAGCGCTGTGTGCGATGCATTGCCTACTCGTTTGGTGGAGCGATGCTCGAGTCCTTCTCTCAGTCCAACGGCACGAATACGGCAACGAGTGCTGAGAAAGTTGTGTTGATTTGTATACATGGTTGCTACAATGCTGTGTGTGCAAAAGGCTTTCTTTCGAGATCCAGGGGGAGCAAGGAAGATTGCTACTCCTCGTCGTCCTCGTCTGTGCCTTCTTCCGCTTCGAGGTCAAACATTCCATTGGGACCCTTGGCGTCTTCCTCGTCGTACTCTTCCTCCTCTTCGTCGTCTTCCATGTCGCTAGCGCCTTCCTCTTCGATGTCGCTTTCGTCTGGGAGTTCTTCCTCGTCATCTTCCTCCTCCTCGTCTTCTTCCTCATCGTCATCGTCATCCTCCTCAATGTCTTCGACATCATCCTCGTCTTCATCCTCGTCATCATCGTCGTCTTCCGAATCAACAGAGGTATTGCCGTCCGACATACGACCGTTTTTGACTCGTCTGCGTCGACGGATGGGACCATCATCATCGCTGTCCTCATCATCGTCCTCGTCATCACTGTCGTTTGCTCCGAGGGCGATATCCTGCACGTCACCATCCTCGTCATCCTCGCCGCGTACGAGTACACCGTCTGCACCGTCGACATCCATGTCCGATTCCGAGTCGTCCGACTCTTCCACCCACTTCTTACCCTTCCTCCTCTCCTTGTCCACCACACCCGCACTCTGCACAGCACCGCCTTGCGTCTTTTTGCCAAATTTGACTCCCTGAACGCGAACAGCATTGTTGCTAGCCTGAGAGACGTAAGCCGCTCTCGCTTCGATCTGCGACAGAACCAACTCGAGTCGACCGTTGAGCGCCAAGAGCCTCTCGTGCGTAGCGAGGCGTGTGGAAAGCGTGGCGTGCAGTCCCGAAAGACGGCTGACGAGGTTGGGCAGCGACATGAGGTAGCCCATGTGGTTGAGCAGCGTTGCGCGAACCCACTCCATCAACCCTCGCGCCTTTTGACTGCCCATGCTGCCCTTGCTCACGTGGTGTCCGCCCACACCGTTGAGTCGGTTGACGCATTCTTCGAGAAGCTTGACGGCGAGTGGACCAGAGATCTTGCGTACGGTGTTGCGGATGAGGATGGCGTCGTTGTGGTTGAGACAGCTGGTGAGAAGACTCGTGTCGCCAGAGTGCAACGCTTGCGACAGCGAAGATGCTAGCGAAGCTTCGCTCATCAACGACTGCTGCTTCTTGGTAGGTACGTCGGCATCGTCCTCGTCAGCCTCCTGTCCTGCCAGGGAAGGGTCGCCAAATCCGAGCTCTTTCAACCTTTGGGCGAGTGTGGGCTCCACGTCGGTTCCACGCGCCGAGGCAGAAGGTACTAGCCCGCCATCCTCGAGACCCGCCGAGAGGACGGCATCTTCCACATCTTGTGGTCTTGCTGGAGCATCGGCGTACCTCTGGGTCTCGGCAGCACCTCCGGTCAGCTGAGCCTCGTCCGTGTCCGCAGCAAGAAGGCCACCGGCAGAAGTGTTGTTCTTACCGCCAGCAACGGGGAGCTGCAGCACCTTTTGCAAGTGTGCATCCTTGCCGCTGATGACAGTGGTTTCTTCGATAGAGACTTTAGCGCCGCGGATCAATCGTGCCAATCGAAGTTTGTCCGAGACGAGCCTAGCGTCGATCCATTCTACAGATGCTCCACTGCTCTCTGTTGACGACTGTGCCAACAGTTCCAGCGACGGCAAGGCGGCGGATTTCTTCTTTGATGGCGAAGCTTCCGCTTTCGACTCTGATGGCAAGCCGTAGATCCGTACGCTTCCAGTTTGAGTGACGATGGTGATGAGGGTTCGTTGGTGTTGATCAGCAGCCGTGCTCACGGAGAGCGCACGGACTGGACCATCGAGCGCAGCAGTGGCAAAGGCGCGGCCCGTGACGGCTTTTGCTGCCTTGGCGTCGTACGTCCACGCGCTGATCATGCGATCTCCTTCGGCGGCGGAGACGAACGAGTTGTCGTCGAGCCATTCGAGATGTGTGACGGGCGAAGCGTGCCCGGTGAAAGTCGCACGAACGGTACTGTCCGACTGGGAGATGTCCGTCAGGCTGATGCTGTGATGCGCGGAAAGGATCAAGTCGCGGCGCGAAGAGAGGAGCTGGACAGCGGACTTGGTGTCGGGACGGAAAGATGAAAAGGGTCGCAAAGGACTTGGCTGATCGCCGAGTTTGACGTCTGCAAGGGCAAATGAAGAGACCCAACCACTTTTGGAGCAGGCAAACAAGGTCTTTTTGGCCTCCGAGTAGGACATGGAGACGATGCCTGCGTTCGCAGACGAAGCGGTGCTGCTACCCGAAGCCGAGGATGCATCGAGGATGGCGACAGACTGCGCAAGGGCAGGGCTGAGCAGATGAACCTCACCCGAGCTCAGTCCGAGAGCCAAGAGCAGCTGAGAAGAGCCAGAAGCAGCGGCATCTTCGCTAGCATCAGATCCGTGCTTTCTTCGCTTGGCCGATTTGGCAGTTGGTGATGAGAGGCGCACCCAGCGCGACGAGAGGCACTCGGCTCCACCCAGGGATGCCAGAAGGAAATCGGTCACGAGCTGAGAGGATGAAGCGGCCGATGCAGAAGCATTGTAGATGCGGAGTCGTTGCTGATGGACCTGGTTGCTGATATGCGCAAAGAGTGTGTGATCGGGCGCTGGGGAGAAAGAGCACGAGGCGGTGGATGCCGTGACTGAGCCCGAGGATGGGAGCAGCGGCTGGTTGAGCTCCGAGGTGGAGACGGGTCGAGATTTGGAAGGCTTGGGAGCCTTGCTCTTGGCCATGTTTGCAGCTACTTTGTCGCCACGGTCCAGCCTTGTACGATGCGAGTACGATGATGGTGAGGCTGCGGCTTGGAATGGTCGGACCAGAACTGTCTAATAGAAGGTCTCTGTGGAGCCGCAAAAACCCTTTTCCAACTTTTTTTCCCTTCTTCCTTGTCTCTTGAGTTCAGTCGAGAAATTCTTCTTGACGATGCAGCCAAAAAAAACTGCAGTCCGCATGACATGAGTGACACATGCTTATGTGAGCCAGATACCGAAGTCCCGCTCACTGCACAGTGCAACGTGTTCTCCGTGCTTAGATTTCGCAGGTATCTTTTTCGAGATTTTCTGATGTGCCTTGGCAGTCAGAGGCAAGCAAGGAGCACTTTAGGGTCTGTTCGCGGCTACGCAGAGAGTTGGTCTGCTTGGGCTCCATAGCTCGGCTGCTAAGCGCACGTCGAGTCGCGACACCCGCGGCTGAGACTGAGACCGACACCGACACACATGTAGCGGCACAGGCTCAAGCAACGTCTGATGCATCGTACACCTTTCCAGCCAACACTTCCTCCTCGTCGCTCAACAACTACGTCTTTGTCCGTCCTCGCCTGTCTCTGACATAGCTACTTGCCCCGGAATCGTCCGTCCGTCCATTTGGCCATAGACACGAGCGCCCTCTATCGATAGCATTCACCTTCACTACTCCGTCGAGGATCAGTTCCCATCGAAAGCGTACCCCGTTCCGAGGACATCTCTTTCCGCGGAAAGCAAGGCCAGTCCCATTCTGGTTGCAGCAATCGTGCCACAATGAACTACGTTCAGCTCGAAAAGCTCGGAGAGGGCACCTATGCCACCGTATACAAAGGTCGATCAAGGCTCAACAACGAGATTGTCGCACTCAAAGAGATCCACCTCGATGCCGAAGAAGGAACACCGTCAACTGCGATCCGCGAGATTTCGCTCATGAAGGAGCTTCGTCATACCAACATTGTGCGCCTGTACGACGTTATTCACACCGAGTCCAAGCTCATGCTCGTCTTCGAATTCATGGAGCAGGACCTGAAAAAGTACATGGAGATTCACGGCCACCGATGCGCCCTTGATCCCGTAACGGTACGATCCTTCATGTTCCAGCTGCTAAAGGGAACTGCGTTCTGCCACGAGAACCGTGTCCTCCACCGAGACTTGAAGCCTCAGAATTTGCTGATTAACAAGCGAGGCGAACTCAAGCTGGCCGACTTTGGTCTGGCTCGAGCCTTTGGTATTCCCGTCAACACGTTTTCCAACGAAGTCGTCACGCTATGGTACCGCGCTCCCGACGTTCTCCTCGGTTCGCGCACCTACTCGACCTCGATCGACATCTGGAGTGCCGGCTGCATCATGGCCGAGATGATCTCCGGCCTGCCTCTCTTCCGTGGACGAGACAACAACGACCAGCTCAACCAGATCTTGCGCATTTTGGGCACTCCAGACGACAACACTATGAAGAGGCTCGTCAACGACTCGCCCGAGATTCAGATGCGACCTTTCCCTCGGGTTCCTCGAGTGCCCTTCCAGAACATGTTCCCCAAAGCGCACCCTCTGGCCATCGACTTGCTCGACAAGCTCCTCAAATTTGACCCCACACAGCGCATCTCTGCCGACGAAGCGCTGCGACACCCTTACTTTACCACCTCGGCGGCCATCGCCGGCCTTACGCATCCGCAAAGCAACAGTCAGCTCAACCTCGGCAACGGCGGCGCACCTCAACAGGGCGCATACCAGCAAGGCGTTCCAGGACAATGAGCGCGACGAAACGTGGGAAAGATCTTGCTCAGCACTCGCCTTTGTGCGCCAGGCATCGTTTGTCCTGACCTAGTTCTTCAACATTCATGTGCCGACGATCCTCAGCTGCCTTCTACTTCTATATGCCCTCCTCCTTTCAGTCCTTTTCCTCCTGTCTCTATTTTGTACTAGTATGCATCGCCTCGTAGTGAGTTCAATCACATCTATGCCTTAGATAGTCGCCTGCTGATTGCAGGCTGCATGCCATGGCTGACGCGCTGGTGAAGCAGAGACTCATGAGCGGGAGTCGGAAAATCCGAGGCTGGCTTGCCGTTCGTGAAATTGGTACTGCTCTGCTGCCTTGAATTTTGGTCTGAAATTTTGGCGGAAGCTGAAAGATGTGCGTTCGGTTGAGTTCTTCCAAAGATCACAATTTGGACCCTTTGACGCTAGCTATACTTCATCTCGAATCGCCCTCCTTTCGTCACAGCCATCACTCCCAATCACCCCGCCTGCAGACTCGTCACGTCCCTTGGACATTGGCCGGTAAACTCGCAGTCAACGAGTCTACACCCTCTCGCCCGCAGCGCGTATCCACTCGCCCATGACGACCTAGTCTTCCATCCGACCTCCCTTTCCGCAGAACCGGCACCGGCACCAGCAAAACTGGCTGGCTGGCTTGCAGCTCATGCGCCATGCTTCGCAGCTGTGCAGAGGGCTGGCGGAGGCGGCACGCTCCATAGAAAGGCCCTATGTGCCTCGACATATTCCGCTGCCCTCCTCCAGCTACAGCGCTGCAGCTCAGACGTCCTCCACATCCTCCGCCCCGGGGCCTTCTACGACTGAACCAAACTTCAGCCGAGCTGCAGCGCCGCAGCGCAATGATAGGCCTGTTGGAGTTTCTGAAGCTGTCAATCCATCTCTGCTGCCCTCAACACAAGATCACTCCTCATCCACAGCCAGTTACCTCCGCAATCAGGTTCCGCGATCAGCTGTCCTGCACATCGAGCGACGGAACGAGGATGCGACTTCACACACCAAAGCTGCGCCGCCAATAGAGCCCGTCAGCACTCAGTCGGCATTGCGGAATACAGACAGTCTCACTCAGAACACTCGCCGGCGGGCCAATGCAGGGACTCGCTTCACTGTCGATGCTTCGTCAAAATCTGCCCCAAGGAGCAGCACAATCCGTTTAAGTACCTCGGACGAGCCCCATCCGAAGCAGCTTTCCAGGGCACAGAGTAAGCTGAGTCGTGAAGGGGCCAAACGCGATATAGAATATGTCAAAGCAACATATCCGCATCTCGACGAGCCACAAGCAGGCTTGCTTGTTCGCACTTCCTATCAGATCAACTCGCTGCGTTCGCAAGCTCCAAGCGCGGTCATGGCGTGGTATGAAGATTTCGTATGGACCACAGAACGCCATTCGCAAAACTCGCAGAAATCCGAGTCGCTCGAAAGTCTCTCGATGCTTCTTCGGTTTGCCTATCAAAGGAACGACTTGCGCTCCCTGCTGAGACTGGAGAGTCGGGCAATGCGAATTCCATCGATCGCCAAACAGTCTCGTGTCAACTTTTCTCCAACAGACACAATTTCCAAGCGGATGCGCGGACCAGAAGAGGATGGTGTACACCTCTGGCCTAGCCCGAACGAGAATCCTATCCTTCTGGCCCATAATCTCAAGATCGGTTTCGCAGCCAGGGAGGGCAACTGGGTCAGAATCGAGCAGCTTCTTGACAGCGCGAGTCTTGCTGGACAAAGCTCTTCGAAAGCCGTCCGAGTTGGGCATGACTCATCGCTCATGACTCGGTCAGCTTATGTTTTGGATGCGATCGGTTGGGGAATCCTTCTCCGCTTTGGATTGGGCAATGTGCAGAGGCACAAGAGCAGGAATGTCGACGACACTCCTCGAAACAATCAGGCTTTGCAGGACACGAAAAAGACCGACACCGTCTCAAGCACCTCTACAAGCGATGTTCTCCTTCAAGACGAGATTACCAAGGCTGCAGACGACGAGGCGCAGATGCAGTCGAAACTTTCAGTTACCAAGCGTCTCTTGCCCGATCTCCTGCGCTACACCAACGAATCAAGCAGGCATGTCCGGCCGGAGGGCACGTCTGCAACAGGGCCAGCGAAAGAGTCGGCCGCAAAGTTTGGAGGGGGGACCACACCAGCTTGGCTGCTGCAATCGGTCTTGACACAGCTTGCCGAGAGAGGGGAGCTAGTATCTACCATCAAAATTGTTCAGCTTGCGCTTTCTGAGGGCTCGAGCACAGTGAAACGTGACTCGACTCGAGATGCCAGGCCCACTCATATTCTCAATCTGGTGCTGATGGCTTGCCACCGGAATCACAAGGTCAACCTTGCCGAGACATTACGAATCTTCAACAGTCTTACAGGCTCGCGACTGGGCGAAAGCGTCTCGGGCTCAGCGGTTCTCGCTGAGCCGACCGTCATCGAAAGAGGTCGGGATCAGCAGAGCCCACCCTCCAAGTCACTGCAGAAGGACGCGGAAAAGGCCGATGCGATAGGTCGTCCCGCGGCGGAGGGACAGTCTGGGATGAGGCCGAACGAAGAGTCGCTCGTCCTAATTCTGAAAAAGGTGCGGCATCCGCTCTTTCGGGCTTCGTGGACACGGAAGCTGGTCGCAGAGTTCGAGCGATTCTTCCCACAAGTCAAGCTGTCTGGAAGGTCCTATCGGATGATCATCGACAAGTGTGTCACCCCTGGTTCCGCTTCCCAATCGAGAGACACTGAAATGACTGCGACTACGGAGATGGACTCGACACGTGTCGCTGCGGAGCGCATTGTAGCCAGTGGACGTCGAGGTCGACGATTGCGCCAGGAAGCCGCCACCGCTTCCCAAAGCATTCCTTCTGCTAGCAGCAGCATCAAAGCAACATCGCATTCAGCCGGACCTGCACGCACGCCTCGACCGCCGATCGTCAAGCAATCCATGCTCTCCACCACCCTCGACGAGATCCTCAATCGGTTCGACGGCAGTCGTCCCTCATCGTGCTTCCACCTATCGACGACCAACCGACGACGTTTCGAGCACACACTGTTGCGAGCCAAACGCCTCCTCCTGCAGAAAAAAGCTTCGCACCTGCACAAGCTGCAACCTTGCCCTACGACAACTGACACCTCCAGCGCGCAAGCGATACACCACACAAGCGCCATCTCGCAGATCGACACGCTGCTCGACAAACTCGCCCAAGTCCAACGCCTAGGCCGTCGTCAAGAGGCTCACTCTAAAAGGCAGGCTAGAACGCAATCGGATGGTTGACATTCTCGCTCACACTTGGCAGATACATCACAGGACTCCTTCTGCGAATGAATGAACTCTTCTTGCATGCATATGAAAATTGTAACCTGAACAGTATGAGAGGGTATGTATGTGCTTGAAATCCGAACCATTCTTCCACCTTGAGGGATCACAATTCCTCCTCGCCATCACTCATACTGCTCCCCCTCGCGCGCTTCTCCCTCTTACCGACCGCATGATACTGCGTCCCACCCACCAGCCATGCCAGATCCCTCTCCAAGCGATTCCTCACTTCGTCCATGGCCTTTCTGATGAGTACCTCTTCCTGCTTCTGATCGTCCTTCTTGCCCGCTGGTGTGCAGGTGATCTCCAGACCTCGCGCCCAGTTGAGCACCACTTCCTGCGAAAACATCCTACCATCGACATTGACAGCTTTGTCGAGTCGATGCAGCAGCGTCGTCCATTGCTTCAGAATGGCTGGCATGAGGACCGTCATAAGCGCATCCGGTGATGAAGGCGATGCGAAATCTGTTCCGAGCATGTACGCGAGGTTGCTATGCTTGCCGTAGGCATCGGCTGCGCCGAGGTTGCTTGCCTTGGTGGGAGTCGTCGGTGCAGAGCCGGCAGCTCCACCGAATCCGAATTGGGTCGAAGCCGTGAACAGGTTGAAGGCGAGGCTACTCTTTGTGACCGAAGGAAGGAGCGCCTCGATCCGGAGGATCCGGCTGGTAATCATCAGCAAAAAGGTAAAGGTGGTCGCAGGGTGCACCTCTTCTCTATCCGCTTGCAATCTCGGATCTCGCTCACGAAGACGCTGCTCTCGATCCGAGTCGAGCTCCGTGACAAAGAAGGGCAAGTATCCGAGTGCAGCATCTACAAAGGCAGCGACGGGTGCACGCACCCTGGACCAAGTGTACTCGTGTCGTGCCGAGCTTCCATCGGCGACGAAGGGTATCGCGGAGCGGATAGTCTTTTCGAGCTCATCCAATGACCCCTCGACCGAGTCAAGAGAAGGCGTCGGAAGCAGTGACAGGATCTGTGCGGGCAGTGTGGCGTCCTTGGACTGCAGAAGTAGAGACGACAGCATCGAGAGCAGCGAAGGTTTGTCCATGGATGCTAGCGTCTTGCCGATGTCTACATCGATTCCGGACATGCCCACACGGTGAGCGAGGCCAAGTGCAGGTCGCTTGTATGGTGAGTGAGATGGACTGTAGAGAGAGCCGACGTGTGGATTTGCCAAGGGCGATGCTGTGAATGACGATGCTGTTGACGCTGATGCTGATGCTGATGCTTGTGGGGCTTCGCTGTTGATGAGACCAAATCCTAGCCCTGCACGTATCCTCTTTGGTAGCACGACACGTTTCTGCTCGTGAGAAGGAGCAAAAGGATCGGATCCGAGTCGAGAGCGCTGAGGATGTGTCATGTCCTCATCCTCGTCGTCTAACTCATCGTCTTCATCAACGTCGCGGCGTCGTTTCGCATCCGAGCGTCTCGAAGGGCTCGAGGCAGGCGGCTGTGCAGAGGTGGATGCGGATGCAGATCCAAAGCCAAACATGGGCGATGCTGAGGTGGACGCTGGAGAGCTGACTCCAACATTGTTCCCACCGAAAGAAGAGCCAAAGCCGAATCCGAAACCTAGTGGGCTGGGTGCATGATGAACTGGAGCGCTGTTGAAGGGGATCTGGTGGTTGGGGTTGGCTGAAACAGCGGGTGAAGAGGACCGTGATGGGGAGGCCGACATGATGGGGAAGATGCCTGTCGCCGTCATGGCTTATAGCCAGACTGTCTGTGATGCAAACAGGGTGAAGCGATGTTGGCCGCTGGACGGCTGGGTGCGATAAGTCCACCGGCAGCGGTAGATGCGACCTGAATGGTCGGCTCTTGGCTGTACTACCTCACGAGCTGAGAGGTCGGGCGACACAAGAGCGATATAAGGGCTTTGTTGAGATGGTAGGGACGGGAGTTGGGTGGTGGATCAAAGCTGAGGAGGGTGACGAATCCGTTAAGAGCTGAGATTCGCCGAAAAGCTGAGCGTGCGTGTGTTGATTCGACTCGAGCAGGGCCACAGCTCCAGATCAGTCGAAAAGCGCGGCCCACCGTCCGGTTTATCACTAAAAAAAATTGTGACCGAAAAGAGTGGAGTTGCAGTTAGCTTTCGCAAAGTCACAAAAAAATTGCGGCTCGGAAACCCACTAACAAAGCCGCAATGCTTTTCAGGACCCGCGCGACCCTGCCTGCAGCTTCTGGCCACGCACGCCAGCTACGCCAACTCTCCTAAAAAACAAAACTCAACTACGGCTGAACCATCCGATGTAACATTCAAGGAAAGATATTAACGCGAGGTTGCAAAGAAACCGCACAGTCCCTTTCGTTCTCATGGATCACGTTGCATCATACATCTTGAGACACATGAACAGCTTGCACCGGTATCATCCTGGCCGACGGCTACTACCACAGCATTACATATCGGGAGCGCGATGCGTAACACTGTCAGTGTCGGAAGGAGCATCCGGGCGGTAGCTCGTGTTGCCAACAGAATCCTGAACGCTCGGTTGGAACTGTCCTGACCTCGACTCTTGCGTCGAAGAGAAACCTTGACCTGTCTGGTTTTCCTTGGAGAACTGATCACCACCGGAAGCAGATCGACCGTAGCCTCCTTGGTCGACCGTCTCGCCAGTCTCGCGCTGGTCCGGGTCCGATGGGTTCGGATGGGCCGATGACTGGTCGGTAAAGTTGTTGTCAGAGGCAAGGCGGTCGTCACCAACGAAGAGAGGTTGCGCTCCGGCAGCGTCTGTGTTTGGCGTAGAGGAAGTGTGCAAAGAAGTACGGATCGACGCTCAGCCATGTGATTCGTGTGCATGCCTCGCGAAAGGCGGCAACGACGTATATGGTATATACTCACTGCTGCTGTTGTTTGTCTCTGTGTTGTTGTACGACATGGTTGCTATTGTGTCCGACGCTATGGTGGTGGTGAGCAAGCAATCAAGCCAGCAAGGTGGTAAGATCGAGTCAAGCACGGACGATGTCCTGCGAGCCTTGGTCCGATGCGCAATCGGAACCGGCAAGGGTGAACAGTGCGCATCCGCATAATCGGCTCTGTAGAGCGACACTGCTCACGCCGGATGGCTCTCCAAAGGCTCGAAGCAATAGCTCAACGCTGTCCAAATTGGCCGGTCTTGCTCACAGCTAGACTGTATCTTTCTCACAGCCCCATACGTCATGACGTCGCGGCGAATTGATCGCTTCCGTGACTCAGCTGTCAATCAACTCGTTTAGCTGTAAATCAATTCAATCGCGCATGTGAGCGGAGACAGCCATTTGTAACGGCATCCACGCGCCATCTATCCGATCTGCTCTGACACGCATTACTTCAAATCACATACAACTTCCGAAACCATGATTGCTTGATACGGACACGATGACATTGCGATACCAAGGGACTTGCGACTTAAATAGAATACAGATGAGAGACATGTATCAAGGCTCGGTGACTTGCTATGATAGAGACAGGCAGTGTCCGTGGGTCTGTTGCTGCGGGTGCTTTGCGGAGAGGGAGGGGCCTACGAATTTACTGCGACTTACGCCGGCTGCCGAAGATCGAGCGAAGACCATCAAGTGAGGGTCGCTTTGGGATCTTGCTTTTGGCCGGGTCCGGCTGGATCGAGTCGGAACTACTGTGCTCGGTCGCTCCGACGCGAATCTCGATTTGGGAGTTGGCATGCGGGACGTCCTTGAAAGGATCGCGGAAGCGCACCTTTGTGGGCGAAGAAGGGCTGGTTTTACTGGGTTTGAAGTTGATAGCATTGGTCGATGCGACAGAAGGAACCAGCGTCTTGGGGCAAATTTGATCCTCGGCCACAACGCCGCGGTCACAAGGAAGCATCTTGACGAGGTTCACCTCTTCACCATCGCAGGTGCCTACTTCCGCATCAATGTCCTCCGAGTCGTCTTCATGAACGGTGTCCATCGATCTACCCACGCTGGACCTACTGCGACTTGCAAGCGTGGTTGCTTTCTCGAGGACACGGTCACGTTCCTCGTACGCCGAGTCTTGCGGAGTAGCTTCGACCAAGCGGATCTGAGGGACGTCGCTTTCAGGACTATGCGGCGTACGAATCGCAACTGAGGTGTCGATCTTGGACAGCTGAGCCGAACAACGCTGCTTGGGCTGAGGAGAGTGATCTGGGCTAGCTTCAACGGTGCTCGCTCGACTGGAAGCGGACGAATCGCTGCGCTGGCGCCAATCCTGATCATCGTCAGATTCGCCGCTGGAGCTGCTCGATTTCGAATGAGAACGTCCCCTGGATGACTGAGCTGCCATTTGTGCTGCATGACGAGACTCTACCAGGGGCGGCTCGGGCAGAGCTTGCCGCAAAAGGTAGATGCATCTTTCAAAAGGTGTAAGTTGGTGCAGCCGTAGCGTGTCGATGATCTCGTCGATCACTTCGTCGTCGTCGACCACTCGGTCGATGGACGAGGTAGTGGGACTACTGGGCCCATCTGCGGAAGAGGAGAAGGAGCTGCGATGCTGTGCCAAGGTCGATCGTTCTCGACGAATCTTCATCCAGGACCGGATGACATCCGCCAACACCCGCAGGCTCGTGCTCATTGTTCCATCTGGAGGCATACGAGAAACTTCGCCATCTTGCTCCCTCGAATGCGTCTCGTAGCAGACTCCTTTGGCGCTTGGCGAGGACAAGTTGAAGGGCCATGCATACAGTGTCTCGGTCGGCATGTAGAGCAGAGTCACCGTGATGCTGCTGAGGCTTGTTTCGGTGTTTGTTGGGGAGCTGCTCGGGAACGATGTTTGTTGGTGTGTTTTTGTGATGCTCAATACTGACCATTGACTCGGTCGATAGCCCGAGACGGCGAAAGGATCCGTAGGAGCAGACATGATCGGCGGTGTTGCAAGAGGCCAGGAGAATGTTGGAGAAGAAGGACTGGTTGGTTCTAAAGATGGCTTTTTAAGAATGCTGCGAGGTGGTTGTTGAGTGCGCTCCTTGTGGGGCGAGCTTGGCAAGGTAGAGACATGAGTCGCTTGTTTTTCGAGCATGGCTGCGAGTTTCCGCTGGCCCCCCGAAGCCAGGGCAATGCGGGCTCGCTTTGTACCGTCTTCCCGATTTGATTCTTTGAGCCAAGCCTTACTCGCTTGACTCAACCCACCGTGGGTCTATTTGGATATCAGGTAGCGTGTACCTAGCAGAGGATGCCCGATGCAGCGCAAAGATCCAAGCGAGGTGATGTCTCGGGTACGATGTTGACCTGAACGCGACGCTGAGAAGTGAAGTGAATGTTGCTCGTCGCTCTGACGTGGGCGGTAACTGAAGGGAATGGAGATTCGCGCAACAAGAGAAGGGCCTGCGCTGATCAGGTCGTGGCACAGCTCTGTGGGGGCCGATTGAGATTCAAATGTGAAGAAGTGCTGATGCACGGATCGATGCTGTTCGTGATGAGCTTTTGTGATCAGAGAGGGAAGATCTAGCGGGGCTAGGGTGAATCCTAGACTCTATTTGAGGGAATGGGACGAGCATCATGCTTTAGGAAGAGAGCGAAGCGTCTTCTATGGCCAGTTGTGTCGAACGAGGACCCTCGCTCATAGAGTGCAACCCACCAAACCACACGTACTGTACCGGGCATCACACACACCGGGAGATGGGTGAAACAGAAGGAGATGCAGAGTAAGCGAGCTGAAACGTATCTCAGGGAGAACACAGCCGGGAAGCTTGAAAGGTGAGTTGACCGACACGGTACGAGAGTGGATCAGCATCATTTTCTTGACAGTTCGGCAAGAGTAAGCGCATCTGCTTCCACAAGTTCGAGTTTGTTCTGCATTGTAACTCCGACCCCGCTGCTCGTTGCTGGGACTCAGAACCAGTCTTCAACATCGAGCATTGGAAGTCAGCTTTTCCGGCGGGCGAGTCTCGGGATGTTCCGTATGTGTCTCGTTCGGAAATATGAAGCGATTTGCCGCCATTCACAAGCGATTGTAGCCGCTAGTTCGGTGCCAACTAGCATGTAGACTAAGGACTGGGCTGGGAAATTTAAAGAGCGAGATACGTACAAAGGGCAGCGGGTAACGTAACGGTGACGAGCTAATTCTCTATTTTTTCGGTTCAGGTCGCAGCAGCCTCAGCCTCAATTTGGATACCGTTTCTTCCATCTACTACGCTCACTGGACCAGCGACGCTTGAACGAGAATCGACAGTCGAATCGTCGCACGCTGACGGACATTCGAAATTGACCTCGGCGATGAGAGAATGAGCGAATGTCGAAGGATGTCACAGCACCACGTTGAGGGTCGATTGCAACTCCGATCCGGACAGATTTGTGAGTGCGACGTGGTCAAGTCGCCGCGATTTCGAACATCACGACGGACGAGCACAGCCAAGACATGCCGCCTCGGGTTGCTCGGTATTGTGCACTGTCAACAACATCAACAATGACTGTACGTGCGGCCTTCCATGCCTTGGATGATGGTCCTGATTCCGTAGCACGCAGGCATGGAGACGTTGTGTGGCTGTCCTTGCTCGGAACATGAATCCTCGGCGACTTAAGACCGCAATTTATTATAGATTGAAAAGTTTTTCTCGTCGACGATGATCCCGTCGACGTCCCGAGAAACCACATGTTTGGATTCCGCACCGCCTTGCAAACATTCTCTGAATTCAGCCTGGGCCAATTCTGATCCACGAATGGTGACGTCTCCTTATCCAGCGCCACTTGCGTACAAGGAAAGCGCGGGCGTTCACACCAGTCAACGGATCTGCCCTGCCTCTATCGCAGACGACGAGACTGCTCGTATGTTGCCGATTGGTTTCATTTCTTCGTCAGGCGTCCGCGAACGCTAGCTGTTCTACAGATGGTGGCGCTTGACATCTGCTCGCTGGCCTGATTGTGGCAACCTGAGACAAGGTTTGGCGTCGCAGGCGGTCTCGAGCGCGCAAATTAGAATTTGAACTGCCGCCTGAAGCAAAAGTTGCTAGGCTAGCATGATCGACGAGCATCGGCAACACGTATCACGGAGACCTCGTCCGAGAGCTACCGACGGCACGATGTCTCATCCCTCCCAAAGGCACATTGGTGCGGCAAGCCAAAATGTCGTGCTTGATTCGGATAACCGAGGTGTCTAAGATCGCCCGTCGCAAACACAGCGCGCCTATCGCTGTTGTGCCTTAAGCGAGGTGTCAGCGGCGGCAGCAATCTTTGACCAAGGACGCGAGTGACACTACCAGCCAGGCTGAGATAGCTCGCTCGGTCATACATCAGTGCATCATTCCGTCCCGGCATCTGGATGGCGAGGAGATCGCGACTGCGACGGTGCACTGCGGCTTGGTCGCTTCAGTCGCTCGCTGTCTTGAGTCGAAGCTAGTGATATGTCTTCAGACGTTAGGCCTCAAGGGCTTGACAATGTCAGAGCATAGCTTTCAGGGAGAGAAGTTTCGATGCTGTGCTTGTTTTCCGACGCTCCCATGTTAGGCCTCAGATTCTGTGATTGGTCGAGTCGCGCGTTCTACGATTTTACGATTTTGCAACGCGTCTTGACCAACATGCCCGACGCGTAAATGAATCCAAACGCGACTTTTGCGCTCTCGTGTAAATTGGCAAAGATGTTGGTGAAGCAGAAAGACTACACACTGCTCCTTCTAGGCGCGCGCGAGCGTGTGAAGTTCGTCGGTCGGTTGGCCAGGCAGCGAGGTGTTTTTGTCTCGTACTTGCTTCAGGCGAGAGAGTTGGTTGTGCCCAAACTGCGCAGATGCGCAAGCGAGCGTTTCCTCAGTCGAAGAATGTCGGTGCAATGTGTCTGCACGCTCATTTGTGTCCTCGGTACCCTCTCATCCTTACGAGACAACTTTGACTTGGCATTCACAACTCCACCATCCTCGTCCATCATCGTCCTCCTTTCCATCACCGCCCTACCAACTCTGATCGCACAACTCGTCTCGGCCTTGGACACCCCTTCTAGCAACGCTCAAGTAGAGTCGTCAAGTGGGCCATAGCGCCATATCTTCCCGCAGAATTTTCAGTGCCCCGGGGCAGCTCCAGTCAAGATGAGCCAGGCATACGACGACAGCACAAACCTTGATGTCCCCATCTTCCAGGACGATCTGCTTCGCGACAGGCAGCGAGTCTTTTCCGAGTTCCTCTCCAAGGACGAATACCAGGATGCGGTGCGTCGCATGCTCAGGATGGACGCTCGCCGGCTGATCATCAACATCGACGACCTGCGATCCTACAACCGCGAATTTGCTACCGGTCTCCTCAACGAGCCCAACGAGTATCTTCCTGCGTTTGATGCTGCTCTCCACATGTCGGTCGAGCTGGCGCACAATCCGCTCAAGGAGGACATCAAGGGCAAGCAATACTACATTGGCTTACGTGGAAGCTTCGGTGACCACCACGTCAACCCACGTACACTCCGCAGCGTCCACCTTGGCAAGATGATGAGTCTCGAAGGCATCGTCACCCGCTGCTCCCTCGTCCGCCCCAAGATCCTCAAATCCGTCCACTACTGCGAAAAGACACTCAAATTCCACCAGCGAGAGTACCGCGACGCTACAATGTACGGCACGCTTCCCCCATCGTCCACTGTCTACCCGACCGAAGACGAAAGCGGCAACAGACTCACCACCGAATACGGTCACAGTCTCTTCCGCGACCACCAGATGATTTCCATTCAGGAGATGCCTGAACGCGCCCCTCCAGGTCAACTACCTAGAAGTATCGACGTCGTCATGGACGATGACATGGTCGACCGATGCAAACCAGGCGACCGCATCCAGCTTGTAGGCATGTACAGATCGCTTGGCAACCGCGTCGGGCAGAGCTCATCCTCAACCTTCCGCACGCTCATGATCGGCAACAACCTCAACCTCCTCTCGTCCAAAGCCGGCGGAGGCATCGCTCAAGCGCACATCACCGACACAGACATCCGCAACATCAACAAGATCGCAAAGCGCAAGAACGTATTCAACCTGCTTTCGCAGTCCTTGGCGCCATCCATCTACGGTCACGAGTACATCAAAAAGGCAGTTCTGCTGTTGCTGCTCGGAGGAGAGGAGAAAAACCTCCCGAACGGCACCCACATTCGTGGAGACATCAACATTCTCATGGTCGGCGATCCTTCCACGGCCAAATCGCAGATGCTGCGCTTCGTGCTCAACACGGCACCGCTTGCCATTGCGACCACGGGTCGTGGCTCGAGCGGTGTCGGTCTCACAGCTGCCGTCACGACAGACAAGGAGACCGGTGAACGACGTCTCGAGGCAGGTGCCATGGTGCTCGCTGACCGGGGTGTCATCTGCATCGACGAATTCGACAAGATGAGCGACGTCGACCGCGTTGCGATCCACGAAGTCATGGAGCAGCAGACCGTCACCATCGCCAAAGCTGGTATCCACACCAGTCTCAACGCTCGATGCTCGGTCGTGGCTGCAGCCAACCCAATCTACGGCCAGTACGATGTTCACAAGGACCCGCACAAGAACATTGCGCTGCCCGATTCGCTCCTCTCTCGTTTCGATTTGCTCTTTGTCGTCACGGACGATGTCGACGAGCAACGCGACCGAATGATCTCGGAACACGTCCTGCGCATGCACAGATATCTTCAACCCGGGCTGGAAGAGGGTACCCCCGCTGTGGACAATCTCGATCAGGCGCTCGACGTCGGTGCGCCCGAAGGAACCGATGCCGATGGTGCAGCCATGCTAGGCGACACCTCGCCTTTCGAAAAGTACAACCCTCTGCTACACTCTGGCGTCACAGGCACTGGTCGTGGAAGCGACAAGAAGGAGGTGCTTTCGATCGCCTTCATCAAGAAGTACATCCAGTACGCCAAGTCCCGCATCCACCCTGTCTTGACCAAGGGCGCCGCAGAGTGGATCGTCAACGTCTACTCGAACCTGCGTAACGATGAGCTGTCAGGCAACCAGAAGCGCACCTCGCCCCTGACCGCACGTACGCTCGAGACGCTGATTCGTCTGGCGACGGCACATGCCAAGAGCCGACTGAGCAGCAAGGTGGAGGAACGCGACGCCGAAGCTGCCGAGGAGATTCTGCGTTTCGCACTGTTCAAGGAGGTGCTCGGTGGGCGACGGGGCATCAACAAGAGACGCCGAACCGGCAACAGCCCCATGAGCGACGACGAGCAGAACGACGACGATGACGACGACGATGACAGCGGGGACGAGGTCGCTCCGACAGACGCCAATGCAACGTATCGCAGCAGTCAGTCTGGACGTGGAGGACGCGGCGGTCGTCGGGCTGGACAGCGCTACGGTGAAGGCGAACACAGCAGCGACGATGATGACGACGAGGGTCAAAACGGCGTGCTTTCGTCGCAACGCTCGGCGCGATCCAACGGTGCGTACGCGACACGCGCTGCTGCATCGACACGCTCCAAGCCCAAACCGGCCATGATCGGACCAGGAGGCATGGACGAAGAGGCCTTCGACGACGAGGACGCACTGGAAGCCATGCGCTCCCTCGATGTGGAGGTGTTGATCCCTTCTCAGCCTGTCACAGCGAGCTCGTCAAGAGCCATCTCTGCGCAGAGGACCGAAGCCTTCAAGGAAGCACTCTCCGACCTGCTGTTTGCCTCCGACGGTCGATTAGCCGAGATGGACGCCATCCCTCTGGACGAGCTGCTGCCCGTGATGAACGAAGGCCGGCGTACCGAGGAGCTGTTCGACAGCAACGAAGCGCGCCAGGTGCTCGAACAGATGCACAGGGAGAACAGCATCATGTTCAGCGAGGACATGGTGTTCAAGCTTTGATTTTGCGCTATCGTATACCCTGCACGCTTGCTTGGCTCTTTTGTGGCAACATCCGTTCTCACGTCCGCTGTTATTGTAGTTACCCTGTTGTTGTCTTTGTCACGCTGTCCTTTATCAGATCTAGTCTTGAGAATTCGAAACGCACGTTCATTCTTGAACGACAATTGTGTGAGTCGCCTTAAAACTTTTTACAAGTGTCTGCCGATATGGACATGGGTGAACTTGCACCACTCTTAGCGTTGCAGAACGAGTTGGCGGAGAAAAGGCGCGTCGGAGGCTGAAAACAAGTAACAAAGGCCAAAGTGCGGGGAGCTGAGAATCGCTGCGACTGCTTGCTGCACCCTGACGCTTTCAGAGAATTGACTCCACTCCACAGCCGCGGACCCTGATTCGCGTGCCATCGCACCACCACATCCCGCATCGACGCCAGCATTCTCCCATCCCGCTGGCCATCAGTCTGACCTTTTCCAGGCTACATTCAAAGCTCATCAGGAGACTAGATCGGATAAGGAACGGCGCCTGTCTCGTGTGGACGTCTGCCACGCGTCCATCATGACAATGGCATTTCCAGCCCTTCATGGAGGGTCCTCTTCATCGCACCAGACAACGGCCAAGCTGGAACTCGACAACCCCGAGAAAGCTATCACACAGCTCAAAGCCATTCGAAACTCAGTCATTGGATCCAGAACCAAGAAATCCAATCTGGTCAACACTGGCATCATCGAGCAACTCGTCCAGCTGCTTCGCATGGATCTCAACTCGACTGCACACGCGTCCGATCTCGTCAGCCTCTCCGCTACCATCGTTGCGTCGCTCGCCAACACTCCGGCCCAGTCCACTCTACTTCAACTCATGCGATCCGGCACCCACGATGCTCTGCTCTGCTGCCTTCGAAACTTGAGCCACGAACTTAACCGATCCAAGCGTCACGTGCTGGATCAGCAAGAGACTGGCCTCGATGCTCTCAGGCTCCTCGAGTCCATTCTGAGGGCCCTTCGCTCGATCCTGCTGTCAGTAGCTAATCAGCTCGCAGCGAGCCCAAGATGGGGCATCGGCTCGAGTTTTGGTACCAAAGCCGCATCCTCCGGCGTCGCTATCGCTCGCAACGGCTCGAATGCCGCTGCATCCAAGATCTTCGGCAAGAGCAGTCGCGATTCTATCCCCGCCAAGTCGGCGACCATTCCAGATATCCTTATGAACAGCGCAAGCCATGACAATCTGAGGGCAAAGGTCAAAGAGCAAAGCGTCGAAACCGAGGCGGATGAGCAGCGCGAGCTACGCCGTCTCTCGAGACTGTTCCTCGACCAAATCTATGACCCGTCCAACTTGCCATATCTGCTAGGTCCGCTCTTCATGTGCGCCGTGCCTGTGCAGCAGGCATCTGCAGCGCTGTCGGCTTCTCCGCGACCTGGCAAGGCGTCCTTGCCGACTCAAGCAGCGAGCTCTTCAACAAGCACGACGGCCAGTGCCAGCTCTCCACGCATCTCGGACTACCACCTGCACACACCGGCATCGAATTCCGCCGCAACGACTCGAGCGATGCTGGACGTCGAGTCTCTGCCGATGACAGTAAAGACTCGGATCCTGAGCGTGATCGAGATGGTCTGCGCCATCCTTTCAGCGACCCTCTTCATCCCTGGTGCAAGCTCCGAATCGTTCGGCAAAGCAGTGAGCTCGATCTCAGAGCAGATCTCGCGTCGACGAGAGAGGATTCTCTCCTTTACCGAATTCGATAGCCCTTTCGTGCCAGGTTCCATCGCCGAAACGACATCCCGTGGTCGCTCAGAGGCGGTTCCGGTCAGCCGAGTCGCTCCTGAGCTGCAAGCTGAGGTCATCCGCAAAGGCTCACGATCCCGATCGCGCATGAAGGACGCAGATGGTGTCGACACGTTTGGCGCACTTCCGCTGCCACCGTGGCATGAAGATATCACAGACGCACTACGAGCCCAGCCTGATCTTGTCCCCTCTGGTCCTGCTTCTGTGCTCACCGTGCTGCTCGCGGCTGCCGAGTGCGGGTTTGCCAAAGCGCAGGAGGCAGCGCTCTACTGCCTCGCCGAGATCACGCGCGATGAACCGGAAGCATCGCTGCGGCTCTTCCACTGCACAGCGCCGTCCGGCATGTTCCCGACCTCCGTCTTGCTTGGTCTTCGTCAGACCAGCAGCGCCAACGTCCGACTCGCCGCATTTGGATGCCTCGCCAACATCATCAAGGTCCACCCTTTTACCGCCAAGACGAACCAGTGCGTGCTCGAAGTGCTGATGGAGCTGCTTGATTACACCCCCGCTGGAATGCCGACGACAGCGTCGAATGTTCCAGCGTCGCAACTTCAGGGATCGAGTCAGGTCGAGATACAGATCCAAGCAGCGTTCGCTATCGCTCGGCTCGTTGCCGACAACGTCACGTTGCAGACGTTGGCCACGGAAAGCTACCATGCGCTGCAAAAGCTCGCCTCGCTCCTCGACAAAGCGTGTACACGCAGTCAACCTGCTAGCAGCGCGAAGGTGGAACGTGCGAACGCCGCAACGACCATCCTCGGAAACATTGCGGTCAGCACGCCTCGCAACGATGCCAGCACGATCGGCGTGGCTCCGCCCACCATCGACGAATCCGCCATCCGACTCCGCGAAGCCTGCTTGACCGCACTAGCAGCGCTCACCTTCCAGCACGACGAACCACGTCGCAAGCTGATCGACACCGTCCAACCACCCGTGCTGGCTCTGGTGGTATCGAGTATCAGCTTCCCTGCTCTAGGTGTCAGGATCGCTGCTTGTCGGTTGAGCCGAGCACTGTCTCGCAGCCTTTCCATCTTGCGCACGTCCATCGTGGACGCTGGAGTTGCGCCCAAGCTGGTTGCCCTGCTTCAGGATCCTGCGGAGGAAGAGGTGGTCAAGGTGGAGGTGGCCGCTACGATCTGCAATCTCGTGTTGGATTTCAGTCCGATGAAGAAGGTGATCCAGGAGCTGGGTGGAGTTGACACGCTGGTGGAGCTCGCACACGGAGGCGGTCTCAAGCATGTTGATGAGGACACAGGATATACGTTACAAGCAGCCGCTACGGTACCGGGTAGCGCACCGGCCGTTTTGGGAAAAGTTGGCGATCCTCACGTTGGCTTGTCTGGATCTCAGCAGCTTCGGTACCACGCACTGTGGGCGCTCAAGAACTTCCTATCGCATTCCGACACGGCTCTCAAGGTGGATTTGATGGCGAAGCTAGATTTCGACTTTATCGCGACGCTCTGCGAGTCTCTCACAGTCGAATCGGCGCTCAAGGAACAAGCGTTGAACATCATCCGCAACGCAGCAGCGACCAAGGAATCCGACGTGTCCTTCATGGTGGATGGCATGGGAGGTGGCGCGCGACTCATGTCGATCTTGGAAAAGTGTATCTGGGGCGGTCGATCGGCAGGAGAGCCGGGAGCGGCGGTGATCGAGCAAGCCGCTTTCGTCCTAGTCAATGTGGCGACGGGAACGGATGAACACAGACAGCTGATCCTGCGATCCCCGAACATCATGGATGCGTTGGGATTCTTCTGCAACCACCCGTGGAAGGATGTCAGGGTTGCAGCGGCGAGGTGCATCGGAAATCTATTGACGAGGAGCAAATCGAGTTCGTCGACGACAACGACGGATTCGCAGAGCGAGGTGGTGAGTGGAGACGTGTTTCCGGATCTGCACTCGGAGGCAAAGGCGAGGTTGACAAGGTTCGGATTGGATGTCAAAGTGCGAGAGATGGCTCAGAACGATGTGGAACTGGATGTGAGGGAGAGGGCAAAGTATGCTCTCAACAAGCTGGGTACGGATGCCAAGTGATGGCTCTCTTCTGCAACCTCTTTCCCCAAGAATGGAGGTTTGTCGCCTCTACAGCTGTATCTGGCACAGCCCTTCGGACAAACATGTGAAAGTGTTGAACAGAAAACGATGTATTGCAAATTCATCACGCATCTTCCCGCATGTATTACTTCTTATCCTTGCCCTCCTCCTTCGGCTTAGGAGGGGTCAACTTGAACGCCTTTGGTTTGTAGCTCTCACCCTCACCGACCTGTTCCCACGGCGAGTTGGCCTCGAAGTTCCTGAACGCCTGGGTCAACTGAAGGGGTTCGCTGACGACCCTCTTCTTCTCCTCGTCGTACCTCACCTCGGTATAACCTGTGAGCGGGAAGTCCTTCCTGAGCGGGTGACCTTCGAAGCCGTAATCGGTGAGGATCCTCCTGAGATCAGGGTGACCGATGAAGAAGACACCGTACATGTCCCAGATCTCGCGTTCGTACCAGTCGGCGCTGCGGAAGATGCCGGTGGCGGAGGGAACGGGGTGGACCTCGTCGGCGTAGGTCTTGACTCGGATGCGTGCGTTATACTGGACGGAGAGGAGGTGGTAGACGACTTCGAAGCGTTGGGAGCGCGTGGGGTAGTCGGCGCCGGAGATGTCCATGCAGGCACGGAACTGGGTCTGAGTGTGATCGCGGAGGAAGGTGAGGGTGGGGATGACGGCGTCCGGTGCAACGTACAGGGTGAGCTCGTCCTTGACGACGCTGAATTGCTGGATGAATCGAGGCAGACCTGCGAGACGTGATGGGACGGCGGAGGCACAACGGGTGAATTTGTATCGGTAGATGTCAAGCATCAATGAGAAACCAAGAGCGTCAGTATCGATCAGTCATAATCAGGTCTTGCTCCTAATCGAAACGTACAAGAAGTGATGTAGCTGCCAAAGTCGTGCAGCGGACCAGCAACCTCGGTGTACTTGTCTACCGGATTCGAGCCAGCCGACTCGAAGAAGGGGCTGACAGAGTTGACGCGATCACCCTTTCCATCTCCCTGAATCGTAGGACGAGCAGACGACCTGGAGATCGAAGAAGAGAACGCGCGGACGCTGACAGGAGCCGCTGCGGGGATCCTCAAGCTGGACGAAGTGGCGTTCCTTGCCGAGACGGCTCGGAATAGTGTGCTGGATGCGAGCGAACGGGCCGACATGATTGCGAAGGAGTCCAACTCTCTTGATCGTAGGAAAGAGGTGTCAATCGGCGGATGGTGAGGAGGTGGTGCCAACGAAGGTTTGATGGTATCGACGATGTGAGAATCGAGATAGGTGGAGAAGGATTGGCGGATCTGAGGATTTCTGTGGATGACAAATTGGCTTGGGTTGAGCGGTGTGCTGCTGCTGTACTCTTTCTGTTGCTCTGCAGCGCGATCGCAGCCTGAGCGTGCCAATATCGGTTCCGAAAACTAATCGCGAATTCGTCACGGCCGGAAGGAATCGGTCTAACATTTGAACTTTTTCGGATCACGGATTCTAGACACGATTGTTTCCTGGAATGTTTTGTGATACCTCATGCATCTTCTTGCCAAGTACACTCCAGCGACTCTGCAACAACCTCAGCCTGACGTCCAGAACAAAGACGACCATCTCGTTGCATATCAGGTCCCAGGAACGACCCCCTACTGAGCGCAATTGGAGCGCAGAAAGACATTACGCCATGCCCAGAGCGCGAGGCGGACGAACATCCAACGGCTCGACCACATCCAACGAGCCTGACTCAATAGCATCAACATCAGCTGCCGCCGACACAGACGCAATATCCACAAACGGCCACAATGATGCCTCAGCTCAGCTCGCACCGATCGCTAGCTCGTCCAAAGACCCGTTCACCTACCACTCGGTCGAACTAGCATCCACCGATGCACTCCCCTACTTCGATCGAGACCTCGAACTTCAGCCCGGCCTTCGATCCCGCGTAGATGCACTGATAGCAGAAGAGCAAGCCTCCCTCCCACCCATCGACCCATCCACATCATCACGACTCCCACCAGCATACGAGCCCTTCAGCACGCGGCCCGATCTCCGCGCCGAGCTGGACCGCATCGGTTCCGGTCAACCTTCCACGCATACCCTCGATACCCAACGCTACACCCTCCCCTCCCCGTCCTCTGGTGAAACCGCATCGCTCTCAGAATGGCAGTCCGCGGTCGACTCCGCGCACGCTCAATTGGCGCACATGGACGTCCGGTTGAAAAACATTGAACTACTCAAAAAGTACGGTAGCAACTCTTGGAGGCTCTCGAACTTCCAACAGGAGCAAGAGATCCGGTTGATCTCGGAGCAGCTGGATGCAGTCAAGGGCGAGACGAACGAGGTAAACAGGTTGAGGCAGAAGGATCAGCTCGAGGCGGGCGCCAAGCTGACGACGTTGGAGAAGAGGTGGACCGAGTTGATCTCGAGAGGCTTGCAGTTGGAGGTGGCGAATGTCACGACGAGGGAAGTGGTGGAGGTGTTGAAGAGTAAGAAGCGGAGGCTGGAGGAGGAGTTGCGTCGATTGGAGTGAGATTGACGGTTCGGAGGGTCTCGGTGGGAGGCTCTAGTTCTTTGGCTTTTTAAGATTGTTGGTGTATCTTGAGAGGTTGCACCACACGCTCCTGCATTCATTTGTATTTGTATCACGTACTGTGCACATTCTGTTCGTCACAGCAAGCTTTCCATTGAGATGACCTCTAACAGTGTCGACACTCGTCTCAGCGTCTAGAGCAGCACGAAACATCGTAGAAGCCGATCTTGGGCAAGTTGAGTCGCTACACCGCCGAGCATATTTTCTCCGCGTTCCGAGAAAGCGAAAAATGAAGCCGCACGAAGTGTGCAAGCTCTCCTCGACGAATGTCGCTCTCGACCTCTCCACCAAAACTTTCTTCTTCCTTGCAAAACTTCGGCATCAGTGCTCACAGGACATCATGGCGTCCTTGAACACAGCACAGGAAGCCGAAACCAGCTCGGATCGTTCTTCGGAAGCTTCGACGAGCTACAAAAGCAACCTTCCGGACAAAAAGACCTTCATCGCAACGCTTTCAGGCGGTGCTTTCGTCTTCGGTCTAACGGGCGCGACAATCTATGGACTTCGAAAGGCGAAGTTGCAAGCGCTGAAAGAAGCACAGGAGCTCGCAGAGGCCGCTAAAGCTGGCGCAACGTCGGGCGGCAACCCAAGTGCTATCGTGATGGGGTCTAGATCTGCGGCTCCTTCGGCGTTGTCACGACCTATGGCACGAAATGTCGGGCAAGCTGCGCCAGTCTCAGTAGAGGAGCAAGTGCCGGGATCTACAAGCGCTTTGGCGCTCTTTAAGCAAATGAACGCAGCCATCATGAATCCGGCAAAGAGGGCAAATCGGACGGTAGCGCCAACTTCGGTGTTCGATGATGAAACAGGGGCGCTGCCTAGCGTACTACGGAAACGAAAACCACAGTCAAACACTTCTGCACCAGCTCCAAGTAATCGCCCTCATGCGTCAAATGTCGGCTCAACTGCAGCGACCTCTACTTCAGCCACAGCAACAGCCACATTACCCTCGTCTGCCGATCCCAAGATCGACTACAGCGAGATGGACTCGACGCTCGATTTTCTCGGACTCTCCACCCCTGTCCCGGCAGAAGAGCAACGCAGATTGCACGAGCTCGAGCAGACCGCTGCCGCCGACTCAAAACCACGAGGATTCTTCGACTCTCCCGTCGGCCTGTCCCTCAAAGCGTTCCTGATCGCCACCTCGATCGTGACCTTTTCGACGCTTGCCACGGTCGAGCTAACAAAATGGACGTTGGGAGTGGAGACGATGGACGAATTTGTAGTAGCGATGACCAAGATCATCCCGAGCAGGACTCGCGGTGAAGAGAGTCTGCAGGGTGCTGCTCCGCACATGAGGGTTGTACGCGATCAAACCGATCTTCCTACTACCACCGCAACCGCATCAGCCACACCACCGAAATCCGTCGATCAAGCACTGACCGACCTCAGCAACGCCTCCAGCTTCGAAGAGTGGATCTCGACGCTCAAAACTCAACTCGACACGGAACGCGATTTCGAAGTCTCCCGTCGCTTCTCCACCCTCCCTAACACCAATTCGAACGATTCCATCTCGACCTCTTCCAAGCCTTACACCATCCACTCTCCTCTAGAAGATCTCGAGAGCAACCACGACGACAACGATGATTCGACCCTCCGACGGATGCTCTCCATCTCTCCAGTATTGCCGTCTACAGCGTTCGGATTGGGTCTCGTATCGGGCGTGTTGACGTTCGGTCGCAAAGCAGGGTTGGTCTTTATGGCGGAAAACGCACATCGATTGCCGGACACGGTGCAGGGATGGTATTTTTACTCAAAGACGAAGAACTACAAGGTGCTGTTGGGTGCGGCAAAGGGGGGCTTGAAGCAGGGCGCGAGGCTGGGTGTTTGGACCACTGGATTTTGTTTTGCTGAACGTATGGCGGAGCTCACGCGGGTGGCGGTGCAGAGGCAGTTTACGGGCGGGAAGAGTGACGGGGTGAAGGTGGTGGGGCATTGGACGGACGGTGCTTTGGCCGGCGTGGCGACGGCAGGGGCGGCGACAGCGTTGTACAGGTTGCCCAGGGCGAGCGCGGTGAGGGTGTTCCAATTGGGGCTGTTGGCGGGGGCGAGTACGGGTGGAATCAGGGATCTGCAGGAGAGGCTGGTGCATCGGGAAATCGGTGGTGTTGCTAGTCAAACGTAGCGCGCATGCCAATTCAATTGGCAAATCACTTGCACATCGAGCACCAGGGTCTGACCTACGAACTAGGTCGGAGGCTGAACCTGTCGCTGCTCGGAGGTGAACTGGGGCGTCTTGCCAGAGTGAGCGTATTGGTCGGCCGCGCTGTTGGGCACGAAGGACTCGGTGAGCTTTTCTTGCCTCTGCTTCTTTTTCAGCTCGGTGTCGATACCGTAGCGCTCGTCTCTTTGCTTGATCATGTCGTCGGGAGCTCCGCCATACTTTGGATCGGTCGGCATCATGAGACGAGGTGGCCCGAGCGGAACGTCCGACGAGGGCGGGTGCCAGAGATGACTGATTGGACAGGGCGTGGGACCGACAAGCGAGGAAGATTCGATCAGCAGGTAAAAGGTGAAACACATATCAGCCATCGTTCCACGTTTGACCGGTGCATAATTCTTGCTCCGACGATTCTTGTCGGTGCTGAAAGGATGCTCACATTGCTTTCCCATATAGCTTCTTGACTTTAGCCAGCGCGGCCATTTCGGCAGCGTCGGGTACCGCACCACCCGTCGCACCTGGACCAGCAACTGACTTGAGGGCATCCTCTGCGCTCTTGAGTGCTCCAGCTGCGGCGTCGGCAACGGCACCGACTCGGAGACCGATAAGCACCAACGATCCGCTCATGACTTCGTAGACGTGAGAATGCCAGTACTTTTTCTCGTCTTCGGGGAGCTGCAAGAACTTGTGTTCGGGAATCATGTATTCAACTCCGATGAGTTTGGCATCCGGATCGTCGGATTCGTAGATGAGACACTGGAAATGGTCACCGGTGGCACTGCATGAGCAGTAGTGCACGGACGAGACAACTTCGCCTCGCTCATCGGCGACAACGTGGTAGGCATGGAGTGCTTGATGGATCTTGTCGACCGGTGCGAATCTGTTGACCATGTCGTCGAGGATGAAGTGAGATCGGGAAATGAGAGATGGAGTAGGTGGTGCAAGGTCGCTCTGGGGCTTGAATGGACGGTATCAGTCTGAGGCTCGCACCGTACGCAACGATCCAATACTTTGTAAAGCACACGTCTCAGTCAGCACAACCGTGACCGTGATCAAAAGTCGCTTGGACGATGCGGTCATGGCGTAGGTTAGCCAAACAAAAGAGCAAGCATGATGTGTAATTTTCTCTTGGGCGCCTGTCACAACTCACGTTCATGCATCGGTCAATTTCGCGATTCCTTGAGGTTGAGTCGCGTTTAACCTCGGTGAGAATGCATCAGCTGCTCACGAGTTCAAGAAAACACTGAGTCGAGATTGGGCTTGCGAGCGACACTACAGCATTGGCGCTGCAGCTGCTGTATATGCGACTCTGAAGGTGGTGTCCATCTCAATCTTGGTCGAGCTGAACGTGCTTCCTTGCGACGAGATTTTGATGCCTCTTGCCGCGATTCCGGAATGAGTGGTAGGTCGAGAATCACGATGTTGCGATTGCGGTATCTGCAGGGTCGAATCCAACCTGCATGATGAGCCGAATTGAGACCGAGATTGTCGGAGTGCCTGTTGGTGTCGAACGCGATCTCGGACGCTGCCGAACCGAACGCCAGGCGCTGCGTGATGGGAGATGAGGAGCGCGGGGCAGCTCAGCTATACAGTGTACTACAGTACACTGAGAATCGCCCAAGTCGCCGAAGATGAGACACAGACGTCGGCACAGCCTTGCTTTCACAACTCTCGAACAGACTGGATGCAAGCAAAAGCTGCGACGCATGGCATCTCGATTCTATCGGTAGATCCACTGCACCACAAATCACATCTGGAATCTGCAACTCCGACGAGAATCGGTATCAGACACAGTTTCGAGGAGAGGAGAGAGGTAAGATGTCAATATTTCTAATATTTAAAATCACGAAATCGAGATATGCTGCTATACTTGAAAGCTGGCCACAGTGCAGCTGTGTACAGTTAACGATGAGCGGGGCCTGGATTTCCAACGCAGGATCGGCTGCTTGCACCGTGGCCAGGCCACGCCCAAGCTAAATAAGCGAAGCCAAAGCCGTCGCTTTATCCGCCTCTCTCATTTTCGCGGTGCTGCATGCTTTGCCGTTGAAGCAAGGCAGAAGGCGCCTCTGTCGAATCCGAATTGGCGGAAAGGGCTTGCTTTCTCGTGGTTTCGTTTCCCTGCATCGAATCGAATGAACGGCACTTTCGGATTGCAGCCGCGTCCTGCCGGTTCGTTCCTTCTCCGCAAATACCTCAACCTGTGCCCGTCTGCGACGTTCGACTTTCTCTGCACGAGGTCACCCTCACCACCATCTCTTCAACTCGCTCACCGTTCACTATATCTTATCAATCGCTGTGACGTTTCTCCACCCTTCCGCCAGCGACTGCCTCTGATGCTGCCGTCACGCCCATAGCTCACCTTCATCGGGCCAACAACTGCCATCCTCTCCTCAATCTCACCCGAGTCTCGCACGCCATGTCCAGTCGACCCCTTTCGCCGCCGCCGCATCGTCGTGGCTACTACGAACCCCCGCCATATGCTCGTTCCCGCCAAGATTCGTACCACGACCAACGTCGCGCATCCTCTCATCATCATGCTGCCGTCTCCGAATGCGCTTCCTCCTCAAGCCGCGCAGACATGATTCCTCCCGCATCGGCTTCTGCTTTTGCCGCTGCTTCTTATCATCAGCAGCACGCTTCCGCATCCAACACATTGCCGCCATCAATACAGCGACCCATGCACCAGCTCGTACCTGAACAGCAGCTCCAACTCGCCAACATTCAACGCTTCACCCCTTCCTGCTCGCGATGTCGTCAGAAGAAGCTCAAATGTGACACCAACCTCCCCTGCAATCAGTGCATAGCAAAAGGCGTACACAACGACTGCCGCAAGGACTCCAGAGTCCCACGAGGCAGGAAGCGTCCTAAGCCCACCCCCACCTCCGCCTCCTTCGACAGACCAGAAGATGAAGTCGCTTCGCTTCGCAAACGCGTCAAGCAGCTCGAACAGATGATCGCCTCCAACACCGCGCCGAGCGCAGCTTCCGAACCTCGCTCGCCTTGCGCCAGTAGCCAACGACCGTCCAACAAGCAAGCTCTGTCGTCACACAAGCTCGGCACCAGCTCGCGCGGATCTCAGACCTCCGTTCCCTCCGAGATCGGCTACTCCAATTCACGCGAACGCCGCAGCCTCGCTTCTCCCTCCTTGGACTCCGAAGAAGAAGAGGTAGCTGAGATGGAGACCTCCTTGACTACGCTCGAGAAACTCGCCGCCTCGGATCCCCGCGTCAGCGAACCAGGCCACGGAAGAGCAATGCACAAGCACATCAACAGCATGTCCTCCAGCCGCCTTCCTCGTAGGGTCTCCAGCTCCTACTTTGCTGCTCCCGCCGCATTCAATGAGCGCATCGAGATGATCATGCTCGCCAAGCGTCTTTTGCCCCCAAAGAAGCTCGTCGACGCCCTCATCGACACCTTCAACCTCCGTTGTCACAATCTCGTCGGTCGAATCATCCACATGCCCTCCTTCCAGAAGGCCGTCGACTTTTTCACTCATGCCAGCGTTGAAGAGATCCTAACCTGTCCCCACGACATGAACGATCTCTGTCTCTACTTGATGGTTCTACGTCTTGGCTTACGCTTCTATCCTTGGAAAGGCGGCATGTTTATCGACGACACCACGCCAGAGTTCATTGCGATCAACGCTCTCAAGAACCGTGGAGACGATATCTCTCTGCAATGGCTCAACTTGGCCAAGCGAGGCTTGGCTCTCGACCGCAGTTTCAGTCTCAACTCTGTCCAGGCAATCCAGACGGCCATCCTCATGATTCTAGATGGACGTGATTCTCCCGCCTACCTCCGCATGCTCTTGCGCATCTCCATCCAGACCGCCCTCGACATGGGCCTGCATCGTCTTGGCAACGCCATGCCCTCTTCCAAGAGCCCCGAGGACGACATTGTCAATATCGAGTCCGGTGTGCGAGTCTGGTGGTATCTCGTCGTCAAAGATTGGTGCTCGGCACAGCGCGAAGGTGCCTACACCATACACCCATCCCAAATGACTACCCGTAAGCCTCTACACACCACAGATGCACGTCTCTCCGACGGCCTCACCGATGAGATCTCGCTCGACCACTACTGCGAGTCCAGCTATACGCTCTGCCAGATTGAGCTCGCCAACATTATTCGAGAAAGCATCGATTTGCGCAACGAACAGAGCATTCTTGGCGGCGCCTACGATGTCATATCGCCCAATAACAAAAAGTTGCTCCACGTCAAGCTCGAAACTTTCCTCAACGAACTGCCGCCTTTCTACCGACTTCACAGTACCGAGATGCGTCCTGGTGTTTTGGCGGTGCAGAGATGCCTCTTGCACCAACAAACCTTCGATGTACTGCTCAAGCTCAACCGTAAAAGCCTGTCCTCCTACAGCGAGCGTGCCACTTGTGTCATGCTCGCCGAGCAGATCGTCTCGACTCAGAAGCTGCTTCGTAGCGTCTGTCCCGTCATTGATGGGTTCTGGGTCAACTTCTTGCATCTTTTCGGTGCCACCTTGACGCTCACTATATCGCTGCTGCTCGACGACGACATGTCGGAAGAGGTCAGGGATCGACGACGCGACAGAGTCCACACCGCGCTTGCCACTATGCGAGAAACACCTGGATCCGACCGCGGCAGTCGTATCATCGAAACCTTGCTGGAGGAGGAGCAGAAGCATTGGGCGGCGCTTGAAGATGGGTCAGGTCGTCGTCCACTCGATTTAGCTGGATTGACCGAGCGGATCGTAGCTCAGGCTTCGGAGCTGGCCGAGACACCTGCTCGGATCGACAGCACTGCCTCGTCCATGCCAGGTTCCAGCTTCAGTCACACCACTGCACAAAGCATGTCTCGTGCCGGAGGTGTGGGGGCCTTGACCTGGGACACGACACCGGACGAATCGGTCGTCCCGGCGTTTGCCTCCTCATGGGGCGTCGATATCACCGATCCTACGGGTCTCCTGAGTGTGTTGATGCCGCGAACTCCTGACGACGGACACGCGAACGGACTCTATCCGGACGAACCGTACGTGTATCAACGACACAATGCTCGACCGTATGAACACAGCCTTAGACCCTGGCAAGAGCCTAGCCAGGGAGTGGCCTCTGGTCATCTCTCTGCCGCCGATGGCAGCGAGAACAATCTGTGGGAGTGGATGTTCTCGCAGGCAGCGCTGCTGCTTGGACCCGAACCACCGGTCGAGGGTGATCCACAAAACCCGGCTGCAAACTCACACCCGGCGGTTGCTGCGACTTCTGCCCGGACGCCACAGAATGGCGCCCACGTTGCACACTCTTCGCCAGCAGGTGTGCGGAGTGAGGAATCACATCGTCAACAAAGCGACGTCTCGAGTGGAGCGAGCGCATACCCTGGCAGGCACAGTGGACATTCCCCGTACTCGCAAGCACCAAACAGCAGCATGTATACTCGCTCGCCACGTGCCTCGGCCACCACGGCGCCCTCCGCGCTGTCCCCGCTCTCGACTCATCAAGCATCCTCATCTACGCTCTACCACTCTTCGCTTTCCCCCGATCGTGCTGCCAAAGCAACAGCGGACGGCGTCTACGGTCATCCTTCGCCGAGTCGAAGATGGTCTGAGCAACGACACAGGTTTTGACCCACAAGTCGTACCCTGTCCTTCACTGCTACATTTTTCCATTCCGCATACATAGATGGATGAGGTGATCTGTATCAGTATTAGCAGCCCTCACTTTTTGCAATGTCTATTCAGTTTCGGATTCAAAATGCATGGTCGCCCCGATGAAACCACTCTCGGACCTCCCGTACTACTCAGAGACAGAGACACATTCGACCAGCTCTCACGCACCCCATCCCGCTACTGAGTTCAAGAGTTGTGAATTTTTCCACCGTACCCATCACGCAGCTCACCTATTGCCCGCACCACTCTTGGTAATCGCCACAGCAGCCAACACGGCGACACCCAGGAACCCGATCGCCGCAGGCAACGCCAAATCCTTCTGCAGCACACCGAACAACAGCTCCTCCTCCTTACCGCTCGACTTCTTCACTTTGCTCACCTCTTTCTCTTCCACGTGTTCCTTCTCCTCTTCTTCGGCTACACTCTGCAGTTGCGCTTCTGCGTTTTCCCTCGCCTGCTGACGTTTCCGTGCGGCCAGACCGGAGGCGGTGGTAGACGTGCGCGCAGCTGCATCCTCCCACCCACGCCCGCCTTGCAAGAGCAGCACGACGCGGTCCCTGCCTTGCTTGCGTGCGACCTTGACGCTGTCCTGCACATCGCCGTCGGCGGTGATCAGCACAACGTCGTCTTCGTCATCCGTGTACGCCAGTTGGAAGTCGTTCGGATCAGGCACCTCAGCTGCACCGGGCGTAGACGGCTGCGCATCGCCGTTCGCTTCCCCGAGATCGTATGCGGGGGCACTGGAGGCGGAAACGGGATCGAAGAATGGATCGCCACCGAGTTTGATGCAGACAATCTCTCGGATGGTCTCGTAGCTGTCGTATCGCGCCTGGAATCGATGTGTCCTGCCAGACGGCGTAACGAACTTGAACAGATACGTACCGTCGTCCGCCTCCACAGCAGCTGATGAGGGAACACCAACAGCACTTGCTCCATCATCGCCGTTGACCTGGTGGCCGACAGCGCTCGCCGAATCGTTGGGATGCAGATCCGATGAGAGATCGGCAACGCCACCACCGACCTTGCTTGGCGTAGGCGGTTCAAACTGGCTTTCGGATTGACGCATGCTTCCGGAGACGATCGACTCGTCATCGCCGGCGATCGAGTTGGTCTGACCGAACGAGTTCCAGAATCGGTTCCACATGGGACCACCAGCGGCACCGTCGGCACCACCCTGTTCCTCGTTCATGCTGTTGATCTGTTCCAGCGTGGCGTAGGTGAGCTTGAGGACGTCGACGACACCGACGAGACGGCTGTCTACATCGACGACGGGCAAATTGAGGTATCTGCCGTCGTGCATCTTTCGAAGCGCCTCTTGAATAGTGAGCGAGGGAGGGGCAGTGTCGGGGTGCGGTGTCATGACACGAACGACGGAGCAGGTTTTGGGGTCCAGACCAGCGGCGATGACACGCAAGACGACATCCTTGGAAGTGAAGATACCCGCGATCTTGCCCGAGACAGCGCCACCGCCGCCAATCTGGCCAGTGCCGGGACCGGATCCGGTGGACTCCATGACACAGACGGCGGTGGTGTGGTGCTCCTTCATGAGTCGCGCTGCTTCGCGCACCGTGGTTCGGACGCCAACGCAGCAGGGCAAGGTGCGCGAATCGAGGATGGTGGTCAGGTCGGGGATGCTCATCTTCTGTCGAAGAGCTTCAATGTACTGAAGCATGGCCTGCTGAGGACCGGCGGAGCCACCCCATTCGCTCTGTACACCTTCGAGCGCGTTGTAGAGCTTCTGCGATGATCCGTGTGCACGCTCGAGCTTTTCCAGAGCTTCGTAAAACACCTTTGCGATGTCGAGCAGACCGACGACGTCGCCGTCCTCGTTGCAGACGGGGAGGTGACGGAAGCCACGCGTGACCATGGTGTTGAGAGCCTCGGTGGCGGAGGTGGTGTCGCGGGTGACCATGGGCGAGCGGGTCATGATGGCGGATACGGGCGTGTTTCGTGCGTCCAGACCAGCAGAGACGACGCGGAAAGCCAGATCCTTGGCGGTGAAGATACCGGCGAGATGCTCGTCCTCGTCCACCACGAGCACACAGTCAGTGCGCTTGGCAGCACACAGCTGACTGGCATCGGCGACGCTGATGGACTGCGGCACGGTGAGTGCAGGCAGAGGTCGGAGGGCAGACACGGTGCCCGCAGCGGCAGCAGGCGGACGAGCGGTGCGCTTTGTTCGGCGCGACGACATGGGCGTCGAAGGTTTGCCCGACTTGCGCTGGAGTTCGCCTTCGATCTTCTTGCGGATGGCTTCGTCCCGCTTGGACTGACGCTTGCGCGTGTCGGTGGCATCGCGGAAGCTGCTTGTGGAGCTCATGTTGGAGACCGAGGTGGAGCGTGGTAAGTTGGTGGAGTTCTGCAAGGGGCTGGGGGATTGATCCTCTTGACGAACGGGAAGAGGGATTCGCGACATTCACGGCGAGATGAATGTGTCGATAGCGATGGTGGAAGGGGGAGGACAGCGACAACGACGAAGGTGGAGCGGCACGATACGGAGCGGTGCCGACACTGTAATCACAAGCCAAAACAGAAGGCAAAGAGGCAAAGAGGCAAGGCAGGCAAACGGGCGTTGTGTTGCTCTGAGCGGCTGTGTGTGTGTCCGTGTTTTTCTTTTCTATGGGTGTGACTGCACGCTGCGCTCTGTGTGTGTGTTGGCCAGATAAAGTGTTATTTTGATTTCCGCTCTCACCAACCCTCTTGATTTCATGCTGAGACGATGGACGACCAACACTCACTGCTCAAGTGCTCTCATTGATTTTTCGGCGCGCTTTCCGAGGCACTCTTGCCTGCTCGCAGTCTGTTTGCCTCTGGTCTGATAGCTCGATACGCGGCAACTGTTCAGGTGTCAACCCTGTTGGGCGTCGTGTCTTGCGGCGTCGGCACAAGCCATCGCCTTCGGAAACCTGCCGCCGGTGCTTTTGCTCCTGGTCACAATCAAAGTCTGGCTAACTTACTGCAAGAAGCGTGTTCTCTGACACTGCGCGTTCTCCGTTGCGCCTGTGATCCCCAATTCAAGCGCAGAGTTGAGCGTGCTGCAAGCCGGGCTCTGAGTGCTCTCCTTGACATTGGATCACCGTCACGTGTCGGATTTTTTTTCAGTCCTGAATCAACTGATGGCGTAACACTCTTGATCTTGTTTGCCGCTCCAGCCATGTTGGAAGCTCAGCCTCGTCGTTCCTTCCTGTCACTGTCCATCTTCCACATCTCTCATTCAGCTATTGTCGCAACTCCCACCAGCGGTGTCCACATCGCACATCGGTCCAAGCCATGGGTGTCGTCGAAAAGATCAAGGAGCTCGAAGATGAGGTAGCAAGGACACAGAAGAACAAGGCAACAGAGTATGTCTCTCCATCGTCTCGTAGAAGAACGAGATCGGCCAACGTATCACTGACTCTCCCTTTCTCATCTCTCTGACACTGTTCCCGCTCTCCAACAGATACCATTTGGGCCAGCTGCGAGCCAAGATCGCCAAGCTTCGCCATGAGCTGCTCGAGCCGCAAAAGAAGTCGGGCAAGCCGGGCGAGGGCTTCGATGTCATGAAGTCCGGTGATGCACGAGTAGCGCTCATCGGTTTCCCTTCGGTCGGAAAGTCGAGCTTCCTCTCGAAAGTCACCGACACCAAATCCGAGGCTGCTGCTTACGAATTCACCACGCTCACATGTCAGCCCGGTGTGCTCGAATACGAAGGCGCCAAGATCCAGATCCTCGATTTGCCAGGTATCATTGAGGGCGCTTCCGAGGGAAAAGGTCGAGGTCGACAGGTCGTCGCTGTGGCCAAGACGGCGGATATGATCATCATCATGCTCGACGCCACAAAGCCAGATACGCACCGTGCGCTGCTCGAAAAGGAACTCGAGGCGGTCGGCATCCGTCTCAACAAGACCAAGCCTGACGTAGTTCTGCGCAAGAAGAACACGGGCGGCATCGTCATCACCAAGGCAATGGGCTTGACACTCACCAAGATCGACGAGAAGATGATCCGCTCCATCTTGCAGGGGTATAAGATGCACAACGTCGACGTCATGCTCAGGGAGGACATCAGCGTCGACGAATTCATCGACGTGGTGCTCGGCAATCGCAACTACGTGCCGTGTCTGTACGTCTACAACAAGATCGACTCGATCAGCATGGAGCAGATGGACAAGCTCGCACGCCAACCCAACTCGGTGGTCATCTCGGTCGAAAGAGACCTCAACATCGACTACCTCAAGGACGTCATGTGGGACAAGCTCGGTATCAACCGCGTCTACACAAAGAAGCGTGGAGAGCGACCCGACCTCTCGGATCCCCTGGTGGTGCGAAAAGGCGCCACGATCGAGCACGTCTGTCACCAAGTGCACAGGGCGCTTGCGGACAAGTTCAAGTATGCGCTCGTATATGGAAAGAGCAGCAAGTTCCCTACATCGCAAAAAGTTGGTCTCAACCACGTTGTGGCAGCCGATGATGTGGTCAGCATCTTTACCAAGTAGTCAGCTGCTCCTCACACTAGTCCGATGCATTCGTCCGTTGATTGCCGTCCTCATTGTATTCTATCCCTTCATGCATATATCCTCTCTATCGCATCCTCATCTGCACCCTCGCACAAGCTTTTATTTTGAGCAGAAGTCGTTGCTGCAAGCTGCAAGTTGCACCTTCACGTTTTACAGTAATGCTTCATGTGGAGCGGACAAGAATTTTTTGAAAGAAAGAAAGGAGCAGAAAATGCAGGCACAATAAAGACGTAACCTAAGACAAGCTTTGAGCCTGTGCCTAAAGAAAACTGAGCAAAGATCATTTTAGTGAAAGAAACCCGAGCTCCGAGTTTCGTTTGCCGTTTTGCTCGACTTCACCTTCATCTCCATCCGCATCCACCACCACCTTCGTCACCACAGCCACACCAGTTGCTTGTTGGCGTCAAGACCAAGGTAGCTACTTGGTCTGCATCCTGCAACAAGTTCAAGCGCTTTGACACCGTGCACACCTCGGTCTTGGCCGCTCGTATCACAGGCAGCACTAATTCGTCCATCTTGGTGACACCTTGCACGCCTCCGATAGATCTCGTTGATTGTCAGGGCACGGACATTCAAAATCGTAGCTAGCAACCTAGCGGTGGTTTCCTCTACCTCCGACGACGCTCTGCGCAGTACGTCTACCATTAAGTTCAAGTCGACTTGATCAGGATGCCCTCGAGAGGTGGAGGACGAGGTGGGCACACCATCGCCGGAGCTGCGCTTCGAAATGCTGGTCTGGTCGGCGATGGAGACGTAGGCATGCGCGATGCTGCTGGTCCAAGTAGGAGCAGAGCAGGAGGCCCCGGCGGTAGGAAAGGTCAACGAAATGGCGGAGCAGATCCATCCAATCCAGTAAGTCATCCAACAACATTCGTCCCACGAACCCATCGATATACGCTCGAACGATGCTCATCGACGTCGAGTCACGCAACTACTCGATGTCGCGGAACGTCTCAGCACCATTCGGTAGAACAGCAAACTGATGATACGTCTCACATGCACACTCGACACACCGCACTCGACCGCTCTTTCTCTCTACCTATCGCAGAACGGGTCTGGCGGTTCGCTCCAGGGACGTCTCGCGCGGCAGCAGCGCGCGAATCCGCTCGGCAATCGTCCCCCAGCCAGGGGTAAGAAGGCTATCAACGTCAACGATGGGCTTAGGGCGGCCAACACTGCCGACACCGCCTCTGTTCTTAAAAGCATCTCCTCACAAAAGTCTCGAGCACAAGGAGGTGGTCGTATACCTGGCGGCGGCAACATCATCTTTGCCGGCAACGACATGCCAAAGACACAAAACGTAGTCTCCCTCATCAAGCGCTTCCTCGAGTCTCGATGGAATCCACAAGCAAAGTTTTTGAATCTCGAAGTACGTTCACCTCACCAACCGCAAACCTCCAAACTCCTTATGACCCCGAGCGACCGGACTCACCTCCGCCTCTCTTTCCTTTTGTACCTTTGACAGAATATGCGAGCAGATCCCATTCTTCAGGCAGAGGGCATCAAGCCTCCAGGTGTCGCAGGCGCACCTAAGGAGCTCGGCAATGTCATCTGGAAGCTCTGCTCAGAGACCTACCCGGACGTCATCACCATCTCGCTAGCAAACAACGGCTTCCGAAGCTTGGGTCCCGTCAGCTCGTTGCCCGTCTACTTTCCAAACTTGCAAAATCTGTCGCTGGAGGGCAACGAGCTCAAATGGACAAAGGACCTCGACACTCTTGCAGCTAGAAAGAGCAAGCTCACCAATCTGAAGGAGCTGTTACTGACAGGTAACCCGGTGCATGCAAGTGCAATTGCTGCGGGTAATGAGGAAGGCTATCGACGTGAAGTCCTCTCCAAGTTCCGCCAACTCACCATGCTCGACCAAAAACCTGTCACACCCACCGAGTCGGGCTTCGCCAACCTGCCCTCGTCAGTCAAATCAAAAAAGGTCGATGCGGATGCTGCCCAGGTTCCTCTACGCAACTTTCCCATTGGAAACAAGCCGGGCTTCGTGGATGCCGAAGCCGGTGCCATCATGCCCAACTTTCTTTCCAAATTCTTCACGCTCTACGACTCTGACAGGAACCAGCTCAGCGAAGCATATGCGCCATTGGCCCAATTCTCATACTGCCTCAACGTCGTACCGCCACCCCGGGCTCGTGCAGCCGGCTTCCTGCATACCATGCCTCATCAAAAGGAGCTCAATTTCGACCGGTATCAAGACAATGGCAACCGCAATCTGATGCGCGTTCATACTCCTAAAGGCCGCAACCTGTCTCTCCACCACGGTGTCGGCTCGATTCTTGCCACCTTCAGGAAGCTGCCCAAGACGTCCCATCCCCTCAACGACGCATCCAAGTTTGTCGTCGACGCCTGGGTTCTCCCGAACAATGTGATCGGCGCCAGAATCAAGGGCGAGGAACGTCCGGAGGCCTTGCTCTACATCAACGTCCACGGCGAGTACGCCGAAGCACCCAGCCAAGGTATTCGCTCCTTCGACCGTACCTTTGCGGTAGCACCCGTACCACCTGATAGCTCAGCCGCGGCAGCTGGCTGGCCTTGCGTCATTCTGTCCGACCAGCTTGTAGTTCGTCACTACTCGAGCCCTTCCGCTTGGGCACCTGATAGTCTGCCGACGGGCGAGGTGACCGCCGAGCAGACGCAAGCGCTGCAATCAGCACAGCAAGGGGCTCAAGCCCCGCTTGCGTCTCAGCCAACTGCACCAGCCCCTGGACCAGCCGCCGCAGTCGCCGGCGGTGGTGGTCTGCCAGCCCATCTGCAGAACCAGGCTTCCGCAGCAGGCCTGAACGAACAGCAACACGCCATGTCGCTGCAATTGGCTGCTCAAACCGGCCTCATCTATCCCTTTGCCGTACAGTGCCTGCAAGAGAATGGATGGGACTATACCCTCGCATTCACTAACTTTCAGAATCTGAAGGCGAGCAATGCGATTCCACCACAGGCGTTTGCTCCTGCGTGATGTTATCGAGCTTCCTCTTACGGCTTCCGGGTCGGATTTTTGTACCTTACAAACAAGCAATGTTCTGTGATAACGGCGAACAGAGACCGTTCTTGCATCATTCTTCTTCAAAATAAATGGCCAAGCATACTTTGGACGCCACGGTGTTGGCTTCACCCCTTTTTCAACGGGACAATTTGCGGTCTGTGTGTGGACATGAAAGTGTTTGAGTAGATCGGATGGTGGACCCGATTCGGTCGTCGACTTAGTGTGCGGTTGGGGAAGGTTGGAGCAGGGGATTGAGTTTTGGGACAACGCGAGATGAAGGTGACATGCATGTGATTAGATGGTGATGAGGTGGGTGGTTGAGTTGGGGGATTTCAGAGGTTGAGGCTGGTTTCTATAGGGTCAGAAGTGTTCAGCTGGATACTTGAAGAGGTGTGTTTGTCCGAAGAACGACCATCTATCCATCATCATTCTTAGCGGCTCAGGATGGCTCGTATCGCTCTATGCACGATGATCGTGCTACTGCTGACGATGAACTGGTTCAGCACGATAGCATCCACCGCTACCTCTCGGAGAAGCCGTCGGCCATCACATCTCCGCGCTCAATCCTCGCCACCTGGTTTACGAACATCCTCCACCCTTTCCCGTCGCGGTGTCCCCGGGATGCCCGGTGACATCGAATGGATGGGCTTTTACGGCTCCCTCCTCGCCGTCCCCACTATGCTGTCCGTCCTCGGGATCGTCACCAACTACAACCTGGAGAAATCGTACTTCAACTCGCAGCTCAATGCAGAGTACTACCGACAGACCAGGGAGATGTTGCGTGCGCATACGGCCAAGCTGATCAAGGAGCAGGAGGAAAAGTTTGCGAAGCAAGGGACGACATGGAAAGGAATGGTGTATGATCAGGATGGCAAGGTGAGGAGTGGGGTGAAGCAGCCAAGTTGGGGAGGGAAGGTGCTCGGGGTGGAGGATGAGGTGCCGCCGAAGAAGGGTGGGGATGGTGGAGGAGGAGGAGCCCCAGCGATTGGACAAGCGCGAGGGGAACAAGGAGGAAGTGCGACAGGTGCAAGCAGTCAAGGTGCGTCAGGAGAAGGAGCTGGAGCTGGCCAGACGGGTGACGCAAGGTCGGGTGCGAATGGAGAATCGAGTCCAACAGGAGCAGAAGCAGGAGGAACCAGTACAGTTGACGGACAGCTCGGCGGAACAGCGGTAGGAACGGGAGCAGGATTAGCTCCTGGTTCTGCGGCAGGAGCAAGCCAGGATATGCAGGGTTCTGCAACGAAAGATCCAGAAGAGGGGGTCGGAGGGCAGAGATCTGGGGACTCTAGGGGTGAAGACGCCGCTGGAGCACGAGAGGGTTCTGGAGAAGATGAATCGGACAACTCTCGAAGCGGTCTTGACAACGATGGCCAAGGTTCAGATCCGGACAGTGGTGACGGTGGCGATGCTGCCAGCGCCTGAGGCTGTCACTTGCTCAAAAGCTCATTTTTGCTTTATTCGCTCCCCACAGGCTTGATCAGCAAAGCATTCTTGGTTTTGACTATGTTTCGTATGGCGCAAAACTTGTTGCAAGAGTATCGAGAAGAGTCACGGGTCTGAACTAATGGCGAGAAGCATGCACTCAAAATTTGAAAGATCAGAAAGCATTGCAGTGTTGGGACTGAGCCGTCGAAAATCTGTTCAAGAGCTTATTCTGGCACCAGGTTTCAGGAAAGACAACTCCTGTCACTGAGTCTTGTCTTCCACGACTGGGTTAACGCCTCCAACGATCTTTCCAAAAGGCCTCTTGGCCGTCTGAACATGAGTGTACCCCTCCGGCTCGGCCAGCTGCATCACTTTATCCCAGTCGATAGGCTTGTCATTAACGCTGAACAGCACCTCATCACTACTCGTGATAGTTAAATTGAGGTTGATCTTCTGCGTGTCGTAGTGGACGCCAACGATGCCGCTGAGAGAATGGCGAGTCCAGGTGAAACCACCTCCAACACCGATGTTGGGATCACCACCGTCGAAACCGGCGTGGATTTGGCCGTCTCCCCAGTTGAGACCGCATCCCAGGCCAATCTTGAGAGAAGACATATCGGGGAAGTGCCCTTCGACCCCAGAGCCGAGCGCACCCTTGGTCTGAGTGGAAAATTTGTTCCGGGTCTGCTTCCATTTGACGTCGTAAGGCTTGGCCGGGGTTGTAGCGATGGATTCGGTCTTGTCGTACATGTAGGGCTTGTCGGAATCGCCAAGGGCCAGGCATGAGGTTGCAACGGCTACCAGAGAAAGGAGAAGGATGAAGGACTGCATGTTTGCGATCGTGCTTCGGGAAAGTTGTGAAGTGAGCGAAAAAGACGGGTAACGAATGCAGACATGGCTCCATCTGATTGCATTATGTACCTTCATCGCGTTGTATCAACGTTAATCTCTGCCGGGACATCGCTCGCAAAACGGTGGATCAGAGCTTCATGTAGGTCAAATGAGATGCTCGGTGCCCAATGGTGGGTCTTCAATTTGAACGGCGAAGTCGCCACCCTGAAATGTAATAACGAATCCCACTTCATTTCGCTGTGTGCCACCGACTCGAGGCGACGCTCGACAATCAGTCCTTCTGCAGTACCACTGGATGTAGCTTTGTCAACTGATACAGGACTTCGGGTTATTGTCCCACACCGCTTCCGTGATCTGCTATCCCGTACTCGTTTAGGGAGAACGGGCCCACAATGCCTCAACACTGATCAAGTGGGCCAACGAGAGAGTTGTATGAAAGGCATGTCAAGTCGAAGTGAGGCTACCGGAAAAAGACAAATTGTTAGAGCGGCCTGGTAGACCCCACCGCGCATTTTTTTCTCCTTTTCCTGGCGGACGCGCTTTTTGGCGTGCCAATGAAATGCACACCAGAGACCAACATGTGCACATGAGTTAGTTATGACTAACTTAGGTCAAAGTGACACAAAGGTGGAGGAACTTGCCGAGAAGATACTTGTGCATACCACCAACCTGGTTAGAGCAAGGTCCCAACTCCCTTTCTTAGGTACATACCTTCCTTCTTCCTTTGGACTCCAAGGCATGACTCCGTTCTGAACCAGCAGGGCATCGGGCCGCAAAACACGAGCATTGCGGATCCGTGCGCAGGCCACCAGGGGAACGCACGACGCGGTCGCGGTCGTTCTTTGCACGACCGTGCAGCTGCGACTCAGCCTCGTCGGGTCGCTTCCGACACATCAGCTGCTATCAGCATCCATCGCTCCTCTGACTCATTCGGAACTATCCCGAGAGGCACTCTGATAAGATGGCTCCAAGCGCTACCACATCGAAGAAAACCGCCTCGCAGCAGCAGGAGCTCAGGATTGAAGGCAGTAGCCGCAAGCACGACCACGACTCTGCCACCGCCGCCGGGCAAGATGGCCGTGACGTACCGCCATACCTCGAAGCGCTCTCGAAATCGCAATACGCTGCTGCGACTCACCCACCAACATCATGCCTCCAGATCCTAGCAGGACCCGGCTCGGGCAAGACGCGCGTGCTCACGTCCCGCGTCGCCTGGCTCATCCTCGACCCAGCAAACAAGCTCAAGCCCGAAGATATTTTGGTGGTCACCTTTACAAACAAGGCGGCGAACGAGATGAAGATGCGTCTCGTGAAGCTGATCGGCAAGGAGCGCGTCGATAATCTCGTCATTGGCACTTTTCACTCGGTCTGTGCCAGGTACCTACGCAAGTATGGCAAGCTCATATCGCTACCGAACAACTTCACCATCATCGATTCAGACGATGCAAAGCGCATGTTCAAGGCTATCCTCAAGGATCTCAAAGCCGATCTTGATAAGGAGCATATTTCGATCAAACCAGAACAGGCCATGTCCGAGATATCGAAAGCCAAGGCAAAGGAGATTGATCCGATCAGATACAGGGACCTAGCAGAGCAAGATAGAGCCAAGGGCGAGTCCCGCAAGGCGCCCATCGGCAGACAATTCACTGGCTCGGCTCCCTTCAAAATGATCATGGCCACCATCTATACCATGTATCAGCAGCAACTCGTCGACGCCAACGCGTTGGATTTTGATGACCTGCTTGTGTACGGCGTCCAACTCTTTCGGCGCCAGAATCAGGTGGTGCGCAACATTCAGCACGTCCTCGTCGACGAGTTTCAGGATACCAACATCACCCAGTATGAGCTCATGCGTCTGGTCGCTACCGCCTCGCAAGCCGTCAGCATTGTCGGCGATCCAGATCAGAGCATCTACGGTTGGCGTAGCGCAGAGATCGGCAACCTCGACAAGATGACGAAAGAGTTCAACGGTACCAAGCAAGCGCGGCTCGAAGAAAACTACCGAAGTACCGGCGCCATCCTCGAGCTTGCCCTCAAAGTGGTTCAACAGGACACGTCCCGCGTCGACAAGGATTTGTACACTTCCCATCCTCGCGGACTGCCCGTCGTTCTCAAGTCGCACGGCTCGGCACAGCTGGAAGCATCGTACATCGCATCCGAAGTCAAACGTCTCGTCGCTCATTCTGGCGGCATGCTCGACTTCAATGACTTTGTCATCCTTCTACGCTTCAACTACCTCTCGCGTGCCATTGAAGCCGAGTTGCAAGCCAGAGGCATCGACTCGAGAATGATGGGCGGACACAAGTTCTTTGACCGTATGGAAGTCAAGGATCTCCTCGCCTACTTGGCTCTCGCCGACAATCCTGGTTTCACCCCGGCATTCATCCGTGTCGTCAATGTGCCGAAACGTGGCATCGGTGAGAAAGGCATCACCGATCTGCTCAATATGGCCAAAGCAGAGGGTTGCAAGCCAATGAAGCTCGTCGAAAAAGTCGTGTCGGGCGGCAAGAATCCAGGTATCAAGCCGGCCATGAAAAAGGGTTTGAAGGATTTAGTCGAAGCCGTCGGCGCGGTGCGAGAGGCAGCAAGAACGGGCACACCAGTTGCGCAACTCCTGGAGACGCTCATCGAAAAGATCAACTACGAGAACTACCTCAAGGCTCAACCGGACTACGAAGCGCGCTGGGGCAACGTGCAGGAGCTCATCTCCTTCTCCACCATTGTCGCTCAGAATGTAGCCTATGCTGATGCAAACGCTCCATCGGTCCCTCTCGAGCAGATCCTTTCGCATACGCTTTCCAATCAAGAGGGTACTGACACAGGACGGAGCTTGCGAGATGACAGCGATGACGAGGACGATTCATTCGAGGAGGTCGACATCAAGCCATCCCGCAGCGAAGAGTTGCCAACGTCACCGGATACTCACCCCTACTTCAAGAAGCATGGCACCGGGAAGCGAAAATTGAAGCTACCGGCCAAGGGTGAGATCATTGATTTGTGCGACTCGAGCGAAGAAAGTCAGGAATCTGCGCAGGTTCGCGAGACACAAGCTTCCCCAGCCAAGAAGCGACGCACCGCCAAAAAGGAGCCCCCCGCGGCTGAGGAAGAAGAGGCTTCCGCCGACGACGATGACAAGCCAAAATCCGCACTCTTGTCGCAGCTCGACGAGATTGAGGAAAAGGTGGACACGCGCTCGCAAGATGATGCAGACGAAGCGGACGACGAGGAGCAAGAAGAAAAGACGCCGCTGCGCGTGTTCCTGGAAGCTTCGATCCTCGCCACCGACATGGACGCAGAGACGGATCAAAAGGACGAAAAGAAGAAACCGAAAGTGACCATATCGACCTGCCACGCAGCCAAAGGTCTCGAATGGCCCGTCGTCTTTATCCCTGCCATCGAGCAAGGCTGCTTCCCCTCCTTTCGGTGCGAGAGGCCCGACGAGGTTGCCGAAGAGCGTCGTCTGCTGTATGTCGCCATGACACGTGCCGAGAGCGTGCTGTACCTCACGCACGCCTCTGCACGAATGCAGGGAGGGGATACGCAGGACAAGATCATCAGCAACTTTGTCGCTTCCGTCGCTTCCAAGACAGACGGTGGGACCTGTGACGCGAAGAAGGCGATCAAGTTTTGCACGACGCGTCCGGAGGTGGATTACCGGGCTGTGAAGACGATGGCCGAGGTGACGGGGAAGGACTTGCCGACGGAGGCAAAGGTCAAGGCGGCGGTGGCGGAGTGGGACAAGACGTCGGGTAAGGAGGTGAAGCAGGTGGATCAGATGAACAGTGGCCGCATGACTGGTTTTGGGACGTACGCGAGTTACGGCGGCGCAGGTGGATATACGACAGCCGGGGTGCACAGCGGCGCTACTGGAGGATGGAATTCGCAAATGGGCTTCGGTCTGTACAGCGACGACGGTCTTCGGTCTAGCTCTGCTGGACGTCAGTCGCAGTCGCAGAGTGGAGACGATGTTCGCAGAACGCTGGGATTCACGCCGCCCACGCTCGGCAGCTTCTCGTCTGCGGTTGACGACGAGGCTTCGCCGGGCCCGGCGTACTCGGGCTTCCAACGCGCGTCCTCCTTGGGAGGGGTCGGCCGCGGAGGTGGATTCGGAGCTTTTGTCAACCGCAACTCGAAGTTCCCCGCACACTCAGGCTCGTCAGGTGCGGGCGGGAGACACAAGCAGCCTCTGATCCCACCCTCGCGTCAACCAGCAGCGACACCGTCGGCCCCACCGTCGTTCACAGACGCGGTCCGGTTGAGGGCTAGACCCGAAGATTCGGTCGCGCTAGCACGCGCCGATGGTACAGCCCCGCGTCCACGTGCAGACCTCACCAGCTTCCAACAGGCGCATTCGAACAGTATCAGCAATATCCTGGGTATGTTACCGCCGTCAAGCGAGGGAGGGGCAGGTAGTGGTGGGTCTCGTGCTTCGCCGATCGTGGTGGGTGAAGCGCCGGGTAGCGATGGGTCGAATGGAAGTGGGAGTGGGACAGCGAGTAGGGGCAAGAGGAGGTTGGGGATGATGCGTCGCATGTGATTCTGGTTCTTTTCGTTCTGTGTTAATGGTGACCGTTGTCATGGTATTTGAAGCATTGCAAATGTGATGGAGAAAGGTGATGCTTGGGGGTGTGTGACGGGTGATGAGGTTGACGGGCGGCTAGGTTGGAGTTTGCCGCGGAGAAAAGGTGGCCGCGTTGGAGCGGGTGGACCCTGGACAGCATGAGCGGCTGAGCAGCGAGAGAGCAGGTCGGAAGGGAAATTCGCCGAACAGCACGCCGAAACGGATTCGTGTTGGTCTGAGTCCATGTTGATCTTTCTCCACCATCACTCGCATCGCATCTACCTGTCATCGACACGATCCTTACTCAGCTACATCTAGGACTGGACGACAACGATCACGGTATCTGCAATGACGATCTCCATCGCGACCCCCGAAGCGGTGCTTCCAGCGACCGGCAAAGCCACCGTTCCCGCCCCGAATCCAACCGCCCAGCCACTTTATTCTCGGACACCGCTCCTCCATTCTCCGCACCTCTCCGCCCTCACCGGTCACAACGTTTTCCTCAAGCTTGACTGCGATCAACCGTCCTCTTCCTTCAAAATCCGCGGAATCGGTGCTATCTGTCAAACCGCCATCTCGCAACACGGAACCTCGCACACGCACCTCGTGTCTTCGTCCGGAGGGAATGCCGGTCTCGCCGTAGCCTACGCTGCATCGCGTGCCGGTGTGGGCTGCACGATCTTCGTCCCGCTTTCGACGGAAGAGGATGTGATCGAGAAGCTGCGGGCGGACGGTGCAGTGGTGGTGGTGGGTGGTGATTCGTGGGATCAAGCTGATGCGGCGGCGAGGAGCGAGGTGGAGACGAGGGAGGGGAATGCGGTCTACGTTCATCCTTTTGAAGGTGACCAGTTGGTGGAGGGTCACAGTGGGGTGATCGACGAGGTGGCGGAGCAGATGGAAGGGAGTGGGGAGATGGATGTGCTGATAAGCTCGGTCGGCGGAGGTGGACTGTTGCGTGGTATCATGAAGGGTGTGCAGAGACAAGGAAAGGAGGGGCAAGTGACGTTGGTGGCGGTCCAAAACTTTGGCGTCGACTCTTTCAATCGCTCTCTGGACAAGTACATTTCGTCGAAACAAGGTGATCTTCCGGACAAAGTCGTGGAACTATCAGCCATTGAAAGCAAATGCACCTCGATGGGGACCAAGAAATGCTCCCTCACTACTCTCCACGACGCGATCCGCTATCGTCAACGAGATGGGGAGATGACAACGTTGACAGTGACGGATCCACTTTCAGCTTCGGCTTGCTGGCAGTTCTCAAAGCTGGCAGAAGACGGGAGGAGGAGGATGGTTGAGTTGAGCTGTGCATCGGCGTTGACGCCGGTGTTCCACCCGTGGATCTTGAAGAGGGTGATCGAGGGAAGCGATAGGTTGAGAAGGAAGGTGGAAGAGGAGGGGAAGATGCTGAATGTGGTGGTAGAGGTGTGCGGTGGAAGCAAGGTCAACGAGGCATTGTTGACGGAGTACGAGCGGGAAGCTGGATCGATGGAGAGAGGAGACAGGGTAAGGGTCAACGGCGTAGATCATCCCGCTTCCTCCAACTGACACTCTTCCTCACACCTCACAACACAAGCAAGTCACAGATCATCTTGCTTCCACTCCCCCAAAGACAACTGCAATTCCCAATGAAGAAGTGCTTATAATCTTGACTATCGACCCAGCTCCTGCAGAATCTCGGCCTGTCTCTGCTTGGACACCTTCGCGAACCCCTGCAGTTGCATGTTGAACTGCGCTGCCCCAGCTGTCAACGCACGCAGCTTGGACGAGTACCTCACCAAATTCGCCAGCGGCACCACCGCATGGATCTCTGCTTTCCCCTCCGCACCGCCGGCCGCTGAAGAGGCGCCTTTGCCAGCTGCACCGGAGCTCGCAGCTGACGATTGCAGCTCGAATCGATTCTGCGTCGGGTTCGGGATGTACACCTCGTCTTGCGTGTCGGCCGACTCTGAGGACGAAGAGCCTTGCGATTGGTGGACGACGTCCTGCACCAATCCGTTCTGTTCGGCGGTGATGTCGTTGATCACCTTGCCTAGGTGTGCGGCGGGTACGGTGATGCGTGTTGTCATCATCGGTTCCATGAGCGTTGTCAGCGGTGCTGGTGTGGAGGTGGGGAGACCGGTGTCCGGGTTGATCTTTGCTTCCGTACGCAGGACTTTTCGGACGAGGTGGGAGAGAAGGTAGGAGATGGCGGCGGATGATGAGAGTTCGCCAAACATTTCAATGTTGGAGATCCGGATCTCGAGACCCATCAGAGGGTTCGAGGTGAGCGGTCCGCGGGACAGCGCTGCTACCATGCCTGTCTTGAACATTGTCTCCACCGTGGCGAGGTCTATGCCTGGCGGGAGGCCGGAGGTCGAGGCGTCTTGCGCCTGGGTATTTGAAGTGGTCTTGCTGCGGGTTTGCCGAGAAGGAGCGTCTGCAAGATAGGCCTTGATGTCGCCCTCGTCCTCCGCTTTAGCTTTCACATCGATGCCTGCATCCTTCTCTACCCCCTCAGTGAAGGAGATATTCACCACATTACCCCCAAACATCGTGACATCAGCGCCGCCTGCGGAACGACCTTCCTCTTCTTCCAGCGCCCTCACCTTGATCTTTGCACCTATCTTGATCTTCTTGCCCGCCAACTCCCTTTCCACCACATCCTCGACTTGCACCCATCCCAGCCCCTCATCCAGCGTCTCTCGATACGACACCCTCACGGCACCCATCCGAGCATTGACGCCAAATTCATTGGCCAGTCTGTCCTTTGCGATCTCGAGGTGCAACTCTCCCATCCCGCTCAGCACGGTCTGACCTGTGGTACCTTCTCCCGACTCGTCCAGCCTCAAAGAAGGATCAGTACGGATAAGCAAGTTGAGCGCATCCGAGACCGAATCGACGTCCGACTTGGATGCTGGTTCCAGCGACATGCTGAAGACCGGGGGTGGAATGTGGACTCGTTTCAGACGGAGCGATTTTACGCTATTCGAGTCGAGCGCGGCCTTGTCGTCACGAGGTGTGGATTTCGAAGGGGTGTTCGAGGTGGTGGAGATGTCGACGAGCGTGTCTCCGGTACGCGTGTCTCGCAGACCGAGGATGACGCCGATTTGACCAGCTCGCAGCGTGGACGTCTCGACGTATTGATCGGCAAAGGGGAAGAGCACACGGGAGAGACGTTCGCGCGCTCCAGTGGTGGTGTTGAAGAGTACGGTGGAGCGTTGCAGTGTGCCGGAGTAGACACGGACGAAGGTGGTGGGACCTCGACGCTTGTCGTGCACCACTTTGAAGGCAAGAGCGGTGGTACGTTTGTTGGTCAGAGAGACTGAGACCTCCTCGCCACTCGTTGCAGTTGAGTCGGAGACCGAGTCGGTGCTCTGCGCTTTGCTCGAAGTGCTTTTCGAAAGTGTCGACGAGGAAGGAGAAGAGGCGACGGTACCGACGACATCTGGCTTATCCACGGGGCTAGGCAGGAAATCTGCAATGGCATCCAACAATGGCTGAACACCAACATTCTTGGCCGCCGATCCGCACAGCACGGGCAAAATGGTACCTGCCAACGTCTGCCTCCTAATCGCCTTCTTCAACGAGTCTGCCGGCATCTTTCCGTGCGGTTCTTCGTTCGAGCCCGTCGGCAAGCTGAACAGCTCTTCCAGCAACTGATCGTCCAGCGAAGCCAAGCATTCTACCAGAGCGTGTCTCGCCTGTTTCGCTTCTTCGAACATCTCGTCTCCTTCCTTGAGCGGTTTGCGCGTGACTGTCTCCCCTGCTTTGCCTGCAAAAGTGAGTGTCTGCATCTCGATCAAATCCACCAAGCCTGCTATCCCAGGCTCGTCTTTGCCACTGACCGGAATCGGCAACTGCAACAAGAGCGGTCTCGAATGCATCCCCGACCGAATGACGCTTCGCAGAGACTGAGATACAGAAGCACCCATACGATCCAACTTGTTGATGAAAAGGATCGACGCCTTCACATCATACCTCGCTGCCTGGAACCACACATTCTCCGTCTGAGATTCGACCCCTTCCACACCATCTAGCACGACAACTGCTCCGTCGACCACGCGAAGCGCTCGTTCGACTTCGATCCCGAAATCAATGTGACCTGGTGTATCGACGAGCGTTATCCCCACCCCCTGAGGCGACGCGGGAGGCCACCACACGGGACCAACAGCGGCAGATTGGATGGTGATACCTCGCTGTCTCTCCTGTTCGAGGAAGTCGGTGACGGTGCTGCCGGAATCGACGTCGCCTGGAAGAGCGTTGTTGGTGCTGGAGGTGTTGCCGCCGAGGGCGTGGGTGAGGTGGAGGAGACGTTCGGTGAGGGTGGTTTTGCCGGCATCGATGTGGGCTATGATCGAGATGTTGCGTAGGGATGAGATCGGGTGCTTTTCAGCATGTGGAGAGGCGGGATCGGCTAGCTTCCAGGTTGAAGAGGTGCTGAATGTACGTTGGCCCGAGAAGGTTACCGGAAAAAGATGGGACGAAGCACGTCGTGGAAGAGTGTACCGAGACAAAGGAGCTGCGTGAAACCCTGTTCTCGCTGTCGCACGAGTCGGATGAGCGATCGAGCATACGCTAGAGAGCCTCGTCGAGCATCGACGTACAAGACTCATGCTTATGAAGCTCGAGCTGAGCAGGTGCCTTTCGTGGGCGTTGTTGAGGCGTGTCGAGGGTGCAAGGATGATCAGAGCAACACTTTCTTCTCAACTTCAAAAATTCCACCCCGACTCCCGCGATTTTCTCACGCCTGGCTCCACATCATACGTAAGTTAAGCTCTTGGTTGACGCCTGTCAAACGTAGGTGCCTATTTCATTCGCAATCACGTTCGTCGAGATCTGGGAACATTCCTTGGCAAAGATTAAAATAACTGGATTGCATGCGGGAAGATGAGAGAATGGGGTGTGTCTACTGCTGATTTTCATCACCCTGTCGCCATTGTACTGGCGGAGGTGGCACACCAGCTCCTCGTGCTGGATTCTCTACCGAGACGTAGCGCTTTTTCTTTGGCGACTTTGGATTTTTTGCTGCGCTCGAAGGTGTGGTCTGAAAGACTTGCTCGACAAAGCTGGAGCCGACAGCTGTCGGTGCGCGTGTTGGAGGAGCTGGTGCTAAGTCGACGTGCTCAGCTGGCGCCTCTACAGACTCTTGCGCGGTGGTGGCAGATTCCTGCGGCGCCGCAACTATAGCCTGCTCGGTCGCAGGGGCTGTCGACTTGGCCTCCGTCTGTCCAGCTTCTCGTGCATCTTCGTCCTCAGCCTTCTGCTCGGAGTCTGCTAGACGCTCGTCCTCCACCGCCGCTTCCGCCCCTGATCCGAGACCGGAAGCAATTATCCCAGCACCGGCAGCCGGCTGCACTTCCTTCGCCGGATCCGCGCTCTCGTGCCCTCCTGCACCAGCCACCGTCCTCACTGCCTCCCTTGAAGCCACGCCGTCATCCTCAAGCGAGCGCGAACTTGTCTGCCTCGTTCCGCCCTCACCATTACTGCTGAGCCTCGCCTCCTCATCGTTCGAACGCTCGTGCTTTGCATACTCGTCCCTCAATTCCGCCGCTGACTTCTCCCCACCTCCACTCGTCTCATCTTCATCCTCCGTATCATCGTCCAACGACTTTTTGTGATACAACGTACCCGCGATCTTCGTATCCAGGGCAACCGCCACCCCTCTCCCCGTAACCCTCTCCGGTTCGTGGCCCAACGAAGCCAGCACACCATCCGCATCCGCCGTCGGAGCATCTAGGATCTTCAGCTCCAACGGGCTGAACCATCTCGGCACCAAAAAGTACCTCACAGGTATCAGCAACGTGATGATCACCGGGAAGCCGATACCCGCGATCGTCGCAGAGATGGCGATGGTCATCGCAGCGAACAGCCACTGAATGCCGACGAATAGGGCGATCTTGCTCCGACGTATCGTGTTCAACGGTTCGTCCGGTGGTGCCAGTCGACGATCTCGGAAGATGGCTAGTGTGCGAAGGGTGATGCTGTTGCGCTCGATGGATGCCCAACCTACGAGGATGAAGATCCCTGCAAACACCGCACGCGGCATCGTGCCGAGGACCACGAGCAAGGGTCTTGTCATCGTACCCAGGGTGAGAAGTCCGATGATGAGATGCGAGAGACGATTCTCGACCACTCGCACGTTGACGACGTGTTGCTGCTTGACGGTTTGCATCTTGCTCTTGCGACGAGAGAGCGTTTCTCGTGCGATGCGTTTGTCGACGTCCTTTTCGACCTGCTTGTACACGGAGAGCGTTTCGGTATGCACCGGTGCTTGAGGAACGAGCCCGTTGGGAGCGGGAAGACCGAGGAATCCAGATACGAGGGTGGTGATGCCGAGCAGGAAAAAGTCCCAGTGGAATCCAGCTGGCTTGCGGACGGGATAGTTTCGAGCTTGGGCCATGACGCTGCTAACGTTGTGGTCAAAGTAGAACAGCAGCATGATCAAGAACCCGAGTGGGGCACCAACGAAGACGTACTTGAGCTCGATGTTCCAAAAGTCGATGAACCACGGCCTATCCAGTGTCGGGAAGAAGGCTCTGGTGATCGGGACCCTTTCCACAGGAACCCGTTGCAGCGAGTTTTTGGGAAAGTGACTGAACCCCGTCCAAAAGATGCACCCCGCAGCAAAGGCGTACCCTGCAACAAAGTTCCGAATCTTGAACGGCAGGTAGGTCGTATTGCCCACTTTGGCAACGAGATACACCGACACGGTGAACATGATAGCGATCGTCACCGAGAGCCATCCGGTAGCGTTGTCGAGAGGCAGCGGTTCGAACTCTTCAATGAGCAGCTCGATTCCCTTCTGAATGTAAATGACGCCCACGTAGAATCCGAACGTCTCCGAAGTCATGTCCGTGATGAAGCGTGTAAAGTCGCACACATTGAAGATGGCGACGACGAAGTGGAACGCCGCGGCCCAGATCAACGACCAAGCCTGGATTCTGAGGTAGTTGATTCGATCGAACCCGTAGTAGCCGACAAAGATGTCGTACTGCGTGTAGTTGACCAGGTTGATCAGACCTGTGACGCCGACAAAGGTCAATGGCTGGACGGAGAAGACTGCGAAGACGATCGCGGCGAGCGCCGAAGCCAAGATGACCTCGTTCACGCCGTACGACCCGCCGGTACGGTAATTCATATCGAGGATGTATGCGATGGCGGGCATGAGGTTGATAAAGTACATGCGGATGACGCTGTTTGCCACGGTCCACCAGTTCTTTGGTTCGAAACCCTCGATCCAGTCGCTCGCGAGGTACGATTTGCGTCGTCGAAGGTCGTACCACATGCCGCGGAAGGGCATCAGCTCGTACGCCCAGGATCGCTGCGACCATGGTTTGTCGCCGTCGAAGAGCGGGTATGTGTCCGGAGCTCGGCTCTTCTTGCGCCTGCCGGTGGTGTTTGCGTTGGCTGCGTTGGCGGATGGTGCGTTTTTGACGGCATCGTTCTCCTTTTCGGTGCTCTTTGATTTTCTATTTGTGAGTGCATGGTTGGATGGGTTTTGTGACGAAGAGCGGACGGTGACCGAGGTACCCGCGTCGTGAGAGTTTCGAGCGGTGGTGATGCTGCTGCTGCTGCCAGCTCGCTGCTGCAGTACAGAGTTCAGTGGCGGGACCGAGCCCGGGTCGATCGAGTTCATGGTCGAAATACGTATATCTCGCTCTAAGGGGATCGATCTACAGATGATGTGTCGAAATGGCGGCAAGAGGCATCATCTGTAGTCGCCAGAGCCGAGCAGTGCTCGTGGATGCTGGGAAAGCGCAACGACGCCGAAAGTGATGACGATGGTGTTGGTGGAAGACGGCAAGGAAGGAGCTGCCGACGTGGGTCTCTGAGGAATGCTCGTGTTTGTACAGACGTGCACCCTCTTTTTGAGCTTTCAAGTTGAGCAGGTTACCCTCGTGGGCCCTCGTCAAGCACTCTATGCCAAAAATCTGCGTCGTCGGTCAAGAATATGACCGTGGCTCTCAAGACATCCCGATACCGAAACCGTCAGCATGACTTGGGGTCCTCACAACGAGGGTGAAGCGGAAGTTGGTTGTCCGTGGGGAATTGACCGGCCCGTGTAAGGTAGGCATCGGGATCGTGTTTCGATATTTGTTTACTGCATGTGTGGCCGACACGAGCAAATGCGGTTGCCTCGTTTTCTGCAACTGCAGAGCCTGTGTCGCGCCCCCCTTCAATCGATAAAATTCAAGGGGGAGGATCGGCGTCTCGCATATCTCTCCACGCAAATGCATTGTACCGTCATCCGGGCACTGCCGTCACTCGCAAGCTCTTCCGACAAGACTCACTTCCGAACCGGTCAACTTGCCGAGAGCGAATCCGACACCGATGATCTCTGCAATCAATGCGATGTAAAATCCGAAACCGAAGCCGATAGCGACAAAAGCAACATTGTCAGAAAGCGGCTGCGCGCCGCCTCACGATGACGGCATCGCCTCTGGAACGAAAAGGGAGTCGGCTGACTGCAGTGCACCAGCTGATGGTACAGCTAAACGAATTCGAAATTCCGAAACGAAGCGAATCCAAAAGCCGCAGATGCGAACAGAGAGACGAAGCGTGCTCTGTTCGTGGTCGCCCCGATGTATTTGCACCCACGCACTCCTTGTCCGGGGCATAATGCTCACCGGCGACGCGAGACAAGCAAGTGCCTTCCGTCACCGTTACCGATCCCGACCGAGGGGCTGAAACCTGACAACCGGCGTTGTGAGTCAGGCAAACATGACATTGCATTCAGAATGTGGGCGAAGTAAGAGAACCGAAAAGGAATGCAGACGATGGAAAACAGAGCAAAGCATACGTTAGCAATTCAAGGAAAGATTCTGGGAAAAGTAATATTGAAGGGGAATGTGCGGCAAGTTGCCGGAATGGAGGGCGTGTCGAATAGGCAGCTCTACTTGCGGCCCTTCCTGTAATCCTGGTCGCCCTTTCTGTCCCACGTGGGAGCCTCCTTCTCTTCGGGCTGCGTCTCGTCCCACAAACCGCTCTTTGCGATCTTCGCACGCAGCTTCTCCCGGCGTCGCTCGTCATCGTTCACTGCCTGGCTGGCGGCGCCGTCGGCACTCTGCGTCTCCGCCTGCGACTGAGCTTTCGCCTTTCTCTTGCGGCCGATGGAAGAGGCAGGCAGTGGCGCGCTGGCGATGTCCATCGATTCATCATCCATCTTGCGCGAAGAAGATGATGCAGCAACAGCATCCGACGCAGTGTCTTTCGCTTCCAGGTTGTCATCCTGCTGACGTGCGTAGCCGCTGCGTTTCCAGAAGATGGGCTTCTGACCCTTGAGCGCTTTTCGCATGGGCTTCGCAAAGACACCCAGGTTCTCGGCCCGCTCCTTGTCCGTGTCGTTCTCCTTATCGTAGTAATACCAGCATTCGAGCGGGTTGCCAGAGGCGTCCTTGCCAGCGCGCTGAATGACACCAAACATGGGAGAGGACTGGAGCACCACCTCGAGATGCTCTCTCCACGCCTTGCGCGCTATGGAGGCCCATCGCTCGTTCGATTCGCTCGCGGTGGGCCAGCCATCGACCACGCATCCGTGCTGCAGAGTGGCTGCTCCGGGGAGCTTTCGCTTCGAGGGACTGAACGCGACCGAGTGCTCGCCAGCTTCGCCTTTCATCAGGCCAGGCGTGGTAGACAGTACCGAGCGCACTGCCTCCGAGGCACTGATCGTAGCGGTGCGGTGGAAGACGACGGCTCCAGCGAGGAGGCCGGGTAGGTCGTAGGTTGAAGCGAGCTGTCGGACGCAGTTGCGGGCGATGGATTGCAACTCTTGCACCGACGAGCCGAGCATGGGAGAAGATGGAGCCGGACTGTTGCTTGCAGATCTGCGGGCGGCGCTGCGTACGTTGGCGACACTGGCAGCAGCAGGAGGCGGGGGCATTTGGATCTGTGACTCGGTCAGAGCATCTGCCACCGCTGGCTTGGACGAATCTGCGTTGTTGGCCTCGGAAGTGCCAGTGCGTTGCGCAGCCGATACCGGCGTTGGCTGAGTAGCGAGGGCAGAGTCGCCGATTTGCTGGTCTACCACGCCAGAATCGAGATCGGAGAGCGAGCTGCTGTCATCCTCATCATCAGCAGCAAGATCTGTAGTTGGCTTGCGAGTCACCAAGATCGACTGTCTGGCGGAATCGCGCTCGGCAGGGACATAGTCGTCGTCATCGCTCTCGTCGTCGTCGTCGTCGTCATCCTCGATCGCATCTAGGACTTTCGCACCTGCTTCCTGATCACTGTCGCCCGCTCGCACCTGTTGGTGATTCAGTGGGCCAGCTACTAGGCCTCCGCCGCGGCGGTTCACCGGCGTGGGAGAGCTGGTGATATCGTCCTCGGCCTCTTCATCATCCTCTACCTGGACCGAACCTTTCGACTGAGCCGCACGCTTGCTCGGCGACATCAGCGCAAGCATAGGAGGCGGCGAGCTAGCAGGAGGAGAGCTGGTGGCCATATTCGACTCAACCCGAGATCTGTCCACTGAAGAAGGTGTCGCTTTCTTCACGGGCGACGTGATCCTTTGCGACCACTCTTGCACGCGTGCCTGCATAGATTTGACCGGTGACGGCTGGGGCTCGCCGCTCGATGGCACATGCTTGAAGAGGCACTTGACGCCGAAGAAGTCGATCAGGCTCTTGCCCGACGTCAGACGCAACACTTGCCCTTCACGGCGGCGCTTGCCGTCGACGATGAGGCCATTTTGACCAACGATGCGGACGATGAACGTTCCGTGAGGCGTGATCAACTCCGAATGGGTCTGACTTGAGAGCTTGGCAGCTACCGGAGAACCCTTGGCAGTAAAGCTCGATAGCTTGGCAGTATTCTTCGGGACGGGACGCGTGACGAAGGGAATCCACTCAACGATGGCGTGAATGCGCGATACATGTCGTGCCTCGTTTGGCAGATTGACGCGTAGAATCTTCTTAGATCCCAGTCCCTGCATCGAGGCAGGGATATCGGCCGCATTGGAAGCACTAGAGGCATGAGGCTGGCCCGAGGGCTTGGATCGACCGATGATCAGGCTGACGTTCTTGCTGCCAAAGAGCAAATTGGGCACTGCATCACCGTCCGACTCGAGCTCCGGATTCTTGACAAGTCCTAGAGTCTGTGCGTCAGTGACGGTCACAGCACGATCGACATTGGCCGGGCTTTGCTCAAGAACGATGCTGCGTGCGGGCGTGATCGAGGCTGGGAAGGGACGCTGCTGCTTGACAGGCGAGAAGCCGAGTGCTTGCTCACGCGTTGGGGCGACTGGCGACGAGAAGAAGACCGACGAGGCTGGAGGTGACGAAGGAGGAGGCGTGGCGCCAGCCTTTTCTCTCGCGTCTTGGAACGCCTTGGCTCTAGACCCCACTACGTTAAGGTCGAGCGGCGCGAAGGGTCGGGCCTTGGATGCAAGCGTTTTGTCTGCCTTGAGCGTCTTGATGGGCGAAGATCCAGGCATCGGAGGATCCGACGACGGTGCTGGCGTGGGAAGATCGTGCATCATCATGTCGGCTGTTGTCGTTTTGGCTGAGAGATGGTGATGCTTTGATGCAATGCGCGACCCAGGCCGGAACTTTGGCAAATGTATCTATGCCTAAACACAGCGCCAATCTAGATGAGTCGGATACTGGGCTTCGAAGCAGGCGCGTCGAGATGCCTTCAAGTCCCTGTGGCAGGAACAGGTGTCGGTCAAGGTTTGTCGAGGTCTTCTGGAGGTAAATGTGGGTCGAGTCGGTGGCAGAGAACAAAGGCGAGCGTCAAGCCGGCTAGGACTTCGTCTAGGCCTGTCTGCCAACTGCATCTAGCGCTCGTGCCGTACGCAGTCGCGGTTCGAGGACGCCGACACGCCTTCTCGTGTTCCTGGCTCCCTACAGCCTTGTCACGAAGAACCTCTCACCGAGAACGCGCACTTTTTGACGTGAGGTGAGCGCCGGCTGAAACCTAGGGTAAAAAAAGTCACACTGCGACACGCAATTCGACGTTCACGCGACCCGCGTCCCTGGCGTACAGTCCTTCAACCGCATTTTCCTCCACACGTGTACGCGACGTTGACTTTTTTACGCTCATCTCAGGATTGTATGGGAGAAACGCTCTAACACGTTGGAACATCCTTCCGCGCATCCTCCAAGATCGTGACCACTACCACATGTCAGAGCTACATTCAAGAGCGGAATCACCGAAAGATCAAAGGCGTTGAGCGGGCCTGGAAATGTAGAGGCTAGTGTGATAACAAGTGAAAAGACCGATATACCGGGAGAAGTCTGCAGCGACGAGGGCATACATCTACGAGAGAGCGGGGGAGGAGAAATGTGACGTTGTTGGAAGCTGGCAAACCTTGAAGATGACATTGGTACGCAAGATGACATTGGTACGCAACTGTCACATGCCGGAAGGAGACGAGAAGCCTGAGGAGCCGGTGACGCCTCCGGCTGGGGGGGATGCCTGCTGCTGCTGTTGCTGCTGCGGACCGACGGACTACGGTTGGCCCAGCTGATTGCTCCAAGCCTGAAGCGCAGCATTCGGATCGGGCGAATTCAAGATCTGGTTGGCCGCGTTTCCGTACTGCGCCAGAAGCTGCTGTTGTTGCTGAGGCGACATTGCATTCCACTGCGACATTGCCTGTTGAACCTCGGGAGAGTCGCCAGACATGTTTCCGTTACTGTCCAGCGGAAGCTGCACTGGTTCTTGCTTCTTTTCCGAGCCTGCGGAATCCGAAGCATCGCCCCCACCAAACTTGAACGGCATGGCTGTCTTGGGATTGACCTGCTCGCCCGTGCCCGAGTCGTAGTACAAGTTCGAAGTGGAATCGACTAAGACGAGGTTGCCCGTGATCGGGTTGAACAGCTGTCCGTTGGCTCCCGTAGCGATGGCGTTGCCTACGGCGGAAGCCGCATCGCCAGCGGAATGGTATTGGCTGTTCCATTGGTCTTGGAGGGCCTTCAGCTTCTTCTGATGGATGCTGCGCAGGTAGATGGCAGTGATGAGCAGCGTACCTGCAACAGCCATGGTGCCAGATGTCGTCATGGACGGAAGAAAGGCAGTCATCGCCTTCACTTGTCGCTTCGTCAAGAAGTGCTCTTTACCTTCGAAATGGGCTTGAGGGGCAGAGTTTGCGTTGCCAAGGTCCTTTCGAACTGCAGAGAGAAGCTTCTCGTCCTGTTCCTTGATTAGATACAGCGCAAAAGGCAAAGATGTCAATCGAGTCATTTCTTTCGCATCCACGAAGTCAGGGCATCAGCCGCACGTACACCTTTCGCCTGCAAATTGCGCTTCTGCATCGGAGCAGCTCCGCCGACACTAGCATCTGCAAGCTCCTGCTGTGAGCACGGGTGAAGCGGAGGAGGATTGTTGAGATCGACACGCGTGTACGTCGACTCATTCCACAGCACACCACGGAAGTCTCGTATGATAGGCTCTCCATACATGTCGCAGACACTGGTCGGCTCGAGACCGTACTCGTTGGTTTCAGTCGTGTGAGGACGCTTTGGGTGGGCGTACTTGTCGAGTCCGATGACAAGTGCAGCAAGCACGCCTAGACCTAGCGCTCCCTTGGCAAGCGTCGTCCCCATGCCTGGCTTAGCAGCAGTGGCTAGCGCTTCGCTGTTGGCTGTTGCAGACCCTCGCAGCATAGCTTGTTGTGCCTGTTCTCTGAGAGCGGGGCTTGCAGCTCTGTTCGGAAACCAATAAAAAAGTGCAAGTGTGGTCAGCAGACTGGTCATGTTGATAATGCTGAATTCCTTGAACGAGAGTGCTCACTGATAAGCAGCCGAAGGGTAGACGCGCTTGCCGAGCTGTTGGTGCACAAAAGAATAGCAGACAGAAGATATAGATGGATTAGGACCTATCATTGAAGACAAAACGAGGCAAGAGAGAGAGGGAGACGACGCATCGGACGAGAGGAGCAGGAAGTGATCATACCTGGCGGTGTCGCAAGGAGCGCTTTTGCATTCGTCCCGTTCCGGCTGCAGCCTTATTGCCGGCTGTAGTCCCACCCGTAGCGCCCTGACCAGCACCGCTAGCGCCACCAGCACCTTCTTTCCGCAGATCATCGGCACAGTGAACAATCCTGCCAGTTGCGGGATCGCTGACCTCGCCCGTGTTGGCATTGGTCAAAAGGCCGGTCTTCTCGTCAATGTAATACTTTACGTTGTCAGGACCAGCGACGTACCATCTGCCGGCAGCTTTGTCCAATTTGGGCAAGGGCAAAGGCGAGGGCAAAGAGCGCTTTTGCATCCGCCCTTTTCCGGTCCCAGCTCCGGTACCGGCTGCGTTCCCACCGGCAACGCCTTGACCAACACCGCTGGATGCGTTCTGCAGATCATCGCCACGGTAAAGAATCTGACCAGTCTTGGGATTGCTGACGTCGCCCGTGTTGGCATTGATCAGGTAGCCGGTCTGGTCATCGATGTAATACTGAACGTCGTTGGGACCGATGACGTACCACATACCGGCAGCCTTGTCGAATTGGGGCTTGGGGCTGCCGCCGCTTCGGCCTGCAGCTGATCCAGGGTTTTGCCCGGCTTCATCGGCAACATTTTGAGCTTGAGCAAAACTAGCTTGATCGGCGCCAGACACACCAGATGCAATGGCCCCAGACGCACCAGCATCAGCCCCGCCAGCTCCAGCCGCACCGGCACCTGCACCCTGCTGAGCAGCGACAGCACTGCCGCCCGAAGCCGGAGATGAGGCGACGCTCGAGTCAGCGCCCGGTGCAGCACCACCGCCAGAAGCTGAGGGAGGCTGCCAGCCGGGAGGCGGATTGACTTCCACCATACCTTGCTGCGTCATCTTGAGCACGTGAACCTGGTTTCTAGTGTCTGTCACCCAAACGAGGTCCGAATTAGGGATGCGGAATGGTCCGGTTGCGATCTGATTGTCAGCGCCACCGGCAGCCCCTGCAGTCTGAGCCGCGCCACCCTGAGGATAAGCAGCTGGACCTTGGGCAGTGCCACCCTGAGGGTAAGCTCCTTGAGAAGGGTCCGAGCCAGGCGGGTAGCCGTCGACGGGAGCAGTACCAGGAGCAGCGCCGCCAGCACCCTGCAGGGCAGCCATATCTTGCTGGTAGTACCCAGTGGTAGAGTCGGAAGGCTTCGTATCAAACATCCTGGTCAAACCGTAGCCAGCGGCAGCACCACCTGCGAGAGTCAAAGCCAATGCTCCTTTCCCGAAACCTTTCTTCTTCAGATTGGGAGCAGCGGCGGCAGCACCAGCCCCGGCTCTCTCAGCACTGGCAGCCTCCATCTGCTTGGCCTGAAGCTCCTCCATGATTCGGATCTGCTGGGAGTTGTCTTTATGAGCATCCTTGAGCTTTCCGAGCTTCTTGTCGATCTTGTCGAATCTGGCAGCCATGCCAGGATCGTAAACAGGCTGAGAGTAAGGAGGAGGCGCCTGGTAGTGAGGAGCAGGATACGGGTGGGCGGTGGGAGGTCCGCCGGGAAGGTGAGCGGTAGCACCATCGGTGGTAGAGTGATAATGATTGATGACTGTATCACCTCCCTTTTGAGCGTCTCCGCGAGCACCTCGAAGAGCGTCGACGGCGCCTTCGAGAATCGAAGCGCCTTCAACTCGCTTCGAAAGATGAACCTTGCCGTTGAGAGCAGAGATTTTTTGATGTCCATGATTGGTATCCCCGTCTTCAGGGTGACCATTGTTCGTCTTATCACCTCGCTTTGCTTGAGAAGAGGCATTAGGGCGACGCTGGGCTGTCTGTTGGACGAAATGCTCGTCTGGGACGTGCTGCGACAGAGAGGCAGCCGCGGAGATGGCGCCGAACACAATGGCGCAGAGCAAAGCGACCTTCATGGCAGCTGTGAATCAGTGTTTCATACTACGTTGGGAAGAAAGAGGCACAAAAAGCCGTCAGCATATTGCCCTTGGACAGCCCTGTGTAGAAGAGGGATAGATGTCGACAAACGCTTGGTTGCGTGTAATGAACTCACAATCAGCGTCGGAGACGGCGAAGTTTGGCAACGGAAAGACGAGCTGGCTACGAATAGCGACAAGATGTTGTAGGAAAGGGAAAAAGAGTGTGATGCGGGACCGTCTGACTTGCAGACTCAACAGCCAGGGAGAGATTCAAGGAAGGCAGATACGATAGCGAAAGGGAACTCTGGCTGGAAGCGAATCGCGAGGGAAGACATGAAAGGTCCGTCTTAAGTAGTGGGCACGGTGGTGACATTCAAGTCAGAGTCGCGATGAAGGAAGGGCAGATGAGGTGGGAACAAGGTGGGCGGAGGTTGTGGCAGCGGACGACCTGCTGTTGCGACAGACGAGTGAATTTACGACAACGCGACCGGCTAGACTTCCGAGCTCGATGTGCAAGGTCGAAAGTGCGGTATCCACCGAGGCTTTCGTCGTGCCTGCACGGACTAGGGATATCGTTCGGTCACAGCATTGACGCCACACGCTTCATCTCGCCGAGCGATGGACTTTCCGAATCTCGTTTTAGGACAGCCCCGAGCGACGACCGAGCACACGACAAGACGTGCTATCCGGGAGCCTGAGGGTTTGGGTAATGCAGTACAGATTTCATCTTTACAGGTGGGTATAGGATGCAGCATCGATAGTCGATCAAGGACGATTCGAACGTGAAATGTAAAGAGTCGATGTTGCCGGCACGATGCGCGACAGAGCGTCCCGTCGAGAAGAACAAGAGCAGGCGAAACGGTCAGACTCTTGCGCTTCCATTGCTTTCAGTGGCCGAATCAAGCGAAGAGAATTCTGAAGAGGGACCATTCAGACGAGCCGAGGAATCGAGGTACGGCAGCAGATGGTCATGGTGTGCATTGGCCTCATGAGGTGGGCTGTGGCGACGCATGGGGGCTGAGCGCCTCATTCAACTTGTCTTTAATATCCTTGAGCTTGCGGTCTTTCCTCTTGCGGTACATGCCGTACCTGTTGACCACCTCGATGACCCACTTGCTCTTGGTCACGTTGATCTGACTTGTGTCGAGACCGCGTTGCTGTAATCGGCGGATGAACTCCTCGAAATGGTGAGACGATGAGCGATAGTGTCCGCTCCACGGATAGATGGACACGATGACGCCGTCCTTGACCTTGAGAACGCCGGCGACGGTGACGAGTGATCCGGCGAGAAGGGAAGAATGCTGGAAGCGACCACGCTGCTTGATCCCGATATAAAGATTGTAGGAAACATCGGCGACAAAGATCCATGTGTCGGCTTTGCGTCTGCGGATGAGAGCATCAGGACGAGATGTACTGTCTTCCTGGTCGACATCCTGCTCCGAGTCGCCCTTGACGATCTGCTGACGATCTGCGGACGCATACAAGCCGAGCTTTTGCTTGATGAGATATTTCGGGCCCAGGTTTGCCTTTTCAAGCAGCTTTTCTTTGCGAGTCTGTTGCTTTTCGTCTGGGTGTATGACGTCCTTGGAGTCGCGAGTGTTGTCGTCTGCCGACGTTGCAGCAGGGACTTGACTCTGTCGCTTATCGTCGTGATCGGAATTGGCTTCATCGGACGAGCCCGAATGCGAGGTGAAGCTGTCGGATGAGTCGTCAGAGCTGATGGTGCGAAACTTGATTTTGTCATCGCGAACGACCTCGCACACTTCGCCGGAAGCGATGGCATCTTGCCACTCCTGCGACTCACGCAGAGCAACTCCCCTGCCCTTTCCGAGGTCACCGTGATCGTACTTGGAAGTGCTGACGAGTTGACCGGTGCGACACCAGCGCAGACGACCTTTCCCAGGATGCGACTTGAGATGCGCACGAAACTCCTCCAGGGGGCCTTGAGACGGAGCTTCGCCTTCATTGTCGATGTACGTCATGTAGTTGCGTCGCTGGTCTGCGGTAAGATAGCTGATCCTTTCGTCTTCGAGCTTGGACCTTGGACACTCGTCCAAGCTGAGATCCTTGCCTTCGCCTTCATCGAGCCAGAGCAGGAAGTTCTGCTTGGTGTCGGCTTTGGTATTCCAGTAGCGATGATAGTGCTTGAGGTTACTGCCGTAGCGGTGTTTCGGATCGAGCATCTCAAGCCAATTCTGATCCTCCATCCGCTTGGTGAGCACTTCGGACTCGTGGATAAAGTCTCGCTTTTCAGTATCGTTCTTGAACGAAAACGGAAGCTTGTCGAAGAAGCTAGTGCTCTGCAATTGTTGTGTGAGCGAATTGACCTTGGCGGGAGGAGACGCAGGTGGCGATGACGTGGGTGAGGACGTCGACTTGGCTGGCCCGCGACTGCCCTTTGTTGCCGCTTCACCCCTTACAGCAGGAGAAGGTGCTGCATCTTGTTTTCCAAGCTGTCCTGCCATGAGGCCAGCTCTACGCCAGCGTGATGCGGCGTCATTCTTGTCTCCCTGACGTTGCTCCTCTAGCGTTTTCTCGAGCCGGCTGATACGGAGCGCCGAGCGGATGCGATCGGCTCCTTCGATTCGAGAAAAGTCTTCAGACCCCGCAAATTCTGTTCTGTCATTGTTGTGCGAAGGAGAGTCGGGAGCTTCGGACGTTGTTGCCGTTGTTGGAGGTGCCTGGTTTGACGTCATCTCGGTGTTGGCTGCGGTGGTGCGAGTCTGGTGAGACGTGGTGGTTGCCGAGAACGGTGCGGTTACTGACAAAGCATCGTTGGCCGCAACTGTTCCACGTAGAGCAGATGGACACAGCAGCGAGAAGGTCGTTGATGACGATGTAGGTGGTGGTGTTGTCGCTGTCGGCGAGCGTGCTGTGGAGAGGAGAGGAGCGGATGCACTCCACGTTGACTCCACTTTCAGTCATTGCTCCAACCCGGCGGCTATGTCTCAGGGGGCACAGCCGGCCATGCTTTTCTCGGTGCGAATTTACCACGTGGTGAAGTAAGTAGCCGAAACAGAATTGGGATAAATGTGCGAATGTTAGGTCGAGCTTTCTCGTGCCTTAGTCATGCTCACCTCACCTGAGGCCGTCGGCGGTCCGAGCACACGTTGAAAATTGAATTACTGCGCTGTCTGAGTTCGGGCGTGTGACTCGGTGCGGACGAGATCTTTCGGAGAAATGCCGAAGTTACACACGGGGCTGACAGTCGGAAAAGGCGAAAACGGTGCCAAAGTCAAGAAGAAAGTGAGAAAGAGCCTTCGCATCGAGATCGCTTCCTTCCGAATCACAACGTTCGAGCTGCCTTTTCGTGTCGGGTGTCGTTCAAGCGACACATCCTGAATCGTCATGTCGGCGTCAACTTCGAACCTCAAGGCGAGCCTGGATCGGTGGTCAGCAAGACTGACATCGCTGCCCAGCATCGCCCTTCCCACCGACTACCCTAGACCCGCTACCTCGCAACTCGTACAAGCGCTTGCCTCGTCGACGCTCTCATCCGGAACAAGGAAGGATCTTGTGCGTCTGGCGTTGCACCACGAGCTCGATCTTCATCCTGCCGAGTACGCCGACGGCCAAGACGATGACAATGCCAGTCCGACTCCCTTCCACCTCCTGCTTGCTGCTTTCTGTGTGCTCCTGCACCGCTACACCGGCGATACGGATCTCGTCATCGGCTCGTCCAATCCCTACACCGGAGAACCACTCATCTTGAGGATCCCCATCGAACCTAACGACCCATTCTGGCAAATTGTACGACGCATTCAGCAGGTGGAGAAGGAGGCTGCTGGCGATGCTGTCCCCTACGATGAGATCGTCAAGCGTGTCGAGGCTGAGCGCGCGGAGCGCGAAGGACCTTTGCCCGAGGGTGTCCAGAGCGCCCCCATCTTTCGTGTTCGCTTCTTCGACGAGACGGGCGGCAAGGCTCGCAACTTTATGCAATCAACCTCGCTCACTACCGATCTCACCGTCTTCTTGACCAAGCCAGGAGCCACTCCTGGAGACGACGCTATCCCGCAGCAAACGCCCTCAGAGTCCGCGACGCCATCGGCTGGAGCCAACGCAACCCACACATTCCGGGACTCGCTCGTTCCTAACATCGCCGTGCACCTCTCGTACAACTCACTCATCTTTTCTTCGCAGCGCATGCAGCTCGTGCTGGCACAACTGTCCCAGCTCATCTCGGTAGCTGCTGCCAATCCTGCATCGCCCGTTGGAAGCCTTCCCATCCGAACACCGCAGGAGAACTCTTTCCTCCCTGATCCTACTAAGGACCTCGAATGGTGTGGCTGGAGGGGCGCCATCACACACATCTTTGAACGCAACGCCCGCGCGCATCCAGACCGCAGGTGCATCGTGGAGTCACTAGTCGACGATTCCGGATCAGTGTCCCAGCCAGGTGCACCTGCCAGTCGTGTCCGCGAGATCACCTACGCTCAACTCGACCGCGCCTCCAACGTCGTTGCCCACCATCTCCTTCAGGCAGGTGTCCAGCGTGAAGAGGTAGTCACCACCTATGCCCACCGAGGCGTCGATCTCGTCGTTGCTGTTCTCGGTACTCTCAAGGCAGGTGCCACTTTCAGCGTCATTGATCCCGCTTATCCGCCCTCGCGCCAGAACGTCTACCTGCAGGTCGCCAAACCGCGTGCATTGATCGTGCTAGCCAAGGCAGGTACACTGCAACCATCAGTGCGAAAGTGTATCCAGGACGAGCTCGATCTTCGTACCGAGATCCCTGCGCTTGAACTGCTCGACGATGGATCGGTGCGAGGCGGTGCATCCTCGCAAGGAGGCGCTGACAGCCTTGAACCGCAACAGTCCATGGCTGGGGCGAGCACCAACGTCATCCTCGGTCCCGACAGCGTCGGCACGTTGTCCTTCACTTCCGGCTCCACCGGTATCCCCAAGGGTGTCAAGGGCCGCCACTTTTCGCTCACTCACTTCTTCCCATGGATGGGCGAGCGATTCGGTCTCGGTGCCCATGAGCGATTCACCATGCTCTCCGGCATCGCGCATGACCCTATCCAGCGAGACATCTTCACACCGCTCTTCTTCGGTGCAGAACTGCACATCCCGACTTCGGAGGACATCGGCACACCCGGCCGTCTTGCCGAGTGGATGGCTGCCAGCAAGGCAACGGTCACGCACCTGACGCCGGCCATGGGCCAGCTGCTCAGTGCGCAGGCTACGGCGCTGATCCCTTCGTTGAGAAACGCCTTCTTTGTCGGTGACGTCCTAACCAAACGCGACTGCACTCGTCTACAAGCTCTTGCTGCCAACGTTTGCATCATCAATATGTACGGCACCACCGAGACTCAACGCGCGGTTAGCTACTTTGCCATTCCGCCCGTCAGCACCTCGACCACCTTCCTGCAGACCCAGAAGGACATCATGCCGGCTGGTCAAGGTATGATCAACGTGCAGCTCCTTGTCGTCAACCGCAACGAACGCACAGCCACCTGTGCCGTAGGCGAAGTTGGTGAGATCTATGTGCGAAGCGGTGGCCTTGCCGAAGGCTACCTCGGCCCTCCCGAAGTGACTGCCGAGAAGTTCATGCCCAATTTCCTCGCTCCCAACCTCGATTTCCCCGACACCATCAAGGAGAAGCCCGAGGGCCAGTTCTGGAAGGGCATCCGCGACCGCATGTACAGAACCGGCGATCTGGGTCGATACCTTCCCGACGGCACTGTTGAGTGTACCGGCCGTGCCGACGACCAGATCAAGATTCGTGGCTTCCGCATCGAGCTCGGCGAGATCGACACACACCTGTCGCGTCACCCGCATGTTCGCGAAAACGTCACCTTGGTGCGTCGTGACAAGGACGAGGAGAAGGTGCTTGTCTCCTACTTTGTACCTGGTTCCGGCGCCACTGAGTTCGAGGAGTCCGTCACCGAGGACGATGAGGCGATCGCTGCTGCTGGCGGCAAAGCTGCCCGTGATGCGATGCTGGTCAAAGGCATGCGACGATACCGCACGCTCATCAAGGATATCCGCGACCATCTGAAGAGGAAGCTTCCTGCCTATTCGGTGCCGACTTTGTTTGTCCCACTCAACAAGATGCCGCTCAACCCCAACGGAAAGATTGACAAGCCCGCACTGCCTTTCCCAGACACTGCCATGGTGGCGGCTGCTGGCTCCAGCAGCTCTGCGTCCAAGGGTGGTGCCGACGCAGCGGCTGCTTTGGCCTCGGCTTCGCCCACTGAAAAGACGGTCATCGAGCTCTGGTCGCGTCTGCTGCCCAACGCTCCTTCGCCGATCCCGATCGACGAAAGCTTCTTCGATCTTGGTGGCCACTCGATCCTGGCAACACGTCTAGTGTTCGAGATGCGCAAGCAATTTGTCATCAACGTGCCGCTCGGTGTGGTCTTTGATGCTCCCACTGTGCGTGGTCTTGCCAAAGCCGTTGACTCGTTGCGCCAGGCTGATCTCGGTCTCGGTGCCACGCAGAACGGCTCGGCACCTGCCTCAGCTCAACGGACAGAGGAGGCAAGCTTGGACGAAAACTACGGCGCCGATGTGGCGACGCTAACTCCCAGTCTTCCCGAGTCGTTTGCTGGCGACAAGGTTCGAAGCGCAAGCGAGGGACCTCGAACGGTCCTGGTGACGGGTGTCACTGGCTTCCTCGGTGCCTTCATTCTCCACGACCTGCTGACGAAGCGATCGTCGAGCGTCGCCAAAGTGTACGCGCACGTCCGAGCCAGGGACGAGGCCAATGCGCTGGAACGACTTCGCGAGGGTTGCAAGGGTCGTGGCATCTGGAACGATTCGTGGGTGAGCGAAGGCAAGCTCGAAGTTGTGCTGGGTGATCTGGCAGCGCCGCAACGTCTGGGCATGTCGGAGCAGGTATACGCCAAGCTCGCAGACGAGGTCGACGACATCCTGCATAACGGCGCGCTGGTCCACTGGGTGTACCCTTACAGCAAGTTGCGCGCTGCCAACGTCGGCTCCACCATCTGCGCCATCAAACTCTGCAACGCTGGCAAGAAGGCCAAGACGTTGACTTTTGTGTCGAGTACCTCTGCTCTCGACACGGATCATTACATTCGCCTCTCCGACTCGATCTTGCACGGCCAGGACCCTGCTCAGGCGGGCTCGGCGGACCACCTGCATGGTGTGCCCGAGACGGACGACATTGAGGCCAACGTCAAGGGCCTCACCACGGGCTATGGTCAGTCTAAGTGGGTAGCCGAAAAGCTCATCATGATCGCAGCATCGCGTGGATTGAAGGCATCCATCGTTCGACCAGGTTACGTTGTGGGTGACTCCAAGACGGCCGTCACCAACACGGACGACTTCCTGTGGCGCCTCGTCAAAGGCTCCATCCAGCTCGGCCTGATTCCGGACATGCACAACTCGATCAACATGGTGCCCGTTGACCACGTTGCAAGAATCGCCACGTTGGCGTGCCTCAACAACGCCAAAGAGCTCGACACGATCAACAAGACGCTCAACACCAACGCCAAGGTGTTCCACGTTACAAACCATCCGAGCATCCGCTTCAACGACATGCTGGGCGAGTTGAGCCGCTACGGCTGGAAGGTGGAACAGACCGAGTACGTGCACTGGCGTGCCAGATTGGAGGAGCACGTGCTGAGCAGTGGCGCTGGCTCGGTCGAAGACAACGCCCTGTTCCCACTGTTGCACTTTGTGCTGGACGATCTGCCTACGTCGACCAAGTCGCCCGAGCTGGACGACCGACACACGCAGGCGATCCTGGATGCCGCGTCGGAGGGACAGGCGCAGGGCACGGTGATGGGCGTCGACCGATCGTTGGTGGGGACATATCTCGCCTGGCTTCTGGCTGTCGGCTTCCTTCCAGCGCCTTCGTCCAGTAGCGCAGAAGCTTTACCGAAGTTCGTCAGCATTGGTGCAGAGATGAAGGCGATCGGACGTGGATCCGCCAACTGAGCTCGAGGCCAGGGCGAAGCTGAAGGTGCCTGGATTTTTTGGCGCAGCTAGTAATCAACCACAAGTTTAAGAACCATGAAGTCTGCTTTTGATTGTCTGGATTTGTAGCTGAGCATTTGTAGCTGAGATGGCGGAGCTGTTTGCCGATGCAAATGAATGGCAAGGTTGTCGGCCACGAATGCAAAGAACGGTGGAGCACTTTGGCGAAGTACAAAACCCGATTGTCCACGGGTGCTGCAACGGAAAGTCGAGTACGCCGAGGGACGCTTTTATCCGAGGCAGCTTCGTGGCCGTTGAGATTTGTTTGTTGGTTTCAGAACGAGATGCCAGGAAAAGAAAACGAGAATCGGCAACAAACAAAGCGGAGCTCACAAGCTTTCTTTTTTCGTCAGGAAGTCTAGAAAGTGCGCGGAACGTTCGGCGCTTCTCACGCATCTCGGGGGTTGTGCCCAGGCGAAGCAGCCCGCTATGAAAGCTGCGCTGTTCCAAAAAGGCTCCGACGGAATTAGAGCTTCGCTTCGGCTCCTGCACGATGCCGTGCTACCGTCGTGCAGGTGTCCCGACCGACACCTCGCGTATGTCCGTCGTTGTCGAGGAAGGAAATTAGCGACATGAGAGCAACAAATTCTTGATGCGAGGCGGCTCGCAGCCCATATTGCTGTTGATCGGGACCGTCTCCTCGGCTTGGGTGGGTTGCAGAGAACCTAGACTAGTACCTCTTTCGGCAACGTCGAGCAAAGCGATCAACTCACAATCTGCAAACCGTCCCGAAGCGGCCTCGAGCAATGGATCTTTCGTTCGACTTCAGCTGCAGCGGTGCCTCATGCACGTTCCGGAGACCAACACTTTTCGAGAGTTTGCCGACGTTCTTTTCCCATGCAGAGCAACACTCTTCTTCTTGCCGATCCGCATCAGCGTCGTCGATGTGGAAAAGCCACTCGTGCACATGGTTAACGATTTGCGGCGATTGCCATCCGAACACACTATGGAGAAGGTCCTAGCTGGTCGCATCATCGGGTTTCACGTGGCCGGGCGAAACATGAAGCGTCGACCTTGGTTCCATCCTCGTGATCGCATGCAAGCTGCGGGAGCCTGCAGGTGTCGGAAACAAACGCCCTTCCTCGCACCGCATCGCAAACTCATGCACGTCCGGCTCCAGTCGGTGTCTTGACTTGTCGGCAAGAAGATTTGCTGTCAGCGCTGACCTCTTGCCAATAGCCAAGAATAGTGTGACACTGGTCGAACTCTGGCCATCCTGGTCCACTTCGAATCGCCTTGCCGCGCCTTGACCTTCACGACGAGTCCCGACTCCTCTGCTCACGTCAACTTCGGCCCTAAATCATCGTACAGTCACATCGGCTTCTCAATCTCGTATCACACATTCGACCAAGCTTGGATGCGCCGACGCAGCTTCGCCACGCCAGATAGCCAGGATTCCTTGCTCCTCATTGCTGTCACATCAGATTCCTCTGCCAGTGCCTTGCTTTCCCTTCAGTACTATCGACGTCCTCTCCACGGCTGCATCGGATCTTTTGAAAGAGCTTGCTGCTCGAGCCCAGACTCATCGATCTCGCAGGCAGTTCGCCTTGCTACGGCGACTTTCCGTATGCTCAGCCATAAGTGATTCTCTTCAGCAGGTCGACATCCGAGCAACAAGATTTCGAAGGCAACCTGCGTTATATCAACTGTGGTCTGGACGACTATTCTCAGTACCCCTTCTATCGAACCCTCTGTTGCTTAGACCAGACTGTACGGCGATCATCTGAGCGCATCAAGGATTGCTTCGCCACGACCACCTTGCGTAATGCGCCCTTCCGGTAGGACCGATCCTCCGAACCACAAGCCCGGACAGACAGCCGCCTCTCCTTGTCAGACCAGCGCACCGACCTCAACTTACGTCTCCTCACTCAGTAATGCACTCGACATCCCAACGCCCAACTCATCGAGGAAGATAGCAGGTGCCGGAACCGCTAAACCTGAGGCCCTTGTCTCGACGCCAAGTAAACCTGCGCAAGGCTCGTTCGAACCACATAGAAGCTCTACACAGTGCGCTGATGCGCTTTATACACCCACACGCAACGCGGCAGCTTCTCGCGTACTTTCTTCCTCGGATCATGATGCATTTCAGTCTTTGACCAGCCCATTAACATCATGGCCGACCTCTCTCGTGTCTCCCGCCCCAACCGGCAGTTCTGCATTCGAGTCATCCGTCGATTGGAGCCAAGACCATCAGTGGTGGGTGGCGGGAGCATCTAGCTGCAGGGGTGACGACGTATTTCCGAGCGGTACAGGGTCCGAATTACTGTCGCCTAGCTCCTCCTCTGTGCCATCGGAGACGACCCATCAACGAAACACTGAGCAGGAGTCTTTCAGGGAACGTAAGGGGCAGTCGCGTCGCCGTCAGCATGCGACAGACTACGCGGCATTCGCGCTGCAGTTACCTCCGGCCTCCATGACACCAAGTTCTTCGTCGGCCTCGTCAATGCCATTCACACTAACGCTGCCGTCAACAGGCATGCACAATGCTCCTCAAGTGATAGGACTCGAGCATGGAACCCCAAGCTTATCGACCCATCTTTTACCCAGCAATGACTTGACCGAATATCTTCATACGGCAAACCGACCCAGAGACACGGGGCTACTGGGACCCAACCCATCACGCATGTTCGGACAAGCCGCGTGTACCTCCAGCAGGCGCTCCCTTGCAGAGGCCGAGGACGTTCCAGTACTTTCTCAAGTCACAAAATCGGCCGCATCCGATAAAAAGGGAGCATTCGTCAAGTGGCTATCTGCTCACATGGACGACGTCAATGATCGCCGTCTTTTCGATCTCGGAGAATACGGATTACGTTCGTCAGTGGGCAAAAATGCCCTGCTGGCTGATCATCGAACGCCGTTAGGCCTAGGCCTTGATATTGTTGCTAGCACAGCATCGGAACAAGTCGAGATGCTGACATCACCTGCGCTAGACGCGTCGAGGACATCGGTGCTGAGAGACCACGGCAACGATGGGGGGCGCGAGTGGGAACATCAGACATCGGCCCTCTTTACCAACAGTAGAGCAACACAAGGGGATGGGCGAGCCATCCAAGAAGCGTCGATGTCTTCCCTCAGCACCGCCATGGAAACAAGCTTCGCATCGCACAGCAATCCATCAACTTGGGATAGCTCGTTTGGCCAAGCACCAAGCTCTTGGGGTGGCGATGACTCGGTCGTCGCCGAGGCTCACCTTGCTGATACGTCCGCTTCCTCCATCGGCCTTAACACCAGCCAGAATGCCTACGCAGAGAAGCCAAGTGTCGAGGGTCGTCCCTCTTCCGAAATGAGCGCTCTCGCTACCACGCCGGAAGTCTTCATGCAAGATCTGAGCGAGTTCAGCCAATCTGTTCCCATTCAAGATATGGCCGAAGAGCGATGGAGGACATGGCCGAGACACCGGGAGGGCCGCAGCGTCGTCTTACCAGCTGACGTATCCGACATCGGTGTCGCTAGTCTAAATTCAACGACGGGGGAGACTGGCAGCTTCTTCGACGCTCTATCTGCCTCGGTGTACCCGACGCGATCTAGACTCGGGGCTGAGCCCTACAACAAGAACCTGCGCTCTGGTCGACCAAGTAGTAGCGCCAGCACCAGCACCCGTTCGTCTATCGGCGGTTCTATCATCCTTGAGGACGAGTCGAGCAACCTCGCGAGCGGTCCGATCCGACCTCGATCTTTCGTTGGGGCTGGCTCGCTGAGAATGTCGGCTGCGACGAGAACAAATCCCTGCGTTGGATCTGACAAGCTGTCTAGTCCGAAAGAACGCGTCTCTGGAACAGCGATGGCGCTGCGACATGTACGGAGACTGTCTCAAGGGTCTCCAGCATCATCTGGCGCAGCTAGACCCAGTGCCATGAGATCGACAAGATCCGTCGATTCCGTCAGTGCCACCGACCCAAGGGCTAGGTACAGCATTGCTATGCCGAACACGCTTGGAAATAGCTACGGTGCGATGACAACATCTCAGAGACCGCAATCCATGATCGACTTTTCTGCGTCTTACCGAGATCTTCCCCGCCAGCCCAGAACTGGGAATGGGATCAAAACTAGCTCCAGGGTTGGCTTCAGCGAGGTATCTGAAGCGTTGAACACGCTGCGCTTGTTCCTCAAGCAAAAGAAGCCCATCAACAGCAATAACGCTGCTGAGCAAGACAGAGACCGGCCTCGAACCCCGAACGAGCATTCGCGGGAACCGTCTTCGCCTGGGAAGCAAGTTCGCACGCTACGACGATCCAAGCGAGTTCTGCCTCCTAGAGGCGCGATGTCATCCGTTGACGAGGTTGACGCCCTTCAGCCAACAACATTTTCGAAGTCGAGGCAAGGCCTTTTGAGCCATCAAGATGTTGAAGATGAAGCAAGCCAATCGACGCACGCAATGTCTTCCTTGTCGTCCACTCAGAGCAAACAGGACGACAGGCTGGCAGTACTTGAAGACCTCTCTGAACGAGTCATGCGACTCAAAGCCGAGTCCGAATTGGAAAAGGAACGTCATGCTGCTGCTAGCATGCCACCTCCCGTTGTTCGGCCGGCGTCCACGGTCCACCAGCCTATACCATCGAGCCCAACCAAGACCCGCCGTGAGATGCACGACGAGTACCTTCGAAAGCGCGCTTCCAAATCGTGAAGCGCGAAGCGTGAAGCGTGCACTGCCTTCTCACTGGTAACGCGCACACGCTATGCGACGGATGGCGATCTTCAATGATGATTATCATCAAGAGCCAGTGCTTCATCTGCGTTCGCCCCTTCATTTCCCTCTCATGTAATGTCAAATCAGCACCATACACGAACTCATTGTAGCGCTTGTCAGACGAGTTGATTTTCGCCTAGAATTGCTCTGCAAGCCTGCCTTCTTTCGCACCATCATGCCTGGAGGCGGTCGATTTTTTTTCCGCGTAAACCTCTTTGCTGGATTTCAGCGACGGCTATTCGGCAAGGCCAGATAGACGAGCGGAAAGAGATAAGGGGTCGTGTACGTGGGCGCGCGGCGGAATCCGTGAATTTTTCGACAACTCTAGGTGGCTTTTGGACCCTGACTGTTGGTTTTGTGGCACGGATCGTCGGAATCGGCTTTGCTGTTGCGTGTGTGGCCTGCACGAGCCACGTCCTTCACTTCGTCAAATCTAGATCTCTCTCCTCCCGACCATTGCTCTCCTCGCTCTTCATCCATCATCGCAGAGCCGACAAACCTAGGCCATTAACGCTAGCAGCCATGTCGAACCTCACCCCGACCACAGCACTCAGTTCGGCAGCATCGACCGTCACACCGCAAGTGGCGTACCTTCGAACGCTCCCGGCAGTTCGCGAACGATGCTCCAAGATCTTCTCCGCCGCTGCGTCCTCGCCCACCTCTGGGCTCGAGTACTTCACCTACGACCCTGCCAAAGAAGAAGCGGTGGCCGACTACTGCATCTCGATCATTCTACGGGATTTCGGTACCGACTACAGCTCCATCCCGCCCCACGGTCGGTGGCGGCACTTTGACGTTGGGTCGATCCCACGCATCACGACGCTTCTTAGCGAGTGGGCCGGTGTGCAGCCGATCTCTGGCTCGCCGCATTCTGCAGTGAATGTGGAGAAGCTGGCGACGGGGAGTTTGGAAGCAGCGCGGAGGTTGGTCGATCTGTTCATGGTTTCCGTGCTGCTGGATGCGGGTGCAGGGACAAAGTGGAAGTACGAGGAGAAGAAGACCGGGTTGAGCTACGGTAGGTCGGAGGGCCTGGCGGTTGCTAGTCTGGACATGTTCAAGGAAGGTAGGTTCAGCAGTGATGAGGGGGGCGAAAGGTATAGGGTGGATGCGAAGGGGTTGAAGAACCTGAGCGCAGAGGTGTTGGCGATCGACATGCAGGTGCATCCGCACGACAACCCGATGACCGGACTGGAAGGAAGATCCAACCTGCTCGTCAAGCTCGGCGAAGCGCTCGAGTCGGATCAGCATGGGTTCTTCCAAGGTCCACCCGGTACGCCTCCAGGCGAACGAAGACCCGGCTTCTTGGTCGACTACCTGGCATCGCACCCCACGACGACGAAATCCGTTAATGCGGTCGAGGTGTCCTACCCTGTGCTGTGGGAGGTGCTGATGTACGGACTGGCGCCCATCTGGCCCGCGTCCCGCACGCATCTCGACGGAGTAGCCATGGGCGACGTCTGGCCGAACGCCACGCTCGCCTCCCTCAACTCAACCCCGCTCGGCTCAGAACCATCTCTCGTACCCTTCCACAAGCTCTCGCAGTGGATGTGCTACTCCCTCACGGAAGCCGTCGAGAAGACGCTCGGTTGGCGCTTCGTCGATGCGGAACACGGGACCGGTCTACCCGAGTATCGGAACGGCGGTCTGTTCGTTGACCTCGGAGTCCTTACCCCCACCCAAGCTTTACTGGATGCAAGTCGGGCCGGAGCCGACGCACCAGTGCCGGAGATCCCCGCAGAACACCCCGCCATCGTCGAGTGGCGCGCCATGACCGTCATCCTCCTCGACCGTACCGCCGTCAACATCAGAACCAAGCTCGGGGCATCTGAAGAACAGCTCAACTTGAAACAGGTGCTGGAGGCGGCTACCTGGAAAGGTGGAAGGGAAATCGCTCAGCAGAAAAGACCCGCTACCGGAGGTCCTCCCATCAACGTCCTCAGCGACGGAACCGTCTTCTAGCACCACCACTGTCATATCACCCACTTCTATTGAAAATCTATACAACTTTTACATTTCTTTTCGCAACTCACTTCCTCTCCCTAACAAACACCACCAACCACCCCGCACTCGCCACGGTGAACGCCACAAACAGTGCCACTAGTGTGACGATATCCGGCAACCAGAACGCCTGGCTGTTGAACCCGAACGAGCTGATGATGCTCGCAGCGGGGACTTCGATATCGATCCCGTACTTGTGCTCCTTGAGGCTGAGGTTGCGCAGCTCGTTGACGATGAGCGCCTCGTACGCGGCGTGGAAGAACGACAGGTGCTGCAGCCACCGTAGGTACCCCGGGATGCGATCGCGGTTGATGAGCAGACCTGCAAACAGAAGTGAAAACAACATCGTGAGCGACCCTACCAAGTTCGCCAGACCGGTATCTTCGATCGCGATGGAGATGAAGAACACCGCAGAAGAAGCCGAGAGCGAAAACAGCACCAGCGTGAGGATAAACTTCCAAAACTCGGCTACCCCCGGTACCAAACCGACGAGGAAATACACGCATCCACCAAACAAGAACGGCGGAACGACCCTCAACGGCAGAATATCGAACAGCAGCTTGCTCGTGAAATACGTCAGCGGGCTGTAGTAGCCATTGCTGCGTTCGCGCACGAACAGCGCGCGTTCGTTTGCAAACACCCCGAGCGAGGTCAAGCACGAAAAACCGAACAGCGAGAGGATGAAGAAGAACAGGCCGAGACGGTTTTGGAATCCCGAAATGTCGTTGGTCACGCCGTGGTACAGGACTCCGCAGAAGAGTGCGAGCACGATGGCGAGACCGAAATGCGCAAACATGAGGATCGGATCGCGGTAAAGGTTCTTGAACGCCCGTCCGGATAGGATCTTGAACTGCGTCCACAGTCCGGCCTTCTTGTACGAGCGGAGCAGCGAGCTCTCATTCGCAAGATCGGGCAGCTCGTTGACCACGCCTTCGGGTCGACGTCCCAGGAAGGCGTCTAGCTCGGACTTGGTGTCCTTAGAAATGTCGGACTCGGCAAATGCGTTGACGAGGTGCACCAGCTTGCCGCTGCTCAACGCAGGCATCCACACGTCGTGACCGTTGCCCTGGCCGTTGGCAAAGGCGTTTCGAAGTCCGTCTGTGAGACGACTGGTCTTCTTGCGCAGACTGCCTCCCCTTGACGATCCTTGCTCGGCAATCGAGTTCGGTCTTGTTCTCAGCTCGGTCGATTCGTCTCTCGAGCTGGTGTCGGTCGTGACGATGCTCGTCTCGTTGCGATGATGCGTGCTACCCGCCGAGCCACCTCCTTCGACATCTTCCTCGGCACTCTCCGGTGTCGAATTGCTGCGACGCGCAGTGAGGTCGATCAAGAAATCGGCAATGTTGAACCCTGGCGGGCAGGGATGCCCGACCTGGTCAAAGTAGTCGCTGCAGCGACCAAAGGGACCCGAATAAACGACACGACCCTCCGCAAGCAGCAAGAGCTTATCAAACAGCGCCACGATGTTGGAGCGTGGTTGGTGGATGGAAAAGATGACGGTGCGCTTGTAGGTCTTCGCAAGCGTGACGAGCGACTGGACGACATTGAAGGCGTTGTACGCGTCCAAGCCGGACGTAGGCTCGTCGCAGAAGAGGATACTCGGGCTCGTAACGAGCTCGCAAGCAATCGAGACCCGACGCTTCTCACCGCCGCTGATACCGCGTCCTTCCTTACTGCCACCAGCGGTGAAGCCTGAGCCACCGATGCGGCTGTCCTTGATACCAAGGATGCCAAGCTCCTGCATAGTTTCGAGCGTGCGGAACTTCTTGGCCTCGAGAGACATGTCGCGCGGCAGCCGCAGCAAAGCCGAATAGAGGACAGTCTCGTATACGGTTAGAGTCTCCATGAGCAGGTCCTCTTGGTCGACAAAGCCGACGACGCGCTTGTACTCTTGGTTCGACATCTTCCTGCCGTTGATCAGCACCGATCCGGAGGTGACACCGCGCTTCTCGCGTCGCGCGAGGATGTCGAGGAACGTGGTCTTGCCTGCACCACTGGCACCGACGATAGCCATGACCTCGCCCGGCTTGACCGAGCCAGTGATGCCATCGAGCAAAGCTTTGGATCCGATGCGATAGCCGACGTTCTCCCAGTGAAGTGCGGCAGGGATGTGATCTTTCATGAGATCGGCCTCCTCTTCGGGGAGTCGCACGCTGCCGAGGCGCACCTCGTCGTCTTTGTAATGCCTTCCGAGCATCCAGAGCAAGCTGATGGAGAGGATTACGATCGCAATGGCTGCAACGGCGCTGATGACGACCCAAAGGACGGGTTTAGGTGGCGCGATGGGTACCTGATAGCCGGGAACCTGACTGAAGTGAATACATTCGCCCGATTTGCAGGTGATGAAGATGGCTTCGTCACCGAAGACGTCCGAAATGAGGCCGTTCATGCCGGGTTCCTCGAAGCGACACTTGCGGACACCGTCCGGGTCGGTCTTGCAGGACATCTTGCCTGGACCTTTGATCTCCTCGGTGAGGAACTCCGAAATGTCGATGCTGCCCGACTCGCCGCAGAGCATGCGTCCAGGTATGCATTGGCAGCTGACCTTTTTGCAGTCGTACGAGGTGCGATTGGCCGACTTGCCGATCTCGATAGTCTCTTGGCAGTCGTCGAGACCGCAGTAGAACGACTCTCGGGCGCCGATCCAGAACTGGAAATTGCAGCTAGCATCGCTCTTATCGCAGCTGAACGTGACCTGAGGAGGACGGCCGGGAAGCATGTCGACGATCTTCTGGTTGGTGACGTCGCATTCTTGGAAGCTCTGTTGGATGGTGGCGCCGCCGTCGTAGCAAGTGCCGTTTTCGCCGAGACGTTCGCCTCCCATCATGAAGTTGGCACATGCAGCATCGGTATTGCAGACGTTGCAGTTGAGGCCCTCCCAGCCGTCCGAGCACTGACAGGACTTGTCATCGCCGGGTTCTCCCTTTGGGAAGCGCTTCGAGCCGTCCGCCGGTGATCCGCAGAGAGGCGAGAGGCAATCGGGTCCGCCAAAACCAACAGGGCAGCTGCAAAGACCATCGTACTGGTTGCATTCACCAAACTGATAGCATTCGTATGCCGGCAGTTGACAGTTGAAGCAATCAGGTTCGGGACACGGTGGACAATTTGGCGGTCGATCTGGTAGATTGGCGAAAGATGAGTTGGTGAAGATGGATGTGTAGGTCTGGAGGTAACGGCGGTTGAGAGCAGGAGCCATGCCGCGAGCACTGGTGGATGCGTCGGTTCCCGTCAGAAAGGCCATGAAACATGCCAAGGCTGACAGCAGCATGAGCATCGATGGCGAACGCAGCCCTTGCCGAGACCGCGATGAAGCCATCATCTTGTACAATGACGATGGCGTCGAGTGCGGTGAGTGACCCAGAGCCGATGAGGGTGATGAAGAGGTCAAATGGGCACCGGTCAACGCATGAATGTGGTAATGTCGGTAAAAGGCGAAGACAGGGAGTTGAATGAAGGAGGTGGTACGACGCCATAAGATGGGGTTTGGACCCTTTGGAGCCATAAACGTTGGTCTCGGCAAGGACAACTGAGAGAGCTCAGCCTTTGTTCGATGCAGGCACAGACCATCGCAATCAAGGCAGCCAAACGCAATCTTGCAGGGCGCGCGTTGGAGAGGCGAAAGCGGCGAGGTTGCCTAACCAATTTGACGGATTTCCCGAAAAGTGGTGGAGGTCGAATCGGTCCCTCTCTCTTGGACAGATCGGCGATGGATTTTTCACGGTTTGAGAATGTTTCTTGCTCATGCTTGGCCTATTAACTTTACCTTCTCGACTTGCACCATCTACTACTGCCCTCGACACGAGTGGCGCCCGCTGGTCTGCACTTGGCTCCCAGTCATGACCGAGCACGACCTCTCCGCTCTTGACGGGCTGCTCGACGAGCTCGACATCGAGGAGAAGGGCGATCACGATCCTCGAGCCGCCAAAATCAAGGCCCTGTTCGAGAAAGCCAGAGCCGAATATACCGCCAAAATCGACACTCCAACATGGTACATCTCGCCCAGTGCCAACACCACTGCACCCTTCGATATCGACTCCTTCGTTGTGCCCCGTCCCTCGCAGCTGCTCACCGAGCGCAAGGCTAGTCGCACCGCATCGACCAACCAAGAATGGACTGCAAACTACCTCTACAGCCAAGGACACTTTGAGACATGTCTTTCCTACGTAGCGTCGTTTGCCGTTTCTGTGGGGATCGACTTTCCGATTGACTCAAAGAATGGATTGGGCCAGAGGACCATCAACGAGCACGACAGCTCGCAGCTCGTCCTACGACGCTCCAGTCAAGAGCGCGAGCTTACCAAGAACTGGGGGACTATCAAAGACGTCATCGATGCCGGGATTCGTTCCCTCCTTACGATCCTGCGCTATGCAACAGCCAAACCGTCGATCGATGCATGGGTACCACAAACGTCAAATATGGAGACCTCGACTTGCCACTGGGGCAAGATCAGCCTCCACGCCTTGGCCAACGGCTTCCTCACCTTTTGCATGCGCGAGATCCGCATCGGAGCGGTCGATAGTCGAGCCGGTTACTCAGGTATGATCATTCGCTCAGAAAATGGCGACCTCAAGCCGGCAGTCGACGTGGAGAAACTCAGGATCCAGAATTGGACCGTCACGCACGGTCTTGCACTCACGGCGGGAGATCTTGCGCTAGAGCTGGGTTTGCATCGCACTGCCATCGAAGCACACACACTGTTCCTCGCTGCTCGCGGCCAAATGTGGCGTGTGCTGCTCGCTCTCGCAAACGAACTCGCGAGCTATCACGATTCGCTTGCGAAGCACAACCGAGCAAGTACCAAGGCTCGCGAATCGCTCAAAGTAGTAGCAAGCGCTGCCATCGTCGCAGCCATACAAGCTGCCCCCCGTCCGAGACGAATCGAGGTGGCGGAAAGTATCATCACCCACCTGCGTGTCGTTCCTGCACAGTGGATCTCCGAAACACTCGACGAGCAGCACGACGTATCGCCGCCGTTCGACGACGAAGACGATCTGCTCTTCAACGGCTTACTCCAGCCACTCGACCTGCAGGCTGACGACAGCCGGTCGATACTGCCGGAGGAGATCGGCATTGCGCTCGTCAAGGTCGTTTTCGCCAAGAAGAGCGGTATCCTCGCCATCTACACCAAGTTCGCTACGTACATGCGCGAGTATACGCAGCGTCTTCAGACACACACTTCGGCGGAAGATGCTGCTGGTGGAGGGTGGCAAGGTGATCTTGATGCGGTGGAGGATGATGATGTTGCTGAAAATGGTCCACGTAGCGTCCGGACGCTGTGATCGTCGTCTCTTTTGTCCTTCTTTTCGTCGAACCACACTCATATATACCCAGACGCAAATCCAAGTTCTATTGCAATACACCTTCCTACACTTTTCAGCCAGTGTTCTTCGAATCAACGAATCAAGTTCTTGATCTCGCCCAACTCGAATCCAGCGGCCTTCACCACCGGTGCGCGCAAACTCGCCTCTTCCGCCTCCAAATGTGGCAGCAGCACCGACTTCAACTCCTCGACCAACTTTGTCATCTTGGCATAGTCGAACACCTGATCCAGCTCTTCCGCCTTTTTGATCTTTCCGGATCTGAGATCCTTGCTGACTTGAGCGATGTAGTGTTCGAGGTTTTCGAGAGCGGAGTGCATCTGGGCGTGTTCCTTGGTGTGTTGAGAGGAGTGCGCGAATTGCGGGAGTTTCTTGGCGAGGGTTGGGAAGATGAAGCGTTCCTCGATGGCGTGGTGTGTCTCGAGGGAGGAGCAGAGGGACGAGCAGAGGTAGAGAAGGTTGGTGAGGATTTGAAGTTTCGGTTTCGGGGGTGAAGTGGGGGAAAGTTGGAGGAGAAGGGTGGAGATTTGCGCGGTGGCGTGACGGAAGTGTTGGTGGAAGGGGAGCATTCCGCGGTAGAGGCAGTCCCAGGGGTCGCTCATGGTGTGTATGCGAAAAACGTGCTCGTGAGGTGGTGATGGTACGATAGGTGATAGAAGACGAGGTCGTCGTCCAGAGAGAACCACTTGATGTTTCGAGCTGATGAGAGTCGAGTAGGAAGAAGTTGCACCGATTCGACTCAGCGGAGTCGAAGCTTTTATGTCGGTGAGAGTTCTTGCGAAAAGGAGCTGGTCAAGCCCAAGCCGACAGTAACGAGGCCTGATGATGGACGTCAGTTTGTGAATCCCGCGAGCACACAGCGGATAGGCGAACACAGCAGATGATGGTTGACGAGCAAGATACGAATCGCACACAGCTTGCACAAAAAAGCTTGATGACCAAAAGCCGACGTCTAATTTGGATTCGGTAAAACCACACAAAATTTATCGCCGCGGCATCAGACCTGATCCGCAGACTCATCTGCAGACCCTTCTTGCTCCGACGCGCCTTCCGCCTCCATGATCAGATCCACCCTGGCGTCGCGCTCGGATTTAAGCTCGTCAAACTCGTACACGCCCGATACGACCCCGACTCCATCCTTCGGGAACAACGGGTCCTGGAATTCCGTGCGGTATGTCACTTCAAACACCTCCGTGTCGATCTGCTTCATCAGATCCTCCAGTTGGTCGGTCTGCTTCCACTTCTGCTTCAATTCGGTGAACAGCGCATGGTACTGCGCCGTTTCCCTCAGGTGTCGATCCTGCCAGGCGTTGCGGAATCGCGTTACGATGGTGAGCCACGCCTTCTCTCGAGCCGATTCGTGTTCCTTGGCGGCCAATCGTCGTTTGAGCGAATCGATCTCCTTCTGCTTGCCACGCACCTGTCTCTGAGTGGCGCGAAGCTCGTGCTTCAGATCAGCTTCGTCTTCGTGCAGATCCTGCACCTGTCTTTTCAGATTGAGAATCGTCTCCAGGTCACGACTCTTGCACACGTGCACGGCGTACCTCAGATCACCCTCGTCGTCCATATCGCCTGCCAATGCTCGTTGGACCTCACGACGTCGGTAATTGGACGAAGGGATCAGGTGTGATGATCGAGCTTCCTGCTCGAGAAACTGATCTCGGTTCGCGATTGTCGTCGTCGCTCTTGGATGGCGTCCCAGTCGGCCCATTCAGGTTCGATACGCTCCCCTGCTTCGGGATCGTTGGAGAGGTCGATGACTGCCTTTGCGATGGATCTCGGCAGTCCGACAAGTTCTCGATCTAGATCACGGCCCTTATAGATGTTGTCGCCGACGGGGTTGGTGGTGTTGTCGCTCATGCCAGAGTCGTTGGTTTCGGGTGCCAGTCTCGTAGCCAAAACGTGTTTGCGAGCAAGCAGTGGTAGGTCCGCTGGGAGATAAGAAGGGTGCGCCGAGGACTGGGCCAAGATTCACGTGGTGGGAAGAGAGCGACACGGACGCGCTCTCGCGGCTGTTTGAGCGCCGAAGCGAAATCATCGAGGTCAAGTGGCTAGACGGTCCCGCCGTGTCGCGCCATATTTCCATATCTCCAGTCGGATCCGTGATGAGCCCAGTCGATGCGACGACGATGGGTTTTTTCGAACGCTCGTCGTCGACTGAGCTCGAGCTCGGCTAACACAATATATGGGTGAGTCTGCATGAGTTGATGGTAGCCGAGTCCAGCAGGGCCGTCGTCGACTGAACTCTCCCACCAAAAGTCCAGTTGATGACGGAAATCTTCCATCGTCGACTGGGCTCGTAATGCGGCACCGGGACTGCAAAAGGATGGCCCGATCGACCTGATCAGTCCCAAATTCAACTGGGATGGTCAGATGATGCCCGAATCAACTCAATTCTATCATCGCCTCACCAATTCGGCTAAACGAGTCCATCGGACGATGATAGACGGCCGAAAACTCACTGATAAGAGTGCGGGGGAAGGGCCTGTCATTTAGCGCTCGAATGTCCTCTTCGCGTTCTACCGCCGACGCGCCCACAACAGCTTCGACACGACATTTATCACTTAAGTTAGTCAAAGCATATTACATATAGAAATACATCGGTCCCCCTATCATTACAATCTCACGCCGCCACCGGCGCACGATCGAATCTATGACTCTGTACCAACTCATCCGCCTCTTCCACCTCCTCTTCCCCTACCGCCAACCCATCCACCCAACTCAGCTTGGGACATGCCATGGCCAACAACCCCCTGTGCAACACCCTCCTCTCGTAGAACTGCCTCGGCAACGTCCTGACGAACCTCGTATCCGCTGCCTGGAAAACGCTCGAGTAGCTCGCTCCGTCCTTCGCCGCTCGCTTCGCCGTCTCTCTGTCCAACGCGTCCCTCGCGAGCGTCGCATTGGGATCGATGGCATAGTCCGCGAGCGGAGCACGTCGTTTGTGGAAGTGCGATTTCTCCAGCTGCTCGATCTGCGCTCGCTGGGCTGCTGCTTCGCGTCGTCGTTCGCTCGCCGCAAGGTCAGGTTGGACAATCTGCGCATTGGGCACCGGGGGAAGCCAGGATGCAGCCAGAGCATCCGTGTCCAGCGCCCCGTCTTCACCTCGATGAGTCGGCGAGGCGGATGGTGCGATCAAGGGCGCATACAGACCGAGCGTGCACGGGTTCGTACGACAGTCCAGCACTTGCAGCTCGGAGAGCCCACGAACCGCGGTGATGATGGACTTGCTCTTCTTGACTCGACATCCGACCAGGCTGAGTCGTTTGAGCCTTTGCATGCCTTCCAGGCTCGGCAGCGTTGAGATGAGGTTGTGATCCAGATTGAGCGAACGCAGGTTGGGAGCAACCTGAGCCAGATCTGCAGGCAGCTGCATCAATTGGCACGCCGACAGCTCGAGATAGACCAGGTTCAGGAAGCGCAGCGGCTGCACCAGCGGTGGCTGCGCCGTCAGCGACGAAGCGATCGGCTTGCGCGCCTCGCTGGTGGTCGAGATGCCCTGAGGAAAAGCATTGCCGGAGAGGAAGAGTCGACGAATATCGCGCAACTGATCCGCAGGCCACGTGATGGCGGCTTCCGCCTGCTGTCGCATGCTGAGGTTGTCGAGATGCTCCAGCTGGCCCAGGTTGTCGATACGGTCCAGATCGCAGTAGTCGGCGTACAGCGTTCGCAGCCGTCTAGCTGGAGCAACGTCGAGCGTCTGCAGATGCACGTTGCCGCTGACCCGAAGCACACGCAGCTTGGGCATCGTCGGCATCAGATCGACCATGGTGAGATCGTTGTGGTCGAGGTTGAGCGACTTGAGCCGACGCATGAGAGACAGCCCGCGGATCGAGATCAGTTGGTTGTGCGACGCATCCAGCGTCTCCAAGCCTGACCACTGCGTCGAGGCCAGATTGATGCCTTTGAGACGGTTGCCGGAAAGACTCACGTGGGCCAAGCTGCGGATCTTGTCGATGCCATCCAGCGAAGAGATCGCATTGCCGTCTGCCTTGAGCGTGTGCAGGTGCTTTAGGCAGCTGAGATGGGTCAGCGAGTCGATCTGGTTGCCGCTGATATCGAGCTCCTCTAGATGCAGCAAATGTCCGAACGAGGCCATCGAGGTGAGGCGATTGTGCGCCACATTAAGGACGCGAACCGAGGCTGGGATGCCAGTCAGATACGACAGCTCGTTGGTTTGCAGGTCCACTTCTTCAAGCAGCGGAAGGAACTCCTTCAAGCGAACGCAGGATTCGAGTCGACGGCAACTCAGATCGATCGTCTGCAGTTCATCCCAGCCTGGCTCCCATGGCTCGACATCGGTGATAGCCTCCAGCACCTTGTCGTGGGCAAAGTTGAACGAGGCGTCGGTCAAAAGGGTCATGTCCGGATAGCCGTGCAACTCGTCGTACGTCTCTTCGTCCTGCTGCCAGCTGACATCCTCGTCATCATCGCCTGCGCTGTGTCGAGTCTTTCGTGGCCGCTGAAGGGTACGATACGACCAGTGAGAACGATTGGCATTCAAATCTCGCATCTTTGAAGGTGTCAGAGCGCTCGGCGGCAGGACGCCTGGCTCGTCGCCAAGAGTCAAGTCGGCGAGCATCTTGAGCGCACTCGAGATGGCTTGCGTCCGTCCATCCTCTGCACCCACATCCTCGTCTTCGCCTGTCTCAAGCGCGGTTCGAGCTCGATGGCCTGCGATGGCCCTAGATCGCGACGACAGAGCCAAACCCAAATCACGCGCACGCGTAGCGTATGGCGGGTCGGCGAAGCTAATCGTGCGATTGGGAGTGGCCGCGCCCGCGCCCGAATTGCTCGAAGTGTTGTGCGAGCCACCATTCAAGCGACCAGCGCCCTCATTCCGATAGGCTGCAGGCTGCTTGAGGATGGACTTGGGTGTCGAAATCGACGAAATCGAGGCTCTCGGTGTGGTCGTTCCCAGCTGATGTTGGTGAGCGGCGCGGCGGTCTGGAGTCGCGTGAACGTTAATGTTTGCATTTTCGCGTGGTCGCTTGCTGCCTGCAGGTTGAGCTTGGTTCTTGCGCTGCAAATAAGTTGGCGATTCCGATCGATACATCGCTCGCTCGTCTCGACCTTCGGTCGCAGCTGGATCTAAGCTCGAATGGCGGCTGCTGACGGTCGAATCTGGGCTATACGTGACCACGTTTCGGAGAGAGGATCCGGATCTCGGCACAGTGCTGATGGGCAAAGTGCGTGGGGCAAGGCCCTTCGGCGTTGCTCGTTGGGATGGAGGGGTGTTAGGGCCAGGAACCGGCGTGGATGATACAGGAACTGCGCTTTGTTCCGGTGAGTTTGCATTGGCTGAGGGGAGCAAATCCGTGACGGCCTGCGGCGCCGTCGTAGCGGATTGCGTCGCGCCATATAGCTGACGTGAATCGCGCTTCGAGACAAACATTTGCGACTTGACTGGTCTTGGCGTCGACTCATCCTCTTCTCCGACGTCATCGGTTACCGAAGCGGGAGCGTGAGAGCTCTGACCAAAGCTTTCGAAATCTCGGAAGGGATCGCTAGAGTCGCTCTGCCGCGCATCGGCGGCACTAACATTGTTGGACGAAAGGCGCTGCTGGAACGAATTGGTGCGTGCACCCAACTGCGCTCGAGCCTGCTGCTCCTCTGCTGATTCCGAGAACACGTCGAGGCTCCTCGACAGCTCCGCAGACGCTTCCGGGATGGCAGGGATGGGAGTCCTACTCAACGGTCTTGCCTCGATGGCTTCGTTTCGAGAACCTGCGGCCGAACGCAGATCTTCCTGCGACGAGCGAGATTGAGGTACCTTTTCCCAGCGATGAAGCCCTTTGTTGAAGGTGAGTTTGCCCCGGCCGAGGTTTTCAATCTCCTGTTCGGGAATCTGACTGATGTTGAAGAGACTGCCAGTTCTAGTGATCGTCGCACCTTTGCCACCAAGATCAGTGATGGTGAGCTGCGAGCCGACGTCTCCAGATACGGTCCTGGCATTGCTGGGATCGACCAGAGTGTTGGAAGAAGCGGTGCGATCGCCTCGCTTTGCGGGATGTTCCATGTCATTGACGTCCATTGTAGCCACAGTGGGCTGCGTGGGCAGCGCCAACAACGACGAAGCTCGAGCCATGGAGGCTCGATCTGGTACCTTGTTGCGCAGTTCCGCGGCCGATGCGATGTTGCGGAGCACTCGAGATGGATCCGGGAGTGGTGGGTTGGGGATGCGCTCCGAATCGTAGAGGACGATGCCGTCCTGGAATCGACGGGTGTTTCCATCTTGCTGATCTTGCGCTCCGAAGTCATCCGTTATGCCGCTGTCGTCGAGATCAGTTTCATCTGCATGACGGACATTGCCGTGCGAACGACGCTGAGCTGCAATGGCGTCGAGCGTGGGCTCGTGCAGGGTGATCAGTTGAGGCCGCTGCACCGTGGCAGGCTCGTCTTGCTCCGAGTTTTGCTCCACAGCCATTGGCTTGGCAGGTGTGTAGAGCTGTCTGCGCCTCGCGATGCGCTCTTCGAGCTGACGAATCTGCTCATCCCGGTATGCGTTGGCCTCCTCTGCAAGCTTGAATGGCTCCCAAGTTTTGCCGGATGCTGCGTCTTGGCCATCGAATTCCTCTTGCACTTCATCCTCGGCGATCGCAGTGGCGCTGATGCGACGTAGGAGCTTGCGGGGCGACTCGGCTTCCTTGGCGAGCGCGGCGATACGCCGAGAAAGGGATGCGCGCGATTTGAGCGTGGACGACATGGGAATATCATTGGAACTAGACTCGGTAATGAAGGAGGAGTCGGGTGGTAGCCTGCGTGAAGAAACGCGCTGAGGACTTTCGTGTTCAATTGCAGATGGTGCGACGTCTTCGCGCGCCGGTGACTTTTGTTGGGACAGTCGGTTTCTATAGCCCGCGCCAATAGAACGACGGCGTCTGGCTGGAGATGTGACGGAAGAGACCGGTGAGTGAACCGACTGGCCCTGATGGAAGGGGCTCGCCGATTGAGTGTTACCTGAGGAGGCTTCCTCCTCTGTTGCCCATTCGGGAGAAGAGTCTGCTCCGGTCGATGGCACTCGAACAGCATCCTGGAGTGCGCTCATGAAGTCCGTGGATTCCTTGACATAGTCAACGAGCGGCTGACGCGTTGAGGTAGAGGTCTGGCTCGACACCAGATCATCGCTGGGCTGGGGCTGACCGGAATGGCCAAGCATAGGCATGGACATGAGGTCGCCCGTCAAAACCTTGCGCGGCTTCACGTCGAGGCGGAGACGTTTTCGCTCGCGTTCAACCTCGGCTGCTTTGGCAGGATGTTGAGAAGCTGCGGGTGTTCTGTCGTTGACCATATCCTCCAGCTTGGCACGAGTGACGGCGTCGTCGTAGTTGAACTTGAACAACCGCATGGGAGTGTGGGGTGTAGGAGGACCCGAAAGGAGTCCGAGGTCTGCAGCGGCTGACGCGGGTCGTGCAAGCGCTGTGGCTTGCAGGCCGTTCGGATGGAGCGTCTGCATGTTATGTAGCGATTGGGATGGAACCATACCGCGAGATACCTGCAGACGATCCTGCGCGAGCGCATGCGGGGTCTGGAAGGTGAATGGTGTGCTTGGCACGCCAGCATTGATGCCTTTGTCTGAAGGAGCCGGATCCTCTGTGGTGGCAGCAGGCGTGGTATGATTTGAAGCCACAACCGATTCGGACGAGAGAGGCTGCTCCGACGCTTGACCTAAGGAGGCGATGTCTTGTGGACTGTTGGAGGATACCTGTGGAGTGCCGTCAGACGGTTGATCCGGTATCGTAAAGGGGTTGAGTGCAGACATGATATTGTGTACTGGCTTGTCAGGAGGTGTCGGCGTCTTGAACATGGATTGCAGCTTCATAGGCGTAAACATGTCGCCGCCAAGTGCGGAGATGCCCTTGCGGTTTGGACCACCTTGTCCTTTGGCAGGACTTTGCCATACGGGGCGGAGGATGGGTGGTAAAGAGGAAGCATCTGCCTTGTGGATGAACGTGCCCTTGGCGCTGGATGCATTGGAACCAGCGGTTGGTGACTGAGTCTGCTTTTGCTGCAACCACACGGTGGAGTGCTGAGCGGCGGTCTGCACGTTGGTGACGCGCGAGTTTTCGGCCAAAGAGCCGCGTGCGCTTGCAAAGTCGTCTGGAGCTGAGTCGTTGGAAGCAGAGTCGGAGTCGGATTCGGACTCGGACCAGATGGTGCTGTCGCCCTCTTCGTTTTCTGCATTGAAGCCACGAAGGCGGTGGCGGCGGTTCTGATGGCTGCGCAAGCGGTGCGAAGGCGTCGATGGACCGGCTTGAAGAGCGCTTGAAGCCAGTTGCGCCCTCGGCGTTGGGGCAGCAGCGGCTGATGATCTGCCTTTTAGCAAGGCTCGACGAGCTTGGTGACGCGCCGCCGAGAAGGCAGGGTTGGGAAGCGCACTGAAAATTGCTGAAGAGCCAGAAGGCCGAGATGCCATCGACGGTGTCGCGACTGAGTCGTGAGGCGCTGCCGAGCGGATCGGCGAGCGTGGGCGAGGCGGATGGCCGGCAGCAGCCTGGGCTTGTGTGACAGACGAGGTGTCGAGGTTGCTGGAGGTGGCACCTGTGTCAGGTGGTGCAGGAGCGGACTGAGGCAGTGCCTGTTCTTCTGGCCATGATTCATCCAGGTCGTCTGTCATCCAATCTGGACGCTGCTGAGGGTCTGTAGAGGATGAAGGATGGATTGCAGCTGGAGCAGCCGGAGAAGCCGGAGCTGCTGGAGCGTGTGCGGTTGGCGTCTTGTTTTGAATAGACTCGTCCCAGATGGAGCTTACCGTCTCGTCGACGTCGGCGCCATCATCACGGCCTGGTGGTGTCCCAGCAGTCTTTCCTTGGACGCTCGAAAAGTTGGAATCGACCGAGGGCGGTTTCGTTGGGGAAGAGGAGGGCTCGTCGTGATTCTGATCTGCAGGCCGCTCGGTCGCTGTACTTGTCGCTGATGGGGAGCGCGATTCCGAATGTGAGTTGATGAAAGCGGTAGGCAGATCCGCGTAGACCGGCGCGGTGAAGTCCTCGACGCCTACGGACGCCGAGACAAAGGAGGTTAGTTGTTCCGTGTCCATGTTGGTTGGGTTTGGTGAGAGGGTGTTGACAAGACGGCTTAGTGATGCAGCCTTAGGAACGAAACTGCTTTATCGAGTCCGTAGCAGCATAGCAAGCAAGCGAAGTGAAAGCCGACGCAACAACGAGCGGAGACGCGATAGATTGTGTGGTGGAGTCGGCAATTCTTTGGTGAACGCGGCGCGTTGAGTTGGGTATACGAAGGTCCTGAGGGTAGCTGATTGTTCGTGTCAGAATCGAGCGTTCCGGAAAGCGAGTGGTATCAACGAATGCAATTGAGGAAAGAGCGGGGGAGAAGCAGCAGAGTCGAAATATCGAGAGGAGGTGATGGCGGCAGGTCTCGAATCGGAGCTGCTGTCACGATGGCCTCGTGTCGGAGCTTGTGCAGCGCGGAATGCGTAAAGAGCAGCAAAGCCACGCCGAGCCACCAAAGTTCAAACCAACACACAATCGCAGCCGCACCAGACGGCTTTTGTGCGGGCGAGCTACAGAACCCTGCGTCTTGACCCAACGCGAAGCCCAAATCTCAGCAGCCCTTTCCAGCACGTGATCCCTTTCGCACCCAACGCGTTCGTCGTGCAACATTTTGCTGATTTTTATTCGGTTTATTTTATTATATTTAATCGTGCGTCTCTCTGTGCTCAACCACTGAAGCGCAGTTCGAATAGAGCGAGCAGTGTGGAAGTTGACACTCTCAAGCGCAGCGACAACGACGTCAGCTTTGACTCGATCCATCCACTCCCTGCCATCATATCCTCCTACTCATATCTTCCATCTTCTTTTACCTACCTGTCTGCCACCATCTTGCCCTGGCGCTGACCTCAAGACAGCACAGTCAGCCCGGTGCGCGCAGCCATCCGACACCACAAAGCAGGCTCGACAAACACTAACACTTACATTGCATCCATTCATAGCATCAGCAAACACTCTCACCTGTACTCTCTCCTTGCCGAAAGATCCACACGAACCCCACCACACCTAGTCAAGGTCTTGATATCATCCCTTTGCATCTACAATGGACGCTGCGGCATTGGCAGCATTGCTGTCAGACTCGACACAAAAGCTCATCGGCTTGCATTCACAGATCGGTCATCCACCCGAGGCATTACAAGGAGCGCTCGACGCGCTTCATCAGGCGCTCAAAACAGCCGTCGATGACCAGATCGGAAAAGTGCAGCGAGAGGCTCAAGATCTGAGCGCAGAATGCTCTCGGATCCATGCCGACAATGCGCGGATCAGACGCGCGATAGGCGACAAGTCTCACGCCCCAAGTCCTTCACTCCAGAATGCCATCGGGAAGCGCATGATGTCTGCCGCCTCACCTTCGGCTTCCACCTCCGAACCAGCGCAAATAGATGACTCCCAACCTCTGTTGCAGCGCCGTGCACAGCTGCAGATCGACCAGACGCGCTTGAAAGCTACGTATACCGCTAAGGAGGTGCGCCTCGATCAGCTGTCTCTCAAGCTTCAGGCCTATGTGCCGCTTCTCGGAAGCTTTGTCAAAGTTCCCGAAGACAGCTCGCAGGAACCAATAAATACAACAGACGCTGCCGCCCCCATTTTCCGCGACGTATCCCAGCCACGCATTGCACTGTTCGAAGCAGAGATCATCCGATGCTCCAAAGAGGTCAACGCTCGCTCAGAACGTCTGCAGACGAGCTTGCTCGAAATCGTACAGCTTTGGTCCGAACTCAATCTTGAACCAGCGCAACCAGCAGCTCTCACCGACGACCGCGTCTTCGAGTCAGAACAGGTCGGTGACCAGGTCGACTGCGGAGGCGGAACCCTCCAGTTTGATCGCGCCATCCTTTCCCATCTCCAGCTGGAACCCATTCACGACCACGACACGCGCAGATTCTTGGGCGAATTCGTCAGCACTGAGCAGCCTGAGCGTCGCGATGCTTCCTCATCACGCGCCAACACCCAAGCCATCGACGACCTCCTCGACCAAACGCCTACACGCGCATCCCTTGGCGGTCAGCCTGCAAGAAACAGCGGAGACCTCGCACTGCAGCTACCGTCATCGAGCGACACCGCTTCCGCTCCTGCTTCTCCCTCGCATCTCCTCGAACCGTCCGAAGTCAACCTGGCACTTGCAGCAACCAAGCTCCAGTGGCTCGAAGCAGAAAAGCAGCGTCGCGAGATGCTCATCCAGGACTTGTACGATGAGCTCAGCGAGCTGTGGGCCAAGTTCGACGTGCCAGAGGAGGAGATGGATGCATTTGTCATGGATCACAGAGGTAGCACCATGGACGTCATCGAAGCCTACCAGGCCGAGCTCGAAAAGATGAGGCAGCTCAAGGCGCAGCACATGTCGCTCTTCATAACAAAGACGCGAGAACGCATCGCTACGCTCTGGGACTCGCTCTTCCTCACCGATGAGGAGCGTCAAGCCTCCTTCCCGCCCTATTTCATCGACGTTTCCGCCGATGCGGATCCCAACCTCGACGAGCCGCTGCCCACCGATGAGATCCTTGCTTCCCACGAGCGGATGATCGACATGCTCACAGAGCAGGTGCAAGTCAAAGCGCCCGTCCTCAAAGTCATCGGTCGCTATAAGGAACTTCTCGACGAGCAGAGGCAGCTCGACGAATCCGCCCAAGATGGCTCGCGTCTGCTCGGCCGTTCCAATCGCGGCGATCCCGGTCGACTGCTGCGCGAAGAAAAGATGCGCAAGCGTGTCAAGATCCAGAAGCCCAAGATCGAGGCGGAACTGCTCAAGGTCATTCCAGCATGGGAGGAGGAGCGCGGAGAACCGTTCACCATCAATGGCGTACGCTACCTCGATGAGCTTCTCGAGCAGGTGGAGGGATCCAAGGAGAATGCCACTCGCAAAAGGACAAGGACCGTTTCAAGCGCTCAGCCACCCGCTCCTCCCGTCAGCGCGCCTGCGAGCGTCAAGCGAGGCCCGTTGGCGCCCTCCACGACCTCGAATCGAGCGGTCGCGGCCACGCCGATGCGATCCATGACACCTCACCAGAGTACAATCAAGAAGCCTCGAATCGCGGCACCACCAGCAACAGTAGCGGCGCCGTCTTCCAGGACACCATCAGTGAGGCAAGGCGCAGTGCCGGCATCCGTGTCCAGAATGACATCGGCACGTGTCCCCATGTCAGCAGCTCCCAAAGCGCACTACACGGGAAATGCAGCCAGCAGCATCTCACGACCTGCGTCGTCTATGGCAGGCGCTTACAGAACCGCGAGCAGTGCCTCATACGCTGCAGGCACCAGCAGTCCGTCCCGTATCCCTGGTCCATCGCCTCACCTCCCATCCAAAGGATTTGGTGCAGCTCCTTCTGTGCCGGGCTACGCTTCCGCGTATGGCGCACGCAGCGTCACCACCGCCTCGGTCGGTTTGGCAGCGAGAACAGTTAAGGCGCAACGAGAGAGCTTTCGACCTCGTCCTTCGCTCGTAGCCAAAGTCCCACGTAACGCCAATGTTGTAGGAAGCAGCGCTGCTGGGCCAGGTGTCATCTCTCCAGGCAGAGCAAGCAAGTGGGGAGAGATGGGTCCTCCGCGGTGGCCGGCTGCTGGGCAGCCATCGAACATAAACCGCGACGTCTCTTGCGTGTCCAACAGCTCGATCCACACCGACATGACGACGGTTATCCATCCAATGGCAGGTGGTGCCACGCAGATGGCGAGACCCACCGAGCCCATGAGGAAGGCGAGACGTGCACCGTCCATGTCGCTTGAGGCGTGTCTCGCCAATCTGGCAGCTACGTCTTCGCAAGGCAAAGCGAGACTCGGCGATGCAGGCAGAGACTTGGGCATATCGTCGATTCGCAGCGTTTCGTCGTCGGATGACATTGCCAATCAGGTTGGCGAAGTGGAGGACCACGAGAGCAGCGCCAGAGTGAGGGGATGGAAGGACGGATTGCGCATCGCCGATGCTGGGGTGGATGACGACGTCGATGTGAATGCTGGTGCAGCGCAGACCTTGCCTAGATCGGGGAGCAGCAACTGGGAGTTGGTAGGCGAAGCCGAACCCGAGCCGACATACTTTGCTGATCAGCAAGCAGCTTTGACTGCGTGAGAAGCGGTGAGCAGTTCGTCGTCTTTCTCTTCATATACCCTGACATGCCATTAGCCCTTTACTCTTCACTCGTTGTATTCTATTCCCATATTGCATTTTGGATCTCTTTGCCGCTCAACATGGTCTTCCGCAGAAATCATCATGCTGAGGAGCGTCTTGAAGCGTCGAGGCCGGATAGCTGTGTGATCAAAAGACGTGAGGGGCAAGGTGTTGAGGGAAACGCAGGGCGACCGTGCGCTCGCAGCAAATGCACAAATCCGACATCCGAGATACACTTCAAGAAATCCGGTTTCTGCAGTGTACAACGATGGAGCTCTCATTTCATCCTGACTTCGAAAGCCTCGAGTGCCTCGATTGTCACCTCAACACTGCCGTATTTCGTGCACAATGAAGAGAAGTGCTCGGATGCGAGCGCAGCTGCGCTCGATCTCGTTTCTTACCGGATCGTCGTCGTCAACCTCGGTTGCTCGGAGCACAGCAACGACAAAGCATCGAGAATACGCATCCCAATCACCACCAACACCTCAACCGCACTCGCCATATCCCCTGATCTCTGCAAAAGGCAAAGCACGCTCTTTCACGCCCCTGTCAGCAAACCCGCGTATCCTTCATGCAGATCCTTGTGCGACCCACTCAGTGCCAGGTCTCCGGCTCCTCAGCAACTCCGCCTCTCCTTCGCCCACTCGCCTCGGCATGGACAGCGAGGCAGACCTCGGCCGTCACTTCTACCTCAACAAAGTGCTCGAGCAGTGGGCTGCCAAACCTGCCACGCGCATGACGCTGCGTCAACTCATCTTCTTCGGGCGCACCATCGGCCGCGACCGCGAGAAGATCCTCAAATCTGCCAACTACGTCCGCACCGAGCTCCCCGTGCGCATCGCCCACCGCATTCGCGATCTCCAAGCGCTGCCCTTCGTCGTCATGACGAACCAGCATCTCGAGGACGTATACCAAAAGTACTGGTCGGCGTTCGAGACGTTTCGTCGGTTCCCGCATATCAAAACCATGGATGATAACGAAAGGTTCTGCAACCTGCTTAGGGGTTTGCTGGATGATCATCTTACGATCATACCGAGTTTGACCATTGGGATTGTGGAAAGTAGTCATCATTTAGGCGCGAAGCAGCTCGATAAGTTCATGGAAAGGATGTTGAGGAGTAGGATATCGAGGAGGGTCCTGGCGGAACAACATATTGCACTGAGCGAGGCGCTGGACGATCCGTTCCACTTTTTCAACGAGCCAGAACGGCGTTCGGAAGGCGAAGAAGATGAACATGCGGACGACATTGGTGATCACGTCGGAATCATCTACACGCGACTAAGCGTGGCTAGCGTCGTCAATAAGGGGATCAAGCTGCTGACGCAGATGTTTGAAAATGTGCAGGGAGTGGGGAGGGAGAGGATACCGGAGGTGAAAGTGGATGGAGATTTGAAGGCGAGGTTTGCGTATATACCGGAGCATCTGGAGTACATTGTTTTCGAGCTGTTGAAGAATGCCATTCGCGCGACGATCAGGAAGCACGCGGGGGAGGAGGAGAGGGGGTTGGTGAGGGTGACGATCGTGGAGGGCCCACCGGAGGAGGATCTGATCATAAGGATCAGTGATTCGGGAGGAGGATTGCCGGACTTGATCAATCAGCTGTCGTTGCCTTCGCCAGCTGCGGTGGCGGCGAAATCCGTTGTGACGCCGACGTTTGCGAGTAGTCCAGCGGGAGGGACAGCGGCGGCGAGTGGGATGGCGAGTGGGACGGCGGCGGAGCCGAGCCTTCAAGTGGATCAATCTTATCCCATCCCTTTCCCCGACACGGGGCACATTGGAGGATATCCACCGCGAGGATCTCGAGCCCGACTCCTTCACCCGGACGACGATACGATCCCCGTCACCCTCACCGACGACACCATGCCGGGATCGATGCAGATGCACGCCACGCCGTTCTACTCCGAACCCTCCGCGGAGAGTTCCTCTCCCCACTCCTCCTCGTCGCGAATGTGGTCTGCGCGCGGTGGAGTCGGCTCGGCAGGCGGCACCGGCGGCACCACGCCACCGAACGAGTTCGGCACCGTCGGAACCTCCACCACCACCACCGAAGGCTACTCCGACCCGCTCATCGACGCCCTCTGCTCCTTCAGCAACGTGCGCAAACGACTCGAGATCGAAGCCCACTCGGACTCCTCCTCTTCCAGCACGTTCTACGGTCTCAACTCCTCCACGCCTGCTCCTCCTCCCTCCACCGCCACAGACCTCTCCAGCGCAGGTCTAGGCACACGAGATCGCTACGACGCGCTCAAAACCATCCGCAAATTCAAGGGCACCGTCACGGAACAAGTGCCGAAACCCAAACCTCAGGCGGTGGAGGGTACAGGTCCAGCAGCACTGCACACCGTCCAGGTCGAAACGGGCTTGGGTCTGCCCATGGCCAAGGTGTATTGCGACTTCTTCGGTGGAAGTTTGAGCTTCAGGAGTCTGGATGGTCATTCGACGGATATCTACGTAAGACTGCCGAAGCTGGGTACGAACAAGGAGACGATAGAGGAGATCGTGCTGTGATGGGTACGAGGTGTTGCGATTGGTGTGGAAGGGAAGGGTTGTTACAATACAAGGTGTTTGTGTGCGTGGAAGAATGCAGCGGTTACTGTGATGAATCGGTTCTTCGCTGATGAACTCTGTCCAGCTTATCAAGCACATCCTCCCTCTCGCGTACCAGATGGAACAGTGTCAATTCGAGTTCCCTCTTCCTCTCCGCCTGCGCCTTTGCTAGTGCTTTTGAAGCAGCCTCGTCCGCTGCTGCTTCACGGACCAGCTGGGCATCTTGCGCAGCGTGTCGATCGTGCATCGTCGAAGCCGACGCCGGAGTAGCTGGAAGCGCAGCACCCGGGTCGATGTCTTTGGAATCCTTGAGGTCGTGCAGTCGCATTCCGAGGTAGTAGCTACCGGGTACGATGACGAGGGCGGAGAACGCGGCGATCCAGTTACGCATGGGTACGCGAGGTTTGGGTGCGCCAGACATGGGTGGGATTTGCTGCTGAGGGAGGGTGCGAGATGTAGAAAACGATCGTGGTGCAGTGGTGGTGGTCGGAGCAGAAATGGATTTGCGTTGGAGGAAAGATTGCGCGGAGAAGTGGTGCGATGTTGAGCTGCTGAGACGGTTGCGTAGTTGCTGGGTCGCGCGCGTCATTGCCGGCAGAGCATTGATGGGAAGTGGCGGGAGCCGCGATTCGAGATAGCTGGTGAGTGTGGCCGAGCCCTCTTCCTTCCTGACATCTGCTCTGCTCCTCGGTGCTATTTCATCGAGTTGTAGTCTGGACTGCGTCGACAAGGAAGAAGCCTCATTGGCGAGTGGTGTGATCTGTCTGCTGTCCCGAGGACGTGCTTGTATGCCTGCTTCACGAATGCTAAATTCGAGTCCTCGAATCATCACATTCCAGCCGTCGCGCAGATTGGTCGAGATCCACACGATCGGTTTGCTGGCCAGTATCCTCGCGAATGCCGAGGCAAACGCCGGTGGCAGTGGTCGTACAACCGTTGCGATCAGAATGGCACCGAGCGTAGGTTCCACAGGGGACGCTGGAGGTAGGCGATCACCAGTGTAGGTGAACCGAGCTTCGCTGTGTTCCGCAGGACTTGTGATGAGAGGTTTTGGCTCCTCAAAGGGCGCATCGGCGATCTTCAGCCAGTCGACCTGACGGGTTGGAGCAGACTTGCGTAGTGAAAGCAATCCGGCTTGGCCAGGCTGGCACCCTTTGGCGATGAGGTAGGACGTGACCCGCGCTTCGAGCTTGCGCATCATGGCATTGAGTCGGCCTTCGTACGCCCAGATACCTGTCGTCAGGACAGAGATGCACTGTGCGGGCGGTATAGATGTCGACGCTTCAGCAACCGACTGCTGTTGATCCAAGCCAAGCCTGCTCCTTCTGCGAGACAGCTCGTCGTTCATGCGATGTGCAACCACAACGTCCGTCATCGTTCGATCACCCACCAACAAAACACTTCCGCATCCGCTTCCATCCGCTGGCACCTGCGTACTGATGATCTTCATCCTCTCCCTGACATACTTTTTGCTCTCTCGACTAGGTCCAGCCTCAATCGACGCAGATCCGGGAGGCATGTGTTGCGCCTGCGCCAACGTCGTCTCCCGATCATGCGACAGCGCAACAAAGTACTCGAGCGCTTCCCTTGCACAACCCTTCGCCGGCTTCTTGTGCTTGTGACACAGCACGGGAACGTTGAGCGATCGACTTAGCGATTCGGCACCTAATCCGGAAGGGTCGTCGGAGGAACCGCTTGAGTTGCTAACGATGAGGATGTTTTCGCGACCGAACACGCGTTGACATTGCTGCCAGGCGTCGGTGATCGATGGCTCGAGGACGTCGGAGTGGGGTGCAGTGAGACAGTTGTCCTTGTCGAATACGAGGTAGCGCACGCCGTTGGCGTGAAGTGATTCCCAGTCGAGATGGCGGATGTCGGGAACTTGGACGTGTGGCACCACCAGAGATGGCCGGAACACCACCGAGAGGATGGCGATGACTCCCGCAAGGTTTCCCATGGCTGTATGACGGGGCTGATGGACGTCGAGACACTGATCAAGGTGTACGAAAGTGTCGGTATCGAGTGCTTTGATGTGGAAGCGAAGCTCTCGTCTCTCGGAATTCGGATTTGTGAGTTGTTCCTCCACGAATTTTTGGACGCTGATTTTCTATTGCAATTTTTTATGCGGAAGATTTGCCCAGAGAGGATGTTTCTGCTAGCCAGGGTGCAACTTGCAAACATCTTCCTTCTTTGCCAACCATCTCAAACCGCACTAGACGTTCGCAAACATGTCTGCAGCCGCAGCTATCAACCAGGCTGGGCCATCGACTCCAGCAAGCAAGGACAAGAAGCCTAAGCGGACCAGGAAAAGGAACAAGAGACGAACCTTGGAAGTTGAAGACAGCAGCAGCAGCAGTGACGACAGCAGCGACGATGAAGACGTGCTAAAGGTCAAAGCTGCCCCCGTCGAAACACCAAAGTCGTCCACAAAGAAGGCGAAAGTAGACTCAGACTCGGAATCAGACTCAGATTCAGGCTCTGATGAAGACCAAAAAGATGACGGCGAAGGAAAACGCAAGAGGAAGCGGAAACGCACTCAAAAGAAGAAACCTACGCAGCCGTCATCCGAGTCGATCGCTTCAACCCCATCTACAGCCTCAAAGCCGTCTGCACCCAAGCCGATATCGTTGTCTCCCGAAGACGTCGGACCCGACCCAAACACAGATCTGCGTCTGAGCGATCAAGCCAAGCAAGCGATCCAATACGCCCAAATCTACATCAAGGACAAGTCACAATGGAAGTTCAACAAGGCCAAACAGAACTGGCTCCTACGCAATGCGCTCTCCGTCCCGCCATCTGACTACGACGCATCACTCGCGCGGAAGCAGGTAGAAACCTCATCGGCTGCGGAGGATTCCGAAGATGCGGCGGAGGAAGGGGAGAACTTTGTGCCGGAGGACTTTGTACCCGTGGTGACCGCCTACCTGACCAGCGTGATGGGTGGTGCTCGACTGCGCCTCATCGAGTCCCTCAGAGAGGCCATCAACGCACCCGTCGTCGAAATTGCACCAACACAGCCCGAAGCCCAGGACGATTCGGCACACACCACTACTGCAAATGAACAAGCCGCCGGCATCGCAGCCGGCGACGGTGGAGCCACCACAAAGTCGGTCTCATTTGGCAACTTGGCTCTCGAGTCGGAGCAGAAGGAGCAAGCAGCCGAAGCGGCCGGCCTTCCAGCCGGCACAGATCCACGCGAGGTAGAGATGCGCAGGGAGAGAGCGACAAAGATGCTCGGACTTATGGGGGAAGTGCTGTGAATTGACAATAACTAGGCCTTTCGCTCGTGGACAGAACGGAGTTTTATGTGACAGGTCGAACCAGAGTGGAGCGTAGAGCCTCAGTGGAGGGTCCAATCATCAGCGATAGGATCCATCGTGTCAGCAGAAGGCGGTTTCTTTACCAGCGGCATGCAAATGTCGGGACTGTCAGGTCCGATCATGGGATCGCTTGCGCAGACGCTACCAATCAAATCAGGAACATGCATAAAATACATCAGTGTCGATCACAATGGATACTCGTTTCGTTGTTTCTTGGAACACTCACCCCGTGTATTTGCCAGCCTTTGGCTGGTTTCTGTCGTACTTGCTCATGGGCACGATGCAGCAGTGTGTCCAGGTGGACTCAACGGGATAGTGAGGACAGCCAGAGGTTGGATGAAGCCCTTTCTTTGCAGAGTACTGGAAGGAACATCGTGGAGCTGAGGCTGCGGCTTGCAGGGCGATGGCGCTCGCCAGAAGGAACAGAGAGGTTGGGAGGAACATGTTCGGGGAGGGAGTCGATGAGGGAAGTCGAAAAGGAGGCAGGTTGAGCGGGGAAGGGGTCGATGCTTGTTCTTAACTCAAGACATAATGTACTGAGGTACCGTAGCGGGGACATGTCCACTCAGCTCAAATGAAGTTTACTGGTTCAGGTGGGCCTACTTTCGTCATAAATGCGGAAGGCGTGTGGACACGGAATGTGGGAAACGCTGTATTGAATGAACGACCAGCCCGCCTGTTTCATCAGGATGTGAGAGCGTGCAGCACTCTCCTTCTTCTCCGCAATCCCATTATTGGCGATTGCACCGCCGCTCAAGTTCTGTTTTCATACTTGTCCCACCCTGATCGCACTTCGTCACGTTCGTGACTGTACTGGACGGGCCGTCTGGCCGCTGCTACCCACTTCCGTCCAGCGAACTCACAATTTGCAATATAAGACGGAGCCGATCTGCTGAGGGCGATCCTTCGCCCACCTCCATTTCAACACCCAATCGGCTGCGGATCGCCTTTTCTCAAGCCTTGGATGCAAGCTTGCTGCGCTATTACAGTAGGGGCATCGACAATGCAATAGAGCTTGTGACGGGGACAGGTTCGCGTCGGTTGACGCTCCCACGCTTGGCGATGGCATTACGGTTTTCCGCAGTCACAGAGCGTGTGACGTTCGTCAATGCTGCTATCTCACACATCTCTCACATATTTTCAGAATACAAAGAGCATCTCCTTGTTGATGACTCTATCTCTGGACCGTGCGATTCAGCGGCTTAAATACAATCACACCTTGCCTACTTTTGCTCGCTGAGCACCTTCCTGACTATCCTCTCTACCATACCCTCCAACGCCTGCGACGAAGCCGGACCTACAGCGCTCCCCACCGCACCCCTTCCAGCGTCGATGCTGTTGGCAGCCTCGGCATGCTCTTCGGCATCCCTCTCTAGCGAACCCAGGACGGCACGATGCACGTATTTGCCCACCATGTCGAGCTCCACATTGACCGTGTCTCCCGGCTTCTTCTTGCTCAACCCGATCACCTCTTGCGTATGTGCGATGAGCATCACGTTGAACTCGACGATCTCCTTCTTTGGCGTATGTGCGTCTTCTCGGACATCACCTGCTGTAGAGTTGGACGGCAGGAGACCGCCCGTTGCTGGAGAAACCTCGATGAGTGTCAGTGATGCGCCGTCGAGTGTTACGTAGCCTTTGGGGATCAGGTAGGGCGAAAGTGTTGATGGAAGCGGCAAGGATTCTGGCTTGTGTTGCAGCCTCAGCGTGATCGTAAGCGCATTACCGTTGGGTACAACAGATCTGATGAGGGCAGTGGTGTCGACGTGACCCTGGACAAAGTGTCCACCGAACCGAGTATGCGCGTCCATAGCTCGTTCGCAGTTGACACCATCTCCGACCTTGAGATCACCGAGGTTGGTCTTCTTTAGCGTCTCGGGCGCAACACCGATCTTGAAGTATCCACCGTCTTTGGATTCAGACGCGTCGAACTCGGTGACGGTCAAGCAGGTGCCGTTGACAGCGATGCTGTCACCGATGTGACAGTCTTTGAGGATAGCCGCAGATTTGCCGATGGTCATGGAGTAGCCTCCGCCGCCGGACTTGGATGCATCTTGGGGTGAGATGTCGATGATGGGAGCGAGAAGCTCGACTGTGCGGGGGCATTGCATTGGTCAACAGCAAGGGAAGTTAGAAATGTCACACGAGAGCCGTGGTAGCCGACTTCTGTATCTCTTCGATCGATGACTTACCGATTCCGGTGAACATAGTAGCAGGGGATACCAATATCAGGCAATGCGAGCGGTCTACGAGATGACGGAGAGATGATGGTAGAGCACGAGAAGGACAAGGACGAAGTGGAGATTATGTCATGCGACCGCGGCGTACAGCCGGATTGCTCGAGAACTCGGCTTTTAGAGCGGAATCTCGGAAAGGGTCCTATGCTCCACTTGGCACGCTTCTCGTGCGATAAGAAGTTTTGGTTTTGCGTCTTCGGTGAAATTCCGTGGCCGCTGCTGGCTTGTGCATTTCCACCCTCGAAGCACATGATGCACAAAGTGATGTGACTCGCTCAGTTCATCCTCCCCTTCCATACGTCCTCCATCCTGTGCGCAAAGTACTTCCCGAAAGCATCTTCATCATGTCAGCAACTCAAGGCATCAACGTAGCCATCATCGGCGTCGGTCTCGTTGGAACCTCGGTCATCCAACAGCTCACCACCGTCTCTTCTCTCGCATCCAAGCTGCACATTGTAGCATTGCAAAACAGCAAAAAGACGCTCCTCAGCACACTCACTTCTCCTATCTCGCTCACCAGCTCGGCTGACTGGAAGTCGCTGCTCGCCAACAGTCCCACCTCGGCTCTTGCGCTGCCCGACCTCGTTCTCGAGCTGCAAAAGATCACCCGCGATTCGGGACGTCACACCGCCGTCGTCGACAACACCTCCGATGAAAAGGTCGCCGCCTTCTACCCGCACTTCCTCGCTGCTGGTCTCAGCGTCGTGACCCCCAACAAAAAGGCTTTCTCTGGACCAATCGAGTTGTACGAGGATATCCTGAAGCACAAGTCGAACGACCTTGCTGGCTCGAAGGGAGCTCTCGTGTACCAGGAGTCCACCGTGGGTGCTGGTCTTCCCATCATCTCTACCCTCAACGACCTGGTCAACACCGGTGACGAAATCACCAAGATCGAAGGTGTCTTCTCCGGAACCCTCTCGTACATCTTCAACGAGTTCTCCACCCCGAAAGGTGGGGACAAGAAGTTTTCCGACATTGTCAAGTTTGCCAAGGAAAACGGCTACACCGAGCCTCACCCCAACGACGACCTGTCCGGCTCGGACGTCGCACGCAAACTCGCCATTCTGTCGCGACTTGTTCCCGAGCTCAAAGATGCTCTTCCTCAAGGATACCTCAGCGTGCCCACCCACTCCCTCACCCCTGCACCACTAGCCGACGTCGCTTCCGGCGAAGAATACGTCCAGCGTCTCCCCGAATTCGACGCCGACTACGACAAGCTCAACAAGGAAGCCTTCGACAACGGTTCCGTCTTGCGCTACGTCGGTGTCATCGACGTCAAATCCAAACAGATCAAGGCAAGCCTCGAAACATACCCAGCGACTCATCCTTTCGCTTCCTCGTTGAGCGGTTCGGACAACATCGTCGCTTTCCACACAAAGAGGTATTCGGCCAGACCCCTGTTGGTGCAAGGAAGCGGTGCAGGTGCCGACGTTACCGCTATGGGCGTCGTTGCTGATCTCATCAAGATCGCTGAACGTCGATCGTAGGAAGCTGCGCACAGCACAGCAAAATGACGGTAGAAGAAGAAATGGTATTTTTGTGTCGTCACAACATGATAGGTGTGGAGTGTGAAGGGTGGAGGGGATTCAGTCGAAGACCACTTTTTTGCCCTGAGGTTTGACCTGAGCCATGAGTTCCTTTTGTTTCTGCTTTGCGATCCAAGATGGATGCATTTCCTGCGACTTGTTCGCCGCCGCTGCTGGCGGTGGTACTGATTTCTTGTCTGTTCCATTCTGCTGCACCGGAGCCACCGTCGGTGGTGGTCTTGGTACGAATGGCCGCTTCGGCTGTTTCGGCAGCGGAGCAACTGCACCTCCCCACCCACCATCTCGTTTCGTCGGAGCCTGGAACGCCGGAGGCCTCTGTCGTCCTCCGCTACTAGCTGTATTTGTGGGAGCACGTTCCGATCTGAGTGACTTCTTCTTCTCCCGCATCTTGATGTGGTTGGCGTTGGAGCCGTATTTCTTTTCGTACAGCGCTTTGCGTGCGCGTTGACCCATGCGGTTCTTGCGCTCCTTTTTGCTGCCGGATTTGAGTTCGGAGAGGTCGCGGTCGGCGAGGTCGGCTTCGGCGTCGGACCACTCATCGTCGGAACGTCCGGCGATGAAACCGGTCGAGAGCGAGGGGAGGAAAGTCGATGAGGAGGATTTGGACTTTTTGGTGGACTTGGAGGTGGAGGGTGAGGCTTTGCGTTTGCGTGATGGTGCTGCCGTCGAAGACGCTTCCGAGTCGGAGTCGGAGTCAGATTCGGAGTCAGCATCAGACTCAGAGTCAGAGTCTGAAGCTGAGTCCTCGGAGCGGTCGCTATCGTCGCTGTCACTCGTCGAAAGGTTGTCAGAAGCGTCTGATGCTGACTGAGTCCTTCGTTGTCGTTTGGACGTGACGTTGTCGTCGTCATCATCGTCATCGTCGTCATCGTCTGAGCCTGACTCGACACCAGAATCAGATCCAATCATGTCGTCCCACTGCGACAGATCTCCCAAAGCCTTGAGCTTTTCTTTGCCTATCCTCATCAGCTCCTCTTCATCCTCATCTTCGCCGTCACCCTCCTTGTCGTCATCGTCGACGAGCCGTAATCGACGAGGTGCATCATCGTCCGAGTCAAACTCCTCTTCCGAACCTGACCATTCTCGTTCCTCCTCATCAGCATCTTCTGCGTCCAAACTTGCCTTACCCTTACCCTTGACGTTAGCTTCCGCCTCTTTCTTGGGCTCGACACCTGCCAACTTCTTCAACTCTTCAACAAACCTTCCCACTTCATCAGCCAGCACCTTGGAGGAAGTGACCTTTGCCTTTGCCCTCTCCACTGCTCGATCGCCATCGTCCGCCACGTTCTCGACCAGCACCGTCTCTCCCAGCAGCTCTTCGTCCCTCACCATTTGCAAATACAGAAACTCGTCCTCATCCGCATCGTCTACGTCGGCAGGTCTCGGCAGCAGCTTAGCTTTGACCATCTTGGTGATCAGCGCACGACCCGCAAGCAGGTTGATGTCGATTGACTTGAGCGCGGCCAGCTCTTTTTCTGCGAGCTCAGCTTGCTCTGCTGAAGATTCTTTCTTGCGGAGACCTTTAAGCTTCTTGACGAGTTTCTGCACTTCGAACGTCTTGGTCTTCTTGGCGGTTGCGCGGAGTTGTTTTGCAACATGGTACAATTTCTTTCTCGCCTTTTCTGCGTCGATGACTGGTCGTTCGGATGCGACATCGCTCTCATCTCCATCGTCGCTGCTCGCGTCTTCGTCAGAATCGGACTCTGAGTGGATGCTTGAAGCTTCGCCCCTGAACGAGTTTTCGGCGGTGGTTGCTTCCTCGACTTCCATGGCTGAGCGGCTGGACGAGGCTTCGGACGAGGCAGAGTCAGAGACTTCAGGCGAAGGAGACAGCCTCGGCCGCTCGATCGGGATTTTGGAGCCCATTCTGGCTCGACTCTTACAATGAGGTTACGATGGTGGGAAGGAATGGCTTTGACAAGAGTACGAGCATGTTTGAGCTCAAAAAGCAAAAGTGGAACACGAGTGGAGAGTTTCCAAAAATTCTGCTCGGAAGCCGGACAAAAAACCAAATGAGCCAGCTTAACATGTTGCTAGGGAGAAAATATCGGCGAATTGGCCGGCATTCTCAGACTTCCCCGCCTTCTGTTACTCGAGACATGCTTATCTGCTGGCAACCTAGCTTCGACCGCCTCCTTCGTTCAGATCTGCTAATAGGAAGCTCACGTCGACGATTGCGATGCTGTCAAGAACGCTGGGCACAGCTCGTACAGCATACCGGCATGCTGCGATGCCACGCCAGCAGGCCAACGTGGCTGCTCGATGGTACACCGCTGGCAAGCTCCGCATCGACGCGGACCGAATGATGAAGACCCTGCACGAGACTTGCGAGTGGGGATTCGCACATCGCTACGGCTCTTCACCTTTCGAGACCGGTATGGCTCGACTCACACTGGACGAGAACGATGCGACAGCACGACGATGGCTGGCAGACGAAGCAAAGAAGATCGGCTGCTCGGTGACTGTCGATGAGATGGGAAACATGTTCATGGTCAAACAGGGAAAGAAAGGTGGCGCGCCGACAGCGATGGGAAGTCATCTCGATACCCAGCCTACAGGTGGGAGATATGATGGGATTCTGGGTGTCATGGCTGGGTTGGAAGCATTGCGCACGATCAAGGATCACAATGTAGAGACCGAGTATCCTGTCGCGCTGATCAATTGGACGAACGAGGAAGGTGCCAGATTCCCGCAGTCGATCGTAGGGTCAGGAGTGTGGTGTGGAGATGTGCCGCTGCAGAAAGCATGGAACCTTCAAGACGTGAAGGACGGTAGCTTGACCATGAAGTCGGAGCTGTCCAAGATCGGGTTTCTTGGCGATACAAAGTGCAGCCACAAGGCAACGCCGCTAGCAGCACATTTCGAATTGCATATCGAGCAAGGACCCATCTTGGAAGCGAGCGGCAAAAAGGTAGGCATCGTTCAGGGTGGTCAGGCATACAAGTGGTTTGACATCAACGTTCGAGGTCGAGAGTGCCACACTGGATCAACGCCCTTCGACACGCGTTCGGACGCCATGCTGTGTGCGTCCAGGATCATCGTCGAGAGCAATCGCATCGCAAAGGAACAAAGCGGACTTGCTAGCACCGGCATCCTCCGCTTATCACCTGGAAGCGTCAACACGTGCCCGGGTCATGTGTTCTTCACCCTCGACGTCCGCCATCCTTCCACCGACAAGCTCGCTGCGCTCTGCAAAGACATCGAGGCAGCCGCGCATCGGATCGCGTCCAGCGAAAGCGAAAAGGGATGCGATGTTGATTGGGTTGAAACCTTCAACAGCCCCGCAATCACATTTCACCCGGACTGCATTTCGAGCGTCCGCAAGGCCGTCGAGGCTAACTACGGTGCCGATCACGGTGTCGACATTTACAGTGGTGCGGGTCACGATACGTGCTCGACCAGCAAGGTCTGTCCTTCCAGCATGATCTTCATCACCAGCAAGGACGGCATCTCGCACAATCCGAGAGAGTATTCCTCGCCAGAGGACTGCGCGATTGGAGCGCAGGTGCTGATGGACGCCGCGCTGTTGTATGATGCTCAGCGAAGCAAGTGATTCAACCGCCTTTGGCCCTACTTTTGCGGGCTCATCGCTTCACTTTTGCGGCTTTATCACGTCTGGCATTGGGTCGTGGGTCAAGGACAACATGTGGGGGATTTCCTCCTGCAACCTGATCGCAAGCTGCTTGTTGGAAGATCTGAACGGAATTCTTCAGCCCGCTCCTCCATTGTGCAGTGACTGCGCACGTACGGTGCCAACGAGAACATGTTTGAATCCACGTCCCACATCACGATGCAATGCACGCGGCAAATTGAGTTAGGTGTTCGTCGCGGTGCAGCTTATGAAGCCTGCAGAGCGCAACCGTTTGCGAGCTAAGGTAATGTGGACAGAGATGACTTTCGTAATGCAGTCTGCAGCAATGCGGACAAATGCCAGGTTCGATGATCGACTTGATGGATCTAGCGGAGAGTGCGTCACGAGATCGAGGCGAAGTACAGGAGGTACACTGCCTAAGACCAAGGCCTTGTCCAGATATCGCTGGCGGGCCACGCGGCTAAAGCGGAAAGGGAGGAGGAGGAGCAGCCGGGACAAAACAGTTGGACTACCCACCACAGTGTGGTGCAGAAGAGTTTCTCCGAGCACTGCGCGGGTCGAGGTTGTTCTGAACAAGATTTTGGCGCAAGGGGTGCGACAGCTCGCTAAATCAAGGCAGCAGACCTCGCATACTGTGTACGTTATCGCCTGCTCTGCTGTGGCCTAAATCTTACCGGTGCAGGTCCTCTCTCCCTGAGAACACAGTACTGCCGAAGTCGTGCGCACCCACTTTGCGGGACAGGTCAGCAAGGAGAGTGTGGATAAAATGCCTCCGTCGGCTTGGCAGCAGTTCATTTGCGTGTCGTGATTTGCAACGGTTAGCCATCTGGTTGTCAGCTTGTGCGCTTCGAGACACGACACATGTTTTCGGACACGCAACACTGAAATTAGCGTGGCAGCTGAATCCAACCTGCGCTCTTCGGCTTCGGCTGCAAGACGTCTTCTAGTTCGCTGCGTCGGAGAGCGAAAACCCAAAGGGTCCGCGCGCAGCTGCTTTCTTTCTAGCCTCGTCTCGGCAGTCTTCCCCACACTGAGGCCAAGAGTTGGTCTGTGTGTCCAAGCAGCCTTCGTTAGTGTCTTAAGGTGTGGCAACCGTATAAGTTGGGGCTTCTGCGAGACAGAACCCTTCGACTGCACCCTATATCTTCTCGCCGCTCCCTTCTCGACCTTGGTCAACTCGAATACTGGCTGTCCCTCCCTTTCGCCTTCCCTTCGCGCCTTCATCCTGCTCAATTCACGGGCCTCGCGGTTGTCTCTCACCGGAAGCCCCTCCCCGTCAGGAAGCGAGTTTGCTTAATCTACCCTTCTCCTAGGGCTCTATAGACATCTCCAATCCCTTTCAACATGGCGGCTCCATTCACCGACACTGGCGTCAAGGCCAACGAGTTCACCGAGTTCGACTACATCGTCGTCGGAGGCGGTACTGCTGGTCTTGCTGTCGCTGCTCGACTCTCGGAAGATGCTTCGGTCACCGTCGGCGTCATCGAAGCCGGTCTGTGGCGACCCGAGGATCCCAAAATCAACTATCCTGCCTTCATCGGCCAGTCGCTCATGAACCCTGAGTACGACTGGTGCCTTGAGACCGAGCCTCAGCAGCACTCCAACGGTCGCAAGTACATCTGGCCGCGAGGCAAGGTCCTAGGCGGCAGCAGCGCACTCAACTTCCTTGTCTGGCAGCGCGGCTACAAGGGCGAGTACGACGACATCGGAAAGCTCGGCAACGAGGGCTGGAACTGGGATGACTATGCCACCTTCTCTCGCAAGTCGGCCACCCTCGACAAGCCCTCGTCCGAACTTCAGAAGGCCAATCTAGCCACATGTGATGAGGAGCTCCACGGAAAGGACGGTCCGCTTCAGACGTCGTACAGCAAGTGGTACACCGGCGCTCAGCGGCCCTGGTTCGATGCGCTCAAGAGCCTGGGCATCCTCAACGTCTCGGACGGTCTAGGAGGCAGCAACAGCGGATTCTGGGTCTCGCCTGTCACCATCGACTCCAACAAGAGCGTGCGATCCTACTCGGCCAACGCCTACTATGCCCCCAACGCCTCGCGCAGCAACCTCAAGGTCATCACGGGTGCGCACGCTTCCAAGATCGTATTCGCAGATCAGAAGTCCTCGAATGGAGACCTGGTCGCCTCTGGTGTCGAATTCATCGTCGACGGCAAGACATACACTGTCAAAGCCCGCAAGGAGGTCGTCGTCAGCGGCGGTACCGTCAACAGCCCTCACCTGCTCGAGCATTCGGGCATCGGCAAGGCAGAGGTGCTCAAGGCTGCAGGCGTCGAGCAGCGTATTGAGCTCGATGTGGGCGAGAACGTGCAGGATCACGTCTACTGCACCAGCTCGTTCAAGCTCAACCCCGGCTACATCACCTGGGACAAGATGCGCCAGGATGACTTCGCCAAAGCAGCCATGGAGCAGTACCACGGCGAGGGCGAGGACCGCGGTATCATCGCCTCTGCGTTTTCCGGCTTCGCCTACATTCCGCTCTCGCAGTACCTTTCGGCTGACGAGATCGCCAAGATCAAGAGTGATGTCGAAAAAGTCGACTGGTCCAAGTACTCGAAAGGCGTTCAAGAGACGGTCAAGATGCAGCTCGCTCGACTCGACGACGAAAAGTGCCCATTCACAGAGTTGATCTTTGCCCCTGGCTTCTTTGCGACCGCGTCTCCTCCTGCGGATGGACAGGAGTACTACAGCATCCTCTCGTGCCTCCAGCAGCCCTTCTCGCGCGGCAACATTCACATCGCCAGCAGCGATGCCACGCAGCCATCCAAGATCAACCCCAACTACTTTAGCGTAGACGCCGATCTCGAGATCTTGTCCAAGGCGGTCAAGTACTGCGAAACTGTCACTGCCACTTCACCTCTGAAGGAGATCACGGTTGCAAGGCAGGATCCTGACCCAGAGAAATACAGCTCGGACGCCGACTTTAGAGAGTTCACCAAGGATCAGTCGGTGACAGAGTACCACCCGATCGGAAGCTGCTCCATGATGCCTCGCGAGAAAGGAGGTGTGGTCGACGCCAGGTTAAAGGTGTACGGCACGAGCAATGTGAGGGTGGCGGATGCATCCATCATCCCTATCCACGTCTCTTCGCACATTGTCGCGACGGTGTATGCCATTGGAGAGAAGGCGGCTCACATGATCCGCGAAGATGCCGTGAAAGCTTAGTAGAGCTGCGTTGTTCAACTCCGCGGTGCTTCATCTGTTCCTTTTTACGTCCCTCATGTCGAGTCCGTCCTGTGTAAACGCCTGATAAGCACGGATGATGGTTGTGCCGAAGTTTGCTCGAGATTGGATGGTGCTGATAGCGTGACATAGCAAAAAGTCTGCTTTTTGAATCGCTTTTTTTGGCAACAATTCTTGTTGGTTTTTCCACTCATTTGCTCAACACCTCTTTGCAATCGGATTTGTTCGGTCGCTTTGACTTTCGAGCCTCTCATCCACAGCAACAGCCGATCTGCATGACCCGCGGACCAAGACGCTTTCTGTTTCCATTCCCATGGATTTCTTTGAGCAAGATTAAACGCCGATGCGCCATCTCAGTATGCTCAAATTGTTTCCGAGCTTGAGATCGGATGGTGATGTATGGAACGCTGCTTCGGCGAATGGTGGTAAGCACTCCGCGGCGTTGGGTATCGTCATTTGTGCAGGATCGGCAAAGCATTGCATGGCTGGCTGCGCAAAACAGGTTGAAATGCAGCAGCGGTAGGTACAAAGTGGAGGTGGAAACGTGTTTTTCTCTCACACTGCTCAGGTGCCGGACGCAACGTGGAATGCCGTGTGTAAAAACGCAGCTGCACGCACGCTCAGTTGCGTTTTGAGGTCCGTGCATGTACAGAGTAGAATTTTGGCTTCTTCGATCGATGGCGGACGGTGTCGATGCGAAGCTATATATACACCACTTGTACTACCAGATGGTTGGCAGTCGAACATCGTTCTTCCATTGTGAACTCATCAATAGTAAGTGTTGCAACCCGCACAGTTACCAGGATGCAGCGGAGAATCCTTTCGCTACCGTTCTCCACACGCTCCTCAACAGCGCCGCGTGCTGGCCACTCTCTGGTGCAGCGAAACTCCTCGGCTGATACTCGAGGCGATATGCACTTCATTCAAGGTTCCGAATTACTGAACACAAGACCTTCTGCTCCCGGCTCCTCTCCCTCTCGCGCCACTTGTACATCTACGGCCACTTCTTTCGAATTTGCTGCTGCCGAACTCTCGATTGCTCGTAGCCGCAACACACACAGAAGTCTCGACCATGACTGTTCACAACACCAACCAGGCTTGCTGCAGCATCCCTCCCGTCAAGTCCGACTAGTAAGTGACATTCTTGGTTCTATCGATTGCTTCAATTGCACGAGCGAAGGATCGCTGACGCTGCGAATCTTCTCTTGCTTCCGTGCACAGCTCTCCCAAGGGCACCACTGAAAAGACTGGCGGTCTCGACACCTACTCTATTGGACCAAAGGATGCTAAACACGCCATCATCGTAGTCTATGACATCTTCGGCTTCCACAATGCTACTAAGCAAGGTGCCGATCTCCTCGCCGAATCCACCAAGGCTCGCGTCGTCATGCCCGACTTTTTCCGCGGCAAACCTTTCCCGCAGTCCTTCTACCCACCCGACACCGATGAGAAGAAGCAGGCTCTCCAGAGCTTCTTCGGCGCAGCCGGCGACTTTGGCGCACGCAAGCCCGATCTGGAAGCCGTCGCTGACGAGCTCAAGAAGGACGGTGCTGCCAAGCTCGGTCTGGTCGGTTTCTGCTGGGGTGGAAAGATGAGCGTGATCGCCGGTGGTGAGGGTACCAAGTTCACCGCGGTTGCTCAGGTTCACCCCGCCATGGTCGACGCTGCTGATGCCGAGAAGTTGACCGTCCCCGTCGCCAACTTCCCCTCGAAGGACGAGCCTCAGAAGGACGTGGATGCGTTCGAGGCTGCCGTTCAGAAGAAGCCTTTCGCCAAGGACAGCGTCTACAAGCACTACCCCGACAGCCACCACGGTTGGGCCGCTGCTAGGGCTGATCTCAGCGACGAGGGCAACCTCAAGAACTTCCAGGACGTTTACCAGCGCCTGGCTGACTTCTTCAACAAGCAGCTTGCTTAATCGTTTGTCAAAAAGATCATTTCATGTAACTCTGAATGGATTTGTAACTCAATCCTATGTCCTGCGCTCCGGTCTGTGAGAGTGTTTGAGAGGCTTTTGCGGTGCTTCATAGCCATCATGAATAACCGACAGTAACATCGATTCGGATGATAGTGTCAACGGTCATTGCAGCAGGCTGTGCAGATACGTCATCTGCACGCGGCGTGCTCTAATCTGCATCGCCCGAGCGATGTCGAGCGCGGTGAAATGAAGGAGGGGTCTGTTCTCACACATATCCTGTATGCACAGCGGTGCCGCAGTGCATCGCAACGTCCGTTGGTCGTGAAATGAATGCGGTCGCTCAACTGATTCCTACAGTACTGTATGCCGGCACGAAGGTGGGTCTACCACATGTTGTGTGTTGCAAGGGAAAACCCGCCTTGTTGTGATGAAACGCCGATTGTGATGAGATGTCAGCAGGCCCACCCTTGCTGCCCAGCACCGTCGCAGCTCATCTCACCGAGGTGGGAACGAAAGGCTCCGCTATGTCATGCTAGCTCTTCACCGTTCCGACATCTTGGTCCACCTGTCCTCCCTTCCGACTTTCACCGGGTCGAATCTGGACTCGTCCCTACACTGCTTTCCATCCACTCCAATTTCGGGTGGAGCTGTAACTCTGCGTGACAATGCCGTTGCAAGACGCAAGTAAGCCGTCTCGAAAAGCGATCCTCGCGGCCGAGCGTAAAGCACATGGAGCCTACGATCCTGTTCGTCTATCCAAGCTCTTGCCTCCCAGACTCAAGCTGGAGAAACAACCTTCAAGGCGACTCAAGCTGATCTCAAGTTTCACTGACTACGCGCATCTTCTCAAACGAGAAGACACCCAGCCCGGCGCAGCAACAGATCCAATGGGAGGTTCAGACTCCACCACTGCTGCTCCCTCCGACTCGCAAACGAACGCAACGCCGCTTCCCCCAGCTCCCGCAAATTCTGGTGCTGTACCTGCATCCCCACCTCCTCCTCCTGAGGAAGATCCAGCGCCGGTAGCAGTTGCGCAAACCGACAATGGCGATGTACATTCCGATTTATCCGGCCTAGTGGCGGCGGACACTCCGATGCGTAACGACACCTCCCCCAGTCAGAACTACACACTAACATCTGCAGACACCTCATCTGGTAGCAGCAGCGATCAATCCGACGACGGGCTCTCGCAGAGCACTATCGGATTGGTAGCGGGGGGCCTAGTGACGCTGGTGTTGTTCGTGATCGCGCTCGGTGTGTGGTTCAGATGTTACCGTTTCAGACGAGGTGGCAAAGCATGGAGAAAGCGTAGCAGATCTCACCGACTCGGCTCGATGGATGGGTTGAGGAACGTCTCCACCGATGGAAAGGGGAGGCAGAAGGGTGAAGGGGAAGAAGACAAGACTGGATCGAGCGATTTCCTGGTGAGCCATCTCGTTGCGCCTGGTACAGCTGGGCCCTTCGATAGGGCTGTTGCCAACATGGTGTCGAATCGTGAGCGGCAATCATCGCTGTCGATCGCCGATGTCGATCGCGGGATCAAGACGGTGCCGAGCTTCCTCGAACTCCCATTGTCAGGTCCAGGTTTGGCGCATCAACGATCGCTCGACTCAATCGCCGAAGTAGCCGAACCTCCATCCAGCGTCTGCGCCAACTTCAACGCTGCGAAACGAGACAGCTCGCTTTCGTTCCTCGACACCACTCCGCAAAAAGTTAGCTGGTCAGACCGCTTGACTCGACCTACCACGTCTCCTGGTGAGACCGCTCGCCCTTTCGGCACTTCACCCGCGTCCACGCTTTCCTCGACACCATCGAGCAAGAAAGGTCGACCTCAGAGCGCAAGATCCGGAGGAGAGATCGAAATGACCAGACGCGGGAGTCAGCTGGTCATCCGTCCCAAGAGTAGTGCTTCGACATTGAGAAGACCTTTGTCGAGCGCAGGAGGCGGTCTGCGAGGCGCATGGAGGAGGACACGGGAAGGCGATGCGATCTGCATCGACACGGATGGCATCGGGGATCAGAGCGAAAACGACGGTGTGTATGAGCTCTCATCCCCCAAACTCAACACGAGCGAATCACGACCGCTCAGATCTCACTTTAGCAGCAGCAGTAGCATTTTGCAAGCTCCGCGTGACAGAGCGTCGTGCGGCACCATAACAACGAATCTCTCTCCAGCGGGCAGCTTCAGCTTCGAGATCAGGGACGCGATTCCATTGAGCGCTCCGTTGATGCTCGAGGGATCTCTTCCAGCTGCTTCGCCGGCAGCAGAGGGCCAGGGGGAGGCGAGTGGGATCCCACCGCAGTCGGACAAGATCGATAGCACAGAGAGCTTCGTCCGCGATATGGACTGGGATCTACGGGATGGCTACTTCACCGACGATTCGGGTTCTGCGGGGCGAAAAGCGTCGCAGACGCCAGAAACGAAGGCACAGTGAGTGACATGTGCCTGATTCTGCACTACCCCAGATGCTTTCGTGTGGCAAACAGAATTTGGTGCCCGCCTGTACGTCCCTTCGCACGGCCTGTGTACCGCTAGACAGAGAGTTGGGCAACCACTCGGAAGAACAACAGGGTCTCCGGAGCGACGGCAAGACAACATAGCAACCTGTACGCGAGACTTCTTGGGTGTAGGTGTGATGTCGGCGGAGTGAGTAACCTGTCACGGCGGCGACCTGGGTGGTGACCACGGCTGATGACGGCCGAGAGAAGCAGTCGCACGCGCCTTTGCAGATTCTCTGCGGATGAGACGTTTCACAAGGCAGTTTTGCGACACAAGCGTTGGGCACTACAAATGGGGCTGAGGCGGTAACTCTGCATTGCAAGTGTTTTGAACACAGGACGGATTTTGAATTTTCGTTATGAAATGGAACTCTGTGACGCCACTGAGCTTCGTCCCCCGCAATTGCCTGCTTTCCAGGTGAAGGTGTGGTAACCAGATACAGTCAACTGCACACAGCGGACAAGCATCATCTCCATTTCCTTGCCGCGCGATCCAGTCTGGCTGAGAGCCAACGATTTCTCCGCATTCACGCACTTCGGTTCCCCCCTTTGGCAAAGGTAATTCAGAGCAACCACTTTGAGTGGTAAGCATTGCTGCAATGCCTCGCGATAATTTCCATGCAGAGACAAGTGACGCCCACTGCTGCTGGCGGATAGCATGCTTGGCCAGGCTTGCGCGTGTGTCTCTCTCACATGCACTTTCGATGGCGAAACCGAGAAGCGTAGCCGCACTCCGCCTCGCATGGACTCTGCATCCCAAGCGGCACTCTCCTTTCGATATAATCGACGTGTCCGAGTTTCATCAACTGCCTTCCTCGCACCCACCATCCTCACTTCCTCACATTCGCCACCCCTCCAACCCATTTGCAATCATCCAACATGGGCTCCATCAACTACGACGATTCAGACGTGCTCGACGTTCTCATCATCGGTGCTGGTATCTCGGGCATCAACGCCGCTTACCGTCTCCACGATGAGCTTCCCGACAAGAAGTACTTGATCCTCGAGAACCGAGAGCAGCTCGGCGGAACCTGGGACCTCTTCAAGTACCCCGGCATCCGATCCGACTCGGACCTCCACACCTTTGGCTACGCCTTCAAGGAGTGGACCGGCGCCGACATTGCAGAGGGCAAGGAGATCCTCACCTACCTCAAGAAGGTGGCTGCCGACAACGGCATCGAGGAAAGGATCAGATACAAGACCCGAGTCAACAGTGCAGACTGGTCCACCGAGGAGCGATGCTGGTTCGTGTCTACGGAACAGGACGGTCAGCAAAAGCAATACCGCTCCCGCTTCCTCTACACCTGCACAGGCTACTACGACTACGATGCCGCACTCAAGGCCGACATTCCCGGTATTCAAAACTTCAAAGGCAAGGTTGTCCACCCACAGTTCTGGGACCTCAAGGAGGATGACTATCGAGGCAAGCGCGTGGCTGTTATCGGCTCCGGTGCTACCGCTATCACTCTGATCCCTTCCATGGCCGAGGTCACCAAGGACATCACCCTCGTTCAGCGATCGCCCACCTACATTCTCTCGCTCGAAAAGTACGATCCCATCGCCAAGGTTCTCCGTGCCGTTCTGCCACAAAAGATGGCTGCATTTGTCATTCGTCAAAAGAACATCGCTCGCATCTATGCTTCGTACCACATCTTCCGAACTTTCCCTGGTGTTGCTAAGAAGATCCTCGGCAGATTGACCTCGATGCAGCTTCCCAAGGACATCCCACTCGACCCTCACTTCAAGCCAAACTACAACCCATGGGACCAGCGTCTCTGCATCTGCCCCGACGGTGACTTCTACAAGACGCTTCGCGAGGGCAAGGCTCACATCGCCACCGGCCACATTGACCAGGTGACCAACAACGAGATCATTCTCAAGAACGGCGAGCGAATTCCATGCGACATCATCGTGACTGCCACCGGCCTCAAGCTGCACGTTGGTGGCAAGATCGCCACCTCGGTCGACAAGAAGCTCATCAAGGCCAGCGAACGCTTCGTCTGGAAGGGATGCATGATCGAGGGTCTACCCAACTACGCTCTTTCAATCGGATACACCAACGCTTCCTGGACGCTCGGATCCGACTGTACAGCTCAGTACGTTGTGCGCATGATCAAGCACATGGACAAGTACCACAAGTCAATGGTCGTTCCCGAGCCGTCCAACCGCGACCAGCTCGAGGAGGGTCCCTTGCTCGACCTCACCTCGACTTACGTCAAGAAGGCAGAGAAGGATCTGCCCAAGGCTGCCACCACTGGGCCTTGGAGGATGCGCACCAATTACTGGTACGATTTGGTCCAGGCCAAGTACGGTGGTTACGACGAGCTCGTTTTCCAGTAGAGATGCTTTTTCCATACCCGCACGTTCTTTCCTTGCTTTGCTTTGCCGATACACTTTGTTTTTGCTGTAATATGACTGTGTAACTTCCTGCTACTGTCAAGCTGGATTGAGGTTTTCGTCTTGAATGAGCCTTTTGTGCTGAGCTTGCGCTTGCGCTTGCAGTTGTGAACAGTGGACGGTCGGGAAAGCCGACGCGCATTCCGCGGTCTCGTTGTGTGATCTCGCAGTGTGGCTTGTCTCACCGTTTCCAGCGATGCTTCTCACTCGCAGCATTACTCAAGACTGATCTCGCACGCCACACACTCGGTTTCTCCCAACGTGTGTTACATTGCTCACTTTCTCTGCCAAACCAACCTCCCAGCGACCCAAGTCTGCTTGACCTCACCCGTGACTTTATCCAAAACCACCAGATCCGCATCCGCACCGGCCCTCAAGAAACCCTTCTTCCTTTCCAACCCCAACATCTTTGCCGGATTAGCCGTAGCGCAATACGCCGCTGCGTGGAGTGGAATGTTGGCGTACCTTGCGAGGTTGGTGACGCAGTCGTTGAGGGGTACGACGGAGCCGGCGAGGGTGTCGGTGTGTTCGAGGGTGACTTTGTTTCCGAGTTTGACGACGTTCTGGTTGTCACGCCAGGGGTAGACGCCGTTGGGTTTGGAGGGGTCCATCCAGGGCATGGCGTCGGAGACGAGGATGCAGCCGCGCGGATGTGATGTGTAGGCCATGCGGACGGAGCAGGGGTGCGAGTGGAAGCCGTCAGCGATCAACCCGTAAAATGGTCGGGGTTTGCGTGGTGCCCCTGCGAGATCGAATGGTGGTGAAGGGTTGGAAGTGGACTTGGTGGATTTGGCGGGGAGGGATGGGGAGAGGGAGAGATCGGTCTCGCTGTCGCCGAGGAGACCGATGACGCCCGGATCGCGGTGGTTGAACGATCCCATGGCGTTGAAGAGGTGCGTGATGAAGGTCGCACCTGCTTCCTTGGCGGAAAGTGCAGTGTCGATGCCGCTGGCAGTGTGCCCGATGGATACCGTCACACCGCGTGACACGAGCGATGGGATGGTAGGTAGGATCCCTTCGACTTCGGGCGCGAGCGTCAACAGCTTGACGGCCGGATATGGCATATCTAGGCCTTGCGGACCGGACCCATAGACTTCTTCCAACGATTCTACCCCCTGTGGTGCCGTTCGGATGAGCGACGAGCAATGTGCGCCCTTCTTGTGCGGTGACAGGAACGGTCCTTCGCAGTGAAATCCCAACGAGCTTGCCTGACCGGGTCTCGCCCTCGGCGCCAGCAATGGCAAGATCTATACGTACAAGTCAGAACCGCTACAATCAGCATCTCTTTCTCTCTCTCCTGTCTGCATAGCATCGCTGGTAGAACTCACCTTTCTATACGCATCCGCCTTCTGCGTAATGATCGTCGGGACAAAGCTCGTCACGCCCGTCTCCAAGATCCTCCTGCTAAACTCATCCAACCTCTTCAGATATTCCGACTCATCTCCTTCGAATTCGCTGAAATCGACGCCGTAACCTCCGTTGATCTGAACGTCGATGAATCCGGGCACCAGGTAGTCACCGTCGAGATCGATGGTGTGGGTGAAGGCCGAGTGCGAATCGAAGAACGCGGATTGTCCGTCGACAATCAGACCAGTCGAGGGTGAGATGTGGAGCGAGTAGGTGGTGGGGTCGGATGGGAGGGTGCCATCTGGGAGCAGCGCTTGACAGTTGGTGAAACGGTATAGCGTTGTGGGTGTAAAAGAGATAGGTGTTGTTGAGGTCGGCATGATGTTCGAAGACCCGAGATGACGGTTGTTGATGGTGGTGGTGGTGGTAGTGATCCGTCACGATACTGTAGAGCTGTGCCTCGAGTTGCGACAAGATGTCTTATGTGAATCAGCTTCTCATCGATGTATGGGTTCAGCAGGAAGAAGTGTCCGGAAGATCTGCCGTTTCGCACAATCCATTCCGCTCTGTCCAGCCCAACCTAGAGCGTCGTGGAGGAACAGATGCTTTCGCAGTCATTACCGACCCTCGAGGCTTCGGGTATCAAAACTCAAAACGTGCTCATTTCGCCACCACCGCCGTGAAACACCGGGATCCAAGAATTTAAGATAGCGGCAGCAGGTCAAGAGCGCATTGAAAGCGGTCGGTGATTTTCGCCGAAGAGGCGTCGGTCGGCCTCGGACCGACGACCGCGAGCCGTGAAATACGTTGCGGGCCGTCGTCCTTTTGGATTTCGGCTCTGCATGGCAGATTTGGACAGCCCTGTGCGTGGCAGGCAGCTTCGCGCTCACCGTTCGCGGCACGGCAGCTTAGTGCAGCTAATTTGCGTTCTAACCTCGTGTAGGGAGGCCGTAACGAGCGGATCTGGCACACATACGCACCAAATGGATGCTATGTGTAGTCTGTCATGGCATGCACAGGCCGAAGTGAGAAGACATTTTGCTGCCAAGGGTTAGGTAGTATCTGTCAATGCGAAGAAGCGTGAAGCGGCGCAGAGGCACGCTGAAGGACGAATCGCGCGAAGTCGTGCTGAGCTGACACGTTCTGCTTCGGGACTGATAAGCCCGTTCTCGCTCTCCGCAAAGATGCTGCTGCCTTGCTAGTCGGTATTGCTGCTTGCCATACTGAGCGCATAGCCTGCCAGTATCGGGCTCTATCTGTACCTTCCAAGAAATTGTGAGCTGGTTGGATCCTTGCTCGCCGTCATCTTCACCACCATCGAGTCTGTCCAGACCACCTCTTTTCCCCTATCTTCGTCTGTCCAAGTCTAATACTGGCTCGCAAGGATGCTCGCCTCATCATCGACCCTATCACGCGTCGAAGCCTCCCATCACAACGCGTCGCAGCTCCTCCTCCGAGGCACTCGAGACGGCGATCTAGCTGCAACCCTCCTATCTTCCTCTTCTACATCCACGGCCGAGCGAACACCGCTCTTCACCTGGTCAGATCTGCTTCGGATCGTCTCCTCCGGCAATCTTCAACACCTTTCTCGTCATCCGGACTCGCTTCGCGAGTACTTCGCCTGGATGGATAGCATCAAATCCACGTACGGGAGCGTCACATCCTTCCTGCTATCAGAGCGATTTACTGCAACGAAGTTGCTCGAAAAGGCTTCCCCCACCACCAAATCCCAGGTGGTAGGAGAGAGCAGGTGTTTCCGAAGCAATTTTGTACCCGGAGTTGACTGTCAGATCCTTCTGAACGATTGGCCGTATTCCATCCCGCACGATGCCCACCACTATGTGGTATGGAGTTGCTGTCCAATCTTACACCGAGATCTTGTCTTTGAGCAAGACGTCGACGAGGAAACAGCAAGACTCGCCTGGGGCATCGTTTCGAAACGTGGTCTTTGCGGAACACTGACCCCAACCGCTGGTCTCCAAATCCCCACCATCAAAGATCACTCTACACACCTCCCAGACCTCCTCCCCTCCTTCCCCGAAAAGGAAGAACGTCTCCAACAAACACTCCAAACCGCATGCTCGAATCTCGTCACCTTCATCGAAGCACACTGGGATACGAGCACTTACGAAGTGGCATTCTTCGCCAACCCTCCAAGTCTGCAATCCGTCCCTAGTCTGGCTCACTTTCACGTCCTGGTAAAGAAGATCTAGGATGGGTCCCAAAGAAGGGACCCTCCACCGCTGTATATTACGTTTTCTCTGCAATGCTAGATTCCCTACCCCTGATATCCACCTTCTCACCACTCTTCTTGCCTTTTACTAATCTCCTTCTCAAAAGCTTATCATGTTTCGAAACCATTGATTCGTATGACAAAATACAATTGAATGCACCACAATCCTTTTCACTTCCCTCCCAATTTCTCACCCAAAAACTTCGCCGCCAAGTACTCAGCCGCTTCATGCGCCGGACTTTTGACAACGTGGATGTTCTTGAACCCATCTCTCCCCTGATCTTTCCACATTTCCACCAAAAGATCCAAAAACCTGCTGTTGGACCACAACCCGCCGCCCAGCACCAACGTGCTCCTCTCTGGGCGGATCCTATCCTTCGGACAGCAAAGCTTGGAAATCGAGTCGATGCATTCTCCCACCGCCTGGTGAAGCAACTGCACCGCCAGATCCTTGCCCGAACGGCCCGCGTCTTCAAATGCATACTCGAACACGACACGGGTTGTTTCGGCCAGCCAACGCTTGCGTGCGTCCTCTGCGTGGAAAAAGTTGCCGCCGGACGCGCAGACTCGATCGCGGTAAGCGGCTGAGATGAGCTCGATAGGTGTGTCGACGTCGAGTGCGCGCATCACGGCTCGCTCAAAGTCGGTGAGCGGTAGCGGTACAAATTGCCTCTCCTCTTCTCGTGTGAGCATGAGCTGGATGGTGGAGAGACCTATTGACCATCCGCTTCCGCGGTCGCCAAGCAGATAGCCCCATCCGCCCGTCTTGCTGACGGTGATCAAGCCGGGAAGGTCTTCATTCTCGCTAGTCTCGACCATCGACGGTGCTGCTGCTGAAGCCGACGAGGAACACGATGAGGAAATGACGGATGGAGTAGTGCGCTGGAACGCAAATCCGGCACTGCCGGTACCGGCGATCAAGCAAACGCACGACTGGCTGCTGGCATCCCGCAACATTGGCGCAGAAAGGAGGACAGCATCGTTGGTGATCCAGATGGGAGTTGAGTCATCAATGAGGTGATACTCTTGCAAGAGCTGTGAGAGTTGCTGTCGGTAGTTGCCAATGACTGCCGATGAGGACAGACCCGCTGATCCAATCCAGATGGCTCTCACCCTTGGACGAAGGACCTCAGACGTATTTGCCGTCGTTGTTGATGATGAAGATGCAGTTGGACGAGAAAGAGGGTCGTGTTCGTCGTCTGCAGAGGATGAGTCATTGTCGGACACGGAAAGAGGCGGTGTCGTGATGCCTTCCGCCTCGCCGGCCTCGAGGAGGTCGAAAAATGTGCCAAAGCCAGCGGATATGAGCGCGTCTCGAACAGCGCGTAGGATGACCTGGCTTGCTGCTTCAAGACCCAGTGTGGCACAGTTGCCGCAACCTGCTTGGCCCACAAAGGTTTGTTTGGAGTCGACGCCAGCTGCGACAGCGAGCGTCTTTGTTCCGCCTGCATCTACGCAAATCACAACGTCACCAGAGCGCGCCGATGCTGATGAAGATGTTGATGCTGCCGCCATTGTTCGCCGCAAGGAGCAGCTCGAGCTCTGCTACGAAGCTGCTGGTACTATGAAGAGATGATGCTGTGCGAGAAGTATTGCGGTGGATTCGATCGAGACCCAGTTGCCAAACGTAGCGTGTGTGTGTGATGAGATCTTGTAACGGACTGTGTATGCGATCTCGAAGGATATTGAGTGGCGATGAAGACCGGATCTGAAAGGGGCCAGGAACAGTCGTCACTAGGTCGTTGAAGTATTTTAGCAGGGAAAAGAGCGAGCACGTCGGAACACTGCGTGTTGATATGATATGCCGATTCGGAGCAGTCGCGTCGAGAAGTAGGTGGGGAGACTATTCGTCGAAGTGAGGGCGAAAGCGGGGGATCCTGATGGCAAGGGACGGTACAAAGCGCTAGCGAGAAGGGAAGAAAGAGCGAGCGAAGAGGATCGACAATCTGAATCAGTCCGGACCGAACGGAGAGGGCCGATCGTTTGAGGCTGAGGCGATGGGGGAGAAGCCGAGGATACCGAGAGACTGCGCTCTGAGCTCGGTCGAATGAGCCGTGGGTGAAGGGAAGAGAGAGATGTAGAGATAGGCGACGCCGGAAGCGACGAGGTTGAATGAAGTCGGTCGTCCCACGATGCCTGAATCGTCGATGAAGCGGAGGAGCCGAGAAAGGCAAGAGCGTTTGGATCCTCTCAGCCTGTGGATGACTGTATGACTGACGAAACCGAGACGAAGAAGAGGAAAGCGGAATTGGTGCGGTGATGATTCGATGTGCGATGCGAAAAGAGTGGGTGACGATTCGGTCGACCGACACGGTGGCTGCGATGCGCTGTAGTCACTTTTGGCTGCTGTCGCCTCTCGCAACATTTTGGGTTCCGCCGCCTGCGCCCTCTGCGCATCCGTGCTGTGCCCGCTGAAGTTCCTCAAAATCACATGTCGTTCCGTCGGCGACCGGAGCGACCGACACGAAAAATGAACGCTTGCAGCTCGCTCTCCGAATGATGACTTGGCTAACCTTGTCTTTTGTTTATTTCTCCATTAATTTATTCTTAGATAAAATCAGGCAAAAACATTGATCCGACGCTACATCCTCGGCTTGCTCTGACCAGATGCGGGGGACATTGAACAGGCTTTTCGATCAGTCGACCTCCGCACTCCCCTTGCCACTCCTTGCTAACAACTCAAGACATTAACTTCATACTCCTTGATGAGGCTATCTGGCCCGGCGTGATTGCATCTAGATGCATATGGCACCGTTCGAGTCATGCGATGTAATTGACAAGCTGTCTAGCACAATGTCACGCCACGGAGCCACGCACCGAGTCGCTGCAGGCTGGAACCTCGGCTCCTTGTCGGTCGAGCGTCGAAAGCTTGAATCTTCCTTTGACTTCTCGGCGAATTGACCTCGAACGGAAGCTCAGTCCGGTAGACCAAACCGACTCGAAGTGTCGGACCGTCCGAGAAGGGAAAAACGCTCGAAAACGGTTGGCAACACAGTCTCGCTGTTTTCGGCGGATGCTTCATGCAGGCCAAAGGTCGCCGTTCATATTTTTTCTTTGGATTCTGCCGGTCAACCACTTTCGCTCGTCGGGCCGACCGCCGCCGAAAATCGATGGAAAACCTTGTTTCTCTTGCAATCCTTCCGCGCTTATCGGTCTCGTGCCTGCCTGTCAAGCTCTGCGTACTTTTCGGTTGTATGGTTTCGCTCTACCTGCCGAGCTTAGAGCCCACAGCCAACCCACACAGTTGGTCAAGTCGGCCTGAACGTGTCGTGACTGCGGTTGACGGTCCCGTGAGCGGCGCACTGGGCAATCGAGTAAGTCGGCATTCGATGTCGGGTGGACTATGAAACTGCCTGCCACATGCAAAGCAAAACCTAGTTTTAGCGGTTATCCAGAGCCATCGTATATAGTGCTGCGATCATATCCATTCTTAAGAGCAAACGCCTTTGCTGCTTTCTACAACCTCGCCCATACCTTCCTGTGAATTGCTCTGCAACTAGCGGATACATCGAAAATGCGCTACATCATCCGAGACGACAAGGCTGCTGTCGGCAAATACGTAAGTATAACCCCTCTCACCCCCCGCGGTAGCCACTGAACACAGGAGCTAGAGCTGAACATCGATTGTCCATATCCCGCTGCTCTTGATCGCAGGTCGGCGAGTACGTAGCCAAGCGCATCAACGCGCACTTTGAAGTCACCGACCGACCCTTCGTACTCGGCTGCCCAACCGGCTCGTCGCCGCTCGACACCTACAAGACCCTCATTCAGATTCACCGCGAAGGTCGCGTCTCTTTCAAAAACGTCATCACCTTCAACATGGACGAGTACGTCGCACTCCCAAAATCGCATCCCGAGTCCTACCACTCCTTCATGTGGAACAACTTTTTCAGCCACATCGACATCCAGCCTCAAAACGTCCACATCCTCAACGGAAACGCGCCCGATCTCGTCGAAGAGTGCAACCAGTACGAAGCCAAGATTCAAGCTGTAGGCGGTATCGATCTCTTCATGGCAGGTGTCGGCTCGGATGGTCACATTGCGTTCAACGAGCCGGGCTCGTCGCTTGCTTCCAGGACGAGGATCAAGACGCTCGCTTATGATACGGTGTTGGACAACTCGAGGTTCTTCGAAAACGACCCGCTCAAGGTCCCCAGGATGGCACTGACGGTGGGAGTCCAGACCGTGATGGACGCAAGGGAGATCTTGGTGATCATCGTGGGTCAGCACAAGGCTCATGCCCTGGCAAAGTGTGTGGAGGAGGGTGTTAACCACATGAACACTGTCTCGTGCATTCAGTTGCACCCAAATGCGCTGCTGGTCTCGGACGAGGACGCCACCTCGGAGCTGCGCGTCAGGACCGTCAGATACTTCAAGGGAATCGAGAGGGCGCAGGAGGAGATCGAGAAACTCTACGGATTGCACGGTCACAAAAAGACGGCTTCGAACGGTGGTAGCCCCGTCGTCAGCAGTAACATTGCTTGATCTGTTTCCCACACTCTTTCTGTACTAGTCTCATACCCGTTCTCAATCCACTTATTCCCTATTTGGCATCTCACGTAGCCTGAACTTGACGCTTGAAGCACCACAACTTTACGTGAACCAAATCTTCGATGAAGTGGTACATTAGACAGTCGCTTGAATACTGGCAAGCACATCCGCTACACTCAGAGCTGCGTCCAGAGCCGGATGCTTGACCACGTTGTGGACGCCTTCTCCTCCCACCCCCTCCCCAACAAAAATCACTGTGCTACACGCCGATAGTTCAGCTACATACTGTTGCATGAACCCTCCAACCGTCGCGAGAATGTCTTGCAGATGGCCGGCAACCAGTAGACCGTGTCGATAGTGCAGGCCGTCAGTCCTGCAAAGCCCCAGCAGAAAGACGGCGCATTGTGCAATCCAGAAATGATGGATCGAAGGCAGAGCGGCCAGACTACCGACAAAGCCAGATTTGGATGAGAGCAGCCACCGTAAACCATCTATGCATGCGCTTTGGCAGAGCTGTGTGGCCGAAACGTACGCGATTGTCGCCACGTCGATAGCTGCCCTGGTCGTGTGCTTGGCGATCCCCTCTTCCAGTATTTGACATGCTCCTATAAGAACACTAGCTTTGGCCAGGCTGTAGTGCAAGTCGATGCTGTGATCGTACGAGTCCTTCATGTCTGGATCCGTGGCAAGAAGAGCGCGGGTGGTACACCAGCTAGCAGTAATTTGCCTCGTCGCTTCAACCATCTCTTCCGCATTTATCAGCTTCTTTGCCGTCGCAACCAGGTACGCCACCCTCGAATAGAAGATCAAGGCAGAATCCTGCTTGCTCATACTGCCCCCGCTTTCGTCCACCATCAAAGCCTGACCGTACTGCGCCGGATCGATCAGCTGCATGATCGGTTCCTTTCCGTGAATCTCGCTCTGGTGTAATTCCGTCAAAAATGCGGTCAGCCACACGCGTACACGATCCTGTATCGACACGTGTCGGACAGGTGGAAGGATGGCCACCATCTCGCCCACGGTCAGGCCGGCGTGAGGTCCAGTTTCGTAGCTATACTTTTCCGACCACCATCGAGCAGCACGCGCTACATTCCATGCCTCCATCGACCCGTTGTAGGTAGCCCAGATGCATGCACCGACGACCTCTTCTGTACCGATGCCGGATTCCGGATTGAATTCGTCTTCGGCGGTGGATGGGGCGTAGGGTAGGGTACGATCGAGAACATCGGCTTGCAAGCGAGGCTGACAAGAGCGAACCTCTGATGAGGGAGAGAGGATGGAAGCGACAGAGGTGATAGCGGAAAGGAGTACAGGCGTAAGCTCGGAAGAAGCGGGAAAGTCGGGGAAGCCGAACCCAAAAGGCTCGATGTGCTTTGCATACGAGCTGAACAGATGACGTGCTTCATGCGAAGATAGAAGGCCCAGCCGGATAGCGTCAAGACGCGGATCATTGCTGCCGAGACTTGCGTCAGGGTATCGATATCGACTTGCACGTAAGGGGAGAGCCGGCTTTGGCTGACTTTGGAGGGACACAATGTTTCTGTCCAGTGAAATTTTGGGAAGTGGCATTGAGCTGCCGTGATTCTTTGACAGTGTGATGGGATCGTATGTACCGTTGCACGAGGAGGTGCTCGAGGACGCAGCACATTTGCCTTGTCGGAGTAGCTCCGTTGCATATCCGGATGTAGCGTAATTTGAGAGGTATCTGTGGTTGCTGCCATTCTCCGAGGCTACACGAGTCGCGACTGGCGCCAATGTGCCGGTCACTGAGGAGTGGCCTGCGACAGGGCCCAGTTGACAGGTATCGTGGGGCGTCGCTCTGGAGGGCAACGGGAGAACGTCTCTGGTTTGCTGGATCCGGCTTGGAGTCACAGCTGTGGACCTGCACGGAGCGAATGGAACTATGTTGTCATCAGACCAGTCTTGAAGAGCTACTCTTCGTCGCTTCTGAGGGACCGTTTCTCCCTGTTCGACAAGAGCGGTCATGACCGACACAAGCTTTGTGAGCGTCTCGTCTGTTCTTGCACGCCACTCGTCCTGCTGGAGGGCGCTTCCTAACTCTTTCGTCTTGAAGATGCATTCATATCCACCGTTTCGACATCGTTTGCAGGGAGCCATTCCATCGTGATCACATTTGACCTTCGAGCGACGACAGCTCGAACAGGCACCGTAAGCTTTGTTCTGACTGGGGCAAGTAGCACTTGGCGAGTTGGATCGACGAGAAAGGTCCACTTGAAGAGAGCTTGAGCCGGAGGAGACGGGCGTCGTCGAAACGGAACGTCGCTGAGGGTGATTTGTCATGTTGCTAATTCTTGTTCTTCAGGATGAAGAGAATCAGAGAAAGGTAAGCAAGAGGTCTTATGATGTCGTGGTCTTTTATAATCCGGACGTGGGCCTTTTTGGGAGATCGCGGCTGCTACTGAGTACTGACTGATCCAGTTCCAGCTGGAATGCTTTTCGTCTGCTCCGTCTTATCCAGCAGAGGTTGAGCTTTTCGTATAGCTTTTCCGTTGACCAAAAACCTCTTTGACTAGGCTGCTGATCACGGTATCGGATGGCCGGGCGCGAAGATTAGCTCTTGCCGACGTTCGAAGGTGGTGGAAAAGCGTCTTGCCTTGATCGTTCGCAGCCTCAGGACAAGCTCAACGAGTCTGTCGAAGCTCGGGAACAAGGTTTCCCTCTGTGGGTAGCGTTCGGCGAACCACCTTGAGTGTGGCCGACGAGCTCATTTGAAGGGATGAAGCGGACAGTTCGGCTATGCCAGCCGGAAAGTCTTCCAACAACTTAAGTGGTGTTGCTAGAACAGCTTGTTGATTTCACTGAAAGTCGTGTCCAAGTACGAGCCAGACCGAATCTGCCGGGAAGAACAAGCCAAGCTGCAGCGACTCCGCTAAACCGAGTGTCTTATCATAGTATTGTTGTGCAGAGACGATTCCCCCGCAGCCACCATCGGCGTATTCGCCGAATCGAGTCCATGTGGCTGGCTTTGCGAATAACCAGGTCGTGTTATGCCGAGCCGACACGACCTAACATAACAAATCTCCCCGCCGGCCATCTCCGAGAAGAATCAGAGAATCTCGAAGAAAGTGCTGATCTTGATTCTCGTGGCCCGAGCATCCGAACGCAGGTAGGATTGCTTCATTGCTTTTGCTTCGATCAACATCCTTTGACTCCACCCCCGACCATTCGCAACGTATTCCCACATACATTCATTGGCGCTTGAAAAGTCAAGACCTCGTCGATCTCGAAACACCCGTTCACCCAGTGGGGCTTTTCTTCTGGTCGCTTGAGTCTCATCATCAGCCATGTCATCCGATCTACTCACCCAAGCCAAGGCCTGGCTCGGGAAGGACCCTGATCCGGCTACGAGAAGCCAGCTGTCCAAATTCATAGACAGCAATGACCTCAAAGAGCTACAAACCAGCTTCAATGGTCGGCTCGAATTCGGCACTGCTGGTCTGCGAGGTGTCATGGGTGTCGGCCCAAGCAAGATGAATCTGCTCACAGTCCTCGAAACCACCGCGGGTCTGGCGGAGTATCTTTTGCAGAGTGACAAGGGAACAGCAACCTCCAAGGGTGTTGCTATCGCGTTCGACGGACGATTCGGCAGCAAGGATTTCGCCTACGCTTCTGCGCAGCACTTTGCTTACCGTGGCATTCCCTCGCAGATCTACCCAACGCCGACGCCGACGCCTATGTGCGGCTACGCAGTGAAGAAACTGGGACTGGCCGGGGGCATCGTTGTGACAGCTAGTCACAATCCGAAAGAGTACAACGGGTACAAGGTCTACGGGCCTGCTGGCACGCAGATCAACACTCCTGTGGACGGACTGATCGCCAACGAGATCCTCAAGATCGCCGAGCAGTCGCAGCCGCCAGCATTGAGCGACCTGGAGGAGTGCACAAGCAAAGGCACCATCAAGGAATTCGGAGACGAGATGCTGACGAGCTACATAAAGGATGTTCAGGCCCTCAACACTTTCAGCAGCGAACCAGTTCATGGCAAAGACGCCCCTATCAGCATCGCATACAGTCCCCTGCACGGCGTCGGCGCACCTTCTATCGAGAGGCTATCGAAAGAGGTCGTTGGTCTTGAAGAAGGGATCAACTTCTGGATCTCGCCAGAACAACGAGAGCCGGATGGTGCTTTCCCGACCCTCGAGTTTCCGAACCCGGAAGAGCTTTCTACGCTTGAGCTCGTGCACAAGCTCTCGGAGCAGCACAAGACTGGACTGGCTATTGTCAACGACCCGGACGCAGACCGACTCGCAGTTTCGGCCCGTGACTCGACGGGTAAGCTGCGCGCTTTGACCGGTGATCAACTTGGTGCGCTGCTCGGCGACGAGATTTTGCGACGTGCTGCCAAAGCCAATGGTGGCAAAGCTGGCGTATGGACGCTGAGCACCATCGTCTCGAGCCGTCTGCTTGCTCGTCTTTCGGGGCACTGGGGTGGGAAACACGTCGAGACGCTGACGGGCTTCAAGTGGCTTGGAAATGTTGCTCGAGGAATTGAAGCTCGGGAGGGTGCAGGATCGTTCGGGTTCGGCTACGAGGAAGCATTGGGCTACATGGCTGCCAGCTCTGTGTGGGACAAGGATGGACTCTCGTCCTACCTGCTCATTGTGTCGATGGCATTTGACCTAGCGAGGGAAGGCAAGACGCTTTGGGACCGTCTGGAAGAGCTGCATCGTCTTGTCGGGCTCTCGGTCACGATGCAAAAGATCATCAAGCTGAGTTCAACTATGAAGGGCACGGACGTCATGACAAAGCTCCGCGGCGATCTCGACGCCGGCAAGAACAGCGTGGCAGACAAGACCGGAGACAGGTCATACAACTTCAGCCTGGTCGACGACCTGAAGAATCGACCAGCTTACAACCAAGCCAAGGCCGAAGCTGGCGATCTGAGCATCCCCAAGAACGACGTGTTGCGGTTCTACGTGCCACCCAGCCACGTTGATGCGTCGACAGGCAAGCGTGACGAGCAGGAGATTATGCTCGGTGACGTTCGTGTCATTGTCAGGCCGTCGGGCACCGAGCCGAAGGTCAAGATCTACACGGAAGCATTGGGTCAGATCAAGGACGGAGAGGCTTACTCGGATGCGGTGCAGCGTGTCAACACGGAGCTCGAGCAGGTGGTTGATGCCTTTTGGGCTTGGATGAGTTGATCAGCGTATTGCTGAGCGTGTTGCTGTCGTCCCTGTCAAAGTCACACCAAATTGGAAACCGATCCTGATCGCGAGTGTGTGTGAAAAAGGCAGAGTATAGTGGCTACAGGAAGCCCGTCGCAGTTGGAGTACCTAGCAGTCAAAGGTTTGCCACACGCTCACGAAATGGAGTCGATTGGCGCGTGAGAATAACTTTGACTGCTCTGCGATCCCAAAATTTGCAAAAGTCACCGAGCTCCAACAGCAGTGCTTTAGTGCCTGATGTACGTATTGTATTTTCGGAAGAAGGACGATGAATTGGTACAGGACCCTGCATGGCGCGCCTCTCCGTGTGTGTTCGCTCACCCCGCGCTCTGCTCGACCTTGTGTGGCTGAGTCGTTTGAGTGTCGATCATTTCACGCTCATCATCGAGAAAGGGTGTTGGTTCCAACTCGTCGAGTTCTTCCATTGTTCAAAGGTGGGAGAGCTGGCTGCACATCCTGACTTCTCACCACCATCATCACCTTCATCTTCCTTTTTTTGGTCAGCAAGATGAGCGAGCTTCCACCTGGATCATTCGCACACGGTGTCGAGCAGCCTAGCCCTAGCACCGCAGACACCACCGCAGCTCCTGCTGTCATCTCACCGACCATCGATTCGCAGTCGTTGTCCCCTCAAGAGGCCAAAGAGGTCGAAGAGGAACGCGAAGAGGCTCAGAGCCTCAGCGAGGCAGCTCTCTCCATCCCGGACTCCGAAGCGGCTGACGATGATGCTGCTTCTCTCTACCAGCCAGCCAACGAGGCCGTTCCAGGTGACGCCGGCGTCGTCGTACAACAAGGACCCAGCGTAGACTGGCAGGGGGTCCTCGGCCACTCTGCATCTGGTTTCGGCGCCGCCAATGCTGCTACATCAGCCTATTTCAACTTCGCGCGTACCGCTACCGCCTTTGGTCTCAACTTTGCAAAGCGGCTCACGCAGGGCTTGGTCGCAGTGCCTGCCATCCTTGCCGATGGCGCGTTCACAGGCACAGCTCCTGGAGACACTTCCGGAACTCCCTCGATCTCTCGAGCAGCGCACTCGGGCATTGCTACCTTTTTCGACGCTATTTCGCTCGTCGCTGTCGGTGGTATCGACCTTACTAGTGCAGTCACCAGTGCCGGCTTAGGCGCTGCTGGTTCCGGCATCGAGGGTATCAGACGGGCGCTGGGTTCCGAGGTTCTTCGCAGCTTGATGGAATTTTCTAAGCTCGTCAAACGCGAGTGGAACCATCAAGATGATTCGTTGCCGCCCGGTGGCATCCCAGCTTATTCGATCATCGGTATCACCAAGGCCCTGTCGACTTGGGTCTGTATCCAGCTCGTCACTCGCAACTTCCAAGAGCAGCGCATGCTTCCCGCGCTCGACGAGATCGACACTGATCGCTTGAAAGAAGAGGTTGAGCAACTCAAGCAGACCCATCACGTTGGCGCTACCACCGCTCCTCTCATTCCAATCACCGACGGCGCCTCAAAAGACGGCGAACACGCACAAAACCAAGCTGATGTGCGCATCACTTCGAACCAGGCGCTTGCAGGCGAGTACTCGGGGAACGTCATAGGTGCCGAGATCGGTCATAAGCACGGATCGAGCACTCGACTACCAGGATCAGAACTCTCTGACGAGCCCGCTAGACCGCTTTCGGATGCGGAGGCTGTCCACAACCTGCAGCGCTACTCGAAACTTGTCCTCGGTGTCTACGGCGGGATAGCATTGTTGTGGCTGAATTCGATGCCGGCTGACAGCAACACCATGCCGAGCAATGCGACTGCCAGTGGCGGTAAGGCCAAGCCCACTGCTGCACCCACAGGCAATGTCATCTTCTCAGCTGAAGACGAATTCATGCGCAAAGATCAGGCCGAGTTTCTCGAGGCTGCGGCACAGATGGAGCTTGAAGATGAGGACGACGACAGGCTCGCGTCTGTTGCGGAAGCGGCAGATGCTGCTGCCACTGGGTCGTCAACGGAGGGCGTTGTCGCCGTTGACCGGAACGGCAATGGTCATAGATCGTCGTACAATCTTTGGGACGTCATCTCGGGTACACACGACGAAGACCTCTTCCACCACACCGCTGACCTCAAGCGTGGCGCTGTAGCGGCAGGACAGTATGAAGAGGACTCCAACGCTGCCAGCGGTCGCACACCTTACAACCCCAAGGATAAGGCGCGACCCAGCAAGCCCCGTTTCTACGTCGTCACTGATCATCCTCGTAAGACCATCATTCTCGTCCTTCGGGGTACGCTTTCAATGGGCGACCTTGCCGCCGATCTAACTTGCGAATCCGTGCCATTTGTCTTCGACCGCGAAGTGCAGAAGAACATGGACGCACGTGTAGCTCAGATGCAGGCCGCTGAGGGTGGAGCAAAACGGGCCAGCTTTGTTTCAGAGGAAGCTTTTGGTTTCCTGGTGCACGAAGGTTTTGTGATTACCGCAAACGAGATCGGTTACAAAGGCCGCGCCGTACATCGTGCAGTGGCCGCTGCACTGGCAGCGAACCCTGGCTACTCGATCGACGTCACAGGACATTCGCTCGGCGCGGGTGTTGCGAGTGTTCTCGCGCTGATGTGGGCGGATCCCACAACAGGCTTGACAATCGCTTCTTCGGGTCTTCCAGCAGGTCGAAGACTGCATGCCTACTGCTTCGCGGTTCCCTGCGTGACTAGTTCGCAGCTCGGTCGAAGCGTCTCGTCGATCATCACGTCGTACACCTACTCCTACGACCTCGTCTGCCGACTGTCGCTCGGCTCGATCCAGGACATCCGTAACTGCTGCGCATGGCTCTGCTATCAGGACAAAGAAGCTCACCATGGCGATGGGACCATGAACGCCCTCATGAAGCGCGCCTTCGAGTACCAATCCGGGCGGATGGACGCTTCTAAGCGGGCTGAGCTGGAGCACGATTTCTTGGTGCTCCGCAAGACCTTGGAAGCGAACATGCACAACACGCATCTCTATCCTCCAGGCAAGGTGCTGTACGCTCTCACTCGGGGAAGGGACATCCTAGAGAGTGAAGGTGGAGACGAGCGTGTCACGGTGACCGGGAGCAAACAGAGGCTATTCAGAGTCAAAGACGAGTCGTCGGCGTTGAGAACTGTCTTCGGTCAGATGGTGATGAGCAGGAATATGCTTTCATCCCACATGCCCAACGCGACTCACGGTTCCTTGCACGACCTTACAGTGTAGGTTGTTGGGACAGAATGAAATGTCATCAACGCTTCGAACGGATGGGATACAACCCGTGTACGATTTTTCTACCATGTAGCTTTAGATACCTTGCATTGCTATTATTTGACATCATGCCTATACAAGAGCTTGGAGAAGAGATCAATCTGCCACAGACGTTGACACTGCGTGGAACTTGCTATTCATGAAAAATGCTAAGTTACATTGAAAGTGCTGTACAATGCTGAATGCTTGAAAAACAATCTACACCATCGTTTTCTCGGTGGACGACGTCGGTGCAGGAACCATCGTCTTGCTGTGCTCATCGGCGGTCTTTCCTGCCGATTGCACGTCCTCGATCTGCTGCTCCTCGTCGACCAACTTCGAGTTGTCGACCTGGGTTCTTCGGTAGTAAACTCGCTTGCCCCACTTGTAGGCTTCGATACCACCGACGAACAGGCCCGTGGCGACGAAGACGATGCCCCACTCCCACGTGATGCCCGTGTGAAGGAAGACGACGTCGTTCAGAACGGGAATGTAGAGCAGAGGGAAAACAGAGAAGAAGCCACCGACGACGCAGATGAAGAGGAACTTGTTTTGGCCCCAGGTGGTTTTGAACCAGCGGTTGTACCAGGTGCCGACGTCACGCATGTTGAAGAAGCTGCGACGGGTGTCGACGATCTCCCAGGCGAGAATGAGGGAGAACCAGGTCATGACGGCGAAGGTGGATGCTCGAGCACGGAAGACGAGATCGCAAGTGGCCGTGTAATCGGAGTTGCAGTTGATGCCAAGCTCTCCGTTGCCCCAGCCGAACTCGACCAGCGTGAAGGTCGCCAGACAGAGAAGAGCCATGAACAGGCCGTACACCATCAGATCGACGAGCATCTCCGGGCTGAAGATGCCCCACTTGTTGGAACGAGGCTTTCTCTTCATGACGTCCAGCGAAGCCTTTTCCATTCCGAGACCCATAGCGGGGAGACCAGAAGTAACCATGATGATGTAGAGAATCTCGACGGGCGAGAGTGGGAATACCGAAAGACCAGTTTCGTCCTTGAAAGCCAAACCGATGAGCAACACGGAAGCCTGTGCTACGTTCTGCGCCAAGAGATGGCAGACGAACTTCGAGATGTTGTCGGCCATGCGTCGACCTTCTTCGATGGCGTTGCCGATGGAGGCAAAATTGTCGTCTACGAGTACGATGTCGGACGCATCCTTGGCAACATCAGAACCGTTCATACCCATGGCGATACCGACGTCGGACATCTTGAGCGAGGGAGAGTCGTTGACACCGTCGCCGGTCATGGCGCAGAACTTGCCTCGACGGTGGAGTGCCTCGATCATGCGGACCTTGGTTTGAGGTGCACATCGGGCGATAACAAGAGGCAATTGCGGAAGTGCATCGATCTCGTCTTCAGAGAGCTTGTCGAACTGGGCTGCAGTCATGACCATGCTGTCCATCTCTGCCTTGGAGTACCTAGTGGTGTTGCGGGGGACAATACCAACGTCGAGGGCGATAGCCTTGGCGGTGCCTGGGTGATCACCGGTAAGCATGCGGACGGTGATGCCGGCTTCCTTGCACTTGCGGACAGCGCCGGCTGTCTCGGGACGGGGCGGGTCGTACAGGCCAACAAGACCGAGGAAGGTCATGTTGGACTCGACGTCCGAGCGTTCGAGCTCCTCGTCGAGGTCCTTCTCTGCTTCGGTAAGCTTGCGGTGAGCGAGAGCCAGGACTCGAAGACCCTGACTAGCGAGCGCCTCCATGTTTTCGAGTACGCGCTTTTCGAACTTCTCGTCAAAGTCGATCTTGCCCTCGGAGGTTTGCGCGGAAGTGCAGGCATCGAGGACTCGCTCGACGGCACCCTTCATCATGGCGTAGCTCTCGCGAGCCTGGTTGTTGGTGTACGTGACGGCCATACGTTTGACAGAGCTGTCGAAGGGATATTCGGTGATCTGAGTCCACTTCGCGGCGGTACGATCTTTTTCGGTGACTTCCTTGTCTGCATCGGCTCCTTTGGTGAGCTTGAGCCGGCCCCAGGCGAAACGTGTGACGAAAGTCTGGATAGCGCACTCGGTTGGATCACCGTGAGCCGTCCATGCGTGGGTCTCCTTGTCCTTGAAGACGGTGGCAAGGTTGCAGAGCGACGCGACGTTCATGAAATCCTCGAATCGGTCGTTGCCCTTGACCTTGTCCGACTTTCCGGAGCGGGCGACAACCTCTCCTTCGCTGGATTGGCTTCCGGCCTTGTCATTGCGAGGCTCAATATCGTTGACAGAGACCTCTCCGAGAGTCGGGTTGAAAGGCTCGTTGGTCTCGGAAACGCTGTAGGTGCCCGAAGCGGGGACCCAAGCCTTGCGGACGACCATCTTGCCTTGAGTAAGCGTACCGGTCTTGTCCGAGCAGATATCGTTGATCGATCCAAGCGCCTCGAGCGACTCGAGCTTTCGTACAATGACGTTCTTCTTGACCATGGCTTTGCTGCCCATGGCCATCGTGATGGTCAGAACGGCGGTGAGCGATGCAGGAATCATAGAGACACCAGTTGCGACGGCGTAGATGATGACTTCGTTGTCGGTCCAGTTGTTAGACAGGAAGACGATCACCGCGAACAGAACGGCAACGAAAAAGAGTGCTACTGCCAGTTGCGAGAGACGGCGTTGCAACGGCGTACCCTTGTTGGTGCCGAGAAAGTTATTGATGTGGTCCCAGACGGTAAGGGCACCGGCCTGGACGTAGTGGTGGGGGAGGGCCTTGCCGTAAGCGTTGCGCTTGACGTCGCGAATCTTTTGCGCCTTGGCAGCGCCGCGCAGAGCGTCTGCGATCTTGCCGATTTCGGTGTTCATTCCTGTTCCGACGACTACGCCAGTAGCGCGCCCCTTTGAGACGGTGGAAGAGGTAAAAGCCATGTTGAGACGGTCGCCGACACCGACATCGTCGCCGGCAGAGTAGATCTGCGTGTGGTCCTTGGCCACGGGAAGAGATTCTCCCGTGAGCAAGGCCTCGTCGGTCTCAAAGTTCATCGAGTCGATCAGGCGGCAGTCGGCCGGAACAGTGTCGCCGGTGGTGAGCTCGATAATGTCTCCTGGAACCACCTCGTTAGCCGAAATGGTCTCGCCGTCACCATTTCGGATGACGCGAGCCGTGGGAGAAGCGAGGTTGCGGAGTGCGTTCATGGTCTTTTCAGCCGAAAGCTCCTGGAAGAAGCCGACGACGATGTTGATGGCGACCACACCGGCAAGCACGCCACCTTCGATCCACGAGCCGATGCCGAGCGAGACACCCATGGCAAGGATGAGAACCAGTGTCATGGCGTTGGCGATCTGGTGAAGCATAATCTTCCAGATGCTGATTTCGTCGCCCCCTTCGAGTTGGTTTTGACCGTACTCTTGACGTCGCGACTCGATGTCCTTCTTGTTGAGACCGTGTTCAGGATCCTCGACGCCGAGGGCGCGCGTGACACTGGTGTAGTGGTGTTGCCATGATGCTCCAAGTGCATCCTCGATGTCAATGTCAGGACCCTGGACGGTGTCACTGCGTGGGAACTTGTCTTCTTTCTTCTGAACCATCTTAACGGAGGAAGCCTGGTATGAATGGGTCGTGTTCTCGTGGTATAAGCTATGTCGCCTATCGCAGACAGGTAGGTCGATGAGCTGCTAAAGTGCTCTGGCGGTGAATCTGAGCCGAAGCTATGGTGCTAGGGAAGCTGTGACAGTATTCTCCCTTGAGGTAGGCAGAGAAAACGTTGACAGGATCGTTTGAGGAGAAGGAATCATGTAGCTGCCCGGAAAGGAGAGCTTGAAAAGGATGTTGAGGGTGGTGAGGAGAAGGAGGTTGAAGAAGCCGCCGGAGGTTCGAGGTTATATACCTTACACTCGAGGCCGGAGCGATAGGTAGATCCTGGAATGAGCCGGGACGAGAATGCCAAGACCGAAGGCAGCCGACATCAGATACGAGAGTCGATGCAACCGTGCTGTGTCCCCAGCGTTGGAGCTCCGGAGCTGCCTGATCGCGAGCAAGCACTTCTCGAGTGTGCTAGAGACCTGCAAGAAGAACTGAGCGCTGTGCCTTAGGCGAGATAGCCACGCGCGTTATGTCCGCAATGATACGGCAAGGATTGCCAAGACAGCGGCTGGCGGTATCATCAATAATGCTTGAAATGTGATGTGATCATTGTCAGCGAGCGGATGTAAGACCAAGGAAGTGCATGAGCATCTAGGCGAGCGAGCAGTGTTCCTGATATCAGTTCTGGAAAAGAGCTCAATGACATGTTTAGGCCCTTACTCCGAGACAGTCTAGAGAATGAGAACTCGTTCCAAACTAGTTCCAGACGACGGGTATCGTGGTCCGCTGGGCGGACTTAGCAGCGATAGAGCGGAGGGGGTGCCATTTTGCGTCATCATCTGCAGCGCTGGTTGGATGCTAAAACTGTTCCCACGACCTGAGCCAGGCACAACGCTGCAGGACGACGAGTAGACTACGTGGTACTGGACATGGTCGGCAGGCCAAGACCCCTGCGGATGGTTCGAAATTCCGGGTTCCAGATGGCGAAGAAGGCTCTGCATGACACAACGACTGTCAAAAAGTTTGGTACAGCTGATGCCAAGATGGTGCCAAGAAGCAGCGGTTCTTGCTCTCTTCCGATGCCCCGGAAAAATCAATCCAGATGACGCAAGCCTTACGACGGTCTTGGCATGTGGAGACCTTCGACCGAATTTAGGCTATGACACTGATGTCGTGCCCACCTTCTCTGTCCTTGCTTTCATTTACGGAGAATAAATCTTTTGCGTACCATCACTTTCCGAGCTAACTTTCCGAGATTAGGTTTGCGGTGAGACTAGGCCAACGCACTTTTTGCCGACGGTTCCTTCCGAAGACAGCAATGCTGCTGGAATCCAAGTGGTTCGGCGATGCTGCTTCGACCGCTGATTGTGTTCAAAGGGAGACGAGAGCTACCTTTGCCCTGTGGGAAGATTCACATGACTCGTCAATAGTGAGTTCGAAGGGGTAGCCGATATGATTACTGCTCCGCACGTGGCAGTGCCGACGGTCTTGATCGATCAGACTGATGTCGTGATGCTCAAGGCAGCGAGTGGGCACCTACACGGGCGCGACGAGCGGTCACCACTGCAGATAGGAATGCTGACATGGTCATGCTCCTGTCGGCTTTTCCACGTCATCGCCACTGAAAGGTGTTGCTGATTCGAGCTGTTGCGTCCTTGTGCAAGACCGACCGACTTTGACCAATTGGTCCGTTTGTCGCAAAGTTGTGGTGCTTCCGCCGGAGGTTCCGCTCGGCTGTTCGTGGTGAGCTTCAATGACTGTCAAAGAGATCAGATCGCAAGAGGAGAGGGAGTGTTGCGTCAGTTTCATTGACGCGGATGCTCTCGTCTCTGTCGTGTCGAACCTCTTCGGCGGGCTAGAGATGGCACCGCCGGCAAGAGACCGATCCTCGACTTAGTGGGACAGTTACGGAAAGTCGCAAAGCCAGGAACTCACGCGAAAAAGCAGTCGTCTCCGTACTGACATTCCTCGCCACGGAGCACAGCTGGGCATCGGCGTCTCTTGAGGCGGGATCTGATCTCCTCCTTGCGTTCGGCGGAGATGGGTTCGTGCGAGTAGGTGCAGGTGTCATGCTGCATGCAGCCTTTCTTGGAGAAGTGATGGAACAGGCAGGGAGTCGATTTCGTCGACTTCCCTTCTTCGCCGGCGGTCTCAAAAGCTTCGCGATTCTGTCCACGTGGATAAGGCGAGGGGGATCAGACGCGTATAGCACCAGACACGCCAAGGAACGGCGGGAAAGCGAAAGGAGTACAGTGAGGAATGTCAGTACATTTACAGTCGCACTCAAGGCGACGATTGGCCAGTCCGCTTGCCAAGACATCAGACGCTCGCGAGAGACTGCCGAGGTAGACCGAGGGCCTGCGCTTAGGAAGCAGTCTTGGACGAGGGTGTTGACCGAGAGCCGCCGTATGCTGTGCACTTACATAGTTGTCCACATCCCGCATCGCGGCATTATTATTCTTGAAGAGATAATCGAGATCAATCGCCCGATGGGCATAAGCCTGGTAGGCTCTGGATTCGACGGCAAAGCCCGGCACCTGAACCAGATGAACTTTCTTATCGAGGAGCCCCATTTCGTGGATTGCACTGAGTTCCTCTTTGTAGCCGAAATCATCCAGTCCTCCCAAATAAGCACGGAAGCAGCCCGGATCCTGGACCGCATCCGCCAGAGCAGCCTTGACCCGCATGTCAGCCGCTTGATCCGCCTTACCGACATTGACAAAGTAGTTGTGCACACTAGCATCCGTGAGCGCCTGTAAGAAGTCGAAGAACATATCTTTGGGAACCACTCTCCTCGCAAGGAGAGAGTTGGCCAAGGCAGGAATCGATGCAAAGAGACGGATGCGTAAATCAAGCCTCTGTGGTCTGATTTGGTGCTTCTTGGCGATGCGTTGTCGGAGTTCCTCGTAGACGAACTTGCCTCCTTCATACCCTTGGTTGAGGTGTCGAGGGTGAAACAGTAGATTGTCACCATCCAGAATGAGGACGATGTATCGGCGTTCGCCCAGCTCGAGCGTTCTCCTAAGGTAAGACTCACGCTCTGGGCCGTCTTGCATTAGCGTGTAGTCCTTCCTCGGATCCCAGGCAGTCTTCGATGTGTACATTGCGGCGAATTGATCCAGTTCCGCATCTTGCAGCTGAGCCAGGGTTGGCCGTGTGAAGCTAGAAGATGGGAGAGGGCTTCCCCATTGCGAAGATGTGGCTTCTTCGTCCTGGCCCACATGCGATGATGGGGCTAGAGGATCGGAACTCTTCGCGATCTCGTCGGATGGCGACGTGACCCCTAGGTTCCCTGTGACTTTGACTCGCGATGAGAAGAGCTTTCGTAGCTGCTCTTGCGCCAGCGCTAGCTCGTCTTGCCTTGGTATTTCCTCCTCGAGGGACGTTGTCCGGCCCGACTCTTTTAGAGTATCTGACTCGATAGAAGCCTGTATAGGCTGGTCCTTGCTTGCTGCCTCGTGGTGGTCATTCGACTCAGCAGCGGCGGTGAAGTTGCCCGTAGTCATATTTGACCCAGTACGCGCTCTCGACTTGAAGGACTTGCCTTTTGCCTTCCCAATTAAATCGACGTTACCCATGTCCCTTGCCTTGCCTTTGTGTGACGGGCTGGCGGTTTTATCATTCCTGGCTGTTGAGGCTGAAGTGTCGCGTGGTCTAGAGTTCGTCTTTGAGCTGGAGAGTGTCCTTTGACCCGACGAGGTCGACGCACTTGCAAGCGCATCCGCTGTCAGAAATCGTTTCGGTTTTAGGCTGGTATGGGTGACGATGGAAGACATACGAACTGTCTGCTGCGGATGAGCGAACGTTCCATGCAATACTGCGAAACTGCCCGAAGTGGCGCACCGCGCCGTCATTGCTGTAGTTGCCAACATGATCGAAGGAGCTGGTTTGCTCTCTCCCTCCTTCCTAGCAGGTCTCTAGGAGGATGAGCGTGACCGGGCGGTCCTGGGGTGGGGGAAAGCTCAGGATTCGCTCGTCTCTTCCCTTCCTTCTCAAAAACGTAGAGGTGGAGGAGAACAACCGAAAGCCGAAATTCTTGTGACATGCACAGTGGACCCTGACTTTGCTCAGCCACAAACAACAACACCTCCCACCAACCGAACAAGGAGCCATGCTAGACTCATAGACCACTGAATATCGCCCATAGAAGCTCTCAGGCCGTCATGGACAAAGGCAAAGTTCGACAGCTCGACACCGACCAGCAACAGAATGCCGTTCCACCACGCGACCGTTTAGAAGACTCGCCGCTGACCTACAATCAGCTAGTCTCCGGCATCATCGATTTCCTCGAGGTCGCATTCCACACTATCCTGTGCATGCGGTCAGTATACCCCTACGATGCATTTGCCCGACGCAAAAAGTACAGCCATCCATGCTATCAATCTCGCCATCCGGGGCTCAACGAATACATCTCGCGCGTGCTGACGGCACTCCGGAGCGAGATAGAGAAGAGCACGGTCAGCAAGGTCATCCTCGTCATTCGTCCGAATGTCGTTGTGGATCCGAACGGAGGCTCGAACGGGAGCGGCTCTTCGGGTGGAGAAAGCTCGGGCGATGCTGCCGATGCTTTCGAACGATTTGTTTTCAGCTTGGACTACATCCTGCCGTCTGCACTGATAGACCAGCGCGATCGGGATTTGGCGATATCTAGCAATGTGACGAGCAGCGAGCTCGAGATGATCTTCAGAGGATTCATGCAGAAGCTCATGGTTGTCGATGGGATCTTGTACGACATGCCATCGGCGGCAGGCGCAAGAGGACAAGATGGAGACACGGCTTCCACCACCGAACTCACATTTGCAGTAGTGCTCGAGATGATGGATGAGGACACAACGCCCGTCGGAAAGGATCGCAACGAAGCAAGTACAGGAGATTGGATCCCTGCTGATGCCGAGATCCTCGGACGCTCTCATGAACCTCGACATGGCTCTTCTCTCGACATGGAGTCCACCACCGCTGACCCAGCACCAAAGATCCGCCCGATCAAAACCCTCGATTCAGGGGTGATCAACCTCATGCTCTACGTCGAAGAGGATATCTACGCCAAGTCTGGCCAGACACGTCCCGCTCGTGCATCCCCTACAAAAGCGAAGGCAGTCCGACCCACCTCTGCCCAACCATCGCGCAAGACCGCCACGGTCGAAGACGAACTCTTGCTGACCAAAGCAACTCAGATCGACCTCTCCTCCGCAGCCGGCGGAAACGTCAGAGAGATCAAGAACCGCGCGCGTCGACTCGACGCCGAACGAGATCTCGACGAACCGGCGTTAGCCGAAGCAGAAGCAGAACCGGACATTGCACACGCCAAAACCAAACGCAAGCGTGCGCGCATGGTGTTGGGAGAAACGCGTGCGGCTGAATCGGCATCCGAGTCGAGCTCGTCTGCTCCGAATTCGCCGAGTGGAAGCAGTCAGAGCATCAGAGATGATTTTGGTGGCCAGCTTAGCGGTGGATTCTGATGGTATTAACATTTCCTTCCCTGATACTGCTCTATCAAATACTGGAGAATGTGATAGGGTAGTTTATATGCTACTTGAAGTGGGTGGTCTGTGACGAGGACTTATGAGAAGCTCGTTGATGCGAAGCAAGAAAGCTCGACTGGGTGCGGCACGCGGGTTGGCGCTGACAAGCCATTGGAGACGCCGTTTCGTCGTGTCTTTGCTGATCTGCGCAGTGTGTTGGGCGAAGAGATTGTCGTCGAGAATCAATTGGCGTTGGTCGTTGAAGCACGATGCTAGGATGGCGATTGCGAGACTACCAGAGAGATCCTTGCCGTCCTGACAGCAGATGAGCACTTGAGCGCGACCAGTAAGATCCGAGGACGGCTGCATGAGTGCGTGATGTGCTTGTTGGATGGCGGAAGGGAATACCGTGCGGAGAGCGGAGAGGCCTTTCTTGTTGGCTGACATCTGAAGTTCTAACACTTTAGGTTTGGGTCTTGGTTCCGGAGTCATACGGACCGCTGAAAGCAATTCTGAAAGCTCCGTTTCTTTGCCATCGACCGGATTCAAGGGCTTTGTAAAGTGCAGAATCAGAGCGTATTGCTCTATCTCTGCAGTCGGGAAGGTGTAGTCTAGGGTTCGAGAGCCGATGAACACACCTGTGCTTCCGACTTCGAAATCTGCTCCGTTCGTGGGGGCGTCAGCTGGAACTCGTTGCCCGTCCGTCTCTTTAGGGACGGATATGGGCGTGAACCAATGTCCGGCTTTTTCACCAACTGAGCGCGATTCTTCCGCAACAATGCTGTCGACCAGCGCTTCGAGTTGTGCCTTTTCGCATTGAAGGAGTTGAGCTTGATGCTTCCAGAAGACATCAGGTGTCAAACCGCGTGCCCAATTTTCGTGATCGTCACCGGCTCCTTGAACGTAGACAAAATCTCTGCCTGCTCGCTCCGAGCCTTTCGTCGTGCCTGTCTCGATATCTGCCGAGTCGGAAACGAATCGAGAAGCTGAGACCAGGACAATGGGCGTACAACCACTCCGGTCCGACCCTTGGAGCGTGTCAAGCTCCGTCTGTGGAGTGACAAAGACTGGCCTGAGCGGTCTGTCCAGTTTCGGCACTTCTAGATCAGAGTCTAGCAGTGACTCTACAAAGTCATCGATTCTTGCTCGGATCTGATCGTGTTCTGTAGGCGGAATCATCCATTTCGGAGTCCCCAGCTGAAACCCTTCTTCGCATTCCCTTGGACATCCGAACCTGCGTCTCGATGCCTGGTTCAGCACAGCACACCAAATCGGTATGGTCTTGCTCAAAGCATCCGGCATACTCTTGCCCCTTCTTGTAGAGTCAACAATGATCGCACCTCCAGCATTGACGATCAACCGGACGAGGTGCAGGTTGGATCGTTTCAGACTGAATCCCCATTGATGAGTGTGTCCGTCGGTCGACTTGAAATACGATACGGCGGGCGTGATGGTCGGATCGGTGTACCATGCACCACATCGTAGGTTGGCGGTGAGCAGGAGTGAGGGGAAGAGAGATTGGATGCGATGGACGAAGGCAGAGTCGTAAGAGATCGAGTGAAGCTTGTTGTAGATATGCCGCGATTCTCGTTTGATGTGGTCGCTGTGCTTCCAGTCTTGTCGAGCGTGAGTATCAGAGGATGAGGAGCCCGCAGCGGGCTCACTTGAGGTCATGATAACATTTTGCTATGCGGACCTGAACAGTATGTAACGGCTGCAAGGGAACGATGTTTGAGCATCCGCGAGGAAGATGTTTGCAGAAAAAGCTCGAGCTGCATGATGCAAAAAAAAAGTTCAGGACCCTGAATTCGTTGATGTCCCCCGTCAGGCCCTGGAGGTCAACCTTTCATCTGCATTATGACACATGTATGCTACTTCGGCCTCTGAGGTCAAGTGTACAGTAAGTCATGACCTTCACTTCGCCACAGTGTTGTCTCCGCATGCATGTGTTTATGACAGTCAAAGTCTCGTTCGACAGTCGATGCGCACGCTGCACGTTGAAGCTGAAGCAAGCGCCTCAGACGCACACCCCTCCTACCAACCTCGGACACAGTCATTGCAGAGCTCACAGAATACCGGCCAGTTCGTGAACACGAAAGTCTTTCTCCGACACACTCGACAGACACGTACCCACGCATAGGCATTCATTCTAAAGGGGATCAGAATGATACGGACTGTTCTTATTCCTTCCAAATAGATTGATGTTCAAGCTTAAAGCTTGGCAGAGTCCTTGAACTCGCCGATCTCGTACTCTTTCGCGACCTTCTCGAGGATCTTCTCGCCGTGGTAGGTCCAGAAGGCCTCGGTAGCGTCCTTTCCACAGTTCTTGAGCAGGATCTTCTTTCCTCCCGGGTGCTGTTCGTCGGATAAATTTGAGATGTTTCACCACAGATGAAGGAGGGGGAACAGAGTCAGTATCGACGCAGAACACGGCTGATACACTCAAAACCTTGTGAAGAATGCAATGTGTGATGTGTGGATCGGTGCTACTCACATCGTCGAGGAATCCAGTGACGTCGTACACCTTGCCCTCTACGACAACCCAGGCCGAGTCCTCTGCAAGTCCGCGGAAACAAATGTAAGCAGGATAGCGAGCAGAGATTGAAGAGCGGAGAGACGTGGCGCGTTTTCAGCAAGTCGGTCAGTACTAGATCACGAAAGGTCTGGCAGCATTTGCTGTGGACTGGTCGTACAAAGACTCACCGGACTTGTGGTTCTTGAGCTCGTTCAAGTCGACCTGCTTTCCCATGATGTAGAGCTGTCTAGTGTGATGGATCGGATTGAAATGCAGAATGAGAATGCAAAAGATGACGATTCCGAAAGCGAGTCGGAGGCGATTAAGTGAGATGATGGTGGTGGTTCCGATGCTGATCGACAGCAGGTACGGCAGAGCGGATGCAGTATTTCGAGGTCGTGCGTTGTGGGGATCCAGACCGGCGTGCGCGCTAAGCCGACTGCCGGAAATGAATGTGAGAGAGAGGGTGGCAGCCAGCAGGCGAGCATCGCGTGCTTCCGTCCAAATTTGGATTTCCAAACAACGCAGTTGCAATTGGTCAGTTGCTGCTCACCTAGAAATAAAGACTCGAGACATGAGATAAGATCTGAGAAACATTGTCTCGGCCGTGTACATTCTCTTCTCCCTCAGGGTCCGTTGAATCGAGTCCAACAGCGCATCCGCTCACACGACCATGAACTCAACGTTGACTTCTCTGAAGCATGCATTCATTACTTCTGCTTGAGACATCACTGCGGTGCTACGATGCCCCACCTCCAGATCCATTCGCCTGCTTCTTCCACCATCTCTTCCGTCACTTCGTGGCCTACCCCCGGTCGTCTATGAATCTTGAGCCCTGGCATCTCACCTCTCGACCCCGTCGGCTCGCCTACGACAAGTGCTTTCAGGAAATCCTCGTTCCAGTCCCAATGCACCAGCTTGTCGTTGGCGCCGCTCAGCACGCAGATTTTCTTTCCCCAGAACGGGTTGCGCCGCGGATCGAAGCTGTCATAGGCGGTGCGAGCAGGGTCGATCTTCTCGACCAGTGCTTTGAGGCTTGCTGGTACGTAGGGCGGACCGTTTGTGACGAACGACGTTCTTGTGCGCGAAGCGAGCAGACGCGAATAGTCGGGCATGCCGATGAACGGTACACCGATCTTGATGCGCGCATCGTCCGCAAGAACGTGCCATGTTGCGTGTCCACCCAGCGACTTGCCTGTGATGACCCACTCGACGACGGTCCTGTCGTCCTGAGGAAAGATGTACGAAGCTAGGAAATCGACGATGAAGGACGCATCGCGTGCGTCGCCGACGATCATGCCGTATAGATCCATGGCGTGGCGCGTGTTGCCTTGCTTCCACGCCTTTTGACCTGTCGGGTTGGTGGTCCGCTGGCCGTGGTTGCGCGCGTCGAATGTGACGACCAGGTGGTCGCGCTGAACAGAAGATGTAGCCACTAAGCCGGCGTTCTCTTGTGATCGATAGGCGGCCTTGTCTCGTGAGATGCGGTCGTAGAGCTGCCGGGCGATCTTTTCCTCGGTGTCAGCCGAGCCGCCGCGTCCGTGCATGTGGATGACGACGCATACGGGAGGCGGAGGTGGTGCGCTCGCGCGAGCCGGCGCTGGTGTGAGCTCATCCAGGCCGAACACGTTGACCGGCAGTCCTGCAATGTCCACGACGGCCTTGGAGATCTCGGCGCCGTACTTGAATCTGGTTGGAGGGATAGATGCATCCTCCTGAGGGTCTTGCGCCCCTCCATTGACGGGTCGTGACGAGCCCCGCTCCGGCAGAGGGTTGCTGACAGGCGTCGAGGGGCCTGCAGCGGCAGATGACGATGCCTTGAGCACCTTGCTCTTCTTCTTTCCAAAACCGAGCACCATGCTGAGTTTTCACTCTGTTCGTTAGGACGGACGTTCTTGTACAAAGAATGCGTTCTTGTACAGGCTTCGTGCAAGCGATGTCAAGACCAAGGGGTCCAAGTGTCAAAAAAACAAGGCTCGAGCTCCTGGATCGCCGTGTTGTGCAGAGTGTCGGTTGGTGATTGATGTCGCCGAGCTCATTGCCGAGATCAAGACAGTTTCGAACAGGATAACTTTGTTAGGTCGTCTCCTTGACTACTCCCCTCCTGAGCGGCAACCGAAAAAGTGGAGATATTCTTCCTCGCTTCAAACACTCTGCACCGCGTGCATCAGCCCCGACCAAAAATTCCATGACCTGAAAATGCGGACGAAACAAAGGCCGAGCTTGACGCACGTTCCAGTTTTGGCAAAGGTCCCTTGGCTACCGTCGGCGTACCGTGCAGTTCACGGTGGACGCGGTTCCCTCCTCTCGCGTTTTCAGAAAACTCTGTTTTTGGAATGCGGAATCAAGTTCCCACGTCATTTCTGAGAGGTGATTCCTTCTTGTGTGCTACACTCAGACAGGCCCTCATCCTCGGTCCAGTTCTTCCTTTCTCTCCACCTCTTTGCACAACCCATCCTCTCGGAGTTGCTGCGATCGGATACCTCGTCAAGATGGCCAAAGGCTCGCTGCTGCCCATCCTGGGCCTCGCGCTCGCTGGTCTCCTTGCTGGCGCTGCAACCGAATACACCGCCTTCCTCCTCTCCAAGGACGAGTCTCTTCGCGCGCTTGGCTCCAACTGCAGTCTTCCATCCCGCAAGAAGCTGCGGACGGATCTCACGCAGGGTGCATTGCCGCTGCTCGACAATTTCCTGTGCGCGACCATGGGCTTTTTCCAGCGCACCACACAAAAGCGTATCAATGTTGGCCTGTTCGCCATCATGGTTGCTTTCACGCTCCCATTTTCGTACCGACTCTGCTTCCAGGCGGTGTCGCCCAACCGCAAATCCACACTCAATGCAGGAATCGTCCTTGTGCTGCTTAATACGATCGGAGCCGCCGCCGGCCTGGGTCCCTGGTCCTGCATCTTTTTCTCGCTGTTCTACCTTCCTGCTGCTTACAGCTCGATGAAGGTTTCCAAAGCGGCAGTACTGCCGGTTCCTACACCCGCTTCCAACATCTACACCGCCAACCTCCTCCACGTAGGCGTGGGCATCATCACGACGATTGTCACGTTTGCCGACTCTGCTGGTGGCCTGTGGAACCACGCCGCTCTACTCATCCAGTTCGCAGGCCTGGTGTACATCCCTATCGCGTGGGTCAGCTTCCGCACTCCCAAAGTCAACGACGAAGCCATGTCCCGCGGCGTAATCCGCCGCTACGATGCCGAAGGCGTCAGCTATGCTTTCGAGCGCACCTGGTCGTACTACCGCAAAATGGCCGCCTTCTCCGCTTTCATTTACTGGTACGGTCTCAACCGTGTCCTTCGCGGCTACTTCTTCGAGGAAGAGAAGTTTGACGCTATCTCGGTCTTCTGGCTTGGCGATGTTTCTGGTCTCGCTATTGCTACTGTCTTGCTCGTCCTGGCGGAGAAGGCAACTTTCAGGAACAAGTCGACGGTCCACCCGGTCACTGGCGAGCCTAGATCGCCTTTGGAGATTGAGTGTGATAAAGCGATCGCAAAGGCACCTGCCGGATCACCGTGGTTGGAAAAGACGACCACTGGCTTCATCGTTGCCGCTCTTGTCGGTGGGCCTGGCTTTGCAGCTAGCATGTGGTGGTGCAGTGGCGAGGAGGAACTCGGTTGGAAGGCGCGCAAGTCGTGGAGAGAGACGGTGGCGGTCGAGGGCAAGAAGAGCAAGTGATGCGTAACCTGAAGTTTCGAAATATTTGACTCTGCAAGGTCGATCTTTCTTGGGATCAATCGCTGCCGAGAAATCATCTTTCTCGTAGGCTTCATTGCTTCTTTGTACATAGCGCTCCATCTTGTTCACTTGCTTTGACTTGTGCCGCTCAGCGAGCTGCTGTCGGAACGTGTTTTCAAGCATAGTGATGTGAATGGGAACAGTTCATCATCTGCAAATGTCGCCGTGTGGAGGACCCTGTGCTGAAGAACGTGAAACGTCAAAAAGTACGCTTTTGCTTTTCCTGACAGCTCAGCCTTGCGCTCAGACCCCTTTGCACGCGACACCACTTGGTTGCGCTCTCTCCTTCTATTGTTCACTGTTCATCACCATGACTTGATACATCAAACTGTTACCAAGCATTTAGAGCTTCATTGAAGCGGTCGAGCAGCCTCGATATCTTGATGTTCGTCGCGACGGCACAGCCTTGGAGGCGAAAGCGACATGCCAGGACGACTCCCATCGATTCCTGTCCTCCTCGGCGTCTCACGCAATCCCTTCTCCGAGCCAGCCGACAGCTCAAAAGAGCTATGGCAAAGACTGGCGACAAGACGTCCATCTCCGCTGCGCTTCGTACTGCATCTTTCCCGTCGACCAAACGCAGCCCTCTGCCCCTGCCTGGAAGTCGACCTCGCCTCTTCCACCTCGCCTTCGACGTCTTTCACGGTCACCCGCATCCTCGACCCTGAACATCGGGTTCCATACATCACTCTCACTCCGATCCTCCATGCTGCTGGACTGACCATCATCCAAGGGCTGCTGCGTTTCGACCCCTCTCCGTCCTCATTCGACCTCTCGCTAGCAGGCCTAGAGCCATGGGACGACTTGTGGATCTCACTCCCTCTCGCTCGATCCATTGCTTCGCAGCTAGGTTTATCTCAACCTCTTGCTTTGATCCTAGACGCAAAAAGTGCTCAGGCGTGGAGTCTGGATGAGTTCGAGGAGGGTTTGTCGCACAACTGGAGGGTGCCGCAGGACGTACTGGATGCAGCGGCATACTCGACCGATGCCATCACGGACGAGGAGCTGCGCTTTGACAAGGTACAGTTGCTACCGCAGGGTCAGCAGATCGAGACGCTCTTATCGAGAGAATTGAGGTGGGCCATCGTCAACAAAGCAAGGGAAAGTCGGAGAAGTTTGAAGTTCAAGCTACATCAGAATATGGTGAGATGGTCGAGTCAGGTCTACTCCGTCTTTCGGGATTTCGGCCCGACGTTCAGAGATGATGTTAATGATGAGGAGAGGAAGGCAATCATGCGAGCGGGGTTAGATGATCTGGGCGAGGTTGTTGTCCCTCCGACAGAGACAGATTTTATCGATTGGCTGCAGACCATCTCTTGTCTCATGCGGTTGAGTGAGTCGCCGGCAGAATCATCCTCGACCGGCCAGCACGACTCGGACAGCGGCTCCATGCTAGCTCCTCTCACGCCGCTAGAGGTGTCTGATCTGCGAGGCGATGAGCCAACCCTAGGCGACATGCTTGCTTCCGCTCGACAAGGCGACGATGAAAAGGAGATAGTATCTCAATTGCACTCGATCCTCCGATCGAGGATGGCAGCGTTGCACAACGTCAACCTCATCTCCCTGGAGCATCTTTCATCCACCCGCACGACATCCCACGATGTTCAACACGACAGATCGATCCCGGCGAGCACTATGAATGGTGTCTCAACAGCTGAAAGGTCACCTGCTACCGAAGAGACCGCTGCAGCACCTGCTGCTGCTGAGGCTGCAACGAAGGTAGATGTTTCTCAACTACACGCAAAAGTCGAACAGTTGGCCAACAGGATCGAATCCCTGCTCGCTTCGAGCCCCCCGACACTCTCTCTCCGGCAGTCTCGCCGTGCAGACCAGTTGCCGGCCCGTCGTTCTACAGACGTCGAACAGCATCCTCACCTGCCCGCACCTTCAGCAGACGCCCGTCAGCTCAACATACCAGTCCCTACCTTGACTCGCATTGAATCCACGCCCTCGCTCGCAATCGTCATCGTATCCGCAGCTGTATTCCTTATGCTCATCAAATCCAATTCCTAACAATCACCCGTCGCCTTAAGGCTTCTTGATGAACGTAGAAGGCGTCTGTGTATTCCTTGTTCTAATTACATCATCGGCGTCACATCATCCTTGCAAAGCAGCGCACACTCCGGACCTCCCGACTTCGCCTGCTGTGGCCTCCACGGTGTGCCAAAAGGCGTACGCCCTTCTGATGGAGACATAATGCGCGATGGCAGCGGCCAATATCAAAACATGGAAGATCTGATGACTTGCACCCAACAAATCGAATCTTCCCGGTGCGAATCTTTCCGGTATCCTTGCGGCGTACAGCCCAGCACCTACGACGTAAAGTGCTCCTGAAAGGATGAGGAAGCTCAGACCCATGGTTTCCGTGATCGTCCTGTAACCGTACAACGCGATCACGTGTGCTACCGGGATCACCGCCGAAAGACCCAGAACCAGAAACACGCCCGTTCGATACGGCCGATATGCAGGCGTGGCATATCTCGGCGCTAGAACAGTATACATCGCCAACCCACCCAACGTCGAGATACCGATGGAGTAGGCGAGTTGGAAGTGTGGGTGGCAGTAGAATCCGTAGTGCAGAGCGGGGAGGAAGGAACCGACAATCATGACGACGATGCCGACGTAGTCGAGCTTGTTGAAGTGTTTCGAGATGTGGAAGGAGTGACATTGGATGGTGTGGTAGGTGGCGGAGAAGGCGAGACAGATGATCGAGGCGATGAAGAAGCACGTGAAGCCGAAGATGTCGATGGAGTCGGGTGGGCGGACGATGAGGTTGGAGAGCGGCTCGGTGGGGATGGTCGATGTTAAGAAGGAGGTTGTAAAGAGCGAGGATATGCGGGTGAGCAGGTTCGAAGCCGGTGGGAGGGCTGAGTGAGCAGAAGCGACGGGGGAATCAGAAGAGGAGGAAGAAAAGGGGTAGGACGCCGAAGCGAGACGAAGCACTTTGCCAGAGACGGTCGTAAAGGTCAAGCTCGAAGGGTAAAAGATCGGGTGATGCGACAGAGGACGGAAGAAGCCAGGAAGAAGGTCGAAATGCTGCAGCAGATGGCTAGTCGAAAGGCCGATCGAGAACACTGCACCCCAGAGGTGCGTGTGAATGTTGACTATCAGCAAATCAAGATCAGAACAAAGATCAGTAAGTACATCTGCCATCGGATTTGGAGCCGTTCCGAAGGCTACTCACCGGTCTCGTTGTGACAATACGCCCATACACTTCGCCAGCACTTGTACACTGTTCCATGATCAAAGCTTCTTAGCCTTGGATCTGGGTGTGCTCCTCCTGGGCGACGGTAGCCCTTGACGATCCACGCGTTGTCCTGTGCCCAGCTCGGGAGCTGCGAATGATCAACCAGATACGGATTAGGACCCAACTCTAACGGCTTTTCTGACTTGTCTCCACTTGCGCTCTCTCCACCACTCGCAACCAAGCTGGTAGGTGATAGAGAGAGCAAAGGGTCGGACTGGGAACGGATCGAAGTGTTCGCACCTTGTACTCCAGCAGCGACTTTAAGCGACGTGGAGAGCTCTTGGATGAAGATATAGGCAATGATCGAGGGGAAGAGTATCCAGAGACCGTTGGGTAGGATCCAGTAGACGATCAAGGTATACCAGTCATTGTGGCCGGTTTTGCACCATCCACAGCAGAAGTCCTGTGGTTTGGAAGGGGGATCAGTAAGGGAAACGTTAGTTGCGCAACACGAAACACCGAATGTGAACGGACGTCACTCACATTGAGCACATAGAGGATAGTCTTGGAGAGAGTCATGATTACCGTCACGAGCCCGTAGACGGGCGCAACAGCGAGAGCCGCAGGCGTCGCCTTGACGTGAACGAGGTAGATGTAGAAGAGATTGATGATGCTCTCGCCGACGTTCATGAGCGACTGCGCGGCAGGGAATCCGTCTTTGCTATCCCAGGAGGGCAGGCCATAGATGTAGTCGACGTTCATGTAGAGCGCATAAGGCGACCATAACCAATGCAAGTCGCCGCCGAGCATGCTTCTCGGACGCAAAAGGATGTAGCCGACATCCCAGGCTACAACAAAGGAGCTGAGGAAGAGCCAGGCGGACACGAGCATTCGAGGACGGTGCACCGCTACAGTTGTTGCGGCCATCTTTGGAAGAGACGGGAGTTGGATCCGGCAGACACTTGATGAGGATGAGATGGTGGCGGCCAGGGACGAGGTGAACGTGCCGAGTTTCGCAGTCTCAATACCGAGGCGCCTTGATGTGTCGCCGGAGCGAGTGCATTTCTGCGGGGCAGATCATTTCGAAGGGTCCAAACGGGTCCAAGCGGCGAAGGCACGCTTTGCACGCTCACCTCGAAAAAGTGGGCTGAGACGCGACAAGGCCAGATTCAAAGACCGGCAGCACGCCAACTGGATCCTAGCCGAGCCAGCCGACTCATCCGACGGCAATGTGCTACCTGATCAAAAATCAGCAATTCCGTGCAGAGCTAGTGGAAGACTGAAGCCGCTGTCACAGCAAGTTTCACCCTGGATTCTGGATGAGTGTGGTGTTTGACGTTCGTGATGCATAAAAGTACAAAAGAAGGTGGGTGTGAATGGCTTTGACTGAGCATAGAAAGATCATGCTAAAGTTACCGTAGTTCAGTCGTCGTCTTCGTCATCAAAAGCCAGACCATCCGTACGACTCTGCAGCTCGTCCTGCTCCTCCTGCTCTCTCCTCTCTCTTTCCCTCTGCTCTCGCGTATACAAGCTCCAATCCACCTCCTGTGCACCATCCTCCTCTGCATCGTCGTCTTCCAACGTTCCGCCCTTCTCGAACAACTGCCTACCGCTTGGCTTGACCTTGCTCTTCTTGTAGTCCTCTCTCTCCTTCGCTGACAGCTTGGACAGCTTGGCATCCTCTTCCTTCTTTTCCCTCTCCGCCATCTCCTGCAAGAACCGTACGCGCCATTCTGCGAACCGTTCTGGTGTCACTGCTGTACCACGGAACTTTTCTGCTTCGGCTTCGATCTCTGCCTCGCGCTTGGCGCTGGCCTGTGCTTCAATCTCTTGTACACGACGCTGGATGAGCGTTGTCACGCTCTCGCGCAGGTGAGATGCTAGGGTGAAGACCATGGCCATGCCGAGCGATTCCTGTGCGACTTCGTCCAGCCCCGCTTGCAATTCTGTTACGGCAGGACGGTCGATCGCGTCGGAATCGGCGTCAGCTTCGTCGCTGTCGTCCGTCTTGGGCCCGAGCACGCCTTTTGTGTCGCGAACGACGTGGATCGACATGTTTGGTGGTGCATCCGGGTATTCTGATGTGTACTGGATGTGGAGAGAGAGGACGATGGGAGATGGCGAGCTCTGCTCTACGCTCTCAGTTGGCGCTTGACCAGGTTCGAGACCTATTGAGAAGAGGAGTGGTAGCACATCTTCCTCTGGTTCGATGCGAATGCGAAGTTCTTCCGATGAGACCTTTTCGAGTTCGTCGATGTAGATGCTTTCGAGCACTTCGAGCTCTTCCGCTAGTGTTGCCTCGTACTCTTCTTGAGATGGCATCTTTGCTGTCCTTGCCTCTCCTGGCCTTGCGTGCCGTACAAGTGTGCCGCTAGGATGCGTGCCGACGATGATGTACTGTGCAGGTGTACAGGACGCCTATCAAAATCGGAAGAAGTGGTTTGTCGTTGACCAACTTTTGAATTCCGAGTTCCACGCTCGAACCGCAAAATCCATCTCGGGCGGGTGGACACAGCAAGGCCAGCCAGCGTCGGACAAGCCGAGTTGGCACGCGTATCTTTTTGGACTGCGCAGCTGCACGCACGCATGCAAGCAACACTCTCTCCACTTTCCCGCCTTGCAACTGCGGCTGAACCTCGCCCCTCGCACCGTCGTTACCACCCTCGTCGTTACAACTCGCACACCCGGCTATCAACCCCGTCAGCTTGCATTCAGACGGACCCTCCAACTACGAACGCGTGCTGATCCACACAAAGAAGCTCGAGATCAACCAATTTGAAGAGCGCTCGTGCAAGACACACCTTATCAGCAGAGCACGCCCTAATCGCCTTCTCCACCAACACACGCGAATCAGCAGCACCTGTATCATCTCTCGCCGTCGAGCGCATGACAAACTCTGGCGCCACCCCAACCAAAGCATCATCAAAAAGGTACAGCAACGATGGACGATCATGCATCGCTCGAAATGTCGGCGGCGTACGACTTTCTGCTGAAATTCATCATCATCGGCGAAGCTGGCACCGGCAAATCGTGTCTGCTGCACCACTTCATCCACAACCAGTTCAAAGACCAATCAGCCCACACCATCGGCGTCGAGTTTTCTAGTCGACTCATCAAGATCGGCAACAAGAGCGTCAAACTTCAACTCTGGGATACCGCGGGGCAGGAGCGATTCCGTTCCGTCACACGGAGCTACTACCGAGGTGCAGCAGGTGCGCTGCTGGTATACGACATCACCAAGAGGTCTACGTTCGAGCCGCTGTCGAGGTGGCTGACGGATGCACGTGCGTTGGCGTCGCCGGATCTGGTGGTGGTGTTGGTGGGCAACAAGACGGATCGAGGAGAGGACGAGAGGGAGGTGGGGTATCTGGAAGCGAGCAAGTGGGCGAACGAGAATGGCGTGCTGTTCTTGGAGACGTCGGGTATGACGGGGGAGAACGTCGAGGCTCCGTTTGCGTTGGCTGCGCGAAGCATCCTGTTGGCGATAGATTCGGGCAAGCTGGATCCGGAAAAGGCAGGGTCAGGTGTGTCGTACGGCGACAGGGCGTTGAGGAGGGTGGGCAGCGGAAGTCGGTTCAGCTTTGCAGATATGGATCCGAGCAGTTATCGACCGCAGAGGAGAGGCGGTGCAGCGGTCAAGATCAAGGAGGTGTTCAACGATAAGATGGGAGGATGCTGTTGACTGCCGCGTCCTCAGTGCGCAACGCGGTGCAGGTCGTGCACGTCGGTGCACGTCATATATATACCAGGTGAATGTCGTCTCTCTTGCATTCATCACTACGCTTAACGAATCGCTCTCAAACAATTCACACGCAGCAGTAGAACTATGAAAGGGAGCGAACCTGTATTGAACAGGCAAAATCTACACGTGCTGTCTATGCTTTGTGATCAGGGTCAGTCCTGGACCCTTCGTCTTGCTCTTCCTCGCTATCCCACGTGGCATCCGTCGGAGTGATCAACGCGCTGCGCATTGTTTTCACAAACGTATTGTAGTCCTTGAACGCCTCTGGACCGGGTTGACCTGGCTGGTGTTGCTGCTGCTGTTCTTCCAGATGCATCTGAGCGAATCTTGCGTCTTGGACTCCCCATCCTCTGTGGCTGGCCACTTTTTCGATGGTCTTGTGCAGGACGGGTGCGGTGTGTTTGATGAGCTGTTTCTTGGTTTGTTTGTCGAGCTTTTGGTTGGATTGAGCTTGCACTTTGTCGAAGACGGTTTTGACGGCGTCGGCGTGGAAGAACGAGTGGAGGAGGTCGTCGACGTTGACGACGTTGCCCTGGCTGGGGTCGTTTGAGCTAGTCGCTGCTCTGTTCGGAGCAGGCTCGTCAGTCGACATGAGTTGTAATGTTGACGACGAGAAGCTCGAGGTAGTCGGCAGCGTTGTTCCCGACTCAAACACGTCCAAGGTCCAACTGACATTGGTCAAGAGTCCAGGATGGACGGATGGCAAAGTGCCGCTCAAGATGTTCTCAACTTCCTCCGAGGTGAAGGATGTGCCAGCGTGAGACGCGATCACCGACTCAGCCTTGGTGCGCATCATCAGTCGCATCGCTTCGTCGTGTTGGAGAGACTCGTCTGCATCCGAATCTTCGGTGAGCTGCATTCCGGGATCAACATCGGTGGCAATCTGCTGAGAAGTGGAATGAGAAGACGATGAGGAGGGAGATTGGCGAGCACGAAATCTGACCATCCGGTGCTTGAATTGTTGTGCGTGGGCGACATTTTGGAGCACGAGGCACAAGAGTGTCAGGGCCGTTACGAGACGTAGCCGATTCTTCATGTCTTCCAGAGTGTTGAACGAGGTGCCAAGGCCTCTGTGACGGAGACGACGTGCTCAAAGTAGCCCCTTAAGTACCAGCGCTGAATGTGGGCGATCATCTCCAGTTGTCAAGGTGGCAGAAGAAACTCGGTGACCAGCACACCATGTCCACCGCCCCTGTTTATTACAGGTGGGAGTACGCCGTCGTCGACTGGTTTTCATCTCCGAGCACCGCTCCAAGTGGGCTGAATCGGTCCTCGCTCTGCCTCGCTCACAACATGGCGCCTCTGTGGCACTACAGTATCCCAGACCCACTCAACGAGCGCTGCAAACTGCAAGTCTTTCATGATGATATTGCTGGCCTTGCATTTGACAATATCAAGCAATGGGTCCGTACAGCTTTGCTTCCCTTGTGCAAGCTTCGTCTACCACGGCAGCGTTTCATTCTTGTAATCCCTGAATGTGCCGTTGTCACCTTTCTTCAACCCACTGACCACGTCGACCAGATTCTTGGCCGCCTCGCTCGCCTCAAATTGGCCCTTACTCTTGTCTAGCGGCTGGTCGCTTCCCTCTCCGCCCGTGAAATCCTTGCTCAAATTGCTCCTCACGGTACCCGGGTGGAGACCAACCGCAATAGCTGGCACAGAGCGCAACTCCAACTCCTTGCTCAACGTCTTGATGAGCTGATTCACCGCCGCCTTGGATGACCTGTAGCTGTACCATCCGCCCTTTTGGTTGTCGGCGATGCTTCCGACTTTGGCGCTCAGACTGGCAACCACGCTGAGGTCTCCTGGAAGCACGCCTTCAGCGAGGTTCTCCGCACTGCCCTCTTGGATCTTTTTGGCTTCCGAGCCACGAGGAATCAGCGGGACGAAATGCTTGAATCCCAAAAGGTGGGAGAAGGTGTTGACGGCAAAAGTCTCTTGCAGGTGATCGAGCGAGATCTGCGAAAGGTTCTTTTCAGCGTGGAGGATACCGTTGATGTTCCAGAGCGTTTTGAGGCAAGAATCGCCGAATCGAGAAGTGATTTCTTTAGCAGCGGCATGGTAGGACTCTTCGGACTTGATGTCGAGCGAGATCGTGTGCAAACGGGATTCGTCTAGCTTCAAATCGCCGGAGAGGATGGCGTTCTTGGCTCGAGAGGCATCGCGAGAGAGCGCTACCACTTGAAGGCCGGTGCGCGAGAGGTACTGCTTGGCGACCTGGGCACCGATACCTGCAACGTAGGATTGAGACGAGGTTTCAGGTATTGTCAGATAGGCACGCTCCATGTCCACGAATCAATGAGGAGACCGCTCGACAGCACGTTCGATACCTACCACTACCGGTGCCTTGGATGATGGCGACGTTGGGTGCCATTGTGAAGTAATGAGCTGGTGTTTGTTCGGGCTGTGAACGGTGTTCCTTTTGTCCTTTCAGCGCCTAATTGACGTCAGGCTGAGAGTGATGGTGATAGTAGTTGAAGAAGCAGGTCACGATGAATGGGAGAACTTGACTCATTCTGAAGAAGAAGAAGTCGGACTGCATCGACGACATCGATAGCCGATCCGGTCAGGGTCAATCATACCTCAACGATGAGCAATGCCTTACGCTAAGCCGGCATCGAAATTGACCGTTGTGACGGAGCTGTCAAGGAAAAGTCGCCATCGAAGCTGAATCAGGGTCCTGTCCCTTTCCGCCGACTGCAGCCACAAGCGCGTCATGAAACGTCACAAACCTCCACACGCCGTCGCCGCAGGTCTGCCTTCTGGTGCCAGTTTTGCCGAAGTCACTCAAACTCTTCTGAAATCACCGATGCTGTTCAGCCTCGCACGATCACATTTTGAGCTCAAGGTACCACTAAAAACGAGTCTGCCACACGCACGACCTGCTGTTGCATCACAAGAAATGATATTCTACCATGCATAAACATACAAACCAGCGCACGGAGATCCTCTAGTCGTCGAAGGTGATCTTCTTGGCTTTACCGGGGACCAGCTCCTTGAAGTGATCGCCGTAGCTCGAGTGGGTCTTCTTCTTGATCGTCGTAGGGAACTTGGTCAGGTCATCCGGCACCTTCTGATCCGCATCCTTGAGCACCCTGATGAGCTCACCGGCATGAGCCTTGTCCATCTCGGTGAAGAAGGTAAGACTCTTTCCCGTCTTTCCGCCACGGCCGGTACGACCGATGCGGTGCACGTAGTCCTCGATCGTCAATGGGAAGGTGTAGTTGATGACATGCTCGACGTTGGGGATGTCGAGACCTCGTGCGGCAACATCGGTAGCGACGAGAAGCGGCGTTTCCGCAGACTTGAATCGTTCAAGCGAAGCGATACGCTCGTTCTGGCCCAAGTCGCCGTGGATGCCTGACACCTTGAATCCGCCTCGGCGCAATGTTTGCTCTACGCGCTGTGCCTCCTTCTTGTAGAGAGCAAAGATGAGGATCTTGTCCTTGGAGCGCTGGGCGTTGACGGAGCGCAGGAAATCGTTGAGTCGTCGCTCCTTAGCGTACCCATCAGCTAGCACCTCGACGGTCTGCTCGACACGACGGTTGGCAGACAGCTCGTCGGACCCGACAGTGACGCGGACAGGCCCGTTCATAAAAGATTCGGCCAGACCGCGGACTGCAGGCGGCCACGTAGCGGAGAACATGGAAGTGTGACGACCCTCCTCGCGTGACTTGCACATGCCGATGATGGCGCGGATGTCGGGCTCGAAACCTTTGTCGAGCATGCGATCCGCCTCGTCCAGTACGAGATATGATACGCCCGAAAGGTCGAGCGAGCCGTCTCTTGCCATGTCCAAGACACGACCGGGTGTGCCGACTACGATACGAACGGTAGGCGTCTGGTTGAGCAATCGCACCTGCTCCTGCTTGGAAACACCGCCGTACAGGCAGATCATACCAATACCCATCGACTTGCCGAGCTTGGCCATGTTCTCTTCCGTCTGGATGGCAAGCTCTCGTGTCGGTGCTACAACGAGGACGTTGACCTGCGCACCCTTCGCCTTCTTCTTTCCACTGTCAAGCACCTTGTGCTTGGTGACCAAGTGCTGCAATGCTGGCAAACCGAAAGCAAATGTCTTGCCTGAACCGGTCTCGGCAATACCAACGACGTCCTTGTTCTGCAGCAGTACGGGCCAGCAGCAGGCCTGGATGGGTGTCGGAGTTGTGAAGCCTTGCGCATCGAGCGTCTTCTTGACAGCTGCGTCGATCTTGCCTTCGAGCTCGCGGAAGTCGACCATGGGCAGCGGTGGGCGCTCGTTGGACTCTTCGGGCGCCTCGATGGTGATGTTGTTGGACTCGAGGAAAGCTCGAGCGGCAGCAGGATTAGTGGGTGCGAAGGAGGCTGATGAGGACGAAGATGCTACGGGAGCTGGTGCAGCCGCAGGGGTGGATTCAATGGAGGTGGCGGCACTTGCTTTGGCAGCAGCCTTTTTGGCCTTCTTCTCCTCCTTGCGACGCTTCTTGGCTGCCTTTTCGTCATCGTCAGCAGCATCGTCAGCGGAACGCTTCTTATCTTTCTCCTTCTTGTCCTTCTTGTCCTTCTTGCTTGGGGAAGCTGGAGAAGGCGAGCCCTCGGCTGCAGCGGCTTTGGCGGCGGCCTTCTTCTCCTTCTTGTGAAGCGACTTGGCGCGATCCTCGAGCGCCTTTTCTGTTGTGCTTGTCGTCATTCTGTTGATGTTGACGGAGGTCTTTAGCAGAGAGTGCGTGAGTGGACGGGAGGAACGTTGGCGGTGTTTGCGCAATCTGCAGGATAAGAAGAACCCGAACAGCAAAAATTCCATTTTTTCAGACAAATTTTAGGACCCTTTTGCCTCAAGCGCGCCTCCAATCGGGCGATACGCTGCTCGGTGTTCGATGCAATCGGCGATTGAGATTGTCGAACACCGCGACGTCATGACATTTCGCTTAGGCGATCCGATCCTTGGCCTGACCCTGACGGGCCTTTTGCTTGTCGAAGCCGTGCTCTGGACACGTCAGTTGAGGTATCAAATGATCTCCTCTCTGGCATGTCGGAACGCCGGCTGGATAGACGAGGACAAGACTCAACACCGGGAGCGCTTCGAGTGTGGACAAGCTTAATTGTGGCTGGTTGCAGCCTCCACCAAGTTGGCTGAGCTTGTCGAATGCTGTGGCTGACCGGGACTCAGCAGCTACGTATCCGAACAACAGATCCGTTCGCCTCGTGCCCAGTCAGGACCCTCTGCTGAGCAAATGGTTCCAGACAGTGAGCATCTCCGCCAATCATGCTGAGGCTAGACTCCGTACCCTGACCGGCCAAATCTTTCACTTGCGAGCACCCGCCCGCCTTATAAGATCTGGCAAACGAACGTCTTTACAATGGTCGACCGCTTCTTACCAGAAACGTTCCGACGCCTGCTCACCTGGACATCGTCAATAACGGGCAAGATGTCGACGCATACAGCCCACGCTACACATCATCTCTTCGTCCCTAGCCCCAATGCACAACCTCTGCCCATCTGGGCCGCTGTGGTTCCGCCACTGACCTACTACCTCGCACTTTACCTATTACCGCCTCTCTCGTCCAAGTCGTTCTCTCGTTCCATCCGCAGCATCGCCTCGGTCGCCAGGACAGTGCTGGCAGCTGTCTCGCTATACACATTTGCATCGCTACCATTCAAGCACTACTACCCCGGCAGCGCGGTGCTTACCTACCAACTCGGTCTTGTTGGATTCTACGGCGCATCACGTGTGCTCGACATCTTCTTCCTGTCATACCCACGAATCCCTCGGCGCATCTTAATCGCCGCGGCCGCCAAAAGCTCGGAAGGAAAGGGACCAAATATCATCCACCCGTACACATCTGCTCGCAATGAAGAGTGGAAGACCGAGCCTCTTCCCAAGAAGCTCGTCTCGTTTGAACGCGCATGGTGGGCGCTCGACCTCATGATCAGCATGCGCGGTATCGGATGGGATTTCGCCTCCGCCGATGTACGGCACGATTCGCATCCCTGGCAACCACCTAGCTCGGCTCAGCTCCGTAGGGCTTGCTTCAAGCTTTTGCCAATCCTTGTCGGATGTACATGGATCATCCATCACATGCACCCAAAGCACATGTCGACGGTGAACCCTTCTATTTTGGATCTGGATCCGGCCAGAAGGATTCTCTTTGTCGCAGCTACTGGTATCTCACTGTATACGCTGTTCGATTTTGGATACACTCTGACGAGCGCGGTTGCGCTGCCGATTCTGCACGATGCTGCAGAACCCGTATCACGTCTGCGATCCAAAGCTGCTGACAAGGTGCTCGACGTCAAGGGCGATCGAGTAAAGCAGCTACGAAACGGAAAGCAGGTGGGTGAGGAGTCCGAGATTGATACCGACAACGAAGACGACTCTCCCGCGGCCCTGCAAGCACGGACACTTCAACACGAGCAGCTGTCGTTGCGAAACATCGACTTCTTCCCACTGCTGAACCCTGCTGGTTTTGCAAAGGCGACTACGGTAAGACGCTTCTGGAGCTACGCATGGCATCGACTTTTCGGTCGACCGTTTGGTGTATACGGCATCCTGCCATTCACGTACGTCGCCTACCTGATGCAGGATGTGTTGGAGGGCAAGTTCAACGACCCAAAACGCAAGCAGGCGAGAAGGGAGATCTGGCCCTCGTACCATCCCGATCCCATGCGTGCGTTAGAGCGCGGTCGAGCAGACTGGGCCAAGGTGCTCGGTGCTTTCACCGCATCCGGCATCATCCACGCTGTATCCGAACGTGCTGCCCTGGGCGGAAGAATTGCCCTACCTGTCACCAACATGTGGCTCGCAAGAGACCATGCCAAAGGTATGGGGCACGAGCTCCGCAATCCTTCCATCGCAAGAACTGGGATTTTCAATTTCAGCCCGCTGCAAGTGGTGCCACCTGTCTCTGGCGCAGGCGAGTTCAGCTTCTTCTTCTTGAACGGCTTGGCTGTCGTTGTGGAAGGTGCGGTTGCAAAGTACGTGGAACAGCACAGAAGGGGGAGGAGCAAGGACGGAAAGTACTACAGCATGTGGTACGACCAATACATTTCAGTTGCGTGGACGCTGTCGGTTTTGCTGTTTACGGGCCAGGCGTTCGTGGAAGGTTGGATTCGAAGCGGTATCAGCAAGGAGATCGGTCTCGTCATGAGCTGATGAATCGTCAGTTGTCGTCTCACTTTTGCAATCTTCATCACCGATGCTGTGGAATGCTGTGTTCGTGAGGAGAATGAATGACTTTTCTCAACCTCATTTTTCTGTGCGTTTATTTGAGCTTTTGCCTCTAATCGGCGAAATTCGCGGCGATCTACGACTTTTTCTTCTCGCTTCACCTCTTCTTGACAATCTTTACCCCCAACGTATCCCTACCAGCATGGCAGCTGCCACGTCTCTATACACAGCCTCGACTGGGCTATGTGCCGATTCGGTGGAATCAGCGCCAGGTTGCCGCGGCTTCTTCGCTCTCGCGACTTACCAAGTGGACAAGCTAGAGCAGCAACAAGCCCAGGCTGAGACATCGTCTGCCACGGTCGCGCACGGTGAAGATGATGACGACGACGATGATTCAGACAGGGTCGCGAGCACATCGACAAGTCCGGCATACACGAGACGCGGGACGTGTAGTCTGTACTACGCTCACAAACCTTCGGAAGAGAGTACGGGAGGGGTCGAGTGCGCGAAAGTTGACACAATCGAGACGCCGGCTATCCTGGACATGAAGTGGTCGCTATCGAAACCAGACGACGGAATAAGACGGATACTGGGTGTGGCGAATGCCAAAGGTCAGGTCACAGTGCATCGCTTGCGAAGCGACTCATACAAGACAAGCTCAAAGGCAACCTTATCACCGCTGGGCGAGCTACACTTCAACGACAGGAACGTCCTTTGTCTCAGTCTCGACTTTTCCGATCGCAAAGGAGGGCATGCAGGAGGATACGACATGAGCAACTTGACTGCAGACACTGCCATGATCGTATCACAGAGCGACGGGTCACTAGCCTATTTGCCGAGTCTCGAAGCCGCTCTTTCTAGCACAATCACCATGGTCGACGACATCGCTACGGAGATCGCACAGACCTCAATACACAACCGCACAGACGAAGGCAATGAAGATGACGACGACGAATGGGACCGAACAAGCGAAGACGAACGACTTGCATCCCTCCAAACCGCCCATTCCACCCTCAACTCTTCTTACCCCAGCAAACCCCGCGGACTCGTCACTTGGGCAGCGCACGACTTTGAAGCCTGGATCGCCGCCTTCGACTGCTTCAACCCAACCACCGTCTGGTCCGGCGGGGACGACCTCACGCTCAAAGGCTGGGACCTTCGCTCCGTCTCCTCCACAACTCCCACAACCCCCACTTTTGCCTGCACAAAGCCATTCAACGGTGGCGTGACATCACTCCAATCACATCACCTGCGTCAACATCTCTGGGCTGTCGGGAGCTACGATTCGTACCTACGTTTGTTCGACGCACGCATGCCCGCGAGACCGTTGAGCGAAACCAACGTTGGCGGCGGCGTGTGGCGGGTCAAGTGGCATCCGGACGATCCGAGGACGCTTTTGGTGGGCTGCATGCACGACGGTTTCAAGGTGTTGAGGTTGGACGATTTGGCAGAGGAAGGTGCTGGTGGAGCAGAACTGAGAGGAAAAGAGTTCGATGTGGTGACACGCTTCGATGCGCATGAGAGCTTGGCGTATGGTTGCGATTGGGACCGTGGTGAGGTCGATGCGGAGGGAGCAGCGAGGAGGGTGTACAGCTGCTCTTTCTACGATGCGACGCTGCACATTTGGGATTCGCAAGGAGCGTGACACAAAGCACAAACTTGCGAGCACAAAACCAATCATCAAGCCTGTGGAGAGACTGCGACAAATGCTGAGATTGAGATGCGATGGGCGAAGAGTATAAATGCTAGGTTGTTGAGGTATGATGTTATGCTAGGGTCACTCGTCGGCAGCTTGGACGATACCATTCCGAGCCGTGCGATCAGCGAACCAAGTGCGAATCTTGGTATCGTCGCCGACCGAGCTCAGAGTCGGGCCGTGAGGCCCGTTCGCCCAGGCTACCGCGTTGACCTCTGTATTCTTGGTATGTCCTTCAGTCAAAACCGCCATGCCGCGCTGCTGCGAGCCGGCCGCAAAGCCGTAATCCATCTGCCTTGCTACCCTCCTCTCCTCCTCTACATCTCCTGCCATCGCATCCTCACCACCCTGCCTCGACGTCCTCGAAGCGGTGACATCCCACAGTGCCACGTTTCCAGTGTTGCACCCTACGGCGAGGAAGCGATCGTCAAAGAGCGCCATACGCGAGAACAAGGTGTTCTGACACTGCACCGGGTCGTAAAGCGTCTGCACCTCGCTGCGAACAAGACCCGAATCGAGAAATGCGGAAAGGGGTAGCGAATAGATCTTGCCGCCTGTGCAGGAAGCGTACAGGCTAATGGTAGACGAGATGATCTGCGAGACGCCGTGGGCCCTGGCGAAGCTGCCTGCGGGCGCGAGGAGAGAGATGTCGGGTGTATCCCATAGAGAGGTGATGGGAGGCTCGAGCGCTTCCTGCGTGTCTACCTCGGACACCGGGTCAGAAGGATGGGATCGACGCACGTGACGAAGGTCCCAACACTTGATGATGCCGTTCGCAGAGCCTCCGCTGAGCAGCTTGTGGCCCTGACCATCGGGAAGATAGGAAAGAGCGGTGATGCCAGCGGGCAAAGGTTGCGTGTGGAGACGTTTCCTACCTCTTGCCCCGGTGACAGTGCCATTGCGCACCTGCTTGCGACCCTTAACGACGCCAGCTGTCGGAGCTGGAGGAAGGGTGCTATGGGCAGCATCGATGGTCAGTACCGGTGTGATGCCAACGCCGTCGTCCTCGTCGTCTTCGTCTATCGTGTCTGAGCGCGAGCTGATCCTGGCATCCCAAATGCGAATCGTGCCGTCTCTTCCAGCACTGGCGAAAACCATGCCACATGCTCCATCGCCGTTGGTGGTCGGGTCGTACACAATCGTTCTCGGGCTGCCTCGGTGGCCTTGAAATCTTCCCGTGCACTTCTGGTACTCGGTGTCCCAGCTGCGGATCGAAAAGTCGCTTGCACCGGAAAGAATGCTTCGATCATCGAATCTCCACGCCAACTCAAAGATGGCCGAGGAGGACGAAGCTTGCCACTGCGGATTGGCGCTGTAGGATTCAGCCGAGGCATCTTGCCACGGAAGAGTGTTGAGCAGCGTGATACGTCCCTCGTCGTCGCCCACTGCAAGCCATTGCGCCGAGGGGTTGACCGAACGCGAAGAATAGCTGTAAGCAGCGCAGATGGGATGCGACAAGATCTCATCATCTGCGCTGCGAGGAATCTGGTGGACGCAAGAAGAGGGCGATACGAAGGTCTCGAGGAACGAAGTGGTGTCGAAGGTCGGAGCGCGGGCCGCAGGGAGCGCGCGTGGTGCTGGAAAGGCACCATTGCCCCCGAGTTGACTTTGTCGCGTGCGCAGGCCATGCAAAGTGTGTTGTAAAGAAGGTCTCGTGCTGTGCCCGGGTCCGAATGCTGAAGGTTGGTATGTGCGAGGTGTAGTAGGCGAAGAGAAAGCCGATCGACCTTGGCTGCCCTGCGTGAGGGTATATGGCTTTGATCGAGAGCGGTCAGACGACAATGGAGAAACAAAGCCGTTACTTCGCCTCGCACGGGAGCGAGAGCGGCTGCAGTCGACATCATCGTCGTGCTCGTGGTCGAAGCTGTCTAGAATGATAGGGCGCAAGGGTGAAGATGTCGGTGGCGTCATGAGCCCATGCTGCTGTCGCTGATTGCTGCGCTGTTTGGCAGCCGCAAAGATGCTAAACGCCCGTGAAGGGGTGACGTTGCCGCGGATCAGGAAGCCCTTTTGTCGCTTGGAAGGAGTCGTCGGAATTGCTGCGGATACCGCCGATTGGTGCTTTGTAGCTATGGCAGTCTTCTTGGGGCTCTTTACTGATTGTGATCGCTTCAAGGGTCGCTGTGAGGGGGACGACATCCTAAATAGACCTGCTTCGTCTTCGTCATAGGCACGATGAGACAGTTCCCTCCGCGAGGGACTTTCGATTTCGTCGAACGCAGTCCTTCCCATTGGGAGCCGTCCTGGTTGAAGTCTGGATCTAGATCCACTTTCCGGGCCAAAAACACTGCCGTCACTGTCGCTGTCATCATCATGATGCTGGTCGTAGCATGTTGAGTCAAAATCGCACTCGGACGTGGCGGCCTCTTCGTCTGATTGATGGCCGAGGAACAGTCGGAGCGACTTTTGTTGCCGTAGTTGACGGTGGGGCTGGGCTGGGATGATGTTGTGCCTCGAGGTGCTGGCCAGTACCGAAGGCGAAGAGGGTGGCGAAAACATCACGCAGGATGTCGTCTTGGCACGCCGAGGTCTATGGAGGCCCCATAGAAGCGCTGCGAGGTGGTTGTGGGTGTGACAGGTGGCTAGAAGAAGGAGGTATCAATTGTTTCAACCCCGCCACTTGCAACGGCGCTGTGCAAGCCTTCAAAAAAGTGGCACGTCGGCAAAGTACTTTACGCGTTGAGACGCGTCCCAGGGCTGTGACCAGATAAACATTTCCACTTTCAGGTGTGAGATCGACGGCATATTACCCGACAAATATTTTCTTGAATTGTGGAGGCTTTCTATCAAAAAGTCAAAAGCTGAGCGCGGACCACGGACGAACGGCGTCTGAGTTGATTGCCGTTCCCACGCCGTCTGTGCTCAGCTGCTGACAATATTGAATATGCTCGCTCCGGTGGCGCAGTGAGAAGATCAGATCAGACGCACACGACACCGGTTCGTGGTCAGCAATCTTCAACCATCATCATATTCACCACGTACCACTCACGACTGATGGCTCTAGCTCGCTCTGGCCATCGATCCGTCGCACTTCTCAACACGCTTACCCCTGCTCGCAAGACGCTATTCGGCACGGGTGCTATCGTCGCCTCTGTCGCTACCATCTCGTCTGGGTACCTGGACACCACGTTCGCCACTAGCGCTCTCTCATCAGCTCCAGTACTGTTCCAAACACCTTTCCGTCTCTTCTCGTCCTCATCCGTTCCGTCGTTCAAGATGGGTTCCACCGCATCCTCGCAAGCCTCTCCAGAGTCATTCCCCAAAGGCATGTCCAACACAGAATGGCGCACCAAGTTGAATCCGGAACAGTTCCGTATTCTCCGTGAGAAGGGCACCGAGATGGCTGGCACGGGCAAGTACAACAAGCACTATCCCAAAGACGGCGTCTACACCTGTGCCGGTTGCGATTCGCCGCTGTACAAGGCAACCACCAAGTTCGACTCGGGCTGTGGTTGGCCCGCCTTCTTCGATGCCATCCCTGGTGCCATCGACCGACATTCGGACAGAAGTTGGGGCATGGAGCGCATCGAGATCACCTGCAAGAACTGCGGCGGTCACTTGGGCCACGTTTTCAAGGGTGAAGGTTTCAATACCCCCACCAACGAGCGTCACTGTGTGAACAGCGTCTCGATCAACTTTGACAAGGACGATGCCAGGATCTGAGGAGTAGACGCCCATCTTCCACGCTGTGTATTTGGCTCCTGTTCAGTATTCGGCTGCTGTATGTGTTTAATTTCATGGATTGACTAGCTCTGCTATTCGTTTTACGTTCCTATCTAGAACAAGCTGGCTTTAGCCGTCATGCAAACGGTACCGGCTTCATTGAGGGCCCATAGCGAAGCCTCCTTCTTGTCGGCGTCTTGCCATGCACCACGCAGTCGTACTTTTTGTGCCACCGTCAGTGGCGACGTGGCGCGGTATTCAAACCTCTTGACCTGTCCTGATGCCTCTCGCGCGGCTGTGGCTACCAAGTGGAGGAGCAGTGTTGCTGTCAATGGGCCATGAACGAGGCAGTCTGTCGTAAGAGGAAGTAGAAATGAGGTCAGCCAGGCCACCATAAAGAGAGGCAGCTAAGCAACAGCCGTAAACGTACCAGGGTGTCCCTCTTCGTTGCGGCAGTATTCCGGATCCAGATGGATGCGGTGTGCGTTGAAAGTTGCGGCAGAGTAACGGAAGAGTGCTGCACGAGTAGCATCGTAGTCAAAGCCGAAATCGGATGGCTTTTCTTCCACTGTGATGGGCGACGTAAGCAACAATTTGGAGTGTCAGCAGGCTTAGATTCGTATACATTACTTTCGGCGATCCTGTAAAGCTCACCTTCGGATGTTTTTGGTGTCTGATCGGCAGGCGGTGCCACGTATTTGCGCTGGTCGGCAGGTCTCTGCTTTCTGTATACGTGGGTCCTCCTCTCGGTCAAAACGACTCCATCGGCGTTTTCGTAGACCAGCTTCCGTGTCACCAGCACCATCAGGCCTGTCTTGGCACCTTGCTTCGGAACAACGCTTTCCACAGCTACATGGCACTGTACGTCTTGGCCAATCTTGAGCTGCTTTCCTTGCTCAAGTTCGAACGATCCGCTGGCCCACATCCGCTGATCCAGCCCTCCGGGTGGACCAAATGTTCTCTCCGTTCCATCCGAGCCTAGGGTGCTCTCGCTCAGGAGTGGGTTGAAGAGCACCAGCTCTGAGCCGAGAGGCATGGATGAGCCTGGCGAAAGTGAGATTGCTTCATCCCCGGTGTATTTGGCGATCAGCTTGCGAGCAGAGGTGACGCTGGATGCCGAGGTGGACAGGTTCGGAAGAACGAGCAGTAGCTGTCGGGCCTTGTTCAGATCGGCCGTGTCGTGCATCGTTGTCTTTTGTGCCTGGACAGTGCGTGTCCAGTCGTCTAAGCTGGAGCATGCTGAGAGAGACGATGAAAAGAGGCGGAAACCGAGGGTTGACGCTGGTGTTGCCAATCGAGAAGTGGTGCGGTTGATGCTGGCCCAGCTTGTCGAAGCCTGGAGCAGGCGCTGCGGTCGAGCGAGTCGTGACATGCTGGTAGACTCCTAGGATCAGACTCGCAATCTCCAGAGCGCTGTTGTCATCTGTATCGTAAGTTGGGAGGATGCTTTGTGCTCGATGTCACGGCAGGAATGCTTTTAATGGTCCTTTATAGCGTTGATCCAAGCGTCGAAGTCGCAAATGCGGAGAAGCGCTATCACCGACACATGCTCGCTTTTACGGGCAGGCGAAGTCCAGCCCTAGCTGTGAGGTCGAGCTAAGGCGACAACGATGTGCAAAATTCAAAAGGAAATGTCGGATCAAAGCCTCGATTATGATGGCGTGATGCGTTGAGATGCTGCAGCTGCATTGATGACTGCCACTGCACGCACAGACACAAGGGAAATGGCCAGAAGAATTGATTTCGGCAAAATTCCGACGACTCAAAATCACGAATCTTCTCGTCCTGGCGGATCGGCAAACACCATCAAGCAGCAATCCCGAGTGTCATCCACCTCTCCTTCCTTTCCATCTACCGTAGACTACACATAGCATACAATCAAGATGGCTACCAACATCACATTCCACCCCGGACACGTCTCCTACGACGAGCGAGCCGAGCTCCTCTCGCAGCAGGGATTGACCCTCTGGCTCACCGGTCTCTCGGCTTCGGGCAAGTCGACCATTGCCACTGCTCTCGAGCAGCACCTCCTGCACCTCAAGAAGTCGGCTTACCGCTTGGATGGCGACAACATCCGCTTCGGCCTCAACAAGGACCTTGGTTTCTCCCCCAAGGACCGCGAGGAGAATATCCGACGAATCTCGGAAGTTTCGCTCCTCTTTGCTTCGTCGACCGCCATCACCATCACCTCGTTCATCTCTCCCTACAAGGCTGACCGCGAGATTGCACGAAAGCTGCACGAGGCTCACGTGCCCAAGCTTCCCTTCATCGAGGTGTTTGTCGACGCCAGCATCGAGACCTGCGAGAGCAGAGATCCCAAGGGTCTCTACAAGAAGGCGAAGGCCGGCGAGATCAAGGAGTTCACCGGTATTTCGGCACCATACGAGAAGCCCGAGCAGCCAGAGATTCACATCGACGCCGACAAGACTTCCATCGAAGACGCTGTGAGGATCATCACCGAATACCTCATCAACAAGGGCTACCTCAAGCTCTAAACTCGGCGGCGAAATTGCTCCACCCTTGTAGAAAAGACACCCAGCCATGAACCGGCCTTATCCGCTTTGAGACGCAAGCAAATATATCATTGCTCGTTCTGTACGACGTATCACGTGTCGCAACCATGAGCCGAATGTTCGTTTAAGTGTTGATACGAGTTTGTGTTCGAAGTGCTTCGTCCAATCGGTAGAAGGTCAAAGTGCAAGATTCCGGTATGAATATGAACGGTTTGAGAAGGAAGAGTTGAGCCGAACAGCCAAAAACACAAAAAAAAAAACCTGCAGCACCTAGGATTCCCGCGTGGTCCCCCACCGCAGTACTGACTAGGCGGTAAGTTGCTTAACTTCGCAGATCGGACGGGATGCGGTGTTTTCAACTTCCTGTGGCCGCAGATGAAAATTAGAGGATAGAAGGAGACTAAGTATCATGAATGATGACATTTTTGGCTCACCGCGCTGAGAGAGTACCTCAAGGATTGACCGTCAGATCGCCTATTCGATCGGCGATGATTGCAACCGGATTGCCATTGTTGCAGCCGTATAATGTAGCCTGATCAGTAGGCGCAGGGCAGTCCTGCCGCTTCCGCCGGAGACGAGTTGGATAAACTTGTAGCGAGTCACTGGGTCGAGACTTGATTTGCCGATCCGTTGTCAAATGACGCCTTCGGCTTCGTTCGGCTGCCTCTAGACCACAATCTGGAACCGTGGTCAATCACAATTGCGCAACCAAGGCGACGCTAGCCGATGGTTCTTGGCGCAGTCTGTACCCTTTTCGGGCGTTACGAAGCTGCGGGATGACGATGCCTCGTGGGAAGCACATGCAATGTTCTGCACCGTCCACTGAATCAAATGATTGAGTTGGCTTTTTTGCACGAGGGACCTTTTTCCCAGGAACGGAGCAAATGGACACGATTTTCCTGGCCGAACAACCTCTCCGTTGTGGTGCGTCTGCGCTGCCGAGGACCCAGACTACTACCTTCCAGAACAGGTCTGCCTGATTCTGCGGTACTCCTCGGCGCCACGCCCACGCTCACGATTGTTGGCTTAGAGCGATCGGATCGCATATCGCAGGCTGCTCAGGGTGGGCAGACGAGTCGACTAGCCTTGCTCTTCTTTACCGAACGCATGTTAGCGAGTCGAACAGGAACAAGCGAGGCTTCGCGCCAACAGAATACATCATCACATCAACGTCAGGCGACCCGACGGCCACGTTTGGTTCACCTTGACACGACTGTGCAGTACAGCCCCTCCGCTTCAACTCCCGACTCGGCCTCCGACAATTCGGCTCAGACAATCTCTCCTCTCCTCTCGATCGAATCGACCACTGGCAGAAAGGGTGTCCGTGCGCAAATGGAAGCGGAGTGTAAATGTAGACCTTGTCTGCCAAAAGATGTTCAGGGTGCGGTGGGAAGCGACATATCACTTTCTCCTATTCCTTACCTTGTAATAATTTTATAGGCTTGCACGAGAGGCTCTCGCTAAATAGACCACCCTGCTGACTTGTGAAAGGTAGAGCCACGAGATGCAATAAAGCGGTGAGGACGGGCGTGAGCAACCATGGCGAAGCGAGGTGAGCGAGGTTACTCTGGCCGTCCTGTCCTGATGAGTTCGCCGTCGTGCAAAATGGCTTTCGGGCACAAACGCAGTGCCGAGCTGTGACACTTAAAGCCACCTTGGACATTTCCACGCAAGGAGTCGCTGCAGCATGCAGGGTTGATGCGCTGCGCTGAGTTGACTTGACAGAGTCCAAGCGAGTTCTCCTTCGAACAGCGGCAAGCGAGCTGATCCCGTGCCTGTGCAGGCGATCCCCCGCGTCCCGGACAATCAATCGATGCCGCCATCCTCTCTCTGAAGGTGGCTTCTCGGCTGGACTGCCGTGGACTTGCGGCGCTCCCATAGCTGAGCACACCAAGGCTACAAGAAAGTTGGCCGCAGGTTCCAGTGACGGTGATGCCGTGCTTCAGGAAACAGGTTGCAGCGAGCAGGGAAAGCTGTCTGACGCGTACAGACCCTCGCAGTTCGAGGCGTCCCATGGTACATATAAAGGTTACCGTCATCGACTCCGCCCATGTCGCGGGCTTGTACATTGTCCCTTCGATACGAGCTTACAGTGCACTCCTCGACACCGCAATCCATCCAAGATGAAGTTCTTCGCGTCGTTCCTTCTGGTCGTACTGGCCGCGTTCGCGGTCGCCCAGGCTAATGTCCAGCCCACCCCAGCTCCTCGCGTCGAAAAGAGGCAAAGTGAGTAGAGTGCGCAGGCTGCTTATATCTTAGCTTTTCACCACAGATACACAGGAGATACTGACCTCCAAGGCTCTCGCGAACATTTCACCACGCTCAGGCTTCGACCCGTACAACCTCTCGCAGTACACCAACCCGGGAGCGCTCTCTTCGCTCTCGCAGTACATCAACTCGCAATTCGGCGCGCTCGACTCGGTCTCGCTTCCTGCTAGTGAATCCTCGTACATCGCCTCGCAGAAGAGCCAGGCCTACTCGTACCTCTCGTTGGCCTCGTCGATCCTCGCCAACGGCGGTGCCAGCAACTCAAACCTCGGTTCGATTCTTGGCTCGATCACCAAGTCCGCCAGCGGCGCTCTCAGCAGCATTTCGAAGGAAGGGTCGTCGGCCGCCAGCGCTGCCTCGTCGGCAGCCACAAGCTCGCGCGGCTCGTCCAACGGTGCCGTTGCTGCTTCGGGCCCCATGCCCGGCTACATGGTCGGCGTCGTCGCCTGCACTTTCGTCGCTGCTCTTGCTGGCGCCTTTGCCCTCTAGGAAGCGCCTATCCTCACGGTCTATGCGGTGATCTGCATCGAAGGCGCTACTTATGCGTGTTCAAACGCGGGGTCATGGATGGCGTGACGACCTGTGATTCTGCTCTCGGGTCTCCGCACTCGACTCATCTGTTGATATGAAATGCGTAATGTGAAACAGACACTTCAGCATGATCTGCCAGCGTGAGCTTCTTGAGAACCTTGTGCTTCCAATCTTGCATCTGAGGTGATATCTGGTGTTGTTGCTGTTCCTCGGGTGTCGGGAACGAAGTTCGCGTGTCAAAAATCGCGGCTCTGGTCAGGCAGACCAAAAGTTGTTCTGATTTCAAAGCCTCCACACGAGCTTGAACATCTTCTCGTCCTTTCGGAAGCATCCACAGCTCAACAGTATCTTCCAAGGTGGCTGAGATATGCCCGGACAGCAGCGGAGAACAAGGACAATCACTTCTTTCTTTGTTCAAGATGGCCACGCCGATCGTTCGAGGTTACAGCTCGTTGGCTTCTAGTAGCCTTTCACGCCGGGTTGCCTTGACCGCAGCAAGCTCATCAAAGTTGGTCGCGAGGCAGCATGCAGCCATCAGAGGAATGGCGACGGGCGAAGCAAGGCCGAGGCAAGCAGTTCAGAGGAAGCCGTGTCCGAGCTATCCTGTCATGATCGCGCGCAGCTTCAATACGACTGCACTCCGCTCGAGCAGCTCCGGTCGCACTACCGTAAAGGACCCGGAACCGCAGTCAGGACTCTACTACCATCCCACGCAGATCAACATCTCTCGCGGCGCAGACCAGCCCAACTCTCAAGTCGATGGCTGGGCGATCTCTTTCCTCTCCAAGCCTTCTTCCTCCGACGACGCAGTCATCGCCTACGTGCTGCCCACAAACACGTCACAATCGCAAGACGCCGAGCCGGCCGACTTTGTACGTGCCAATCCAGACAGGATACGCATCAACCCAGCCGGGTGGAAGATTGTGCACGAAGTACTCAAGAACGAAGTGGTGCCCCACGATGACTTGCTCAAGTTTGAGGCTTCGACCCGCGAGAGTGGTTGGGCGCATCTCACTGATCTTCGACATCCGCTCATGCCAGGAAGGATAGCGACGCCGGAAAACATCATCGCCTCGGTTGCATTCACCGATGGCCAGCTCAATGTGGAGAGCTACGAGGAGAACAAGTCATACCGACTGGTGACCGGGTACGAAGGTCCGATCCAGATGGCCGACAGCTGGATCGAAAAGTTGAGTAAACGGTTCGAGTCGCTTTGACGTCGAAGTCATGGTAGACACACACACACACACACACACACACACACACGACGATGATGATGCTCAAAGTAGCGAAATCAAGTTCTTCTCTTCTCAAGAAGTCTGATGCTGTCAGCGGTTGCTCATGAAAGCAAGCAAAGAGAATGTTGATCATCGAAGCCGGTCCAAGCTATCAGAGATTGCGGTCTGTCTTGCGGCCTACCTGTCTGTGAAGCATCTGGTTGTAGAACATGATCGTGATCTGTATACGATGGTGTGTCGCCTTTCATTGAGTTTCCGCAAATTTAGTTCCGACCACAAAATCAACGTGGCGTGTTGCTACGTGGAAACGTCAGCTGAGCAATCTTCGGTAGACAGCGGTAACTTTCCTGCTCGGGTTTATCCAGCTTGTTTCTCCACCTTTGTTTGTGGTAACCCGCTCTCGTACATACATTCCGGTCCGCGTTCCACATCGAGGTTGTGCGGTCACGACTTCGTGTTCGAGCACGGCCCAGATGCACGGACGGCGAAGCTGAAGTCCACACATGTATGGTCATAGGGGCGTTGTCGTCGGATGAGGTTACCTCTCAATTCGAAAGTGGCTCAGGTCGAACGTGAATTCACGTTGGACGTGTAACTCTCCTGCTTGAGTCACCTCCCGAAAGCTGGCCATCGACGGCTACCGATATCACGGTCGCCGCAGCATCCACGTCGCTCCTGGTATTAGATCACAGTGCCAATCGCAAGGCGCTTGGCGAGGCCTCGTTCTTGTCACGAGCCCGTTCGTATCCTGCCAAGAAGTTGACAGAGAAAAAAAATGGCGTCTTGAGAGTCGGTTCGGTTGGACCCTAGCTAAGTGCTCTTGAGGCACTGCACGCCGTGGTGGTCACCGCCCTTGCTGTAGGACCCGCTAGCTTTACGTCTGTACAGCTGACTCTCATGCAGCACGAACCCCCCGCTCAGTCCTCTCCTGCTGTCTTACTGTTACACTGTCACGGGCCTGTTGTGCGTCAGTTGCTTCGCTTGACAGAGATCCTTCGGCTCTGCTGTTCCGCCTGGCCCTTCTGACAATCGGCCTGCCTGTGATGCGCCCCGCCCCGCCTCGTTCAAACAGGCACTTGAAGCCTGTCGGTCTGTCAATCCCGCATAAACTTTTAGCGGCACCTCGTGATGGTGGTGTGCACACACATTTTGCGCTTTGGGTCGTCATGGCCAAGAACCTTCTTATAAAGGAAGCAGCCGCCCAGCTTTGCCAACCAGCATCGACGTCCCTTCCCCTTGGCTCCAGGCTCGCTATCGACTAGCTACTCTCACACATCAGCATTCAGCATCCGACACCGCGCGTTCACCTTCCACCTTTCGCCGTTCCATCAAACGATCCATTTCGATCGACACGTCTATCTTGATAGCACACGCTATTGCTATTGCTATATCAGCCGGCTACCTCCAAGCGTCATCCGTACACTCGACGACTGCTCATAATCGAAAAGGCACGGCTCGCGCTCCTCTTTCCTTACTCGATTGTCGTATTTGAAGCAGTCCACTTGTGCCATTAAGTGCGTCGACATGCCAGCCTTCTCGGCTTTCAGCCAAGCCGCCTCAGCGGGCAAACACATCGAACTGCGCTCTGACAATGCATACCTCCAACATATCGTCGACGCTACCAACTCCGTGCTCGAACGCACCGGGCTGGCTCTACCGATACTCGCCCTCACGCTCCTCTTCCTCACTGTCAAGTACCACAATCGTGTCATTTTTGCCAAGGCGCCGCGAAGTGAGCTATACTATCCGCCCGCGAAACCTCTCATCGGTCACACGCTCGAGGCTATGAAGTTCACCGATGGAATTCTCGACTGGTTCCTTGAGCAGACGCGCAATCATCCTGTGGGCTTCTCCGTATCCATCGCCGGCACGGGCTCTGGCCAGATGCACATCGTCCACCGCCCAGAGTACATCGAGTACGTGCAAAAGACCAACTTCGAGAATTACGAGAAGGGATTGGCCTTCAAGGTCCGCTTCGCCGATCTGCTAGGCCAGAACGGAATCTTCAATTCGGATGGCCACGTGTGGAAGGGGCAGCGCAAGATGGCTTCGCACATCTTTTCCGTCTATCAGTTCCGCACCTGGGTTCAAACCGTCGTGCACCGGGAGCTCGACAGTGTACTGGGCATTCTCGATGGCCTGACCGACGGCAGGACAAGCAACAATCCAGCCACCTTGTTGCTGCCCGACCTCTTTTTCCGATACACCCTCTCGTCCTTTGGAAAGATGGCTTTCGGTTCCGACATTGATTGCCTCAGCCCAGATCCAAGCTGCCTCCAGCACGAGGTCGAGTTCTCGAGCGCCTTCGACTTTGTGCAAATGGTCATCGACAAGCGATTCCGCACGCCCATGTGGCAGCTTGTCGAACGTCTCACCTCCGAGGGACGAAAGAATGCCAGGATGGTCAAGAAGATCAACGACTTCTCCCGTAACATCATCGAAGAGCGCCTGCGAGATAGGGAGGCAGGAATACAGAAGGAAAAGAAGGGCTCGGATGGCAAGGAGGGCAAGGACCTGCTCGACCTTTTCATGGACGTCACCACGGACCGCGACGACCTCATCTCGGTCGTGCTCAACTTTATCATCGCTGGTCGTGACACGACTGCCCAGGGCCTTTCTTGGCTGTTCTACGAGCTTATGAGGAACCCGCAGTACGTTGACAAGATCCGCGCTGAAATTCGAAGCGTCCTCGGCGAGGCCGACGGCAGCATCCGGAAGCTCGACTACGACACCGCAAAAGATCTCGTATTCACTCAGGCGTGCTTCAACGAAGCCATCCGTCTGCATCCTCCTGTCCCCAAGAATGGCAAGCGCGCCATCAAAGACGACGTGATCGTGCCTCAAGGTCCGACAGCTGCCGGTCTGCCGCCCATCAAGATCTATGCCGGCGAATTGCTGTCGTGGTCCGACTGGGTCATTGCTCGCAATCCCGACGTGTGGGGGCCTGACTGCTGCGAGTTTAACCCGATGCGCTTTATCGAGTCGACCAAAGGCCAAGATGGCGTTGAGACGCGTTCGCTCAAGAACTACGGCCAGTGGAAGTTCCACGTTTTCAACGGCGGGCCGCGTCTCTGTCTAGGCATGACGTTGGCCAACTACGAAGCATTGAGCATGGTTGCGGCCGTCATCAACCGATACGACTTCGGATGGGGCACCAAAGCGCAAGGACAGACGGCGGACTGGCCGCTCAAGTACCTGCCTTCGGTCACGCATCCTTGCCAGATGTACACAGCCACTGTAGTACGTCGCGAAGAGTCGACGTAGGTTGGGAACGTTCTTGTGTGGTCTTTTGTGTATCATCGACGTGTTCAATCCAGTCAATTGCCTGCGTCCACGGTTTGCATACTTTCCGCTCGATCACAGCAAGCATGGCAAGTGAAAAGACCGTGACATCATCGAACCAAAGGCAAATGTTTGAAACCAAGAAACGCACGTCAAAGCTGAGCATTACACCACTCCACTAGTCTCGTCTCCTGCGCATCCGCACCTTCTCTTGCCTGTAGCTTTTCCAATCCAAGGCTGGCCCTTGCCACGTGGTCCTTGACCATGTGCGGGGTGCCCCTTGCCTGGAACCCACTTTCGCCCTGTCCACCGGGGAAGTCAGGCGGAGGCAGTCCTTGATCGAAGCATTGCTTCTGTTGCATGATGTAGCGCCAGTTGACCTGGGTTGTCGGAATGGCGGGGATGTAGAGGACGCTGCTGTCGCCTTTTCCTCCGTGCCGGCTTTCGACGGAATGGACGGCATCGCAGTGCCAAAGGACCATATCGCCTGGCGTGACGCTGGGGATGCTCGTCATGGTGTTGTCGAGATCCAAGTGCGGGTGGGTGGTGGATGAGAGCTCGATGTTGTGACCGAGACTGCAGCCTGGAAACTTGCGGGAGGTCGTGTCGAGGGTCCAGTTTGAGTCTGCCAGGTACTCTGCTTTGTTCGAACAGGCGGATTCTGGTTTGATTGGGGTGAAGAACGGTCGTAGGACGATGTATGCCGTGGACTCCTTCAGGAAGGGGAGAACCTTCAGCGTCCCTTCTCCAGCTTTGGTGTTGGACATGGAGAGCCAACCTTGCAGAGGACGGAAGACACCGCATTGACCGGGACCCTCGTACATGTCTGTCTTTGCCGTCATGCGCTCACCGTTCGTACCTAGCGACCAGGGATCGTGCGACTGCCAATCAGCAGCCTCTGTGAGAATGTGGTGCCAGAGTCCGCGGAAGTTCTCGCACTCCCATCGCTCAACCCCACCTCCATCGATGTGAGCACCGAGGGCAAACTTGGCATCCCCTGGCTGACGAATTCGCAACCGGTCGACGTAGTTCAGCGGATGACCGAGCGAGCACGCTGTAATGATATCGTCAGTTGCAGCAGCGTTGGAAGGTCGGTGGAAGAGTTGCAGGAAACGTTCACAGGTGGCGAGGAGGTTCGGATGCGATCGTGCAGCCAGCTGAGCTTGTGTCCAGTACAGCTCGTACACCTGAGGATTGTCTTCGGGGAAACCTTTGGCTTTGTTCGCTTTAGCGTAGGCTCGAATTTCTTCCTTCCACTGCAGCACCTGTTTGGAAGGGATGACGTTTCGAATGACAGCTACACCGCGTTCTCTGATGGCGTTGTACGTCTTTGCGTCTGTCCAGTTTTCCAACGCTCCGGCTGCGGTGGAAGATGCGGTGGGGAATTCGATTTCAGGGATGCACTTGCCTCCGAGGATCGACGTTTCAGCTACACGCGAGTTGAGGGAGGACAGGACGTCGCGCCACGTTCGGTGCAGGTGCTCAGCATGGGAGGGAGATGAGACGAGAGACTGCTTGAGTTGGGCGAAACGATCCGGGAGGGCGTCTTCGAGCGTGCCGCCTGAGAGGGTGGCGAAGACGGATGCGATGGTGCCTTCGTTTTTGCCTGCCTTCTTAGGTGAGGAAGTGAGAGAGGGGGACAGAGGTGTTGTGCTTTGAGCAGAGGGCGTGTCGAGTGATGGACGAAGACTGCGTGGTGTCGCTATAAAAGCGCGGCAGTTCGTCACATTGATGCGAGAGGGTCGCGGAATGGTGCGAATGGCGGAGCGCAGCATGATGCCTGACGCTCGATACTGATGGTTGGGTTGTGGCAATGCAGATTGGATAAATGGGTTGAGTCGGAGTGGCTTCAGCTACAACGAGCTGATGGTAGGGGAGGACACATCGAAGGACGTCGACCAAGGGACGAGCCTCTGATACTTATACGGTGCGGCTAGCGGAACGGCGGCGCGGAGCCAGCAACCCTTGTTCCCCCCACACTGAGCGGAGTCTTTGGTGGCGGAGTGGAATGCCTTCTTGGGCGACACCGGTCAAGAGCAAGGCAGCGAATCAATGCTTGTGAGCACTCATAGGACGCCAGCCATCGGAGCCCTACGTCGGCACAATGTAAAGGAAAATTGACCGACCACGGTTCAGAGCCAGCCAACAGAGCTCGATCCTTGCTTGCCCTCTTCGCTTCAATCAACACCTTTCACTGTTGACTTTTCCTTGGGACTTCTCAATCAGATTCGTGGGTGTCGCCGCTGTCTTGTCTGCTTCTGCGGTCCATCCACATTCACTATTGTTATGTCAAACGTCGACCGATTTCATATCCTCCCCCGCACTCGACTTGGCGCGTGACCGAAAGCGAAAAAAGCATCGGCAAGTTTATTCACCGACATATCGCGCATAGACGCAGATGCGCCTAACCAATCAAAGAGTGAAGCCAAGGACATGTCAAGCAAGCCACGGTTATGGATCACGACAACATCATTTGTCAAGTCTCTTTGTCGGAATGTATGTTCGGCACCGGCAGTGAAACCGAGCCGAACGGACTGCCGTTGTGTATAGCCGAAGCGGGGGGGCCAAATGGCAACTCTGCCTGTTAAAGAACGGACAAGACATGCTCATCGCCCGGAAGCATGACGGACCCGGCGAGCTGACTCGGTATACGCCGTCAACCACTGCTCGAAGGCTGAGTGCCCACAGATGGCGCTGTGGTCGACTGAAGGAGCATAAGGTGCGTTCGGGTTGCGAGGTGCGACTTGCTATGTCTGTATCTCATTCTCAAGCGGAGGACTGGCAGAAGAGAGGAAGCATCGCAGGACGACCAGCTGTCAGACTTTGGTCGCGCGCTGATGTTAGACCTGGTTTGGTGCCGAGTGAAAAAAGTCGAATTGCAAAAGCTCTTTGAAAGCGGACAAAGGTATTCGCGGCCCGACGGGGAAGCCACGAAAAAAAAAGAGGCTGAACATGCCTCGCTTTTCGCCCGTGGCTGGCTTGCGACATCAACACAGAGACAGCAAAGACAAGCCAAAACAACACATCCAAATTGGAAAATCTCTCGAGCTCGGCTGTTGACTCTCTGAAATTTCAATTCCAATTCTGGAGGTGCGAGTTTGCTCTTAGCGAGTTTTGGGTTTGGCCGCTGTCAAACACGATGCTCGCCAAGACAGCGATCAAACAGCGTCGATCCGCCTAGTGCGCTGATCCGCAAAGACAGCCGCACCCGCACCCGCACCCGCAGCTGCCTCAGGTCGCTTCTGCTTCTGCTCATGCCGCGCTGCTCCACACTCTGACACCTTTCAACAAGGATCGACGGTTTCGCCTTGGCCTCTCGCCTCTTCTTCTCTTCGCCCTCCAAGCCCGAATTTTCGACCTTCCTTCCTCCTCTCATCGTCATCCCACCTCTTCCACTCTCCGCTCAATCATCGTCGGGCTTTCATCGTTCGACAACACGGCGAGTCACGGCAAACGTAAACAGTCGGGAGGATTCGCTTCTACTTTCAAGGAGCCATGATCAGGGCTCGATCACGGCTGTGAGGAAGCTCAAAACAGACCACCACTGCTCGCTGCCACCACCACCACCACCATTTCTCGTCCCATCATGATGGAGCGACACTATCCACCGGAGCCTGCCTACTCGAGGGCGAAGGCACCCTCAGGCACAAAGGGTCCTTCCAGATCCTCTGCCTCCACAATCCTTGAATCTGCTAAACGCGCTTACAACGTCAACTCGGCATCTTCACTCGCTTTCGATGCCAACGACGGACCTCTGCTTGGAAACAGACTCACCCCAGACACATACTCGCGTAACACGTTCGCCTTCCCTTCTCCGACAAGTGAAGGACCGCCCGTGCAGCCGAGCTTGTTCGCGTATGGTTCATCTTCGTATGCTGGCAGAACTCCTGAAACTAGGAAGCTCAAGGACAGCGATGCGAGTATCTATACCGCAAGGACAAAGTTGAGCACGCGCACCAAAAGCACAGAACGCCTCACCATCCGCAACGCCCGTGGTGAGATCGAGTGGAAGGATGCCCCCGAATCTCTCCCGGCGCTCCCCTCTTCTTCGCGTCACCACCACTTGCCCGTGCCATCCGCCTCGTCACCGAGACGCACACCTTCCCCCTACAACGAGGTGCCGCTAAGATCTCGCGCTCGCTCAAACGGTGCGCTGAATCGTGCCTATGATGACCATCGCCGTGGCGACACTCCCCAGCAACCAGAGATTCCCTTCAGAGCCATCGGAAGCACCTCACCGCTCAAAGCGACGTCCACGCAGCGACCTAGGAATCGTCGCAGATCCACCGATGACGCCGACGGATACCACACAGCAGACGAAGACGATCTCGAAGCGCGCGAATGGGAGCGCAACCGAGAGCGGCAGATGGCCATCGACCGCCACGAAGTTTACCAGCGCCAACAGACGCGAGAGGAGGAAGAGCGTCGTGCCCGAAGACGCGCAGAACGCGACCGGCTGGCTGTCGAGGAAAGGGAAAGGCAACGTGAAGCTGAGGCCAAAAAGCATGCAGAACGCGAAGCACGCCGTCTCGCTCGTGAGCAAGCAGAGATCGAAGAAGCACAGCGCAAAAAGCTTCAGCGTGAGGAAGCGCAGCGACGCCGCATCGAAGCCGAAAAGGCAGCAGCAGAGGAGCGTGCCCGCAAAGAGAAGGAAGCGGAGGAGCGAAGGGCGAGGAAGAAGCAACTAGCAGAAGAACGCCGCAAGCGCGAAGAGCAAGAGGCGGAGGAGCTCCGCATTCGTGAGGAACAAGAAGCAGAAGAACAGCGTAAGCGCGACCAAGAGGAGGCGATTCGCAAAGCAGAGGAGAAAGCAAAGCGCAAAGAAGCCAAGCGTCTGGCTGCCATCGAGCGTCGAAAGCGCGAAGAAGAGGAGGCAATCCGGAAAGCGGAGGATGAGGCCAAGCGCAGGGAGGAAGAGCGTCTCGCTGCTATCGAAGCCGAACGACTCGCAAAGGAAGCAGCCATCCGAGCTGCGCGCGAAGCTGTCATCGAGAAAGCGCGTCAGCTCGAGGAGGCTAAGCGCCAGGTCGAGGAGGAAGATCTGGCAGCTATTCTTGCCGGTCGCAAAGCAGATCGGCTCGCACAGCGCGCTCTTTCCGCTGGCCTTCCATCTGGCGAGCTGGATTCTGACTCGCAGCAAATCAACGGCGATGACGACGCTTCCGACGCCGCTTCCGAAGTCTTTGTCGATGCAGGAACGGAAGACGACATCGACATCGAGGCGAAGAGCAACACGGCCGATTCGATGGCGCGATCCACCTCCAATCACGAAACCCCTTCCAGTACGGACGGCAGCTCGGACATGCCAACCACGCCAAGAGACGAGAATGCACTGCCCTTCTCTCCGCCGAATCCTTCCACGTCGGATCTGGGCCGCCAGCCCTCCTCCAACATGGGTCACGGACAAGTCAAATTCGCTCCGGGGACCAACGGCCAAGCTACGCCGATGCCCGTATCACCTCAGCAGAAGATGGCGCCCTACAAATCTGATCGCTTCCGTGATGCCGTCACCATCGGCGCTAGGCCGACGATTGCATCCGCTTCGATCAGTTCAGCTAAGTCGACCGTGGTGCCGTCCACCTCGCTTCTTACAGCCACGTTTGCTGCCACGGAGGAGGAAGACGATTACAACGATAGCGAGTACCCGAAGGTCCGGCCGAACGGGCCTTACCGTGAAGGCGGCATCACGTATGGCAAAGGATGGTGTGCCCACGGTCTCGCCGACCCTTCTCTCACGATCGACCACCGACGATACGTGCGCGCGCCTCGTGTTTCAGCTGACGCAGAGGCAGAGGAAGCCGATGCCGGATCTACAGACTTTGATGAAGTCATGTACAGCGATCTCGGCGAGCTCATTTGGTCCGCTACGACGCCCGACGTGATCGCATGTCTGATCAGCCATCTCGACTATGCCGACGTCAAAGCGCTGCGTCAGACGTCTTCGTCCATCCGCTTTGCGCTCGGTCAGTTGGCAGGTCGCGAAATTGTCCTTGCCCGCTTCCTCTCTTGCGTAGGCTACGAGGCCTGGACGCCCACCGAGGTTGAAGGCACGACAGTCGACAAGGACCCCTTCCCGCTCACTTTCCGCGACTGCGAAGGCTTCCTGCTCAGTTCGAACCTGCTTGCCGAGTATGCTCTGGTGGGAGCCGAGTGGACACGGGCGCCGCACAAGATGGATCCCAACTATCCAAGGTTGGCCCGCGCCAGTACGCGTGCGTACAATCGCGTGTTGGTCAGGTTGCGAATGCAGCCCAACTTCCGGGTGCCTGTGCCGGCCAAGCAGCATGACGGCGCGACGGCGGAGACGATCATTGCGAGTCCCTGGAAGCCTGGTCGTGCTGGCTTCTTCCGAGCCTGGGTTCCGTCTGCAGAGGCTGGCGGTTGGCTCAGCGATACCGAGCTTGCGCGGTGCGAGCGAGAGCTGTTGATATCCGGAGTCCTGTCGCACTTGAAGAAGGGCGACGTGGTGTGGGATTGCGCTGTTGGCGACGAACGCAATGAGGGCAAGTACGTCTTTGACGGACGGTACTTGCGAGATCTGTCGTTCATGTTCGACCGAGGGGGACACTTGCCTTCTTGGATCAACGCGTTCTGCTTTGCGCCGAGCTACTACCACAACATCATCCGATCGAGCGACGCCTCTCAGCCTGTCATCTACCTCGACGTGCTACCGTGGCGCGACCAGATCGTGTCCACCATGCGACTGGTGCAGGATCATGTCGAGACGTTCTCGCCCCAAGGTGCGCGCTACCGCATCGCAAAGTGGCTCTACCGTGCGGTGATCGATGTTGTTCCTGGCGCGATCATCTCGGACGAAGGGCTCGAGGTGGTGAATGCAGGATGGCACGGCAAAATCGTGATCGAGACGGAGGGGACGGCGGAGCATGCCAAGGAGCTGATCACGCGCTGTGCAGGACCTGCCGAGTCGGCGAAGATCAAGGCTAGGCTGCTGGCCAGCGTGATGAATGCGGATGCCGAGCCGCAGGTGCCCAAGGCTCCGGCGCCGACGGTGGATGAGAAGGGCAATAGGGTAGAGACGACGACGCCGTGGGCGATCGTGAGGGCGAGGAGCAGGCCCGGGTTGATCTGGATCAGGCCAATGGATATGCGCGAACGGGTTGTGTTCTGAACTGGAGGCTGGTGACATTGTAAGTTTATGGACCATGTATTGTAGTTTTGGTTTCAAAGATCATTTGACACACGCATTATTATTGCAGACAGCTCGGTGCGTAATGAGCGAGGATCAGGCATGACACACGCGGTAAACGGTGAATCCACTTGCATTCGTGCTCATTTCAAACAAACTAGAGCTTTGCAAAGCGAGCGACATCGTCATTGGCCACCTCTACGACCCTCGCGTAGCCTGCACCAAGACTCTTCTTGCCGGTATTCTTGACAAACTGTTCAAAGGCGATCTCCTTTCGGCCGTCTTTGTCGTGACCGAGGAGCCAGACTTTGGTTTCGAGTTCGTCTCCCGGCTTGACGGGTGAGGTGAAGCGCACGGCGAAGGCTTGCAGTTCGAACCTACTTTTGGAGCCGGTGGTGTTGGCGGGAACGCCGTCGTTCTTGTCGACGGCTTTGAGGACGGCACGGGCGGCGAAGCCGAAGGAGCAGAGGCCGTGGAGGATGGTGCCGCCGAGACCGACTTTTTCGCCGAGACCGCCGTCGATGTGGATGGGGTTGTAGTCGCCGGAGAGGCGGTAGAGCATGGCCTGTTGGAGGGTGGTTTTCTCGGAGAGCACAAAGTCGGGGTCGCGGGTGGGAGCTTTGGGCGTGGGAGGTTTTTGGACGAGGGATTTGGAGAAGTTGGTGCCCTGGGAGCCGCCGCGGTAGAAGCTGCTACCGACCATGGTGGCGTGATTTCGTCCGACGGGGCTGATGAGACGCACCTCGGTCTCCATGATTAGGCCGTTGGGTCGGTCGTGTACAGCACAGATGCGCTTTTCGAGCTTCCAGCCTTCGCCAGAGATGACGGGTATGGGTGCGTGGATCTCGATGCTCTGCTCACCATGGACGATGGTGTTGAGGTCGAGCGAGGGGAAGCCTGGCACGGCGGATCGGGAAGAAACCATCTCGCTGAAAACGGTGGTGTCCTGCGATGTACCCTTGAGACCCAACACTACGGGATAGGTGGGGAAAGCGCGGAATCCTGCCTCGCGCTCGTAGGCGTAGTCGAGGTCCTTGGGACCAACACCGATACTCACGGCGTAGGTCAAGAGATCGCGGCGGTTCCACGCTACCGGCTGTGTACCGGCATCGTGACCCACGGTCTTGTTGAAATCGACTTCGCTCTTGTTGGACATTTCGGCGGCAAGTTTCGGATCTCCCAGGATGTGAACGATGGGTTGAGAGATGGATGATGAGGATGAGAGGAAGCGAGAAGAAGCAACGAAGGGAGAGGGAGCGGCGGTGCGGCTTGATATGTTGTTGGACAGGACCGGAAATTGCGGGGTGAGGCTTCGGATTGTGGGCCGGAAGCTGGCTAACCGGCTTCCGGCTAAATTTGTTCGCGCCAGAGACGCGCTCAAGCCAACCGCTCCCCGCATTATTGTTGGCTTGGGGCACTGAACCCCACAAATGTAGCTGCGAGCCTTGACCCCCAACCCTAGCCGGCTCGAGCTTGCCGTTGCGATGGTGCAAGTGCGGTATATGAGTGTGTGCTGCCCGTGAAGAAGACTGTTTGATACTCTCAAGGCAATGTCCAAGAAAGCACGGCTGCTGAGTCGAGGTTTAAATGGGTGGTTGTGGTGAGACGAAAAGGAGCACAAGGCAGAGGCTTCGATGGTTAGCCGCTGCTGTGTTTCGACCATAACATCGAGCTCCCCCTTTGACCGCGTCGTGACATCAGTCCGTCGGTAAGGGTGACTCTCTTGACCATCACACAAGCTGCAATGTCTCTACAAGGCGAGCGAGGACAGCACAATCGAGGTGGAAACATCCATATCCATGGAAGAGGGACTAAACTATTTCTGTATGTTAGGGCGCATCATTCACGTCTCAAAAAGAAAATGGAACTGCGCACGAGAAAAGACGCCAAGCCTGAGGAGCCAACGCGGAAATTGCTCGGGCAGGTTGCTGCGATGACGGAGCGACGCAGAGACGGAATTGGCCCCGAATCGAAGCGTCGCAGCTCGTGGATCAGGAACGCCGAACAACGGAGCTCAGGCCATCCATTTTGCACAGCCGCTCACCGTCATTTCCCAAGCTGCTTTCCAGTCCTTCATCGCATACTCCCTCCACGTCCGCGTACTCGTCAACCTATCACTTCCATCATCCTTTGAGGCGATCCCACCTCCCTCACACTTGGCCCATCATGAAGGGAATCGCCAAAGCAATGAAGCGCACGCCGCACCTCATGACCTCGCGAATCGGCATGGCGGCAAAATCCTCAGATCCTGCTTTCGACTCGCTCAACCAACGTTTCACCAACCTCGAAAAGCTCTGCGAGAAGCTCCTCAAGGACTCGACCACCCTGCGCGACACGGTCAAGAACATGCTTCTGGCGGGCGCCAACTTCGGCCGTCACTTTGACACTCTCTTCCAGCCCATCGGCTCAGAATACGATCTGGAGCGCAAACACCCCAATGCACAGACAACCATGACCAACCTGGCGCACTACGGTCAGCTCATGGACGAATTGAAGGATACACTCACCCCGGAAATCGAGTTGATCGAGAGCAGAGTCGTTGCTCCCACAAGGGAGTTCCAGAACATCGTCAAGGGCATCCGCAAGAACATCACAAAGCGCGATCACAAGCTCGTCGACTTTGACCGTCACAACAACTCCTACTCCAAGTTGCGCGACAAGAAGGACAAATCGCTCAAGGACGAACAGAGCCTGTTCAAGGTCGAGCAGGAGTACGAGACTGCTGCCGCCGATTACGAGTACTACAACAATGCGCTCAAGGAGGAGCTGCCGAGGTTCTTCGAGTTGGCGAGCGCTTTCATGACGCCGCTCTTCCACAGCTTCTACTACATGCAGCTGAACGTCTTTTACCTCACCATGGAACGATTGCAGAGCTTCGCAGAGGGCAAGTACGACCTCAGCAACAACTCTATTGCCGTTGTGGAGGATGCCTACGTGGCGCAGTTGACCGATGCTGCTGAACGCCTGGAGAACCTTACGATTCGACGAGGTGCGGTTCCCAGTGCCAAGATTCTGGCCCAGAATAGGTCATCGTCAGGGGGTCTCAGTCCGTCCGGCTCACGCATCGGCGGTCTTGGTGCAGGAGCACCCAGTCGATCCGGTTCCATCCTCAGCACATCGAGCACTTCCGGCTTGCACACCGCTCCACCCGCCTACACCTCGACATCAGCCGCAAGCGCCGCAGTAGCCGGCAAACGCGCCCCACCACCTCCCCCGACCAAACCAAAACCAGGCGCCGCCCTCGCAAAGAACTACGTCGTTGCCCTGTACGACTACGTCGCCACCGCCGACGGCGACCTCAGCTTCAACGCTGGCGACAGGATCGAAGTCACCGAACGAACTCCTTCGACTGACGATTGGTGGACGGGAATCGTTAATGGACAGAAGGGTGTGTTCCCAGGAAACTATGTCAGGGAGGAGTAGAACGGAGCAACGGAGGATCTTCACATGACAGTCGTGCCTGCAAGAGGGTATTGAGATTGTAGTGGATTAGACGCGACACGAGTAGAGACTGTTCGTTTGTGTGACCTTGACAGAGTAGAGACAGCGTTTGAGAGGTGTGCAGTCGCAACGTAGATTGCTAAAAAGCAGACGGTCGAGCGTCAATCGTCGACTTCCTCGAAATGGATCTCGGTATACGGCTGCTGTGTGGACTGTTGCCGCTTGACGGCGTGCCTGTACGTGCAGCTGCGCCAAAGTCGGTAACTCTTCTGGTCGTGGCTGCTCTGAGTGACGGACTTCCAGCTGCAGCGCCGGATGCGGGGTCGGTGCGACCAAAGACGTACGGTGAAGCACTGCTTGTCCCCCGCTCGGCCGCGTCGGCGTTGAAATCGAATACCGAGCGTGAGTGACGCAGTCCCTGACCGCCGGTAGGCGTGGCAAAGGTGCGCTTGACAGGCTCGGGGAGGAAGGAGATGCTGTCGCTGTTGGTGGACGCCAGCTGATCGGGATGCGAGGTGGAGCGGGATACACCCAGAGGCGAGGGCAATGTCTCGGGGTGGCTATCACGGTGTGTGAACGGCGAACCTAGACCGGAAGAGACATCGAATCGCTGGGAAGCTCGTGGCGACAGCAGCTGAGACCGCGACGAGCTCATGCCCATCCCGAGACTGGGCGATGGGGTGTCGATGTCGCGCAAGTCCGATTCGTGCAAAGTCGGGGTCGAGTTGAGTGCAGCTTGACCTTCGGCGATGAGCGCGTTCATCTTTGCTTCGAAGCGAGAGAGCATCTCGTCGTCGTCGTCGTCGTCGTCATCGTCCTCATCACCATTGCCATCCTCATTGTCCTCGTCGTCCTGTGTTGCCACGTTGTTGGCGTTGACACTGACGCCCCCGCTGGAGGAGGGCGTCATTTGAGCTGAGATAGGGTCACGGCTAGAGCTGGGGTGCACAGCAGAGCTTGTTGTCCCGGGGAAAGCGTCCGAAAGGGTCTTTCGAGGCGTGCCTTGCCTGTTCGCCTTTGAACCCTGGAAAGTCGGTCTCCGACGATTGCGCTGCGAGGAGACAAAGACCTTACGCATGCGATTGGAGCTGGATTGGGGCGTAGACGGCTGGTGCGGCTTTGACTTTGAGGGCGTCGAATGGTCTTCATAGTACGGCGGAGGAGGTTCTTCCATTCCTCCAGGAGGCATCTTGACCTCCTTGCTGCCTGCATGACTGTGCCCAGATCGTGCATGCGGCGATATGACATGACCCATGTCCGCTTCCGGCCCAGCGTCTGGGTGATGGCTCTGATGCTCTCCTTCGGCCGACTGGCTCCAAGAAGACCAGAGAGAGTACGCAGTGAGGGCCGCAGCACCTGTGTAGAGTGCAGCGTTGAGCGCGGTATCCACAATGGCTCCTGCCAGACCTCGACGGCGCTTGCGCGGTGGATCGTCCGACGGCACGCTGGCGTCGTGTATCGCTTGAGACGTCTCCCGCAGTGCAGACTCGGCAGACTGACCACCTCGCGAGAGTATCGCGTTGCTGAAAGGGTGAAAAGACGAGTCATCTGCATCTCCGGCGGTGCGGAAGCTTGTCGGACTAGCCGACATGGGCGTGTGTTGCTGACGAAAGCTTGCAAAGGAGACCGAACTGCTGGAAGAGGGCATGGAAGACAGTGAGGCCATCGAGGCGGCAGACGCGCTGGTCGGGAAACCCATTCCAGACTGAAAGCTGAAGTCTGCCTGTGGAACCTCGTGCTGACTATGAGACGGGCCCGACGAGGAGGGGCCCGCCTGTTCCCAAGGCAGCGATCCGAGTCCGCCGCGACCGATCGTTGCCGACCATTCCCTTTTCTTTCCTGAAGGTGTCGACGATGGTGGCGGCATCCGCGAGGTCGATGCATCGGGTAATTCTGATGACGTTGAAGCGGCGAGGGTGTCTTCGAAGGACGATGGCGGAGGACGATTGCGGGGATGAAGAGGACCCCGCAGACGACGCCTGGAGGGCATTCCGTAGCCCGTGTTCATCTTGCCGGTAACGAGGAAGCCGAGCGAGTCACTCGAAGGCAGAGTCGTGCCACGATTGGTGTTTGCGCCTTCATGTGCCAGCTCAAGGCGGATTCTGCACTAAAGAGGAAGGTACAGTTGCTGAAATAGGGTCATGACGGTGAGAGTAGTGAGTAGGTTGGACCTGCCCAAAAAGAGCCTGTGCAGCAATGATGAACTCAGCGTCTATGAAATTCGAGCCGGCCGGCTTGACAGAAAGGAGAATGCAACACACACCATACACACGCGTGCTCTGTCGTTGAGGCGCGTAGATTGTTGCCGCTCAGCAGGTGTTGATCTCCAGTTTGGATTTGTTCAGGGTGTTAGGTTCCGGCCGACACGATCCGTCGAGCGACGCCATGCTATCTGCTCTTGCATACCGGCTATCTGCATGTGCTACCTGCAGACCTTTGCCCTCGCGGGCCAGCAGTTGCCCGGAATGTAGTCATCGATTGCGGACAAACATTCTCCGATGATACCTAGTCGCGGACTCCAACCTGGTTCCCGTTTTACAGGAACGGTCGATAAGAGTAAAAGCCCCTTTCAACGCGGCATGTCACATTGTGCAAGATCTATTATTGCGTCGGGGTCCTGTAGTGTTGAAGAGCTCCGGCACTGGCTGACGGTGAGCTGCACCTCACACAGTTCCGTCGCCGCCAAAGCGCTACTGTTCCGTTCTGCTGGGTGCCGGGACCGACAAAGTCGGAATGATACAGCCCTTCGTGCCAGAAACAGGCCTCGACTGCCAAGACGTCTTTGCCAGGTCGGACGACGCACTTGGTGACGAGCGACCACGGGCGGCGTCTGCACCTCTACCGTGGCCCGACTGGCAAACACTACTCGTCCGTTCTGTATATAACGGACAGGGTTTGAAAACTGCGGTCTTCAAAAGTATCTACTTGTCGCATCGATCACACCTGACCTTCTGTCGTGGCCCGGCGCACACGGCTGAGATCCCCGCATGAGAAGCATGCTGCAGCTAGTGCTCAGCGTACTGGCCTTCATCGTTGCGCTGTCAATACATCAAGTATCAGCAAGACCACTGCTCTCAGGCAGCAATCCTTCCTCGCTGCTGACCCCTCTTGACCTACCTTTCGGTCAATTTGGTCCCGCCGCCAGCCAACGAGGGTCAGGAGCGCCGGGAAGCGACAACATCACAGAGGATGCATCAGGCCTGGCGCCTGCTCTAGCTCCGGGAGTGACCAACTCTCTGGGAGTAGGATTCGACCCGCAGTTCCTCACGGTGACCAGAGATGGGAAGCCGTTCTACATGGTGACCGACGTCGACTTTGGGCTTAATGTGTTCCTCCGGGCTAGCCATGATCTCAACGATATCTATCGAGACGAGTCGAAGAAGCACACCATCTATCACTATCCCGAGGCCACCTACCCAAATGGGGTAGGCACAGAGGCGGCGGATGTCGTCCAGTATGGTGACAAATTTCTGTACACTGTTTCGGCGATTGCGGACGATACAATGCGTGTACTCGTCTCGCAGAGCAGCGATCCTCTCGGCAATTATACCGATCTGGGTCGCGTCCTCGCTCAGGACGGGACGCCTTTAACAGGCTACGACCCGCATGTGATCGTGCATCCTAACGGCAACCTGTACCTCACCTGGTCGAATCACGAATTTGTTCAGATCGTCCAGCTGCAAACGGGTGCTCCAGCACGTGCTGCCAGTCAGGTCGTCGATCTCGTCTCGTACGGTGTCAATACTGAAGCTCCCAGCAGTTGGATCTTTGACAACAGAATGACCGGCTCCCGTACGCTCAACCTGATGTACGCTGAAGGCAACTACTACCAGTCCAACTACAACACTCGTCTGCTGTACATCGATGTACAGAAAGACCCCTTGGATCCAACTCAATGGTTGCAGCGAGCACAGCCCATCCTCGCTTCGGACAGCAGTCAGAGCGTGTACGGTCCCGGTTCCGGCAGTCTCTTCAATGGCCCCGATGGAAACGTATGGTGCGCCTACGGTGCGTTTGCCTCGCGTGACGGAGCGGACAACGGCAAAAACGAGAGATACGTCAGGGTCCAAGTGGCCGAACCGGATGCAAAGGGAGTCTGGTTGCCAACACAAGTTGTTGCGGCTCAGAAGCTAGATTGAGACGAACTATGTTCCGCGGGAAAGTCTTGTGGATTAGATGTATAGGTCGAGCATCAGATGCTGGCCACTCGGGTTCCCTTGGAAGTTGTCTGTAATGTTGTCTGCGAGTAAGACCAACTGGCTTTTGTGTGAGAGAACGAAATATATTCGTACGTCATCACCGCGAGCCACGAGCCCGAAATCCGAACCAAAAACGCGTTCTTTCATGCAGCTTAGCAAAGCTGTTCCTCCAAACTGAGGATCTCCGCCTGGTGTAATTGCAGATGATGAATACAAGGTACCGGAACACAAGCGAGATGGATGATGAATCACGATGATGCGTGAGCTGAAAAGCAGCTTGTTCATAACTTATGATATGGTCGATGAATGATGCCGAGGATCTATTTTGAATGGTAAGCTTTGCGCTCCAAAGTCGCGCGGCGGCGAGATTCCCGCGGAACGGCGAATTTTCTGAGCAAGCAGTGACGAGGCCGAAATTTCTTCCATGTGCGCCTCCACCTTGGCTTCGGTGGGTGACGTTGAGCAGGTAAGAGTGTACCACTGCAGATACACTCAAGTCGAACAGGGTTTGCTTACGGCGAGATCGCGACCTCGTTCCGAGAGCTGATTCAACACATCCGAACCACGCTGAGTTCAAATAGTCCGACCCTGAGTTGTCTTCATCGTCCATCCTTCCATCCCATCTTCCGACCGTACCACATCGCCCTCTCGAGTATACGTTTGCACTGCTCATTGCTCCGCGAGCTCGCGTCGTCGCCCAAAATGGTCGTGCACGTTCTGGACAACTTCTACCTGTCCATCACCTTCCTCATCTCGCTCGGATGGCAACTGCTCGGCTTCGCTATCGCCTTTGGCCTTCAGATCGACACCATCACCGACTTCTGGTCGGCCGCCAATGCTATCTTCCTCGCCATCTTCACACTCTGCTGCGGTGACCAGTACTATGCACGCAACGTCATCGCGAGCATCTTTGTCATCATGTGGGGCGTCCGTCTCGGCGCCTTCCAGCTGTTCCGCATGATCAAGATGGGCGGAGACACGCGCTTTGACGAGATGCGCTCCAAGCCGCTCAGCTTCCTCGGCTTTTGGACTTTCCAGCTCGTCTGGGTGTGGACGATCACCATGCCTGTCACCGTGCTCAACTCGCCCAACTCGAGCGATCCTGCTCAAGGCGGAGGAAACGCTCGATTCGGTAACGGAAAGGACGTCGTCGGAATCATCTTCTTCGCCGTCGGTTTCGTTGCAGAGGCACTTGCGGACATCCAAAAGTACAGGTTCAAATCGGTCACCAAGCCACCCAAGGGTGCCATCACCGACGCTGGTATCTGGAAGTTCTCTCGACGACCCAACTACTTCGGCGAGATCATGCTGTGGTGGGGTGTCTGGCTCCTCGCTCTCGGCAACTCGACAGAAGCGAACAAGCCTGGCCACGATGCCCTCTACGGCTCCATCTTCTCGCCTCTGATCACCATGGCTCTTCTTCTCTTCCTCTCCGGCATCCCGCTCGCCGAGAAGCCGACGCAGCAAAAGTATTTCCTCATGTCCCACGGTCCCGACAAGTCGTCGGATGGGTTGGAGCCTTGGCACGAACAGACCGAGACCGATCCTTGGGAGAGGATGAAAGCCTTCCGCCAACGCACCTCGCTCCTCGTGCCTTTGCCCAACGCCTTCTACAAGAGGCTGCCAAAGGCGGTCAAATCGACGCTGCTGTTCGACTTCCCCTTCTACAACTTTGACGAAGCCAAGGACGGCACAAAAGCCATCAAGGAGGCCGAGGACAAGAAGAATAGCGACGACAATGCTTGATCCCTCTGGTTTGAAATGCAGATACCCAATGTTGCGATGTCGCTTCAATGCTTTTTTTTCTATTTCTATGCACGAGTCTGTGGAATGTCCTGAGTCGACTGAGCTTCCCTTAGTCGAGATCCGCCCAACGAAGAGAAGCGACAACGACCCAGCTTCCACGATCGCTGATGTCGCCCATCTCCTCTTCCGCTCCCACATCCTCAGCGTTGTCAGAGTAGCTGTTAGCGTCGTGATTGGACTTGCACGGCATCGGTGCTCCGGACCAAGGACGGCGCGAGCCGTCGATGTTGCGTTCCCACAGTCCGCCAAAGGTATCCTCTTCCCAGTCTGGGATTATCGCTCCCTTGCGTCCTTGCTCCAGCTTCGCATCATCCGAATTAGCTGGTTGGGCTAGCTGGAGGAAGAAGCGCCGCACAGCGGGTCGACCCGTGTGAAATCCTGCAATGAGCGCGCACCGTGCATCTCGATCCCGCTTGAGTAGCTTTCGTATTGAGTGGATCAGCAGTGGATGTGCTGACGAAACCCACAACACGTCGGCTGCCAAGACGAGGTCGTATCCCTCAATAGCCTCCGATTCCGACAATGATCTTGAAGCGCGTAAAACGCGTGCTTCTTCGTCGGCGTTGCCCCAGCCAAGCCCTAGCACTTGGACTCTTTTGCGAGCTTCGGTATAGTATGGATTGAGTTCTCGCTCCTTGCCCTTTCTTGACGGTACAAGCGCTAAGTCCAGATTGCGTTCGAGGTTGTCAATCACGTGCGTATCCGGATAGTCGGTGATGACTGTTCTGTCGGCGCCCATCACGCAAGCCACCAGACCCGGCAGACCTGTCCCAGCACCCAGCTCCACCACCGTCTTGTCCCGCACATCGACGAAACGCCTCTCCTCCTGCTTGCCTTGCGCTACTCCGCCGTGACTCTGTTCCGCAATGAGATCCGCAAGGTACAGACCCGCATCCCACTGATGATGTGCGAATAACTTCGTGTTCGTGCCGCTGTTTTGCGAGATCTGGTATCGAATCGTTGTCGGACGATCTGGAGATGTGGCATAGCGCGAAGGGAGGTTTGGGTGCGTGTACTTGCAGGTGTCGCCAGGGTCGCCGTGTGCGGGTTGGTTGTGCGAGAAAAGAGTGAAGAGCGAGTCCTCGAACAGGGATGTAGGAGAATGAGGGCGTTCGCTCCCTTCAATTGTAGTAGAGGAAGATGAGCTTGACGATGCTATGGACGAGGCATCGTCGTGAAGGTCCCGAGCCTTCATCGCCGTGAAATGTGAAGCAGTAAGAAGTACGAAAGGTAGGACGAGCTCGTCAAGATAAAAAAGAATTTTTTGGCGAACTCGGGTCCTCCACCGAGCTTCTGGACCCTTGTTTTTCTGGCCCGACCACGCATGTCGCTCAAACTATGCCGCACACGCTGCCACCATCCAATTCCTGCAACCACCTTCTCCATGGCAACAGCCCCGCGATGCCACTGCCGAATCTAAGACGCATCTTCAGCTCCTCGCGCACAGACGACCAGGAGCGTGCCGTCTCTCGACAGGCGTTCTTCCGATTCTGCAGCTTCCTCACCTCGTGCGCTGTCATCGCTTTGCTAAGCAGTCCTAAGCGTAGGCGCGCAATCGGTCTGTGAGGTCTGTCGCAAGCATGGTGCCTCCGCCAGCTATTCCGCCTCGACCACACGGATCACAGCAACCGCCTCCATATGCACAGGAAAAGTCCACCGTGAGGTTCACAAATCTCCAGTCTGGCGAGACAGTGTTCACCCGGCTGCTCATCGTCGAAGGCACTGTCGATTCGACCACCAAGGATGGTAGCATCACCGTAAGCAGTGACAGCAAGTCTGGATTCAAGCCTGAAAGGTGGGAGATCAATCAGGGCTATTTCAAGGCGCTTGTACCTCTCGTTCGTGGGTGCAACAACCTGACGTTCGAAGCCCAGCTTTCAGGGACAAGCGAGACAAGCCGCACCACGATATCCGTCACATACGACAGGCCAGCAAACGCGCCGCCGCTGCATCTTGCCATCGTCGCTGCGTGTGACTCTCCCGTCTGGAACAATGACGGTCGAATGCCTCCTAGCGTCCCGCTCAAACCAGGTAATCCGAGTGCCGCTGCTGCGGTCAAGGAGGATCGGTTCTCGCGTTTTCTAAGCAAAGCTATGGACAAACTCGATCTCGCGGCAGGTTCCTCACATAGCCCGGTCGACGAGCACGATCGCGCACTTGTCGATACGCCTCCTGGTCCGCGACGTGAAGCATTCAAAGCAGGTGGTCTCCACGAAGTCAAGCGACGGATAGCCCTTCAGGCCTACCTCTGGCAAGCCTTCCACTCGGAACAGATGAGAAGGCATGGCATGGGTCGGCGCGCATTCCAGCTCGACGACGAAGCATCGTTCGCACAAGGAGAGCGATCGCTCGAGCTGCTGCCACGTGTCCATCTGATCAAGTCGCGCCGGACGCTGCGAGAGTTTCGTGATCCAGAGAACGCGCAGCAGAAGCCCAACGCCCGAAACGGTGGAGCTATGCATGCCTTTGCCGCGGAAGCGCTCGAGGACCCTTCGACTCCGCGCGAGCTTCATTGGTCGCCTGTCGCTGTTCTGACGCTCGACACCATCTGGGATCCGAAGATGCGGCTGCTCCGAGCTCACGGCGCTGTCGGTGCGGGTGGACCGGGCAGCTTGTCCCACGGCGTGATGGGCTCGCACTGGCTCTGGGCTGCACCACGATCGCTCGACCAAGTCACAGCTGCTTTCTTGGACACAGAGGCCACGGACGAATCCTGCTGCGTCAACGACCTCGACGAATGTCCGACCGCATGGCAGACGCTCAACATCGGATCTGGTGCCTTCTTCCACGAAGCGGGGCACGCCATGAACCAGCCTCATTGGCCAACTGGGCTGATGGCGAGGGGATACATTGAATTCTCTCGTGCGTTCATGACGCGGGAACCTGGTTGCAAGAGGAATCGTGTTGCGCCGGGTCGATTCTTCGCGCCTATACACGCGGGCAATGACGACAAGCACAATCATGTGCATCGAGCTCAAGCCGTGCGAGCGAGGTGGCATCCGTGCTTCGTCCTCCCCTCTGATCCCATCTTGCCATACTTTCAGCCTGGCGACCATTCGGCTTGGATAAGGTGGAACGAGAACGAACCTTCGTGGACGAGTACACCCCGTGGAGCGCTCTTGAAGTGCGACTCTGGCATCGGGTCGATTGAAGTCGAAGTCAACGGGGACTATAAAACGCACGTAGAGTGGTTGAATCTGCAAACCCCATCAGGACCACCGCAGATGCCGCCACGAGAAACGATGATCGACGCATCGTACCTCAGCAACCTCGTCGGCTTCGATGTCATGCATCCTTCCTCCCCAAATGTCAAGCTCAACGCTCTCGCCTGCAATATGCGTCAAGCCGAGCTCGATGGATACAGACAACACGCCATCGCGAGATCACTTCACATCGAAGGCTTCGATGCCTCCCGTCGAACGATCTTGAAGACACTCCCGCTAGGTCAGGTCAACCGTTCAGGTCACCAGTGGGATCTCATCTTCCCCTTTGCCAGAGACGATGTACCTCCCATCGAGTTGGTAGCCATCGACATTTTCAGCGGTGCAAGCTTCGATGGGTTTGTACTGCACTATTCGAACGGCACCACGAGTCGCTTTGGTCCGTGTGGGGGGTCGCCTTTCCGCATGCAGGTAGGGAGAGGCGATCGAATTCAGCGCATCAGTGTGAGGGCGGGGGCGTGGATCGATGCGGTGGAGGTGGTGTTGAAGAACGGAGGGAGTAGTGGCATGCGAGGCAATACGAGCGGTGGGTCGTTGAGGGTGCTGGAGCCAACGGATAGAAGAGGGGAGATTGTAGGGTTGTACGGGACAAGTGGCGACTGGATGGATTCCGTCGGTGCTTATACGAGCTCTCCAGCCTGAGGCGTTGGAGTTTGTCTGACATCATAAATACGAGCGTCGCAAGCAATGAAGAAACCTATAGATTGCAAAAACGAAAACAATCAGAGCAAATCCGTGAGCTAATCAACCTTTCTGTTCTGCTCATCAACCATCGAGCTGAACTCTCCGTTCGTCTTCGCCAGCAACTCGGAAGGACTACCGAATTCGAGGACTTCCCCATTGCTCAGCACAAGAATCTTGTCGTAGTCCATGATGGTGGACAGTCTATGTGCGATCGTGATGGTCGTTGGTCTTCCGGGGACTGCGACGAAACCGTCGGCGTCGGCGTTCGTAGGCTTCATGGGTCTCTTGGACTGAGCACGTGTGAGCTGGTCAGACTCGCAACTGTCCTCGGGAGTCGTAGCTGCGGATGCAAGGGCAGCCTGGATCTGAGCATCTGTGTCCGAATCAAGGTTCGAAGTGGCTTCGTCCATCACGAGTAACCCCCTTCGCTTGAGAAGCGCACGAGCCACGTTCAGCAGCTGCTTTTGGCCCATGCTCAGACTTTGCAAGTCGAGCGGGTGATCGAGTCCTTGCGGAAGCTGCGAGATTGTTTCGAGCATCGACGTCTGCTTGAGGACTTTGTAGTAGACTTGATCGTCCGAATGCTCGTTCTCGGGATCCAAGTTTTCGCGAACAGATAGCGAAGGAAGCACCATCGGCTCTTGCGGGATGTAAGAGATGTTTCGCCTGACCGAGTCACCGGTCAGCGTAGCCGTGTCGACACCGTCGATCGCGATTCGGCCAGAAGCTGGCTCGAGGATGCGGAGCAATGACAGCAGCAACGTCGACTTTCCAGATCCGCTGCGGCCGCACACCCCGAGGCGCTCGCCTGGTCTGAGTGTGAAGCTGACGCCGCGCAGCGACATGGGACCTTCCGTACCACCGTAGCCCACTGTCACATCCTCGAAGCTAACACCAGCAGCAGGAGGATAGCGACCTTCGTCCAGTGCTGTGCTCGGCATTTCCTTCAACTTGCTCTTGTTGTCCTTTGGATCAGCCGGGGTCGTTATGATCTGCTCGATACGCTCCAGCGAGACAATACCAATTTCGAGTTCCGTCCAAGAGGACATGAGACCGTTGAGATCCGAAGATATTGAGATGGCCTGAATCAATGCAACTGCAACCAATCCAGCATTGGACTTGTGCCTCAAGCTCACGGCAATGAGCACGAGGGCGGTGTTGAGCACCATGCCAAGCAGATTGAGCCAAGTTAAAAGCCAGACGCGTACCGTCCAGAGCGAGTAGTATGGTCTCTGCGACGTATCCAGAAGCGAAGCGGTGGCATCGGCAAAAGTCGCCTCCATCTGCAGTGCACGGATGGTCAGCAGACCCTGAAGGTCCGCGGTGTCCTTGAACTGAGAATGCAGTGGTGATTTAGTCGATAGCTCGAGACGCCTCAAGATCCGTGAAGAAGGGCTGTACAGCTTGTAGATGCCAAAGTATAGGGTAGCCATGGCAACCATGGCGCCCAACAGGTAAGGCGCAGGCAAAGCCATGAATACCAGCGAATAGCCAAGCTCGACGATGAAGTACACGAGATTGACCAAAAAGGCGGGAATCTGATAATCCAGACCGTAGATATCTTGAGTGAAACGATTGATCATGCGACCCGCGTTGATGTTGAGGAAGAAATCGGCGCCAGAGCGAAGCATGCCGGTGATTTCGTCGTGATGAAGCTTGCGTGAGACGGGCGGACAGAGCAGGTACATGTAGATCAGCAAGGAACCGCCGTAGATGACCACCCTGGACACAACGAGCAGAATCACAACTCCGATGTGGAGAGCGAGAGAGCTGCGCATCGTATCCTCGGTGACTTGCTTAGCCCACGCTTGCAACCAGAGAAGCTGACCGTTGGCTAGACCGGTTTGCACAATGAGAGCGAGTGTGTACATGACCGCAACCCACCAGCCTGCTGCATTGAAGTACCTGACGAAGACTGAAAGCTTAAGCCCTCCTTTCATGATCTCCTCCTGCTCTTCCTCGACATCGAGGACCTTGCGCTCTTTTGCGGCTGCGGCACGTATCTCAGCGGCAGCAGATGACTCGCCGTCTGCATCAATGCTATCTCGTTCCTCACTCGAGCGGCGTCGGATGGTGTCGAGCCTGTCGGCAAGCTTGGAGACAATGGTCTCGCCACCCTCTAGCATTTCTGCTGCTCCTCCTCCGGTCATTTGTATGATCCGATCCGCAAGCTGCATTTGCTGAAGAGAGTTCGTTGCCATTATCACAGTTTTGCCTCGCAGCAGGCCGCGCTTTCGCGAGAAAAGCGCTTGATTGATGCCAGCGGCTGTGGGAGCATCAACTGCACTGAGAACATCGTCGAGAACGTACGTTGGAGCGTCTGCATAGACGGCGCGGCAGAGTGCCAATCTCTGCTTCTGACCCCCGCTGAGATACTTTGCAAGAGTGTCATCGCCCTTGGGTAATTGTTGAACATCAAGTGCGAGTCCGCAAGCTTTGATTGCACGCTGGTAGCGATCTTCGTCGAAAAGTCGGTAGAAGACGACATTCTCCTTGATGCTCCTTTCCCCTTGTGTCCATGGATTCTGACTGACGTACGCAACGGGAGCCGATCGCAGCGACAGCATTGCCTCGCCCTGCAACACTTGCAGCTCGCCAAGTAAGCTGCAAAGTATAGAGGTTTTGCCTGTACTCACTTCTCCTACAACGACAGTGAGCTGTGCACGAGGTATGACGAGGCTGAGATCGCGAAGCACGGGCCCGTCCGTTTTATCAGCCAAGCTTGCCCGTGCGGACGTCGGACTCGAGCCGGAGACGTCAAGGGATGCTGTAACATTCGGTCCCTGCTTCCAAGCGAAGGAGACGCGATCAAATGCGGCGGCAGCTGTAGCAGCAAGATGAACCTTTTCAGTTGCTGGTACCCAGTCTGTGCCTCTTTCACCCGCATCTTGTTCGGGAAGCAGCAAGAAGGTCTCGAGCCGCTTGAGCGAGGTGATGGTCGAGAGGACGGTGGCGTATTTCCTGGCGAGGGTGAAAATAGGACGTTCGATGATGCGAACGATCGTGATGCTGGTGAAGACGGTGGAGGTGTTGAAGGGAAATGCGCCGGTGCTATGGTGATGGAACGCCGACACAAGCGCAAAGGTGACCACAGTGCTGGCGAGTAGGATGTCCCCGGCCGAATTGCCAAGGAGCGAACCGAAGAGAATATCCCAAAGGTACCGGATAAGGGCATCAACTTCACGATGACGGATCGATGAGATCTTGGAGATCAAGAAGCTCTCAAGGGCGGATTGCTTGACCGCCTTGATAGAGTTGATGGCGGCAGAAGTGAGACCCGTCCGATCGTCGGTGAGCTTGCTCCATTCCCGTTGCTTGGCGGAGGTGTCCCTGGCCATCAGAGGAATTGAGGCGAACAAGAATGCCAATGTCACGATCGTAGCCATGAAGGAGACGCCGATCTGCTGCCACAAGAGGTAAAGTGACACAACAATGACAATGATGGCGCTTGCTACTTCAAGGGCAGGATCAAGACCGCCTACAATGCGTTCGATATCGATGGACTGCATGACGGTGGGCGATGGTGTGTTGCCGTCTTGGAGGGCATCGACAGATAGAACAAGCGTCTTACGGTACACTGCATAAACGAGTGCACCACGTAGTTTGCAGGTCGCCTTGTAGATAGAGAAGGTAAAGTGTCCAGAAGAGAGTGCTAAGAGGAGGTAAACAAGCAAGAATGCACCCACGATGCCCCAGCCGTGGGCGGCCGGCTTCGGTGTTTGCAAGGGATCCGAGTAAGATGCGATGAAGTCGAGGGTCTCTTGCACAAGCAAAGGCTGCAAGAGGATCATGACCGTGTACACCGCCTTGGCTGGTACTGGCGAAAGCAGGACGCCCGCAAAAGCTTTTATGGTGGCTCGAATGAGGTGGGGCCGAGTGGATTGGTCCTTGGATAGAAACGTGCTCCTTTCTGCAGATGTCGCAGAGAAGGCAAGGTCTGACATGAAGACGCCCTCGGAGTCACGAGATTTGATGTCGTTGGGGTAGCCGTTCCCATTGAAGCTGTCACCGACCGCATTCCCGCCTGCACTAGCGTGCCAATATCGAAAGAGCCTCGCCTCGAGTGAACGAGAAGAGTAAGAAGCGGCAAGGGGCTCGATGTCGTCCAATTCGATGGGCTTCTTGGTTCCCTTCCACAGGGGCACGAGGAGGTACAGAAAGAATATCTTGGACACGAAACTTGCTCGTTCTTCGGCCGTCTGGCGCGGGTCGAAGGGCTTGGTGGAAGTGGACGCAAAGAGTAGCGACTTTGCGCCCAAGTCAGCCGCAAGCAGCGGAAGAAACGCCGAGCTGCGCGCTGCAGGCACGAAGTAGAAGGTGCGTAGTTGAACGGCAGAGAAGAGCGAGGCGAATAGCAGGAAAGTGTTGATGAGGGTGACGATGGGCGTAGATCGAGCTGGACGATGAAATGCCAAGACACAGAGGACTATCAGAGCTGAGAATGACTCAAGGACGAGCGAGGGCACGACCATCGTGTCAACACTCGAGCTCGCGACACCAGGGAGGACACGAGGAGCCATTGCCAAGAGCGCGACCACCAAAGCGAGGTGAGCCACCGCCAAGAGGATAGCGCCTCCATCGCGTCTGTGAATGCATGCCGAGCCGCGATCGAGAGGAAGTTGAATGTAGCGTCTAGAGGACAGCAGAGTCCAAACGATCAGGCCCAGAGCGACGAATTCAAAGATGGCGTTCGGCAGCAAGGAGAGGATGCTGCACTCGAAGCGAAGGGTGAAGTCAAAAGCCCTGCACGTCGAGACGGGCCCAAAGCTGCCATCGTCAGCGCAAAAGATGGAGCGCGCCATCTTCCTCGACGATGTTGCGGACAATGAAGAGAATTGAGTAGGACGGTGAGAATGACGACAGCTTGTGGTGGGCACAAGGAAAGGATCGAGTCTTATACTGTCCCTTCATCCCATCCTCAAGGCTTGCGAGCAGTTCTTTTGAGGGCTAGGCGGACCCTGATTGCGAAGCGTATCGGTGCATCTCAGCCGGTCGCTACGCCAAGATAGGAATGGCTGGGGCGGGAGCCTTTCGGGTATCGCCACGCCTTGAGTGTTCTGTCTAGCCGAGGTTCGGAAGCAGCTGAGCTGTTTCGCATCGAACGGCAAGGCGCGTGTGCTTCTATGCTCCATCTCCGTTGGAAGAATGTATGGCACCACAAAGCGGGGCTGCAGTTTCGAAGCCCATTCTTTACCGCCAGATTTCTTTTTCAGCAGCTTGACAGCGGAAAAGGGGGCACTCAGGCAAGAGTCCGGAATAGTCTGCTCCGAGGCCACTAAGGCCCAAGATTATCCGCTTGTTTCACACGGCACAGGAAGGCTCCTTACCAAGGAATGCTTCTCCCACAAACATGTTCTCGGATGGGCTCACTTCTGCGTCACAAGCGAGAGGCATGCTCGGTGCGGCTTTGCGCACAACGGACTTTTGAGAAGCTATCATTTTTGTACCACAATTTTGCAGTTGTTTTATTGGCGTGACCATTTACTTTTTTCGAAATTATCAAAGTGGAGTAAGCTCGCTGACCAAGGTCAGGGACACTTCCTCCATCGACGTCACGAAATATCAACGTGCTTTGTGTATCATTCGAGGTCGACTGCATGCTTCGGACGAGCACTACACAAGCCGGACGAGCATTGCTACGATCTCGTCCTGAGCTTGTCTCGCCATCATCACGACCCTTTCGCATCCGGCACCTCAGCACGACCCCATTCATGGCACGCAAGTCGGCGCGAGCAATCGCAGCTGCCGATTCAACAGCCTCTCCAGAAACCCAAGATGCGAGTACTAGCAAAGTTTCGCTGTCAGACCTCAACCCGAAATCATGCTTGACGTGCGGGAGAGTGATAACGCCACGAGCCAAATGGGCAAAGGACTGGAACGGGATCAAGTATTGTTCGGACCGTTGCAGAAGCAGCAGACCTGGCAAGATCGTCGCCGCGTTCAAAATCGAACAGAAGAATCGTGAGGCACTAACTGATCGCTCTGGAGTGACCTGCAGTGATAATGATGTGAGAGTGGACGTGGAGACATTCGTCGAAGGGGTGCTGTTGGAGATCGCGGCAAAAGCCGGAGGGGGGACACTGGAGGACGCTCAAGATCGGATCCGGAGCTTGCTCGAAAGTGCATCAATACCAGTCGGCATGCGCGAATCCGAGACCAAACCCAGCGATACAGACGAGGACGAGGATGGGCAGAGCCACAACGCATCCACTGAGATCGACGACAGTACCCACGTGCATCTTCTCTGGAAAGCACTGGACAGCCCACCCGGTCTACGAGAGCGCATCCGAAGAGCAGCAAGACGTCTAGCTCTTGGTCTCACTCACGAATCGAACACACGACAAACGAGCATCACGACAACAGAAGCAGGATCGTTGGAGCTGCTGCAAGGCGGCAAGGTCTTGCGAACAGTTCAAGATTTGTCTTTTGCAAAAGGTGTCTTACATGTAAAGCTGAAGAATAGTTGATTTGCGCACATCTTGCCGAACGTATGCTGCTTTGTGTGTGTGGGCATCACTTGCCTTCTGCGATCTTCTTTGTGGACTTTCCGGGCTCTTCAAGGAAACCGACATCCCATCCCATTTCTTCCATGGTCCAACCCAGGATCTTGCCGGTCTCCTTGTCGATGACGAAGAAGTTGAGCCTAGTCGAACGCTTAGGATCGTGTGAAATGTTGTTGACTTGCTTCATCTCTTCATCGGAAAGCTTGATGAGCGTGATGTTTTGCTTCATACGCTTCTCGTTGGTCGACTTGGGTGCGACCGAGGTACCACGCTGAACGGCCCAGCTGAGAGCGACGGTGGCAGCGGTGACGTCGTGCTTCTTGGCAATCTCATTGAGATCTTTGTCGTCGTGGATCGAAGCGTTGTACTGACCCAGTGGGCTGTAGGCGGTGATGTGGATGCCCTTTTGCTTGCAGTACTCGACCAGCTCGTGTTCGGGCAGGTAAGGGTGTGCTTCGATCTGGTTGACGGCCGGCGTCACCTTGCTCGTCTTGGCCAGAATCTCGAGGTTCTTGATGCTGAAGTTGCTCACACCAATGGCCTTGACCTTGCCCTTGTGCGAGTTGAGGAAGATGTCCTCCATCTTTGCCCACGTCTCGTTGAAAGTGGGACCGAGGTGCTTCTGGTGCTCGAGACCACACGCTTGGCCCGCACCAAATCCGCCGTCGTCCTCGGTGAATCCTTGGGGCCAGTGCAGCAGCCACAGGTCAATGTAGTCGATGTCGAGCGCTTTGAAAGAGTTTTCGAACTCCTTGACGGGATCGTGCACTCCGCCGGGTCGGAGCTTGGTCGTCACAAACAATTCGGAACGTGGGACGCCGGATTGACGAACTGCCTGGCCGACCTCGCCTTCGTTCTGGTATCCGGTGGCGGTGTCGAGGTGACGGTAGCCAACGTTGATGGCCTTGACGAGAGCATCGACGAGCTCGTTATCGCGTCCAGGACCCGGCTGACCTTGCCAACAGCCCATACCCACCGAGGGGAGCTTGGCACCGGTGTTGAGATTGAAGCTGGGGATGTCTGCTGCCATTGTGAAGGAGGAAGAAAGTTGGTGGTGGAAAGAGAGGGAGCTGTCTCGTTCCCTTCTCGTCACTATATGAGGTGGGACTCAGTCATCGCGGAAAAAGGTGACCGCCTATATCCGAAGGGTGGCTTACAGATTACCGTGTGCATTCGTGCCGGCCATCTTCCAGATGCAAGCACCGCTATCTTTCGTCCATGCATCATTAACAATGACGTCCGTGCACAGGATGTGAATTTTCAGGTGGAGTCGCCGACCGAAATTAGGAGCGTGTGTATTGCCGTCCTTTTCTGGTGTCGATGCCACTCACCTTCGTCCGCGGAGACTGAGCCTCAAGCTATGATGGTTAGTTGGGCTCAAGCAAGACTCATGCACGTATCGGGAACCTCGCTGAAGCAGAGTCAAATGATTACGATGGACAGGAATGCTTTTGATCATGGCTTACCACGCGGTCAGAGTCTGCTCAGCAACCCATTTACTACCCTTGGGCAGCGTCTCGAATCCATGGACAGAGCCAGGCTCGACGCAAACATACTTCTTCCAGCCATCCTCTTCCAAGTCACCGATCGACTTGTTGCCTTCTTCTGCGCAGTTCCACAGCACAGTATCCTTGAGCTCTTTGGATCTCGTCACTTCGACACCCTTGCCCATCCTCCCCAACGGGTCTTGCAGCAAGCTGGCGTTGTACACCAACTTGACATCGCGCGGCAGTTCGCCAGCTGGAGTGCCCTTGTGCTTGCCGACGTGGACACGGTCGATGGATTGGGCGTCAAAGGTGAAGTTGTCGGTGTCGAGCTGGAATTCTTCTGCACCGCGCACCTTGTCGATGTAGTACATGCCGTTGAGACCCTGGACGGAAGCTTTGGTGGAATCGGGGACGAGGAGGTAGTTGTGCAACAAAGCCTGGAAGGGCATCTCGCCCTCGCCGTCAACGTAGTTGACCTTGAATTCGCATCTGAGCGAGTGAGGCAGCAGCGTCACGGTGTACTGCAGCACCGTGTGGAAGGGCCATACAGCTTTGATCTCGGGCTTGTCGTCGGTGCGCAGCTCGAGCGTAACGCTCGCCTTGTCCTCTTCGTCCACGCTAATGACATGAGTAGACAGAGCCCAGTCGTGGTCGCGCGCGAAACCGTGCTTGCCGAGCTTGTTGATGAGCTCCGGTGCGTCGGCGTGATCCTTTGGCGAGCCGAACACGGGGAACACAATGGGAATGCCGCCTCGAATGGCAGCGCTGCCATCGAGAGCTGCTTTCGAAGAGAGAAAGAGTCGCTCGCTGCCGCCTGCCGCTTTCCACGAGGTGACGGTGGCGCCGAACAGACGGATCTCGGCCGAAGCCTGAGATTTAGGTAGCGCGAGCTGTACCGTTGTGCTGTCGTTGATCAGAGTGACTGGCATCGCGTGGAACGGTGGGTGTGATAAGTGTTGCAGGAAGAAGATGCTCTGCGTCGCTTGGCACGATAAGCTCCACAAGTGAAATTAGAGCTCAGTCGGTCTGTGCAGGCTGAGAAGAGGTCAAAGCGTTGAACAAGCGGGAAAGCATCGCCGATCTGAGAAATCGTTCGACGATCGAACCGATAATTTTCGACCTGATTTGCCGTGTTCAACAACTATCCACGCAGGAGAACACCACTTTCCCATTTTGGAAATCGTTTCGATTTTGGCTGAACATGCAGCGAGCCCCTAAATCTTGTTGTTTTTGTGAATTCACCGAGGCCAAACTTGACAGCTCCGACATCAACCGCGAAATCTTGTTTTGATGATGGAGCATCATAACTCAGGAGCTTGGATGGAAGTCACGAGGCCAGAGGATAAGGTCGGGTTCATGAAAGGGCACAGGCATGCGCAGAGCTGCAAAGTCTTTGTCGACCGGTACAGGAAAGTGGATGCAACGTAGATTGGTGGGAGGAGCGCTTGTGCACTAGGGTGCATCATGCATGCACAACACTAGAATCTCAGCGGCAATACAGCTGGGCCGACCTGCCTATTCGAGCGACGCTGACGCCTTCGAGCTGTGGATCGGAGTTCATCTCGAGCTTTCTCTGTCTTTGCAGAGCCCGCTCGAAGCCTACCTTCATTTGGCAGCGAACCTAAGCCAGCGAAACACAGCTGTCGATGCAAGGCACGGCGAGTTAGAGCTTCGATGACGGATACATGTCCGCCGATTGATGCTCTTTGTTGATTGTAGCTTCGTTTGTGCTTGTGCGCTTTCCGTACCCCTAGCTTGATCTATGCACTCCACATCCACTTGCGCCTCATCCCCTCCTCGAACCTTCCTTAGAACCCGTCCACCACCATACCCCTCTGCCATTGACACTCGATCGACTAGCACATTACACCATGCCTTCCAGAGTAGCCTCCTCATCAGGCTCAATGGCGACTCCGCCACCGAAGAAGAAGAAGGGTGGCCTCTTTGGATGCTTCTCGAAGAACGCTCTCGATTCACTTCCCCGTAACGCTCGAGGCGATGCAGCGGCCATCATTCGACTCCAAGCACAAAACATCTTTGAGCACATCCCCACCGCATCCGATGCGTCAGCGTCGACAGCTGCCGTTACGCCCCTCACCGAGGAAAAGGGCCTGCTTAGGCTAGCAGAGCTCAACAGTGCGGCTCCATCAATTTCTGAATCAGCATCTCCTGTCAAACGGCTCTACGCACAAGAAGTCATCGAAGGTCACGAAGACGAACCAACTGCTTTCGAAGAGCGGTACAACGAGAAAGTGGACCAACACGAATACGACACCGAGGAGGCACGCGACGTTCTACCGGACGATGTACCGCTCTCCACAACTGACGGAGTCAACACACCGAGCGCAGTCAGGAGTCTGAGCGTAGCAAGCAAGTCAGGCCGAATCAAGCGCTCGCTCAGTCTCAAGAGGAGCGGCAGCACTGCCAGCACCAATCTGATTGCTCGCGCTCCCCCCGTCAGCTCTGCCGACTTTGCCGACTTGCCTGCTTCGTCAAGCTCCTCCTCAGATCTTGCGGAGAGAGACGGTGCTGGACTAGGAGACATGGCTTCGATCAGGAAGGCGAGAGGACAGCACCGTACGGGTCACGAGCGAGTCTTTCCAGACATCAGCGAAGATCTTGCGTTCGAAAATGTTCCCATTCCACCAAAAACGCTGCCTGGCGGTATACAAGAGGCGGACCTCACCACACCCCTCAAGAAGCGAACGCTGGCACTGTCTATGCCCGAGTCGGACAGTATGAGAGCAGTAGCTGCAGCTTTGGAAGGCTCGCCTGATTTGGTGCGCTACCATCCAGGTCCTAGGGTCAGCACTCCGCGACTCGAATCACCTTCCTCCAACCGAGCCCCTTCGTCCGCAGGCATCCGCAGTCAGCGTGCCCAACGAAGCGAAGACACGGTGACGGAGCTACCTTCTGCTTCCACTGCACCTCATGGATTCTGGAACTCCGGTCCTGACGCCGATGAATTCTACGCTTCCGGAAGAACGATCCCGTTCCAGTACGTGACGAACCTCTCACGACCGGTCTCAATCGCCTCTCTCCGTTCGCTCGCCTGCCCCAGCACGCCGCCGCGAACCTCGTCCCGACCGACATCGCCCAACGGAACATACCACGGCCTTCGCTCCACCAAGAGCTTCTCCGTCTCTCCGCTGAAAAAGCAAGCCACGTTCAACGGTTTCCCACGAACCTTCTTCCCTGCTCCTTCCACCCTCAAACACACTCCCAGCACAGCCAGTCAGCGACGGAAACCGGCCCCCGAAGTCACGCCATCGCTGATCATCGCACATCACAAACAGATCTCGCAGGACGCCGAAGAGGAGGACGACGTCGAGCACGAGTTGACCGGTGCTCAGGGTCACGCAGCGTCTCGCTCGCACACGTGTTCCAACTGCGGCACGGTCGAAGACACCCGCGACTTTGCCGCTTTCGTCGGCAAGGGAAAAGCGTCGAGACGAACATCGGTCAAGCAGCAGACGTTGAACAAGCCTGCGCCGCAAACCGCTGCTACCGGTTCGCTGAGGAAGAGCAAGTCCGCCATGCTGAAACACGAGACATCGATGGGTGAAAACACGCTCACGAGGTGGGGGCTAGCCGAAGCGTTCAAGTCGACTACTCAGGGTGAGGTGCCGGAACAGCAGAAGCTGCCGGCGAAGAAGATGGTTCCAGGTCCCGGTGGTGGATACATCACGGATACGGCCAACGTGAGATGGTGCAGCGCTCTGGATGAGATCAAGAAGGCGTTAGCAGATGACGGGACGACCGCTGCCAAGCAGGACGAAGAAGAGGAAGAGGCGAGAGTACAGAAGGAGACTCAGACTGCGTTGGCGCAGGCAGACGCAGTGTTGGCCAGGCTCGGCGTTGAAACATAGACCTCCACGAGTTTGTTCCCTTGTACAGATTGTGACGCCTTTCATAGAATTGATAATGACTTTGCAAACGCAAACAAGTGCCGAAGCGCAGCTCGCATCACACAAGAGCGGGGGATATCAGATGACCCAAAAGTGGTATTGAGGTGAAGCCAAGATCGAGCAGCTTGCGAATCTACAAGAGAGAAGCTACGAAAGAATGTGTGTCGACCGACAAGCCGTCAAAGGCGAACAAATAAAAAAAATACAAGTCTTGACCGCAGGAAGAGGGAAAGGAGCAGAGAGCAGGGAGTGAATTTTGAACCACGACTACAGCACAACAGCTCCCTTAATGAGCGTTGCCTGTAACGTGGACCTCGTCCTGTGCGCCGACAGGACCGGTTCGAGGAACCTCTACGGGGGAGAAGTTGGGGCTACCCGTCGAGTGCTTCTCGTTGGCCGAGCTGGTGGAAGCTCGTGCCTCGACGTCGTCCTCGGCACCGTACATGGCGTTCCTCTCCTGCTCCATCTGCTCCTGACGCACCTGCGCCAACCTCTGCGTCTCCCTCCTGCCCTCGAGGTAGAACTCGATCTCGTCATCCGTCATCTGCCAGAACTTCATGTTTCCGGCCATCACCTTCCTCATCCAAGGTGGAACGATGGCCATGAATCCAGTGGTGTCGTCGTTGGCGGAAACCATTCGTGCACCCCAAGGCTCCTTCATGGTGTCCCATCCATCCGGTACGACACGGCCGCGGGTGGCCTTGGAGATCAACCAGGGGAGGGCGTTGAGGGCGATGTAGCAGCAGATACCGGCGATCAGACCGTAGGCGATGTTGAAGAAGAGCGGGATGCCGACGATGGTGACGAAGGCGGGGATAGCGTCACCGACGTAAGACCAGTTGACCTGGGCGGTGTTGGAGGCCATCATGGAGCCGACGATGACCAGCGTCGAACCAGTAGCCCACGAAGGGAACGAGGCAAAGATGGGAGCGAAGAAGAGCGAGAGGAAGAACATGAATCCAGTCGTGAGACCGGTGATACCAGTGCGTCCACCTTCGGCGATACCAGAGGCGGACTCGACGAAAGCCGTGTTGGGCGAGCATCCGACCAAAGAGCCGATCGAGATGGCAACCGCGTCCGAAAGGTAGGCTGCCGAAGAGCCTTCAAAGTCGCCGGTGCGTGCGTCCATGAGGCCGGCGTGGCTGGCCATGGCGTACAAGGTACCGGTGGTGTCGAGCAGATCGATGTAGAGGAACGAGATAAGTGCGTACCAGACCTTGCCGTTGCTGTAACCGGACCAGTCGATGTTCTTGGGACCGAGCATGCCGAGACCGTTCCAGTTGGCGACCTGCTTGAAGTAGTTGAATGCATCGTCGCCCATCGCCGTGTGCGGGAAGAGGGTGACGGGGGTGTTGCGAGGCCACGAGACGATGGAAACGAGGAGGATACCAATGAGGAAGGCACCCTTGACGCGGTAGAGGAGCATGAGGGCGGTGAAGATACCACCGAGCATGACACCGAGCCAAAGGGTGGGCGACTGGAGCTTGTGGCTCTGGCAGAAACCGCTAGCGTCCTCGTACTGGGCGGGGCAGCCAGCGAGACCGATGAGGTCGGCAGCGTTGCCACCGATGACACCGAGACCGTTGGGGCCAAGACCGATGAAGGCAAGGAAGATACCGATACCGGCACCGGTGCTCAACTTGATGCTGTGTGGCAGCAGGCGAGCAAGCCACTGTCGGATACCGAAGAGCGAGAGCAGGAAGAAGATCCAGCCCTCGAGCCAGACAGCCGAGAGAGCCTGGCTGTAAGGAATGATACCGGTACCAGCAACGCCGACGATGGTGAAGGCAAAGTAGGCATTGACACCGAGACCGGGAGCGAGACCAAGAGGCATGTTGGCAAAGAGAGCCATGAGCGTGGTACCGACGCAAGCGGCGATGGCGGTAGAGAAGACATAGTCACGGTTGAGGACAGCGACGCACTGGTTGTAGGCGGCGTCATTGGCGCAGACGGGGTCGGCGGCGGTGTGGGCGCATTCGCATGGACCACCGGACGAGCTGAGAATGCTGGCGTTGACCGAGAGAATGTAGGCCATGGCAGCAAAGGTGACAAGACCGGCGCGGATCTCGGTGAGGAAGCGCGAGCCGGGTCGCGAGAGGGGGTGTCCGGAGCCATCGAGTCGGAAGTAGTAACCGACAGGCGAGGTGGCGACCGCCCTGTTGAGACTGTTGATGAATCGGTCCATGTTGTAGAAATATCGATCCGGGGCGTTCTACTGGGTCGATGAGAGGATATGGAGGTGGGCGACACAGAGGAAGCGTGTCGATGCTCGGCGTCAATCAAGACTCGAGTAGACCAGGTGGGTTATGAGCCCGGAAGAGGGGATGGGGAGGGGTGATGTCGAGCGGAGGAGTCGGTCGGAGAGGAGAATGATGGGGACAAAGCATCCAAAGAAGGATCAAGTTAAGTACAAGATGGGAGCCGGGTGTGGCGAGGGAGCAATTCTCATTCGTTCAAATCTCGACCTTGTGCGATATCGAGCGCGGGAAGAGCCTCTCGACTGTGCCATTGCAGCTCTCCGACCACATACATTGTCGGTGACAGCCCGTAGACGGGCAGCTGTATCTCTGGAACAGACAGTTCGCGTAGAAACAAGCGAGGCAGATGTGCAGCATGAGAAGGGGAGGCACGGCCAAGGTTCTCAGCGACAGGACTAGGAAGTTTCGCCACGCCACTATCAGTAGCTCAAGGAGCGTGAGCGTGAGAGGGGTCCACCAACCGTTGCCGTGTAACCTGTCACAAGTCGCTGCAATTCCTGAGAGATTAATTTGTTGACAGGTTCGAGACCGAATCGAGCAAGGAGGAAAAAACCGACTTGTTCCGCAACGAGTCAATTTCTTTTTAGTAAAAAAAAGTTACATTAAGAACAGAAGCCCTAGGCGACGTTCGGCTTGGGTTAATTGAACCACTTTACCTCCTCTTCCTTGTCGAACCAGGCAGAGAAGATGCTCTGCGATACAGGGCCGCGATAACAACCGTTGACTGTGATAGCCTCTGTCTCTGTCGAAGCTCGTAGAGCAGAGCTTGTACAGCGAGCCTAGCGTTTGTTTGGTGGGGGCATCTGAGCATCTGCGTTTGCACTGAGAGGTGCCGGAACAAAAAGCGAAAGCCACACTGCACAGACATTGAATGCTGCAGAGAATGCATGAGCGTTGAGGAAAATTTTTTATCGTGGACGTTGTGATTTTTTCTTTTCTTTCCAGTCTTCCACACTCAACTCCGAGCTTCTCGCCGTTGGAAATTGAATTCGAGCGACCCGGTGCAACGTTCCGGTCAACCTTGCTTCCGGGGATGCCCTGGCAGGCTCGCACAAGAGCTGAAAGTCGTGGCTGGTCCGCAAGGTAACGTGCAGTGACAGAGCGATCGTTGGCACTAGAGCGCATGCTGTGAATTCTTCTCTTGCATCTCGGTTGCACTCACCAGAATCCATATGGTCGCACGGACTAGGAAGGTCTTCTTTCTGAACACGGCAGATCACCGGCGGCCAATTGACTTCTCGAATTTTGCCAATCTCGAGGCAAAAAGATTTTGCTGCATGAAAAGGCGTCCGACGGAGCTTTAGGATGCAGGTTGAAAGATAAGCGACGTTTCGCGTGCATCTGGCGCTCCGGCGCTCAACAGCCAATCACCTGCAAGGGCACAGTCGCGTGAGGACGAGCCTTTTTTCCGGCCGGGACCACTCAGTTCGGCATCCCATCGCCCAGATATCTGTTCTCAACACCATGTATCATGTCAAGTCTGCTCGAGGGCAACCATCGAACCTCGGCGGCATCCGAGACGGAGTTTCGACATGCCTGATAACTGATATTCATACTGATCTCCAACCAATGGCGAGCGCAGGCAAACGATCCACAAGGCCGGGGTCCAATGACAAGGGCCGGATTCCCAGACTGCGGGGCCGCTCGGCCATCTCCGAGAAATTATCTTGTTGAACAACTGTGCGGTACTATTCCCCGATCGAATGTGCGTCTTTCCGGCCATTCGTGGCGACTCCGTTCGGCCTTCTCGGGACCTACAAAGTGGGAACGAAAGGAGTTCCCGCGTCCACGCCCACACACACTGAGTAAACAAGGCGTAGATAAGCATCCCAGACGGCTGCTTATCACGGACAATTGTTACCCCGCAATCTCGAGCCTCTTTCATCGTCACCTCACAGGTCACATGCGTCCCTGACCTTGTTTCGGTCCTCTCCGGCCTCGAGTGTGGGCGGCTCAAACGCAGCTGATATCGCCTACTGATCGGAGTCCTTCTGACGATCGCGAACGAGTCGTACGTCCGCAGTAATTAACGTCCCGCGCGGTTGGACCGGTATCTTCTCGCCCTCGGACTTGGCCGAAATTTCCAAGGGGCTTGGCTCGATCGCTCTCGGCCTGTAGAAATCCTCTCTGGAGCAAACAGCACGCCGTCTCGTAACACTTTGTGACATTGCAATACTGTATCATTCAGCAATACTGTATCATTCAGGTACAAACTGAAGCAGCGACGAGGCCAGACAAAAGCAAATTGGAATCAGCAGATCTCTTTTCATAGAGTGAATGAACGTCGCCAGCAATCACACGCACTTCTGCTCTGCAGCCAGGGCCCAAAACTCGCCGCGCTGTTGCAACAGCTCCTCCGGACTGCCCGACTCGATCGCACGACCGGCCGACATGCAGATGATCTGGTCAAAGTCGATCACCGTTGCGATCCTGTGCGCGACTGCGATCACTGTCGTGTCTGGAAAGTGCTTGGCGAGGACACTCTGAACAGCAGCGTCGGTTTCCACGTCCATGGCGCTGGTGGCCTCGTCCAACACTAGAATCCTGCGCTTGCGAAGCAGAGCGCGTGCTAGCGACAGCAGCTGCTTTTGTCCCGTGCTGATGAACGATTCGCCCGTCAGCAGCATCTCGTCCAGCTTGTTCTCCTGCTTTTTAACAAACTCGGCCAGGTGGCACTTGTGCAGGGCGTCCCACAGCTCGGCCTCGGTGCAGACGCCCTCCGGGTCCAGGTTTTCTCGGATCGTGGCAGCGAGCACCAGAGGATTTTGAGCGACGATCGTCATCTGTGAGCGGAGCTTTTGCGAGGGGATCTCAGAGATGCTCTTGCCGTCGATGCGGATCGTGCCCGATCGCATCTCGATCATGCGGAAAAGCGCGAGGAGCGTCGTGCTCTTCCCGCTGCCCGATCGTCCTACCAGGCCGAGACGCTTGCCTGCAGGGAGGTTGAAGCTGATCTCCTTGACCGCTGGCTCCAGCTCGGCAGAGTATGACACGGTGACGCGGTCGAACTCGATATTGCCTTGCACCACATGCGCGTTTGTCGTGTCGCCGTCCTTGCCTTTGGCAACGGCGGCAATATCCTCCTCGGGCTCCAGCTGGCTGAATTCGCGAACTCGCTCCAGCGCGACACCCGCGATCTCTACTTCCGTGTAGCTGATGACCGTGTGGTTGAGCAAGATGCCTAACTCGGTCGCCTGCACCAGCGCGACACCGAGCAGACCAGCCTTCGACGAGTGACGCAGCACGACCACTAGCAGCACAAGTGCCACATTGATAATGGTGGTAAGCAGCAGCAGCCACGTCTGCAACCATCGTCGTACAGCAAACAGATGGTAATACGGCGTCTGCGAGATATCCAGCGATCGTGTGTTGAGCTCCAGAAGCGACGCTTCACGTTTCAGGCCTCGAACGGTTGCCAACCCCGACGGCGAAGACGTTTCGGAGAAGAGCGAGTAAAGCGGACTCTTGGCGCCCATCTCCAGTCTTCGAAGTTGGCGACTCGAAGGGATGTAGAGTCGCTGCAGTCCCCACGAAAGGACGATCAAACCGACCGCTAGGACGGCGAGGTAAGGTGCTGGGATTACCATGGTAACAAGAATACCCAGCACCGACAATGTGATCAACGCCGCGTTCGTGAGAGCCTGAGTGAAGGTCTGATCGACATTGAAGAGATCCTGCGAAAAGCGATTGATGATCTGTCCCGAGCTCCATTTGCTGAAAAACGACAGTGGCGCCGAGAGGACGCCTCTGAGCTCAGCGGCATGCAGTCTGTTACCTGCCGACTCTGCGCAGGAAGTCTGGAAGATCCAGAAGCTAACGGCGAGGAAGATCGGGTTGAGCGGCATCAGGCACACGTAGCCTGCCATCCAAGCACCCCAGTCTTGGAACCGGTGCCTCTGCTGTGCTTCTGCCCATGCTTGCAGGTAATACGAGGGCGCGAGAATTGCTGCAGCACCCAAAACACAGAGGACGAAGAAGAAGGATATCTTTCCTAGGCCGGCGGCCTTGAACCAATCGGCGTACACCTCCCAGCCAACGGATCCAGTCATGACGGCTTCCTGCTTCTCAGGCACACCGCTCTTGATTGGCTTGTCTTTCGTCTGATCGGCGGATGGCATGGCTCTCTGCGAGTCGATGCTTGCACGCGAGATGGCATCCTTGCCCTTCATGGAAAGCTCCTCGTAGCGACCTTGCTCAGCGATCTTGCCACCGTCGATACGCACGACCAGCTGTGCGTGGTGGAGGAGATGTACAGCGTTGGTGGCCATGATGACAGTCTTTCCTTGAAGAAGGCCTGCCGAGCCCATCAGTGATCGCCACATGTGAGCAGCCGTCTCTGCATCGAGGGCACTGGTGATGTCGTCAAAGAGAAAAGCTTCGGCATCGCTGTACACAGCTCGAGCCACAGCAACTCGCTGGCGCTGACCACCACTGAGCGCACTGGCCGTAGTGGCATCACCTTCTTGCAAGCCATCGATGTCCTCTGTGAGAGCGCACGCGCGAAGGGCTGTGACATATCTCTCTTCGTCGTATTCTCCAGTCCCAAACACGATGTTCTCGCGAATGGATCGTTTCTCCTGCAGCCAGACATCCTGACTGACGTAAGCGACACGGTCAGCAAGGAGAGGAAGCTGCTGCAGGCCCTTGATCAAGTCTGACTCGCCGAGGATCGCTTGCAACAGCGTCGACTTGCCTTGACCGAGTCTTCCAGAGATCATGGTAAGAGCACCGGCCGGGATCTCGAGATTGACACCGCTGAGCACAATCTCTTGCGACCAGCCAAGATCGGCATCGACAAATTTGGCAGCGTAAGCCTGTGGAGCATCCCTGGAGCTGGAATTGCTGGCGTTGTCAGCGATACCCTGATCGATTGCATCCTGAACTTCGGGCTTGTCTTGACTGTTCAAGAACTCCTCGATACGAATCATACTGGCCCAGGCTTGTAGCAAGAAGCTGTATTGCTGACCTATCGCGAGTAGAGGAGCTTGCAAGATGCCAAAGATTGTGAGGGTTGTGAAGACCGTGTTCAGATCGAAACGGTTGCTACCGCTTAGCCTGTCTACGAGAATGAGCGTGACAAACGTCGATAGGCCGAGAAGCTCGCCTGTGCAGTTTGTGAAGACGACAACGCCGGTAAGCTGCTTCATGACGTTGCTCCGCTTGATCAGTTCTTCCGCTCTGACCTCGGAGATCTTGCGGTGCAAGATGTCCTCGTAAGCCGATGCCTTGACGCCTTTGATATCGGACAGGATGCTAGAGGTGAGGTTGACCCGCTTGTCCGTAAGGGCACTCCAGGCGCCTTGCCGCGTCCCCATACCACGACTTGCGAGCGGTGTGAGGAGCAAACAAGCGAGAACGGAGACCATCGAAGCGAAAAAGACGAGGCCAAGCTGGGTGTATAGGAGGTAGACACCGATGGCAATGGTGATGACGCCGCTCCAGAGATCGTGAACGACGGTAGTGGCCTTGACGACGCGTTCGCTATCGACACTCATCAGATTAGCGGCTTTACCTCCGCCGCTGGTGCGCGCAGTTCGGAGGTGCAGGTTGAGGCCCTTCCGATAGATAGATTCGACGTATGCGCCTCGGATCTTGCACATGAGCTGAGAGCTGGCATGCCAATACTGGCCAGTGGCGAAGGTCTGGCCGAGGTAGACGAAGGCGTACGCGCCGACGAGACCCCATCCATAGACGACGGGCTGTGCGGTGACAGCCTCGCCCTTGACGGTGCCTGAGTAGGACTGTACGAATGCCAGCGTGGTAGAGACGAGCAGAGGCTGCGCGAGTTCGGCGGCAGTGAGCAACAGCTTCCAAGGCACAGGGAGAAGCGCAGCGAGAGGGAAAGCCCGAAGCGTTGCCCACAAGAGGCCACGGTTCGCATTTCCTCTAGGGAAAGATCTTCCGTTGTAGAGTTGTGCAGTTTCAGACGTTTGTGCTGGAGGTTGAGCCTGCTGCGAAGAGAGCTTCTCAAGCGGATACGATTCAGCGCTGGAGCGCGAAGCGTTGTGTTTGACGTCCATGCTCGCGCCGTCATCAAGGTGCTGGAATGCAGATTGACCCTGTTGCGGCTCGTTTGAGATTCCAGACCAGCTGGCGATGAAACTCTTGGCAAGTGAACGTCCGTAGAATTCGGGCTTCAACGAGTCGAGGTCTTCCATCTCGAGTGGCTTGCGGAAGCCGTTCCACAAGAGCGGAAACACCCAGATGAAAAGAAGGCGCGAGAAGAAGCTGGCACGCGATTCGTTGGTTGAGTTGACATCGACACCGCGGATGCTGGTCGCGTTCTCGACGGTGAGCATCAAGGCTTGGCAGGCGAACGCGATCACATAGACGTAGAAGAAGGACGTGTGTCGAATAGACGGGATGGCGTTGAAAGTGCGGATGCGGCAAGCGTCGAAGAGCAGGGTCAACAGGAGCCAGAGAGGCAAGGCCATGTTGCCGCCGCGGGTCTTCCTTCGTTCGGCTACGGAAAGTGGGATAGCGAGAAGCGATGCAATGAAGGGAAGCACGACGCTGGGCATGCCTGTCCGATCATCCATGGCATGCCTGAGCGAGTGAGAGGACGGTGCTCCCAGAAGGCCGATGAGGACAAGGCTGAGCACGGCATTGCAGATGTAGACGGAAGCGCCAAAGAGACTGATGGGATCGGAGTGGGGAGCACACGATCTGAGAAGCGATAATCGAGGCTGCGTCGCAGAGGTAGGGATGTCGGGCTTCTTGCGAATGTGTGTCAGTCTAGCAGCGATGAGCAAGATGGCGATGCTCGACGGTAGGATGGCAAATATGGCATTGGAGAAGGTGACGGTAAAGTCGAAGAAGCGGCAATCGGAGACGGGCGTGAAGAGGCCGTCATTGCACACCGACATGGTGAAGCTGCCCAGACGAGGGCTTGTGCCGGTCTTGCACAATACGGTTGATCGAGCTGCGTTGATCCGTCCACGACGATATGAGGTGAGCGTGTGCCAAAGCAAGATGTCTTGGGGGAAGAATGGGTGAGGTGATCAGGACGGAAGATGGTGTGGGCATCCCAAAACCGAGCTCACAGTCGTTGGCCTTTTGAGGACATCTTGCAACGTGAAGTGTACGACACATTTCGGAGCAAAGCTGAGTCGATGCAAGCTGCATCAACGCTGTCTGTGAATGTGCGGAAGCGAAGGCGTTGGGGGCCGGCCAGTGATCTTGACAGGTGGATAGCCCTATCTGCAGGGTGCTCCAACGGAAAGTAACACATGTGTCCGCTACCGATTCCTGCTGTGCTGCCGTCCACGTCCACGGCTCGGCTTGATGGTCGCGTGCTCTCGGCAAAAAAGGGGAACGCGATAACGCAAGTCGCCGTTCCTGGCTGAGTTGGTGAAGCACAACTCCTCTCCACGCATCGTCAGCGCTGGCTCTTTTGTAGTGGATCAGCTCCGCCCGCAGCTCATTACTATTTGCACGACCGAGACATCTTCGAGCCATTCGAGACCTGAGAGCCACTCGTTGTAAGCTCGGACACGTATGTGGCCAGGACGAATCGAGGCGACGAAGGATGTAGTGACATCGGAAGCAAACACCTAAACTATTTCTTAAATTTTTCCGTTGGCGGAGCACATTCGGAACAGGGTCTTCCGACAGCTGTGCCTCTGATAGGGCAGCGTTTGCTCCAACATGACTCGGTCGCTTGCGACGTGGATGCGTCGAATTGCCCCTTCATGTCCGTGGACATGCACACTGTGCTGCACAGTGTAACGTCAGACCGCCGCACGTGGTTTCATGCTCCCACTTACACAATTCCACGATATGACGGCAAGTCAGATACTGACACGCACTCGCTTCGTGGTCACCATACGGTGAATCTCACATCATCGATGCAGAACGAACAAGAATACAGATTAGAATACAGCAAGAGAAGTAAGTGTTCTTTCCAGGACACAGCGCGGTGATGGAGACTCGAATCAGTGATAACCGTAGCCCAGGCTTGGCAGCTGAGGAGGACGGTCACTTGCCAGGCCTGCGTTCCTCTGGCAGCCCATGCTACCATACGGTTCTGCTGGATATCCACCTGGTGCGCCCGAGGCGTATGCGTTGTAGTCGTACGATGGCCTGCCGTACGCTGGCGTCGCCGCACGTGCATCAGCGAACGGATCAGGGTTGGCGAATGGTGTATCCATGCCGTACTTGGCTTGGATGTCTGCCAAAGGATTGGCTCCTCTACGATCGTACGAAGACATCTGCGGTGGCGCAGGTGGACCGCCATAAGTTGCTGGTGCTGCGCTGTATCGTCCGTCTCCTCCTTCGCCATATCTTGCTGATTTTGCCGCTTCGTCAATGGTGTCTTCGTCGTCAAAGTCATCCACCGGCTCGAAAGCGGAATCATCTCTAGGATGGACAAAGGGCGGGATGCGAGGTCCATTCTTGCGCTCCATCCTCCACTGTCTCAGGAAGAGAAGTAGAGATAGGAACCACGCAGCCCACAGGAACCAGCAAAAGGCAGCCTCAGCTCGTTTGGTACGACACCAGCCGCCTAGTTGGTTGACAAAGTCGGCGCGATCCTTGCCTTGTGCGTGCGGATCCTTTTTGGGGTCTTTGCAACCGGCAGAGGTAAAAGCCGAGATGGTCTGGGTCATAGCGAGAATCAGAAGCAAAAAGCCAAACACGCCGTTGGTGACCAGACCAACGCGTGCTTCGGAGAGGGCTCGCGTCAAGTTCTTCATGGTCTTGTATCCTGAGCGTTCGTAGATGATGGGGACGATGAGAAAGATGCTCGAGGCAAGCAAGCTTGCTGAAGCCAAGAAGAGCAGCAAACCCGTGAGACCCGAAGGGCCGTTGACCCATTTAGCTTGGAAGGTGGCCATGTATACGGCAATGAGCAACGTCACCACAGCGAAGAAGACCTGGAGAGCGCGCAAGATCATGTTCATCCTCGCCACGCGCTCATCCTGCGCATGCACTACGGTTGCCACTCCCGCCGCCGCGTTGCTGATGCCTTGACCGTAGGCTATTGCAGGATGTGGCTGATCTGCTCCTCCGGAATCCAGCTTGCCCCACACCTTTTTCAACGACATGAAGTCGGGCATGGTGGAAAGACCTGTGCAAACGTCCTGCGGTGTGAAAGTTCGATGCGATGGTTCTCGAGTGATCTGTCGGTTGTGCGTTCCGGGCTTCGTCGACGGTGGAGAGGTCGACAGGGTATGTGAGTAGACTTGGTCGTCAAGAAGCGTAAGTAGATAGGATATGGGATAGTCTTTTGTGCGCGTGCACGTGTGAGTGCGAGCGCGGTGTTCGTGGTGGTAGTGATGGTTGAAGCCGTTGAATGGCGAGTGGAGGCTGCAGAAGCTTGACGGCCTGCAGTGTGGCTGCGGCACCTCTTGAACCAACACACACACACAAACGAGCCATGCACAGCCCGGAAGGCCAAGGCACGCAGCGAGGGGAAAGGGGTTCCGGTTCGAGCCCCTCTCTCGACTCGCCAAAAAATTAGATGTTGACTAACAGCTCGTGAAGACGCGATCCGTGAAATTAGAGCTCCCTGATCTGTTTGCATCGAGCCATCTCCGCCTCAAGCCCCTGACTCAAAAGTTGATTCAAATTTTACGGCGCGTCGGCAGGAGAACAACACTTCGGTTTTCAAAAGATTGTTAGAACGAGAGAATGGACACATGTCTGGCCGAATTTTGACACCAGCGCCGACTTCCGGTTGAGATTTTGTCTGACCTCATTCGTACTAGTTGGGAAGCTTTGCGTCAGGGTTCATCCTCCATAGCTAGCCCTGTTGCATACGAGAACAGCCTCAACCATGCATCCAGTATGTCAGAGACATCCATCGCATCGAATGCAGAAGGATTGAGTCGCTTTTGCTGACCATGGTATCGTCTTCTCTCATCCTCCTGTCCTCCTCCTCCTTTGCTCATCGATCTGCGATGACACCAGCATTTGGTCGGTGAGGGCAAGCTGCAACGTGAGTGTCGATTCCAACAACCCACCAACAGCACAGCTTTGATCCGTGGACTGACGCGTAGCTCTCCTTCTTGCCCTTGTCTCTGCAGATTGCGCACACCTGATTCAGGCTCTCAACGAATGCCACGCCAAGGGTGTCTGGCACAAGATCACAGGAGGCTGCAACGGCATCAAGCACGATCTCAACATGTGTCTCCGGCAAGAGGTCAGTCTGAGACCTCTCTCATACCGCCGGTGCCTCGCGTCCGCTAGCTAACCCTCCGTCTATGTCATCTTCTTTCTCCTCTTCGCCAAACACCAGCGTGTGGAACGCACAGCCAACCACGTGCGGGAGTCAAGAGAGAGCCGCAAAAAGACCGAACAAATATGGAAGGAAATTGACCAGGAATCTTAGGAAGCAGAAGCACTGTAGACTCAAGGACCTACCTGCAGCCACCGCATCAACCTTGCATTGTACTATAATATAAGCACCGTCTCAATCTGTATCACCATTCGACACAGCTAGCCTGCCGGATTGTCTCTTTTCCAAGCGCTCTCGATGGGCACACTCCGCAAAGTGACATGAAGAGCCTTCTATTCGCGTGTACAAGAACAAAACAGCTCTATAATCCGGAATATGCAACCAAACTGAAGCAGATACACTAAGATGAAACCCAAAAAAACCACGCACAACTTCTTAACGAATTGGGCCTCCCATTGCAGGGTCCTGAGAAGCCGGCCTACGACCGCCATCCAAAGCGAATCCCTTGAGGTCGTCCAACGACACCACGTCGAGTGCACGCTGATGCGTTGCATCGAGCTTCACCTTGGGCACGCCGTCCTTGGGCAACTCGCCGCGCTTGTACGCATCGAAGCTCTGCTTCCACCTCGATACGCAAAGGCACCACGAACAGCCTTCCGAGAGGATGGGTCGGAGGTCGTTGCCTTTGGATGCCGAGTAGTCGAGCCACTTCTGTGAGACCACTGCTGCGACCGTGTGCGAGCCGCCATCAGCCGTCCCTGTGTTGCAGTACTATGAGACGGAAAGGAAGGAATGAGTCAGCGGTCAATGTCATATGCTGTTTGTCTAAACTAACCGGTTGTAGGAAACGTACTCCATCTCGGTAAAATCCAGTCATGGGACTAGTACCACACTGCCCGAGTGGCCGACCGAACACATTCAAAGGACGGTCCATCTTGAACGGATTATCAATCGAAGATCCCCAACTGGAGCCGCTATCGCCTTTTCCTCCTACGCTGTCGGAAGCGTGACTTGCGTTTCGAGACGTGATGCTGTTGACAGCCGCCTTGGCGCCTTTGTGGTGCCAAGAGATGGATGCGCTTGTGCCTAGGGTACGGGTGGAAGCGAGGAGCAACAGACCAACGATGGTTTTCGTCTTCGTTGCCCTGTTGAGAATAGGTCGTGAGGAGGAAGATGAAACGAACGTCGCCAACATGAAGGATATGGTAGGGTTCAATTTGATGACAGATGGTCTGAGCTGAGTATACCTGCGGAGGTAAGAACGAGGATCACACGAGAAATTGTATCATCAGGGCCGCAACATGACGTTTCACTTGGCCCGGATCTTGACCCAGTAATCGGGAACAACAGCGGCTGAGGCCATGCAAGCTCTGCTCACATGATGATGACTTTTCGGGAATGCGAATGATTCAAACACCGAGACCTTGCATGATTGTGGAGGCGTCTCAGTCATCATCAGCCCGGTCACCGAGCCGAACAGTTTATGGCCAATGTTGGGCACAATTGTTCATTGTCTCAGGCAAGATGGCCGAGTGGTCTAAGGCGCTGTGTTCAGGAAATCTCGATTTTCATCGCAGTCTTCGGGCGTGGGTTCGAATCCCACTCTTGTCACCATTTCTTTTTCTTCCGTTTTCGGACACACATTGGCAAAGACAGACCTGAGGCTTTCAAGGCTGCACAATTCTGATTCCAAGTAGAAAGAAGCGGGAGATGCTGTACACGCTAGACAATTGCAGCAAGGAAACAACGACGACAAGACCATCATCGAGATGAAGCGAGATAACAGAATCAACTCCATGCACCACCAGCTCCCCAAGCATCGGCACCTGATCCAATCGCCTCGCTCGACGCCGTCTTGTCACCTTCGCCCGCTCCGTTTGCTGCTCCGATGAACGGCATACTCGTTCTAGGCTTCTTCTTGAGCGCGCCTTCTGCTTCCTTCTCGCTGATCTTTCTCTTCTGGTCTGTACCTTTGTGCGACTTTGCCTGTTTGCGCAGATCCACGATCCCCGCGACGCTCGTGTTGACCTTCCTATCTTCCACCTTGTCCTCTGCCTTCTGCTTTGGTTTCTTCGCCTGCGCTTTCGAGGGTGCACTCTTTGCAGGCTCCGGAGCGGTATCGTCGAACGTGTCGAGTTCCGTTCGGCCTTTGCTCTCCTTTTGCCTCGCCTTGGAGAGGGAAGAGGTGGCGTCTTCGAGCACGCCTTCTGCGACTTGAGTTCGACCCGAGGCGATCTTGGCGCGCTTTTTCGAGAGCTCGTAGATGGGTGCGAGGCGCGCTTTTTCTTCTGCTGCATCGACTGCTTCGAAGAAGCCTCGGTCGGCACGATCGGCGGTGGTAGACTTGTCGGCCGTGCTTTCGGTTTTGTTGACCTTCTTGCCGGAACGAGTTCCTCGTTTGTGTTTCGGCTTGGCGCGGTCTGTATCTTCGGACGCTTCGAGAGGTTTGTCCTGCTGCTTGCTTTTGGATTTGGAGAGGGAGGAGTCTTTCCCAGCGGGAGGGTTTCGTGGAGTCGCTTGGCCTCGACGAAGAGCTCGCATCTCCGCGGCCAATTGCGCTCCTTCGTCGTCGTCAACATCGTCGCTATCATCGCCATCGCGGTTCGGCTTGCGGCCTTTCTTAGGGTTGCTCTTGGGTTCTGGCTTACCGCGCCGCAAAGCTCGCATCTCTTCCGCCATTTGAGCTGCTTCGTCATCGTCCGACTCTTCGTCTGCGCTATGCTCCTCCACGACATCGCGTCCCCTCCGCTCCGGCTTGGATGGCGTCTTTGTCTTTTTCTTCTTTCCGTTTGCATCGCTGTCATCGACCTCTCGATCTTCACGTCGCACCCTCGGCTGCAGCCTTTCGTTGTCCAACACACGCAAAGTCGGGTGCACCTCCAGAATCCTCTCCTTATACCTCTCTTCCATCGCCACGCCGTTCCCCTTCAACAGCAGCTGCGTCAGACCTTTCCTTCTCAACCTCGGCTGCGATTCCTTCTCATCCTCCGCCTCGACAAGCGTCGACAACGCGTCCCACGTGTCCAGCCCACAATCCTTCAACTCGAGCAGCTCCAGTCCAGGAGCCGTCTTACCATCCGCACCTTTGCCCCAATTCCTGACATGAGACGGAAGAATCTTGATCTCGGGATTGTCGTTCAGCCGTACCTCTCGTAGCGACAAGCAGAGCGAGAAGTCCGGCAAGCTTTCGCTTCCTTTGAGCTTGTTATGTCCCAAGGAAAGCTTTTTAAGCGCTGGAAGGGATGCGGGCAGGGAAGCGGGGAGAGTTGTGATTTCGTTGTGCGATAGGATGAGAGAGTTGAGTTCTGGCAGGTGTGGGAAGGAGTCGGGAATGTTGCTGATGGAGTTGTTGTTGAGAACGAGGGCTTTGAGGTTGCGGAGGGGAGTGACGGATGGTGGCACGGTGGTCAGCGCGCAGTGTGAGAGGGTGAGGACGCAGAGTTCTTCGAGGGCTTCGAGTCCGATGCAGCTTTCGGAGGTGAGGTTGGGGTTCGAGGAGAGGTTAAGCCAGGTGAGGTGATCACCGAAAGCACGGCCCTTGCCTTTGGCGGAGGTGTTGCTACGGAATACGGCTTTGGCGAGCCAGGTCAGCGTGTCGAGACCTTTGGGGCTGGCGTCTGAGGGCTCGATCGAGGATATGTCGAGACGCTGGAGGAAACTGAACTGCGCGAGTGTGTCGACCAGAGCTGCGAGTGGTGGAAGTTGATGACCTGACAGTGAAAGAGATGTCTTGGAGCGGACATCTTCTTCGTCGTCTTCATCATCATCATCATCATCTTCGTCATCGTCGTGACTGTCACCCTTAACGTCCTTGACCTGCGATGGGACATCAATGTCCGAGTTTTTTCTTGGGTGCCGTATCACGTCGGAGCTTCCGTTCGAGTTGTCTCCATTTGCGTTGCGCTCGTGTGGGCGGCTGGAAGCCTCGCCATGATTGCTTCGACCCTGAGCCCGTTTCTTGTGAAAAGCCGAGCTAGTCGACGATGCTGGACCTGCGAATGTCGATCTGCCAGCTGCAGCTGCTCTATTACGTTCCGACTTGATCGGTCTTCTCGGCTTCTCTGCGGTCATGGCCGATGCCATCTTCTCTGCTGTCTCTGTCGGTTGATGAGAGTAGGTTAGAAAGTCTAGGCGAGGGGAGGGAAGGGTAGAAACACAAGTTGTGGAGTTTTCGTTGGAAACTTTTTCGAGAAAAGCAAAAAATAAATCCAGAAATTCGGGAATCGGTGTGCAAGGGACGCACCAAAAGACCAACACATAACACAGACCAACACCGACTTGCTATCACTCTCGTACACGCAACGTGGACCGCCCCCATGACGATTTTTCTCCCAGATTCCTCCCACTGGAACGTTCGGACCAGCAACGGAAGGTACGGAGAAAAGTAGCGGCATCACCTTGGCATATCTAGACTCTCGAGCGTCGCGACGCGCATCTCCTTGCGGCCATGTCGTCCGACCCGGTAGGCGCTGCCATCGCGCTTGCTGGTGTTCCCGACGAACCTGCATCACTCCACTCCGATGCACTCCAGCCATCAATAGACAGCCTACGTCGAGACTCGATAAAATCCAAAGCAAGCTCGGACAGCATCCCACTACCGGAAGAAAACGAGGACGAAGACGACTTTGTCGTGTTTGAGGATCGTAACACATTGCCAGCACCCAAACTCGCCCGTGGAGATCTGGATGATCTGGAAGGAACGGAGGAAACCAGTGCTGGTGGGGCAACAAGATCAACGTTGGGGAGTTTGGCTCGTGCAAGCGTCGAGAGTCTCTCGTTCGGGTATAGAGATCACCTGCTACCGCTCAGTTTGAGTGGGGATGGCGATGACACTCTTGCAGGGGACTATGGGGAGACGGAAGGGGCGATATCCGCGAGAGCGAGGAATGGTGGATCTGCGTCCAGAACAGCGTCGGCGTCACGGTATCGACGTCGGAACCGGGGATACTCACGCGATCGACATGCGGAAAGACGCGTGACGCTGATAGACGGAATTGCACTTACCATCGGCGTACAGATAGGATCAGGGATCTTTTCATCCCCTGGTGTGGTCACGCTCAACACCGGCAGCATCGGCGCATCGATCGTGATATGGCTTCTCTCCGGATTCCTCGCATGGACGGGTGCTTCGTCTTTCGCCGAGCTCGGCGCGTCCATCCCTCTCAACGGCGGCTCACAAGCGTATCTGAACTACTCGTTCGGTCCCCTCTCAGCGTTTCTCTACACATGGTCGGCGTTGACAGCGCTTAAACCAGGAGCAGGCGCCATCATCGCCACCATCTTTGGCGAATACGTCGCTCGGATCATCTTCCACGCCACGGGTAAAGCAACCGACCATCCCCACGAAACCGGTCTGGACGGCATCCCAGCCTGGTCCATCAAACTGCTCGCTGTAGCCATCGCAGCTCTGATCACCGCCGCCCATGCATTCTCCAACAAATTGGGCACGCGCACGCAGATCGCTACTACGGTGGTCAAACTGCTCGCACTCACAGCCGTACCCATCCTGGCGATCGTACAAGCAGCCAGGGGCAAAACAAGTCCTAGCTCGCAAGAGGCTTTCTCGAGCATGGGCAACCTTTTCGCCGGTAGTTCGACTTCGCCTTCATCCTACGCGCTCGCTCTGTACAGCGGTTTATGGGCGTTTGACGGCTGGGATCAGTCGTGTTTCGTAGCGGGCGAGATGAAAAGGGTGGAGAAGGACTTGCCTCGCGTCATCCACATCAGCCTTGCTACGGTGATTCTGATCTTCCTGTCTGCGGTAGTGTCGTACTTCGTCGTGCTGCCCGTCGAGTTAGTCAAGAGGACGAATACGGTGGCGCTGGACTTTGGGAGTGCCATATTCGGCACCGGCGGTGGAATCGTTTTTGCCTTCTTGGTTGCCTTTTCTTGCTTTGGTGCGTTAAACGGTCAGATCTACACCACGGCCAGGCTCATCCTCGCTGCTTCCAAGGAAGGCTACCTTCCGGAACGATTAGGCGATCTCAATCGCAGGACAGGGACACCTGTCGCAGCTTTGGTGCTGCAGTTGGTCCTGATATCGGCGTTCGTCTTATTTGGATCGGGCTTCGCTTCGCTGGTCAACTTCTACGGCGTCTGCAGCTGGACCTTCTACCTTGCTTCCGTGCTGGGGTTGCTGGTGTTGAGGATCAAAGAGCCGAATCTGAACAGACCGTACAGGACGTGGTTGGGTACACCGATACTGTTCGCTGCGGTGGCGCTGTTCTTGTTGCTCATGCCGATCGGCAGTGCACCGCTGGAAGGGCTGGCCGCGTTGTTGTTCATTGGGGCTGGTGTTCCGGTGTATTACTTAACGCAGAGTACAGGTGGGTGGCTTTCTAATGTTCCGTTTATGACGAGGGTCAAGGGTTGGTTTGCGGGGGGTGCGAGTGGAGCTGGAATGGATGACGGAAGAGGACATCACATGGCGTTGCCGACAGAGGATGCTGGAGCGCGCGCAGGCGAGGACGAGGATGAGGAAGAGATCGAGATGCTCCCGAAGAAGGAGTTGAATGGGGAGGCACAGTCATGATGATCGTCTTCCAAGCGCTCGGGCACAGGCAGTCACCACATTGTAATCTATCGCATCACATGCCAAACGAAGTAGATTGACTGCAAAGAGCGAACTGTGATGTCTTTGAGCGAAATGTGCGAGGCGAGAGGCCGCTCCTCTGTTCCGCCACACTCACTTCTTACCCTTCTTTCCACCCTTGCCACTCTTTCCCTGCCCATTCGCTTTCCTACTCGCCTTCTGCACAGCAGCATACCTATCCAACGTCTGCCACTTGACCTCTTCCCACGCCTCCTGCTGCTTGCCGCTCTCCAAATCCATGCCCAACTTCTTCCACTCTTTCGCCACGTGCTCTCTCAGCTGCACTGCGATGTCCTGACACTCAGCCGCCGGCTTATTACCGAACTCCTTCTCCGTGCCCAGCCCTTCGGCGAGGTAGGCTTGAAACTCATCCTGAAACACCGAGGGTGAATACTTGCGCAGACCGAGATCCGTTTCGATGACCTTCTTGCTTGCCGCTGACAGCGAGTCCCACTGACGAGTGACGAAAGATCGATATGGGGCGGAGAGGAAGTAGAGCGCATGGAGCAGTTCGTGCGGCAGAGTCGAATGGGCTTGCGAGGCGACACACGAGATGATGTAGCTGATGCTACCGCTCTCTGCGTCATTGCGGGACGATGCACCTTCATACGGAGAAATGGCGCCGAGAGTGACAAGAACCTCGAGAAGCTGGTTCTCTTCAGCGGAACAATGTGGAATCCACCACTTGGACAACTCTTCATCGCTGTTTGTAGCCTCGAACATGGCATCGAGCCATTCGTGGACACCTTGACGGAGAGGAAAGTTGAAGCCCTGGTAGTTGCGACAGATACGCTCGTCGGCTGCTTCTTGCAAGCTGAGATACTGTTTGGCGTTAGAGTCGGACTCGTAGAATGCTTCCATACGCGCAAGAGCGGAGTGTTGGATGGCGGCGGTAGGGAACAGTAGCGTCAAGACGGGAGGGTCCACGATGTGTCCGAACAATGGCTCTTCCTTATCAGTTTCTGCGTCTTTTGTTTCAGGAATAGGTGCCGTTGAGGTAGAGGTCGGGGTGGCAGGAGCAGGCGTGGATTGTTGAGATCGAGACTCGGCCGAAACTGCAAATCCTGCTGCAGGAAGTGCACTAGAGAGCATTGCTGGCGTCGACTGGTGAGCTTTGGATGGATGAGCGTCGGACTGCAGAGACAAGGCGGAGAGGCTCTTCTGCGTTTCCTCGACAGCTGGCTCGGCAGGATCTGTTGCCGGTGGAGCGACAGATTTGGTGCTCTTTGTACCAGGCTGAGACGGGGAGGAGACAGAGGGCGACGATGCATGGTCCGAAACTGCATCGACACGGGTGCCAAGACCGAGACCAGCCAGCTCCTCGAGCAGCACATTGCGTCTCCTGGCAAGGGCCAACTCGGCCTCCAACTTCCTGATGCGGTCTTCCAGTTGTTCGTAGGTTGGTTTGCCAGCGTTCAAAGAAGCTGTCGCTGCGGACTGTGGCGCTTGTACCACTGCGTTCGGCACAGCTGGTGCAGCTGGAGTCGGCGAGGACGCTCGCTCGGGAGAAGGGCTGCATACCATTTCATTAGGACGCAGCTTTTGCTGTCCATCCTTGACGTTGCTCCTACCACGATCCGGTGTCGAATACGAGTTGGCAGGTCCTACGCCATTGGGACCGCGCACGAGATCTGGAGCGCCATTCGCGATGCGATTGTGAGAAACGAGAAGAGCAGCAGGATCCGTGTCGTCGGAAGCCCGAATGTCATCCCAGATCTTCTTCTTGTCAAAAGCTTTGAGGCCAGCAGTGAAATCAAAGTCCTCTGAGAGGGAGGCATTCGGGATGGCAGGGCTACCACTGCGAGAAGAAGTGGCGACAGGGTTCTTCTTCTTTGATGACTTGGGTGTGGGCACTGCGGTGGCAGCATGTTTGGGTCTGGGAGAGCGTGAGGGTGTAGACGAGCGCGAGCCTGCTGGATCTGAGCCGTGCAGAGGTGCTCGAAGGAGCGCAGCAGGGTGATGGTCCGCAATGACAGTGTGAGAATCATTCGAGCGAGTCAGAGACATGATAGCAGGGTCTGCTGGCGTTTGTGACTGGGGCTGAGGTGGTGCTGGCTTGGTTGTAGAAGAAGCATCTACTGATTGCTGCTGCTTCTTCTGCTTGCCCTGTGGCTTTGTTGGCGCTGCCGTGTCTGTGCTTGAATGTGCTGAGGAGGGATGTTTCGATGCAGTCGCTGCAGGTTTGGACGCAGCAAGGCTGGCAATGTCGGTGCGCTTGAGCACAGCTTGGGTTCCATCTTGCCTTTCGACAGTGAGTGTGTTGGCAGCTTGGTCGATGGACAGAATCTTTGCGTGTAGATGCGTGTCTGGCTGGGAATGGAGCGTGAGCTTGACGTCTAGCCCGATGAAAGGCGACGACATGGTGTGCTCTGGAAGTGTGCCTCGACTCGGCAGTTGAATGCGGTGATGGCGAGGAAGTTAGGTTGGTGTGACAAAGATGGTTTCAATGTTCTTTCGGTCTTTCCGTTTCGACTTCCAGAAACCATTTTGGCAACGGCAAAGCATGTTAGACTGCTAGCTTTCAGAGCTTGTTAGATCGGTAACGATTGCGGCCTTCTTCCGCCAAAAGTGGAGAAGATGCACAGACACAGACACGGAACACCCTCACGTCATCAATCACCTCACACGATCTGCACACTTCTTCCTCCTCGTTTGACCGTCTGAGCTTTACGTCTGGACCTTCACCACATGTCGGCACGAAGCGTCTTGAAATCAACAAGAGCTCTACATCTGCTTGCAGGAACTGCTAGCCGTGTCCCACCCAGAAGCTGCGCTCCAGTCTTTCGCACGTCCCTCACCGCGCACGACTTTTGCACCTCCCAGACATCCCACAGCACCAAAGCCTTCACTGCCAACGAATCTTCAAAGATGTCTTCACAAAGCGCAAAGGTTCTCAAGGTCAAGCCTCTTGAGGATTCCGAGGCCAAGTGGGTTGGTCTCCGCGCCATTGAGTGGGTAGACCCGACTGGCAAGCAACGCAAGTGGGAGTCTGCCGACCGCAAGACCCGAAAAGGTGACGTCGACGCAGTCGCCATCATGACCATCATCCACCGCCCCTCTTCCGAGCCTCACCTCCTGCTCATCTCTCAATACAGACCACCCGTAGGCAAGAGCTGCATCGAAATGCCCGCCGGCCTCATAGATGCCGGAGAAGAAGGCGATGAAGGAACCAATCGTGCAGCTCTGCGAGAGTTGGAAGAGGAGACAGGATACGGAACCGACAAGGAAGGCGGCAAGGTCAAGATCGAAGAGACAACTCCAACCATGCACAACGATCCTGGCTTGACTGGCGCCAACATGAAGCTGGTGGTGGTCAACATCGAGCTCAGCGACGATGCGGCTGAACCAGTCGCCAAACCAGAGGAGGGAGAATTCATCGAAAAGTACTTGGTACCCGTAAAGGGGCTTTATCAGAGTCTGAAAGACTTCCAATCGAAGGGCTTTGCTGTTGATGCCCGTCTAGCGCATCTTGCGATCGGGCTCGAGGTCGGTTCCGGCAAGATGGGTCGTTTGTAGAGTTGATTGACAATACAATGTATGATCTAGTGATAGCTTTCCGGTTCGGTGTGGCTGTTGTACAAGTAAGCGTTCAGAGTGATGGTGTAAAACGAAGCGCGTTGATATGTCGAGGAATCTACTGCGGAGCACACTGCATTCCAGGACCTTGACCGCCGCCCATGTCGTCGTAGTCCTCCCATCCGTCCTCGTCCGTCTGTCCTTGTCCCGGGATACGAGCACGGTTGCTTCCAAACTGCTCTGCTTTCGCTGGGACTGGCTCGCACTGGTCCTCGATCGTTTCCGATGTCGTGTCCAGATCGGGTCTGGCAGGCGGTAGCGCAGATTGCAGCGCTTGTCGGATGGCTGGGTCGGAGGCGAGTTGCGCATCGGTGGGGAAGTCGACCTCCCATCGGATGTAAAGGTCTCCTTTGGTCTGGTTGCGATCGCGATACTGTGGCATTCCTTCGCCCTTGATCACGTCCACGTCTCCTGGCCTTGTGATCTTTGATCGTGTCACTTTGATGTGTCTACCGTCCAGATGCGTCAACACCGTCCGTGAGAATCCGAGCAACGCTTCGACCAACGTCAATCTGACCGTCGTCATAAGATCGAGACCTTTAACCTCGAATGCCTCGTCCTTTTGCATCTTCAGCTCGATCAAGATATCGCCTGCTTTGACGCCCGGCTCCTGGTCCGCTGCTTCTTTGAACACAATACGCTGACCGTCGATCATGCCCCTTTCGATCTCGACGTCGAGCTTTGCTTTCGTCTTGGTGGTCTTTTCGCCCTTGCACTTTTTGCAGCGGTCCTTGTCGCGCACCTTCTTTCCCTCGCCGTGGCAATCTGTGCACTCGACGTACGACTGGGCGATCATTCCGTTGCCCATACTTCGCTGCTGAAGCAGTGATCCTTTACCGGAGCATTTGACGCACTCCTTCTCGGTAAGCCCTGGCTTGGCACCAGAGCCCTGGCACTGTGTGCAGATGACGTTCTTGGTGAGGTTGAAGTGGGCAGTCTTGCCCTTGTACAGATCTGCCAAGGTGACGGCGTACTCGATGACCGCATCTTCGCCCTTTGTACGACGAGGACGTCGACCACGCGGCATACCTCCCATACCTGGCATTCCACCCATGCCCATACCTCCGCCGAACATGCTCGCCAAAAAGTCGTCCATGTCTGGTGGCATACCACCTGCTCCACCTGGCCCGCCCGGACCGTCGTCGCCATATCGATCATAGGCTGCGCGCGAGTCTGGATCAGCAAGTGTCTCGTAGGCGTGATTGATCTCGGCGAACTTTTCGTTAGCTACTGCAGGATCGATCTCCGGGTTCTTGTCGGGATGGTTGGCGAGCGACTGTTTGCGGTAGGCCTTTTTGATGTCGGCTGATGAAGCGTCCGGCGCCACGCCGAGCACGTCGTATAGATGTGTTGACTCGACCATGTCTGTGAGTTGCTTCGAGCTCGATGTGAGAATCCTGTGCCGATATGTGTATGATTGATGGTAAGGAAGGAAGAAAGAAAGAGCTTGCTCGTCGGGTGCTCTCGTGCGCCGTCGTCACTTTGCAGTGTTGAGAAGCGCAGTCAACGACGATTTGGAAGAGCACCTGAAAATCACAGTCCTCGAAAAAAAGATTTTGCAGCACACGACACGCAGCTCAAAGTGGAGGCAATCTCGGCATTTCTCCGACTTCCGCTCTTTGGGGACCACAGTTCGGTCAGAGGGAAGTCTCCGTCTGCGCCTACCTTTAAAGGCTGGCTGGAATTTCTTCGGATGCTTCAGGCTGTTGTGCAGGGTACAAGACGTCCCATAGCTTGCTGTTGGTGCCGAGCGAGTAGCCTAGGGTTCTTTGCTTCATGTCGACGCCGAGCTTGAGCAGATCGACCACGTCGTCTAGCAGATGTGCCTGGCCCGTCACAGCGCCAGGATGTGATGTGAAGCTCGCTGCAAGGATATGGACGTGCAGATGACTGCCGTGGAGGGGTTGGAATAGCTCATTAGCTGACTGGGTCAATTCCTTCTGCCAACATGAATAAATACTCACTAGTAACTCGGATGATAGTGCAGGAAACATCGCACGTTGCCGTCCGCGGTATCGTCTCGGCCCGTCAAGCCGTACTTCTCCAACGCGACTCGACTTGCCTCTTTCTTGATGTTGTCGAGCATTCCGATATGCTCGTTTGTGAGGTCACGTATACTTTTCAGCTCCCGGTTGTGTACGATGGCCTGAATGTAGAGACTCGACGTCGTGTTTTGGTCCCACTTGAGATCAGGCACCACGATGAATCCGCTCTTGGGATCTGGATCTTCGAACAAAATGCTGTCAGCCTCCTTCTTGTGCTCCAAGATGTTGTACACCCACTGGATACGCGACGGCGGAAACGATTCGATCCATGGCAGCACCTTTTGCTGGTACATTTCGGGCGTCTCGTACACCATGACCTTGCGTTGAGCCGAGTACTTGTCGATATGCGCCTGTGTGGCTCCCCTTATCAGAGTGATTTTCACATCTGCATCGACACTTCGAGATCCGAAGTGTGCTAGTAGCCATGTGTAGATGTCGTTCTGACCGAGATCGCTGACCTTGGAGAATATGGGAGGACGATCCGAGCGCACGTTCTGAGGTTGCACTTTTTGCTCTGCGGGATCCAGCTCCGAAGAAGTTTCTACGCCCTCGACGACGTTCGATCTTGTCGGTGATTCCCTAAGGCGGTCCAAGAATGGTTGGGGAAAGTGCGTCTTTTCCACGAGAAGAATTGCCCGCTCCCTCGAGGAAAGCATTTCGTTTGGAAGGTACGTGTCTAGCGTTCCTAAGAGATTGACAGATTTGGATTTTGGATCTTGGTCGAGGATCCTGTCCAGCTTGAAGCCGTCAAGGATGCTATGATTCGAAGAGCTCGCCATCGTATCCTTATCGGTCGCAGTCGGGGGATGAGGAGTTGGAGCTGGACCTCTGACGCAGGGTCCAGCGAAATCACAATTCTTCCAGCTCTGATCCAATTCCGACTTCCGCTGCAGTTTTCTCTTCGCTTTCCTCCACTTTGGTAATCCTTCATGTCAAAGCCACCGCAACAACCTGTCTTCTCGCTGCACCAGCACCACATTTCCATCACAGCAACGACGTCAACATGGGATCATCATCGTCCAAACCAGCACGCAAGCTGGGTTCCGAGGTGGCCTCTACAGTCTCAAGAGCCGCTCCTTCCGCTGCCAAGCCGTCCGCCAGCCCTGCCCCTGCGCCCACCTCCGGAAAAGCTCGTGTACCACCTACCGAGTACGGTGCTTCGACGGCAAAGCAAGGCTCCCAATATGCTCCTTCCGCATCCACTCGGCGCGAGCAGGAGACACAGCGTCAGCGGCAGCAAGCGAGCGAGCACAAATCGGCTGATATCATGCGCGATGCGTTCGACCCGCAGTTCATGCAAAACTTGTCTCGATTGGGACAGGTGAAGGTTCCAAAGAACGCGACCAATTACCAAGCTGTAAGTATCGTATTTCCAGTCATGATTATTGCGCTCTTCTGTGATCAGGAGCTGACATACTCCTCCTTGATACCTCGCAGACGGATCAAATGCTTCGCATCCTAGAAGCACGCGAACGAGCCAATCTCGACAACGTTCATTCCGCCGACACCCTCTCCCCCTCATCCACGACGCAGCAGACCTCTCCCTCCAAGCCCACCACCACACCTCGCATCTCCGCCAACACCATCACTCTCCTCCTGGACGATCGAAAGCACTGCGAAACTCAAAAGGACCTCGAACGCCTGGCTCTCGAATACGATCTCCCCCTAGCAACCATCGAAACGCTCGCCCAATACTACAACTCCCCCACCATGGGTGAAGAGATCCGCGATGAGGTGGAAGAGAAGCAGGAAGATCAGGCCAACAGGCAAAACGAAAGGGAGGCTACAAAGGTCAGGGGTGTGTGGGTCGTGCCCAAGTTCCAGCAGCGGATCGAGGCGTAAAGGAATGCTAAAATCACCATGATTGAATTGCAAGGCGCGAATGGATGAGGTCGTGTCTAGATGAGTGTGACTCTTGCTCTTGCTACGATTCTAGGATGAAGAATGTCTAATGAGGTGACGATGTACTCCAAATCTGTCTCCATCTCCTGTGCCAATTGCGGGGGGAGCGCAAGATGGTCGGGTAGGCAGAACTCGTACCGTGTCGCTTCGCGTGTAGATGTACCCAGCCAGACCCTGCTCTCGGGACGATCCATCTTCTGCACCCATACATTGTAGTACATTGAGGACGTAGAGATCCTCGAGGTAGTCCAATCGAGCACTGATGCTTGCAGCCTCTTCGTCTGCTCGTTGGACGTGGCAGCATCGGACAGATCTGATGCCGGACGGTTATTTATGCTGAGCGCTTCATTGTCAGTAGAGACAGGTTGTCTGGAGACCTGCAAAGCGCCGATGCGAGTCTGCGGAGATGTCCTAGGCTGCACAGAAGCTGTGAAGCCGAGACTGAGTGTCGGGCATTCTAGAGCTTGACTACTGTCAGAGTGGACGATTTCGAACGAGACCGTTGCTGCTGTCCATCCGTTCGGCAGGTCGCGGTACGTTGCTCCATCGTCTCGGATGTGGATGCCACCCGCTTGATTGGAGGTCTCGGCGATTGCCACATGCGGCTGCAGACGAGTCTCTCCATCGTAGACAATCGTGTACTGCCATTCGTTGCTCTCCGCATCCTCCAAGTTTCCTCCGCAATCCTCCAGCACAGCCGAGCAAAGCGAAACAGGAACTTGACGAGCAGTATTTAAGGCATCGTGATCCTCCCATATCATCGTCACCTGTAGTGATGCAGTGCCCGACCAGACACGCGCGTGATCGAAAGTCCAAGAACGAGACTCCTGTCGAGACTCTGGCGTTCCTGCCGTGCTCGGATCGTCGTGCGCTGCAGCGTATAGAAGATCCGGTTTAGGCATGCAGACTCCCGTATCGGTGAATCCAGAACTCGGATCCGTGCCGCGAGACCAGTCGTGAACAAGCTCGCCACCATCGAACCACTTTGTTCCCGACCCGAAGCTGAAATTGGTGTAGAAACCATTTTTGCTTGCACGCCTTCGACTGCGATCTAAGCTCAAGTTCGACCAATTGAAGTATGACTGTAGTGGCTTGACGTCGTCCGGTGACAACGTGATTCGGAATTGTCCAGGGGCTGGCGTGCTTGGTAGACCGATCCAGACGGAGGAGTCGATGTGCCACCAGTCCGACCACTTGCGTTTCTGTGATGCTTGCGATGATTCCAGGGTCAGGCCTGCACTTTCTTCCTCCCAGGTCCATCCAGGAGCGAAAAGCGCAACGCTCAACCCGAGGCCGTCTTGCTCTCGCCGATGCGGACCGATCATATCCAGAGACTTCCACGCCTTCAGTCCGCCCCAGCAGTTGCGGCCAAAGACGTCGATCCCCACGAAGACGTGCTCTCTTGGTCGATCGAGGCTGTCGACCATGGCAGCAGAAAGGAGCAGCTGTGGGTGGTGCCCGCCGTCTTCTGGACCTGTCAAGCCGTATCCACGCAGCTGTAATATTTGCGGATTTTCATCGTTCGGATCGATGAGCTGACCTGGCGGTAAAGGTTGTGGGGGTTTCGCCCAGGTGTAATTGGTAAAGAAAGTGTGAGAAGCCTGAAAGAAGGAGACGTTGTGCTCGTTGAGTGCGTCCTGCCATGCAAGCTGACCGTGTGGGTAGACGACTGAATCGTACCACATGACTTCCCATTCGTTTGCATCCCTCCCAGCTTCGACGAACCGTCTTGTGCCTTCTTCACGTAGATAGTGCAGCCAGCCCCGGAGCCTTTCTGCATTTCTGTGCATTTCAACGATTCGAGCATGTTCACCAACCCAAGCTGGCCAGGCCTCTCCGGAGCAGCTGAATCCGAGATCCAGGGCGACTTCAATGTTGACCAGGTAGCCTGAGAAGCCTCGCTGCAGAGCCAGCTCGACCAGCTCGACTGCGTACTGTGGTGAGAAGCATGGCTCACCTCGTAAAGGCATAGCTTTGCGTTCGGGACCTCGAAGCAGACGTGCCATGTCTGGGACGCTCTCGGACCATTCGAAGATCAGTGTGCCGAGAACTTTTGTGCCCGTTCTCGCTGCAGCCGTAAGCCAGCCGACGGGAGGAATGCTGACTCGCTTGTGAGAGAAATAGATGAACGTATCGACGAGATGCAGGTGTTCCAGAGAGTATCCTTGCTGGCGAGGATTCTCGTTGTAGCCGCCTTGAAAGTCGTGGCATACGACCAGCTTTGGTCCAGTAAGGGCAAAGCTGGAGGATGAGGGCGAGGGAGGGCCGGTGTGATTGCTGCATTGCTCGAGATCGTCGTTGAGAGCGTCACCATAGTGCATCTGGTACCATAGGTGTAGTGCGTCCAGCGATTCGAAGTAGTCAGGCCTTGGCAGAGCTTCAGGATCGATGTGTTGGCGCAGGGGCGAACAAGGCGTCTGGAGGTCGAGCAGCGGTTCAACATGTTGAGCTTCTCCTGATGGCGATTGGGATTGGCGTGGCTTCTGCTGAAGCTGAAAGGCTTGAGGCATCGTGTGCAAGCTGGTCCGGCCAGCCAAAAGTCGATGTGTTGGTCATCGGGATCACCACGAGCATGGTGTGAGAAGAATAGAAGCTGCAGCCAATTCAGGGTCCAACGTCGTTGCGGTGGAGGAGAACTGTACAATTTTCAAGCGCCGTTGATTCATGTTAAAGCTTCGTGTTGCAATGTTTTGCGCAAATGCGTCCGAGCGAGGGTGTGGAATCGCAGCGACAAACGGGGAACCGGCGTAAAAGTTAGCCGTGAAAGGCAGAGTGTAGGACAAGCAGCCGCCCCTCGACTTAGCTCGCTCGCTTCGGCTGCATCACCCCGCATTTGGAGCCAGGGACATTGGTGGATCCCCAGAGCTTTGGCCGCGGGTGTGGCTACCACTTTCGATCGATTCCACACCTTTCCACGCTTCCTCTGTCCGCACTCCATCATACATCATACAGATCAATCGCCTGCCGCCGACACTCGTTGCAATCATGGCCACATCAGCTACCGACGATGTTGCTGCCAAAGCAGACGGCATCATCTCGCACATGAACAATGATCACAAGGTAAGTGACACACTCCGCCTTGCCTAGAGACGAGACGCATTGCAGTAGAGCTGATCTAGAGAGGACGACGTCCGATGACGATGATGCCACCCTCTTGCCTCACAGGACTCGCTCGCCTACCTTGCGACGCACTACGGCGATCTTGCATCGCCACTGAAGCCCAACCAGGTGCTCATGACCGCCATCGACAAGAAGCACCTCGAGATCGTGTACAACACCCAAAAGGGCGCGACCCCGGGTAAGGGCAAGCCTGGATCCAACACTGTCAGCGTGCCCTTCCACCCTTACTTGTCCGGCTACTCGGAAGTACGACAGCGACTGGTTGACCTCTCCGCCGTGTCGGAGCGAGTCATCACCACGCGCAAGCCTGACATTGTATACCGCACACCCAAGTTCGCGCTGTACAGCGTGGCGTTGCTCGGCATAGCTTACTTTGCCCTGCGATCGGATACGCTGGCATCGCACGGTATTTTCCAGTCGATTTTGCCGGAGGGCAGGCTGACTCAATGGAACGAGCTGCGAAACAATACGCTCGGTGGACCCGCCAAGATGGATGCTTTCATCAAGAGCATTGTGCGCGCTCACTTGTTCGAAGCCGTACTGATGGCTCTGGTCTGCTATTGGAAGGGTGCCAGCAAATTGGTCGCCATCAGGTGGATCCTCACTACCATTCCTCTGGGTATTCCGGCATGGATTGCGTTCTTTACGCTCAACTCGCACAAGAGGGCACTCAAAAGGTCGATCTACATTGACGCCGACAAGAAGAAGAAGTGAGCGAACGAGCTTGATCATTCGGCCACATGTGTATGAATCTGCTCGAATCAATTTTTTGACGAGAGAAATATCGTTGTAGTGAGTGCGCAGGCTTAGGGCTTGAACTCGTATCCGCCGACGCGGTTGGCCACATTGATCTTGAGCTGTTCGAGCAGGTTTCCCGACTGATCCTCCAGCCCGCAATGCATGACATCACCATCCTTGACCTCGCCTACACCCTGCGGTGTACCCGTCAAGAGCAGATCGCCTTCCTCGAGCGTCATGATCGACGAAACGTGCTCGATCAACTCCGGGATTCCGAAGATCATGTCCCCCGTAGTGCCGTTCTGCTTGATTTGATCGTTGATTTTGAGCCAAAGTTTGAGTTTGGAAGGGTCTCTGACGCGAGACTTGTCGATGAATCCAGAGGTCGGGGTGAAGGTGTCGAAGCCTTTTGCGGAAGACCAGGGGAGACCTTTGGATTTCACCTTGTCCTGGAGGTTGCGTGCGGTCATGTCGATGGAGAGCGTGTAGCCGGCGACGTGCTTCATTGCTTCGGCGGCGGAAACGTCGCGGACGCGAGGGCTGCCGATGACGACGCCGAGTTCGACTTCGTAGTGCGCGACAATGTTGCGAGGGATTTCGACGGTTCCGTTGTTGGAGATGTAAGAGGTGGTGGGTTTGAGGAAGAAGAAGGGTTCGGTGGGAACCGCGTTGTTGAGCTCTTTGGCGTGAGCCGCGTAGTTGCGACCGATCCTGGTAGAATGAAACGAGCCGTGAAGAGAGAGAGGAAGCGAGCCGCCGTCAGTATCGATCCTGCCTGCACCTTCTCGAACGATGTAGAGTCATACTTACGCCACGATCTTCTTTCCCCGTGTCAGGAATGAGGAGGCCATATTGATATGCTGGAGTCCAGGGATGCTTGCTTCTGTACTGATGGTATAGGTGGAGACTGTTTGTAGAGTAGTCACAGGTAGAAGGGTCGCGGTTTGCTGCAACTTCCGATGGGATGGCACAAAGAATGCAAAGCCGACAAATCCTTCTTCGAGGCAAACGCGCCAATTGTTCGGCTTCGAGTCGGTCAATTTCAACTTGTCCGTGCACTTTCGCCAATCGGGTGACCCGATTGGAGTTCGCCCCGCACGCACCAAGCTGTCGAGATGGTGTCATTCCAGAAGGATACATTGCCGGTGCCGTTTACCCCACACTGATGGACCGATCTTGCTTTCTACCCACCATCTGCATTTTCACACAAGACAGCAGCACTCAGAATGGCGAACGCACACATCAACACAGCGCTCAACAGCTTCTTCAATGCGAGCAAGTACGCCGTTGTTGGTGCAAGCAAGGATCCGTCCAAGTTTGGAAACAAGGTGAGTGTTTGTGCCCGACTTCTCCCACGGCACCACGACAAAAGCTCTGAACCGCCCTTTCATCCCTTTGATGCTGCAATACAGGTCTTGAAGTGGTATCAGACGCACTCATTCGACATCACGCCGATCCATCCTAAAGAAGCCGAAATCGAATCGCTTGCGACTCAACCCGATGTAGCAAGTTTCCTCGACAAAGTCGGCGCTCCAGCCGACAAGGTCGCCATCTCCGTCGTCACACCTCCCAAAATCAGCCTAGTGGTGGTGCAAAAGGGATTGCAGGACCAGGGTGTCGCCACGTTCTGGTTGCAGCCAGGCGCGGAAGACGCCGACCTCGTGAGCTGGGTCAAGTCTCAACCAGAGTCGATCCAGGACAGAGTCATCTACGGTGGTCCGTGTATCCTTGTCTCTGGTCGCCAGCTTGCAGCGGATAAAGGAAAGCTATAGTGCATCATGAATGTCAATCGAGTTCAGTGGCACCATCTTCTTTCCTCTCGGTCCAGTCTTATGACCCACACATTGCGCTAGACAGATGTGACATTCAGAGAACAATCTATGCGACTTCATACGCCTTCTTCTTTCATCATCAAAGATCCTTCCCGTCCTCATCAACGTTGGAAAAGGTATACGTCGACTTCCACTTGTACGGTCTGTCCGGACCGTAGATCTGGTTCCTACCCCACTGCGGATTGTTGATGCCATCGATGTAGTCCTCCATCTCCAACACCACGCATTCGTGATTACCGTAGACGACGCTTCCGATGTCCTCGCCTACTTTGCCACCATGAACCTGTTTCCTCGGAATGCTTCCCTTGGCAGGACTGTCGATACCGTCGCACGTGTACACCTGGACAGCAGCTTGGTCCGTCACAACAGACAGCTTGATTCCGGATCTCTTGCTGTACATCTCCACCGCGGGCTTCTTCGTGTTGTACCCCGGCGGCTTGGACATGATGAAGCACGAGTCCCAGCCTTGGCAGCCGTATCCGCAGACACCGAGTGTGTCGTTGAAGTTTTGAGAGAAAGGTGTGGGTGACTGGAAGTCGTAGGGAGTGTTCTGGACGGAGGGGAGTGGTCCGGTGGGGATCAAGATGGTGTCGGTCTTTACGTACTTGTCCGCATAGGGCATGTGAAGGACGTAGTCGAGGGCGGTGGATGTCTCGTTGAAGGCGTCCAGGTTCCAGTAGACATGAGATGAGAGCAGGATCGGCGTCTCCTTGGTAGCGGTGGCGTTGATTTCAATGTGCCACGTCGCATTAGAGCCCAGCTGGAATCGGGTCGTTGTCTTGACTTGACCGGGGAAGCCTTGGAATCCTGCTGGATCCGTGTGTTCCATCACGAGCTCGTCCGCAGACAGCTTTGCGATGGTATAGTTGCTGCGATCGTACCCAATATCTCCGCCATGGAGACTGTCTAGACCGTTTTCGTTCTTTGGCACGTGGTAGGTGTGACCGTTGAGCTCAAACGTACCATTCTTGATACGATTGGCGTATCGGCCGACGATGGGACCAAAGTTGGGGTGGATAGGATCCGTGGACCAGTTGGTCGTGTTGTCGTAGCCGAGAACGATATCTCTCCAGCCTCCGTAACGATCCTTTACCCAAAGCTCGGTGACACTGGATCCGTAAGGTTGGAAGGTGGCACGAATCGAGTCGTCGGGAGCACGGAGTTCGATGCGGTTGTGCGGGTAGACAGCGGGAAGCGCACCAGGACACTGTGTACCAGGAACAGTCGAGCCGGCACCAAAGGTCAATTGCGAGTCCTCCATCTGCGATTGGTACAGGCAAGGGTAGCTGCCAATCGTGCCGTTGTTGACAAATCCGGGAGTCTCTTTCGACGCAGCTGCGGATGCGACCGGGGTTGCATTATCGCGTTCCAGCAAGGTACGTTGTGGAGAGACGGGTGTGGGGCTTGCTAGCGCTACCGATGAGGCGAGCAGCTGTAGCACCAGCGGCAAGAGTGCCCCTTTGAAGGTCATGTTGAGCGGCGTTGTCACGCAGACCGTGACACGAGGTCGCGGATGGTAGTGGAGAGAAGGCAGAGGCGATCAGGCGCCGGCTGTAAAAGAAATGCGGGGTGAGCGGAGTTGAGAAATAACATGGATCGACAGCAAGTGCCGTCGGTAATTTATAGCAAAACGTCGTCGGCGGGACTACGATGCGCACCGACCCTCTGACGCACGGTGTCTGCCGGTCGCACGTTGGAATGGAGCTGAAGGCAAAGCTCAAGTGCTCTAGAGCAGGGTTAAGGTGCAAAAGAAAGATTGCCGGTGCGATTGTCGGCTCACAGTGCGCTTCTCGAATCCTTTGACACGCGGCAACACACATGTTTGCAAGAGGCGCACGCTCTCCCGCTAGGCCGGTTGCAGATGCGAAAGGTAGATCGTCGGCAGCCTCGGAGTCGACGGGACGATGCACTCCGTAGCTGTCCAAGATTCCCGACGTCGATGCTAGGCGAGACCAAGGATTGAGGCGAGGTAAGGCTCGGCAAAGCATTCATCACGAGATTGGAGAAATCCGAAACACAGAAAAGAGCCTCTGCGAACACAACAAGATGTACCTCAGACTTTACGAAGAGAAGTGTTCAAGACACAACTTAGATAATTAGCATCAGTCTGAGCACGAGAAGGTGGGTTGAGGCGGCTGCAAGAGGTCTAGAAGAAAGGGTCCCTGTCAGAGATGATCGGAAGTCAGTGCTGCATGATGTGGCCTGACGCCGTCCGTCTGCATCTCGGCTGTCGACGGCTCGAATGCGGAGTGATGTGCGCGAGTTACACGAACAGAATGCGGGGGCGTGTGGGGATCTAGCCGCACCTCATCTTCCGTCGTCGGCTTTTCGGTGATCTCGACATCACCATCAGCTGCTTCGGCAATCTTGAGTCTGACTCGACCTTGTGTGAAGCACCCGCCTGCTTAAGTTTCCATACGTTGACACCGCGAACCGCCGGCATTCTGTCTTCGTCTGAACACAGGCATTTGTGTCTGCTCAATCAATCGGTGGTTCAAAAACATATCGAAGACGCCTGGTGCTGTATTACGTCCATGAGATCATTGTTCGTCTAGAGAATGCACGTCTACGTTGATTAGTCTATGTTGTGTCTGGTCTATGATGTGATGCGTCAATCAGGACTGTCGGTCTGTATCGGTGTCACCTCCTCCATTCCCTGAACCATCTGAAGCGCTTCTTCTGTACTGCTTCCAATGCGAAACGATCCCACACAAGTACCACAACAAGCCCAGGAGGAGCTCCATACCCGAGAGCACGATGAGGGCGTGCTGCACTGCTTCGTGTTTGTCGCGCCTCGAGGCTGCCGTCGCAACTTTGAGCACAACCTGCGACAGGGCAGCACCACCAAAGAGTCCCAACATGCTCAGAAGCTTGAAATAGTTCATCGTACTGAGATGCAGCGTGACCAAGTGCAGATCCGATGCTACCGATGTCAATGTGGCCGTAAACACGACCGTGTTGGCAAAGGGTGTCGACAGGCTGGTTGTGTAGGTGGACTGACTGCCTAGACTGGATGCCATGATCATTATGACCAGCCAGCCTAGCGAGCCACTCAGACGGAAGGCTGGAGAGTACATGCCCAAAACTATGACACACAGAGTGACTATCGACCTGTAGATGGAGATCAGGACCAACGTGATGCGCTTCGTTCGGTCGGTGGAGAGGCGCTGCACAACAATGCCAGTGATTTGACAGCCAATGGCGAAACCCAACAGACTGCTTATGTTTGAGTATAGCTTTTTGCGCGATTCGCCGACGTCGTTGTCGGCGTTCGAGTCGGATGGAAGCAGCACGTCGAAGGCGTTGATGATCATCTGCACCATGTTGCCGGTCATAAAGCCGACCCATGCTTTGGTGAGAGTGAACGTGCTAGCATCAGCAAGGCCTGTAATCAAGCATTGAAGCAGCAAGGGTGGCAAATAGGCTGACGGAAGCGCCTCCCCACTCGACTCGATCTCGGGCAGCGGCGAGAACGCATGTCTCCACAGAAAGGAACCGAAACCCAAGCTTGATGCTGTGTTGGACGATTTGCGTCTATCATGGCGAGGCAGAAGCGGCGACTGTTCGTCTTGAAGCGTGTTGTGCTGCTCGCCGTCCGCTTGAGGTCGTGAAGAGGTCGTCATGATTGAGACGGGCCGACCCAGCAATGCTTCAGCACCAAGTCGGATCAGGATGGGAAGCCTGAAGAAACTTGGAGCGTATGTTGCACGACAACAGAGATGAGAAGGAGGGGCTCAAGCAAGCTCTTCCCAAGCCGGAAACAGGCGCCGAGGACACCTAAAAAAAAGTGGAGCGATTGGACCCTGAAAGATCGCACCGGATCAATGCACCGGCCTCCTGAGTCGTCAACTTCCGACTGAATCGCCTCTCTTCTCTACCGTCACCTCGACCGCAGAGCATACCTCGACGCAGATGAAGTGGGCAAAGGGTTGCAGCATCTTGCTCGCCTCCCTGAGCTTGCTACTGCTCTCCGCTCATTTGGTCATCGTCGAGGCTAAGCAGACCGCCTTCTCCGCTCCTGCAGATTTGAGCGGCGTTCGCTCACAGAAGCACTCGGAACCACCATGTTATCCGTTCTGTTCAGCACACAACCAGGATAGCAGTCACATCGTATCACATGTCGAATCGACCCGTTACGCAGACCGTTCAGGGACGCTTCAGTGGGTCGACCCACGCATCGGCACAAATGGTCCGGATCCATCCGAATACGGCGGCATGGTGCCTTCGGTAGCGCTCCCCTTTGCTGGCGTCCGCACTGTGCCCATGACACGGGAGAATTTGGTCTCTGGCTGCGCATATCACGACAACGACACCGTCAATATCGGCTTCCTTGCCAGTCGCCAGCCTGCGATCTGGATGGGCGACTACGGCTTTGCTACCGTCTTTGGCGGACAAGGCGAGGTCAAACTTGGCAAGCATGAGCGCGGTCACTCCTACAGTCAGGCGGACGAGTTCGTGGCGCCATTCAAGTACGCCGTCAGGATGGGCAACTCTTCGGAAGGACGGATGTTTGCGGAGCTGGTAGGGAAGAGTCGGGCTGCCATGGTGCAGTATACGTTCGAGAAACCAGGTAGGGAAAACTCGGTCATGGAACGACTCGTTCAACACATCGCAGCAAGTAATGCTACGCAGTGGGGACCTTACATCGCCGTGCAGGCTTCGCGGGAGCATTGGCGAGGTGCGGTCCGCATCGACGTCGAGAAGGGCGAAATATCGGGCTACAACACGGAACGCATGGACTATCGGCTCGGCCCACATGAAGCACCAGGGTTTCGCGGCTACTTTGTCTACCGTTTTGAGTATCAACGCACGGACTCGTCGCATGAAGAGTGGATCAAAGGCTTCTCAAGCGACAGTGTTGGAACGGCGCACACGAACGCCACGGGCATATCGATGCATCCCGGCGAGCGATCAAGGTGGAATGAGCTCGGAGTGTACGGCTTCGTCCGCTTTCCCATCGATACGACACGTGTCAGGGTGCGGATGGGCCTCAGTCTGATCTCGGAGCAACAAGCACGCTACAACCTCGACGTCGAGATGCCGAACGGTACAAACGTCGAGGACGTGGTCACAGAGCTCATCGATGCGTGGAAGAGCAAGACGGATCGGATCCAAGTGCAAGGCGGCACTGAAGAGCAGAAGCGTATCTTGTACACTGGCATCTATCATGCGTCTCAGTATCCAGCGGAGCATGCAGAGCCAATTCCGCATAGCGACGGTGATCTTCAAGACACCGTTCCTCGACACGGCGTCGAGGACAATCACGAGTATCACTACTACTCTGGCTACACCGATAGCGTCCACAAGGTCAAAAAGGGCCAACGGTACCAATCTTGGTCGATCTGGGACATCTATCGAGCGCAATGGAATCTGTTGATCCTGTTCGAACCGCAACGCGTGGTCGACATGGTGCTTTCGCTTCTCGACATCTACCACGAATCTGGATTCTTGCCCATGTGGTCGACATTGGCGGAGACCAACATCATGATCTCGACGCATGCTGACTCGCTTATCGCCGAAGCCGTGGTAAAAGGTGTCTCCGGATTTGATGTCGAAAAGGCTTGGGAGGCGGTCCGCAAAGACGGTACGGTGCCTCCCGAGCGAGAAGAGGAGCTGCGCTATGAGGATCGCGAGGAGTATACTCCGCTCGAGGTGCGCGCTGGACTGACGTCTTACAATCAGTCGGGCTACGTGCCGCTCGATGGATGGTCCGAGTCTACGAGTCGAACACTCGACTATGCGTACGACGACCATGCGATTGCAGTGCTAGCTGACGTGCTTGGCAAGAAAGCAGATGCAGACTTTTTCCACGCCCGCAGCAAGAACTATCGCCACGTGTTTGACCAAGACCAGGGACTCATGGCAGCTCGGCTGAAGAACGGTACCTTCCTCGTTCAACTTCTACCCGATCCAAGGGGACGCCAAGAAGGTTTTACAGAGGGCAACAGCTTCGACTATTCTTTCGACGTCGTCCAGGATGTACCCGGCCTCGCAGAGCTCATGGGAGGCAGGACCAAGTTGGCAAACTTGCTGGACCGCCACTTTGCAGAGGGACACAACGACCAATCCAACGAGCCGTCGCATCACATTCCGTATCTCTACTCTCTTATTGGCGAAGCGTCCAAGACGCAGCGTCTGGTCAGAAACATCTCACACGAAGCGTATAGCGATCAGCCAGACGGTTACGCGGGCAACGAGGATTGCGGCCAGCAGAGCGCGTGGTACATCTTCAGCGCTATGGGCATCTACCCTGTTGACCCTGTGTCAGGAGAATACGTCGTTTCATCGCCGTTCTTTGAGCGCATGGATATCACGATACCTGCGCGAGCTGAGGAGGAAAAGGGGGTTCATCTGCGAATCGAAGCGCCTGGGTCGGATGACGAGCATGTCTATGTGGCCAACGTGACTGTCAACGGGCGGTCGATTGCACAGCCCAAACTCAAATGGTCGGACGTACTTGCCGGTGGGACGTGGAAATTCGGTCTCGCGGACACTCCACAGGCATGGGGAAACGATCAATCGCTACCACCACTGCAAGCATAATTTAATGGAACTTGTCTGAAATGACACTCTACCTCATGGAGAATGTTCTCGTATGTCTGTGCGTGTGATCCTGAACGCTCTTATTGCAGCGATCATGCCCGTCAGTATGTATAATTTTGCAGGCATGCGTTTGACATCTGCGGCCACAGGAAGTTGAAAACACCGCATCCCGTCCGATCTGCGAAGTTAAGCAACTTACCGCCTAGTCAGTACTGCGGTGGGGGACCACGCGGGAATCCTAGGTGCTGCAGTTCTTGTTTTTTCCTGCTTGCTTTGCTCGCCGTTGTTGCTCAGCCAGATGCATCAGCGTGGGGAGTGGTTTCGTGAACCTCGAGTTCGGCCGATGCCGACTTCAGTGCATTGCCGGTCCGTGTGTCGGAAGAACCGACGTGCAACTTTTCGGAAAGCCTTCCGAAAATCGATTGTGAGTCAAAAAAAGTCGGCGCCGATCCGAAAATGCGCTGACTTGCGTGTGGAGCGATGATGCACTGCAAGATTGAGGTTGGTCGGTGCGTTCTTTTGGAAGATCCAGGTCGAGTTGAGGCTGAGCTTCTGACTCCTCCTTCTGACCACCACAGCAGCATCAGCTCGAGAGTCGCATATATATATTCGCACTCTCCGCTTTCAATACTCTCGTTACCACCACCACCGACCAGCTGAACGATCGCAAACTTCCGAAACGCAGCAATGTCAGCTACTACCGCCACCTCGTCCCCCATCCCCGTCTGTGTCGTCGGATTTGGCAACTCGGCACGCACTTTCCACCTCCCCTTCGTCCTCGCCTTGCCTCAACTCTTCACCCTCCATTCGATCCAGCAGCGACCTCGTACCTCTGCCAACGCCTCTTCCTCCCCCGACGCATCCAAACTCTTCCCCGATGTCACCATCCTCCCCGACTTTGATTCGGTGCTCACCACCCTCCCCAAGAACGGTCTCATCATCGTCACCACCACTAACGACACCCACTTTCCCTTCGCCAAGCGTGCACTTGAATCCGGCTTCAACGTGCTCGTCGAAAAGCCCGTCGCCACCAACGAGTCCGACGTCCAGACGCTCATCGATCTCCAGACTAAGACAGGAAAGCTCTGCGCCGTCTACCAGAATCGACGCTTCGACGGCGACTTTTTGACCATTCAGAGTCTTCTTGCCGACAAGGAGACCGAGCCTTCCGCTCTGGGAGTGCCGACGTACTTTGAATCTCGCTTCGATCGGTTCCGACCGTACGCGAAGGGGGGTTGGAGGGAGGAAGTGGATCCTGACACGCAAGGTGGTGGAATGCTCTGGGATCTCGGATCGCACCTCATCGATCAGGCACTCTTCCTCTTCGGTCCACCGGAGAGCGTCACCGGCTTTGTGAGGAACCAGCGAAACCAAGGACCGAACGCGGTGGACGACGACTGGATGGCGATCTTGAACTATCCCGAAGCTGCACCTCTGCCTCCTTCCTCGCCCGCCTCCGGCTCGAAGATCGGCGGGTTGAGGGTCAACTTGGGAGCCACGTGTCTGAGCTCGCATGTGGATGCTGAACAGCCCAGGTTCAGGGTCGAGGGTACGAGGGGGAGCTACGAGAAGCGCGGTACGGATCCTCAGGAGAACCAGCTCAAGCTCGGTTGGACACCCTCCAGCCATCCGGAAGAGTTTGGTGTCTACAGCGAGAAGTCCGACCCCGACACGGTCCGACTCGGAAGGCTGACCACCATGGTCAGATCGGACGAGGACCTGTCCCTGCCCACGCCCGGCTCAGCAGCAGCTGCGCCGAAACAACCTCAACTCTCGGTGGCGAGCATTCCGACGTTGCCCGGAAGGTACATTGATCTGTTCGGCAATGTTGCTGCTTCGATCCATGCGGTGCAGCAGGCGGAATTGGCTGGAGGGAGTGCGGCAGAGGCGCTGAGCAAGGTGTCGCTGGTTGGTGTGGAGAGGACGTTGAATGCGGTCAAGCTGATCAAGTTGATCCGCGAGAGCAGCAAGCAGGGTAAGACTCTGCAGTGGGTCTGAAACATCAAGATCGCAAACATGATCATTTGTCGTAGAACGGTGCTCGTAAATGCAATTCGTGAAATGCGTAATGCTATCTGAAGGGTATCTTTTGATCAACTGTCCGTGGAGTTCTTGCGTCTATGACTCGCCCCTGACTCGGCGCTTGTACTCTTCTGGACTCTCAAACTTCTTGCCTAAACTCCACATGCCGATCTTTTGCTTCCTGGCTTTGGTCTCTGCTCTCTCCAACGCATTCAACCCGGTGGTACTCTTTCGCCAGAACTTGGCCCACCATGTAGCTTTCCCGTAATCTGCTCCTGCCGATCTGTACACCGTTGCCAGACCTTGTTTGACCATTGCTAGCGAGACGTTTGTCTTGCCGAGGAAATATGGAGGATCCCAGACGTAGGGTGTTGCGACCAACCTCTTGTACTGGTCGATGTGGGAAGGGTAGAGCCAGATGGTTTTGGTCGAGATCTCATGCGTTGATGAAGAAGTGGGATTGGGGGGCGGGGCGGAGGTTTTGGAGAAGAAGGATTTCTTGGGTGGTGTGAGTTTATCGACGCTAGATGGAGATTGAACCATGGAGGATAGAAAGTGTTTTGCTTCTTTGGAGAAGGGTTGTGCTGGTTTTCCGAAGTGTGCGCTTTCCGGTGCGTCTACACCTGCGATTCGAACTGAGATGGTCTCTCGAACGAGTTGCGATTGGCCGTTCTTGCGCTTTTTGGTTCGTGGTGGCCATGGATAGAACCAATCTCGGAGGTATGGGAGCCCAGGTGTGTGGTGAAAACGGAATCCGTCTGCATCCCCGACGGTGACCACTCGACCAACGAGAACTTTTCGATACCGAAGAACGGCTGGTGTCACATATTCAGCGTTGGGAATCCGTCGAAAGTAGCGCCACCAGAGAAGGAAGCAGAGCGAGGATGTTGATACGCCAGCTACGGCTGCTCCAATGGGGTTGGAAAGAATCGTTCCGAGGACATCGGAGGACTGTTCGACCACGGACCATACAGTAAGCCGCGGTTCAGCGTCTAGGGGTGAGGTCGTTTCTGCGGGTTGCTGTTCGATTCTTGACGATCTTGAGGAAGAGGCAAGACTGAATGCTGCTGGTAATGCAGTCAAAGCAGTGCGGGACGAAGAAGCCGAAGCCGGTGTGGCAGGTATTGAGGTGCTAGAAGATGGGCCTGACGTCGGCCATAGTGACAGCATCGCTGCGCTTGACCAGCTAAGTCACTGAAAGCAATGTCCTGTGGTGTCTTGTATGTGCGATCGATGGCGTGTTGGAAGAAAGCGTCGAGTGATGGACGACAACGAGCTCAGTGATTGAGTTCCAGATTGTCGGTGGTTCGTGTGGAGTTTCAACACACAAAATATTAATAACAAAACACCTTTTTGCTAACAATCACACCGAATCTTACTCAACTGCACACGGCGGTCTCGAAAGACCAACACTTGCACGCGTGCCATTTCGGAATGACGAACCATCCTTCGCAGCTCTGCGATCTGGTCACCGAAATTCACTCCTGCCATCTCGATATGATTGCTATCACACACGATTCGAACCAATTCTGCGTCTCTGTCAAAGTACGTTGCATTGGCGTTCGTCCGAGTGTTTACTCAAACAAAGCGTCTCTTTTGACCTTGCAGCGCTTTCAGTCGATCTTCCTGCTGCTGTTTTTGGATGGACCGTGAGTGCTGACCGAGAAGGGCTCGAATGAAGGAGCAATGCCCGACGACGTCGTGTGCAGTCCAATTTTCTCGCCATCCCGCTTCTTCTGCTCTGCCAGCGCCTTGTCTCCGTTCCAGTAGTATACTACCTGCGCTGCGATCGCTGCGTTGAAGAGCGTCGCGAGACCGAATCCGTACAGCAGCAGCTTGTCATCGGTCTCGGTCATTGTGGTGAACACCCTGGCAATCGTGCCGAGCAGTTGGGCAAACACAACGATACTGCTCAGCTGACCACGGCTCTTGTCTTTGTACAGCTCGGCCATCTGCGGTACTTTGGATGCCAGCGAGATCGGAATCGTGCAGGCCTGCAAGAATGTCAAGGTAGACGCCGGAATCACCGAGGGAGTCGCCAGTGCCAACGAGCCGATGCCCATCAACGCCGCTGCAACCGTGATGCTGTTGGAACGTGCCGAAGGATCAACACGACCTGTTTTGGCATTGGGAGTGTATGCAATCACCAACAGCAAGATAATCATGTTTTGCAGCGTCAAGCTGAGGTTCTCGCCGTACGTGGAGAACGGAAGGCGCGACCGAACGGCGTAGGCGAGCGAGATGGTGTAGGCCACCACTTCGAGGGTATACATCGAGAGAGAGATACCGCGTGCGCTTCGACCGTTAAGGATGTTGAGAATCTGAGGCACCTTCATAATGCTTCCGAACACCACGATGCCCAAGCCGAGCGCCTTCGAGATGGCATACTTGACGCAGTGGCTCGAGCTCAAATCAACATTGTAGATGAGTGTGGTGTAGCACTCTTGCCCAATGAGCGCGATGGCTGGCTTCTGAACGAAGAGAGGCAGGTTGTGAGTAACGGATTGGATTGCGGATTGCATGGTAAGCCCGGCGTAGAAGACCCCGTCGATGTTGCCAATGTACAGGGAATGGGATGGATGGCAGGATGGAAGAGGATGTAAAGTGAGCAGCCAACTCTGCGGACATGGTCAAAGCGTACGTGCAGTTGGAAATTTGGCCACGTCTCCTCCACTCTACAGCACTTATTGGTGCTTTTGCTTTTCTCTCAATTTCAGCCATGAGGAGGAATAATCATGCAAAACATGAGCAAAAAAAAGTAGATTCTGTCGGTTTCGATCCGACGACCTTTGGGTATCGCCACTCGAAAGTGGAAAGGATATCATAGGGTTTGTATGAGCCCAACGCGCTACCTACTGCGCTAAGAAGCTGATCGATGAGAAAGGTTGTCGGCATTACATACATATACCTTGCGTGCTTACCCGAACCATGGCTGCCTAATCGCTAAGAGTCACCTTACACCAAGAAGAAACGTTACTTTCTACATTGCGGCACACTTGACTCAGCTTCTTTGCCTGCCTCCTCGCCTACAGTCATCATGGTTCAAGCACTTGCGCAATTGCCGGATCGAGTACAACCGATGCCTCGACTTTGACTAAAGAGCAGGCATCCGTGGGCAGCCAGACAGGCGGCGACTATTTCTTCTAGGTCCCTTTCTTCCTCAGGCAAGCCACCAACAGAAGTTCTAGCCATGTTCCTGCAGGATGGTCAGTCATCGAAAGCCGTATGGCTGCTGACATCAAGTCGCCGGACTCTCCCAAAGCTAGAAAACGCATGGAAGAAGCCGAACGCGGGCGGCGCGGGACCCCGCATCGCGGCGTCAGCATCGGCTCGATCGAGACACCCTTGTCAATCTGACTTTTCGGGCTTCAGCCACATCGTGACCTGGGTCGGACTCTTGCAAGCAGATGCCGCGATGCCACCTCTATTAACGATGTAGATCACGCCATTCTGATGTTCGCCAGAGCAGAAGAACGGAGCAGAAGACGGCTACCAAGTCACCTGCTGCGGCAAAGGTCTGGACCGTGATGACAACGCTCGCGCATTGATCAAGTCAGCCATCGGACAGCACGGCTGACAATGTATCAGCAGACTGACTCTATTGCTCAGCTTCTACAGCTCGAAGGACGAGCTACTGGCTAAAAAAGAGTCCGTGCGCTTTCTGCCCTTCACTCATCGTCTCTGTTTCCTCATTCATCCTCTTGCTTCCTCACAGCGTCGAAGAGCAGCAGTACCGGCGGCTTCAACAGCAATGGCTAGTCGGCACGCAGACACTTGTGATCCCGGACTAAGCACGGACTGTCTTCCTCAGCACGCAGCGACAGACAAGGCAAGCCAGCGGCGCGATCGGCAAAGTCGACACACTTCCCTTGCACACTTGGGCTGGCTATACGCTACTGAAGGGAACAACATCACACCATGAGACATCAAGCAAACGTCTCCCCAGAGTGGCCTCTGAAGCAGGCTCGAGCGTCTATGCTCCAAAAGCATAAAAAGAGCGAGCGAACAATCCGCGCCATCTCCTCTTCTTTCCGCCACCCCTTTCCACTGTCATACTTCCGACGCCATCTCAGCTTTCTAAACCTTCTTGCAAAGCTTTCAAACTACTGTCTCCGCACTTCATCCGCACTTGACCAACCTCGACATGACTCGCATCTCTTCCATTCTCGTCTTGGCTACGGCCATGGCCTTCCTCAGCGTTGGCCCTCCCAGCTCCTGGGCTGCTGTTCTGCCCACTCGTGACATGGCCTCGCAGGATCTTCAGGGCGCTACCACCACGGACCTCTCTAGAGACGTCGTCGCTCATGCAGTCGATGCCAAGACAGGTTTCGACACCCAGAACAAGCGCAATACTTGCCGATACGGAACTTACTGGAGTGTGCATGATAACCACTGCGTACCCTGGTTTCGACGGGATGAGATTGACGCCGAGCGCGGCGGTCAAGAAATCGAGGAACTCGTAGCACGTCACGACTCGCACGGCGATTACGGCGATTACGGCTATGATGATGACGGTTATCGTCATGGCGGACACCACCATCACGGTCACCATCACTACCGAGGCGATGCAAGCTCGGCCCGTGATGCTGAACGCGGAGGACGCTTCTCGGATGAAGTTGACGCTGCTGATCGGGGAGGTGGTGGAGGTCGAGGAGGAGGACGGCGTTCAACGGATGAGATCGATGATGCCGATCGGGGAGGAAGAGGTCGCTTCACCGACGAAGTGGATGCTGCCGATCGAGGAGGCGGCGGAGGTCGAGGAGGAGGAGGAGGACGTCGATCCACGGATGAAATCGACGCTGCTGGTCGAGGAGGAGGAGGGGGTCGAGGAGGAGGAGGAGGACGTCGATCCACGGATGAAATCGACGCTGCTGATCGAGGAGGAGGAGGAGGTCGAGGAGGAGGAGGAGGACGTCGTTCCACGGATGAAATCGACGCTGCCGATCGAGGAGGCGGCGGAGGTCGAGGAGGAGGACGTCGTTCAACGGATGAGATCGATGATGCCGATCGGGGTGGCCGTGGTCGCTTCACCGACGAAGTCGATGCCGCCGATCGAGGAGGCGGCGGAGGTCGGGGAGGAGGAGGAGGAGGACGCCGATCCACCGACCAAATCAAAGCTCGAGACACTGACCGTGGTCGCGGTGGAGGAGGTGAACGTGGAGGTGGAGGTGGTCGAGGTGATCGGGGTGGACGGGGTGGTGGACGTGGACGCAACTCTGACACATTCGACGCCGAAGACGAAGAGTAAGTCTTTCGTCCTTGCCTCTCTTCAGAAGTCCTGATCACGTTGTTTCCTGGTTGCTGTCGGCCATCCCCTCGGTGTCCTGTTTCCAATCTCCTCGTCCCATCTTTGATCCTTTGGCATCCTTATCTTTTGGCGACGTTGCAACTCGGTTCAACACCTTTGCTCGTCGCTCACGTCTTCGTCCCTCGTCGCCTTTTCATGTCATGATGTTCTCAGATCTGGTTGCTTTGCTCGCCGTGACTGTTTTACTCGAGCATCGCAAAGGCCTCAAAATTTTCTCAATTTTCAACTCTTCCTCTCACTTGCACTGCTTTTGCCGTCTGTACGCTCAGAACCAATCATGGCGATTGACAGATGCATGGCTTCAATCCAGGATTTATCCTTGTGTGAGATCCGAGCCGAGGCATATGCAAAGGAATGAGTGCCGACGGCTCATGAGGTCTGTCAGGCTCGAGCGAGACAGATTTAATCTGAACGAGAACCAAGCAGATGGGTCTGAGCTACAGTTTCTGGGCTCACGTCGCGATGCGTCGTCGTCTTTACATAGAAGGCGGTGCGAAATCTTTCAATCACCGTCGAAGTCGGTCAATGCTGATCCGCGACCACGGAACGAATGAGCTCTATTGAAGAACAGGCCTCCTCGAGGTTCATTTTGCGAGTTCGATCAGGGGACACGTTCCGCTTAATTATTGCACGGACAGAAGATTTGAATGAAGGGCTCAATGAGGCTGAGGGCTGGAGCGTCTTTGGCGTTTGTCACAGGTCTGCCTGTGGACTTTTCGGCTTGCATTCGGTGTCAGCTCGAAAAAATCCGCTACGCTTTCATCCTGGCAGCGAGGACCGAGCATGATGTACTCAAGTGTAGTTGACGAGGCATTTTTGACTGAACGCCTTCGGGACAGGCACAGTACGCCCTTCATTTCGTTCCGTGTAGGATTGAACTTCGGCTGGATCGACAAGATCCTTGCGTGGCAACATGAAGTCAACCTTGGATTGAGTGCCAGGGATCAAGGCGTGCAAAAGCTGGCTGGTTCGTTTGGGAACGTACAACCCCGCGGGCAGAGCATTTGAACAGGGAAGGCAGCGGTGGTAGTCAGCATCCATTCGTGTAGGCAGCGAGATGGCTGTGAGCCTCTCCAGCTGCCGACTCCTTCCCACAGACTCCAGTCGTGAGTCGAGTAGTCGTTCAACACACACTGTGAGTGAGTCTACAAAGTACAAGTACCGACCCTCGCGAGACGACAAGAGCCATCTCATTCCATCTCCTTCGCATTCGCAATCTTACTCATACCTCCCTCTACAACGAATCCTCCTGCCCTTTCCCACTCGTCCCAACGTCGCTCTCATCCTCTTTTGACCTCTACCAGGATGGCTCGCATCTCATCTTCGCTCCTTATGGGTGTCGTGCTCGCCATGACCGGCATGCTCGTTGCCAGCCCAGCCAGCGCCAAGCCCGTTGCTCAAGAGCCTATCAAGGTGGAAGCCCCAGTCAAACGCCACGTGGCATCGCGTGCTGTTGTCGAAAAGCGCCTGCTAGGTGCCAACGCTGACGCCGACGTTGGTGTTGGCGCCGGCGCAGGCGCGTGGCCTGGCGCTGGTGTTGGTGGGCATGCTCACGTCGGCGCAGGTCTCGGTGGTGGACCTTACGGCTGGGGATACCCTGACTATGGTTACCCCGGCTACTGGCCTGGATATGGAGGCTATCCGTATGACGGCTACCCCTACGGCGCTCACGGTCCTTATTATCCTCGAGGCGCCCCTCACTTTGGCCGTGGCAACGGTCCGAACGGCGCGGATGGACCGAACGGTGCCAACGGTGCCAACGGTGCCAACGGTCCCAATGGTCCCAACGGACCTCCCCCTTCCCATCCTAGCCATGGAGGTGGCTACGGCGGGCACGGTGTTCACGGCGGGCACGGCGGACATGGCGGTGCAGGTGGCGCTGACGGAGGTGCTCCTGGTGGTGGTGCTTCGGGCGGATCTGGAGGATCTGGAGCTCCTGGCGCTCCCGGTGCGCATGGTGGTCCTGGCGCTGCTGGTGGTCCTGGCGGTGTCCGAGGCGGCGATGGAGGCAACGGAGGCAACGGTGGAAACGGCGGCAATGGAGGAAACGGCGGTCACGGTGGAAAGAACGGCGGCGATACCTGCGAATAATTGGCTGCCCAAGCCTCGAGGTCAGCTCATGACTCTTGCTCGCCTCCCAGCCAACACTCCCAAACGACTCGACCTCGGTCCTTCCCACGCTTTGCATGCTTTGTATGGCTGAAATTCATTCGCCATGTCTTGAACTCGCATTTGCTCTTAGACTCTCAATGCTACGTTACCGTTCTGATTCAAGCCATCGTTTCGAGTAGCTCGTGAGAATTTCGACGGTCCGACGTTCAGTCTGCTAGTATCAGGTATGTGATGGTGTCTTGTTTGACAGGTTGGAATTTTGAGAGCAACACACACCAAACCCTGTTCCGGGCTCGAGTCGCGTGCGTGTTGGTCTGAGAGCGGGGCTTTTTTTGCTCCACATTTTTCTGGACCGTCATTCATCTCTTGGGCTGTCCTCACACCGTCTCGTTCCACGATCACCGTTCACAACCATGGCACGCCTGACCGAACTTCATGATGGATCCGACAGCGATGACGCGCGCACAGCATCGTCTTCCTCCAATGCTCAACGAGCGGGTCTGACGCAGGACGAACAGGAACAGATCCTACACAAGTCCGGCATCATCGAAAAGCTCGGCCTGCCAAAGGACTTTGTCACGATGGATCAGGCGCAAGCTCAACTGGATGCGCTCAATCGTCGCACCGCAGGCGCACAAGGCAAGCAAGGCGAAGACGACGATTCGGACGACGACTACGGTGTAGCATCGGATCACGAACTCGACGGAGACGATACAGCCAATCGACTGATGCAGGAACAAGATGCGACAGAGATGAGCTCTCAGGTGGAGAGTATCTTGGATTTGGTAATTTGGACCATGCCGTTTGGATTCATGTTTACGCTGCTCGACGTGCTGGTAAGGCAACAGTACGGAGAGACGGTCGGGCTTGCCGATGAAGCCATCAGGTTGATTCGAGCCCTTCCCGGTGAGTCACCTTTCCAGAAGAATTGGTTTCGGTCAAGCGGCGAAGCTGACATTTGTCAATTTCAACATATGCAGTGCTAGCGTTCTTTATCCACTACAGTAAGATGATCATCTGCCTCAATGTCGAAATCTCTTCCACATGTCCTTGCAATTGACTCGCATCGTTCCGCACAAACAGACCTCACATCCCAACGCCAAGCATTGATACAAGGTGTCCTTTTCGTCCTCTGCTCTGCTTGCGGCTGCTCGCTCATCTACATTGTCAACAAGGTAAGAGCTTTTCTTCACACTTCGAACCCCAACGCTGAGCAAGCAGTCAGACTGACTCACGAACGACCACTCCATGAAACAGTCACCGTACGACGTGGTCGTGCAGCGCGTTGCACCACTCGGTACGCTGTGGATCTTCTGCGTCGTCAGACTGGATCTTCTCCCCGCCTGCATCAGTCTGGCGATCGTCGCCGTGTTCGTACAACAGAGTCAGCTGAAGATTGTCTTCGATTAGCGCAACACCTCTGTCAAACACAGCCATCGAACAAACATCTGCGTATGGTGCGCGGCTGTGAATGTGAAGCTCGGGAAAGATGATGGTGAGAGGTGAGAGCCACTTCCAGTGTTGCGTGGGAGAGAAGTCAAGCTTCGCTCGGCCAAGTCCGAAACTCTGCTAGAAAATGTCACGGAATCTCCGCCGCTTTTTCAGGTCTTTTTCCGCCGCGTTCAGTGGGCCTGTGCTTTGCCTATCAAGGGCTCACACCTTCCTTGTCCTATCATCACCACCACCGTCGAGATCGGACCTTTTTCTCAACCAAGACCTCCTCTAGACCAGCTCGATCATGTCGAAGTCACCCATCACATGCCACGTCCTCGACTCGACGCTCGGCAAACCAGCCGCCAACGTCCGCGTCCAACTAGAAGCACTCTCTCCACTCAACTCCTCCTTCCACATCCTAGCCACCGGCGCCACCAACAGCGACGGTAGATGTCCCGATCTACTAGCCGGCAGAGAGGCAAAAGAGGTGTTGGTGGCGAAAGGAGTGTACAAGATGATCTTTTATACGGGAGAGTACTTTGAAAAGGCGGGGAGGAATACTTTTTACCCTCAGGTCGAGGTGAGTCCACACACGATGTTCAGAAAGATATCAAGAAGAGGAGACACTGACACTGGGTTTGCTTTGTGGGTTGTTGTCGTGGCTACAGATCTTGTTCCAGTTGACGGAAGCGCCAGATGCACATTATCATATTCCGCTACTGCTCTCGCCGTTTTCGTATACTACATACCGCGGATCGTAGAGCGGTTGGTTGCACAGCGTAATTGTACAGCGTCAATTCACGTAGCTCACATGCAAACGTTCAGCCCGATCAGGGTCATTTGAGGCACCTTGTGCACACAAGGGAAATATCCTCCATTCGACCTCCACGGTATTAGCGTACAACACTGCTGAGTCAAGAGCAAGAATCGACAGATGAGCTAGATCTACAACGAAACCCCATCCCCGCGAAACCCGAACGTCTACTTCTTCACCGGGGCAGCGGCAGCCACAGGAGCGATGAGCGACTTTGTGATGTTGAAGACCCTCTCCTTGCTAGCGAACAGGATGGCGGCGGTCAACACCGACTGCAGCAGTTTGCTCGCGATACCTCTGTACAGACCTGCGATGCCCTCCCTCTGGACGATCTCTGTCATGGCGGTCCAGAGGTTGTTGCTGGCGCCCTTGTTGCTGCCGGCGTGTTGACGGCTCTTGATGACGATCTGAGGGTAGGTCAAACCGGTAGCGAAGAGCTTCGAGAGGGCTCCGAGCCAGAAGAAGTCCCAGTCGGAGAGCGAGACGTTCTTGCCGCTGGCAAGGCGCGATTTGACAACCCAGTTCTTGAGCTGTTCGAAGGCCGTGTACTGGAGCACGGGGTTGATGACTAGCACAAGGGCGGGGCCGAGACCCTTCCAGAGTGCGAGCGGGCCTTCCTCGCGGATGATCTTTTGCATGGTTTGGATGAAGCCGAGCTTGACAGCGACGGTCTTGCCGGCAGCCGCAGCTTTGGGATCCGCTTTGGAGTCGGTGACGCCCACGCGGACGGTCTGGCGCGTGTTGACGATCCAGATCGGATTCGTTGAGATCGTGGTGGCGGAACCAGCGATGAGTCCGGCAATGATAGACTCGAACGTGGTGAGAGCTCCACCTTGAGCGATCGTAGCTGAAGCAGTCGTGGCTGCTGCCGCGGCGACTTTGAGCTTGGACTTCAGGATCGTCTCTCGGCACTTTTCGAAGAAGTAGTAGTACACGCTGCGAGAGAGTGCGAGCCAAGGCAATGGGCACGTATGCAAATGAAAGGGTCAGCGGTGCTTTGACGGCAATCCGAAAGCTTGGTCAATCGAACTTACAAGTTGGTGACACCGATACCGAGCAAACTCGAGCTGAGTCCGGCGTAAAGACCAGCTACACCCTCCTGCTGAAGGATCTTGAGCGCAGCCTTGACCATGGGCTCTTCCGGGTTCTTGGACGACTCGACCGCGGCACGAGTGGAGATACCCACCAGAGGGTAGGTGGCCGTCATGGCGACCATACCACCGACACCACCGGCGCAAGCATGGATGAAGGAATCGTCAGACATGGTTGTGATAAGGTCACGGAAGCGCGATTGCAAGCGGCACGATGAGCTGAGGAAAGGATGATGAGGTCGGGAAGATGTGGTTTATGGCATTGACGCAAGGCGCGGAATCGAGAGGACTCGGAGTGGATAGGGACAGCTGCTCGAAAACGAGAGCCGGATTGTGGGGAGTGTGACAGGAACCGTACGCACGCGCCTTGGGCCGGTGCTGCCGGACTACACAATATGCACACTCTGCTGTGGAGAAATTCAGAACAAAGGTAAGGCGAGCAATTCTGCGAGCTACACTCCGAGCCCTGCAGCAAAGGCAGCTTCCTGTGAAATCGGCTAGCGTGCAACACTACATCAGCGCGGCGACATCATCTCGTGCTTCAGACATCCGTCTTTCCGCCTTGATCACGATCAGTGGGTGCAGTGAAGGATCGAGATCAATCGAGGGCAAAGACGAGTCCATCGAGATTGCCAGATGGACAGCGATACCGACTCACCAATGCACTTCACGAGTGTTCTTCTACACCGGCTTTTTCAGGCTCTTTTCCGAGCCGGACGCAGCTGCGATTTTCCTCGATTTCGTCCAAGACCGCGACGCGGAGTGACCGCATGAGCGCTGCCAGAGAGGGACAAACAACACCAAAAAGCAACGCGTGAAAAACACATCAGATCGGCTACTGATCGTCATGCGGACTATCATCTGTCCCCGATTCCAACACTTCCCACCCGCAGGTCTTCCTGATCAGCTTCACTGTGATCCTATGGGAGAGGTGTCACAATCCGATGCGTTCCAGGAACATCTTTGAGAACCACTCAGTCCCTGGCGTCCCCGTCACCTCGTCCACCAATCCAATCTGCGACTCGTCCACCTCGTGCATCTTGCGATGAACCGGAGCGTCTACATTGTCAATCGTGTGCAGCTCCTTTTCCGCATCCTCTGCTCTATTCCCTCCAGTCTTCCTGCTGCTTCCATTTCCCGTGAACCTGCGATCCACCACGCAGAAGCCTCGCGTCAGATCACCGTTGGTCTCGATCTGGAATCTCCGCGGGGTGTGTTTCCACCCGTTGCCATCCGTGGATGCGGTGGCGGATAACGGTGCGAAGATCGCATGTGCCACGGCAAGCGGATCGTGCGCCTGAAAGAGATCGTGCTTGTCCGGATGAAATTCCTCCGGCGCGACCATGTTGTTGGTGAAGGCTCGAGGGTGGGTCAGGAATGTCCCGATGAATCTCTCCAAATGACTCGCGGCCTTGGGCGCGTCTTGAGGGGTTTCGTACGTGGACTTGACCAGCTTCGAGTAGGGTACGGTGTGATCCGAGGTGATGTCCAATGCCAGCACCTGAACGGGTAGCCGGCGGCCTTGCAAGGCCGAATGTCGTGGAGCCTCATCGATTAGCACGCGAACCGAGTAAGGATCCGCGTACCAATTGAACTCGGCCACCGGGGACGTATTCCCAGGGACATCAAAAGCACCGCCCATAACAGAGATGCCGCCCACTTTGGCAAACGTCTCCGGATCCTTGCGGAATGCTGCAGCGAGGTTCGTCAACGGTCCGAGGGCGGCGATGCGTACAGTGTGAGGAGGATGTTGTCGGATCGTATCCAGGATGACGTCTGCTGCATGTTTGTCGGATGGTGCGAGCGGTGCGATCGCCTGCTTTGGCACTGGGAACGGGTCGTCGGGTAGCCAGTGTACTCCGGACAGACCATCTCGACCGTGGAAATATGACGCCGTGAACATCTTCCCTTCCAGAGGCTGAGTCGATCCAGAAGCGACGACGATGGGTTCGGCATCAGCGCTGAAAGCCCGGTATCGCTGCCTCACCGCATCAGACGTGGAAGGATCTGCAAGGTGGCGATGCAGGACAGCGCCTGTTCGCAAGACATTGGCGTAAGCGTGATCCAGAGTCGTGTTGCCAAAGGTCAGTGTGATGGCTTTGACTGCCACCTCGTCGGGCGATGCGAGAGCGAGCAAGATGGCGAGCACATCGTCTACGCCTGGATCTGTATCGATGATGAGCGGTATGGGAGATGTCGATTTCGTTGTCTGTGTCATGACTGTTCGTAATGGCTGATGAGGCTTGGTGTTCAAGAGGAAGGAGGTGTTGGCTGTCGACCGTCGTGCAGGGTCAATGCGAGTTGCACGTCCGATAACACCACGTGGAGCGCCGAAGCAAGACCAACACTTACCACCTCCACTCCTCAGCGTTGCTGTTAGCAGTCTCAGCATCGCCGTCCCGAGCATCCGTAATAGCCTGACTAGCATCACCGAGCTGCACAGCAGTCGTATCTTCCCCCAGCACCGACTCCGTCTCGGGAACGGGTTGTGTGTCAGGGTGAATTGTCGGCTATTTGTTCGGAAGGTGCACCGTGCCCATCGGACAAGGCCGACCAGTCAAGAAGAATCTCCCGATTGAGTTGCAATGCCAATCGAGATGTGATCTCGGAATTTCGTAGCGGCGGAATTGGTGAAAAGGGCTTATGACGACAGCAGCGTCCAGTGTACTAAATGAAAATCTGCAGCGGAACAGCGTGTGCTCCTTACACGTTCGGCTAATCGAACGCCGGCAGCAATCCAGTGTGTCTCGGGCTTGCAAGAAAATCAGCTGAGTTGCGTCAACGACGACGATCCCTTTTCTCCGTCGTAAGGAATTCGGGCTCAGCCTGTGATGATTTGGTGATGGTCATCTTTGTTCACTGATACGAACAATGACATGCTGCCAAGTGACCGGTCTTGATCCGACAATCTCTCCAACTGACTGATCACGAACATGAACGCCTTCAACCTCGAAGTATTGCGCTTGTATGTTTGTTGCTCGAGCATTGTGTTCGAATGTGGCTTGCAGCGAGGGCAGAAATCATGCATCGGCATTTGAGCCAAAGCCGAACCTGTTGGCCTACTTAGGCCGTCGGTCTCGTGTGGACGTGTTCCGCAAATCTAAAAATCCGCTTGGAACGAGCCTGCATTCTTTCAACAACCCTCACAACCCACGTAGATCTTCGCCTTGCCACCACCATCATATCCAACCTTCCACCACCTTCATCTCCGCACAAAATGGTTTCGTTCTACGATCTCAAAGCAAAGAAGCCCAGCCAGGACGAATACACGTTCGACCAGCTCAAGGGCAAAGTCGTCCTCGTCGTCAACACCGCCTCCAAGTGTGGTTACACTCCCCAGTTCGCGGAGCTCGAGGAGCTGAACAAGAAGTACGCTGAGCAAGGACTGCAGATCATCGGCTTCCCTTGCAACCAGTTTGCTGGTCAGGATCCAGGGAACGATGACGCCATCGGAGAGTTTTGCCAGCGTGTAAGTTGTGGTCTTCACATGAGGTAGGACAAGTGACGGTGGTAAAGGATACTGATCGGATCGTTTGTTATCTCGTTCTGGCTGTAGAACTACGGCGTCAGCTTCCCCATGATGGCCAAGTCGGATGTCAACGGAAGCAACACCAACGAGGTCTTCCAGTTCCTCAAGAAGCAAAAGTCTGGTATCCTCGGTACAGAGATGATCAGTAAGTACCGCAACGAGCTTGATCTGTCTCAACGAGCGCTCATGTTGATCGTTTCCTACATCTCTCGTCTTGTTATCTTGCAGAGTGGAACTTTACCAAGTTCCTCGTCGACAAGGAGGGCAACGTCGTCGAACGTTACGGATCCAACACTAAGCCTTCCGCCATTGCACCGACCATCGAGAAGCTTCTCTCCAAGTAGAGTTGTTCGCGCTGACGATGACTGTCCGGACTATTTTCGCACTATGACGAGGATTGCGATCTCTCGTTCATGCGTTTCTCCATCAATTATACCTGATACATCTTGTTCTGGTCTCTGCTAATTCTAATCGCCATTTGCACCAGCTTTACACGCACACGAACGCCAGCTGGCTCATACGATCTCGGATTACGGGTATGGATTGCAACAGGACATACATCGGACGGAGGAGAATCATGTCCATTACAAAGCGAAGGAAAAGACAGGGCATTGTTCTGAGGTATCTACTGCTTGCCAGAGTAGACGCTTTCGGTGTGCATGACGGCTACGATCTCGCGCATGCTTTCGGTGCTTGCCATCTGGACAGTTTGGATCGTGCTCTTGTGTGCGAAAGCGGTTGTCGCATGCAAGGCCAGGGCGATGATCCACAGTCCGCAGATGCCCCACAGCGTACCTGCCTGGCTGAGGTCTAGTTCGAGCAGAGGGACTCCGTTCTTGTTGACGGCCGTCTGGCTGGTGACGATGCTCGAACCGGCCATGTAGGAGGCGATGGCGGAGCAGACGGCTTCGACGAACGAGACGATCTGGAAGAATTGATCGGACCCAAAGATGAGGTTGAACGCTTGTCCGCCGGTTAGGCCCATCGCTGCGACGGTGACGGCTGTGGAGGGCGGTTTGTTGGAGCCGGACGAAGAGGATTTGATCGAGGCGAGCGAGGATACGGCGACGGTCATGGAGAGTTTGTGGGCAGATGCGGTGGCTGCTAGACCGGTGAGCATGTTGAGACTGCCTCGGACGTAGGTCGCGTTGTCGACCGAGATGTGGGCGAATCGAACGAGGATCAGCAGGATGATGACGCCGATCAGGGCGATGATCCCTTGCACGTGAGAGGTGAATAGTGCTGCGCTGGTGCTGGGTGCACTTGTGCTACCGTCGGAAGGCGAGTTGGTGGAATCGTCCATGATCATGGCAACACTTCTCCGACCAGCGGTAGAAGCTACCTCGTCCAACGTCGGTCCTTTCACCTTCCGCTTCCGAGCGGACCCATTGTCGACCACGCTCGCTGCATGCAGCGAGTACTCTTCTTCCTGTGCAGGAGCAGTCGCGGCTGCAGCAGCGGCGACGGCTAGACAGTACTTGCCACGACGAGACGAGGCGAGCGATCGACCCCGAGACGGGATCTTGCCGCTCTCGATGCGCGTGTACCTGCCATTGCTGTCGCTGAATTTGGCGGGTGGCTTGGTTGGGGAGAAGGTGAAGCTCGGCATGTTGTGAGAGTTCCTGATGGAATGGATGGCTGGTGATGAATAGGATCAATGTGGCAGAACTAGCTGCGGTGCGGTTCGGAGGCAAGTGACAGTGTTTAGGTTGGGTAAAGGAGTGTGGTTGTTTGTTAAAGAATGTGTGTGCAGGATTTGCAAGTGTGTGAGAGGACGAACAACGATGAATGATGGTAGTGGTGAGGTGGAGAGAGTGTGGTATCAGGCTCGAGAAGATCCGAGACAGCGAGGAAGGACGGTGATACTCGCTGCTTCCGGTCTGTCTGGTAGCTCGAGGTCGTCTTTCCCACCATGCAACACAGGGGCAGCGGTTGAGTACCACTTCGCTCGTTCCGACCACACAAGCGCCAAGAGTCTCGGACAGACTCCACGGTCAGCAGATCCAAAACTCCAATCGAAAGCTTAGTTACGTGGATCCGATGCACCATCCTTCAACGACTGCAAACTGAGACGGCATAAGAGGGCGGCTAAACCCACGCAAACGTGAGCTGTCGACGAGCGCAAGCGAGCCGTTGGCTGCAACTACCTGCCTGAAAAGGAAAGAAGACTGTCTACGGCTTGAACTCTGCCGAAAAGCTGTGACCCCAGAGCTCTGCTGCAGCTGCAAGCACTTGTAGAAGCGCATCATGCTAGAGACTTGCTCAACCAAGAATTCGCCGAAATTGAGAAAGTATACTACTGTGTAGTTGCAAAACCCCTGTCTCGTGCCTGGGAAAGTCAAAAAAACGTGGGTTGGGTGTTGGTTGAATCGCGGCGGAGATGGAAAATTCACCGACGAGACGCGGCACAGTCAAGGAACTTCACACAACATTTCCAATGAGAGTACAACCGCACTTTTCGATGCCTCAATTTACCGTGTCCCTTTTTCGCAGCGGGAATATTTACTCCTCTACAAAAATGTGACCAGGCATTGTTAATGCTATGCTACAGGACGACCTTGAGCCACAACCTCAGGCTTCGATCCAGTCTGCTGGCAGAGCGCATACAGCGAAGCCCCTCTCCTCGTACGCACCAGTCACATACAGCAGCTTCTTGTGAATATCAACCGCCAGCCCTGTCGGCACCGTCGGCAACCATCCCCTCTTCCTCATCTCCTCCTCGCTCCTACCTTCGATCTCTGCCTTGGTCTCTGCCGGGCTCTTGAACACGTTGAAAGTGTGGAATTCTTTCCGCAAAAACACACCCTTCTTCCTCTTTTGCTTTAGCTTCTCCTTGTCCCACGGATGCGCAACGACGCTGCCAAAGTGTCGGAAGACGAACGTGGTCTGATCGATCTTGGCGGCTGGTCTGGGCGGACGTTTTGAGCTGGACAGAGCCGGGGATGAAGTGGGCAGACCAAGCCGTCGACGTCGTTCGTCTCGTTGCGATGCGATCCATTTCTCTACCGATCGCGTGTTGGGGTTGCCCGCGGTCCACGATCGACCGTGTTCATCGACGACGAGTGCGCGAACGGGTGTTTCGTGTTCGATGGCGAAGAAGTTGACAAAGGATGGCGTGTAGGTCTTGTACAGCTGTAGCACGTTGTTCGCCCTGCCGTCGGGGGTGGTGGCCTTTTGCAGGACGCGATGATCGCGAATGCCGCCAGCGATCCCACGCACCCAGTGCTGCTCCCACTCTTGCACTTTGGCAGAATCCGCAGTGAGCGTGGGGATGAAGAGCGCGATGGCCGACGAGTTGGATCCGGCGGCTTTTCCTCCACCGTCCCAAGCTTGTAGAAGCGGCGGGAAACCTTGCCATTGATCGGGGTCGCTTCCGTCGAGTCGTACGGAGAGGGTCTTGTTGATCGAAGAATGGTGGATGAACAGTTTGCTCGTGATCGGGTCGCTGGTGAGCGAATACTGCGGGAGCAAATAGGACGCTACCGGCTGCCATACTGCCGAAAAAAGAGAGCTGCGCTCCGATAGCTCATGAGTCGACGGTTCCTTACTGCGGTCTGGCAAGGATGTGACAAAGAAGCTGGGGACGCGGATCGTTCGAGCGGCTTTTGATGCAACATCGTCGTGCTTGAATCCAGCCAAGATGTCTGGATTATCTCTGACGTGCTGAGGTTCCGGATAGTCGCGATCTATGGGTTGAGAGTATTGCTCTGCAAAGATGGCGATGCGGAAAGGGTCCACTTTGAAGGGCATGTCCGAGTCGACGTGCGTGCCGGCAAGCTCCTGTCCTTCAACACGCTTGATCCATCTCAGCGTCGCATGATCCTTGCCACCCACCTTGTCGAGGTCGTGCACAAAGATGTCGACCACACCTGGCTTGTCGGCATACGGCTTGTTGGCCACAACGACGAGGTTAGCCGGCGGTGAAGGTCTTGGTTCCGCACCCTCGTCCACCTCTTCCACAAAGTAGGGATTCGAAGCGGTCACCGCGATACCAAGAGGATGGAACGTCTCCAAGAGATCGGAGGGCGCTTGAAGCGGATACTCGGGAGGAGGCGTCGAGATGTACAACTTGCGGGCGAGGCTACGTCGACTGGTGTCCCAGGCCCAGATGCCCGGTGTACCTTGCTCGGGAGCGAGCTTGTCTCCGCCGTCCTCATAGATACCTGCACGGGCATCCCAAGTGAGTCGCGTTGGGTCACAGCTGAGATAGGCCATGCTCGTGCGACGGTCGAGGACCACATCTTCGCAGAACGAGGGCTCCACGGGTCCAGCTGGCTCGTTGGGCAAACGTGTCGAGACAGGATGGCAGTGTTCCAGGTTGAGAAGGTGATTGCTGGCTAGCGAGGCTGCATCGAGCGAGTCGCCGTGAAGCTTGAGGTGGTTCTTGTAGGGAAAGTAAGAGGTTACGGAAAGCAGACCAGCTGCTACCGACGAGATGACCAGAGGCAACAACATTTCGTAACCCGCCTAGATCGACAGCTAGTCCAACAGCCGTCGTGATGGTCGTAGAAAGCGAAGTGAGGACGAGTGAGGGAACGGTCGATTGCAAATAGCGCGTACCGATGCCCTTCTCTTTCCTGCCGCTTCCTTGAACGATTGGTTGTGGCGGGCAAGAGATAACCTTAGTGAGAGCGCGGCATCGCATGCAGGTCAACACGGAGTTGCCGTCGGCACGTCCGAGTTGAGCTTTAATCTTTGATTTCGGAAGACTCTCGACCGTGCGAGCGTCCCTTTTTTGTACAGGATTGTGAGATCGATGATGCTTTTGTCGCGGCATTGCACGATAAGATAAACGATGATTTGGCCAGAGTCGTGTGCCTGATTCCGGAGGAATTCTCGGCTCAACTTTTTGACTTTGAGAGGACAAGAAGAAGAAGAAAATTGCACTTCTATGTCACTTGATGTCAACCTCCTCCTCCCGCTTCCCTGTCTCGTTGCTCTTCTCCATCTCCTGACATCCCTTATACGTCTTCGAACAGCATGGCAGCGACTATCGATCAGAGCGCACTGGACAAGCTCCTCAGTCAAGACCGCATCGGCATACTGGATGGTGGGCTGGCCACGTACCTGGAGGATGGACTCAACTTTGACCTTTCCAAAGGTCCACTCTGGAGTGCACGTCTGCTCGACGAGAAGGAGGACGACGTGAGCAACGGAAAGGGACAAAAGGGAATTTTCGACGCTCATTTGCACTACTTGCAAGCGGGCGCCGGCATCATCGGTACCGCCACATATCAAGCTTCGCTCGAATCGTTCGCAAGGGCCAACTACGACCAAGCTTCGGCGTCGCATCTCATGACCAAAGCCCTCGACCTCGCATGCCAGGCACTGCAAGCGCACAACACCAGCTCAGCTTCTTCATCCTCGGCCACTCCTATGATCAGCTTGAGCTTGGGTCCTTACGGCGGAATGCTCAGTAACGGCGCCGAATACACGGGAGACTACCGACGCACTTTCCTATCGGAATCCGACCCACAACGCGAGGAGCAACCCTCTCTGGAAGAGATGGCAGCTTTCCATCAGAGACGTATCGAAGCATTCATCGCTCAGCCCAGCTGGCAAAGCGTGGGAATTTTGGCGGTCGAAACAGTACCGCGAGCCGACGAGGCGCTTGCTTTCCGAATGGCACTCGAGAACGTTGCACGCAGCCACGAAGAGCAGGGCAAGCCGCTGGACAGGAAGCCGGTCTACATCAGTATGGCCTTCCCAGACGATCGCCGTCTCCCTTGGCCTCCGCTCACAACAGGGTCTGCCGTGGATCGAGAAGGCGATGTAGACATGGACGAAGACGAGGACGACGAGGCAGCAGAGCAAGAAGGTGCTGTGCAGGAGGAAATGAATTGGCTCGTTCAAATTGTCACTGACACACAAGTTCAGGGTCACGACTCGTTGTGGCCTATCAGCGGTATCGGAATTAACTGCACAAAGCCGTACCTGCTGCCCAAATTGGTCCAGCGAATGTCGGCTTCGCTCGTCACACTCAACCGATCGGCGAGCGATGGTGGTATCGACCTTCAACACCGAAGGAGCGCGGCAGGTCTGCAAAAGCCACTGCTGTTCCTCTATCCCGACGGCGGACTCGTCTACGATGCGGTGCGCAAAATCTGGCTTACGCCTTCCAACGCGGGCGATCTCGGTCAGGGAGACAACTCTGCGGCGTCCTGGGCGTCGAGGCTGATGAAGTTAGCAAAGAGCATCACGGCTGCAAGCGATCCCGATTTGCCGGATGTTTGGCGAGGCGTATTTGTTGGAGGCTGCTGCAAGAGCGGAACTGACGAGATCCGTGCTCTTTGCGAATGTCTTTCCTCGTAACATGCAGCTGCGAATATACTTCTCGACCATGGAATTGGCGTGTGAGATGCTGTTCGTGATGCGGAAGTGCGCCAGTACCACCATTGACGTCAAGTTAACCCACCATGGCGCAGTCAGATTCGCCCGCGCTAGCCGCAGAGGTCTGTCAGCCGTCTTGACCAACGACCCACCTTGAGCGGCGGGGTCAGAGATGACTGCAGGGCTCGAGCAGCGCTGTCGTGGCGGCAATGCTCGACTCGGACTCGATACAGCCGTCGACAATATCGAATTTCCGATTGTGGCCTATTTGCTGATCGCGCCCACTCAAACGTCGATGAGTTGCAGCGCCAGTGCCCACCCTGTCAGATGAGGGCTGGGCAGTGACATCCAGGTATTGGTGTCTTCTGCAAAAAATCCACGCTAGATGTTGCAATGGAAGAGCGACATGTCTCTGCCGACGGTCAACATTCCATCGGTCAGGTAAGATTGACCTTCTTTGCCCAATCGTCGTGCATGTTTCCTCTCGAAAGCGTCAAGGATGTCGAGATTCCCTGTGAGTGAAAATCCAAATCACAGGAGAGAGTGAGGAGCAAAAGAGCCCTTGCGTTGGCTCGCTTAAGCACGTAGCAGATCCAACTCAGATCCAATCCAAGGGAAATAGCTGCCAAAGTGGCCGGTTATCACCGCCAAAGGGAATTTCCAACGGACCCTTCCTGGAATGCTGCGATGCAAAAGACTTGTCGCATGCAACGGGTCAACTCACATCCAGGCCCTTTGACCACGTTGTTGTCGGATCTGTTTGGCTGCAAAGCCAAGTTTCAAATCTTGCTTCCGCGATCTTGCAAAACGCCCTCAATTCGAGCTCCGTGACAGCCTGCCAGTCTCTGCAACCCACAAAAGAGGAGTCCCGTGCCTCAGTGCACGATTTCGCCGTTCTCGCTACTGTAGAGCGCGTTCGCACCCCTCCTTTCAGCTGAGAGGCAACGCTGGCGTGCGAACTCCTCTGTCAATCTGCAAAATCTCGCTCGAGTGTCTCACAATTTCCCGGGGGCCCTCCCCGAAGTTCGTGGCTGAAATGCGGCTGCAGGGATAGCTTTGCCTTGCCAAAGCGAACAGGCAAGCTCCCACCTTGTCGACACGCAGGACGATGGTCAGCAGCCTGAACAAAAGACACAATCGAGGGTGGGTTGCCAAGTCGAGGGTAGACGACTTCGTGCGCGCCGAAGAGGCTTGGGCGATCTCGCTTGCTCATTGACACGAAAAAGAAGAGTGCACAACGGACCCAGAGCGATCTGCGAGGAGAAGGAGCGTTTCTTCCGCAGAACATCGCTAGAGTCTCGGCGGGCTCTTGGCGAAGTTGCACTGCGCCCTTTGTCCTGGGGTGTCACAAGAGCAAGCGTGTGCTTGTGCCTCGCATTGATTGAGTTGCCTGTTCTGGGAAACCGCCGGCGCCTTGTTCCCGTCTTGCTCGCTTCCACTATTCTGTACGCCAAGTCCCGCACCCAAGAACCAAACTAGCCCCCGGATTCCCGGTTGTGTCTCTCGCAAACACATCTCTTCAAGGCACCGGGCGAGCTGTTTTGAGATGCCCCGAGACAGATCAGAATCCCACGCTCGACACGTTGACCCACTTGATGTGGTTATTGCATTCGTTGAGTGGTCCTATCCCACTCGAGCGGCTTGCGTTGCTGACACCGTGCGACGAGCCCCACCGACGTTCAGGGCAAGCACTCGGAAAGAGAGCTCCGCGCAATGTAACAGGTTTAAGCTGACAAGAAGACCGCTGAAAGTCGAGTGGGCGTAAAGTGAGAAGGACGCAGTGAACATGATTGGCAAGGAAGGGGCTGAAACAGCCATGCTGATCGTACTTGTAGGCAGAGGCACGCTCCTAGCACAAGTATATCACCAGCCCCTTTCGACCCTTCTAGCCACCCTCGCTTCATCCCCATCCTCTCTTCCTTCCCTGCTCACTCCGATACCTTTACGTCCTCCATACATAGCCCTACACACTCTTTGCCTCATCATCCTACTCACTGTCAGGTCGCCGCACTCCTCTCTCGCTCAAAGTAGACACTCACGATGCGTTTCTCCTCCGTCCTTGCAGCGGCCGCTGTCATCTCTGCAGCAATGCTGACCCCGGCTACAGCTTCACCTACCTCGATGAGCACCCTCCCAGACACCATCTCTGAGAATGTCCGACGCGAACTCGCCGCTCTTCCTTCGGACGACTACACGCTCTTTGAGCGCAATGCTGGACCTTCCCACAAGCTTAGCAAGAGGGCTGCACAGCTCAACGGCATTCAGACCGGCTGCACTCGCCAGAACTGTCTCTCAATCACGTTTGACGACGGCCCTTACCAATGGGAAAACAAGCTGGTCGACATGTTTGCCAACGCCGGCAACCAGAAGGCCACCTTTTTCGTCAACGGCTTCAACTGGCGATGCATCTACGACGATGCGTCGGTAAAGCAGCTGCGAAACACGTACGAGAAGGGTCACCAGATCTGCTCGCACACCTGGAGCCACCCGGACATCAGCAAGATGAACAACCAACAGCTGGATCAGCAAGTCCAACTGGTCGAGGATGCGTTGTGGAAGATCCTTGGTGTCGTTCCCGCTTGCATTCGCGCTCCTTACGGCAGCATCCGATCCGATCAGGTCAAGTACCTCAACGATCGATGGGGACTCGTGGTCGTTGGATGGAACTACGACACCAAGGATGCCGACGGCGCTGGCACCCAGGCCGGCCTGAAGCTGTACAAGAACCTTCGTCAACCCGCCCAGGCCATCGTTCTCAACCACGAGACCGTCCAGGGTACCATCGACACGGTGATGCCGCAAGCTGTCAACATTGTCCGACAGAACGGCTACACCAGTCACACAGTCCAGCGCAACCTCGGCTTCAACCCCTACAAGGTCGTGGGTAAATACCAGAATCGCGACTCTTCGTGGACTTGCGATGGTACGCCTGCACCTGGCGCCAACTAGTAACTGGTGCTTCCGAAACGGTTGTTGCTCCGTCCTGTCGCCGGGCCTCTGCCTGCTCTTCGTTTGTCCATGATGGCCCTGGCTATCCCATTCCGCATCTATTTTCTTGGCTAGAGCGCAGACATTGCTCGTCAGCTCGCCACGTATCTATTTTCCGCATAAAGCATACCTGCACATATGAATACATCGTTTCGACTTCTCACCAAGATATGCAACTGAAGTCTTGGAAATGTGTTGAGGTGACATGGTTACGATCCAGAGAAGGAATCTGATGAGCTCTTGATCGAAACATGTGGTGTTGCTTCGCTAGATCCATTTTCTGACAGGGTTCATGTAGGCGTTGTACTGAAGGTACATGGTCGCGAGACTCGAAGCTGTCGTTGATGTTCAAAACACGGCGTGAGTACAAATGGGCCGACTTGAGCACATCCAAAGGGTTGCACTTACAGGCTACGATCAAGGGGCTGATGATGCCAGGCCCAAGCTTGGTGGTCTTGTAGACGAATGTCTCGGAGACAAAGTGGACGAGAGCAATGACAAAGGACCACATGCACAGCTCGTACGCTCTGTACGAAGAGGAGAGGGTACAGATGTCAGTTGTGATGCGGTATGCTTAGAAGGGGACAAAGCAGCGCGTGTCAATAGCTTACACTTTGTCATGAATGTTGTAAGCAGCGTAGATGCGAATGATGGCTGAAGTGATGTTCCAGACGCCAAACAGGCGTGCTGACAAGGGAGTGACTGCCAGAGGGAAAAGAGAAAGCACAATCAGAGATGTGAGCCCGAAGTGTCGGATGCAAAGCTGCTGGAGGCTGAGAATAAGACTTACTTTGGGCACCTGGGGCGGAATAGACCTTTGCACTGGCACGAGGGTTGAGGATGTTGCTCGCTCCGTTGATGGCAGCCGTGGTAGCGACCAAAAGCAACCATCTTGGCAGCAAACCGTCGGGAATATCTGTCCGAGCGAGAAAGCCAGTGTATATAAAGGTCAGCACACGATCGAGTCCAAGTCTTTATTTCTGCCAACTGACAGCTGCTGATCGACATGATGTGCGTTACGACTGTCAGATGATTCTCGGGAGCAAAGAACAACACTCGTTGAGAAAGATGCACGAGTGTCACGTCACAGTCGCGCACAAACAGCAGGCATCGGCTCGGAACGCGGATCTGATTTTTGACAGCTGAGCCACTTTGGACCAAAAGATGATTCAGGGTCCAGACGGTGTGCCCCGCATACAAACGACAAGCTTCCGAATCCAACTTGACTCAACGCCACCGACTCTCATCGAGCTTGTTTGCTCGCTTCTACCTCTCTATCGTCACATGCATTCTCTACAATCACACTGGTGTTGATCTCTGGGAGATCAGCAATCGCATCCATCCACGCGCTGAAATGATGCGAGGAGAAAAAAGGTCTTGAGACCGCACATCTTCATTCAGCGGGGGTCATCGACAGCCACCATTCTTATCCCTCGTCCACACCGACAGCCTCGCGTGGAGGTCCTTTCACGCTTCAATCCCACGTCGACTTGCCTTCATGTCGTCGATGCTCACCAGCATCTCGATGGCGGACGTCATCGATCCGGACACCGCTGTCCTGCATATACCGAGGATGATTCGTCAGGACGAGTACGGCTACCGAACCAGCGTGGAAGGCAAAGAGGTATCGCCTCTCACCGTAGTGCCTCTCAATCAGGCTTTCCCCATCTCCAAGTCCGGTGGACCTGCTTCGGCATCGTTTGTCTTGAAGCGCTTCGCTGACGGCTACTATGTATGCTCCTGCCCAGCATGGAGGTTCAGCACCGAGCGCGACAAGATGCGCAAAACATGTTCGCATCTCAAAGATGTCCTCGGGGAAGCATACGAGAACGATCGCATCGCACTCGCAAGAGAAGCCAAGAGCACCGTCTTCGAGCACACAAAATTCCGCAGAACCACTTCAGATGGTCACCACGCTCGGCACACACATGCAAAGTCGATGCTTGACGATCATTTCCGGCAACTCTCGCAAAGTCAATCCGATGTCTTACCCTCCAGCCAACCAAACATCATCGCGAGCTCGGGTGCAAGCAACGTCAATGGACCGCGCCCCGAAAACCGCTTGGCAGACGAGCATGGGGTCAGCACCTCCAGGTCTCGCGTCACGCCGGTGCAAGCTGAACAAGACAGTGATACCGAGACCGAAGATGAAGAGGTGGTCGCCGCCTCTCAAGCAGCAGCAGCCTCCGGTTCATCACGTCCTCTCTTTCTAGCTGCGACGCAGCCGAATGCCACCGCGGGCCGAACGCGCTCGGCATACCATGACGACGACGATGACGATCCCGGTATCAACCAGGACGATGTGCAGGCGTCGCCATCAAAGCGCGCTCGACGTGGCAAACGATCCGCTGGCGACAGCGATGATGACAAGGTGGGTATCGACCGCAGCCATACTCTTTCGCCGATGTCTCGACTGACCCCTGCTCCGCTTCTGTCTGATTACAGGTGTCTCTGCTTCTTGCAAAGCCATGGCTGCTGGATGCTGACCCGTCCAAGCCCAGATCGAAAGCGATGGATCCCACCGGCTGGTGGATCAGCGAAAAACTCGACGGCGTGCGCGCCTTTTGGGACGGGCAGAGGCTCTACTCGCGTCAAAAGATTGAATGGAATGCACCGTCTTGGTGGAAACAACGTGAGTCAGCAAGTGTCTTCTAATCGCTACGGACGACATGAACTGACACTCCGCGTGCATTATTCTTGCCCTTGCCTCGTTCCTCTAGGGCTACCTAAGGACATCACCCTGGACGGCGAGCTCTGGATGGCACGAGGCGCTTTCGACCAGACTTCGCAGATCTGCCGCACTACTGTAAGATTGGGCCGGCTTCGCACCTTTTCCCATTTTCTCGAACGCGATTCGATGGAGCGTCAGTGGCTGCGCGAACAGGTTGGAGGGCGTCTCGCCAGCCAAGACCGCCTCCGTGACGCAAGAGGAGCCTTGTCTCTGCTACGCCCGACGATCGAGAAGAGCGTGAGCTTTGCCGATGTGATTGCGACAGCGCGTTCAACAGCTTCGTCGTCCGAATGGAAAGCATTGAAGCGAAGTCTCAGACAACGCAAGAAACATTCGGCAGTCAAGTCTCGGCCAAGCTCACGCTTCGCTGTCGCAGGCTCTTTCTTGCGAGCTTTGTTCGGACGACATCCGGCCGAACAGAGCCAGCCCGGTTCCGTGCTACCTGTTCCGCCAAGTCGTCCCGTCTTCAAGCGTTGCACCAGGTGTGGCAAAGTCGTCAAACGGGGGAAAAGCCGAAACGCAGATGCGGCAGATCCCAACAGGACGAACGCTGACCAGTCTGTTTCTGGACCCTCTTTGCCCTCTGCAACCTCAAACCCGATGCCAACATCAAAAACATTCTCGTCGCGACGACCGCACGCGTACTCGACCCTGGCCGCCCTGTCATCTGGTCGAACTATGCCCTCTGCATATACCCACGTCTGTCGGCGCAAAACAAAGAGTTCCAACGAGTGGAGCCGCATCAAATTCATGGTGAGCTCCTTTCTATGCCTTTCGATATCGATCCTGATGCAAGGTTGTTGCTGACGCTCGTTTGGCCCCTGCCTGTAGATCTTTGACACACCTTCCATGGGCTCGAGGCCAGTAGAAGAACGCTGGGTAGAGATCGAGAATCGCTTTGGCTCGACCGACGGGCTCGACATCGACTCTCTCGAAGGTCCACAGATCAAACTCGTCAAGCACATCAAGTGTGAGGGTCGCTCGCACCTCGCTGAGCTCATGGAAGCAGTCGAGCTCAAGGGCGGCGAAGGGTGAGTAGCAGACTGCAGGGCGCCTGAGCTGCGTTCGCAGTGACACTGACGACTGTTGCCCTCCGTGTCTACCTATGCGTGCAGACTGATGCTCCGTCAACCTGGATCAAAGTACGAAGGTAAGCGCGGCAACACGCTCTTCAAGCTCAAGAATTGGTACGACGCCGAAGCCGAGGTGATAGGATACGCCGAAGGCACGGGACGACACGCAGGTCGAACGGGATCTCTGGTCGCCCGCATGGCGTGTGGCACTGTCTTTCGTGTCGGAACGGGCATGTCGGATGCTCAACGAGACAATCCTCCTCCCATTGGTAGCATCATCAACTATCGCTTTTTCGAGCTCAGCGAAGACGGCTATCCTCGCTTCCCCGCTTTTCGTGGGGTTGCCAGCGACAAATCCAAGCCCAAAGATGCGGTGGTACGACCAAGAGCTAGCGCTATCAGGTCTGTTGAAGATCAGTAGCCTCTTCTCGAAGTATGTATTGCTACTCTTCTTCGGCGATACCCTCACACTGCAAAAACTATTGTCGTTGCCATTGATGCCGTCGTCTGTGATACTTGTGATGCGGGTGAAATCTTACACTGTATGCTCTGATGGTGTTGTAGCCTCGGCAAAAAGCAAGCGAAGTTGTGTGGAGGCGATCGAACCAAAACAATTTTGCCGTTTCACGTCACGACTAAATTTGCGTTTTGAATTGCCGCTGCCTTGTGACGACTGCATACAGCACAGGCTGCATAAACAGCCTCTGCACGACTCCACGCGCTCGTCCCTTGGTCTTGGTGAACGGGTCGACGGAGGACGGATAATCCGCTCCGAAGCCGGCGGTGGTTCCACTGTTCCGGGATCGACCCCGCACATCCTTCGTTCCAACCACACACTGCGTCCGCTCAGCTCAATATCAGATCAACCTCTGACTCCCACCGAAACATAGACGCACAGAAGTACAGCACACTTCCAAGGTCGTTCATCCCATGCGTGTTAGCGTAGCACATCAACGATGACAATCACCACGGCGGGCGTAGCCGTAAACATCACACCCACCGTCACAAAGACGTTCTTCAAGCACTACTACAAGAAAGCCAAACGTCGCCTCCGCAACCGATCTCGCAAGAATGCCACCGATTCCAATGCTCCCAACGCTACCGACGAATTCATGTTCGACGAAGCCTTCCACATCGTCAAGGCCTTCATCGAAATTGGTACGAGCGACACGGTGGAAGCAATCCAGAACTTTACTGACGCACCTGCTCCTCCCATCCCTTGGGCGACGACGTTACCTGTGATCATTCCGATGGAGAGCTGCGACAAAGCAGCCAAGCTGCTTGTAGAGCATCTAGGTCCGAATGATCTGGAAAAGTTGGTGGGTGGAGAAAAGTGGTGGCAATTGAGACCTTTGCCGGGTGTCCAGGGTGAGTGGATTGCCATGTCGAATGATTGGAAGAAGATGAAGACGATGGAGAAACGTGCTCAGCAGGATAGGGCCAAGCCCTCGCCGGCTATGACGAGCAAGCAGAGGAGGAGGAGGAACAAGCGACACGAGAGAGCACTGTCAGAGATTAAGGCCATGCGTCAAAAGACAGAGTCAGCTTTGAAACGTCGTTCGCAGTCGTTCAAGAGGTCTTCGCAGGATGCAAAGCGTCAGAGAGATGCTGAAGCAGAGGTGGAAGACGATGAGGATGCAGCATCAACAGCACCAAGCGAGGCAGAAGTACCCCAGCCGACCTTCGATCCTGCTACCGATATGGCATCCGACAACGGCACCGAAGATCACCCAGCAGAGACAGAAGAGCTCGACCGCCTACAACGAGTCATGCTCTACTTCCACGGTGGAGGATACTACTTTGGCTCCCTCGCGACCCACCGCTACCAGATCGTGCGCTACGCGCGCAAGTTCGGAGGCAAGTGCTTTGCGCCCATCTATCGCAAGGCGCCCCAATATCCGTGGCCCTGTGCGCTTCAAGACGCAGTCGCGTCCTACCTCTACCTTTTGTATCCTCCGAAGGGTGCGAAACACAGACCGGTGGACCCGAAGAAGCTCGTCATCGCAGGCGATAGCGCAGGAGGCGGATTGACGCTGGCCTTGTTGACGGTAATCCGAGATATGGGGTTGCCGGCGCCGGCGGGTGCAGTGCTCATCTCACCTTGGTGCGATTTGACCCATTCGTTCCCATCTATCTTGCAGAACACGGCGACAGATATCATTCCTCCTTATGGATTCATCCATAAACCGTCAACGTTGTGGCCGATCAACGCTACAAAGCCGATGAAAGGAGATGAGGAGGGCGAAGCCAAGACTGATGAAGAGCAGCCGAGAAGAAAGGTGCCGGTGGGTGTTGAAAAGGATGGCGAGACCAAGGGTGATTCAGAGCCCGCTGCTCGAAAGAGTTCGGACGGTGGAAACCTGACGTCCACGAGCGAGAAACCCAGCGACGCTGTACGAACCGCTCCATCGCCTCCATCCTCAACCAGAAAAGGCATTCCCCCGGCACCGGACCTGCTCTGGTCCGACCCCATCACCATCTCCCGCGCCGACACCACCCGTGAGGCCATCGAGCTGCGCGAGCAAATCCAGCTCTACGCCACGAACGACCAACTCACCCATCCGCTGTGCTCCGCCGTCCTCTCTGGCTCACTCGGCGGTCTACCACCTCTCTACATCCTCGCCGGTGACGCTGAAGTCCTACGCGATGAGATCGTCTACCTCGCGCACCGAGCTGCCCACCCGCATCGCTACCCTCTTCGTAAAGATCTGTTGGATCACTCGGCGCGTAGTCGCGAGAACGCAGAAAAGTACGATTCGCAGCCGACAAAGGTTCATCTGCAGATCTACGATCAGATGTGCCACGTGCTGACGGCTTTTGCGTTCACGAGTCAGTCGAGGTTCGCGTATCGGGCGGTGGCGAGTTTCGTCAAGCATGTGACGGGTGCGCCGACGGATATCAAGAATCCATTTCCGGAGGCGCAGGAGGGTGATGATAAGAGGGAGGAGGGAGGGAGCGATGATGGAGATGGTGATGATGGGGTTGACGGTGTATCTGACAACGTTGGAGGCGAGGTGAGTTCACCTCCGCTAGCGAGCAGCTTAAGGAGCGAGCAGAACTCATTGGGCGGTGCGGTAACGACGACGCCTTCTGCGACTTCGTCCCAGAGTCAAGGGAATGGGTTGAGTGCGATGACGGGCTTCGATGAAAAGCCGCAGCTCGACGCTATCGACACACACACGAAGGGTGATACGACCAACACCACCTCTCAACTCCATGATGAGCCCGAATCCATGTCAGCAATAGAGCCCTCTAGCGGCACCACTCCGGCCACTGGGGCCAACACTCCTGCGACATCGAGCACGAAATTGCGTCACCGCTCCATGTCTCAACTTCTCAGCGACACGCTTCACGGCCACCCAACCGGCACCAACACTCCCGCTGTCCCTAGATCACGACGCGGAACCGCCGACCATCCCAACCAGTACGCCGGGCAAGTCCCCCTGCTCCGACCCTCGTTCCAATCCTTCATGATCCGCGAACGGGTCGACACGCTCGGCTACCTTCGACCTCTCGAACCCGAAACGTCGCTTCCCTGCCTTCAGATCCACCCTTCTTCCATCGGCTGCATCAAAGAAGGACCTGTCGACCGCTACCTCACCGGTCAAACCCAATGGGCGAAGCGTTTCGCCAAAACGGCGCGTAAAGTGGAAAAGCAAAGAGCGAAAAACGAATCCACGGCGCAAAAGATGCTCCAAGAAGCCTCCTCGCAAGGACTGCTCGATCTCGCTTCTTTACGCAAGAAACGAAACGGCCTGTTTGAAGCTTCGTCGAACTCCTCGGAGTCAAAAGGTGTGGGTGTCAACGCAAACGACGTGGCAAAGGGAGCAGAGCGATGTCGAGAAAAATGGTCTTGGCTGGTCGACTTCGGACCCTTCGATCTGACGCACGAAACACCGCCTCCCGCCGCCATCGCCGGCAGAAGAGATACCGATGACGCCCTTGTGCTGCTGAGACGATCCCTCCAAATCAGAGCCAGAGCGTACGGTGTGCAGAGGAAAAGCAGATTCTGGGGTGCAGAGGATCGTCCCGTTCGAGCGCATTGGAGAGCAGAAGACGAAACGGGATTGGAGACCAGCACCGATCCCAGCGGAAACACGGTCGAGGAAGGGGGGGGAGCTGCCAAAGCTGGCGCAGGAGCAAAGGGCCACCACCACCACAGAGGTCTGAGAGTGTGGAACCTGTTGATGGTCGGCAAGAAACCTGGTACGGTGTCGGGCAAGGAGAAGAGCTAAGATCTGCACATCACCAACAATTGCAATCATGAATCACATTCGAGCGACTGAAGACGTTTGAAGATGGATTCCAAGGTTTGGTTCCTGACAAAGTGAGTCGTAGATTATGTACAAAGATGTGAGAGGATGAGAGCCGAGCATGGCGAAAGCAAGGTGTGAAGACCGGGTCGGCTTTCACTTCTTCTTGGTGGGGCTGTCAGTGCTGCCGCCACCTCCGAGCTTCCTGGTCACCTTCGTCGGGGTTACCGTAGCACCGCTCGACTCTGCCGCGACTTCCTCATCTGCGACATCGCGAACCGCGGTCTTTGGCGCACCCGCCGGAGCAGCAGCGTCGGACGACGAAGGACCCGCAGCAGCAGCGCTCGCACGAGCGTTCCTCTCCGCCTCTGCACGGTACGCGGCCGCCTCCTCCTCCGGCGTCAAGGGCAGTGCGATACGTCCCTCCTGTCTCGCCTTGATCCTCTTCCACGCGACGCCCGCAAGGAGCGCGACCGACTGCAACGCGATGCTCAGGATGATGGCGGCGGTAAGCGGAGCCGGTCGCGGCTCACCGTCCTCCCGTCCGCCGATCAGGCTGAAGTGTTTGTGCCAGAGAAGGCCGAGGTTGAGGTAGATGCCGGCGGCGGTCCAGGTGAGGTCGGCGGTGGCGAAGATCCACAGTGCGGAAAGGGCGCCAAGACCGGTGACGATGCCGAAGGCAGGCCAGAGACCTTTGATGAGGGCGTCGTGGCCTCCGGAGCCAAAGTCCCATCCGAGAGCCATGAAGAGCTGCTGCCAGAGATCGTACTGGAGGGTGATGACGAGGAACATCTTGATGGGGACGTGGATGAAGAGCCAATCGAGCGGATGCTTGGCAGAGGGCGGGTATCGTACGGCCAAGACGAGAGCGTTGAAGAGAAGGATAAGTGCGATGACACCGAGAGTCACGGTACCCAGGATGAATGTAGGTGGACGATCGAGGATCCAAAAGATGGCCCAGAGCACCATCATGTAGTTGGCGAGACTGAGACGGGTGCCTACGCCGTGCGCCAGCGCCTTCTTGGTCTCAGGAGTGCGACTGAGCAGCAGAAACACCGAAAACCCGATGAGCAGCACGTACAGAACGGCCCAGTAGAAGAGCACGAACGAATCCTGCACCGAAAGATACGTAGGATGACGACGCGAGACCTGCTGCAGATTGGGATGGATGAGCTTCGAGCCGCACAGGATCATCACGCCCATCTGCAGCAGCACCGAGAGCGGCGTAAGGATCTGCATCCGCGTCAATGTCTTGACTTCGTTGGCGTCCATGGTGGTGGACAGCTGATGGTAGCGGTTCGAAAGGCCGGAAGCGACGTGGTTGGGGTTGGATGGGACTTCGCTGTCTGCACGAAGCTGGTCCGCGTACTCGGGATCCTCGGGACGATAGATGTAGTCTGGTTGGGGCTGTTGCGAGTGGTTGCTGCTAGGCATGTTCTTGCCGAGTTGTGAAGCACTCGTAGCACTGACGCACGTTGCGACACACGATCGCTTTGTGTGCTAGATGGAGAGATTGTGAAGGTGGTAAGAGCAGCTTGGTACTGCGGTAAGGATAGGTTAGCCTTTTGGAAGGACGGTGTCCGAGAGATGACGGTGTCTGCGGCGATGGTCGGTCGGCGAAACCAAGGTGAAATGAGGGTGGAGCAGTCTGAGCTAAATCGAGCATCATTCGAGACTGTGCGGATCTGCAGCCAAACGCGGTTTCGGCGCTCGATGACGCTTCTGCTTTTCCAAGCGAGGCGATCCCGCAACGCCAAGCGATTTCCATCGTCCGATTCCACATTTCTGCACATCGTTCATCACCCGATCGGGGTTCGCCAGTCACTCGCGTGGAGGTGGAGGCAGCTTCTCCGCGGGGCTGCGGGAAGGCGGGCAAAAGCTGTCGAGCGCTTCCTCAATGCACAAAGCCTGCCCTCGGTTGACCATTTCATTTGGCGCACAACCGAGATCGAGACACCGTTTGCCGTGCAGCTTCCATTCATCAATCTTCTTGTGCAGCGGCACACAACGTGGCTCTATCGTCGTTGTATTAATAACACTGTGCAATCGACTACTGCTGTCAAGGTGGAGTTAAGCCCGCTCCTCGACGCCTTGCGCGCGCGCTCTCCGAGTGTCTGGTTCCGCAGTTCGAAGAGGATTTGAGCAATGTGTGGAGGGTAAGCTGACAGCAAAACCTGAACCCTACTGAGAGACCTGTTCGTCAGTGGTGAGCCGGCTCTCCACTCGCTGTATGATATGAGGCGGCGCCTAGTCACGGCGAGCAGCAATATATAGACCTGCCCTACGCTCCTGCATTCCACCAAATCTTCGCCTCTCTGATCATCTCTCTATCCGAGACACCTCACCACTATCTCTGTCCTCTGTTCTTCCTCTTTGCCCCCTCATTAACTTAGCCAAGATGGGTATGTTCGACGCCGAAAAGCCAATCTCCAAGCTGGACCGCCACCGAGTGCTTGCTCCTAAAGCCGGTGTGCGCGTCTCCCCTCTCTGCTTCGGCGCCATGTCGATCGGCGACAAATGGAAGGACATGCTCTCCGGTGGTCTCGATAAGCAAGGCACGTTCGATCTTCTCGACGCATTCTACAAGCTCGGCGGCAACTTTATCGACACTGCCAACGTCTACACCGACGGTCAGAGCGAGATGTTCCTCGGCGAGTGGATGGAGACACGCGGCATCCGCGACGAGATCGTCCTCGCCACCAAAGCCACCTCGCCCTACAAGAACCGCGAGCTCGGCAGCCACATCGGCTCCAACTTTGTCGGCAACTCGACCAAGTCGATCTTCGTCTCGACGCGCGACTCGCTCAAGAAGCTGCGCACCGACTACATCGATATCATGTACATCCACTGGTGGGACTGGTCCACGAGCATCGAGGAGATGATGCAGGCGCTCAACCAGCTCGTCGTGTCGGGGAAGGTGCTGTACCTGGGAGCGAGCGATATGCCTGCTTGGGTGGTCAGCGCGGCCAACACGTATGCTCGCGCTCACAATCTGGCTCAGTTCGTCGTGTACCAAGGCAAGTGGAATGCGATGGAACGCGATTTCGAGCGTGAGATTATTCCCATGGCAAGGGAGTTTGGCATGGCCCTCGCACCATGGGGAAGTTTGGGGCAGGGCCGTTTTAAAACGCCTGAGCAAGTAGCCGAGCGCGAGAAGACCCAAGGCCCCCTCCGTGGTGGAGGAGGAGCACTTACCGAGAAAGAGAAGAACATCTCGGCCGTTCTTCACAAGATCGGACAGGAAGAACTCGGTGGTGTCAGCATCACTGGTGTTGCGCTGGCGTACGTCTTTTCCAAATACCCTTACGTGTTCCCCATTGTCGGAGGTACCAAGATCTCGCATCTTGAGGACAACGTCAAGGCTATCGGCACCGTACTGACCCCCGAACAGATCAAGAAGATCGAGGACACGGCTCCGTTCGACGTCGGCTTCCCCAACTCCATGATCGGTCCGGATCCTCACCTCTCTGGAGAGACCCAATTCGGTTTGCACGCGCACGGTGGTCACTTGGACTGGGTCAAGCATCCCACGGCTCCTTCGTTCAAGTAGATGCTTTGTATACTTTCGCTTGCGATGTACTTGATACCTGTAAACGAATTTTCCTTCGGATGTTACGAGCGACATCCTCGGTGTGAGCTGTGTATTGTAGCTCGCTGAATGATGTTTCCTTCAGTATGAACTAGATGCCTCCTTGATGTGAGCTGTGAACAGCTGCTAGCTGCGCTGTGCTTGACATCTGGTGTTGACGTGTGCGCTAAATCTTCAACAACGGCGTCGATAAGGTGCGTCAAAACAGCGTCTAATTCGGCCAAAGCCGAGGCCTTGCAATTTTTCTGGGAATTTTGAGAATCGGCTTCAGGTGATCCGCACCCACGCGACACCGCTACGTCCTTCGTATTTGATTCACGCTAGACACCTCTTCGTCAGTCCAACATCACCTCAGCCCCTAGACTACTCTTTCCACCAGGCGCAAAAGACACGATGGCCTCGCAATCGGCGACAGACGCCCACACACAAGCAGTGGCAGCGTTGAAAGCGCAAGAAGCTGCGCTGCGATACGACCATGCCGCCCTATCCAATATGTCCTCGGACGAAGAACGCGCCAATACCATCTTCACCCGTCTTCGAGACGCCGAAGTAACATCACAATGGGCCAAAGACGGAGACTTGACCAATTTTGCAGGGATGGACTTCTACGGCGCTCGCAAAAACGGGCTGGGTTCGCCATCAGAGGTGTGGAATGCGGTGCGAAGGATGCCAAAGGGTGCACTCCTGCACTGTCACTTTGATGGAACGGTCGACACGAAATTCCTGCTGGAGCATGCAAAGAAGACCAAGAAAATGGCGATGAAGGCTGATGTGCGGCTGTCGACAGCAGATGCGTTGTGGAAGGCGACGGTGGAGTTCTTGGTCCTGCCGGAAGGTGCCGAGAGGTCGACGAAGAGCATCTATACGGAAGAGTATGTGCCGGGAGAATGGGTCAGCTTCGAAGAGGCGAGAGAATCGTTCCCGTATCCTCACCCATATGAGATGGACGGGACGGATGCGGAGCATCACATGCCCAACTTTGTCTCGACCTCCGCGCCGAACGGTCGGTTGAACGGCGACAAAGCTCCCAGCAATGTGGCACAAGACAAGGGCCAAGCATTTGACGCATACGCACATGCACTCATGACCTTGACACCGCACCAAGCCCTTCCCGCCATCACCAACAGCAAGCAAGCTTGGGCCAAATTTCAATCCACTTTCGGCGTCATCGCCGGCCTCATCGGCTACGAACCTACGCTCAAAGCCTACACCAAGGAGCTCCTGCGCTCGCACGCACGAGATGGCATCTCGTATACCGAGACGCGCATCAACTTCCTCACCGACTTTATGGTCCGCGCCGACGGCACGCCCAACCTCGACCACTCGGAATGGGTTCGCATCTTCATCGAAGCCGTCAACGAGGTCAAAGCCGATTTCACCGATGGCAGCTTTGTCGATGCCAAGATCATCTACACCACGGTGCGATTCATCGACAATGAAAAGCTTCGATGGTACCTCGAAGACTGCATCATGCTCAAGAAGCTGTACCCGGAGTGGATCGTCGGCTTCGATCTGGTAGGGCACGAGGATCCGCTGCTGCCGTTGAAGGTGTACATTCCGGAGCTGCTTCGTTTCCAACAGCGGTGCAAGGAGGAAGGGCTCTCGATTCCGTTCGTATTCCATGCAGGCGAGACGCTGGAAGACGGTGCGGATGCAGACCTCAACCTGTACGATGCCATTCTGCTGGACACGAAACGCATCGGTCACGGTGTATCGCTCGCCCGCCATCCACTCCTGACAGACATGGTGAAGGAGAAGGACATCTGCATCGAAATCTGCCCGATCTCGAATCAAATCTTGGGCTACACCGCCAGCATCTGCTCCCACCCGAGCTTGCTCGCGCTGCTCAACAGAAATGTCCCCGTGGCGCTGTCGTCGGACGATCCGAGCATCTTTGAAAACTTTGGCCTGTCGTACGACTTTTACCAGCTGATCATCAGTTCTCAATCGACGTCGCTGATGTCGCTAGCGACGCTGGCACGGAGATCGATCAGGTATACGTTGGTAGATGACAAGACGAAGGAGATCATGTTCGCTGACTGGGATAGAAGGTGGAATGAGTTCATCGCTTGGTTCCTAAAGGAATACGGACATGTGCTCAAGCAGTGATCGCGAGCTGGATATGCATCTCATTGTTCATTGTAATGATTAGACAAACAGTCGTTTCTCACAGGATATCTCATACGAAGTGTTTGCTTCAGTTGGCAATTGTCCACGCTTACATACTGTTTCAAATTGTGATTCTAGGTCGACGTTCAAGGAGCCTTGATAGTGGCTCTGGAGAGCAGGTACTGGTAGTGCGGGTCGCAGGCGTCCACAGCTGGTTGCAGATGCTCTGCGATCTTGGACTTTGGCTTGTCACCCTCGAGGGGTGTCGCAACGGCCTCCTTCTTGAAGCCTGTCGAGTTCTCAGCTGCATTGTGGTACCCACCCCATTTGGCCCATTCGTCAACAGGACCCGAGTCCCATGAGAGCATCTCGGGCGTGAAGGGGATGCCCATAGCCTCGCAGTAGCTCTTGATGGCGTGGTCGGGGTGTGCAAGCAACGTCGAAGCGTCGAGCAGAGGTGGAGGTTGCGGTTGCTCGACTGCGTGCTCATCTCCCTTCTCGGTGTTGAAGGTAGAATTGGGGTTGGAGATCCAGTCGTAGAGGATCTTGAGCTCGACGTAGCCTGCGTCGGCTTGATCCCAGAACTCCCATCCGGAAGCACCTTCTTGGACGCACTTCCAGTAGCTTGGGATCGACTTTTCCGGTGTGCGAATGAGGAAGGAGTGACGGAAACGCTTTAGGATCGACGTGGGTACTGCGGTAGGGTTCTCGACGACAGGTGCGTTGATATCGAACGGCTTCGAAGTGCTACCGCTGGCGTTTGCAGGAGCGGGAAAGACCTTGGATTCGGGGTGGAGCTGATGCAACAGCTCGGCAGGGAAGAGACATTGACCCATGTCCTTCAAAAAGACGTATCTGGGTGGCCAGGACTTGTTCTTGGCCATATCCTCGGGAGTGGGGTTGAGCACCTTTTCAAGCACCTCGGTGACGGTGAGGTCGTAGTTGCCCGACTTTTTGGCGTGGTCGTCATCGAATCGACGGCAAGGACGATCCTTGCCGAGGTAGAAGGGGTCGCCGATGGGTTCGTGGAAGACAACGGTGTCGGGTCGCTGCATGAGCGAGCGCTCAAAGGCGGTGGAGCATGATCGTGGGTGGACCCAGATCACGATGGGCAGAGGCTGTTCCGAAGACATTTTGTTGCGCGAGTGGGAAGGTATCGAGGTGTCAAGAATGAAAATATCCGAAACGTCTTGGTGGGAAGTTAACAATGATCAATGAGGTTGATGAAGGAGCAAGAAGTTTTGTAACAGAACAGCGATGGATTTTGACGAGGCGGGACAAGAGAGAAGCGAGGAGCTGCAAAAGCACATGGTCCGTGTGCTTGTTTCGGCTCGCCTCGCAATCACATTCTGTTACAAAACTGCGGCGAGGTACAGGGTCAAGCTTGGCGTGGGTGTACGTCGCTCACATCCCGATCCTCATCTTGCTGCAGAGTGATGAACATCGGATGCTGCAGTGAAGCAGAGAGGCCGGGAAAACGGCTTTGGAGAGCAATGTCACGTCACACGTCAAGTGCGGCCGGACGCGCAGCGGATCAATTTCGCAGCAACAACGACAGCGTCAGTGCCTCCATTCGGCTCATCTCGCCATTTCGGCTGGGAATCGTGCAAGCCACGAGCTGCAGTGGGCGGTGGCTGAGTCATTTCTTTAAAGTCTTTGTTACATTGTCAAGTGAAGAGAAATCGGGCTCCGATATGAAAAGCATCGCGATTCAACACCCACGTTGCCAGCTCCCTTTTCGCTGGCAGCCGGAAAATCGGTACACGAGGCAGTGCTCGTCTTTTGCTGCCAAGTCGAAACTGTTGCCTCCTCGCTACCACCGTGCAGCAGGGAGGGTTAGACATCCTCACCAGCATTCTAGTCTGCCCCACTCTAGGACGGACACTCGCGCTCGTGAGAGCAATGATGGTCAGGATAAGGAAAGGTCGAGGATCTCGGATCTGACCAAGCATGGCATCGAGCTTTGGGCTCAATGTTCCAGAGCCTCCTACCGACGTCCTATTTCTGGGGGGTCACAATTTGCAACCCCGCTCGAAGCGGCAGCGTTCAAAAGGCGAGAGCTCGAGACCTATGGTGTAGGCTGAAAACCAACGCCGAGCGACCTGCAGATACCAAGCAAGAAAGGCATTCTTTACGTGTGCGTGCACAGCCTTTCCTTTTTGGAAGCCGGACACTGCAGCGTCTGTTTCCAAAAGGGCTTTGAGCTCTATTGGCGTCGCACAGTACGCGGGGATGCTGCAGTCCAATTTGAATTTTGTGGCCAAGAAGCCCTGACGCCCCGACGCCCCTGTGTGCGTGTGCTTCTCCTAAGCGAAGCAGCATGATACTTCAGGGAACGTGTTGGTCTGCCACGATGGGTCAGCTTGGATCTCTCTTGCACCACCATCTCCCTGCTCCATCTTCCTTCGCTTGCTTATCCCCATTGTTTCCGTAGAAACGGCAGCGCCAACCCGGAACGCGTCGACCGGATCGCGAGCTCACTCTAGAGCTGACCCATCTCGCGCGACATTTCATTTCTACGGCTCGACGGCACCGTTTGATCCGCGACCCCGCTCCTCTCCTCCGCCTTGCTCCAGGATATTGCTCTCGAAAGTCGCCGCACCCGTCCACTTCCGACGTCATCGACAGCCACCTTGACTTGCAACTTTGATCCGCGTCCGACTCGCTGGCCGAGACAAAGTGGATTTTGTTTGCTGCTTCCATCGCCATTCTGCGTCTGGCCGATATCAACCCTACTGATTTCAGCAGAACACACATCTCCTTGTTGACCTCGAGCACAACACGCTCGAGCTTCTGACAATGTCATCCACAGTCGCGACAATAACACAGACGGCTACCGCCGCGCCCACATCATCAATAGACGCTGCCGACGCTGCCAAAGCTTCAGCCTCGTCCGCGGTCCATTCACTGTCAAAAGCCATCGCATCCGCGTCGGCCGCTCTCACATCCGAGTCTGCCATCGCATCAGGCAACGAGGCCAACCCACCCGCTTTCAAGTATGTCGGTCTCGCTTTGGCCGTCGGCTCTGGCATCCTCATTGGCTCTTCCTTTGTCTTCAAGAAGAAAGGCTTGCTAGCCGCGCAAAAGAAGTATGAGACTGCTGCTGGTGAAGGTCATGCCTACCTTAAGTCGCCCATGTGGTGGACCGGAATGATCATCATGGTCTTTGGCGAGATCTTCAACTTTGTGGCCTATGCTTTCGCCGATGCCGTCCTCGTTACTCCGCTCGGCGCCCTCTCCGTCGTCATTTGCGCCGTTCTCTCGTCCATCTTCCTCAAAGAAAAGCTCACCCTCTTTGGCAAGGTCGGCTGCTTTCTCTGCATCGTCGGCTCCGTCATCATCGCTCTCAATGCACCAACCTCGCATGTCGGCGGCAAGATCACCGAGTTCCAGAAGCTCTTCATTGCACCTGGCTTCTTGACGTGGGCGGGCGTTTGCATCGTCGCCTCGCTCGTGCTTGTCTTTGTCGTCGCACCCAAATATGGCAAGACCCACATGATGGTCTACATCACCGTCTGCAGCCTTATCGGTGGACTTAGCGTCAGTGTCACTTCGGGTCTCGGTTCCGCCATCCTTCTCTCCATTCGCGGTCAGAACCAGTTCAAGCATTGGTTCATCTACTTCCTGCTCGGCTTTGTCGTCGTCACGCTGCTCGTCGAGATCAACTACCTCAACAAGGCGCTCGAGCTGTTCAACACTGCCACCGTGACACCCACCTACTACGTCATCTTTACCGGTGCCACGCTCATCACGTCCATCATCTTGCAGCAAGGCCTCAATGCGACCGTCATCGACATCGTCACACTCGTCATGGGCTTCCTCGTCATCTGTGCAGGCATCGTGCTGCTGCAGCTCAGCAAGATTGATCCGGAAGAGCTGCAGGATAAGCCAGGCTTGGATCGCGAGACGACTCTCCTCATGCGGGCCAGCCACTCGGTCATCTCGCACGGAGGCGAAAAGGCGGACCAATCGGCGTACGAAGATCCTGGTGTCGACACGGTGCGAGGAGGAATGGGCATCGTTGGTTCCATGATCCGTGCTCGCAGCTCTCGTCGCCTCAGCTCCGCCAGCTCATGGAGGCATCACAGCGCAGCAGACGAGTACACACTCCGCAGTCGAAACAACCTTCCGCTCACTACGCAGGGCGCCGGCAACATTGAGAGGTATCAGCTTCAAGATGCACCGCTCTCGCCGCGCGGCATGCATCGCGACCTATCTCTGTTGAATGTGCCCGGTACACCGAGTCGAAGAAACACGGCCATCTCGTTTGAGCCTGGTGCAGATTCGCCTCACGGACATCACGCCGGCGAGCAATCCTCTGTTTCGCAATTTGGCACCATGAACAACAACAGTGCGCTGCATTCGATCAAGGAGAGCTCCGACGGTAGCGGTCGTAGTACGCAGGCGTCCGCTTCGGCCAAGACAGGTGCCCAGTCGGCAGCCTATGTGGATCCGTATGCGGCACGTGTCCACTCTCCCCTGTCACCGACAGGACATGTTCGCACTATGTGGGAGCAACCTCAACCCAATCTCGGCTACACCTCTTCGCCAGACGCAACGCCGGAAACTGAGGATGACGAGTACTCGATCCGTGCTGTCGCTTCGTCCGCTGCAGACGGTGAGCAGGGCGGTAGCACGCGCAGCACAGCGAAAGGTTATCCCAAGATCAAGCCGCGCGTAGCATCAAAGGGGTTTGGATCGAAAGGTAGCAGTGACGACGATGAGGCCGAGGAATTGCTCAGCCCACGCTTGGGGTACAGTCAACGATAGACGCACACACACGCTTGTTAACCATAGACCTTTTTCATGCTTAAACGGACATTTCATGCCAATACTTGCGGTGCTAGATGAGCGGACGGCGAGACACTAAGCATGAGGGAGATGTGTTGTCCAATGCTGATACAGCCGGCCATCAGAGTCATTCTTGAAGGCGAAAGGTTGGACTTCCGAATTTCGGAATGGCGGAACGGAGGTCCCGAATGAAATGTGACTTCATGACGCAGCAGTTTTGGCAGCTGCGCATTGAGCACTGCACGAGACGATCACCCGAAGGACCCTGAAATTCCGAGCAACGACCGGATGTCGGCTTACCTCAACCGTATCGACATTTGACACCGCCTTGCTTTCATTACAAGTCTGATCAGCATCACCACCGCCACCAACCCTCTCGGATACATCGGTAATATACGCCATGCTCTGTCGCTAGAGGCGGTCAGTCAGTCTTGCGGCCAAGAGTCAAACCCACGAACCCGTAGCAGGGTTTAGGTCGCCCATCATGCCGAGCGCAGGAGCGAGCGGCGACGCTCGTACAGCATCGTTTGCTCAGATTTCGGAGATTCCAGGCACAAGCACACGAGAGGCGTTGACACTACCTCGCCCAGCATCAAAGCCGACGTCAATCCCGCCGTACGCGACACTAGCATTTGGAGCATTGTCAGGTCTCGCCTCCTGCGTGCTGCTTCAACCGTTCGACCTGCTCAAAACTCGTCTTCAGCAACTAGACCATCACTCACCTTCCGCCCCGACGAGCTCAGCAGCTGCCACACAGCAGTACGCTTCTCGGACGCAGAAGCTTGTTGCGATCACCAATGACATCATCAACAGGCAGGGCTACCAGGGGTTGTGGCGGGGCACCACTCCTACAGTAATACGAAATGTACCGGGAGTAGCACTGTACTTCTATTCCGTCTCGCACTTGCGGGCTGTAGCCAGTGCCAAGCAAATACCCTACATCTCCGTCGCCATACCCGAAACCTCTCGAGGCTCGAACTCTTCGACCCTTGCAAAGCTCTCCACCACGGGAAACCTCCTGACAGGAGCGGTAGCACGTGTCACCGTAGGCTTCATCCTCTCCCCCGTCACCGTAGTCAAAGCGCGGTTCGAAAGCAGCAACTTCTCCACGCTCACCGAACGAACCCTGCTTTCGTCCATGAGGGAGATCCATTCCGCCTCCGGGTTTCGGGGATTCTTCCAAGGCTTCACAGCGACAGCGTTACGAGATGCACCCTACGCAGGGTTGTACTTGGCACTGTACGAGGGGTGTAAGAGCAAACTTGCCGGTTCATTGGGTACGGGGAACTGGATGGTGGTCAGTGGAAGCGGATTGGTGGCGGGGACGTTGGCGACGGTGATCACCCATCCGTTCGATATAATCAAGACGAGGATGCAGACTACTCCGACAGAAGTGTTGCATGAGATTGCGAGGAACAGTGGAGGTGCAGTGGGAAGGGAGGCATCGAGACCGTCGGTGTGGGGTATGACGAAACATCTGTGGTCGACGTCAGGTCCGAGAGCGCTGCTCGATGGACTGGGGTTGCGATGCGCGAGAAAGGCAGCCAGCTCGGCGATCGGCTGGAGCATCTTTGAGGGTGGCAGAAGCTGGTACACCGAGAGAGAGTTGAGGTTGGGCAATGGGATACAGACAAAGAGGGCCACAGACGAAAAGCAAGTCTAGAGAAGCAGCACAGATGGACAATCCTGTACACCACATTCCTTTCCCAAAATTTGCATGTCGTCCACCCCTCTACACAAGCTCGGAAACGTTCGACGGTGTGGTGAAGCTGTTTCGTTGACCTTGCCAGACAAGACGAAGAGCATATCAAGGCGGGTTAGAAAGCAAGATGCCAAGATGAAAGCAAGTGTGGACTTCTTTTACGTTGGAGGAGAAGGTGACAAGCTGAACTAGGTTACAAACGAAGATGGAGGCAAAAATCGCGTCGAGCAGCCGCAACATCGTCTAGGGAGTAAAGACGAGCGAGAAGCCTTTCCCCTTTGCGCCCTCTGCTACCCTTGCCGTGACGACACCGGCTGCCTGATCGACATCAGCCGTGACATCCGACGCTGCATCGCCCTCGACAGCAACATGAAGGCTGGTGTAGAGCTTGTTGTTGTCGAACTTGAACTTGAGCGTGTCCTCTCCGTTTGCGTGGTACCAGATGGTCCACTTCTTCTCGCCCGAGGTAGCCTCGGTACCATCGCCATCTTCGAACTCGGAGTAGACGAGCACAGAGTTGCCGGCCGACTTGCTGCCTTCCTCCCAAGCAGCATCGTAGGGCAGGTGACCGTAGGTGTAGTAGACGTCGCGAACGCGGCCGACGCACATGGGCGTTTCGGTGGCGACCATCGAGACGACCGAGGTGGGGAGCGAGCCGTTGAGGTGGATCTTGACGACGTATTCGAGCTTGGTGTCGTTGCCCTGCTTGGTGAGGTCCCAGGCGGAGACTTCGAGCGTCGCTCGGGTGCGCGATTTGGAGTACGAACCGGCCTCGTCGATGTACTGGTCGGCATCGACGCTGGTCTGGATCACCTGGATGTGATCACCGCCGTCGCTGATGATGTTTTCCTGAACACCGACAATGTCTCGCGCCCAGACAAAGTAGGATGGGGACTTCATCCAGGTGTAGAAGGCGTACTGCTGAGGACCGTATCGCTCGAGCTGCGTGGCGTTGTCGAATCGCGGGTCCCACTTCTTGCGCATACCGGGCTGCTGGATCACAGCAAGGATCTGGGAGGGAGTAGCATTCTCGACGACGGTGACACCTTTGACGATGGGAACGTCGTAGGCGTTTTCGGGGTTGGTCTTCTTGAAGAGCTTGACGTCCTCGCGCTCGCCAACGTCTTCCCATTCGGAGTCCTTGGAAGGGTCGTTCTGCTCAGCGTACTGCGCTTTGGCCTTTTCGAGCGCAGCAGCGTACTCGGAGGGCAGGGGCAGGTAGCTGTCCTGTCGCAAGGTGTTGGGCAGATCGAATGTCATCTTTTGTGCAGAGATGTTTTGGATGTGGTGGTCGAGCAGGAAGGTAGACAGCGGTAGATGGAACGTGTTTTGAGGGACGGTGCCGGTCAAGGTTGCTCAACGTGTAACGACTCTCGAAAGCGTGCGCTCGAAGAAGCTCCACAGAGTGCACACAGTGGCAACGCCGAAGGTCGAAGGGAATGCTGAGCTTGTTCCTTAGTTACCGCAATGCAGTATGCGGGCGATGTGCGGAGAAGAGAGGCTTGAGAGGTGCCATTGTTACTCCACACTGCTCACAGACCACCCGACGGTTGTGTTTCAGGGTCGAAAAAATAATTGCCGACGCAAGGAAAATCCACACTCGGATTTCACAGGCGAAAGCGGGGCAAAGGCCAAAAAAATCAGATCTGTGAAAGCGTTCAAAGATGTTGGTCCACTCTCGTCCGGCAACGTGATATTGCAGATGGCTTTCTATCTTGTTTCGCCGGCGACGATGTATCTTGGACCCTGGTTCCTGACAATGGTAGCAATTGCTGGTACAGTAGTCCGAAGATGACGATGGCTCTCAGATCCCCACGGGCTGGTACTGACCGTCTCAGGCCGAATCCATGAGCCTGGTGGCACGGCTCCGTTCGAAGACAGTGCTACTGTAGAAGGCAATAATATTCATACCGCACAGAGCGGGTCTGGTCTGTCTGTCTGTCTGTCTGTCTCCGCCAAGTACAGATCTTGTCGAGTTCTCTCTCACACTTATCGTGTCAAACTCTGATGAAAGAAGGTTGATCTGTAGAATGCAATTATATTGATCCGGCATGGAGTGCTCGTCTGTCTGTCTGGTCTGGTCTGTCTGTCTGTCTGTCTGTCTGTCTGTCTCGGTCTGACTTGGCATCCCCTTTGTCATCCGCTGCACAGTCGTACCCCAATCGAGTTGCGATGATGTGCGTATAATATTTCGCGAATCTAAGCCTCGCTTTCGTTTCCGCTCTGCGCCCGCCTACTTCTAGGATGGGTACCGTGGTCTCATTGGATGCCGTCATGCTGCTGGAAAGTTGGCTTTCCAGCTCCAATCTGATGTACTTGCGTCTGCAGTCTCCGCCCGACTCGGATCAAGAGGTCCAGCATCACCGTCGCGTGCCGTCACAACATCTCCTGTCGCATAGAATTCCCGCTTCCACACCGCCACATTCTTCTTGACCTCTTCCAGCAACCACTCGGCCACAGCAAAGGCTTCCTTCCTATGCGGCGAGCTGACCGCGATCAGAATGCTGCACTCTCCCACGCTGACTGCACCTAGCCGATGTGCAATGTAGCATCGTGTGATCCTGTCCTCGCTCGAGTCGTTTGATTGAGGGTCTGCATTGGCAGACAGTGGGATGGGGTTCTCTGCAAAGGGAGCAGATGTATGCGCTTTGACGAGCAACGATTGCAGTGTCTTGAGAGCGAGAGACGAGTAGGCTTCGTATTCGAGTCTTGTGACTTGCTTGCCTCTGAAAGAATCGCGAGTCGTTCCGCTGAAGAGCACTGTGGCTCCCGCGCCGTCGTCGGCGACGGACCGGATCGCTTGCTTTTCGTCCAGCACATCGTAGGTAAGGATGGCTTCGTCACCGTGAGGACTCTTGATGCCACCCGCTGTTGAGGCAGTCGCTTCAGACGAGCAAGTGTTTGCATTGCTGCCCAAGTTCGGACCGGCTGACATCGCGGGTGAACACGTCGTGGAGAAGAAGCTCGATTGACGAGTGAGCAAGATGGGTATTCTTGTCCGCCAGCTGACGAGAAATACCTCCATCAAAAACTGCCGCTCGCGTTACCCGGCAATCATTTCGGTCAATTCTCGGTGCATTTTTCTCAGACAGCTCAGGTCTTGGATGCCCATTCGGCGTCAAACTTTCGAGACGTCTCACGCTAGTGTTACAATGTCCAACTAGGCAGTCATGAGAAGGATGAATGAGAACGACGATAGCATTAGAACAAGACACAGAGAAAGAAGACTTGGAAACGCGTGAGACGACTAGCGCCTCGCTTTTGATTGCAGACGGCGGCTGCGACTAGTAATCGCATTGCACAAAGTTGTTGCCGGAAGCGCCGGTGTGGGTGATCTGTTGGCAGAACGTGTCAGGGGTGGTTGTCGTCATGTCAGTCTCAGTATCGGCTCGAATTGTTGTGTTCAATCTCGGCGTGCGAAATTAATACTTACGGCGCCGCAAAAAGTGCCATCGTTGCTGTCGTACACCACACGGTCAGCTCCGGGGGAGCCACCAGTGTAGCCCGAGGAGCTGGTCTTGAGTGGGTACTCCTTGTACGGGCCATCGCAGTAGTCGCTGAAGTCAAATCCTTCGTAGTTGTTGTAGGTGTGAGGGTAGCCGGAGCTCGAGTACTGTCCGCTCTTGGCGTTGTTGATTCCACGGTTGACCTGGGACGCGCTGTAGTACTGACCACCGCAGTTGACGGCAACACCGCCCTGACGGGGCTCGAGGGGGGCAGCGAGGGCCACGGCGGGGACGAAAGCGAGGAGAGCAAGCGAGAACTTCATCTTGACGGGCAGAAGGGGGACGAAGAAAGGGCGGGAAAGGATGAGAGATAGGAGAGCGAAAAGCGCGGAGAGTGGAGTGCAGTGGCTTGATGATGAGACATTGAGACTTGACGGCGTACAAACAACCCGCTTTATGTACCTTCTCGCTGATGGACGAAAGTCTCTCAGAGGCTTCATTCGTGTCACGGCATCTTCCAGTAGGATCATCGTGAGCCACTGTCGGGCAGCGGGGCAGCCCACTGCAGCTCCTCCAAAGCAATACATCCGAAAGTAAGGATCCTCGGCTCTATGGGTGTGCGTGCATAGCAGCAGTACTTGCCGAGCACATCCTCGACCTGGGTTTCTAGGAAAGGAAGGCGTCGGACAAGAACTTCTGGGAGAAAGAAAACCATCGCCGAACCAACGTTGACCACCCGCGAAGCGCTCGCCTCCCCATGTCTGGCGTCTTGGCAGGCTCGGCTGTCAGAAGCGTTATCGCACGTTCGCCTCACCTGCATGCAACACTTTCTTCTCGCGTTGACATCTTCCATCTTCCGAAAAAGGCTATCAGCATTGCACACCTCGATTGCGCGATCCCAAGCCGCCCCGGAGCAGAACTCTTCCCGTTGACATCTACCTCAAGTGGGGTCACAAGTCCCGGATCAGAGCCATTCTATGATGTCGCTCGTACAGATCGCCATCTCGAGAGATGCAATCAAGACACGATGCCAGGCACAACTCGCGAAGGCGGCACGTTTTCTTCTCAAGGGTCCCCTTGTTGTGTGGCGCTAAGCGAGCGAGGGTTACTCCGCTGGCGCTAAATCACGCCGCTTTCCAGTTCCGCTGTGCGGGCGGAAGCTGTTTCCTTGGGCGGCCGACGGCAAAGGTGCATTATCAAAGAGGGAGTGAAAGCTTGGCTTACGGAGATGGCCGACCAATCATGAGGCTGCAAAAAGTCAGGTTGACAACAACAAGCTCGCTGATAGCACGTTCACGATTGTGTACAATCTTCGTGCAGAGCATGGTAGCATTTTGAGTTCGGTCGCGGGATCAGAGAGCCAAAGCGAGGACGGCTTGACGACTTCCGAGTAGCCGAGGTGCGCTAGTGTACTTTTCTGTTTTTGTGGGTGTCGCTCCGCATCACGCTGATGCGAAAGCATCATTTCATGCGGCCATGCATGCACTTGACGCTGTCAAGGGTTGGAAGAAAGTGATCAACTCACTGCGACCAGTTTATCAGCATCGAAAGGTCTTGTTCAAGATGATCAGCTTTTTTCCCACTCCGCAATCCTACTCCGCGTTCCGATACAGCTTTGTCAACGTGCCAGCGAGACGACATGGCTACTTCTGGTGTCGCACCAGGATGTCGGGGTCGGAGTGGAACAAGCGATCTTCAAAGAAGGGTTGGCGGCTATGTTGCCGCTGTAACCTGCCTCCGTGAGCGTTAGCGAGCTGAAGTCATGATGGCAGCCACGTTCTCTCAACGCATCGGCAGCAAATGGAGCTTGACGGCGTCGCTACCGAGCCTTGCCCCATGCATGGGTTCATGCGCATGACCAAGCTGCTGCTGATGAGAGGAGGAAGCAAGATCAGGTCGGGCAGGGTAGGGTCCGCCCGAGTGCTTGATGGCCGTCTACTGTTACGTCGCTTAAAGTTAAAGTCAAACATTTATGATTATGTTAGATCGCAATCAGCCTTCACGGAAGATGAAAAGTCGCCAATGGCCACGTCAGATTGGCAATTGTCAGTCGATATGTCCGATAAAAGGCCGTGGACAGCTGAGCGTGGCGTGTGGCTCGAGCTCAGTTTCTTCGGAAGGATCTGGTGTACGACGCTGTTTTGCCTTGCTCCTCCATCAGCTTTCGATGTGCCAGTCGACAAAAGCACATCAACAAACATGAAACTCCTCTCGTTCTCGTTCGCATTGCTGATCCTGGCCGCGACAGCATTGGCCGGCAATGTGCTCGACCTGACCGCCACCAAGGATTTCGACAAGCACATCGGCAAGTCGCAGGGCGTGCTCGTCAAGTACTTTGCGCCATGGTGTGGCCACTGTAAGAGTCTGGCACCCACTTATGAAAAGGTTGCTGATGCATTCGCCCAGCAAAAGGATACGGTGCTGATCGCCAAGGTGGACGCAGACAAGAACAAGGATCTCGGCGTGAAAGCCGGCATCAAGGGCTTCCCAACGCTCAAATGGTACCCCGCAGGATCGACCGAGCCCGAAGAGTTCAACTCAGGACGCGACCTCGACAGCATCGCCAAGCTCGTCACTGAGAAGAGCGGCAAGAAGAGCACCATCAAGCCACCTCCTCCTCCCTCTGCCGAACAGCTTACCAGCCGCAACTTCGACCAGATCGTGCTCGACGAGGACAAGGACGTGCTTGTCGAGTTCTACGCCCCCTGGTGCGGTCACTGCAAGAACCTCAACCCTACGTACCAGCAGGTGGCTGCCGACTTTTCTGGTGACGATGATTGCGTCGTTGCACAGATGGACGCCGACGCCGACGCCAACAAGCCCATCGCCCAGCGTTACGGCGTTTCGTCGTACCCAACACTCATGTTCTTCCCCAAGGGCGACAAGAGCAACCTTCAGCCGTACAACGGCGGCCGAAGCGAGGAAGAATTCATCAAGTTCCTCAACGAAAAGTGTCAGACGTGGCGCACCAAGGGCGGCGTCCTCTCTGAGCTGGCCGGCCGAATGCCCACGCTGGACGGCTTTGCTGCTCGATGGTACACCTCGCCCGCCGACAAGCGCGACTCGATCTACAACGAGTTCATCGACTACGTCAAGACGATGAAGACCAGTCCCAAGAGCGACAAGAAGAAGAACGACGTGGGCGACCTCTACCTTCGCGTGCTCGAAAAGGCCAACCAGAGCGCCGGCTACATCGAGAAGGAGACGAAGCGTCTCAGCACCATCCTCAAGAAGCATGCGGAGGGCACCAGCCAGCTCGCAGCCAAGAAGGTTGATGAGCTGACCAAGAAGAAGAACGTGCTGCTCGCATTTGTCAACGAGCGCATCGCTGCTCAGGCCGAGAAGCAGAAGAAGGAGGCCGAGAAACGAGCAGCTGAAGCAAAGGACGAACTCTAAGTTCCCGGGCAGGGAGTCTGCAAGTCAAAAAGCTCAGAGCCAGGTCCCTCGGCGTTGAGAGCAACGCAGTCATGTTTCGACCATATCTGGCCTAGACGATTCAGAACAAAATATAGCCCGCTGTCGGACAAATGGAATGCTGCGTTGAAACGTTCGAGTAACGCTCGAAAGAAGATGAGTGTGGCGCGCCGGTGATGATACTGCAGTGAGGCCATGTCGCGGTCTTGAGCAAGAGAATAGCGAGCTCGCTTGCTCCGCTGCTTTGAGAATGTGAACTCACTCACCAAAATTGCACCCTGATTTCTTGGCCTCGATATTTCTGGCATGATGGCCCGTCCGCTGCAAGCTAACTCAGCTGCATACGATCTGCATCAAAACATTCATCTCCGTGTCTCGCTCCCACTTGATCACTTCACAGCCCCTCATAGAAACTAGTACATCGGCCATGTCGTATGCATCTGACGTCTACGGTCGCCTGGGCTCCGAGCTCGAGGTATACGACTCGCTGCTGTCGACTACCAGCACGCCAATTGAGAAGGACTCCGATTTCGAAAGCCAATTCGTTTCACACGACGGCAGCAAGGAGCACGATGAGGCGATCCGGGATCAAAGGAAGCCCATCCAGGATATCTTGGCGGCCATACGACCCGCAGATGGTTCCCACACCATACCATCCCGAAAGACATTGCTCAGTCTGCTAGACAAGCTCGATGACGCTTCCGAGCAGCGCAGCAGTAGCGCTGCGCCTCATCTCGAAGAGTTGAGAATCGTCGCGCTGTCTCGACTCGTAGTGGCGACGTACGCTGTCGCTCTCGACACGCTGCTTCGAGATGCAAGCAAACTCGAGGACGAGACCTGGTACTGGACCGATATCGAAGAGTCGATGCGTAAAACGTTGTCGTATCTGATCCAGACGCTTCCAGTGCGTCTGTTCAACGTCAGCAAGGAAGTATTGGAGCTTGCAGCAGACACGGCTTCCAGCACACTGAGGAACACGATCGACAGCAAGGATGTCAGCACGTCGTCCAAGGCAAAGAGCCTCGACAAGAACACTGTCCGTGCTGCCCTACGCACCATCCTCGACACACCCAACCTGGTCACTTCTATGCTCTTCCCCTACGCATTTCGCGTAGAGAGAGGCACAAATCTCGACACCATCCGTGCGGAACGAGACAGTCAACGGAAGAAAGTGGACACGCTGCGAAAGCAGCTCGACGCCAATAGTCAAGCGGGTGACCAGCTCTCAATTAGCTCGAAGACGACCAAGAAACAGCGTACCAAAGCGCTGCGCTCGACATTGCAGACTTTCACGCCGACGTATCTGGTGCGTCATGAGGCGAGATGCAAGCGACGAGGGCTCATCAACGAGAGAGATCGATTAGCTGAGAAGCTAGGACACTTGGCTCTTCAGCACGAAGCACTGGCCGAGCAGGCTCACGAGCTCAGCACGTCAACCACCAGCTCGGACCCTTCCGGCCACATCGTACTCAATCATCTCAACGCTAAGCTCAAAGTCCTTGTCGAGAGTTTCGGCGAGGTTCCGGATGGCTCAGAAGCAAAAGGTAGCCAGACTTCCAGCGACGTCAAGATCGACATGGCCGCGAGTCTTACTGCCGGGTCTACGCTCAGCACGCTGAGATTGCTGTTGAAGGAAGGCTTCGACAAACAGCAGGAGAGGACTCAGCAAGTGCTGTCGCCTAGCATGTTTGGCCAACCGTCTTCGCTCGTTCAGCGCTGGCCCAAGCTCGTCTTCTATCCCATCGGCATGCTGCTTCTCGGACGCTACCTGTCCAATAATTGGAACGGCATCGAAGCCAAGCTGAAAGAAGCGCGCGAGACGGCACGCAGCTTCCTCATAGGCTGGGTGTGGCAGCCCTGTGTCGAATTGCTCGAAACAATTCGACACGGCAACGAAGGGAGCGTCATCATCTCTCGCGAGTCGCTCGCCTCCGATCTGCAGTCGCTTGAGAGGATGGTGAGCGACTTCACCGCTGACAAATACGGGACATCGGGCGCTGAGCTGCAAGCATTGGCTGCCAAGGTGAGGGAAGGCGATTTGACGCCCGTGCTGAGGGTGTACGAGTCAGAGATGAAAAGTCCAGTCAAGTCGATGGTGACCGGCTCGTTGATCCGATCTCTTCTGATCCAGATCCAGAAGGCCAAGGTGGATCTCGAGGTGGCAATGTCGGGCATCGACAAGCTGCTCAAGAGCCAGCAGCTCCTGTTCGGTGCCGTCGGTATCGCACCCGCACTCGGCGTCCTGTACGTCTCGCAAAACTATGTCCGCACCAAGCTGTTCAGCTTGGGCGCATCGAGGTCCGAATCGTCGGGTCGAGGATACCAGATGCGGGCATGGGAGGCTATGCGTCGTGTCGATCGACTCCTTTCGATTCCTCGTCCAGCCTCATCTGCTGGCGTCGGAGCTCAGAAGGTAGAGGAGGAAATGTCGCCTCGGGACCGGGATGACCTGACTCAAGGTCTGCTATTGTTGGACCTGTCGACCTTGCGCTCGGCGTCGGGTCCGCTGCTCATGACGTTGTCCAAGGGCAAGAAGGCAGCGGCTCGCCGACTGCAGCGCCACTTCTTGCAGGATATCCGTGACCTCGAGTCGGGCGAGCACAGCGCCGTCGAGCGCATGTGGAGGAGCTGGGGCCATTCGGTGCTCCGCTTGCCTTCGTCGTGAGCACATGAAACAATCGCTACCCACGGTCACTGCAACAATGGCGACGTCTTGCCCACCGTGCCGGATTTGTGTCAATTTTGCGTGCAGTGCAGGACTGAGCCAATATCGTATCATTGATGCAAGGTCGATGTGATTCAGCCGACCTCTCATATCGACTGCTCGACGCGAAAGGGTCGTGAACGGCCCCATTGGTTTAGAGGAGAGAGAAGCAATACATTGTATCGGCTATCGCGGTGTCTGTCTGCAAAGATCTGTGGGATTCCGATCCCACGCCATACCAGCTGCGCCTTTCAACCGGACTCATGTGAGCTCACAACGAGACAATGTGTCGATGCTGGCGTACGAAGTGCGTGGGAGAGTCGACACGACGATGGGGCCAGAGGCAAGCCCATCACGGCAAGGAAGTATGCGTGAATAGCCGATCTGTATTTCCGAATGACATCCAAACTCAAGCTCAAGCTCACGGCACGTTCATCCCGTCGAAATAACGACCTCGTCTCCGGGAATCCAGCTTGACATCGACCCGAGATGAGCTGCATGTGTCTTGCACCGATTGCGAGCATCCAAGGCAACGGGCGTGTTGGAAATGTCAACTGGGAAGTGCTTGCTTGCTCCAGTTGCTCAGTACCATGTCGTTCGGCGAATTTCGCGGAGCGCTGTGCAAGGCTTGCACGGCGTGAAACCCGAGATCAGCAGTGAGAAGGTAGTATCGGGCCACGAGCAGGCGCGCTATTTTCGCCCATCACAGTGAGCGTCGCGTGGAAGATCCCGAACGAAAGTTTTTTCTTTTCTTTTCTCTGCCTTCGGCACGCCCGATAGCGCGGCGTGTTTCGCGGCTATACAGGTCAACCGGTACAGCAAGCACTATTCGACCAGCCTATGCAGGGTCGACCCCTTGCGCGAACTTATCTCTGAATGCGCTCACAGTCTGCTGCAAAAAGGAGTCACATCGACTTAATTGCCCGAAGCTTGGATGTGCTTGGCCTTGGTCGTTGGATTCCTGGAAATAGAGCCACGGCTCTCTCGCGGAACCTTTTTACCATCCTTCTCAAAAGCTCATCACTGTCGACGACCTCCCTCCATCACCCTTTGCCTTTATAGAACCCACCGTCGGTCTCATCGGTCCTTTCCCTCTCGTCACCCCCACATCCTCTCATTTCCGACGAATCTTGCCTAAGCAGTTGCCTCCTCTCTTCGGCTGCTGCGACCGTATCCGCCCACCAATAAAGCTATCGCCGTAACCGATAGCACACCGTTTCATACCCCGGCTTGCATTGTTATCTGTCCAGTTGTGCTCGTCGTGGCTCGCCAAGCGATCCATCCCACCCAGCGACATAGAGGCATTTGAGCGGCTTTTGCAGTTCCTCTCGGTATCCCTGGCGCGCTACAGCCTTTGCCACCAGTAGCTAGTGTAGCAAAGACCGGAACCAGAAGGGCATATAAACTATTCCAATTGATCGGGTCAAGCAGAAGATAGACAACTCCCGCATCCCTTATTGAAGCAGACAATCGGTCGACAAAGGAATCCTTAGGCTCTTGATAACGTCTTCCTTGCCTACACCCCAAAAATGACGCCCTCCGCTCAAGTCGTCAACGCCAACCCCAACCCTTACCTTGGCGACAAGGTGGGTGACCTCGCTTCCGCCTCGGAAACAATTCCGAAAGCGAGCCGCGTCGATCCGGCACGCTTCCTTAGTCAAGCATCGCACGACCGACCTGCATCTGCCATCCGATCTCTCTTCCCTGCCGAGCTGATTCCCGGCATGCTCTCGCTGCTTGCTGGCAAGCCCAACCCGGACACGTTCCCATTCGAGAGCGTCTCGCTCAACCTCAAGGCCGAGGCGGAAGCTGGACCTACCCAGCTCGACATCCGGGGCGAGGACCTCGTAACCTCTCTCCAGTACGGTGCCACTGCGGGTATCCCCAAGCTTGTTCAGTGGATCACTCAACTTCAAGTGCACATGCACAAGAGGGAAGCCGTCACACCCACGTCCAAGCTCAACGGTGTTGCTGGTAGGACACCTTGGCGTGTCACCACGGGTAACGGATCGCAGGATTTGCTCAACAAGACGTTCGAGGCTCTGCTGAACCCCGGCGATGTAATTCTGTGCGAGTCGCCTGCTTACACGGGTATCTTGCCCTCGCTGGTGATGCTCAAGGCGAGGATTGTACCCGTGGCCAGCGATGACCAGGGCATGATGTCGAGCCGACTTGCCGAGATCCTGGAAAAGTGGGAGACGGATCCAGAGACGGCATCGCTTCCGCGTCCCAAGTGCCTGTACACCACGCCTACAGGTGCTAATCCTGCCGGCACTACCGCTTCGGATGATCGAAAGCGCCAGATCCTCGCCCTCGCCCGACAGTACGACTTCCTCATTCTCGAAGACGATCCGTACTACTACTTGCACTTTGAAGGTCTCGACCAGGATGCCGTGACACGACCGCGATGCCGAAGCTACTGGTCACTGGAGGAGGAGCACCGCGAGCGATGGGGCACGGGCCGAGTAATGCGCTTTGAGAGCTTCTCCAAGATCCTCGCAGCCGGTCTTCGATTGGGCTTTGCAACGGGACCCAACGAGATCCTCGACGCCGTTGACGCCAACACCGCCATGGCCAACCTGCAACCGTCCGGCCTCTCCGGTGCCGTCGCCTACGCTCTGCTCAACCACTGGGGCATCCCCGGCTTCCTGCGACACGTCGACAATGTCGCACGCTACTACGCCAAGCGTCGTGACAACTTTGAAGCCAAAGCCCAAAAGGTGCTGGGCGCCGCCGGCGTGGCGAAATGGGTTACGCCTGTTGCAGGGATGTTCTTGTGGTTGAGGCTCAACCTGCCACCTTCTGGACCTGGTGAGTCGGAGGGTGACAGCTTTGCCCTCATCTCGGACAAGGCTAAAGCGGCTGGCGTGTTGGCGGTGCCGGGAGTTGCGTTCATCCCGGATGGCAGCAAGACGTGCTACGTTCGAACCAGTTTCAGTCTGATTGCGGAGGAGGACGTGGAGGAGGCCTTCAACCGTCTTCGAGACGTGGTGCTGGACGCGTGGAAGGAGGCTGGCAAGACCATGCCCAAGCTTGCCTAGACGCATCCTCGTCCACGTGGCTACCAAAAGCTTTTCATCATGTCCAACCAGTCAGTTCGCCTGCATTCCCTTCGCTTTCCTTGTCGCATCGCATCACCTCGTCTAATTTATCAATCCTGAAACACATACAGACCTTGTCCTGCTCGAATGCCTGTGTTCTGGGCGTGTGGTTGCTGGAGAGACGGAGGCTCGCTCGAGACCTGGAGCCGTGGGCGCCCTGTAGACATACATCACTCTTACTGTCAAGAACGAACCTCCCGATGCAGGGTCCATTGATACGCCAGAGTGCCAAACAAGGCGAATTTGAGGGGTCCCAGCGGCGCTCTGCCATTCATTTGCGGATCCCGCATCCACGAAGCGAGATAGAGGAAGATTCACACCCGCACTTTCAGACCAAGTTACCGGAAGACTGCGTGTTTGCTTCGCGTCATAGACGATGCGGGTTGCAAAGAGAATCGGAGATCGAAGCAGAGTTGGAAATTCAAGCCAACACGCTTTTGGATGGAAACGCAGGGCGAAGTGCGGAAGCGGCGTTTGACGTCATCTCTGCTGCACTCGCAAAGTGTCAGGGTCAAGCCAAAATTCCAAAGACTGCTCCACCCCCGTTCTGTCCGTGTCTGCGTACAGAATCCGGAGCGAGACGCAGTGCCAACTTCCGCATGGTATCTTCAGCACAGCACGCCGCCTTCAATTTTAGTTTCCGACCGGAAAGTTGACGGAGATCATGCCTCGAGAAGGAATTCTCCGCCAAGCCTCGTTTGCTGCTCAAGGCAAAGGCTGCTGCTAAAAATGAAACCCGTCGATGCGGGTGTCCAACATGGCCGTGTCGGCCGCTCGTCATCCAGCATAGCTGGGGATGACGCTGACTCGCTTCTCTACGGCACCCTTCTTCTTCTTCCCGCGTCGTCGTGTAAAGCTGTGAAACGTCTGATTCCGTATAAGAGGCTTTCCGAGACCCTGCGATGGTCGTTGCTTCTGTACCCTGACCCCACCCTCAAGCCAACCTCTTCCACCTCGCTGCCCTAGTCTCTCGTTCGAGACGGGTCTTCCTCGGACCCCATCCTACCTCTCAAAGCGGCGCCGGTCTCCTCGAGACACGCACCTTCCACCGACAGAACCAGCGGGAGCTTTCAGAATATCTCAAAATGGCTAAGATCGGCTTCTTCGGTCTTTACTACCTGCTTCCCATCGCCACGTTCGGATGCTGGGTCACCGCGATCGTCGGCTTGCTCGTCATCTGGACCGTTCGCGACCATGACCGCGAGTATGAGCCGGAGGAAGCCTCGATCGTGTTCATCTCGGACGTCGGAGCGCAGCACAAGACCTTCTTCGTCATCTTTGCCTGCTGCACCGCCGGTTTCTACATCCTCACCACCCTCGCCGAACGACAACTGCGACACTCGCGTCGAATCCCCGGCTCGATTCGAAAGAAGCAGACCATCTTGGATATTTGCTCCGTCATCTGCGCCGTCATCGGTTCCGCTGCACTGATCCTGCTTAGCATCTTTGACGCGTTCAACCACTCGCAGGTTCACTGGAGTATGACGCTCATCTTTGTCGTGTTTGTGGCGCTTTCGGTGCTGTTCCAGGTGCTGCAGGTGTTTTCGCTTTCGCACGATTACGACCGATTGGCGACGCTCAAGGTGATCGCCATCATCAAGTCTATCATCCTGTCGCTTGCCATTGCGGGTGCGATCGCGTTCATCGTCTGCTACGGTATCTGCAGAGGCAATGCGGTGCCAGGCAACAACCGATGCGACAGGATCGTTTCCGCCGCTGCGGTGTGCGAGTGGGCGATCGCGTTCTTGCTCGCCATCTTCTTCCTCACCTACCTCGTCGATCTCTGGCCTGCTCACAGACGAGCCAAGATGGGTCTCAGCCAAGACGGAACGATGGTGGAGAACAAGCAGCTCGCCCAAGAACAGGGCGTGGCCGACAGACCTACTGCTCCTTACGCCATCGATGGTGTGAAGAACAACGACACCTACTACCCGAGTGAAGCTGCTCAGCAGTACCACGGCAACAACGATGCTGCTTACAGTTCCGCTGCCGGTGCAGGTGCCGCTCAGCACGGCGTTCAACCGAGCCCCGCTGGTGCAGCTTACGCTCAGGACGCTAGCCCGTACAACGCTCCCTCCACCCTGCCCGGATCGGAACGTGGAAGCCTCTACCAGACTCCCATGACCGAAGCCCGTCCTTACCCCAACAACGACACCACCGGCGGCGCTTACTACCGACCCCAATGATGCGTTGCGCGAGCATCCTAGCTTAGTATTTCCTGCGCGCCCTGCATCGTTCGCCTGTTTCCCTGTTTGCACGCTCTTCGCATAAACGATCGTTTTACACTTCTCTTCCCACTGTATACTCTTCGATACCTTTCTGTGCTCTCAAATCTGAATATCGTCCTACACATGAACACAAAGTCAATCTCCCTGAAGCTGAAATGGTGCACGATGCGCTGCATGAAATTCTATCGTATAAGAGAACGTCGACTCAGGCGCGCAGATACTTGCGCAGCACCTGAGGTGGCTCGATACCGAATTCGTCTCGCTGGCGTGCGATCAACGCATCCAAAGACAAGATGGGACGCTGCTCCGCCACGTATCGATCTCCCCTTCGGCCATAATCCATGACAGCAGGGGGCGGCTTGACGCGCCCCTCTTCCTGCTCATCTACGTCCAGCAAGCCTGCTGCTGACCCTGGTCTTGACCGCACCTCGTCCTCCTCGTCGTCGTCTTGATCATCTTCGTCCGTATATATCGAGCTGCCAAACGACGACGGCGGAGTCTGCACGGGAATCAGCTCCTCCGGATCACCTTCCTCGTCCCAATTGACTTTGTTCGGACCTGGCCCAGCCAAGATGGGTATCGCACCAGCATGCGCGCCTGCCAGCTCATCCTCATCCTCTCCTCCCACCGGTAGTGGCTCTTCCAACGTCTCGCGAGCCCAATCCATGCCCCAACTTGAGAACAGAGTGGTAAATGTCCAATCGCGCAAATCACGCGCATGCGTCGACTGTATCGATTTCTGATCCGGATCTTCCGGCGCCATTCGGTTGATGCAGAACCTCTGCGTTAGCGACTCGACCAGAGTGCGGTCGAAGAAACCTTCCGTGTACGCAGCGCGATACTGTTTGAGGCCTGAACGATGTTCAGCCCTGGCAGCTGAGCTGTGCGAGTCGGAGAAGAACTCGGTACCTGGTGTCGATCGATGAATGGCGTCGGGATCGCTGAGGAGAGAATAGGTGCAAACGGAATCGATGATGGCGTCGACCAAATCTTTCTGCGCGCCCGAGGTGACGTATGCCTCTCGAGTGGTTGTAGCCACGCCGGCCAAGATGCGCTCGGTGACACGCTGAACCATGAAGCGCACCGGATCGTTCAGCGCGAGCGCTGCCAGAGCCTCGTCGAGCTTGGGATGCATCGCATCGCCCACGGGTGTAGCCGTGGCCGAGGTGATGGCGGACGAGCCGCCTCCACGAGCAGACAGCGCTCCCCAGCCAGAACCTGTGCGACCGAGTCCATTGCGTGTGGCCGACGGAGTGGCAGTGCCCGAAGAACCAAGATTGAGAGCAGGAGTACGGTTGCCTGTGGATGCCATGCGCAGCGTTTCTGTTTTGATGGCGTTGGCGATGAACGTGATTCGTTGAGGACCGAAGGGAAGCGCAGGATCGAGAATGCGCTTCTGGATGCTAGCAGTGTAGTCATTGCCCACCAATGCCGCGAGCAGTGAGAGCATAGACGTCGGGATGCCGAGCGCAGCGGCCAGCTTGGGAGAAGAGTAGGATGTGAAGCGAATCGCGGACAGAGCACCTTCTTCGGGATTGGCCGGGGGTCTGCTGAGTGGTTCAGCTGCTGCAACTATAGCTGCTACGCTCTTGCCTGCCTTCCGCCCTCTCGCCCTTCCGCTCTTACCGACTTGTGCGAAGCCGTCGTCCTCGAAGGCAGCACTACCAAGAGACGCCGATTGAGAGTCGACCTGTTGCGCCTTGGGCTGAACGAGGTACTCGATCGTATCGATGGGGACATAGCCTCGACATCGCGAGCCTCGAGCACACAGAACGAAGAAGTCGGAATCGTTGCTCACCGCCCATCCGCCCATCCTATCCGCAAGCTCAGCTACTGCGCTGTCTGCCTCGATCTCTTCGATGACCATCTGGACGTTGCACTGACGGAGCGCCTCAAGCGTGCAATCGTAGAGGAGTGGTGGGAAGGCACCCATCGAGACCTGAAAGCCGGGCTTGAGCCGTGACGAGGAGCGCATGAAGGCTGAATTGTTGGCTGCAGTCTCTCCGAGGCGTGACAAGACTGTTGGGATCTTGAGCGGAAGATAGGGCCCGTCAAAGACAAAGATGGGCTCGAGGCGTGCCTGTCGTAACGCTTTTACGAATTGACGGGCGTGGAGGGTGTAGCCGATGTAATCGCCCCCACGCACGGACTCGGCAAAGTGATCGATGTAGGCGCGATAGATCCATGCCCATCCATCGATGACGAAGGGCCCCGGGACGGGTTCGCTGGCTGTCGAGGTCGACAGAGCTGCATCGGTGGCGGACTTGACGGGGATGGTCACTTGCTCGGACACGGCATGCTGGATTTGCTTGACGTATGAGGTCAGGCCCTTGACGCCCATATTTTGAGACGAGTGTAGGGTGCGTCACGAGACTCTGTGGTCGACTGGTGGTCTATGGGAGGGAAGGGAGTGAAGAAGAAGAAAGCTGAGAAGGACGTTCTCGTGCAACTCTAAGCCTCCACACCAGACGACTCGTGGCATGCGGAGCCGGCAGGTCGCGAATGTTACATCGCGATTGGTGTCGATCAGGAATTTCCAGCTCGGACGGGGCTTCGGTGGAGAAAGACGTGCAAGGTTGCTGGGACCACTCCAGAGAAGCCAATCGAGGTCAGAAGTGCTTCAATGCCACACGACCCGACGAAGGAATCTATGATAGAAGGGTTCCAGCTTCCTTTCAGAAGAAGAAGGAAGCGACCACATGGTTGCACGGCAGGAATTCGACGACCGCACCAAGAAAAAGGACTTGCGAGCGGCAACGCTTCGGCAGACCACTTTTCTGCTCGACGCACAAAGCTGACAAGACGACGTCGAATCATTGGCGTCGTTTACGGAATATGGTCTGCTCCTTCTGTTGACGAGGTTGCCGATGGCAACAACGCCAAACAACATCGTGATCAAGGCTCTAGGATGCAAATCTTGCTGACTCTCGCATGGTCATTGAAGGCAATCAGCTGACGAGAGGAGATGGTATCATCTTCCAATCAGGTCATGGATATAACGGAGATAAAGCGTTGGAAATGGGAGTGGGGGATCAGAGCGCAACTCGAGGACAGCGCACAAGTCGCAAGCCGTCGGCACCGTTAGCAAGTTTTATGCATGGAAGGCTTTGGCCGAACCGTTGCAGACTTGCATTCAAGTTTTCCGACTTGCCCTTGATGGATGATACTCTGCTTCAAGAGCTCAGCCAATGCGGAACGGATAGCTATTCGATTGGACTGTGACACCGCTGCTGTTGCCGCGGCAGTAAGCCTGGCTACAGAGGAGAGTACAGTATGCTGCACGCCGGGCGAGCTCGTGCCTCACAAGCCGCTGGGATCGCCGGTTAGAGAGCGGAGTGGGGAATCCCTTTGAATTTCTTTGGCCTTTTTTGCTTGGCATTCAAACTTAGTCTCCGCTGCCGAGAGACCGGCTTTGCATCCCAGCACTCGAAACCCCTTTTGCCCTGTGACACAGAGACGCTCTGACCCGCGGGAGGCAGGCCGATTCGATGATGCACTCGAGCAGCAAGCTTCGGACCCTGCGGCTAGAACCGAACCGGGTCTCTCGCCTGCCAAAAAACACTTGCCCCGACAACAAGGTCTCCGCTCAGGCCTGTCCTCTCTCTGTGGAACCGATGTCGCTTGTTTCAGCTCTCCCTTTCCCTTCCCTGCTCGCCCTGCTCGCCTCGCACTCACCACCATCATCACCATCGTGCAGCTGCTCCGTCGCCTTGGTCTACACTACTCTCGCCACCCATGGCAGAAGCACGCAAGGCGGTCGAGGATCTCGTGCGCCTCTCGAGCCGCGTCATCCGTATCCTCGGCCAGAACCCAGGTCCTTACACTCTGGCAGGGACCAACACCTACCTCGTCTCGACACCGTCCGCTCCCTCGTCGAAGCTCGCCTCGCGCCCTTCCATCTTGGTCGACACGGGCGAAGGCACCGAATCGTACATCCCGCTTCTGGAACGTGCGCTCAAAGGAGCCGTCGACAGCGATTCTGCAAGCAAGGCGTCCACCTCAAGACGGCAGGATGCGATGGAGGAGGATGAAGACGACGAGGACGATCTCACGTCGTGGATCTCGGACATTGTTTTGACGCACAAGCATCATGACCACGTAGGTGGTTTGCCTTCCATTCTGTCGCTGCTCTCCAAGTTGAGAGCAGAAGCGACAGTGACGCTGCCAGCGCCGAGGATACACAAGTTCCTCGATGCCGAATCCGACCCGCAACTGGTCAAGATGCTGCACGGTCTACCTCAGGGCTCTTTCACTCCGTTCAGCGAGACCGAGGGCGCAGCTTCGCCGCTCTGGCCACTCCAGGAGGGCTCAATTATTCACGTGACGAACGAGGATGTCACTGCTTCGTTGCAAGTACTGCATACTCCTGGTCACACGGCCGACCACATCTGCCTCTTGTTGAACGAGGAAAAGACGCTTCTCACCGGCGACCACGTTCTCGGTCAAGGCACGACCGTGTTCGAAGATCTTACGGCGTACATGTCGAGTTTGCGAAAATGTACGCGCGCGTTGGAGCAGTTGGGACCTTCGCAGGTGGAAGCAGCAACGGCAACCACGAGCAGCGAGAACCGACTGTATCCTGCACACGGTCCTGTGGTGGAGGAGGGCAAAAAGATGCTCAAACAGTATCTGGATCATCGACTCGAACGCGAAGCGCAGGTGGTGGAGCTGCTCAAGACATCACCAGATGGAGAGCAGACACAAAGCACATTGTCTACGGTCACAGTCGCAGGTACAGAATACGGATTGGGATCGCCATGGAAGATCCGACAAATGGTGCTCAAGCTGTACTCCAACTACCCGGAGAACCTGTTCCCAGCCGCAGCTCGTGGGTTGTACCTGCACTTGCGGACGTTGTCGTCGCCGGATGTCGAGCAGGGTAAGCCATCGAGGGTGAGGTGTTTGCAGACGACATCGTTTGCCAGGAGAGCGTCGGCGGGAGCAGGGGAGGATGTCGGAAACTGTCCGCCCATGCCGAGCAGCGACGCGGAATGGGTCGAGGCGATGGAGCTGGATTGGGCGCTGCTGGTGGAGCCTTCTTCGTCGTTGCAGTCCGCTTTGTAGCATTTCGGGATCGTCCGAAGCGGAAAAATATACCACATCGACTTGCTCCGTTGGCAGAAGTTGTGATTTGTGCAGGCAAGGTGAGAGCGAGTTATGCGAAGCCGGCACGCTGAAAGGCTTGGCATGCAGCTGAGTTCGGCACGACGTTCAAGTTCCGCGTTTCCCAGCGCGTAAAAGGAGTTGCGTTAGATTGTGGAGCGTCGACACACGAGCGGATTTAAGCGTCGTGTTGGATGCCAGGGTCCTAACGCCAACACTTGTTTGCTCTGTCGTTGCCACTACCATCGATCCATCTACGACGCCGAAGGTTGTAGGGTCTCATCATGATATCCCGATTCTTCCAGCTAGTCCTGCTGGCAGGATTGATCCTTCTGATCCCATCGTTTTTGTATCTTTCGCATCCAGCGCAACCGACGTTCATCGATCCTGCAACGGGACTTGCGTATACCTCGGATTCGATCCTCAGCGGTCAAGCGTCTAACGACCATGCACAGATCTCGCAGGGGAAAGGCGTAGAGCAGTCCAAGTGGAACGGGTGGAATTGGCAGGATGCTTCTGCTGGAGTACACAAGGTGGAAGACTCGGTGAAAGGGTTGATCGATCACTGGCGTCCCACGGGCAACTCTCCCTTTAACCAAGACTCTTCCCCGCTCAAACCACCTCCCTCACCATCCTCCACCGCCGCTGCTGCTGCCAAAGACACCCAGCGGGTCGACGGCGTCATAATGCCCGCCATGTCCAACCTCACCGCCAAAGCCGCCCTCGGCCGTTCCACCTGGCACTTTCTACACACCATGACCCTCCGCTTTCCCGACAAACCCACACCGCAAGAATCGGAAACCCTCCGATCGTTCTTCCACAACTTCGCCCTCCTCTACCCCTGCGGCGAATGCGCCCAACACTTCCAACGGCTCATCAAGGAGCTACCCCCGCAGGTGGGGTCGAGGATGGGTGCAAGTCTGTGGCTGTGCACAGTGCACAACGAGGTGAACAAGAGCCTGGGAAAGAAGGAGTTCGAGTGCGATAAGCTCGACGAGAGCTACGATTGCGGTTGCGGAGACGATCCCAAGTCAAAGTCGAAGGAATCGGGGTCAGGGTCAGCAACGAATAGTGCACCGCCAATCGCTGCACCGCCATCGCATAAGGACGTAACCCCATTCGCATAGTCATCGCCATCGGCCCACCCCATGCTTTATACCAATAAACTACGCACAGCATGGCTCTCATGTCCTCACATTCGATTGCAATCCACGACTCTGTCAACTCAAAGTGATGAAAGCGAGTCACACCCAATCGCGTCAATCAAGCAAGGGCGATGCACTGAGTGAGACGAGGATTCCAGATCCTCGTCCAAATTTTTCCGATGACATTGAAAAGGTAGAGACAAAGAAGACAAAAGGGATGCGCTTGGCAGAGTGCCTGGAAGACTCTGCAAAAGACAGGCCCCAAAGCTGAGTACATCGTCAAGAGACCAGCTGGAGACCCGAAGTACAAGCTATACATTTTGAAGCAGAACGGAACCCGCCTATCTGCTCCACATATGTTGCACGAGTTGATCACCTGCGAACAGGGACCAGACCACGACGACGGCGACGCTGGCTAGCCTGCTGCACCGAAGCGAGGTACGACTTGCCCGTGGCACTCAGGGTCTGACCCGCCTGGTTGGGCGTCAGATCACCATACGGACCGTTGTTGGCATCCGAGACCGAGTAGGCAGCGACGCGCGAGTCCGACTCAAAGAGCTGCACCATCTGGTTGAGCATCGAGTCGACCTTGTTCTGATCGCAGTACACGGGCGAGGGGCCCTGGTAGTTGATGCAGGCAAACTCGGTGATCCACATGGGCTTGCCGTACTGGGCGAAGTGGTCGAGGACGCCCTTGACGCCGTCCATGTTGTCCTGGAAGATGTGCACGGCGATAATGTCGGGCTGCGTCTTGATGGCTTTGAGGAACGGAGCGAGCCAAGTTTCGTCCTTCTGCATGGCCATGCTGGGCGAGATGAGTTTGGCACCGGCTTGCTTGTGAGGCGCGAGGTACTGCTCCCAGGCGGCAGCGGCATCAGAAGTGGAGATCACACCGGAGGAACCAGAACCCGAGAAATCGGGCTCGTTGAAGCCCATTACGAAGGGTGCGGAGCCGGGCTTGAGCTTCTTGAATGCCTCGAAGCGCGCCCAGTCGTCGTCGTGGTTGACGCGGCCAAGGCCCCAGAGCATGGGCACGGCGAGAATGTCGTCGCCATTGGGGTTGTTCGGGTTGGGAGTCCAATCGTAGTACCATCCGAGCGATTTGCTGATCCACTTGAGCGAGTTGCCGCCAGCGACACCTGCCTTGCCCTTGGGAGGCGTGAAACCAGAGATGGAGATGGTGCTTCCCGACGACGAGGAAGACGACGAAGACGACGAAGAAGAGCCGGACGACGAGCCCGAGGAAGAGGAAGACGAAGACGAAGAGCCGGAGCTGGACGAGCCAGAAGTAGATCCAGAGCTAGACGAAGAGCTCGAGCTGGAGCTGGAGCCCGATGGCGAGGCAGCTTCGTTCTGAGGGGTTGATTTGGGAGCACTAGACGAGGTGGAGGAGGAAGCGTGCTTGTGGTGTTGTTTGTGGTGGTGCTTGGCGCGGCACTGCTTCTTGGCGTTGACCGAGTCGGCAGCGGTCAAAAAGAGCGCAAGCACCAAGAAGGCCAGGAGGATGAGTTTGTGGTTGAGGACGAGCATGCTGGTGGATGTGGAGTGGTAAAAGTTGTACTTGGTGACGAAGGTGTTGCTACAGTAGTCGGTACAGGTGGTGAAATGCGATCTGCTGAACGATGGTGATGTCTGTCAAAGACTCTGTGACTATCTAGAAGCAAATTGGGCAATGGTGGTGGTGCAGAGCAGAGGGGAGCGAGTGGGACAAGGTGTCGTGAGGAGAGGATCTACTCGATGCTATCAAAGCTATCGGAGTCAAGAAAGGAGCGGGGATGGAATGGTAGAGGGTGAGGGTGAGGGTGAGGGAAGGATGGGAGTGGAAGGTGTTGAGGGAGGCGGGGCGAGAGGGAGCGAGGGAGCGAGAGATGGACGGCCAAGCCTGCCAAAATAGGCAAGTCAAAGTGGCTCGGAGTAGACCTTGACACGCTCGGTCTTTGGCGCAGGCTGCTTCGACTCTGATTTTCCGCGTTCAGCTGCTCGCCAACTGTCAGAGCCCTATTCAATCAACTTCGCGACAAATCGGAGCCTGAAGCGGACAGAGAAGCTTCGATTGAGGGTGATCATTCACTGCAAGCCATACCCTCACTCTGCGCACTCTGCCTTTGCACCGCACTGTCTTGAGATCACATCTTGGCATGTGACGACCCACTGCGATGCGGCGTACAGCACTGTACTGCCTTGTTCCTGACCGTGGTGAACGCTGGCTGCGTCAAAGCCTTGGCCCGCCGATTGATACGAACGGCAACAGTTGCATGCTGCAGAAGCGAAGGGCGTCAAGCTGAAAGGCTTTGTTCCTGCTCCTTCACAGCGAGCGTGGGAGAGTTTCTTTTGGGGCTTCTTTTCATTCCCTTTTGTGCTATATTGATTTCTTCACACGCTCCGCAGTGCGACTTCATATCGGCTGAAAGGACGATGCTCGAAGCCGCCAGCGATGTGCTTCGACCAAAGTGGGTGGAAGCCAAGCGAGCGATAGGCTGGGATGCAAGCGCCTGCCGCTGTGCCGGGTTGCTGCACGAATCGCGAAAAGGATGATACGACAGGGGTCAACCACCCATGGGCGTGTCACGCTGGCACTATGCCTGGCTTCTCTGGTTTGAGTGTGTGTTTCTGTGTTGCTTTTTTTCCCTCCTTCCCAATCCCTTTTTCGATCTCCGACGCCGACAAGCGCAGAAACTTGCATAAAATGGCTATCCAGCCGGCCCACAGCTTTTGCTTCGATGCCAACCGAGCAGGTCGTGTACCGATGATCGCAGTACTTTGGCTGCGATGCGACTGCGACTCGTCAACTTGAACGTCTCGCAAGTGAAACAGCGACGATCAGGACAGCCCTGTCGATCCTTGTCTCGTGTATCGCGCGGCGCGTGTTTCCGCTCTTCCGCTTCCCGACCTGGCAGATCTTCTCGCTACACGAGATAGACGTTCTACTGGTAGGAAGGCCAATCGCACGCCGATTGACACAGGCAGCGGAAGCATATGCGACCTTTGCTCAGGAACACCATGGAGCATATGGTCTCAATCTTGCCGATGCGCCAAGAGCGAAGCCGGCGCCTAGCTCATGCAGCAGAGGCCAACCCTCGAAATTTACGCGAGCAGGAGCCACCAAGTTCTTCCAGGGCACACTCCCGTTTCATGGACAGATGTGTCTCTCATTGATGGAACATCTTTGTAGATCAACCGTTGTCACACTCGCTTCGAGCACTGTGCAATGTGCTTACATTTGAATTACCGAGTCTGTCCTCATATTGAGTAAGAGAGAGGTGAAGACTTCTACCGCAGCCCAACAAGCGTCTACTTGCGCCAAGCTTCGGCGACGACCCAGTTGTCGTACACCTGGCCCTTCTCCAGAATCTCCTCCTGTCCACCCAGACCCACTAGGTTGGGCTCGAGGAATCCGCAGTGAGGGCCGCCGAACTCGATCGCCGCAAATGCGCCGTTGAAGTTGCCGCTGTCCGGCTGTCCACCCTTGCGGTGCGCCTTCTTCATCGATCCACCAGACTGAGCTGGGTCTGCCGGGTGGTCGGGCATGGCACCCGCCGACCAGAGCTGAACACCAGCCTGGTTCGAGTGGAACGTGACCGAGCGACCTGCCGACTCGGACGTGAGGCGGACGCGCTTCGTCTCTGCCACGGCGATCTTGTTGATGTCGTCCGATTGAGGGATCGGCGTTGGTCCCCAGACGTAAAAGTCGTCGTAACCGTCCGAAGGAATGCCTTCGCCGATGCGCTTACCGCCTGGCTGATCCCAGCTGTGCAGACCAGGGTTGGAGAAGGACTCGGCGGATCCAGACAGAGGCTTGAGGTCTCCAGTGGCGATCTGAGCAGGGTCGAGCTCGAGGTGCGAGATCGACTTGCCCGCAGGAGCGTACAGCTGGAAGATGTGTTCAAATACTGTGCCCTTCTCAGCCTTGCCCACCTTTTCGTTCGAGGCAGACAGGTTGAAGCCCCAGTGATGCGTCATGTTGAACGGTGTCGCCTCCACAGATCCGTCCTTGTCTAGCGCCGCTCGGTATCGAATCAGAAGCTTGCCCGCCGACTTGCCAAGCTCCGCGTCGGAGGCCGAGCTCGGTACGACAGCCAGCAGCGTCTCGACGCGAACCTGTCCCGGGTAGCCGGAATCACCATCTGGCGACTCGATAGCAAAGATCAAGCTGCTCTCCTTGCCACTCGGGCTGCTGGTCGAGCTGAAACCAGAGTCGGCGAACAGCTTGCTGTCCTTGGTATCCAACGGTTGCCAGTAACACTTGTCGAAAGGACCGTGCTGGACAATGCTGTCCACCTTGTTCTCCTTGTCGCTCTCGGGCCCTCCGTGCAGCACTACGCCTGGTGCGCTGAACTCGGGCAGCTCGATCTGCGTGGTCTTGCCGTTGGCAGACTTGTACTCGAGCTTCTTGCCCGCTTCCAGACGGTTGGCATAGCGCCCGATGATCGGGTTGAGGAACTTACGACCCTTGGCGTGGTCCTTGGGGTCTTCTGGCCCACCGATGAAGTCTTCACCGGCTTCTGTCGAGATGCTGTGGAAGGTGAGACCGTATGGAAGCACCGAGAAGGTGAGGTCGGCACCCTCGGCGGAAAGAACAACGGGCTTGAAGGGATCGATGGCCATCGTGATGCAATTCGTGTTTGGAGTCGATGGTTGCAGGGATTGATATTGCGGGTGTCACTGAGCAACAGCCGCTTCTTTATGTACCTACCGGTGATGAAGGGCTTCTGCGAGTTGGCCGATGGTGCGCACGGCCTCGAGACCATTTGGATCCCCACACCGGGAAGGCCGACGTTCGCCTCGACTACCCCGGCTTTCTTCTCGAAAAGGTGCGCAGGCGAGACCGGTAATTTCACAAAATCCAACGAGATCCCCGGTCCGCCTTTTGTGTCTCACGAAAAAAGTGCTGGTACGACACAGCGCACACGCGTTGTCGACACTTCGCAAATCAAGCCCCGCGCTCGGTGTATATGGTTGCCGCGCCCCGAGAGCTCTTCGGCTCTTGCGTATTTGTTAGCCAACGCCACGAGGTATGGCCTTGCGTTAGACAGATCAACAGCGATTATGACGAGGCTTGGCATTCCACACTGGCCCGCCCGGTGTTCATCTGCTGAGCACAGAGAGCATCGGTCATTTTGGTAGGAACAACTTCTCAGGCGTGCAGGCTCCTGCGATGATGAATACAGGCTTCGATCACCCTGACTGACAACCTACAACAAAGTGATGGTGCTACTGCTGGAACAACCCATCCAACTCGTCCAGCTCGCCGACCGCATAGACACTTTCCAGCCCAAGATCAAAGTTGTACGTAGCACCGCGTTTGCTTCCTCTGACAGGTGCGTCCTCACCACCCTCGCCGCGCAGGTCACCATCCACCGCCCAGTCATCTTCTTGCTGCTGCTGCTCCCCATCGGACTTGCGCGAAAGCGCCGACGGCGGTGCATCCTGACTGGGTGGCTTGGACGCCGAAGGAGGCACTGGCACATCGAGCACGGCTGAAATACCGACGGTGCGGATCTTTTCGCGCATCATCGAGACTTGCGAGTTGGACACCTGACCCGTGTTGGTGAGCACAAAGTCGTCGAACGGGATCACCACCGTCTGCCAGTCAGATCCTTTGCTTTCGTCGAGGTAGAGTCGGTGCTGGAACAAGTCACTTGTAACAGGCCCGTCGGTTTGGACATTGACGAAGAACTTGGGTCCTGGAAGCTCCTTCCTTCCCAGTCCTAGCGCGTGGATCGCACGACTTGCAGCTGGACCGGAAGGGTCGTTCGCGTGCAGAGCTGCACGGAGTCCGCCACCTGTCTCCGCCTTGTCCGTCTTCTCCGCTGCGGCGACTGGCTTCTTGGCTAGCCTGTTTCTCACTCGAAGAGCGAGGAAGGGGTGCACAGTCGTGTCCCAGCACTGGTTGCCGAACAGCGTCGGTCGATTGCGATTGCGGAATCCAGCGTAGCCGCTCTTTTCGATCTTGCCTCCTCTCGGCACCTGTGAGGAGAGCGTGCCGTAGAAGCGTCCGCGAGACGACTCGTCGAGACCGAGCCTGCACTGAGACAGTCCACCGATGTCCGAGTCGGATCCGGTCGCAAAGTTGGTGAGATGTGCTGGTTGGGTCATGGCGTACATGAGCAAAGCTCCTTGGTTCTTCGATGTCGGCGAGATCTCCATCCTCATCACTGATGTTTCAAACCAAGCATCGCGTGTTTGTGCTGGTCAGTACTCGCCCGCCAAGTGTTGCTCGGGTGGGTGATGAGGAACTACTTACTCTTTGCGGTCTCATCTCGGGCTACCTCGACCGAGCGCTGTAGCGCCTGGCCAAACGACTTGAGTAGCGACATGGGTTTAGTGTTCGTAAGTGTCTGTTTCCGTCGAGGTGCTTGGGGTGGCTGAGAGGTAGATGACGACCAAGGAACAGCCGCTAGCCACGGATGATCAAAAGATCAATCTGTGGAGGAATTCATCTCGTTTTGACTCAGCAAATCCACCGACCTCAAAAATCCGTTTCCCGCGATTTCGATGTTGGAAACAGCTCAGGGTCCACAATTCCGTCGGTCAAGCCAGCTTATCAGATGAGTCCATTGAACATCGCCGCTCATACGAAGCACTATCCTATTATACAACCGATTCTTTGCGATCCAGGTCCGATCGAAGCTCGACACTGTTGCCAGGGTGATTGACGGTGCTCGTAGATCCAGGCGTGAGCAGATGCTGACGTCTCGGATTGCTCTTCTTGCCCCGCTTCACCACGGTTACTCCGGTCAAATAGGCCAAGCCAGCGACGAGGACGAGAGCCACGGCGAGGCTGACCAAGGCACCAATGACACCGGCTACGACAGGCGATACTTGATGCTTGCCTGTCGTTGACGTGACATCAGAATACTTGCCTCCGCTGCCGGTGCCGTTGAGGGCGTTGAGAGCAGCACAACCTCGTGCTGTGGTCTCACCGCAGGCGTTGCACCAGTCTGCCAATGAGTTGAGCTTGATGGCGTCATAGTCTTCGAGGAAGGTGCTTACCGAGATGCTAGAGGCGCGAACGTCGTGCGCCTGCAAGTCGCCGTAGGAGCCGTTTCGGAAGTACACCTGCAGCGAGTCGTCCTGGTGGACCTCGAAGACCATGGCGGAGGCATAGTCGACCAACTTACCCTCCAACTCGGGCATCTGGAACAGGCTGAATAGCGAAAAGAAAGGCTTGTACGACGCAGCGATCACCGAGACCTTGAGCGGGTCCGAAGCGTTGGCGACTCGGCTGAGCGCGTCGGTGAGCGGGTTGAGCATTCCTCGACCAGCGATGCTTCCGAGAGACACTGGACTTGGCTGACCAAACAGCTGGGCCTCGTGATACTGTGCCCAGTACGCAGCGTTGGAGAGCATGTCATCGGTGATGAGGGGAGCGAGGGTGGCGTTGTGGATCTTTTCGACGTTCAAGAAATCAAAGATATTCCACGCGTTGACGAGCGACTTGGAACGGCTGCCAAGGACCGAGGTTGGGATCGAGTCGAAGAAAGGCTGAGCGATGGCAGCCTGTTGTTTGAACTCGCTGCCGTTGTAGACGAAGCTGGTGTAATCATCAAACTTGTCGCACGATGTCCATGGCTCCATGACGAACGACTGTTCGGGCTCTACCGTCTCGACGGGAATGAGCTGCGCACGATTATCCCATGAGACAGTGGTGCCGTTGGCAAGCGTGATGGAGTCGTTGAAAGCGGGGAAGAGACCTTGCATGAAGGCATTGGCGCTCTCTACGATGACGCCGCCCTCGCCACCCGCATCCGCCTGGACCTCGACTTGCACATTCTCGGCTTCGGCAGTGTTGACCCCCTGAATCAAGTACGGCGAGCTGGCGTCAAGGTATCGTGATCGCAACTGGGCACCGCTGTTGAGCTCTTCGAGATAGCCAAGCACCGTGAGGTTGGTCTTTGAGGCGGTGTACTTAGTGGGGGACTGGTAGAAACCCTGTCGATCACCGTGGCGGATGAGAACGACAAGGCCGGTGACGGGACTCGACATTGTTGCACTGATTGTTGTGGCGGAACGGAGGACGTGGAAGGATGGAGAGGCGCGGGCGCAGCATTGCGAGGTGGAAGCGTTTTATATCAGCTCCGGAGAAGAGCGAAAGATTTCCTTGCCATCTCGCTTACGACGGACCAGCAGTGTGCACAGTAGAAGATAGATTTCAGGAGCCTATCAGATGCACGGTCGGTCGTAGCCGAATGACTGGTAGACTGATAAGAGACACTGCCAACGCTGAAGCGACTCTATCCATGGGCGCCGTCGTGCAGAACCCGTTAAGAAGATTCTCTTTTTTTCCCCCTTCTTTTCGGCTTCTCCTGTTTCCCCGAAATTTGCCGCCGCTTCGTTATCTAGCAGATAGCGGTTAGGCTAAAATTCAGAAATATAAGAGTGCTGGCTTCGGATATCTTTTACATGTGTCTTTAATGACGGTGTAACAAATTGAAAATCATTGGCCAGTTTACTTCTCTGTTGCTTTGGAAGAAACGCTAACATAGAAGAAAGTCATCGACGTGGAACGCGGCCGTTACGCGCCACGGCGCACACACCAGCTGAATCAACGCTCTCGCTCTCGCTTTTGATGTGTCATGCAGACTTGATTGCAACAGTCTTGTCCTTACCAGCCACAATCACCCTATAAGGCCGGCAAATATGGTCGCATCAAAAGGCGCAAAGAGCCCATCATCATCGTCCAAGAGCAGCGATGCGAATATGCGCCAACGACCCACAGCAACCCTGCGCAACGGTACTCCCAGCGCGGAAGTAGTGGAAAAGTCGGGCTTGCTCGCGACCAGGCACGACTCACATACGGATGGCAAGGTGGAAACCTCGGGCAAAGATGTTCTCCTCAATCCTGCATCTACGCCGATCGACGGCAAGAGCGGCGTCGCGGTCTCCGAAACACAGTCCAGCCAGGAAGCCTCGGGATTCATGGACCTCTCGCCCCAAGATCAAAAGGCAATGATCCTTCTCGTCATTCTATACCTCCTGCAAGGCGTACCCGTGGGTCTCGCATTCGGCACCATGCCATTCCTGCTCAAATCCAAATTGAGCTACGGAGACATCGGCTTCTTCATGCTCTGCACCTACCCCTACTCGCTCAAACTCTTCTGGAGCCCCATCGTCGACTCGACGTTTGTCAGTGAGCTCAAGCTCCCGCTCGTAGGAACAATCTCGCTCGGTCGTCGCAAGAGCTGGATCGTTCCCATTCAGGCCGTGGTGGGAGTCATGTTCTGGTACCTATCCAGCAACGTCGACCAGCTCCTCCTCGCAGACTTGCCCAACGTCAAGCTCATCACGCTCATCTTCTTCGTGCTCATTCTCTTCGCCGCCACCCAAGACATTGCCGTCGACGGGTGGGCACTGACACTGCTCTCGCAGGAGAATCTTTCATACGCAAGCACTGCCCAGACGGTAGGTCTCAACTCGGGCTACTTTCTCAGCTTCACCGTCTTCCTTGCATTCAACTCGGTCGAGTTCAGCAACAAGTACTTCCGTTCCACGCCGCTCGAACATCCGTTGCTTTCGCTCTCGGCGTACATGCGCTTCTGGGCTGTCGGGTTCTTGCTGGTGACAGCGTGGCTGCTGGTGTTCAAGAAGGAGGAGGAGGAGGCAACCGATGCACCGGATATGGATGTCAAACAGGTCTACTCGATCATGTGGAGGATCTGCAGGCTCAAGCATGTCCAAACGTTCATCCTGATCCACTTTGTCGCCAAGATCGGTTTCCAGGCCAACGAAGCGGTGACCGGTCTCAAGCTGGTCGAGAAGGGTTTCGGTAAGGAGGATCTGGCTCTGGCGGTTTTGATTGACTTCCCCTTCCAACTCATCTTTGGATACTTGGCAGCGAGGTGGAGCAAAGGCGATCGAGCGCTCCAACCGTGGGTGGTAGCCTTCTTCTTCCGTCTCGGTTTTGCTCTGCTTTCCATGGCAATCGTGCACGGCATGCCCAAAGCGCCCATCGGAACAGGCTACTTCTTCGTCGTCATCGCAAGCACCGTCGCCGGCAGCTTCGCCTCCACCGTCCAATTCGTCGGCATCTCGGCCTTCCACACCCAAATCGCCGACCCGCTCATCGGAGGAACATACATGACCCTGCTCAACACGGTCTCGAACCTCGGCGGCACATGGCCGCGCTACTTTGTGCTCAAAGCCGTCGACCTGTTCACCATCTCGAGCTGCCAACCTCCCTCCAGCTCGTCGCTGCTCAAAGATCCAGAGATCGCCAAATTTTGGGCCACAGCCTCCAAGGGAATCGGCGGCAACGAATGCACGTCCGATCTGGGTAAAGCCGCTTGCTCGGCAGCAGGCGGAGTGTGTGTGATTGAGCGGGATGGATATTACTGGACGTCGACGCTCTGCGTCGTTGTGGGCACAGTGCTGTTGGTCACGTTTATCATTCCGGCGTGTCGCAAGCTGCAGGCGTTGCCGCCGAGCGCATGGCGTGTCAATCTACACTCGAAAGCTCAATAAGTCAGAAGCACAAGGTGCCGACATCAGCGCACGGAATGGAATCTGGTATCTGATGGAAGCTGGAATAGAATCACATTGCTTTGCTTTGAGCCCATTTCACGATTTCATGGCTGTTGTGTCTCCTGCGGCGTCTGCACTAGAACGGCGAGAAGTTCTGCCTAGCTGAGGAAGCTGCAGCACGGAAACCAGAAACCTGCTCTGGCGCCGGACAATCGGACGCCCTCCTCGTATCCATCGCCTCTGGCAACCATTTCTCCATATTCTTGATTCGCTGACTGGAAACCGGGTGTGTCGAGAGGATCGCCTGTGCGCTGCTCAACACGCCTCCACCACCGCCGCCGCCTTCGGACTCGCTCATCCGCGTCCATAACTTGCTCGCCTCTCTCGGATCGAAGCAGGCTCGACTCATGATGCGTAGTCCGAGGTAGTCCGCCTCGAGCTCCGTCTTGCGCGAGTTGGGTAGCGACAAGAGCAGAGTCAGAGCTGTCCTGCTGAGACCGATGTCCAGTCCGAACGCCTCCAGGAGGAAGGAGCCGAAGAGCAACACTTTATAGCCGGACATCTTTTCTGCCGAGTGGCGCGCGACTTGGTGCGCTACTTCGTGTCCGAGAACAGTTGCTAGACCATCTGGGTTGGCGCAAATGGGGAGGATGCCGGTGAACACAAAGATCTTGCCGCCGGGCAGAACGAATGCGTTCTTCTGCTTGGGATCGTCGATGACGAACACCTCCCACTTCGTCGCATCTCTCTCTTGTGATTTGGCATCGGACTGGCTACCGAACCACGACGAAGCGCCTCCATCGTTGCCGACCGCAGCATTTGAGCCATACGAGATTCCGCCTTCTTCGCCATGCGAGTGATGTGCGAGGCCCGAATCACCTTTGGTATGATGAGGTTGGTTTTGATCGTCCACCGCCTTGTCCAGAGCGGCGACGATGCGGCTAGCCACCGACCGAACCTGCCTCGAGTACGGATGCGAAGCCGGAAGGATGCGATCCCGGTACTCTGACAGCGTTTGACGGAACGTTTCTTGACCCATCTCGTGCTCTTGTGCTGCGGAAACATCGATGAATCTCCATCGACCTGTTTCAGGCACCTTTTCCAGATGCACGATGTAGTAGATGCCCGCACCTCCGAGAGCCACGACAATCAGCACCGGTGGACGTGAGGAGAACAGCGAGCCTCTTCCACGACCACCGCCTCCGCCGCTACCGCCTCCGCCGAAGCGCTGATACTGGACTGGTTGTCGAGATTGTGACTGCGGTTGCCCGACCCGGCGGAAGAGTTGATCTTCGATCTGCTTGCGAAGCACCTCTGGCGAGAGCTGCTCTCTTGTTGTGGGACGCGACTGCGAAAGGTTACGTGTCTGGTGCCATGATAGCCCGTTTGGCTGTCTGCTGGCGTTGGCGAATGTGCTGCGAGAAGATGCTAGGGACGTCGTAGATCTTGCCGACCGTGCAGAAAGCGTGCTCTGACTTGTAAGGGACCCGACAAGAGCTCGCATTCCTGCGCTTGCCCTCATCGACGATGACATGGCTTCAAGGGCCTTGAGCAAGTTCGCGATGGATACGTTTCGCTTTGAAGCGGTGGTGTGGAGCAAAGATGTCGGCAACCAAGCAAGCTGCGTCTCGGCTGGTGAACGCACGTCGCCATGATGAATTTCCGCGGCGACGTCCAAAGTCGCCGGATGCCTTTTTCTTTTTTGCCGACATCTGTCATCATCAGCGTCAACCTCCACAAACGCATCATGAAGGTCGACTCAGCTTCGAAGCTGAATGAAGACTGCCCGACGACATCTGCCGACTAGTTCCTCATTCCTCCCTCCCATCAGTCACTCCCGCCATTCTCTCAAAGCTTCACACAATGGTCACCGCACTAGTATCAGGAGGCAACCGCGGCCTGGGCTACGGCATCGTCCGTCGACTCGCCAACGAGTTCCCCTCTTCTCCCATCGCGACCTCTTCAGCCGACAAGCTCACCATCTACCTCGGTTCACGAGACGTTTCGAAAGGCGAAGATGCCAAGACCTCCATCACGTCTGAACTCGCCAAGGACGTCCAAGAACGTGTCTCGATCGAAGTCCGTCAACTCGACGCCACCTCTCACGAGTCGATCTCGAAGCTCGGTGCAGAGCTCGAGTCCGGCGTTGACATTCTCATCAACAACGCCGGAATCGCCTTGGATGGCTTCGACGCCAGCGTCGCAAAGCAGACGGTCGCGACCAACTACTACGCGCTGCAGGACGTGATCAAGAACATCAAGGTCAAAGATGGTGGTAGGATCGTCAACATTGCTTCGCTCACTGGTGTGTTGAAAGGCTTCGGCGACAACGTTCGCGAACGCTTCGTCAACGCCAAGACGATCGCAGATTCCGATGCGCTCATGCAGGAATTTCAGGATGTCGTAGCCGACGGCAGCTGGAAGGACAAAGGCTGGAAAGGCGCTGCATACGCCACGAGCAAGAGCGGCGTCATCGCGTACACTAGAGCCTTGGCGAAGCAGTACCAGCAGGAGGGTAAGAAGGTCGATGTGGTTTCTTGCTGCCCTGGCTACGTCAACACGGACATGACCAAGGGCAAGGGCTACAAGACGCTCGACCAGGGTGCAGAGACTCCCGTGTTGCTGGCGTTGGGCAAACTCGACGCAAAGCCCGGCGAGTTCTGGTCCGAGAAGAAGAGTGTCGATTGGGAGAACTCGTAGAGCTGTCGGGGTTCCAAATCAGGTGGCCAAGGCTATTTGTATTTGTTCATCGATATGAATACAAGCGATCGAGCTTTGCAACCTTGTCATGGCTGATCAAAGCCACTCAGGTCGCCATGTGCTACAAAAGGAAGTGTCGCCGACAGCTGTTGCTGTGATTGTGCCTGACCCTGGCTAGCAGCGGTAGGCCGCTGGAGCTGCGACCTGAGCTTCTGAGCGTAGCGGACGAGATCTTCTCTCGCGTCATCTTCTGTCGACTCGGACAACGTTGGTTCGGCCAGACTGCCTACGATCCCTGCCGGCAGATTATGTGGTGGCTTAAAGCCGAGACACACCAAGAAGTGCTCTACACTGCCCAACCTAGAGCTGCGTGGCTTTGCAATGTCGACGCGGTCGAAAAAGGGACGAAGCTGATCGGCGAGTAGTGCACCAGAAGTGGCCGGTCTGGCGCCTTTGAGATCCATGTTCCCCAACGAAGCTCCCAGCCCAGCTTGCGGGTGCTGAGTGAAGATCTTTGCTACGAAGGTGCCTCCCACTTCGAGTAGACGGAAAGTGATTTGCGTGGCAGCAAGGAGGAGTTGCGATTGAAGATACTCGTCTAGATCGTGCAAGCCGGTTACATCGGGTGCACCGTCGCAGACGATGAGCTGGGCTCGTGCTTTTCCTTTTCCTTTGTCGGCAGTCAGTGCGGAGGGACCATCGGAGAGGGCGATACTAACAGCATCCGCCGTTGCGGGAGTCGTGATGTCCCCGATGATCTGCGTTACGCCTGGGAGCGGTGCCATGGCTTGCAGATCGACAGCGACGAGATGTGAGCCAGGCACGGATGCGAGACGTCGTGAAAGCACTTGTGACCATGATCCGGGTGCAGCACATAGATCGACCACTCTTGTGGGAGTAGGAAAGCGTTTTCGGGAGGCATGTTCTGAAGTGTCGGTGGGCGCGGCCGACGACGTGGAAGACGAGGCGGCTGCAGCGTCGAGAGCGTAGTCCTCGGATCCACCGAGGAAACCGTACTGCTCGTTGAGGTGCAGCAGCTTGTAAGCTGAGCGTGCGCGGTAGCCTTCCGCCTTGCCTTGACGGTAGTAGATGTCGCGTTTGTCCTTTGTTGACTTGCCCATGATGAGAGGAGGTGATGGTTGGACGAGAAGAAGTGAGTTTGGCAAGGGTTCTTCCAACTCTGCAGGTCTTCTTTTTCGCACGAAGCCGAATAAATTTCGCAAGCCTCCACAGAAAGACTCTGCAGCCCAAAATTTGTGAGTTTGGTGAGAAAGGGTCCAGCTTGGCTTTCTTCTTCTTCCTCTTCTTCCTCCCCTTCTTCTTCATCATCATCACTCGACTGGTGGTCACTGCATCGACACCATGCCGGCTCCCAAGTTTACGAAGAATCAGCTTGTTAAGCATCGCACATCAGCAACACCTTCCAATGGCAAGAAGACGGGCGGATTCCAGGTCGGTCCCAAGCATCTTCCGGATGGCGCGTACCTCGGCAAGCACAAACGCATCAAAGCCGAGCTCATCCACAAAGCCAAAGTGAAGAAGGACTACTACAAGCAATTGAAACAAGACAAGTCGGCTTCTGGCAGCGCAACAAGCTCCAATGCTGCCCCGCTAGGAGAGCGAGGGAGTCGTGTGGTTGCGCAAGACGAAGGGAGCTCGCATCTTCCCTTCGCGTTACCCAAGGATCAGGGTCGATTTGCGCCCGAGGACAGCGCAGGTGACGGTGACAGCGCACAACCCGACTTCGCACTCTCGGGGGGCAAGCAGGATCTTCGACCGAGAAAAGCAGGCGGCAAAGCAAAGAGCAGCAAGCCGCTGCCACACCCGCTGCCCAAGTCTGCTGGCCGCCGAGACGATGCGGAGGATCAGACGCGAGATACAAGGAGCAAAGAGGAAAAGGAACAGGAGCGACTCAAGAAGAACAAGATGTGGAACAAACCCAGTGGCAGTCGCACAGGTCAAGCGAGAGGACAGCCGAATCTGGGGGCGAGGATGGAGGTCATGCTCGACAAAATCCGCAAGTCGACGCACTAGCTGCCGTGACATGCATACTCACAATATACCCGTAGATGTACTCTCTGCAATCACAACCTTGACACATAGCTCTTATCAGGTCGATCACAGAATAAATCGCTTCCATGAGATCTTGCACCATCTGACTTTCTAACGCAACGCCCACATCTTGACAACGAACAGCTCGGCAGGCATACCAAACTGCACTTCGCACTTGACAATCTCGAGACCGGCCTCCTTGAACACACGCTCGTACGCTTTTGTCGAACGCGTGATGCTGTGGTCCTCGTCATCGTACCAAACCCGCTCGGTACCATCTGCCTCTTCGGTACAGACATTCTCCTTGACGCCGATGATGCCACCTTGCTTGAGAGCCGCCTTGGATCGTTGCAGGAAAGATATCAAGTCCCTGTCCGAAAGGTGCTGGAGGCACCACTGCGCCCATACTAGATCGTAGGATACTGGTTCTGTTTGCGATCCTGCCACGCCGTCGCTTTCAACTGAGGAGACTTGCTCTGTTGCGGGATCTTGCGATGGTTCGTCGTCGATAGACACGGTTGGTGAGATATCGCCATCACCCACACGTGGTGAAGAAGAGTACGGTCGATTCGGCTCGAAATCTTGCAGCGTCGAGCAGTGAAAGTGGACCGCTTTGCGTGCTTGAAAGGGAGACTTGCTTGGCGGTGTCTTGATCTGCGGCCATGTGTTTGACTGTGCCTTGGCTTCGTGCAGGAACTTGGCGACGGGCTCGACCATGTGCACCTCGTCAAAGATGGGGAGGAGACTATGCTGAGTCACTCGTCCAACCCCAGCTCCGCAGTCGAGAGCCCGAGTGCGTGCTTTACCCTTGCCACCCCTTTCCGCGATACGATCCTTCTTCCATTGCGTCGATGAGACGTTGGCCGATGCAGGAGCACAGAACGAGAGGTGTGGAAGAAGGCCGAGCAGGAAGGATCGTGTTCCTAACGATTCCACTCGTGAGACGTGGCCAAACCCTCCAAGAACACCGTCGACGCTTGCCTCGACGCCTTCCCAGTACTGTACGCCGCGCTTGACGTCAGGCGCTGGGTGCACGACTCGGATCGCCGACATGTTGTTTCTAGAGCCGCTGTATTGACGGTGAAGATGGTCAGATGGTCGACCGACCGGGGGACGAAGAGAGTCAAGGGTCCAGTCCAAACACACATTCTGGCATTCGGGTCCGTTTCACGTTTTTTTCTCGTCAGTGCTCCGAAAAAATAAATTCGACGCCAAAAAGATGAACCCGAAATGTTTTTAATTTGATCATGTTGCAACTTCAGGCCTAACAAACCAGGGAAGAGGCGCGACCGGCGACTCGGTCAGCCGCCGACCGGGAACAAGCTGATCCTGCCACAGACGTTTCGACTGGCGTCACATGACGCTCCTGCCCTGCATGTTCTTGTCGAGCGCTGCATTGGACCCTGCTTTGGCATAATCTGGGCTGTGCACGAACATGATAAGCTCGGATGTGGAATCAGCCTGAACTCGCTTGCTTTGGACGCTTCGCTAACAGCGACCGTGTGAACTCCGTTGGAGCCTTTCGCCTCCCCGCAGCTTCGCGACCCTCGTTCTGGAAGCGTGGTGGCAACCGTGTTCTATTGTGCCGCCTTATCAGCCCCGCCTTGCACGAGGCGGTACTTTTTCCGCCGGAATCGCTCGACAAGTGACGTCTGACGAACAGAGTCCGGGGTCAAAGTGGCTACTTCGACTTACAAAGGGGTGGCAAGATATCTCGCGCCGCCTTCCCCGCAAACCACATCCATCACCATCCTTAGCGCTTCTGATCATGACACAGAGCATCACTCCGCCGTTGAGCCATGGCTCCTCTTCGGGCTCTACCGATAGCCCTCCTGAGCACGCCCCGACCTACGAATTTGCCACATCTGATGTTGCTGCTGCACATGGTGTGGCCGAAGTCGATCGGATCGCCACAACGCTGTCCAACGCTTCGCTCAAGATCTGCGATGGTCCCGGTCTCACTCAGCAAGAGCGTAAGGAGCTCCAAAGGGCCGTCAGCGATGGCGTTCGAGTAGGCTACAGAAACATCAAAGAACAACTCTGCACCCTCGACCAACTCAAGGACCATCTCAAACTGCTCGACCTCTTTGACCGACTGCGCCAGGCGGTTCACGATGGCACAGAGTACTTTGATTATCCTTCCTGCCATCACGATGCAGGTCACATTGACGAGCCAGGCATCGATGCTCCTCCTCCGCCCTATGCGCCAGCTGCTGAGCCCCTCCTCAACGTCAATCCAAAATCGGGCCACAGACCTACTCAGCAGGAGGTGGACCAGGCTGAAGCCGAGATGAGCCAACAGCTTCTCCGAGAGCGTCGCTGGAACATCTTTCTAAACCGCGCCGCTTATCGTCTCGAGCTCTGGTGCACCCATGTCCTCGCCTCGGAGACGCTCGCCAATCACTACAACACGTCGCTCAAACCAGCACGCCAGCAAGATAAGTCCAAGACGGAACTCGATGGCTTTCAACTCCCAGACTTTGCCCTTCCGCCTCTCGATGTAGCGCTCATGCTCCATTCCTACCATCTCAACCCTATGGTCAAGGAAGAAGAGACGTTGCGCCTCCGCTCCCGCTATAGCCTCTCGCTCTTCGATTATCCACTTCACCAGCTGGCCCAACGCGTTCATCCGACTCTCCCAATCCTCAACGACGTCGAGCTCGCAAAGGCCAACTGGCACGAGGCCATCACTTCCAAACGCTCCAAGCAGCCGTGGGATCTCAGCCTTCAACCTCCGCCTGGTCACCCCACAAACGCCCAAGAAAATCATGGTGGTACTATCTTCGGTCTACGCATCACCTGTCCGCGCTGCTCGGCAACTCAATTCGTTCCCTGGACCGGTATTGGCGAGAAGCCTCATCAAGTAGGCATCGGCGAGAAAGACTGGGAGCGACACTGCTCCAACACGGCCAACTGCAGTCAGTCCATCTCCGCCGATCATCTTCAGATGCGTCGTTTTCTCGATGACTACGACGTTTGGCGCAAGTCACCCGGAAGGCCTCAGCACCACCAGACCAAACCTGTCTTCTTCATGGCCGGAACCATGCTAGGCGACATCAACAAGAAGCGTTCGGCTCGAGACCATTTCGGCGAAGAACTGCTCCTGCCCATCTTTCGCCACGAAAAGATCGCCGAGGCTTCGTTGAGCAAGCACCAAAAGCCGACCGATGCCACCGACCCTCAAGAGATCAACGATGTGGCTTCACAGTGCGATTACAACATCAAAGCATTCCGCGAGTGGTTCGAGCAAAGGTGGTTGAGCGACGCCGTCACCCCCCGCTTCAGATCGTCCGAGTACAAGGCTCAACAGATGGCGCGCATCGCCATGCTCATGCGCGGCTACCAGAACGGCAACGCAGCTGCCTACGGCGAGGGTCTCTGCGACGTAGTCGACGCAGTCAAGCGCCAGACAAGCTTCAACATGGAGATGGAGAAGCTTGGGTGGTCCAAGCACCCGCAGCTCTTGGATCAAGGCGTGCTCGATGACGTCCTCACTCGAAGTTTGATCCGCTACAACAAGTATCTCGATCTCATGGCTTCTACCTACTCGATCCTGACGCCTACTCTCGACATCGATCTTTGCTGGCACACTCACCAACTGCAGTCTCGTTACTACGATCAGACCTTCCATTACGTCGGCCGTTTCATCAATCACGACGATGCCATCGAGACGGGTATCCTCAAAGAAGCTTTCGATCGTACCGCCGCGCTGTGGAAGCAACGATACAGTCAGCCCTACTCGTTATGTGGCTGCGTGTACAACAATCCTGGCGCCGTCAAGAAGCTCAAGAGCCTGCTCGGCAGCAGCAACGCAACCACCGATGCCGCAGACGAGCCAGCGAAGGGATCTGGATTCGCTTCACGTCTCAAGGGCAAATGGAGGGCGTCCAAGGCTCTTCCCGGCGACGAACAGGACGACTCTGCTACCTGGCAAGATGCCAGTCATCCCAGCACCCATTCGGCCGTGATCGTCAAGGAGGAGGAGCACCGCCACGACAAGCTGCGCGAAGAGATGATCAAGGAGTGGGCTCAAGGCAAGCGCCGAGAAGGCCACGAAAGTGCATTCGTGTGAGTCACCCTTGCTGACATGTTTCATCTCGAGCCCGTAACCCACACGGACGACATCTTACTTACAGTCATTCCCTTGCTTTTTCCCATCACTTAACAGGTTCGGATACAACACTCCCGGTCTTTACCCATTCTACTACAGCCCACTCTACAGCACACACTACGTCAGCCGCGGTTCCACGGGCGATGCCACCATCAACGCCTACAGCATGTACGGCGTGTATGGTCTGTCAGCGGTCGGTACACTCGCCGCTGGAGGAGGCTTCATGGCTGGTACGGCGTACGGAGGTGGCTTCGGAGCTGCCGCATGTGCTGGTGGTGGAGGTGGATGCGGTGGCGGCGGTGGATGTGGTGGAGGCGGCGGTGGGTGCTGATCTCGCCCCTTCGCACGAACGATCTTGCGTCGATATGCATTGTACATAAGTCTCCCCGATACCCTCGTACCATACAGTATGTCTACACTAGTCTTGACGCGATCATGCCACGTGTGTTTGCTGTGCATGAACCCTTGCTTCGCTCGCTCGGTCTGCTTGCCGAGTGTGCGGCATCCGAACCAGAGTGCATCGCGCTTGGTCGCCACTGACAGCGGCGTGGGATGACTTCGGAACACCGAACGATCGCAACGTGGGTCGATGCAGCGAGCCAGCCTAGCCCGTTGTCGTGCATGTACCACCTTCACCCCACTTCGCTTAGCGCTTGCGACCGTTCCTGTCAAACTGCTCACTCAGCTGAGGTGCCGCACACTCTGCATTGGATCTTTCTCTTGACGACGTCTCACTGTGCAGTCGTGTCCATGAGTGGATTCTGTCGACCGATGGACATCTCGTTGCGATTCGTTTTGAGCAATATCGTACGAGTCTGCTGTGCACAGGCTCTTTGCTTCCTTTCGATCCTGCAGGGGTGCAGGCTTGTGTACCATGATCCCACGCTATCAGTGTTGCATTTGGTCAAGATCGCAAAGTAGACCGGTTTGATCTCATATCTGCGCTACAGGCGACTCTGCAGGTGAACGGGAAACGACTACTAGATGACATAATATTGTACAGCAAGAATCGCACCAGAACGGAGGCTGAGGAGCTAGGATGTACGTCGCCAGACCGACTGAGAAGACAAGTTCTCGCAGGAGAGATTCTAGAAAGAAGTAGGACGAGCTCACGTGGTCGTTGCGGCTCGGCTCCCGTGCAAGATGTTCGGCAGCGCACGGTCGGATCGCCTGTCACTCTTGACGATTCCATGCGTGATTGCTCTAAGGGTCAAAACGGCATGTCAGCTCCTTCACGCGAGGCTGCTTGCTCGTCTCGCCCCAGTCACAACCCACTTGCCGCGTCTCGACCTAAGGGTGGGTGCTGCTCCCAGTGGCGACGGTGGGTTTGGCGGCGTATTGGCTAACCCACGGACATACATCTGCATTTATTCGGTCTCGCTAGGATCCATAGTTGCATGCGATGATCGACAGACCCGCTTGAAATGAGAGGTCCCGCCTTTTTTCGGTGGCGGTGTGAGTCCGTGCGTGATCGTCTCGTATGAAGACCTCAGCTTTCGCTCACAGCTTCATGTGGGAGGGGGCGGTCACCGTTGCCAGGAACGAACGAGAATGTGGTGTGCATTGTCAACACGAGTGACTTTCTCAATGCGTCCTTGGGCTTTTGAGCGGGTGCAGCTTACGGGTGACAAGTACTTATAGGGACGTCTCGAGCTGGAATCAGAGAAGTTTTGACCCTCATCCTCACACTCCCTCCGAGCTCGTACCTACTCTCCTTTGATCCCCTTAGACAATCTGCCCTCTCTCAAGCTATTCAACATGAAGTTCGCCTTCGGTGCTCTCGTTTGCGCTGCTGCTGCGCTAATTCCAGCTGCTCAAGCTGTCGGCGACATCACCTTCTCTGCCGACAAGTTCGTTCGTCGCGATGACGCAGCTGCAAGCGCTGCTACTCAGAAGAACCCCGAGTTCGGCAGGAACCTCGCCAACGAGTACCTGCTTCGCGGCGGCAAGGGAATGCCTGCTCCTAAGAACGTCAGGTCGACTTTCCCTCAGTGCCAGTGGCGACACTACTCCGGTAGCTACGGTTGGATGGACAACAATCTCTTCCAGTGCTACCTGTCCCCCTCGTACGAGTACCACGCCTATTCGGTCGCCAAGCCCTTCAAGGCTCAGCCCAGCACGGTCGCTGGTGCCTGCTTTGACACCACCAACACCTACCAGTTCCCCGAGGGTGTGCCCCAGTACTCGATCGGCGTTCCTTACCTCTACATGAACAACCTGTACGATCGACGATGCAAGGTTCGCGCCATGGTCAAGATTCCCAAGACCGACGAGCACGCCGAAAAGTGGGTGCAGGCCTGGGTCATCGACCACAACGGAGGCAACTGGGACTCGACCGGCAAGGAGGATCCCAGCTACCCGCAGCAGGGTATCCTCATCGACACCAACATGTACGACGAGTTCTTCAACAAGGGTCACAACCCTACCGACTACTCCAAGGTCGTCAACGTCGAATGGTTCTTCCTCGACATCAACACCATCGGTTAGTTTCGCGACGTTTGTTTCGCTGGCCTTGGCAGCGTCTTCACGCGTTGCTGCTCTTTCGGCGCGCGTTTGCTAGATTTATTTGTTCTCCTTCTCGACAACACGTCTGATTTCGTTTGCGTCCCTTCTGCTTCTCTCGCTGCTTTCTTTGATAGGCTCTGATCACAAGTGCCGTGCTTGAAGCAGCACCTCTTCTCGCAGCTACGAGATACAGCTCGTAGCTGATGCTTTGCTCTAGCTGCTCGCCCATTTCCACTTTGTTTTGCCGCAATGACACGCGTTTGTGTCCCTTTAGACTGTCTTCACTTCGTGGGAAACCGCTTCTTCGTGCTCTCGCCAAGTCCGTGAGAAACTTTTCGTTTCCATTGCAGAGAACCATGATGTTGTAGTAATACATGAACGATGAGAGACAGATGCGATCGAGTTTCAAATATCTTGGATGTTCCTCAGCTCTTCCCTTGCCGCTGTCGAGTTCCAGCCATTGACGTCGTAGTAATTGTACATGCAAGACTGGCGATTGTCGTCGAAAGTGAACGATGCTTCGTGAGCGCAATAGCAGCGCGATCTGCCAGTGTGCGGTGAAAGCGCATTCGCCTTTGGTGGTTTCGGACAGTGCATGATGGGTGCATGAAGGTAGCCCATGTTGTCAAAGTAGTGGACTTGAGACCTGTCGAGCAGGAGGGATGCGGCGATGGAGTGGACGGGTGCATCGCCCCATCGCTCGTAGAAGAATCCTCCGGCTTGATCGAGATGGTTGAAGAAGGAGAGGTAGGCTTCGGATCGGTAGAAGTCCATGTCGGCGATTTCGAAGTTGGACCAGTAATGACACTGCGAAGAGGTGTGGAGAGAACGGGTCAGTGAGCTGCACAGGCGAGGAGGGGAAAGGGAAGAGGCGAGACATGCGCTGAACTTACCTTGTTGTATCCACGCCCGTTGTCGTTGGTGACAAAGCCAAACATGTTGTTGGGTGCGAGCAGATGCGAGTTCTTCTCGTACCACTGTCGAACGTAGATCCACAACGTCCGAATGGTGCCAGGAATGTCGTGCAGTGCTAGCACGAATCCGTATACTTTCTTGTTCTGTTGCATGAAGCGGAAAGGATCGAAGTCGGTCAAATCGCAAAAGAACTTGACATTTGGCTCGATCCTCCAATAGTACTTGTACTTGAGCACAAGCGGGTGACGGAAGAAGAACCCGGATTGAAACCTGCACATCTGCCTGTACGACTTTGAGTCGCCGTAGGGCATGCCAGCCTTCTTTGCTCGATCCCACGCCTTTTGCGCTTTGACGAGGTCGATGCTTGGTGGAATGTCCCAGTGCTCTGGTGGAACCTGACCGAACTCCACGGTGGACGAGATGGCGCGAGAGATGCGTAGTTTGAAGGTGTCGGAGAAGGGGTCATCGTTCAAGAAGACGTATGGGTAGCGATGATGGGGACGATCGTTGAAGGTGCTTTCGAGCAATTGAATGCTTTCGAGGATGCCTTGGATGTCTCTTTCGCGACAGAGGATGACAAAGGTCGCATTGGCCTTTGGCGTGTTGGCAAAGGGGTTGGTGAGGTCGACGGCATTCGACGATGAAGAAGACCAAGACGAGCGCAGCGTCTCCACGTGATCTTGATAGGCTGTTGATGTGTAGCTGGCCAAGTAATGTAGCGAGAGGACCGAGATAACGGCGAGCGCAATGTAGCGTACAGTGAGGTTCATGACGGGGATATCGAAGTGGTTCCGACCATGAAAGGCGAGGACGACAGCGTTGCACAGCGTCAAAGTCAACTACCACAACGTTCTGCTGAGCTGGTGGTTGTGATGACAGACCGAACTAGCGAGGCGAAAACATCTGGCGTGGTCCGACCGAGATGGGCACGGTCCTTGCACCATGCGAAGCTCCGTTCCGGCCAACTTTTGACGAGGAAGAGACACGAAGATCATGGGGAAACAATTTCATGGCAGACGTGATTCAGCCGACGCGCTGCAGGGTTCGGATGCATGAAATCAATATCGAGTCGGCTAGACAGCCTAGCCCCTTGTCTGTTGCCATGCCATCAAGAGCATTCAGCCGAGCAGTCTACGCTAGCAACTCAGAATCCAACTTTGAGCCATCAAGGCCTTTCGTAACTCTTCGGCCTTGACAACGCATCAGAATGGCTTGCTCTTCTCGCTACACTTATCAGCGGCCTTGGCGCGCCTTCCGGTCCTTCTCGCACCTGTTGTCTCTGTTGGCAAGCAGCTACGGAAGAGGAGTCCACCGCGGCTTGTCACATTCACGTCATCCGATTAATTGTTTCCGACTTCTTCGACGCGCTCTAAATGCGAGATTCCCTCTCCGTCTGTTAGATCTCAACTCTTGTGACGGCCGAGAGGACACGCCCACGCTCCGGGTATCGAGGGTGCCTACCGGCCCGGCTCTTTTGGTGGTGCAGCGCTTGCCCCAGATTTGTCTTTTGCTTCGACGAAAAGCTTCGGCAACACACACGAACCGTCTGACCGGCTCACGCTTCCCACCAAAGACCCCGCATCCGAAAGAGACTCAACACCTTCATCCTTCATCAACTGCTACTTATAGCCTAAGCAGCTCTTCGCGATTTTTGATCCATCTCCCCAAACAAGTGTTCTGCCGTGACAAAGCTATCCCTCGCAATCACCATGTCGCAACGAGTTTCACAGGTCGCTGGTCACCTTGCTGGTCGTAAGTAGTTCTCCTTTCGTCATCACCTTCTCAATCGCGGTCCACTGACCCTTGTCATCCTCTTAAACATCATCTTGTACAGCTGCTCCCCTCCTCAAGGGTCAGGTCGCCATCGTCACTGGTGCTGGTCAGGGTATCGGTGAAGCTACCGCAAAGCTCTTCGCCAGCCACGGCGCCCACGTCGTCGTCTCGGACCTCGACTCGAAAAAGGCGCAGGATGTTGCATCCCAGATCACAAAGGCCGGAGGGTCGGCGATCCCCCTCGCCGGCAACGTCATGGACAAGGACTTTGGCGAGCGTGTAGTCAAGGCCGCTGTCGACAAGTGGGGCAAGCTGAACATCATTGTCAACAACGCCGGTTTCACTGCTGATAAGATGGCGCACACCACCGACGACGCCACCTTCCAGCTCATGCTCGACTGCCACATCACCGCTCCCTTCCGCATCATCCGTGCCGCCGCTCCCTACTTCCGCATCAAGGACGAGAGCAAGCGCGAGAACATGGCCATCGTCAACGTATCGTCCACCTCGGGTACGCACGGCAACGTGGGTCAGGTCAACTACTCTGCTGCCAAGTCGGGTGTTCTCGGTCTGACCAAGACCATGTGCAAGGAGTGGGGTCCGTTCGGTGTGCGTGTCAACTGCGTTGCTTTCGGCTGGATCAACACGCGTCTCACTCAGGCCAAGGAGGCCGGCGCTTCCATCGAGATCGACGGCAAGAAGATCGCGCTCGGTATCCCGGGTCGACCTACCGGCGGCGACTCTAAGCAGCAGGCGGTCACTGCGGTTGCCGACATTCCTCTTCGTCGACCAGGTGACGCTGAGGAGGCTGCCGCATCCATCCTCTTCCTCGCCAGTCCTCTTGCTTCTTATGTTTCCGGTCAAATCCTCGAGGTGACTGGTGGCCGAGGTATCTAAAAGCTTGACGTCACGTAGGCTGTAACCACCTCAAAAACCTCCCATGTGTGCAATGTATGATGCCAATGGCAAAGTAGTGTGTGTGGTGTTGTTCGCACAATCTAACATTATGGCTTCATATGGATCATAGTGGAGACAGAGTCCAAAATTTCGGAAACCCAAGTATAAGAAAAATTGAGTTGCGTGCATGCATGCAATTCTCGTATTCTGGCAGCGAACATGTGTCAGATGGACACCCTCCTCTCTTGCAACCATTATATCTCTGCATCAGATTTGTGGCACCATGGCGCCGACAGCTACCACTCAAAGCGACGACAAAGCAGCAGCAGCAGCAGCTGCTGGCAGCTCGTTCACATTCGATCCATTCGCCAGCATCCGAAGCTTCAAGTACTCGGGCTCGGTCAAGGCGGTCTATCCTTTGAGCCTAAAGCCAAAGATCCCGCCATCGATTCGAAGGCCCAACTACGCCAGAGAAGGGGTGAGGATGTGGTTGCATTTCTGGTGGCAGGTCAGAATTCCTTTCTTGACCGTCTCCCTGCCCTTTCTGTTCGTGAGACGCTCGGGTTTCGCTGACGCAGCCTACGCATCCACTCTGCTTGCCTTTCTCCTCCTCGGCCTGTTTCTCGATTCGCTCAAACAGTTCCTCGAGTCACGCAATATCAAGGTCAACTCCAAGGCCGATCAGGACGGGGTAAGACAATCTGCTACAGTAGGTTCTGCGTCGCACTTCCGGACCACCAGATTCGTGAGATCATTCACTGACCTTGCTCCTTCTACGCCAACACAGCTTGCTCGCGAGGTTCTTGAGCTTGCTGCTGCCGCTGCCAAGCCCGGAGTCACAACCGACGAGATCGACAAGATTGTGTTTGCGGAAGCCATTAAGAGAGACTGCTATCCCAGTCCTCTAGGCTACCACGGCTACCCGAAGAGCGTCTGCACGTAAGTAATAAGATAAAGGCGATCGAGCACCTTCACAAAGGTCACCGCCGCTAACCTTGGCGTCATTTTGCATCCTGCCTTCCGATTCAGCTCCATCAACGAGGTCATTTGCCACGGCATCCCCGATCAGCGACCCTTGGAAGACGGCGACATTCTCAACATCGACGTCACCCTCTTTCACAAGGGCTACCACGGTGATCTCAACGCAACCTTCCCCGTCGGCAAGAAGGCAGAGGAAGATGCCGAGTCGATGAAGCTCATCCGTGTCGCTCGAGAATGCCTCGATGCAGCGATCAACATCTGCGGACCCGGCGTCCCCTACGGCGAGATTGGCCGGGTCATCCAGCCGCTGGCAGAATCTCAAGGCTGCGCCGTCGTCAAAAATTACACGGGCCATGGCATCTCCAACTGCTTCCATGCAGCACCCACAGTCTATCACCACGCCACCAAGAAGAGCTACGGCATCATGAAGCCGGGCCACATCTTTACCATCGAACCCATGCTCAACCTCGGCACAGAGTGGAGAGATCTGTCGTGGCCTGACGACTGGACCGTGGCCACTGTCGATGGTGCACGATCAGCAGCGGCCGAAGAGACATTGCTGATCACCGAGACTGGTGTAGAGATCCTGACGGCGAAAGGCGGCCCGAGACACATTGATACCACGGAGCGACGCAAGCAGCTCGAGGAGGAGATCAAAGCGCGGGAGGAGAGGAAGAAGCGAAGAAAGCTCGACAACGGTGGTGCGAGCACTCCCGGTTCGGGCGCTGCCACACCGACACCCGCTCCGGAACAGACGAATACGACCACCAAGAGCGCTTCTGGGCCCGCTGTTCCTGAGAGCTGAGTTCACGTCGCCAGCCGAAAGCTGCTTGCTTGACGACTTAAGCATCCGGCTTATTCGCATCTGTATTTGTATTGCCTGAAATCGCATGCTGTTTCTGCTGTGGTTGAAGTTCGCCCTCCTCGCCGTTGAACCAGATAAGCTGCGGTATCTTGATCGGCCTTTGAGATTTTGCGGAATTCGCTCGTGTACGGTTCAAAAATTCCGTGCACTTCTCGTGTTTGAAGGCTTGACCTTCGTGTCCTCTCCTCCATCTTGCTAAGATCATCACGTCCCGGTAAAGCTTCATCATGCTCGCGATACTACCGAGAGAGTGTCTGCGATCCGCTCGGTCTTCCTCACGCTTCGCACCGCTCGTCGTAGGCTGCAGCAAGCGTCTACTCTCGACACCTTCTTCCGACCCGTCCAGGTCGCACGCCGCCCCAGCGACGGGCCAGACAGTCGACCTGGATTTCGAAGCATACGAGCCCACCTCTGAACAGATACAAAAACGTCGTACGGAAGTGCCCGTCTCCTCGTTGGTCGTGTGCCATGGGTTGTTTGGATCCAAGCAGAACTGGCGATCGCTGGGACGCGCCATGTCATCCCGTTTCGGAGTCCCCGTCTTTGCACTCGATCTCCGCAATCACGGTACTTCGCCGCACGTCGACTCGCTCGCCTACTCGGATATGGCTCAAGACGTCATCAACTTCATGTCGTCCCGAAAGCTCTCCAACGTGGGACTGATCGGACATTCCATGGGAGGAAAAGTGTCTATGAGCGTTGCGCTGCATCCCGATCTACCGCAGGGGATGATACGCAATCTGATCAGTGTCGACATGTCAGCGAAACGTGGACCTCTATCGCCTGAATTCGAACGATACATCGATGCCATGATCGAAATCCGCGACAAACCGTGTCGCTCACGCCACGAAGCTGATACCATCCTACAAGCCACCGAATCGGATCTCGGAGTCCGACAATTCCTCCTCACAAACCTGACACGTTCTCCACCAGGTGCTGAAACGTGGAGCTGGAGGATACCCGTCGATCTCATCCGCAAAAACATTGCCCAGATCGGTGATTTCCCGTACAACCCTCCGAACGCGACGGAGGAGGAGTTGGCGGGTGCGAGTGAGTCCGCTCAGGAGAGGAGCTGGAATGGTGAAACGCTCTTCATCAAAGGGACGAAGAGCAAGTATGTCAACAGGAAGAACATTCCGACGAACCAAAAGTACTTCACCAAGTCAAAGCTGGTGAGGATGGATACAGGACATTGGTGTCAGGCCGAGAAGCCGAATGAGTTTGTACAGGTTGTCGAGGATTTCTTGACGGGGAGAACGAAGGATGAGACTGAGGAGGCGCTGCGACCTAGGAAGTAAGAGTCAAGCTCGAATAGACGCGGAGAGATAATGGAAGATAGGGCACAAGCACAGTCTTACCAATGATAGGAGCGTGCAAAGAGTGTGCTATTAGGTTGAGGTTAGAAATGGACGTGCACGTAACGAAAGGACGATCGAGGCAGAAGAGGGACATGCGCGATGAAACGGGAGGGTCCTCGGATCGACCGAGACCCGAGCTGGGCATGCTCTCGATAGAGGAAAGACGAAACGCAACAGAAGAGTGAAGACCGGCTCCAATGGCGATAGAAGAAAGTGCACCCTAGTCAGTCGTCGAGGTAGTGTTTGCCCTGCAATCATACACGATCTCCACTCCGACACCTTTGGTGCTCGAGTAGATCCTGTTCGAGATGAAATCATCCGGATCCCTACTTCCATCAACACAATCGTAATCGCCGCATTCAATCACCTCTGCATCCCGCTTACCCTCACTGTCATCGAACCTGGCCTTGACCGGGAACAAGAACCTCTTCCCATACATGGCATCCAGATTCACATAGCTCCTCACCGTCTTGCTCGGGTTCGGTTCGAACGTCAGATCGACCGACTGACAGTTGTCGCCGTACTTTCCGCAACCTTCGCCGGTGAGATAGACGGAACCGACGAAGTCGGAGGGGACGATGATGCTTCCGGGTGGGGAGGGGGTGAAGGTTCCTTTGCTGCCGGATGTGCCAGAGATCTTGGGTCGGACGGTGGAGGGGCAGCCGAGGAGGGTGAAGCGGATGTCGTGGCGTCCATCGGACTGGGGTGGGTGGGAGAGGGAGCCAGAGGCTGCGTTGTAGGTGGTGGGAGGAGTTGTCGCTGAGTCGATGCGAGAGGAGGAAGGATCGACAGAGGTTACCTTGGGGGTGGCGTTGTCGGTGGCAGCTACAGCCGACGCGGTGGCGATGGCGAGGCCAAGGGTGATGCTTCCTAGCATTGATCCAATGTGCATCTTGTCGAAGGAGGTCAAATTTGTGGGTGAGCGATGGAAATGAAGGCACTAGTTGAGGTCAGAGAGAGTGTGGAGATGTGGAAGAGATACAAGGTGGCAGGGGGGACAAGTCAAGAAACGCGGTGGAGAGGAGTGATGATGATGGTTGGGTCGAACGAAAGCCTCAATGAGCTCTTGTAGCAAGGGCCTCATTGAGCTAGACCTGTAGGCAAGTCTCAGGAGCGTTCTTGAGAGGGGCAAAGGGGCGACGCGGTACAAGCGTTAGTCGTTGGCCTTCGTCAGGACACCGCCCTGCTGTCAGCACCGCTTTGTTCTGGTTAACCCGCAAAGCTCATGTCCCAGTAACGAGCACGCATGGACCGCTAGCTCGCTACAAGTTAGCATGTCTCTGCCATGACCTCCTGCCCCGGCTGGTCAGCAGAGACCCTCGGGTCTGCTTCCACCGGCTCGAGTTCAGGCGGTACTGTACTGGCTTCAGAACAATAAAAAACGCCGTACACATTCCACGATTCGGCTAGATGTGCATTGAAAGCCCACGTCCATTCGAACGCGGTCTTCAAGCTGCATGGATCGACAGAATCACCTCGCTAGCCGGCGGGATCGCTCACCGAGCTCGCTCTGAGTGTGCGCCAGCGCATCTCTGCATGACACGACGGGGCTCCCGCGACTGCTGCTGCTTGACGTGACCTCGCACACATGCTAATGCAAGTTTGGACCAACGTTGGCTAGAGAATCGCAAAAAAGTCGCCGCGCTTCCTTCGCACTTGGTGTTGATTCTGAGACGCCGACACGTCTTTGAATCGCAGATCTGTGGCACACACCTTCAGCATCCGATGCTAATGTGTATTTGTCTGTGGTCAATGCAGCCTCTTGCGCACCATCTCTGTCCTTTGCCTGACGTTGTGGATCAGCCTTCAGAATGCGAAGTGCTTCGTAAAAACTGCTCAAAGCTGCGAAAGGCTGCTTCATACCGCCCGCCAGCTTCATGCAAGGAGGTTGAGCTGGTTGACAGTCAGCAGAGCCTCGTGTCAAGTTTCGCGAAATTGCCGATTCTACCAATTGGACGGCGTAACAGCGATTAAAATTCGCCGAAATCAACCCCGCATTTGTTGGTCCGGCCAAAAAGCCGGCTTGCTGTTGATCAATCCAGAGACATTCTGCTACCTTGCCTGCGAGCCACGACCCCGCTCTCTCTTGTAGTGAACCATCATGGCATCGGCCTCCGCAGCAAAGACGCCGCTTCGAGCCGTTGATGTCTTTGGTCAGCATGTCGTCCAGCAACTCAAGTCCCTTCGCTCGCGGTTCGACTCCAAGAATGCTACCCCGCCGCTCTTTGTAGCGATGCAAGGTCCGCAGGGATCCGGTAAGACGACCGTCACTCGCTCCCTCGTCCAACACCTTCGATCGTCAGGTTTGACCGTTGGAGTTCTCTCAACGGACGACCTGTATCACACACATCAAAACCTGCGGCGAGTCGCGGCGGAGAACCCAACAAATCCACTTCTTTCTGGTCGAGGTCAACCAGGTACACACGATGTCGAGCTCGGCAAACAGATTCTTGATCAAGTACACGCGATCAACGAAGAGTCTGCGATTGGACAGAAGGAAGTTGTTCGAATGCCGGTGTTTGACAAGAGCTTGTTCGACGGCGAAGGCGATCGAGTACCAACCTCCGAAGGTAGCCCCACACTCAACGCTCCTCTGGATGTCTTCATCCTCGAAGGCTGGAGCATGGGATTTTCTTCAATACCCCCGTCTCAAGTGGAGGCAAAACAGGAAACGAGTCATCCCGAATCACCACTACGACGCTATACGCTGGACGCACTCCAACAGGTCAACCGCAACCTCGAAGCGTATGCAGCGTGGTACACTCACTTCAGTGTCTTTCTGCAAATCAAGCCTACAAACCTGGACAACGTCTATATTTGGAGGACGCAGCAGGAGCATGCGATGAAGGCAAGTAACGGTGGGATAGGAATGTCGGACGAAGGAGTCAAGGCTTTTGTGGACAGGTACATGCCGGGGTACCACCTGTTTCTGGATACCATTCAACAGAATGATCAGTGGAAGGGCAGGAGCAAGACCATCACGATCGATCTAGACCGCACCATCGTAGACGTTCACGATTGGTAATGCAACGCTCGATCAATCCCTCACGGCTGATCCATAGCATTTTGACGACCAGCTTCTATTCCTTGCGCAATCGAAAGATGAGAAACAGATTCCCCGCAGGCATCTCTATCCTCTCCGACAGCTCGTATCCGTGTCTATACGCCAAGGGCACCAGCTCGTTCTGCACGTCTCTCAACCCGAACCGCTCATCCCTCTTACGAATCTCTTCATCGAACTTCTGGTTACCCTCGCTCGTGAACTTTCCGTCTTCATTGAACGCGCCGTAGATCGCAATCCAACCGTCCCTCGAGAGCAAATTCCTATACCCCTGCTGGGTAACATATCCCACCCTCGGGTCTAGGTGACTGAACAGACTCTCCGTCACGTTCCAAGGAACGATGTGCGTCAAGTTGCAAGCAACGACACCATCAAACAGAACATCCTGTTCGCGACGACCCGATTCGCCGGAAGCATTGTGCACGAGGGTGAGCCAGTCGTTCTGGCTGAGAAGGTCGAGAGATTCCGCTTTGCCGACGTTGGGGAGGGAAGAGATGAGCGAATCGATTTGAGCGCGAGGGTAGTCGTCGGCTTCACTGGGTTGAAAGTGACAGTGCGGGTAGACGGAGGCGAGGGCGCGAATCTGGTGGCCGAAGCCGGAGGCTACTTCGAGGATGATCGGTTTGCGGTCGGATGAGGAGGAGGAAGAGAGGAGGGTGGAGAGCGCTTCGGCGATGGGGCGCGAGTTTCGCTCGGCGGATCCTGGGAGTGACCAGGACGAGCGATACTTGGAATCAGCTTCAGTCGAGGCTGTTGTTTCTATCGCCATAGCTGTTGTTGTCTGTCGTCTCGGTGGAGCGATTCAGAGTCAGGATGGCGGTGAAGCAGGTCATTCACTTTCTTCTCGAACAATATGTTGCGCAGGACAGAGGGTCTCCGCAATGTGGAGGGAATTCTATCAAATGTGTTAGACCGAGACACGTTCACGTTCACGTGACATCTCTCTTTCCGCTCGCGTTGGATGGATCTGAGACCGACGCAGGGTCCAGCGGGCTTCCATTGCCGCAAACACAAATCTCACTCGCTCGGAGCCGTCCGAAACGGACAAGTCGTCAACCAGATTGAGCTCACGGTCGTGGCCCGATCTATCGGCGAACACCTCAGTACGAGATGTCGAGAGTGTGGCGGGGTCAGCGCCTGAGCTTCTCGGGATCCGACGAGGCATCCGGTTCTCACGAGTTGGACCGGATAGGGGCGGTGAGTGTCTCACCCGCGACAATTTGTGCGGATCCCGTCGCTTGACCATTCGGGAAGGTCTGCGAAGGCGAGGATAGCCGGTGCGACTTGTCGTGTCCACAGAACGAAGACATAGGACATGATCAGCATATTCAGCCACCGGGCACTTTCCGTCCAGACATGGAAGGTGTCGTTATCTACGGTCACAGGGCTTGATGGCCGGTCGGATCGGCTCGGTCTGACGAGTAAGGAAACGGTCACTGAGCTACGTTGGACATGAATTGATGCTAGTAGCAACCGATGAGGAAGGAACCGCCCAAATAAGCAGGTACACAAACATCGAGCGATTCAAGTTCGACGGTGGGAATCGAGCCGCTCCAATGCTAAATAAATTGGTCATCGTTGCACTGCCGCACACCTTCTTGTTTAGGAAAGTCTTTTTTATCGCCAGGCAAACTCTAAGCGAGGGCGACGTCAAGAATCGCCAAATCACGCAGAGTGGAGCCGAAGCACAGAAAAGAAGGAAAAACGCCGAGGGTCCTGCATCATAGGTCCACCTCTTGCATACACTGCTGATTATACCTGTGATACGGCGATGTCAAGATGATATGAGAACAAGATATCTTTGGTTCAACAAAGAGAGAACGGCAATGCTGAATCAAGTGGGTGCGATGCTTCACGGTGGTGCGGACTTGGTGCTAGACAAAAGGATGTGGTAGCGATGGTCACCGGCAGCTGGTCTACGATGTCAGCTTCGGGCGGAGTTCGGATGGATGCTTCTCTTTGCAGCACTGCAAACCACTTCCCGTCCCCTCGTGACTGCGCTCAAAACAACGGGCTCTCCCATGAAACTTCGTCCAGACCTTCATTCAGGACATCCTCGTCATCCGCCCTAGAGCATGGCAGGCACTTTCTAGCTCCGACACACACACTGGGCAAAACACGCGACAAGGCTGCAGCTTCGCTTCCGTAGACCTTCCTCTGTATCCTCAACGTGCGATTCGGTCCCTATTGCGAGGCCTTTGGTAGCTTCCGTCCAGATCGGGTCCGATCCGGTGTATACTGTAGTTATCATCTCGAGACAAGCAACATCGAATTGGCAGGCCACTGCCACCTTCAGCGACACCATCTTCACCATCCGTCCATCCCGACTTTACAACAAGCTCATCCCCTCCGACATCGGGCCACTCCCTGGCGAACAGCACGATCGCCTCGACCTTGAGCGTTCCTTCCCCATCATCTTGTCCTTTGGCATCCATCTATGCATCCACACCATTCTGTCAACTGCGCTCTCTAAGTGCACCTCTACCGCTTATCGTGACTGCGCAAACACGCGCTGCACATGCTCCGTAGTCCGACCAGTCGTCCATTAGAGGCCGCCGCCGAACAAGGTATCCATCCAGATGGCGACATCAATACAGGGCGAGCGTGTGGTGCCTCAGTCCAACAACAGGAGGAGAGGATGGGTCATCGCTAGCGAAGATGGCACCGAGATCGAGCGGCCAACCAGCTTCGATGCTCGCAAAAGTGCCGCCGCGTGGAACAAAGGCAAAGGCCCGTCCCAGGCATCCATCCCATCCAGAGCGTCGTCATTAGCATCCACTCCAGCGCCAACACCGATGCTTCCAAGCGAGCCTTTCCAGCAGGCAGATGAGCCATCAGCCAGCGGTCCTTCTACAAGCGAAGTCATCACTCTACCCGTACCGCCACCACGGATTCCATCTTCCAGCATGAGCCACAGCAGAGACGCGACATCCAGCACGACAAGCGAAGCAGAATCCAGCACCGGCCGACGACGACCTTCACCGCCTCTGCTCGTACCACCAAAACAGACCTTTAAGAAAGTCCCTTCCAAAAGGGTCCTGCCACCTTCGGCGCTGAGCGATCACGAAAAGTTCATGGCCGCTGCCTACAAGGGTGCCGGTAGCAGCGCGTCTTCATCGTCAGCGGGAACATCCGGATCGCGTTCGCCATTCGCAAATGCTGCGTTGCGCAGCGACCTTGCAAAGCTGGCTGCGAGCCGACGTGCGAACAGCTCTTCCTCAAGCAGCACAGCGACAACCTCGACGTCAGCATCTGTGTCGCAATCTGCAACAGCATTAGCTACATCGGCTGTGTCAGCAACGCCCACGAGCAATCAACTCAAGGGCAAAGCGAAGCAAATTAGTCAAAGCCCCTTGCAAAGTGACCCCGAAGGGTTCTTCAGCTCGGGAGGAAAGGTCAAGCAGATGGCCAACACGTACGACAACACCCACAGTCGTCAACAGAGCGGCGATCCACAATCCTCTGCTGATGCTTCAGCGTCATCACAGCAACGCAGCAGTGATTTTACCCAGCACAAGCAATCTCTTCTCCTCTCTCAGGTCCATCCGCTGCCGGCATTGAGCGAAAAGTCTGCCAATTCCGACATCGAAGACGTACCTTCTTCTGCATCCGATGTGATGTCCGACAACGAAGCAGCAATCTCAGCAGCAGCAGCCAAGACGGTCAAGAGGCGCGAAAGCCTACAAATCGAATTGCCACCCCCACCGCCACAATTCAAGGACAGGTACCCGACCATCCTCGTAGATTCAACACACGCGAGCGACTCTGAAGCCAGCGGCACGAGTAACGCTGGTCCTCGCCGCCGCCGTCGACGAAGTACGGCTTCAATGAGCAATAAGCTCGGAACCGATGCAGAGGACGACGATGACGACGAGTATGCGGGTGACGATTCCAGCTGGCCATCGACACCCTCCACCACTCCGCTGGAGACGTATTTCATAGCAGCTGATGCCAAACCCAAACCGGCGAAAAGAACAATGCAAACTACCATGGAGATTGTAGCAGCTGAATCGAGTGCTCTTGGCATGGGCAGACCTATGGTAGTCGTCACAAGCCCAAGCACTGCATCAGAAGTCTCGTCAGATCGTCGTTCGAGCTCAGGCTCCGGGTCTACATCGGATCGCACATACTCATCTTCACCGCCAGCTGTGGCCAGTGTTGCGCCTCCCCCGGCCCTGTCGAAAATCGAAGAGCATCCGAGTGCCAAGAGCGACGCAGCTGAGGCAAGCACAGCTGGACCGCCGAAACGATCGCTCTCATTCGAGGTGCCAGTCATGAACCGATTCAGAGCGTCGGAAGAGAGCTTGCCCATCGGTGGTGCTGTCCGCTCGCCATCACGAGCGATGGCATTTTTGGCCAAGATGAATCCGAGCAGATCCGCGAACCGTAGCAGTGTTGATCTGGTTTCCACCACTCGCACCGACGCGAGCTCGGGCACTGTACAGGCTGCGAAACGAATGTCGTTGGATGATCAGCGCCGAACGTCAGCAGAGCAGCGCCGTTCCGTCGAGCTCCGTCCGATCCTCCTGAATGCTGCGTCACGCCCACCTCCTCGACCTGTCGCGATAGAAGCTGCAAGCTCGACAACTACTTCCCAGCAGGAGCGCCGTCGATCGTTGGGCCGTGCTGCAGTTCGCTCCAACGTTCTGCCCTATCACTCGCGTCGCAGCTCAGAGGTTTCTACCAGCTCTTCGACCGACACTCCCAAGGCCCAGGACCGCGGCTCGTTCGATAAGCAACCGTTCGACCCGGGATACAGCCCTACTTCGCAGATGACGACCTTCACGATGCCATCACCTGCCCTGAGCACCGATCAGAAGCTCTTCTCGAACCAGCCCGCAATTCACGCACAGCAATCGACCGAGACGAACCAGCGCCGATCTTCGGCTGCTGGCGCACCGAGAGATCGCTTCGCCGCTTCTATGCCCTCTTTGCATCAGCCTGTCGTCCACGCGCAGCCAAGGGACCGTCGTACGGCCTCAAATGAAGAGCCAGGTGCTCAACCGTCGGCGATCCGACTGCTGATCGACTCGCAGAAAGGCCGCACCACACGAGACAATGACTCGATCGCCGAATGGATTTCTGTATCCGTCAATGATCTGCTTTTGCCAGATGTCACCGAGGCGTACGGAAACGGTGGCGCGGGCGAGTTCTCGAATGAGAACCAACACCATGGCAAGAAGCCCAAGAAGAACAAGCCGTGGAAGCTGGGACGATTTGCAGCGTCGGAGGTTGTGCTTCCCTCCTCTTCTGCCGTGCAAGCAAAACGACGTTCGATCTCTCTCGTCAAGCGATCATCCTCTGCACAGGTGAACGAGCCAACGCGAGTCAGCGCTGAATCTACGTCTTCACCGCCAAGTGCGCCGTTCATGCGCAATTTGGGCTTCACGACCGCCAATCGTAACGTTGCGCTCCAGAACCTTTGCGCAGAACGCTCCGTGATGGCGCTGGCTGCAAGCACGATCTATATCGCCGGTTGTGGCCGTATCAAAGTGCCGCAGCCGGCTGCTCTGCCAGCCGCCAAATCGAAAGCCAAATCGAAGACACAGGAAGCCGAGAATAAAAAGCTCGGTCAAGTCTCGACGGAATCAACAGCGGTAGCCGTCGTCGAAGGTCCGAGCAGCCCGGTTCATCCATCTCACAGCGCAGATGCTTCGCAAGATGCTTATCTCAACGTGACCGAGGACCGTCATACCGGATACGACCTGAGCGGAGCTGCGGTGGGCACAGTCAAGTCGATGGTGCCAGAGCTGGGAGACTGGTCGGGATCGATGGAGCACGACCGAAGTCACAGCGAAGAGGTGGCAGAGCCTGAGCGACCTTTTAGGGACTATGATGACGAGGGATCGGACCTCTTTGACTCGGACAGATCCGATACGGAGTCCGAGGATGAATTCGACTACGGAGAAGAGGATGTTGAGGTGCCCGTACGGTTCGGACAGCGCGTTAACGTGAGCAGCAGAGCTGGATCAGCATTCTACGGCTCGTCAGTGCCGACTGGGTACGAGGCAGAGAGAAGTGTCGATGAGGCAACGCCGCCAGCGAGACATCTGGTGCCGTCGGTCAGCCTGGACCGATTGACACCAGGCACAGTCATGGTGCACGGAACCGAGCTGCGGATCTGCGTTGAAGAGGAGCAACTTTCGGGACGATCAGCCCGGCCGATGGCTTACTGGAAGGCGGTCGAAGTACAGCAGCCCGAGTCGAAACCAGAAGAACCCGTTGAGAACCAAATTCGTCGTCAGCCCTCAAACAGAGCGATGAAACTGGAGGAAGAAGTTGCCACCGGAATCTTTGCCGCCTTTGTCGGCAATCGAAGCCCACGACGACAAAATCAACGAGCAAGCATCGATGCTGGACCTTGCAGTGCTGATCAAGGCTCCCCACAGAAGCGAAGCACTCAATCGACAAGCATTTCCAGGAGGGAGCTGGTGGTATCCAAGGTGAACAAGAGCACTTTCACTGTTCGCAGCGAAACGCGCTCAACCATGGACGGTACAGAGCAGGTTGTCGAAATCTTACGTCGAGGCGGCAGCCAATCGACGCACTTGACACAGGCTTCGGAATCATCGCGAGGCTCAACATCGACGGACAAAGTCGAGAGGGCATTCCCTTCGCCACTCCTTTCGAACACAGAGTTTGCGAACAGCAGACCTCGATCTCACAACCGCACCAACGGCTCGCTCTCGACGCTCGAAGACGTAGCAGAGCGCATCACGATCCGCATCCAGCAACAGGGAGTTAGTGGCTTCTCCGCCAGCTTCCAGTCGCGCGATGGACAGGTCTGGTTGTGGCAAGGAAGCAAACTGGAGGCGTCCGTACTGTCACCGAGGAAAACACAAGCAGGCGTTCACGGCATCGATGTCCTGGACAACTACGATCTGGTGCTGCGTGCTCGAAACGGATCACAAAGCATTGAGCTTGCAACCTACTCTACCGACTCGCAGCTACGCAACGCACTTGGGCTGTTCAAGCCGCGGACGAAGCCTGTCCCGAAAGCGCTTCCCGAGGACACGAGCAACCTCGGCTCCGCTGTTGCGCCACCGACCCGAGTGCTGCCATTGGCGATCCCGATCCGGGGTATGGCGGGAGGAATATCGCGAGGAGAGCCGCAGATCCCTCTGCGTGGCATTCGAGGTGGCCCTCTCCTTCGACCTCAGACGAGTGCAAATGGCAGTGCTCTGCGGCAGCATGGACTGTGGCAGCAGCAACGAGCAGCAGTGTCGACCGAAGCGGTGGTACAAGTGCACAACAATGCAGTCAACAACGCCAGAGCCTCGGTTCAACTCAACGAGCGTCTGGCATCGAAGCGCGCTTCCACCGACACGGCAAGGCCATCCCCGCAGGATGAGGGAACGCAAGATCAAAAGATGGGCGTGCTCAGTTTCGCGGCAGTCGAAGCGCTGGATCGAGATCTTGTGGTGCTGTCGCTCTTGGCTGTGATGGGAAGCGTTCGAATGTGAATGCAACATGTCGGTCGGGATCGGCGGTTGGCGGCCCGAGCAAGATGTGCTTGCGTTGCGGGCGTCTCAATTCCGTCTGTAGCATTCTGTGCACGAGCTTTACAATGCAGAAATTGTTCCCGCATACAACAACGCCGCCGGTCCGTGCATCTGAGCAGTGTATGCCTTGTTCCAGATCACGTACCGCCTTCTGAGATAGGACTGACCAAGCTGTGCCATGTGATCTCGCTGTGTAAAAGTGTGGTAAGGTCCTAATGTACATATCGCGGGAACGCGGTATGGAGCCGAAACGAGTCCGGCGGTCTAGGCCCGATCGGGAACGGAAGCGAGATCTAGCTCGCAACTGTCATAGGCCTTACCAAACCCGTTCGGAAACGCCAACAGGGCGAATAGTAGAAAGCGAGGATTCAAAGCAAATAATGTCTGCCTTGAGGCATCTCATCTCAGCCAGCACGGACCGACCTCTTTACGTCTGAAGGGGGAAGAACGGGGCCATGACAACGAAAGATAGCAAGAGCATCTCGTATCAAGTGCGTTGTGGACAAAGAGACAGAGTCGGTTCCGCGTCGGCGGCGGCCAAAACGGAAAGCGTCGGAGTTGTAAGCAACGGAGTAATTCGATTGCCCGTGCATGAAAGGTCGAGGATGAGGGCCGTTGTTGCTTGTCTTCACTCAAGTGGTCCCTCTGGCTATGCCTGACTGCGTGTGATTCAGCCGCGCTGTACAGGTTGCGTCTTGGTCTTCCCAGTGTCTGCTCAGAGCTAGATTGCGGTCTGCTGCAAGCGAGGGCAAGACCTTCGAGGAAGGGCTCCGATGCAAAAGTCGGAAAAACTGAGCTCGGCTCGCGAAGGATGCCGGGTTTGGCACCAACAAGGCGGGGGAGAGGGTCTGCGGGCACACCAGCAAGAAAGCTACCGGCACAGGGCGTTTGTCGAATTTGACCTGTTTAGAAGGAAAAGATACAGTATCCTGCAAAGCTGCGGCCGTTAAAAGCGTGGGCAAGAGGGATTGCAGGGTCGGGAAGGCCGATTCGGAGTCCCGCCAATGCTGACGGTGTTGGGCTCAAACACACAGACGAGGGACGAAGCTGCCTTGCTGACTTTGCTAGCGCATCCAACGCGGCGTCGATCACTTGCGACAACATCTCTTCGCCCTTCACCTGGCTCCGCGCAGCAATGCTAGATGGCAAGCATGCTCGCAAACTTGTCAAAGATTACTCGAGAGCGCATTCATGTCAGGGCGAGAGGAGTTTGAGATGCTTCATGATCAGGTCAGTCTTTGGACGGTGCGGTCCGATCGCTCGTATTTTTTGATTAACGCGGAGCGTCGAAAAAAAGGACAGGGAAGGTCAGCGGAATTGCCGTAGTCGAGCAAGGGTTTTTTTCTCTTTCGCTGTGGAAGAAGCAAGCCTCTTGCCCCTTTCGATTGTGCTTTCTTGCCCTTTCCTATCGTGTCACTCTGCTTTCCGCCTCGTTCCCAGTCCGCTCTGAAAACGCTTTCCTTCGTCCCATCACGCATCCACTGGCGGCGCATCCGCTTCCCCTCTGGCATTCACTCCTTGTACCGCCAATTCTGCGCTTCGAGACGCTCGTCGGTCAACTTGAACATTGGCCGATCCTGCGTTCCATCGATTGCCTCTTCATCCCGTCTTGCAAGCCACAGTGCTGTTCCGCTCTCTCCCTCTTCCCGCATCTTTCCTTTCGCCCCTGCAACAGACAATCCTCTTTGACGACGGCGTTCCTCCTACGTTCTGCCAGCCACGTCACTCACGCTACGTCCAAGGAAGAGGCGTCAGCTAGGCTCAAGCTCTTTTGCCTGCCTTTGTGTATACAGCGCTCGGCTCCTTCACCTGGCTACTCCTCTGTAAACGTAGCATCTGGACTGGCGCATTGCCTTCTTCGTCATATTGCCGAACTCTCCGACACCTTTCCCTTCCCGACACCTTTCCTAGAACTCAGCCCCGTTCCCGATCTATTCGCTTTATCGGTAGCAAGCTTGTCTTATCGCAAACCGGGTCTGTGGCTCTCATCTTTGAGCTATCCGGACGAGCGTTGCTGCTAAAGATGACGACCGCCGCTCGCGATGCAGCTTCTTCCACTCTGAACCCTTCCACATCCCCTTCTACCACCGCTCTTTCATCCATACCATTTACAGCTGGCATCCCTATGGTGTCGGCAGTCTCAGATGCCGGTGCTGGCGCTGCTGGCCCAGGGCTCGGCTGGAAGGATCCTCCCAAAGGCTTAGAGCTCTCGCAGGTACACTATCTCGTTCGACATGGCGAAAGGACACCTGTTCGAAGTCGTCTCACACACATCTTTCCAGAAAAGTGGAATCTATGTCGTGCTGGACGCGAATTCGATGCGTGCGTACTCGAATTGACACCGACCGACAACTCAATACCACCCTTCGAAGTAGGTCAGGTGCCTCCAGGCAAGACGGCGACCATGTACAGCAGCATCATGCGAATGCGACGCAGCGTCGAGACCGAATCCTCCTTATCAGGCCGTGGTTCCAAGGACGAAGAAGGTGAATGCATGCTCGGGGAGCTCACCGATCTTGGCCGCCTTTCGACGCTTCGATTCGGTCGCGAGCTTCGTCGCCTCTACGTCGATCGCCTAGGCTTCTTACCGCAGCTCCTCACCAGTAAGGACAACAACGCGCTCTACTTTCGCAGCACTAACATGAGTCGCACCATCGAGAGTCTCGAGCAGGTGATTCGAGGGCTCCATTCGAACGACGTCAAACCAAACACAGAGGGGCAGTTCATCCCCAAGGTCTTGGTTCGCAACGGCACCGACGAGAATCTTTTGCCCAACACCTACGGCTGCTCTCGACTCGGAGCCCTCGATCGAGCCTTTGCCGACGCTACTGCGCGACTCCTCAATCCTTCTCTCGAGGAATTTGATGGACAATTGGAATCCGTTACGGGCGTCAAGCCGCGCGTAGACGGACGACCTCGTCTCAACGGCATCGTCGACACGGTCAAGGCGGCGCAGGTGCACGGCTTTCCCATGCCTGCTGCACTCGCCGATCCTCGCATGCTGCGCAAGTTCGAATCCGCCGTCGTTGCAGAGTGGTTTTCGGGATACAATGCGCCCGATCCGGAACAAAGGAGCGAGTTCCGTCGCCTCGCTATGGGCCGCCTCGTCAACGACTTGGGCAAGCGCATGTCGTCTCGAGCAGAGAAGGGTGAACAAGATCCGCTCAAGTTCGCTGTTTATGCAACTCACGACACAGCGCTAGCCGGTTTGCTCAACACGCTCGACTGCTTTGACGGTCGCTGGCCCAACTTTACCGCTTCGATGGGCTTGGAGCTCTTCAAAGACGCTTCGGCGACGCCGTCGCTTTTCGCCAAATTGCAGAGCCTGGTTGGACTCAGATCGTCGCAGCAGCAGCACTATGTAAGAGTTCGCTACGGCGATCGCGACATGAAGCTGCCAGCGTGCGCAGCTCCGGGTAAGCACTACGAAGGCAAGCCAGAATTTTGCACGCTGGAAGCTTTCATGGACATTGCCAAGTCGCTCCAGCATCCCAAGGGCTGGACTTGGGAGCAGCAGTGCGCCGTTGGTCAGGGTCCCAAGTCGTCCAAGTAGACTGCCACGCTTCCGCGGGGTTGCTGTCGAGCCGCTGTGGAGTCATCAACCGCACCTGAACGCCGGTGCTCCTGCTCGGTCAGCAACACGTCGCACTTTCTTCTCTCTCTTTCCGTCGTCGCAACATTGCAACCGTCTCTTTGATACCAAGGTCATACCATGTCACTTTTCACCAACCGCGTAGGCCATTTGGAAGGCCACCATGCAAATCAGCAGGATCTCTTTGGCATGGATCGCTCTCCGACTGTGACCTTCCCCTTTCCCCCACCCTTCGACTGTGAACACCCCCCTTTCCTCCTCTTCTTTCCTCACCACAACACCTCTTGCTTCGGCGAGAGTGCGGCCCATTAATCGATGACTTTTTGCGAACCTACGAAAAGTCATTTTCATGCCGGGCCGAAATCAAACAATCGATCTGGATCTTTGCTGGTAGAAGGATCCCTCCGCAGCCTTCTTTTCGGGGGGGATTGTAGTTAGGGGGATGCTTTTTCTGGGTGGTCTTTTTTCGGCCAGAGCAGACTTCACTTTACCCTCCTTTGTTTTTTTCTCGAACGAAAGGGGGGTCATTCTCTGTCTCTTACATACGATGTTGAGGCATCGAGTTAGGAGCCAGAAGTTTGATACCAGGATTGCCACGTCTTGAATAGAAACTTTTTCTTAGGTGATGTTGGAGCGAGTGATGATGTAGTGGTTTTGTGAGTTGATGGGAAACTGTCATCTGTGTTAGACTCACAGCTAGCAGGGTGGGAACTGCGAAAAATCGACGTGGCCGATGCACCAGCGCAATTCCAAGATTCAGGGTCCAGCATAACCTACCTCGTCTTGCGACCCGAACCTCCTCCCTTCCATCTCTCTCACCTTCGCATACTTGCCCACTCCTCTGATATAACCCCCATCCGGCACCCTCTGCAACTAAGTTGTCCTCAATCATAAGCGCTTCTTCGGAACAGCCATACATTGGACGTCCAACCATGGAGTCGATCCAGAAGATCATCGATGGACGAATCGTGCGTGTTCCTCACATCCCAGCTTTCCCCTCCGCACCACTTCCTTCTTTCGTCCTTGCTGATCCTTTCTCCTTCTATGCATTTTTGTCTGGAGCAGGACTTTCAAGGTCAACGTCTGAGCGATCGGATCATGCAGGAAGGCCTGGTCCTCGGTGCAGTCGTCGCCTTCTTGCTCGGGTATTTTACGCAGAACATGCAGCTGTGCATGCTGACTTTTGCGTTTAGCACGTTGGTCGTCGCTCTGGTAAGTTCCGAAGAAGGCAGTGATGTTTGCTGAGAAATGATTGATGGGAGTAGAAGCGGAAGGGAGGCAGGTGGCTGTCGACCTGCGGATCGGAGGATGAGGGGAGAGTGAAGAAGGTTGCCTCCTCGGAGACGTAGCAGCCCAGGATGGCGGACAGAGGGCGAGCATGTAACATGATCGCTCACGGTAGTGCTAGATCCGTAGTCAAGCACTGCCACTCAATGATCCTTCGCTCGCAAACACACGTGCCTTCCAGCAACCGCTCTCGCCTAGAGAAGGCTCTTTCAAGAACCGCCCACTGACACTCTATCTCACAATTCCTCCCCCCCAACAGGTCACCGTTCCACCTTGGCCCATGTACAAAAAGCACCACGTCGAGTGGCTACCCGCTTCCACAAACACAGATCCAACACCAGCGGAATCCTCAAAGACACGCTAAAGGCGCAAAATCGTAAACAAAACATATGCTCTCACCCCACAGACTGATCTTTCTGCGTGACGTCGGACGTGTTTGTTCATTGCATCAACCCCTGGCACTGCCGTTGGTCGAGACCTTGCCAGCCGCTGCGGCAGGCGGCGAACCGGACGGCAGCATGTTGAAGAAATCCAGCAGTGTGGAAGCGTCTGCCGCTGTCTCTTTGGCACCTCCCATGTCCGCCCTGCCGTGCTGCTGCGTCATGCCGTCCGAGTAGGTCATATCGACACCTGTATATGCCGACGGTGAAGAGTTGAACAGAAATGCATTCGCACCACCGCCGTTGAAAGGGTTACCTCCGTTGACGTTGCTGTGCGAGGAAAGCGCTTGACTCAGATCCGAGCCTCCCTCGTACGGCTGCAGTAGCCAGTTGTGAAAGCCGAATGTGGACGAGGTGCGCTCCGCCGTCGAGGTTTCCACAGATGAGGTTGCGCTGTGGCTGTTATTGTTCGCAGCGTCGCCGACGTTGAATGCGTCGCTGTTGTTGAAAGCGAGAGTCGAAGTTGTGAGGTTGTATGGCGTTTGCAGCGCAAAAGATCCTCGGGGCGAGCTGTGACCGGTAGTTTGCAAAGCGCCCATCGTCGATGCTCCCTGCATGTGTTGTCTCGTCCCGACCGTCTGTGTTGTCCTCTCGCTCAACGTCGGAACCAAGCTGTGACCGGTCCCGAATCGCGCAGTCCTCGGTGGAGCAGCGACAAAGATCGTCGAGCCCGGCGGCGGACCCGCTTCCATCGCACCCATCGAGTTCCACGTCGAGTCCGATAACCATCCAGGATGATGCTGTTGCTGCTGCTGCTGTTGCGCCACTCCCAACAATGCATCCTGATGACGATGCGGCGAACGCATCCTATGCCTCGGCGAGCCTCTAATCAGTTCTTCTACATCCAACCCCATCTCACTTGTCCTAGCGTTCGGTTCCAACACCGACCTCAACACTGCCGATGCAGCCGCATCAAACGTCTCTCTGATCTTTGTCCCATACCCGTCATCCCTCGACGTCAGCGCTTCCAGCGTAGAAGCACAGCTTTGGACGTTGAAGACCACCTCGACGACTGGGCTCGGGCTCGTCGCGCCTGTCCGGGTCAGCTTTTCAAGCGCGTTAAGATGGGTCAGTCCCGAAATGAAGAGGTGATGAGTGGCGAGCCATGGGAAATTGATAGTGGAGCTTCTGTGCATGGACTTGTAAATCTTCATCGCACGTCCGGATGCCATGAATGCTTGTTGCAAGCCAAACGAATCGGGTCGAGGGTTGTTGGGAGAAGGACGGAACAACAATGAGATGGTGAGGTTGTGATTGAGATCGATCCAATCTCTCGTGATGAACGGGGTAGCCGTGGAACTGATCCCTTCGTTTTGTTGCAATCTGTCCGAAGTCAATGGTCCAAGTCGAATACGATCGTACTCGGATCTCCACTCGACCAGCTTGTCCATCATCCTAGTCTGCCACTCTACGTTCGGCGTTGGCGGTCCAACTTCCATGACGAGAGCTAGAGAAGGCCGATCTAGTGGAGACTGCGTGGAGCTCACCCCATCGTGGTCGAGTGAGTAATCGCGTGGGTTGACGCTGTGGAGGCGACAGAGGATTTCGGATTGGATACGACGAAGGTTGATGTGCGATCGGAAGATTTCCTTCAGCGGGTCTGTCCTGCCACCATCGGTCGATGCCGCATCTTTCCGATCTGGTCGCACAAGCTCCGCGTCCGGTTGCAGAGTAGGCTGCTGAACATGGATCCATGCATCCGACAATCCAGGTGGTCTAGCGAGCGCCACCGCCAGGCTCCGATCCAGACAGTAAGTGGTCCAGAATAGCCTACGCCGAAGGTCGATTGTTTCTTGCGTAAAAGGGGCGTTGGCGGCAGTATCAAATTCGCGGTCGACTTGCAAGTTGAGCTCCGTGACGAGACGCATGGCTGCACCTGACAGCTCCCATACGCTCCCGGCTGTGGGTACGAGAAGTGCGTACTGCAGCTGCAGAAGAGAAGCTCGCAGCTTATCCAGATCACTGGTTCGAAATATCAAGGGGTGAAGCGCTTGAGCTTCAGCCCAGTACTGATGTCCGAGTCTACGAAGCTCCGGGCTGAAGTTGTGTGAACGACCGAGCGACGCCAATGCAATGGCCAATGCCATCAAGACGACATATCGATGCCTCGACAATGTCATACGGTCCACCGAGGGAGAGGAAGGAAGAGGTGGCGGAGGCATACTGCTATGCGACCCCATCGAAAGAGCTGCTAGTCGTGCCCGCTCGTCATCCTGATACACCAGCCCGGCGATTTCCCACATCCTCACCTCGTTGATCACCGATAAAGCCGTGTTCATGTACGTAAGATATCTCGCAATCAGCCTATCAAAGAAGCTCCGATCGTACGCCGATATCGTACCCACTCTACCAGATCGTGACCGAGGTTTGAGATGGTGAAAGGTGGACGAAGAAGCAGAAAAATGGCCGATAGCCTCGTCCCGATACTTGGACGCGTTGGATGACGATCGACGCTTCAGCCGATGCGGTGATCTTGTACGATCTCGGTGATGCCGTGTGAGCGCAGCTAGAGCGGATGCTTCGTCGTTGTCCAAAGTTTGCGTTGAAGGTCTCTCTGGAGTTGACTGCGTCGGACGGTGCGTGGAAGCTGTGAGGTCCGAGGAGAGGCTTTCAAGGATAGTGCTTGTTTGCTGGACAAAGTCGTTGGGCGAAGGATCCGCGGGCTCCGGTGATGTGGACATGCTGTCGGATGAGGACGATGCTTGGTCGCTGTCCTGGCTTTGTGCGCTGTGGTCGAAGCTGGAGTGGCCGTTGCGGCCCCTTTTTGCACGTTTTGCTGATGGAAGTCCAGCATGCGAGGAGCGCCTGCCCCTCTCACCAGCGGCATTTCTGCCCGCATCTCCGTTGGTGACTGATAAGACCTTGACGCCGGAAGAAGCAAGGGCCAATCGACTCTCTAAATCCTTGACCTTCTGTTGCAATTCGTAGACCAGGCCTCGAGAGACATTTGGCACCTTGTCACGACCATAACATTCTCGGCCAGACTTTTGACATGGAGTACAAGCCGGTAGCAAGGCATCGCATTTCACCTTTCGCGATCTGCATGCCTCGCAAGCGGGTAGACGGGTTTCGCGTTCTTTGTCCTTCTTGTCGGAATCCGTGAGGATGCTTGCTTCTCGGTCGTGCTTCTTATCCTTCTTAGGGGTCTGAGTCATGTTGCTGCTGCTGGATCGTTCAGCAGCAGCGGCAGGTTCTGGATGACTGTCTCTCGCAGGTATGCTTTTGTGTGTTGAAGCAGCTTTTGCAGGAGTAGTCTGGGAGCTGAGATTGTGCGGAGCGGATCCAGACGATGAGATGGTCTCAGCTTGAGCCGGACTGGCGACTTGATCAAGTACTTCCGCTGGCATTTGTTCAGAGCGTGATGATGGCGTCGACGACCATCGCCGCTACGCCGAAGGAGTCGAGGATGAGGCAATGGAATGTGATGTGACGATGGAGAAGCGGAGTGAAGCGTCGAGTCTCAGGGTCTTCCGTGTTGTGCACATGTCCAGTGCGAAATTTTGATCCAGTCTAGTAGCCGAAGTCGAGTCAAAGCTCAGACAGCCGCGCCATGTGACACTCTTTCCCGCCGAAATGTGTTCCGAGGATACGGCACAGCATCGAGCCCAACAAGCACTTTACAACTGCAACAAAGAAGAATCTACGATTTCGTGAAATGCTGAGATGGTGCAACATCAGTGTTCGCACATACACGACACTCAGTCACTATCTTCAAGCTCTTCCTCTTCCTGACGTGGACCGCCGAGTCCATACGCTTTGCGAGCCGACCTAGCTCCAGCCTCAGACATGCTCTGCGATGCTGCGTAAGTTCGAGAGCTTCGTCTCTTCTCTACGGCACCACCAACGACCTGTGACAATGCATCGGGACCTTCAGCCAGGCTCAGGTCGAGTTCGGCTGCAAAGTCTTGCAAATCGTCATCGTCTTCGGCCCCTTCGCCCTCTTGATTCAGGTCGCCGTCGTTGTTCGCCAACGAAGCGGCCGACTCGTCAGGACTGGCGACGTCAAGACGCGGAGAGGCGGTGGGAGTGATGCCAATCCCAGTCTGATGTAACCCGAGACCTATGGATGCTGCTGCTGGAATATGATCCGCATCACCAGGACTCGAACGGTCCGTCAACGGAGAGTCGATTTGCCTGTGAGATCTCGAGAACGCTGAAGAATGGTGCAGCGATGCATCATCGAGGTCAGGAGTGTGTGCTTTCGGCGTGCTGACCTTCATTTGTCTCTCTCCGCGCTTGAGTCGAGAGACGGGCGAGAGAGATCGATTCGAAGTGGACTTTGCGGGTAGGTTTGCCGAGATGGTTCTTGGACGTGGTCGCTCTTCGACCTCGCTTTTGTCCCGCATCTCGACGTCGAGCTCGCGTTGCAGCTCCCGCTCTAGCTCGAGCGCCAAATCGTCATCCTCCGCGTCTGTGTGTCGAGCTGTCTCTACCTCTGCCGCAAGAGTCGGCTCAGACCTTGAGACGGGGTCGCTGTGAGGTGAAGATAGCGGGCCGTCTTCCGTTTGTGCCTGGCTCGAACGACGACGGCTGCGACGCAGCCCAACAGCAGGCTCGTCATTTGAGCTACGCTGTTGGATTGCTTCTGGCAACTTGACTCGTTTGTTCTCGTCTTTGCTTCGCAGCTCGTTTTCTTGCGACACTGAGCTCCTCTTTGATCTGCTCGCTGATCCAGCCGGGGACTCTACTGGTGACACGGACCGGTCATCGAATTCCTCCATCTCGACCGCCACGCTGATTCGAGAAGAACGTCGTACGGGAGCAGCAACATTGCTTGTTTTGCCGCGCAGCTTGAGCTCGCCTGCTCTCTTGCCTCCCGCAATAGCTGATGGAAGCTGCGCAGGATGATTGCTTGTACGTCTGGTTTCATCTTGCTTGTCGTCAGATGTCGATCGCAGCATCACGCTGTTTGCGGAGGCTCGTTTGCTCGGCTTTGCTGCGTCGCTCTCCCATACGTCTTGACTTTTCTTGCTGAGAATCGTCTTAGATCTCTCGTACTTGAGCGAGAAGGTGGATGCGATACGCTCTAGACGGTATCCTCTCATCTTGTCATCCCAGATCAAGACCAAATCGTACGCTTTTGCCGAAGTCTGAGGCCCGGTAAACACGTGCGCATGCTGGTGTCTTGCCGCAGCTTTCGAGTCGGTACTGGGTCCCGCTTCTGTGTCCGTCGACTCAAGCTCCAGCTGCCAGTCAGCGTTGACGTTGCTGCTGGAGCCAGGCTGGAAGAGGGCGCCTTTTCTGCAGTCGTGTGCAGAGTCGGGCTTGAAGTTGAAGTTGAGTGCGACATAGTTGGGGAGTGATGAACGAATATTTGCTTGGCTCGTCCCAGTCTGTGAGACTGCAGAGAGCAGTGCTGCGGTGGAAGGCTCGATCGCGACATCGTAGAAGCGACGACCTTTATTGTTGCTCATCTTTGAGAGGCCTTACTTATTTGAGAAGGAAGGTTCATTCCTGCCGAGGAGGGGGCTATGATGATGAGTTCTCGATAACGGAAACAGCGGTGGAGGCTGGCAAGAAGAACGCAACATCAAATGCATCTGGATTCAGGGTCCAACCAACCGACATCAAAACCTCAAGGGCCCGAGCGCTCTCGCCACTACTTTCGGCGTTCTGTCATATCACAAGTCAGCTTTGATCACTGCCAAATCGTATTTTAGCCCTTCTAAACTCATCCGGCCTCGCAGTCACCCGCGAATTATGGAAAAATGAGTTGAAGAAGAGGTGATATTGAGAGAGGAACGGACAAAGGAAGTTGTGAAGCGAACGAAAGTAGCGAATGAGGCACATGCAGTTTTGCAAAGAGATTCTAAGCGACCCTTCCCCGTTCAGCCTTGATCACAGTGAACGACCACTTGCTGAGCTCAACGGTGAGGTACGTTCCCGAAGCCTTAGCCGTGCAACCCTCGGTCTTGACGAGCTGCTTCTCAAGAGTGTTCGAGTCCAACGGACCCTGACCAGCCACCTCCCAACAGACGGGATAACCGACCGGAACACCAGCATCAATGTTGAACGGCACCCTCTTCTCGCTGTAGTTGACGATCTTGATGACCACCGCACCGTGCTCGTCGAGACCAGCAGACGTGTAGATCTTGGCATCCTCGAGCTGTTTGCTGTTCTTGATGGGAAGACTCTCGCTGATGCGGTTGGCGCTTACGAGGCTCTGCATCAACCACGAGGTGGATCCGACCACTTTGGTCGTGTCGAACTCGAGCATACCGGGAGTCGACTGCGAAGCACGATCGTCCGACTCATTCGAAAGCTCGGGAGCGTAAGCAGCGCCGCGCACGATGTCACAGTTGTTCTCCATACCCAGGATGAAGATAGACTCGGCAAGCGAGCCTTGCATGATGCTGTGGTGGAGTCGACCCGGTCCGAACCAGATGTTGTCGTCGGCTTCCATGCCAGAATTGATGACGGCGAACTCCATGCTGTAGAAGACGGTCTGGTTGCTACGCGAAGCTTCGTCGTACATGTGATACTTCTGCACAAAGTCGGCAGGCGTACCGTAGATGGGCTGATTGAGCAGATCCACTCGGTACTTGTAGCCCGTCGGTACGCAGATGGCGGCAGAGGCAATTAGGTCGATCTCGTCAAAGCCAGCGTGGCCAGCGAATTCTTTCTTGAGCCTGTTGGTGATCATGTCGAAGCGCGTCTGGTAGTCCACAGCAGGCGTGAGTCCGCCTTCGTTGCCGATCATGAACGCCTGGACATCGTAAGGCTTCTGAGGTCCTCCGCTCTTGACTCGCAGATCCGCCCACTTGCCCTCAGTGTCGAGGAGGAAGTGAGCGAACTCGATTTGCTGCTCCACGTACGGGTCGAGGTCCTTGAGGAGCACCGAGTTGTTGTTTGCGTCGACACCAGCCCAAAGACCAACAATCAGACGGGCGTTCATCTTTTGGATGAAATTGTACATCTCGACGACTCCCAGACCATCGGTGTTCCAGCCAGCCCAGTTGCCAAGACGTCCAGGTCGGTCGATCAGAGGACCAATAGTGTTGTTCCACTGGAAGCGCGAAGCAATGGTGTGGCCGACCAGGTCGTTGCCACCTGGCCATCGGATCGCCTTGGGCTTGAATTTGAGCATCTTTTGCGCCACATCGTTCCTAGCGACGGTGCCTGGGTACGGCGTGGGGAAGAGGCTGACGAGGTTGACCTGGAAGGAACCAGCATCGGCGTTGGTTTGGATCGCAAAGACGTTGTTGATGTCGCTAGCACCCTCCCTGGGCGTCAGCACTTGGTGAACAGGAGTCCATCCACTGCCGATCTCGACAAAGGCGTCGTTCTGAGCCCATGCCTGAGTCAAGTCGTTGCTGAACAGGCCGAACTTGAGACGCATCTTGCCAGGCTTGTCGGCACGGATGTAGAAGCTAGCATTGTAAGTCTCGCCAGCGTGGACGGGCAGTCCGAAGAAGCCGAGGTTCTTGATACCGCAAAGCTCATTCTTTTGCGTGCCACAGGTGATCTTGGCCGACTGGGGCAGTGCATCGGACAGCGGATTGTCAGCTACCAGATCGAGCTTCGAGTCGCCGACAGGCTGCCAAGCGGTGAGCGAGCCAGAGCCAATGCTGTCGTTAGCGCCAACACCGAAGACACCGTCGGCTGGAGATTGGAAAGCGCGATTGCGGATCATCTCCGCGTAAAGACCACCATCGCTGCCATAGTTGAGATTGGACTCAACGAAAGTGTCCATGTCGTACATGCACTTTGCCTTGGCTTGCGAACCAAGCTCGAGAGTCAAGCCGGACTTCAGCGGAGCGCCACTAGCATCTGTGACTTGAGGTCCCTTGCGAACATGGAAGTTGGAGAGATCGGGCTCATCGGAAGTCGGCAACGCGTTTGGCTGAGCATTCTGAGGCAGAGCAGCACCTATGATCGAAGGAATATCATGGCCGACAAATGTGGAAGGCGGAACGTCAGCTTGAGTCGTTCTGATGTGTCACCATACGTGGTTTCGATGCAGAAATCTTACCGTGAGCGGTTGCAGCCAGAGCTGCGGCGAGTGCCGCAAGGAAAAGCTTCATGGGTGAAAAGGTGTCGGAGGGATCGGAAAGACGTATTAGGGAGAGGGAATGGTACAGAGGATCGTTTGTAACCCAAATGCCTTTCGATCTGGTCTCTTATATGTTTTGCACCAGGCCATGAGTGACCGTTCTGAAGCCACAGTAGATCAGCTTAGCCTGTGTCGTTTGGTCCCGCCGCTGGTCAAAGCGGCAATGACAACGCTTCATGTCTGCTGACCACCGCAAATGCAAGGTCCCGCACGGCTTCATTACGTGACAGAGTGATTGGCAAACCGAGATCGCGGCGAGTACTGTAGGCAAGGCAGTGGTGGGATTGACCTACATCGCTCACGTCTCTCCCAGCAATTCCGCAAGCCCATCCACCCACGACTCGCTGATCGACGATACAGTTTGAACGGATGTCATTTCCTGCCTGACACGGTGCTCAGCAGCACAATCATCGATGGTGTGCGAGCGCGAGAAGTGCTCCATAATTTGACGCTGTGGTGGGATCAGCTCGATCGCATCGGATTGATGTGGACATTGGCAAACAAATGTGAAAAACAAAGCGAGCAAAATGAAGCAAGTGGGGCGAGCAGCGAGGCGTTACGCTACTGAAGGAACGCAGAGCGCTTCCACGCTGCCACGGTGCGGCTGAGGTACTCGGGTCGATAAGCTGTCAAACCCTCCAGAATTTCATCCTTCTCCGGAGATGAAGCGACGATCCTCCTGAGATTGGTCGTGTCAAATTGGCCAATCACTGTATCGCTACTTTCCAGATCGCGTTGCATTGTTCGGTAGTGATCCAGCAGCTTGATGGTTGGGTTGCGAGTGGGATTGCGATCCGAGCGCTCCAGCCGCTCGACCCACTGTGCATAAGGAACCACCTCGAAGGTCTTGCCGAGGTTTTGCGGCTCAGCGAGCGTCAGGAGTGCTGTCTTCCAAGGCATTGCTTCCTCGCTGACGACATGCACCAGCTCGCAGTCGCTTGACAAGTCGGCCGTCGTAAGCTGCGCTGCCACGAGACCTGCGACGTCGACAGGAAGCCAGTACAGATCATCGAGCCGGTCCGGAAGGCAGCCAATGGTTTGGGCAGCCTTGATCATCAGAGGTGGCGCCTCGGTCTCGTTCCAGATCCCTGCAGATCTGTCGCCCACCATTTGTCCAATCCTCATGACCACCGACTGGAACCCACCGCCAACGAGGGCCTCGGCATCGCGACACAGATTCTCGACAATCCACTTGGAGTGGGCGTATCCCAGCGCGTGGGTATGATCCAGATGATCGAGGATCGTCTCCGGAATGACGGCGCCAGGATTTTTGAACGCCACGGAGATGGACGATGAGAAGATGAATCGGGGTTTGCGGCATGCGGTACTCTGCCCTGCCAGGTTCATCAGCCCAACGGTGCCCTCGAGGACGCTCTGGAAGGAGTCAACCGACATGACAAAGTTGACCGGCCATCCGTTGTGCACCACGCATGTGACGCTCCCGGCCAAGTCGGCGTATTCTTGCTGCGATAAGCCCAGATCTTTCTGACTGATGTCGGCCGCCATTGATACGAGTCGCGCACGTTCGTGGCCCGCAGGTACTGTCAGGCCACGCGCTTTGAGCGATTCTTCCGTCCGCTTGCTTGCTTCCTGATGATCAGCAGCGCGATTGAGACAGATGACCTGGGCGACCGAATCTTTTCGGAGAAGCTGGTCGAGGATGTGTGCACCGAGTGAGCCCGTAGCGCCGGTCAGAACGACTGTCTCCTTGGCGTTCCGAGGCGCTGTCTCGGACAGACTCGCATCGCGAGCTTCGAGCTTGGAACGCAGATCATCAAGCATCTGGTAGGACTTGCGATCTTGTTCCTCCTTGTTTGCCTCGGTCGCGGCGCCATTCGTACCTTGGCCTTTGATGTGAAGATACACTGCTTGCGTAAGCTTGTTGAGCGTCGGATGCTGAAAGACGACCGTATTTGGAAGCGGTCCTTGCATCCGCACCGATCGATGAATCTGGCTGCGGATCTGACTGTCCATGACCGAGTCGACGCCGAGACTTGTCAGATCGACGTCCTCCTTGCCTTCGAGAGTCAGCTCGATGAAGTGTTCGAGAATGTTCTGCAGCAACTTTCTGAGCTGCGCTGACGACTCGATGGTTCCTTTTTGTTCGTCAGGGGTGGAAGTGCCCAAGTCAAACTCGGTATACAGCTGAGTGATTTCCTGGGCAAACAGCGAGTTGGCCGGGGCTCGCTTGACGCTGCCCTTGTCTGCCAGGGGAAAGCGTGCCGAAGGATCGAGGAACAGGATCATCTCCGGAACGAGGCGCGAATGAGAGGGACACTGCGAGTTGACTTCGCGTACCAGCGGCTCAATCTGCTTCTTCAGCGCGGTCTGTCGATCCGACTCGGACAAAGATGCCAATGCCTTCCAAGCATGTTCGTAAGGGATGACTAGGGCACCAGTGCACGGCTGACCAGCGCCAAAGACGAGACAGTCGCGCAGCAGCGGAGATGATTTGATGCTCTGCTCCATGGGGACCGGATTTGTCTTTTCGCCGTTGAGGTGGACAAGCGTGTCGTCTCCTCTGCCAAGGTACACGTACCCTCGGATACTGCCGTCGTCGCTGCGCACGATGCGATAGTGATCACCGCTTGCGTAGCTACCGTCTGGACGATTCACTTTCGACAAGCCCTTCCAGCCTTTGATGCAGACCATCTCGTAGGGGCCCTCCTGGGTCGTACCAACGTTCTCGAACTTGAGGTACGGAGCGACGCGCGAACTTGGACGCATGATGTTCCAGCCTTTGTCGTTGGCAAAGTCGCGTATGCTGTCCATGATCTGACCGAGCTCAGTGGCGCCGAGGAAGGCAACGAGATTGATTCCATTGGCCACGAGCATATCGCCGACCTCGATGGGACAAGGTGCACCGCTGTAGCAGCAGACCTTGGCGGCGCGGAGCGTATCGAGGCTCTCCTTCTGTTCGCTGAGCATCTTGAACGTGAATGGCACCGCGTAGATGATCTCGGCGGTGCTGTTGCGGGCAGCCTTGGCGACAAGGTCGTGGCGGATGGTGCCAGTGTAGAGGTAGAGTCGGCGGTGATGGATGAGCTGCCTCCAGGCAACCGCACACGCAAAGCCGTGGTAGATGGGCGCGGTGCACAAGGCATCATAGGGCATGTAGTCAGCAATGATGACCAGATACGTCTCGTGCGTATATGAGTATGGCTTGGGAAAACCGGTGCTGCCGCTCGAGTGTAAGGTGAATGAAGGTTCTTGCGCCTGCTGTTGATACGAGATCTGAGCTTGGAAAGGATCCCTCTTGGTGGATGGCGGAGGAAGCTGCCCAAGCTGGATCGCCTCATGGATTGGACACAGATCGACGATGTCGAGTTTGCCGTCCTGTTCCTGCAACAGCAGCTGACGAGCCTGCTCTGCCTCTCTCCGCTTTTCCGCACTAGGTACCAGGGTGACGGAGTTTGTGGCTTTGAGGAGGTGGACGATGGCTGGCACCGAGTTGTTGGGCGAGATGAGGACGACGCCATATCCCAGACGGATCATTGCCATTTTCGTTACGAGCAAGTCGAAGCTAGAGTCGGACAGCAGGCCAATCTGTCTGCACGGCTGGTCGTGACCTCTAACACCGACGTGTTGGGCATAGTATGCAGTTGCAGAGCGAAGACATCGATCGAGGTCAGCGCCAGTGACATGCTGCCATTCGAAAGGCTCAGTGGACTTGATGTAAGAGACGCAGACGTGGTCTCGGCCGATTTCAAGTACGTCATCAATGAGGGCATTGACGCTCCATCGTCCCTCGAAGGGGGTAAGGAGGCTTGTGCTGTCTGTGATGGGTGCGATCGTCATCCTCCAGAAACATGTGTGTACGTGTCCTGCTTTAGAATCGTGTTGTGTCGTGGATGGGCAGGTAGAAGGGCAATCGGCCTTCCTTTTGTAGACGTTTGTGGGTCCAGCACTACTCGGGAATTCGCGACTCTCGAGGCTGGGTCAGCGGTGCTGACGGACCCCTGGATCGGAAGCGCACAGAGGGAGACTAGAGAGCTTTCGATGTCGAGTCTTGTCGCGGGAGACCGAGTTCTGAACGTGGGCGGAATCTTGCCTGCAGTGGCGTGAGAAGCGCGCTTGAATGGGGAGAAGACGAAAGCAACGTCGAACAAGGCAGCGTTGGAAGTCAGTGTTTGATAGGCTTTAGGGACGGTCGAAGGGGGGTAATTCCGAAAGGAAGAAGGTCGACAAGGTGAAGGTTGCTAGAGCGCCATGCCGAGTGTGGCTGAAGATGTACGACGGCATCCCCCGCAACCGCGGTCGTCGTGGACAGTTGAACACTGAACCCCCACTTCAACAGAATCACCCAAAAGTGTCAACAAGCGCTCCAAGCGATCGGCAATCCTGCTAGGCGAGAAGCGCGGCGCTACTAAAGATGCCGCTTACGTGCGTGCTCATACGTACACATCCAACAGACCAGTCGACATCGCTAAAAATGCTCTCGCCGGACTCCGAAGGAGCAGGTCACATGTTCCAACAGCGGGGCTCTATGACAGCTGTCCTGTGTCCCTTGCGACGTCAAACACTAAGCTCATAGTCCAATACAGAACGATGCTCTGCAGATCTTAGAAACAAGGTCGGGAATACATTCTTTTTCCGGCTCGCATGGCACAAAGATATTCCCCGACCAATCTTCGGCCAGATCAGCTTTGAACCCTGCAGCGCTCAACAAAAGAAGAGCAGCACACGGACCACTTTCTGCTAAAAAAAGGACTTGACGACATCAACAGTGAAGGTGAGCGGGTCATCGCTCGGAATTAGTTTCGACAAGATCACGACCTGTCTGTTGAAAGTGACGTTGCAACTGAAACAGTGGGTAGCAAGAGGAGACGCATTGGGCCCAAACGTGGTCGGTCTTCTTGGATCAGGTCTCGCTTGCGGGTACCGCTTGGTGTTGTGGGACGGATCTCGACGCTGTCAACACAAAGCTGCAGCATGTGCATATTTGCCACTGGGCTAGCCTAGCGTTACACGGACACACGCACCCTTGCCAAGCCACCCGGTTTCATTTGTGTCGCGCTCCGTAGCGTGGGATCGTTATTGAGCGCGAAGCTTGGCGGCAATCATCTGTGCTGTCACTGGTGACAGCATGGTCAGATTCCCGACATCCGCACCAATTCGATTGGTGTTGCTGGACGCCTTTGATACGCTCGTGACACCGCGAAGCGCTCCGCATCTGCAATATGCTGCAGTTGCGAGGGAGCATGGCCTGCAAGTATCGGACGATGATGTCAAGACTGCATTCAAGCAAGCGTTTCGGTCAACGTCGGAGCAGCATCCGAATTACGGTCTACAGACCAACATCGCATCTCCCGACGAATGGTGGAAGCAGGTGATCCAGCGCACGTTTGCTCCTCATCTGCATTCTCAAGTCACTGCGGAACAGTATGACAGATGCATCGAGTCGCTCTCGTCCCGTCTCGTCACTCGATTCGGCACCAACGAGGCGTATCATTTGTTTCCAGACGTGGTTCCCACGTTGCAGCAACTCTCCCATTTCGGAGCCAGCAACAATCTTCCCATCACGATGGCACTTGCCACCAACAGCGATCCGCGTATCCTCTCGGTGCTCAAGAGCTTCAACCTGGATCGTTTTCTGCAACTCGACGTACACGCCACCGCGACAGCTCCTTCAACTACCGCGGCCGCGCTGCAGCCGCCGCCGACACTGTCCTACTTTGAAAAGTGCGCCAAACCAGACCCACGCTTCTTCCACGCCGCCGTTCGTCGAGCCTCATCTCCGTCAGCGCAGCTAGAACCCGCCAATGTGCTGTACGTTGGCGACCAGTTGCACGAGGATTTCTGGGGAGCTGCCGACGCTGGTTTGCAAGCTGCGTGGCTGCAACGGCCCGCCACATTGCATAGCAACCAGCCGTACCAGCAGGTGCTCAAGGACCGCAGCTCTCAGCAGGAGCTCCAGTATGCCAGGCAGAGGACCATACCAAGCCTCTCGAGTCTGGTCGATATCGTCACGCAGAGCCACACTCGGTTCTTTGAATAGATACAAGCCTTTACTTTGGCTACCGTGCACACTAATAATACATGAATGAACGACCGAGAGGAAGAGAGAAAAGGTACGAGACACGACGTGCTCTGCATCACCATCAATAAGGTGTCGAGTGCATCTGTCTCGATTGGTAATCATACGAAATCGAGTTGACATCGCCGTAAAAGTCACCATTCAGACTGAAAGCGAGGTCGGGATCAACATCGGTCCAGTCCGGAACGATTCTGCGAAGCCGCGTCTCGTTGAGACTCTGCGTTATCGAGACAGCGTCCGAATCGACCGAGGTAGTCCTGAGGTCGATGGAGGAAGGCGACGGTAGCGCCTTTTCGCATATTGTTGGTGGAGTACCATCCGTGCTGCGATCGGTCGGAGATGAGTCGGAAGGCCGTGGGCTCGTCGCTGACGTGGGCAGACTGACCTGCGACGCGACGAGCCCCGCTGTGGCCTGCTCCATACTCGCCGAGTCGATGCGGTACTGGTCATGCACATTGCTGCTGAATGTGTGTGCCAACGCCAATTCTCTTCCAATCGCCTTCCACAAGTTAATGAACATCCGGCATGACAGGATACTCGACAGTCCGATGTAGAGATTGAGATACGGCATCATGCGACCATCGCGCTGCTGACACACGTACCAGATGGGAATCGGGATGACGCAGAGAAAGACGATGAAGTAGTAAAAGATGTTGTCCTTACGAAACATGCGCTCCAGCGGCGAGCTGCGTCGTCGGTGCGAAGCGCGTCGAAGGCCGTAGAGCGACAACGCTAGGATGGTCGAGTCGAAGATGGGCAGGACGAACCATGGCATCATGTAGATGATCGGATTGCCACCCAACTTTCGCGGTGGAGAAGGATCGCAAGCGCTGATGCCGTTACGTCTGCTCTGGCTGCTAAGCACAAAGATATTGACCATGAGGAATGCAGGCGTTGCGAGCCACAACAGTCCGAGCGAGATGACGGCGACGATGTGGAACCGATACAGCGCAAGGCAGCGAAGCAGGAGGATGCCGCTGCTGCCACCGATCGAAAGGAGCGAGAAGAAGATGCTGGCTCGGCGATCGGCTTGGCAGGCAAAGTTGGCGTAATCCCATCTGGCTGCGCCCAGCTCCATCGGTCCTCCCGCTACGTTTCCGACGACCGAATGAAGCATCGCGGTAATGGCGTAGCCAAGTCCGCCGATGCGTGACGCAAAGTAGGCGATGTGCGAGAGCTTCCACTTCTTACGCCTGGAGAGAAGCTTCCATTCCCACGGCAGATGGATCGACCAGTCCGAAACGACCAAGCCGAGTGCCATGGATGCTGTGATAAGCGGCGGCAGGATTGAGTTGACGCGTCGAGCAGAGATGACAACCAGATCGTCGGGTGGTCCGAAAAAGGAATGGCCCGAAGACGAATTCGAATAGGACGGTGGCGGCGGCAGACGTGTTGGGAAAGCCGCAATGGCCGTCACTGACATGGGGATGGCGGACATGGTTGCTGTGGGTGCCAGCGCAGGCGATGATTAAGTTGGGATTGGTCTCTTTGCTGGGAGCTGAAGGTGTTGTTACACACGTCGACAAAAGGAGTCCGTGTTGCGGTAGATGGGGTATGGGAGATCAGCTTCCGGTGGCCGGGCCACTTGGCCGCCTGTCACAGCACGCCTAGCGTAGTGAGCGGCAGAGATTGCGACTGCAGCGCGACGGATGACAAGAGCGCGAACGGCAATGGCGACAATATTCGGTGTAGAGAGAAGGTGTGGTTCTAGGATAAGAAAGTGTCGATGGCAAGCCACGCAGCTTGACAGATGATTGTAGATGCACAGTAGTCAGGCAGCGTGTCGGAGTGTCTACCACAGACAGACACACGATACGGGCGGCAGGATTTTGCCGAAGAGACCGGGCGTGCCCCCGTCTGCGAGAGGCGATAGAAGAGAGAAGAGCTAGAATTCGCTTTCTGCAAGAGGTCTGCGCTGTGGCCCCGAACGGTGCAGCTCCTCACCAGCTGCAACAAAGAAGGGCACAAAGGTTTTCCGCTACTGCCGTGCCTGCATCGGGGCCTTTTGTTCCACCTCTTATGCGGAAATTCCCCACTGCTCTCGGAATTGCGCTTTGTGCGTCGCTGTCTGCTAAATCCAAAATTCTCTTGGCGTTGATGCGCCCTCATTCGAACCAAACCGGCCGGCAGCGTTTCAAGATGTCAGATCGTTCAGTCACCAAGTGGAGGCTTCGAGGAAAAGAAACAAGCACAACACACGTACGCTGGCCAGCACAGCACAGCACAGCATACGCACAACACTCCTCTCACAACGCAACTCAAGGCTCAGGACACTCGACTTACAGCAGCAGCGCACCTTACCGCCACCATCACCTTGTGACCTACTGTACTGCATCGAGATCCTCGGCTCGTCATCTGCCGGAAGTGTCCTCTCAACATCCTTACGGCCGACCTTGCTCAGCAGCCTCTCGATCGGCAGCGAGTCACAATGTCGACTCCTGTGCAACAGTAAAGTGATTTCTTCACACGGACCGGGGGGCCAACATCCATCGTGACTCGGACGTCCCGTACTCAGGCCCTGTATCTATCATAATTCCACCATGACAACGGCACAGACTCGCTCCGAGGGCGAAGATCGCACCACTTCAGTCGTATCCACCTCTTCCCATACCCATGTCGACTTCCACGACGGCCAATCACAACCGCTGAACTCAAAGACGGCCGTTTCTCACACCGCCGAGGCCAAGGAAGAGCCACACCAAGCCGATGTTTTGCCTGATGCCGTTGCCGCTCCCGCTCCCCTTCACATTCCCGTCACAGCCCATGTCGGACAAGCGAACACAAACCGTCAGTCAGGAGCCGCGGATCGACCACCACCGCCAAAATGCTTGCAGAGCTGTATCGAAAGCATAGAAACGTGTACGCAGAACGTCGTCCGCTTCAACGAACGTATGGAACTCAACAGAGCTCAGGCAGAAGCGTCTCGACAAGAGAACGGTGATCCACTCGTCGCGAGGAAGGCCATCATACCGTCGGTTTTCGTGATCCTGTCCTGGGTTTTCCTCGCATACGTATGGCGCTTGTGTAGCCGCCTGATACAGCAGAATGCGCAAGGCATGGCGTTGGGAACCAGGCAAGAAGGCATTGGTCTGCTGGTTGGATTTGTTATTCTTTGGTTGATGGCCGTATGGTCGTATGTGGTGGTCATCTCGAAAGGGCCTGGGCTGGTGAAGGACTATGTCAGTGAATCGGGACCCCCTGCCGCCACTGCGGCGCAGGAAGAGCCCTGGAATGGCGCGCAAAGATCACCTCAGCAACCGCTTCAAAATGTCACTCAACCCATGCCAATTCCGGGGCAGTCGCATCAGAACTCAGACGAATCTGCGATGCACCGCGAAAATGCTTCCGCGCCAGCAGCATCGACATCTTTGCCTTATCCTTCCTTCAATGCCGATTTGGAAAGGTTCGGAGGCAACCGCGCCTCTTCGGACAGCATGCGCGTACTTCCCGGCTCGGTCGAGCCGAAGCACATCAGCCAGCCTGCCGAACTGTCTCAATCGCAGTACGGGTCCAGAGACGCCATTGCGCAGCAGACTGAAACAGCAGACACCTCTGTAGCATATGTTGAAAGGCAGCTAGACGCCCAAGTGCCGCCTGTTACGGCCAACGCGGAACCATCGGACGCAGCAGCTGATCCGCAACTGCCAGGCGTCGTCGGTCCGCTCGCGGCTGCGGCTGTTGCTGAAGGCCAGGGCATGCAAGAGGGCGCACAGGATCTCGAAGCTGCCACCTCCGGAACATCACCAGCTGCCCATGGCAATGCTACCGCATCTGGTTGGGCACCACCTCAACGTCGACCTACCAACGACCCTCCGCCACTCTCCGCCTCGGCGCTCTACTGTCATCGGTGTCGCCTCGTCAAACCACCCCGAGCGCACCACTGTCGTCGCTGTGGCGTTTGCGTTCTCAAGATGGACCATCACTGTCCCTGGGTCGGCGGATGCGTAGGGGCGCACAACCAGCGCTTCTTCTACATCTTTGTCTTCTGGGTCACGCTTCTCGAACTCTACACGCTCATCACCACTGCGATCTTCTTCCATCGCGGTGTCAAATCTCTCGGTTCCAGTCAGTGGAAGGTGGATGGAGTCTTGATATCCTTGTTCCCGATCTGCGCGATCTTCTTGATATTCACCGGTGCGTTGTTGGGGACGCATACGTGGTTGATGGGTCATAACATGACGACGATCGAGCATGTTGGTATCAGCAAGACACAGGGTAGGGAGAGGATGTTGGTGGAGAGGTGGTTCGCGATGCAGAAACAGACCGGATTGAAGGGCGTCAAGGCGAGGAGGAACATGGTGAGGGAATGGGATGCGGAGTGGGGAGGACTGACCAACGAAGGGAATCGTTGGTGGTTGGGTGGCGAATATGAGCTTCATCTGCAGCAGCAGGCGGATGGAGCGCAAGAGAAGTCCGAACACACGGCAAGTCACCCTGCAAAGCCAGGTAAAGGATCCTTCAGGACCAACGTCGAACAGGCACTAGGTTCATCCGCTGTCCTGTGGTTCGTACCACTCGGAACGCATCCCAACGAAGGGCTCCACTTCCCAATGAATCCCAGATTCGGTGAGGGAGGTGTTCAGAGGAAGAGGCAAGATTGGCCCCCTGCACTACGCTAATCGGCGTTCATAGATCCGGATCGGAATATATACCCTGACAGAACGGATGTCTTTCAATGCTGTGGCCTGTTCCGAGCGTGATCTTCTGAGCCGATGTCCTTGCACACTCACACATCACACGGCGTGTTCTATCTCGTTGCACACTCACACATCACACGGCGTGTTCTATCTCGTAATAACAGAAGGGTATCTTGACTTGTCATTGCTTCTGCATTCTCTACCGCATGGTCTCTGGCAGCGACAGGCCTACACCCAGACCCTTTGGCCCAAAGTACTTCGCATAACAGATCCTGCACCAGACGTTCGCCCCACCCTCTCCAACCTTTCCACTCGCTCCTCCCACCGGACCTTCTTCCAACTTACCGCTTTCCAACGTCGTCCCGCAACCGTCGCATCTCAAACATGCTCTGTGCCACTTCCTCCCCGCGGCAGCCTTTTGCTCTGCAAAATACACCGGTCTCTTACACCTCGCGCACAGCGGTGTCCCACCCGAAGCATCGACGATGCTCGAACTGAGACCGATTCGATCGATGCCGCTTTTCCGACGCGATGCGATCGATTCGTCCGAAGCGCCGGCGGTGGGAATGGCGGAGGTGATGGTGCGAGGAGGAGCGATTTTTGCCGTTCCGGAAGCACCGGTGAGCGTGCTCGGATCTGGACGGCGAGGTGGAGGGAGAGTACCAATGGCGGAGAGGGGCGATTGGGTGTTGACGTGCGGTGCGGAGGTGGGAGAAGAGGTGGGGTTGGAGGTGCCGCTGAATCGAATGGATCCGATCGTGTCGGTGGCAGCGATGCGACGCGTTTGGACGGTGATGGGTGTTCCGTCTTCTGCAAAGGATGATTCTTGGATGTACTGAGATTTGGCGGTAGGAGTGGCACGGCTTGAAGAAGGGGCAGCAAGAGGAGGCGACGGTGTGGCGTAGTAATCGACCGAGGGGATGGTATGGCCGGTAATGGAAACGCCAGGAGCAGAGTCGTAATCATCCGCATGCGCATCAAAATTTTCGCGCTTTGCCGGAGCGGACGGCGTCCTAGGTGCATTGCCAAGAGTCATACCTCCCACCGCAGCTTGGATTCGTGCCACTGGGTCATCCATGTCGATCCCACCTGCAGCAATCGCCTCATCGATCGACCTGATCGGAGCTGCCGAGCTGCTCGTACCCATCCTCGCCAACGGAGACGATGGCTTCGTAGGCGAGGGTGGAGATGCAAGAGGACTAGTCGCGGTCACGCCTCTCGATCGAATGCTGATCCCGGGCACCTGATCTTCACTTCCCACCAGAGACGCACCCGGTGTAAACTTGGTCGGACTAGGCGAGCGTCGCGGCGAGTCCGCAAATCCAACTCTGCTGAGTGTCGTCTCCGGCGTGCTATACTGTTGCTGTGAGAAGCTCGCTCCTGCTCTAGAAGGAGTGCTGAGAGGGCTTCGTGCCGAACTGGACAGGTTTGTGGTAGGAGAACGTGGCGATTTGGGCGATGTTGGGTTGAGCGAGACCGCTTTGGAGAAGCCTCCTTTTCCTGTGCCGAGATGCTCCTTGTGGCAATTCTTGCAGTAGGGTTCGCCGTCGTGTTCTACGAGCAGCGTGGAATCGAGGCGTTTGTTGCACACGACACAGGTGAGACACGTCTTGTGGTACGGTTTCGAAGCTGGACCGATGACTTGTTCGGCCAAGAATACAGAGGTGTTGCACCTGGCGCACTTTGGCGCTGATGGCACCGCGAAACGAGGCATGTTCGGGTGCGTTCACCGACTCGTGTACGATGGTGCAGATGGGTGTGGTGTGCTGATGTCTGACGCGCAAGGCTTTCGATGCTGCAAGTGGAGTGCGTCGAGATGGCAGAACAAGGCTTTTGTGACTGGTGCGGAGGTGAGTAGCGTCTCAATGGATCAAATGGGTCGGTGGACGATGGGAGGTGCGTCGGCTGACTGGACGACTCGAGGTTGTGATGGATGGAAGCTGAGCAGCAGCGTGGGTGAGTGGAGGTGTTGATGTCGAACGTCGCAGCGGGCGGCGGCGGCTGTGCACTTTTATCGTGTTGCATTCGAGTCGAGGCATGCACAATCACAGATTCACGCGTCTCGGCTGTGCTATTCGGAGCGCGTGCTTGCAAGGGTCTACTCATGATCTAACATTTTGGTTCAATATTGTGTCCTCAGCGTTGTCGTCAGTCTCTGCCTGTGTCCGGAATTGAGCTCAGCGGTTCCAACCTGTATAAGAAGAGAAGCAGCTCAGTACGAACAAGGAATAGACAATAACCTCTTCGACACAGCCTTGAGAGACGTCTTGAAATCCTACTTCAGCTAATCCAACATTGCTATCGCGAGAAGGAACATCGTCCTTTACATACATTAAAAACGCTTACCACCAGTATCGGTGCGTCGAGCAGTGGTAGCCGTTCGGGTGGTTGATGAGGTACTTTTGGTGATAGTCGTCTGCCGGGAAGAATTCCTCCTTCTTTCGAACCTCGAGCTGCGTGACGATCTTCTTTCCCTTGGGTTCAAAGTGCTTCTTCTGCACCTCCTCAGTCACCTTCCTGGCGATATCGAGCTGTGACTGGTCGTGCGCAAAGATGGCAGAGCGGTACTGCGTACCTCGGTCGTTGCCCTGCTGGTTGAGCTGCGTGGGATCGTGTGTACGGTAGAAGAACTCAATGATCTCGGCATAAGACACCTTGGATGGGTCGTAGACGATCTGTGCGGCCTCGGCGTGACCCGTTCGGCCAGTGCAGACCTCCTCGTACGAAGGATTCTTGCTCGACTCGGAACCACCGATGAAGCCAACTTTGGCGTCCAACAATCCCTTGCCGTTTCCGTATGCTTTGCGGTAGATGTCCTCGGTACCCCAGAAGCAGCCGTTGGCGACGGTGGCGGTTTCCTGTGCTGACATTGCGGCGTTGGTGCTTTTGAGAGCTTCCTGAGCGGCTTGTGCGGTGGGTGTGGTAGGTGGTCCGAGGTGTTGGATCAGAGGTTGCGACGATCTAGTGAAGAGCGAAAAGAATCGGCTCATGGGAGGTGAATAGATGATTGTGAGGAGCCCAAAGACGATGGCAAGCAGTATGCGACGCAGTTTGGACGAATGTTCGAAGTGCCGGTGGGTATTCAATGGTGGAGAGAAGGAAGCAGACCTTCGCCCAGGTGTGGCAATGTTCTTCTCTGCGTGCACCCTGCGGCTGCTGAGCTACGGAAAAAGGCCACATGGCCCAAGATGACGTGATCTTAAGTTATGCAGTCCAAGCAGAGCGAAAAAAGAAGATAGCCGGCGAGAAAAAAACCCTCCATGTTAAAGCTGAAAAAGTGTTGTTCTCACACGCGTGCCACGGCAAACGCACGGACAACAGCGAAAGGCAACACTTTGGGCTGTCCTTCGACACATTCCAACCTTGCTGTCCTCGCCATTCATCCTCAGCGTCGCTGTCAAACTCGCTTCCTTCACAGCTCGTAACGGCATGGATTGATCTCACACTGATATAGTCCGACACTTGCCGGACAGCGCTCACAATGTCATACGCAGGCTCAAGCAGCAAGGCCTCTTCTTCCCTCAATCCACTTCCACGGCCGAACCGCACCGCGGGCTTGTCCGCCTACTCCAGCCATGCAGGGGTCGCAGCTCACGACGATGGCGAAGTCGCCTTTGCTGAGCTCCAGATGCTCTCGCAGAACCAGCGAAAGCTCGCCACGCTCACGGGTCGCATGACTACCATCCTTTCGGGGTTCGACAAACGCCTGATCAAACTCGAAGGCAGCATCTTGCCCATCCACAAGGGCACACAGAAGCTCGCACGGATGTCGGACAACATCGATCTGACCTTGTCCGCCCTCAACAAGACACTCGGCCACTACGACGTCGTCATCGACGAGCAGCCGCTGCTCAAGAAGGGTCCGGATGTGAGAAATACACGGCCCTACATGGATACCATCGACCGTGTCATCAAGGGTCTAGACTACCTGCAGAAGTCCAACCTCAAGAGCCAAGAGGGTGTGATGAAGCGTACCCACGACCTCATCGAGCTCGGTGCTCGGAACCTCTGCAACGTCATCTCGGACTGGGTTCGTGCGGATTCCGAGGCCGTCGACCTGGCTGAGTACAGTCGCAACGCTCATTACCCAGTCCTCTCTGAGGCGACGCACAACGCCATCGTACCCATCCTCAATTACCTGTCGACGCTTCCACGGCATCCACGTACCGGCTTTGCGCCCATGTCGGCTGGTTTGGCCGCTTATGCAAGTGTAAGGAGCGACTACCTCCAGCATTGCCTTGCTCCTTTAGCTGCCACCTTGCAGCAGTATGCGCTCGAGAAGATCGGGGCTGGGGTCAGCGGTGCAGGCATGGTCATGGTCACCCACGACGACGACCTCGATCATAACACGAACTATCGTCGAGGACAAGCTGGAGCCGTCGAGCTCTTCGAGGCCTACTACGGCATGCTCGACAATGAGTATCGCATCTTGCAGGGCCTTCTCACCTCGGCGGAGCTCGATAAGCAGACACTGTTGCTGGCATCCACCTTCTCGCAGCTCGTTTCGCAGTCTCTGACCAGTCTGATCGAATCGCTTGGCACGATGCAGTCGCACGTGCGCAGGCACCTGGCCACCCACACTTCTTTCCTGCTCGACCTCATCGGCGCTCTGTCCGGCGTCATATTGACTGGTCGCTGGGATGTACTTCTCCGCGCCATGGAGGACTCACCAGAAGAACCGCTGCATAGCACCTCTCCCATCGACAAGGCAGAACTCGATCTCAATGCTGGGTTTGCGCCCGCAGCCGAGCTCCTCGAGATCTACAGCAAGTTCAAGAACACCGCAATTGGTATCTTTCCGCGCTTCATCGAGGATGTCAAGGCTATCCCTGCGCGCAAAGTCGCAGAAGTTCCCAGCACGTCGGTCAACGAGATCACCTACCTTGGGCTCCAGTTCATGCGGCAGATTACCGAATATAGCGACGTGGTATCGCCACTCTTGCATACTTTGGGTAACGGCAACTGGATGATGTCGAGCGGTGTCGCGCCCGTCCTCTCTCTAGGTCTTGATAGCGACGCGAGCAAGCAGAGCATCGTCGGGGACTATCTCAATGACGTGGTCGCGGTAGTGCTGACCTCGCTCGAGGCTCGCTCCCGTGCCATCCGACAGCCGTCCACCGCATCTGTCTTCTTGCTCAACAACATCGGCCACCTCCGAAGCATCCTCTCTGCACCTCTGCCGAGCTACCTCGGTGCAGCCGAAGACGGCAGTAGCGTCTCGATTGTCTCGCTTCACCTGGGTGAGATGGGCGACGACCTGCTCGGCACGGCTTTGCGCCAAGCGAACACGGCGTACCTCGACGCGTGGTCTCCCGTCGTAGCTCCACTCATGGAGGATCAACCGCTCAACGCGACTACGCACTACCATCGTCATGCGACGTCGAAGCTCATCGGTGTTGGGTCGGGATCCGAGAAGAACCAGATCAAGGATCGGTTCGCCAAGTTTTACGAGGCGTTGGACGATTTGGAGCGTCTGCATCGTGCGTATCCGGTCAGCAAGGAGGATCACGAACTGAAAGATAGGTTGAGGAGGGATGTCGCGCGGCTTGTTTGTCCAATGTATGGACGGTTTGTCGCGAAACACAAGGCGAGCGATTTCACGAAGAATCCGAGCAAACACATTAGGATGACAGAGCAGGAGGTTGAGGATAAGATTGCTGGTCTCTTCAGGTGATCCTTGACGTAAATTGTATTTGTATCAACCCCGTTTCTAATTGCATTGAAGGACCAATTGTAGCGGCGACATGTTGTGGGAAAAAGGTTTAGTGGAAGTCGACGAGTCCTGGATGCAACGTCAGGGTGTTCATCCAGGACGTGGGCATCGTGGTGTTGTACAGAACAGCCAACCCATCCGCGATGTTGTTGAAGTAGGGTTTGCTGACGTCGTCGCCGGCCTGAGTGTAACTTCCGTACCCATCGACTGCTGGACCTGCGACCCAACTTCCGAGCCCGGTCAAGTAGCTTCTGGGCAGTTTTGCACCGACCAAAGATCGATCTACGGCGAGCCAGGCACCTGCGCTGGTCTTCGCACTACTGCTTCTGGCAATGGCGCTTTTCGAAGAGATCTGAGGCCAAGTGTAAGGATCTTGACTCGAGGTTCTCGCGAGGTTGGATTGGATCCACGTGGCGATGTGAATGTTGACCCACGGACGGAAGAGATCGTCGGTGGTGAGTCCGGAGACTTGCAACGTTTTGCCGGTGTTCCAATCGAGCAAGGGACCTGCATCCGCCCATGTCGAAGTGTTGTCCCTTCCGAGCCAAGAAAAAGTGTTGTTGTCGACGGTGACGTGTTGTTTGAACAAGTTCAACTCTCCACTTCCGAAAGGCGAGACTTGCATCAAGCCCCAACTAGATCCGCTGTCGAGTCTCCCACCGGAAACGACGGTGGGATCGAAATCGGATTCTGCTTTGATGTCCGCCATGATCACTCGCGCTGCATCGCGTGTAGACAGCTCGGGGAAGTAGCGGGACGAGGCGGACAAGATGGCTGCTGTGGTTTCGTCGAGCAAGGCGCGGGTGGAGAGTTGACCGAGATCCGAGGCCCAACTACGGATGACGTGAAGATCGTGTCGGACTTCATTGGGTCCGTAGTTGGCGGTGTTGGAGAAGAGTGTGATGTTGGACCGACCGGTGGCGATAATGTATTGTTTAGGAAGGGTGGACTTGAGTGCAGGCGAGGAGGCGGAAGAGGTGGAAGAGTTTGAGATTGAAGACGAGTTTTCAGCGGCAGTGATGTTGTTCGAGGGATACGCTTCGGCCAAGTTGGAGAGGATCGTGTTGGTTTTCGAAGTGTTGGCCACCACGCTCGTCTGATTGGAGAGAATGAGTGCCAGCTGACGAGCCTTTCTACCCGTCATACCCTGAAATGTCTCGACCAGGCTATCGACTTTGTTGATAAAGCTGTGAGGCAGTACTTCGGAATTGATGGAAGCCCTCTGCTTTGTGGAGGCAGTCGATTTTGCTGGCGCTACGGTTGGAAACACCGTGTTCTGTTGCGGAAGCGAAGACGTCTTCGAAGCAGAGAGAGATACGTTCGCACGGACGGGTGTCGAGGCTGAAGCGCTTGATGAAGGTACAGCAGCGGACTTCTTCTTTGTGCACTTCTCAGCCTTTGAGGTCGAGCGAGCTGTTGATGAGAACGAAGACGTCGAACTTGATGTGGAAGCCGCTGACGTGGGAGAGAAGGAGGGAGGCGCGGTGGTTGCACCATTATTTCCGAAGTACAACACGTACGTAGCAGCGATAGGCAGAGGAATTGGTGCTGTCAAAACATCACCTTGCATCGGTACAATTTTCAACGGTGTCATGCGAGGTATCACGGCAGCGTTCACGGCGGCATCCGCAAAGATGTCGAAAGCAGTCGCCAGATACATGCAGAGCAAAGCTGCCTTGCGATTCGTGGATCGAGTCATCTTGATATCTGTCTTGTGTCTGTGTGAAGGAAAGAAGTAGGGAAGGTGACAGTGAAGCTACCGATATTGTTCAAATGAAGCTGAATACTCACAGAGGTCTGACCAGCAGATGTTGTCCACTGATGTCCGCAGATGCCTTGTTCCAACACAATGCTTTGAGGAGCCCGTCCCGCACCGAAGTGAAAACCTTTGCGTAGCTCGACCGGCGAGCTTACGATTGAGCACAATGACTATTCCGAAACTGAGACAGAAGGGTTTTACTTGAGCTTGAAGCGGACTCAGGGCGATGGTTCGAAGGATAGGAAGGTGGGACTTCACCAGGCCTGCCTAATGTCCGCCTCTTATAACTTTTTTTACCTTTTCAAGCCACACTTTTCAAGGCACGACCCAGGCACAGGACTTCAATTCCAATATATCAAGCTTCAGGTAGGAAGAGTACAGCAGAGCAGGTCGTAGGGGTTACTTCAACAGCCTCACACGTGGGCGGAAGACTGAGTAACGCCGTCCCGCTGCGGAAATATCGTTCCGATGAAGCTTTTTTTGCCGGACTGCTCGACGTCGGCTTTCCACAGCCAAGGGTAGAGTCTACATGTTAGCAAGAGTGGCGTAGACCGTACCTGCGTGGTAAAAATGATGTTTAGACCTTGTGACGACCTGCTTTATTGGTAAAGCAATCGGCTAGCGTCGACGACCGGCATCGAGACGGCGATGCTGAACGACAGCGGGATGTGACATGTCAACCGCTCAAACTGACAGGCTCTCACGCCAAAAATATGTTCCGAATATTTGAGGCATCAAAAATCGACAACAGGACGCCCGATCAGCCCGATAAATACTCGGCTACTGGCGGGTCGTCGCCGCGGAGCGGAAGAAAGTTGAAGAGATGGGAGAGCCAGCGACGGAATTGACGGAAAGTGTCACTTTTTTGGACTTGACCGAGGGGCAGAGCCGTCACGATTCCCCACACGCAATGCGCAGAGGTGGAAGAACTTAGCGGAGTGTCATTCTGGCAAGACGGTCAATCTCGGAAACGAAGCTTCAACTCCGGATGAGAAGCTTTCCTCCAACCTTGCCCCTCTCCTCATCTTACTTTCCGACAACCACTTTCGAGGAACCTTAAGGCGAATCCTCCAGCAGCAGCTTCACGCAGGATCCTTACGAGATTGCAACACAAGCGAATACAAACATTTCAAGCAGGTCGAGCAATCATCTATCGTCAAACGACAAGCGACCATGGCTTTCCGAAACAGCGCAGTGGTCCGACAAGGTCTGCAGAGCATCCTGCAAAAGCGAGCCGACGATGTTGTATTCACGACCGCATTGCGAACGCCCATTGCACGTATGAAGAAGGGTTTCAAGGATGCCTACCCGGAAGAGCTCCTTGCATTCGTGTTGCAACGCACCCGAGAAAGGCTCGAATCGCGCGGCGTGGACAAGAACATCATCGAAGACGTATGCACTGGTACTGTACTCATGGAGCTCGGTGGTGCCAAATCTGGACGCATGGCTGCTCTCCACGCTGGCATGCCCATCACCTCTGCGTACAAGACGGTCAACCGACAGTGCGCCTCTTCGTTGCAGAGCATCACGGATATTGCCAACGCCATCCGAGCTGGCGAGATTCAGTGCGGTATTGCAGCCGGCGTGGAATCCATGACGCGCAACTACGGCTCGAAAGCCATCCCTGTCGACCTCAGTCCCTGGCTCAAGGAGTCGCCATCCGCCGACGCACGCGATTGCATCCTGCCCATGGGTGAGACCTCGGAGCGTGTAGCAGAGCAGTGGAACATCAGCCGCGAACGACAGGACCAGTTCGCCGCCGAGTCGCACCGCAAAGCCGAAGCCGCTCAACAAGATGGACGTCTGGGCTCCGAGATCGAGCCCATCGAGGTGCGCTGGATCGACCCCGAGACTGGCAAGGAAGGCAAGAAGCTCGTCAGCAAGGACGAGGGCATCCGTCCCGGTACCACGCTGGAATCGCTCGCCAAGCTCAAACCGTTCCTTCGCGCCGACGGCAGAAGCACAGCTGGCAACTCTTCGCAGGTCAGCGACGGCGCTGTCGCCCTCACAATGGCTCGACGCGATGTAGCCGAAGCCGCAGGAATGGAGATTCTCGGTCGCTGGGTGGGAACTGCCACCAAGGGTGTCAAGCCAGACGTGATGGGCATCGGACCTGCCGAAGCGGTGCCCAAGCTGCTGGAACGTTTCCAACTCAAGACGGACGATGTGGATCTGTGGGAGCTCAACGAGGCGTTCGCATCGCAGTCTCTGATGGTGATGGATACGCTGAAGCTGGACGCGAACAAGGTGAACCCGAAGGGTGGTGCGATCGCGTTGGGTCACCCGTTGGGCGCTTCGGGTGGTCGACTGGTGACGAGCTTGCTCGCCGAGCTGCGCAGGACGGGTCAGCAGGTGGGTGTGGCTACGCTCTGCTGTGGAACTGGTTACGGTAAGGCTTCGCTCATCGTTGCCGAGTAAAAGGAAGGCCAGGGTGGGGCTCAAGTCTTCGTTATGTATATAGCCGGTGTAAGAATCCAATACCAGCGTCCATTAGCAAGCATCGACGAAAATCGGATGTAAAAGATGCGAGTATCGGTGATCGCTGTGTGGCATGGCGTTCACATCAGGAAGCAGGCGTTACGAGTGTGCCTTGTACACGTGAGTCCTGTCAAACTGCCTACGTGGAGATCAGGGCTGCACAGGCATCGGATAATGTCAAGGTGGGCGCGGCGGCTTATCGTCGGCACCTAGCTCCCGGCTGGACGGTCATATGAAAGGCAAGAAGCACATGCGACCGACATCCGTCGATCGACTCTGTGATGCAGGGTCACGAAACACCTACGTCTACCAATCAGCTCTTCACACGACCCGACGGAAAGCACAAAGTGATAAGGCGCATGAATAGGTACAACGCAAGGCATTCGGAGATGGCCGAAGGCAGCTCTGCAAGTGCGGGGGCAGGCAATCAGCGTGTGCAGAGATAGCAAGGGGCGACACCCGGATCCTGGATTAGCTTATCATCGAGGAGGCATTAAGCGAGGAGTGCGGGGCGCCATGTGGTGAGGAGGGGAAAGGGTCGTACGATGCCAAGAGCAAGGGAAGGGAAAAGGCAATGAAATGGTATCTCTGCAGCTGCTCGAGGATGGTGTCAGTGCGTCGTTGTCGTCGGTTTCCGAGCAGCCGAATCGCCTCGACCATTTGTTTTGGCTGAGAATTCATGTTAGATTCAAGAGTGGAAGCTCGGAAGCCTTGCGACACGATCTTTTGGCCCGTCGTATCCAATTCATGCACATCGGCCCCCGCTGTAGATTAAGAACGGAGTTTGTTGTTTCCGTTCATTCGAATTTGAGGTGCCACCCGCTCATGATGTGGGTGACTGTCGAGTCCTAAATCGTGACAATCCCAAGCGTTGTTTGATGATCGAAAATATTCGTCCGGCTGAAGCGGGAGTTGTGCCTAAGTTGGTTGTGAATAGGATGCCATCCTGTTTCATCCGAGGCTATCACTGATTGGACCATCCTGAAGACGAAGAGGGTCGTCAAAAGACTGACAAACAGGGTCGTGTGATTGGCGCTGCAGGTTCCAAAGACATTTGCAGGTTCGAGGTCTTTTTTCGGTCCAGAGTTGGAGCGCGGCTGACAAGAGACACGAATCGACATGCATGCATGCAGGCTGGTGCGGAAAGAAAAAAATTCTTGTTTGCGCTGTTGATAGATTCGTTACACCCGCGTGACCATGCAAGGCCTGCTCACCCTCCAAAGGAGCTATTGCCCAGACCGACTCATACCTCTTTCTTGATCAGGCATACCAGTTTAACCACGCCGAAAGCACTGTTGGACCTGTCCGCTCGGTATGCGCTTTTCGTCCTAGAAACAAGATCGAGTTTCTGACCTCCATGTCGTGGAAAAGGAGATGGAAAGAGAAGAAAAAATGTCCGTGTGCCGCGCGGAGTTTGAGTTTGTGTTTTCAAAATTGCTTTTGGAAGAACCAAGGCGAATCCGCCGTTATAACCGAGCCCGTGCAGACAAGACAAAAAGTAAGGTTGCCTCTCAGCGGAAGCCTAAGCCAGCGCGATTCGTTATCTTTTGACCGCGAGGCACCCTTTCTGCCAATCACTGAAATTCACCCGCCGCCTTGTAACCCGCAGTGCCACTGAGCGGCGTTTGGGTTCTTTTTCCTTTCAGGTCGCGCCTGTCCAACTGCGAAACAGATTCGCCGTCAGCAACTTCTTGGCAACCATGTGATTGTGATTATTCTGCAATATGCTCTTCAGTGCCATTATTTTCGGTGCGTCGCTAATTCACACCTGGAACGAAAGCTTGGAGACGTAGATGTCAGGCTACTGTGAGAGCCACCGAGAAGCGTGAGAAGCTCAGCGGCAGGATCGCGAAACTAAAGAAGAATGGAAGGAAGGATTATTTAGAAGAGGAAATAAATAATGTAAAAAAAGGTTGTCTAGGCTTGGGTGGCTCGCTTGGCTTCGATAGAGATGCTTCGGAAGACGTTGCTCCTTTCGAAATTGGAGTTCGCTTGGCCTTGCGTGGTGTTCAGGCTCGTGGAGTTCTGCCCGAATGCCGGTCTGATAGCCACTCCCGGCCTCGTGTCCTCCGTTTGAGCAGCCTTCCAACGCAGTCGCTTCGGCTCGAGCGCCAGTGTCAAGCTACACTTGTCGTGGGCATCGTGTCGCGTTCCTTTCCCCCCTTGTGGCAATGGTGTGAGGTACAACTCGCCTCTCTTCCCACCGGTTCGGCCATGGGATTCCGCATCGACCTTCCCACCCCGCTCTCTCGTCTGCCTATCGAGGATAGCGTCTCATTGGCTGCATTTCGCCACCCGCTTCTTCGTCCTGTTCCTGCTTTCCTGACTGGGCCGCTCCGCGCCACTTTCTGTTTTCATGGTTGGTCGTGATAAGAGAATTCTGGATATGCAGCTCGCCCTCTGGGGATTGCCTATCTCTGCAAAGTTCTCGCGCGCTGTTTATCCTGCTGTACTAGCGCGCTCTACTTGGGCCCACGGTTCCTGAAGTCTTGGTGCCTGATACCGTCTGCAGCATCTCTCCTGAGCGGCGTGTCAGAGGACAACCCACGCGAGTTGATACAGTAGAGTGCAAACGCTCTAGACGGAATCGAAGCTCGCGTTCTTCCAACAACTGACCTTGGGTGCATGCTGCTGCTGTGATACAGAAAATCATACTATCTCTATAATTTTAATGGATAAAAAAGTTTGACTGCGAAGGAGCCAACCGGGCGCTCCAGACTCTTGCCGGTGCGCCGGTTTTTTTGATTATTTTTGGAGCGGGTTCGCATGCCTCTGCTACGCCTCCTGGACCTTGTCTATCTAGACCTCCGCTCGCTTCAGCATTCACGACGACCAGCCTTCGTTCCTATATCACCTGGCCATCTCCTCCCCAACTACCGCCTTCGCCCTCTTCAACCTTCCTACCTCGTCTCCTCCCCCTTCCGTTCGTGCGCTTGCCCCTCCCTTCTTGGCTTTGCTGTCTTAGCCAGCGCACCCCGACATTACGGTGGCAATCCTCCATTACCACTTAGACGACCCCCTTTCCACCACACCCTCCAAGATCGCAACAAGGAACAATCGGTCCTGGTTCAAGAATCATGTCGTCCGCTCCTCATTCCGCCACTCAGGACTCGGCTCCCCAGCAGCTCGCCAAGGATGCTCCTATCGAGGAGCACGCCGCCACCAGCAGCGGCTCGCACCACGATGCCGCTGACGACAAGATCGCCTACTCGGCGTCCGATCGCGACATCGAGAGCACCGGCCGCCCTCCTGTCGAGGCCATCGAGCCTCACCCTCAGGGTGAGCCTGGCCGTGCCGGCAAGCTGTGGCACTCGATCCGCACCCACAAGGCCACCCGCATCGTTCTGGATGTTTTCCTCATCTGCCTGATCCTCGGATGGTGGTTGCCCGGTATCATCCGCCCGGAGACCCGCCACCGATGGGTCATCACCACCATCTGGTCGTGGTTCTTCATCCTCCTCATCCTCTTCCACAACGACCGGTACATCCCCAAGGCTCCGTTTGCAAAGGCCATCGGCGCCGCGTGGACCACCTGCGCCGCCAAGCCCTTCAACATGCTCCCTCACTACGGCAAGATTGGTCTCGGCTGGGTCGCTCTGCTCGCCCTCTACTTCGGTAGCGCTTTCGGTATCAAGGAGGTTCCCCAATCGCGATACGCCGACCGTGCGCGTTCGCTCTTCGGTCTCTTCCTCATCAACTGCTTCTTCTACGCCATTTCGACGCGCCGCGCTTCCATCAAGCTCCAGCCCGTCATGACCGGTCTTGGTCTGCAGATGATCATCGGCCTTCTCGTCTTCAAGACCGGCGCCTTCTACAGTGTCGCCCAGTGGCTTGCCTTCGCCGCCGCCGACTTGCTCGCTCAAGGTCAGCTCGGTGGTGCTGCCTTCTTCTGGGGTAACCTCGCTGGTCAGCACTACTTTTTCATCGACACGCTTTCGTCCATCATCTTCTTTGTGGCGCTCGTCGTGCTCCTCTCGTACCTCGGCATCATGTCCTGGGCCATTCGCAAGTTTGCCTGGTTCTTCTTCAAGCTCATGGGCATCTCGGGTGCTGAGGCTGTCGTCGCTGCCGCTTCGCCTTTCATCGGTCAGGGTGAGAACGCCGTGCTGGTGCAGAGCTTCCTCGACCTCATGACCAACGCCGAGCTCTTCCAGGTGCTCACCTCGGGTTTCGCTACCATCGCTGGTTCCGTCTTCCTCGCCTACGTCCAGATGGGTGTCTCTCCTACCCACCTCATCACCGCCGCTGTCATGTCCATCCCCGCTTCCATCGCAGCTGCCAAGATGGTCGTGCCCGAGACCGAGACGCCCGTCACTGCCGGTTCGATCAACATCCAGATCAACGAAAAGTCGGACGCTGTCGACCCTCTGCACGCCTTCTCCAACGGTGCCTGGCTCGGTGTGCGCGTTGCTGCCCTCATCTTCTGCAACGTGCTCTGCATTGTTTCGCTCTTGTACGCCGTCAACGGTGTCCTGACCTACATCGGCAACTTCTGGACCATCAACAACCTCACCCTCACCCTCATCCTTGGCTACATCCTCTACCCCTTCGTCTGGTGCATGGGTGTTCCCAGGGCCGAGCTGCTGCGCGTGGCCCAGCTGCTTGCCACCAAGATTGTCGCCAACGAGTTTGTCGCCTACTCGGAGCTCGCCAAGATCAAGGCCAGCGCCGACCCTCTTTCGGCCCGATCGGTTCTCATCTCCAACTTCATGCTTGCCGGTTTCGGTAACATTGGCTCGCTGGGTATCAACATTGGTGTGCTCTCGGGTCTTGCGCCCAGCCGTGGTGGTGCGATCGCGCGTCTTGCTCCGCTCTCGCTGGCGACCGGTATCCTGGTCACCTGCTCTTCGGCTTGCATTGCCGGTATCCTCGGTACCAAGTAAAAAAGGTCCGCTATCTTTCGCCCCGCATACCCTTTTCGGGCGACCGACGGCTCAGTTTCTTTTTCCCTTAACTCTACACTGCATTGCCTTGTCGATGCTGTATCATTTTGTACTTCTACTGTTCTTCCATGACATGACGTCTGTATTCGGATGCTTTGGGTTTTCTCTTTTCATGCGTAATCGGCTATCCCTCAACCAAGACTTTTGCGAAGTGTCCGTGTGTCGTTCTTGCTTGTGTCATTTTGCACCTGAGGTTGGAGCGTATAGCATACAGTTCACCGCGGTTTCTCGAATCCACCCTTTTGCGGCTGAGCCAGCTGCTGCAACGCCTCATGGCGCAACAGCATCCCGGCGTACAGACCTACGGTGCTCAGTCCCAGAACCAGGACCAGCGATGGGATTGTGATCGCCCACTTTCGATCGGGGATCCAAGCGATCGATGCGACGACGTCATCTGGTAGGAATGGCTGTCAGGAGCAAATAATTGGAATGTGGTACAATGGTTTAGGAACGCCGTCGGTGTGAGTGCGAGGTGAGATGCAGCGCACGGAGGTGTGGAGAGAGATAGCTTACGAGGATGATGGACCATACCGTGTAGACACCGAACAGAGCCGATGTGAAGAGCAGGATGAGGGTTCCTACTTTTCTGTTCGCCCCCTGAAGGAAGAGATTTGAGTGGATCGGAGGAAGAGTGAGCACGGGTCGGTGAGATGTGAAGGGGTTGTGGCGAGAGTCCCGCATTTACCTGTATTTGAACGTGTTCCTCGGACTGGGGCATAGTATGCACTGGTGACTATGTCAGCATCATTACGGTAGGCAGAGTCGGATAGAGGGAGACATGGGGGTGGATCGAGATGAAGGAGCAGTTCGAGCGGCAAGATGATAAGTTGGACCCTGAAGCTGCCAATCCGGAAATCGGCGTTGGGTGCTCGAGCCCCACATACTGCACCCTTTCTTCTCTTTCTCACTTTGGCTTCCTCATCCTTCTCGCCATCTTTCAGCCTCTGTCCTTGCGGCTGCTCAGCTGCGTCGCAGCGATGCCACCACTTCCTTTGAACGGCTCTTCCTACCCACCCTCGACCTCCGCTTATCAACCGCTCCTGAACGCGGACGACCAGGACGACATCGAAGCCTCCCATTCCTCATCACGCCGCGTTTCGCGCCGCACGTTCTCCTCCTCACCATACCGCGCACGAGCCAATGACCCGACCGACCTCTTGCAGACGTTTCTGTCAGACACACGGTCAACGGATGCTGCCGGAACTTCAAAACGACTGTATCTGCGAATCACGGTGGGGGAGGGGAGGAAGAAGATCGAGCTACCGCTGCCGGTGATGACGATGCAAGACTCGCTGCCATTCGCACTTGCTGATGACGTGCCTTGTCTGCGAGGGCTACCAGGCAGCGGAGCATGCGGATGGAAAGAAAAGCTATCCGCACTGGTCCACGAATTGACCGGATCCTCAAGCTCCACCTCACACCCTGGTAAAGCCTCAGCGCTTCAAGTGTGGAACGCATCCCACTCCAAACCCCTCTACGCAACACCCGAAGAAATCGATCGATACCACACTCGCCTCCGCAACTCCGACTTACATCCCTGGACACCTCTCAACACCACCACCACCTCCGCTACCCAACCCCCCTCCACCCACACAGCGAACCCGGACGAAGAAGTCGACAAACTCTTCACCGCCTCCGGTTCGCAGAGCGACTTCGACCTTTCCTCCGTATTCTCGCGCTCGCGACCACGCAAGGCCACGCGGCTCGTGTCGTCGGCGCTGCAGGAGGCGTTTGAGAGGTTCGCGGACGACCGGCATTTTTCCAAGTGGTTGGTGTGTAGAAATGTGGTTTGGGGGTGGCATCTGGAGAGGCTTCGGAGGAAAGTGGAGGAGCTTGTGAAGGAGGTCGAGGTCGACAGGAAGGGTAAGGGTAAATCGGTGGATGTCGGGGCGGAGGAGAGGGTGGAGGTGAAGGTGATCGGGTTGGACGACGAAAGAGTGTATCACGTGGTATGGAGTCCCATCGTCTTTCTCACGAGCAGAGCACCGCGGATGTTTGATTCGAGGATATCCTTGCTCGCATTGATGGGCTCAGGGACGGCATTCGTAGTAGCAGTGGTGTTGGGCATGCTAAGCAACACCCTGCTCATCATTGTCGTCCTGCTAGCGCTGTGCAGCTGGTCAACGCTGACGTGGTTAGTGCGGACTCAGCAATCTTGCGTATACGATACGGTGGGTACCGCATGGTCGTTGGCACCGAGGTGGGTCAAGGTTCCGGATGTGGATCCGGCGTGGGATCGTGAGAGGGTGGTAGAAACTCTCAAAGTGGACGCGGGCAGCGGAGGTCCAGTGGGTAAAGTGGAAAGGAGGGGACCTAATGGAGATTGGTTCGTCCAGAGAGGGATGGACCCCGAAGAGTGGTTGCAGAGTTACCGTGAGCGGCTGATGCAGTGGGTTCGAGAGTGATGGACTGGGGTAAGACCATCTAAAGTTAATCACTACTATTGCTGTACTTGGACTGCTGTCTACAGCTTGTGCGCCGCCTCGGTGTCAATCTGCGTCATCTCCCAAGCGACCGCCTCTACTCAAAGTATTCCAGGCGTTCTTCCTCCGCCTTTCATCCTCACTCCCCTCTCCTTTCCCTCCTCCTTCCTCCTCAGACAGTTTCCCGTTCGGATCACCCCAATCGACATACGGGCTGATCACCGAATCCTGCGGGTGAGCCTTGCTTCTCGTCCCCGGCGCCATTGATGTCATCTCATCCAGTATCCTCGCTAGACTCGGGTTGACCTGCGTCGATCTATCCTCCATCGTACTCGACGGAGGATACTGTCCCCTTCCCGTCGGTGCTGCGCTCGGTCTCGCTGCAGGAACTCCGAATCGTTCTGGCGGCCAGACGATCGCCTCGATCCTACTCGTGATCAGTCCCATGGGTACGGGACCGAACTCCCTACTGTCTCTGCTCTTGTTTCTCACACCGCGCGGTACGCTCTTTCCGTTGACTGTCCGCTCCAAGCTTCCCGGAACAATGTCCACCGCTGCATCGCCCTCCACCCAAACATGACCTGGTGGAATCTTGATCCGAGTCCACTTGCCCGCTCCTCCATTCATCCCAGGAGCATACACCCTCACAGTATCTCCGGCCAATGCGATGATTCGTTTGGTAAGCAACAGTCGCGGATCTAGCGGTGAGATGAGCGTTACGATGTCGCCGGCCTTGAGCTTGTCCAGCGAGACTTTGATGGTGCGGTTGAGAAGGACTACGTCGGAGGTGATCGAGGTAGTAGAAGGCGGGCCGTTGAATGTGGGTGACATGGAGGAGCCGGTTACGTTGCCGAGACTGTATAGGTGGGACGTGACGAACAGGGAGACCGGGATCCAGCCGAGGAGGAAGAGCGTTCGGTTGAGGCGGCTGCGCGGTGCACGGGAGTGAGGACGTAGTGGTGGACGCGTAGGATCGGCGTCGAACCCATGATAGCGGGACGATGATGCTCCAGAGGAGACTTTTGAAGAGGAAGAAGACGCATCCTTGCTGCTGCTGACGGACGCATTTGAGGAGTCAGTGGATGGAGAAGCATCATTCGGTGGAGAGGCGCTAGAAGTGGTCGGCGAAAGACGATGCGATACGCTGACTGAGCATTGAGCGACACTTGACCCCACGCATGGTGGTATCCGCGCCGCTGCAACCAGTTTCAGCATCATATGCCACCTCGAGTGATCAGATCGTGATGGTGGAAGCGCAACACGTCAAACATTGAATCGAGAAGAATTGAGTAACCGAGACGCCAAAAAATGTGGAGCACCCGATTCGCTTCCTATTCCGCGTACGATCAGCCCACGCTACTCAAGCAATTGCTTGCCATACTTGACTCCTCAACGACGACGATGCGGCGACACAATCTCACACACACTTGAGCATAGAGCGAAGAGTATATTAGTAGATGACATCGTGGCACGCACCGCTCCATTGCCGCGTCATCAACTCATCTCCTTCAACTTGGCCTGCGTATACTCCTGGAACCTGGCATGCTCCTTCCACACATCCTCCATCGTCACCTCGCCTTCGCCTCTGGCCACCCTCTGCGCATTCGTGTTCGCCAACAGCGCCGCGTCCGCGAGCTGCGGATACCTGATCAAGAACGGCAACGTCAACACCCACGTCTTTTCCGAGTTGACATCGCCGTCTCCCACCGACAGGAATCGACAAAGATCGATGACGACGCTGTGCGTGTCCAACTGAGGCATCTGGATCATCTTGTCCCTGATCGAGGGCCAGGGCAGGCTGTCGATGGCAGGGTCGTGTGGGGTGGACAGCTGCGATTGCGACATCTTGAGCACGGGAGGTAGACTGTAATTTGGATTCAAGCGGTAGTTGTTCATGTGGTACGTGAGCTGCAAAAATCGGTCCGCCTTGTCGTCGATGTCGTAAGGCGAGCTGCCGTCGGTCGAGCCTCTACCGTTGCCTTTTACACTCAGATCGCCTTCGTCCCATTCGTTGGGCAGACGAATGTATGCGATCTTGGTGTGAGGGTTGGTAGCTTCGTCGTGCTCGATGAATCGAACGTCGTCGTCATCCAGCCGGTAGTCGTTGGGAAGGTTTAGAAACGATGTGGCGCCTCGCTTGGCCCAGATGCGGTTGACTTGAGCAGAACAACGTGCCCAACGACGACGCAGGTTTCGCATGTATTCGGGTGGAAGGCGACTACTGCTGGGGATGATGAGTGTCTCGACTCCACCTATAACACGCGAAGGCGATATGTGGGTTGCACCGACAGGCGCGGCTGTAGGAGCAGCTGTCGATCCCATGCTAGGAGCGCCCGACGTTTGAGCAAAGCCAGGCGCCGAGGGCGCAAAGCCTGTACCAAACGGAAGGAAGTTGGATGCGCCGCTCGGAACGATCGGACCACCACCGCCGTCGCCGTTGCTGGTCGGGGCGAAAGTATTGAAGCCGGTCGCATTTGCTTGCGGAAAGAGGTTCTGGTTCACACCCGCTTCGTTGGGGAACAGCGAGGCTAAGCTGGAGAGGTCTGAATTACCGCCTCCGAGCAGAGTCTGAGCAAACATGGCGTCGACGCCGATGGAATCCTGTCTGGGAAATCCAATCTGAGTTGGCTGCCAAAATTGAGTCGGAAGTGTGTAGGGCATTTGCGGTTGAGGTGGCGCCTGCTGCTGCTGCTGTTGTGCTGCGTCCAACTGATTTGTGCCCATCATCTGAGGCGAGGAGGTGAATGGTTGACCAGGTGCCATCATGCTCGATTGTGCGGAAGGACTGCTCTGGGCGGAGGAGGCGGTGGCCGGATTGGAGCCGGAATTGGTTGCGGTGATCTGCACATCGTCGGTCTTGCGTTTGCGTTTGGCGTTTTTGGAGGATGCGTCATCCACTGACCTCTTCTTCTTGTCGGCGGTGGTCGCATCCGAACTTGGAGTGGCGTCGTTGCCATTTTTCCCCTGTGCATCTCGAAAGTAGTTGATGAGCTTGCTTTCGGGCAATCCGTCTGCGGGGATGTTGCTCTCCTTGCGAATCTGTTTGAGCGCCTCGCACTCGCCTGCACCTGGCCAGTTGGCCCAGGCTTCGGACATGACCTTTTCGCTTGAAGAGTTCATGGTTGCTTCGAGCATCTCTGGAGTCATGCCGGACTCGACGAGGCAACCTCCGATGCTTCGCTTTCCGATAAAGTGCGCTAGGTTGCCGACGATGCCGCGCAGAGTGTTGTTCTCGGCAAGCAGGTGACGCAAAGCGAAGCGCAGGCGGTTGACTTGAGTATCATGATCCGAAGAGAGAAGTTCGACCCTGGCCTCCAATGCACGGATGTACTGCTGTTTGCGCTGGCGGAACTCTCGTTGAGCGGCTCTGTTCTGCTCCTTTCTGTGTTGAGCTGCCCTGGCATCCTTGCCCTTGCCAGCTGCAGCAGAGCCGCCAGCAGCCTTCTTTCCCTTTGCGACCTTTCCATTCGCTTTCTTTCCAGTGGCATTGGCTGGTGATCCGCCGTCTGCGTCTTCATCATCGTCATCATCGTCTTCGTCGTCGGTGTTGGCAAAGCTGGCCGATGTCATGCTGCGTGAAAGACCGGTCAACGAAGGCTGTGGACCGAGCGACATGGCGGTCTGGAAGCCGCTCGAGATGGCGCTGGGAGAAGCATCTGTCCATCGATCCATGGGCGAGCCGGTGGGGCCGCGATGCGCTGGAGGCATGCTTGTCGACAATAAGCCTAGCGGATTTTGCCACGAGGCACTGGAGAGCAGAGATGTGGAGGGATGATCAATGACTGGTCGACGGTCTTGTGCTTGGTGGTATGCGGGTGTGTGCCACCGTATTTGGTCGATCAAGCCATGAAAGCCTCACAGAAGGAGTGATGAGAGAGGAAAGGAGAGAGACGGCGGTGGATGATGTGTGATGAAGGTTGGAACAGACCCTGGCCGTCCTTTTTTCCGTATGCACGTTAGTGTCGACACGCAGGCGGAGCTGCTGCAACAGAGAAAAGAAGGCGCACTTTTTAGGCTTCGGTGGGACCGCAACGTTGAATTCCACCTTGAACTTTGGCTTTGCAATTCTTAGCCGCAAACTCACACACAATCTTCACATTTGTTGGTCGATGAGTGCACCGAGTCAAGAAGAGCGCTTCAATCGGCTCCTCAGACCTCGTCTAGGCCACGTTCGGCTGTCGGACGCATCTGGCTCCGGAAGCCGGTACGTCTTCCGAAGTCGCCGCGTTGCGCTGTAAGCCGTGATCTGCTTTATAACACCTGTACGGTCCGAGCGGCTGCGCCCGTCTTTCGCTTACAATGCTTGATGGCACCGGCAGATGGACAGGAGCAGAAACCGGCATTCCGCTTGCCGTTTCGAGCACGGTATCTTCGAGGCCTCGCTGTGGACACGCCGACGACGGAAACGACGCTCGGTCCCGTTGTCCTCGTAGACCCGTGGGGACCAATCGAGCCCACCGAAAGGGCGGAGCAGACGACTCTTGCTTACCAACGGCGATTCGCCACGAGGCCCCCCTGGGTGTGTGAACCATTGTTGTAATCGGTCGAGGCTGCTCTTCAGTCGCAGTTTTGGATGTTAGAGTGCCAGAAGCGGTTGCACGTCCCTGCCGCTCGTAACTCGAAGTAGGTTCGGAGTGAATTTCGGCGAATCGAGCGTCGCAGCACAAGCCAGCTTAAGCACACACACACACACAGAGCCCGCCGCGTTTGTTAATCGAGCGATTTGGACCCCGACAAGAGCTCGCGATTCTGGCGAGCAGCGCCCAATCCCTCTCTTCTCCGCACAGACAACGCCTGCACGCATCTCGCATGGCTGCTTGTCTGTCGTCAGCGCCCACGTTTTTGATTCTCAGCTAGAGCTTCGGGCCTCATCTCGCCGATATCATCGACCGCCGAGTCTGTCGCTCCCATCCAGCCATCCACAACCATCACCCTCTCTCTGCCGGCTCATCTCCATTGCAGACACCGAGTCTGGCCGGTACACATCCATCATGCTCAAGGAGCTCACCGACCAGGCCCAAGGCTATCTCGGCAACCGCAAGCCCTTCAGCGCCGTGACCGACTGGATCGATCGACTATGCACCCAGCGATATGCCGAAGAGGAGTACGATGGCATCCCCGAACTCGTCGAGGCAATCAACCTCCAGTCCACCGGTCCAACGGAAGCAAGCCGCGCTCTGCGCAAGAAGCTCAAGTACTCGAACGTGCACGGTCAGAAGCGTGCCCTCATCATCCTCAAGGCGCTCGTCGAGAACTGCGGTCAGCGTTTCCAGACCACGTTTGCTAACGACCAGCTCGTAGACCGTATCAAGATCATGTCGCAAGACCAGCTGGTGGATGCCTCGGTGCGTAGGCTGCTCATGCGTGTCCTGCTCTCCTGGCACCAGCAGTTCAAGGACGATCCCTCCATGAGGATGGTCGCCGGTCTCTACGCCGCCTGCGGTGGAGGCAAAAAGTCCGAGGCGCAAAAGAAGAACGAGGCTGCCATAGCCTATCGCAAGCTGCAGGAAAAGCAACGCATCGAAGCGCAGATCCGAAGCGATCGCAAAGCAGCCGAACAACTTCAGAAGGAGGAAGACAAGAAGAACAAACTCAGAGGCAAGAAGGGCGTCAAGCGACCCGCATTCAACTTTGAGCAGGAGAAGCCCGTCATCCTGCAATCGCTCGCCATCTCGCAGCAGGTCGCCACCGCACTCGTCAATGCGCTGCAGCACGTCAATCGCGAAAAGGAGAGCGTCACCGAGAACGCGCGCGTTCAAGACTACCTGGTCAAGACCAAAGTTGAGCGCAAGAAGATCATCCGATATGTACAGCTCGTCAAGGATGAGGAGTTCCTCGGCTCGCTCATCTCTGCCAATGATCAGATCATCTTGGCTCTCGAGCTGTACGATCGTCTCTCCAAGCCAGCCGATCTGGACTCGGACGACGAGGAGCCGCTGGCTGCCATTTCGGGATCGGGTCAGACGGCCGAGCAGAAGAACGCGGCGCGCATTGCTGCCGACGATGCCGAGATCGAGATGGTGCGCAAGAGGATCGCGGATGCACGACTCAACGCGCCGGACAGCGAGTTGGAAAAGTTGCAGACGCGACAGAGGGTGCGTATCGAGCGTCACAACTCGCGTGTGGGTAGCATGCGAAGCTTCGATATGAGTCCACAGCCTACGGGCGCTGGAACTAGTCAGCGAGCAGCAGCCGGCGGCGGAGCCCTGAACGACCTCATCGACCTCGACTTTCAAGAGGATCACTCTGGCGGCGGCTACCATCAGGCGCAGCACAATAGCGGGGCGCACAGCCGACGAGGTACCATGGCATCCGAAGCAGCCGGCAGCAGCACCCAACATGGTGCCCTCTCCGACTACAGCGACTACGAATCCGAAGACTCTGCCGACGAACGCCACCATCAGCAAGTGCCTGGTCGAGCCCATCAGCTCGCGGTGCCCTCGTCACGACCTGAAGGAGGATCTTGGTCCAACCTCAACGACTCTGAAGAGGAGGAGTGGCTGCGAACCACGCAGAACCATCGACCCAGCATCGGACCCGGATTCAGTTGGAACGAAGACGAAGACGCCGACGACGATCCTTTTGCCGATCCCTTTGCCGACGCCAACAATGCCGCTGCTTCGGGTAGCGGATGGGGGATCGAACGGCCGCAGAATCAGCCTCGAAAGGAGTGGGGGGTGGTGTAGACGCCGACCATCGCTTATCTTCCATTTCGTTTCACCTTTGATGAGCCGCTGTTTTCATCTGTTTCGTCGCATCATCTCTACTCCTGTTTGAACCTGCAATACCGATCTGGGCTGTGAAACTCCGAGAAAAGAACGTGTGGTTCGGCAAGAGGCGTGACTTGTGCACACAGAGACGCGCTGCATGGTGGCTTGCTTGTTGGTGTGTGTTTTCAACCAGAAAATGGCTCGGGAATCAAGTCCGAGTCTCAAGTCGAATAACTTAGCCTGGGCTCAGCCATTACTTGCCTTTTCGAGCCGTGCCGGTTCGGCCCAGGGTCTCGCAAGAGAATCACGCTGTGCTGTGCAATAAAAATGTGAAACACACACACACGCACACACACGCATGCTCAGCTTTCAACTTCCTTGCACGTCGTCTCCATCCGCCTTCCCCTAACATCAAAACAACACTGCTCTTCGTCTCTGCCGCGCACGATGAGTGGACGCGAGAGAAACGCCCAAGCTGGGCCCAGCGCACTTCGACACCCACCACAGAACCCAACTTCGTCCAGCTGGACGATGTCACTCTTCGGTGGACGACAAGCCAAATCCACCTCCAACAACCTCGGCTGGGGTCTACCGACAGCATCGTCCGCATCGTCCGCACGCAACCGCGAAGAGCGCGAATCACTCATCGGTCAACCCAGCGGCGACGACTTTGATGACTCAGACGCCATCTCTTTGCTCAGCAACATTGCCGATCGAGACTCTTCTCGTGGAGGTAGCGCTGCTGCACGACGTCGTGCACGTGCTAGGTCCAGAGCGCAAGGTCGAACTTGCGGAACCTTTTGGTTCGATGTGGAGGACTGGAGCAGATCTTTGTCTTGCGGGCTGCTCGGGAGAGGTCAGCGTGGAGATGGTGCTGGTCCGGCTAGACAGAGGGCTGCATCGATCGGCAGTGTAATGAGTCGTGGTGCCAGAAGGAACAATGCGCCGTCGTCGGAGGAACAGGTGGTGGCGACGTCGAGACACTCGCGCTCGCACAGCAACGCGAGCACAGACAGCGCTGGCAGTCTCGCTGGCTCTGGGTTTGCAGAGATCGATGCTGATGCAGGAATGCTGGACGATCGCGACATTGCACGATTTGGAACGCAACCATCACCAACGGAAGAATCCGAAACAGAAGCAGAGGCGGAAGCAGCCCGAGCGAAGGCGACAGCAGAGGAAGCACAAGCTCGAGCTGAAGCTGAAGCAGCTGACGTTCTCGCCGCAGCAGAACGTCAAAAGGCGCTCGAAGCAGAATCCGCACGCCTACAAGCCGAAGCTGAAGCTGAATCCCAGCGCCAGAAGGAAGAAGAGGTCCGATTAGCAGCAGAGGAGGAAGCCGCCATCGCCAAAGCTCGTCGCAGGGCCCAACGCAAAGCTGCCAAAGCTGGATTGTTGCAGTTGCAGCAGGAGACGCAAGGGGCGCAGAGGTGGCGCACAGAGGCCGAGGCCGAAGCTGCGGCTGGAGGATTCGCTTTCGCCGATGCTGAGGGTGATGAGTCGTACGAAGGCGGTGCACAGCAGCAGCAGCAGCAGCAGGAGCAGCAGCAATTTCAGTATCACGATGCAGAGTACGGCTTGGAGGAGGAGCACGAGCAATATGGCGATGCCGAAGAGGCCAGTGGGTACTATGCGGGAACGGTGCAGGAGCAAGGGCCAGGAGGAGTGGTGCACCACCACCATTACTATCACTCTGCGCCGCCCGTCGTGGAAGAGGAGGAGTTCCACTATCCCGCACCAGAACCGCAGGTCCACGATGCAGACGCCTTCACCGAAGATCGTCCGGAGCCTGCGACGACGGACAAAGTCTCTGAAGACGAAGCAGACATCGCCGGGCTTTCGTTCGGCCGCAAGAAATCGCGACGCAACCAATCCGGCAGCGCCGGCTCTCGCAGCGGCAGCGGACTGCGACCGGCCCACACCACCGGCGGATCCTCCTCCGGCGGCAGTGCATCCGGTCTCCCACCCGCGATCTCCGCATCCTCCTCCTCCTCCTCCAGCCGTGCACCCTACCGCGATCGTCCACGACGTCACGAACGCACCACCTCGAAATCGTCCACCTCCTCCTCCGGCATCTTCTCCGCCGTCCATCCTGGCGCGGCGTCGACGGCAGCCACCAGCGTCACGTCGTCGGGCGCTACGCCGCTGCCGAACCTGTACGAGGCGCAGTCGGTGTATCCCGCCGAGCAGGGTGCAGATGTGGAACACGCGCAGTTCGGGAAACCCGAGGTAGACGCAAGCGAGTTCGGCGTCATCACGGCCGGAAGTCATAGGGGTGGCGCGGGGAGGGTCAAGAAGTCGTACAAGGATAAGAGGCACCAGCCGGGGTCGCAGGAGGAGCACGAGGGCAAGTTCGAGGGCTTCCCTGGTTTCTGAGTCGCTCACAATGTTATCATCTCCCACCACGGCTTGGAACGCATTTCCAATCACACACATCGTCACATCCTTGCAAACCAACCGATGCACATTGCTAAAACTTGCTGGAACAATATTACCCTCCTGACGCAGTTGCGCGGGTCTCTCAATTATACTCGTCGTACAAGATCGTCTTTCCGACGCTCGCGATCCTCTTTCTCCTAGCACCACCCTCCTCGCGCTGCTCTTCCTCCATTGCAGCGGCGGTGGCCTTGTTCTCGTCGCCCCAGAAGGAGTAGCCGCTCTGACCGATCTGGTTGTTGCTTGCTGCACCGGTCTCGTAGTCCTGGCTGTAGCCGTTGCTCTTGCTGCCGATGGGCAGGCCGGTCCTCACATCGCACTCTACACCGGCATGGTCGATGTACGTAGATCTGGAACGGACGTTGGCCGCCTTGTACAGCTCGATGATCATACCCTGAGTTTGGAGGAGGTACGCCTCGAGTGTGTCTAGGAACCGTTTGGTCTGCAGATGCTTGGAAGAGGCGCATACGGTGATACCGTCGTCCTTGATAATGTATCCGATACCGAAACCGTCAGGAACAACGGGACCGAAACCGAACATTCGCAGTGCAGGGTTACCGCAATTGGATGTGGATACGACGGTGTGGTTCAGCTTCGCATACCCCGCATCGGTGAAGATCTTGGGCGGCGTCGAGGAGGAAGACGACGAAGCATTCCTCTTCCACAGATTGTGCAGCGCGTACAAGTGTCGATCGTGTCCCTGGCCACCAGCGCATGCGCGGCTCAGCTTAGAGTGACCATCGCATGCCTTGCGCAACGCCTCGATCTTGGCTTCGACCTTGGCCTCGCTCGAGATGTACGTCTCGACAAAGCTGGCAGAGTGCGGCTGCACCGTTCGGATCGCCTCTGTGCGTCCGTGCAAAAAGGCTTTGGTCATGGCCGGCTCGTAGGTCGTCTCGCACCGTCCGTACAGCGTGTAGTAAGCCGCCTGGAAGGCCATCTGCACAAACGCATCGGGCGAAAATCGATGCCGGGTGATGAAGTTCTTGCCGTACTTGTCAAACTCGAGCACTTGACATTCGTTCTGACAGATGAGATCCGACAATCGAGTCTCTCCATATCGAATACCATCGGCCAGCTTGGCGGTCAAATTCCATTCGAGCTTCTTGGGAGCGGTAGCCTGGTCGACGTCCTGCGCTCGCTGAGCGTCCACTTCGCTCGTGGTTCCGTTGGCCTTCTTGCCGGCGCCCTTGGCGAATGGACTGGTCTTGGCCTTGAACAAGCTCTTGGTGGCAGAGTTGATGGACTTGGCGAATCTCATGATGAGCTCGGTGTACACATCCGCAGCGTAACGCAGTACAGTGTGACCGTCCACGCCCGTGTGTTCGAAGTTGATGCCTGCTGTACCGTTGGCACAGACGATGATCTGGAGCTTGTCGTACCATCGGTTGGTGCAGGTACCGGTCTGGATGCCGCGTTGGAGCCTGTAGGTACCGCAGAGCATGTTGTTGCTGAGCTCTGCTGCGTCGGCTGGCTCGGAATCGTCCATGCAGACGACAAAAAGGGCGCTGTCGACGACCTCGAGGCACTTGCGGTTGTGCGAGTCCTCACGCAGGTGCTCGCGGTACATGGACCAGATGGGACGCTTTTCGGTGGTGAGGATGCCGACGCTACCCTTGGCAACGTCTTCGAGCTTGGTCTGGTCGGCGTCGCGTATGATGGCCTGCAGATTTCCAAGCATGGCACGTTCTGTGAGCAGCGGACGGTGTTCCTCGTCGAGCGCCTCGAACCAGTAGATCTGACCTCTGCGCATCACGACTATGTGACGCGACTCGGGCGCGGTCTCCATCCTGCACCCGTTGGCCGTGGGAATACGGGAGGTGGAGAATAGACGCATGTACTGGAACATGTCCAACGGCGTACCCCTGACACTGTCCGGTTCGAGCACGCCCGTTCGGAGATCATGGATGAACGCCAAGCTGGCGAGGATGAGGTTAGCGGTCCTCATCAGCTGGTTGCCGCGTGTAGGTGTAGGGTCGTCTTCCAAGATGAAAAAGGGGTTGAGGTTGAGCACGACGGAATCGGAAGCTTGCAAGTAGCTCTCGTCCCAGAACTCCTCGATGTAGCTGGCTCGTGTACTTGCGTATTCCTGAAGCTGTTTCTGGATGACGGGACCATCGTTCTTGAGGAAATCCTCGACGACCCACTTGGTGGTGGCGTGCTGTTCGGCGGACTGAAGCGCTTCCAGACTAGAGAGGTAGCGTTTACATGTGTCTTCGAGCGTAGGGATGGGAAGGTGAGGGAGCTTGGATTGTCCCTCGAACGTCTTTCCGCCTCCGATTCCTTCTTTGGCACCACCATCGGCTACGGCGACCGATTTTGCCTCGACCGCCTGTGCATTGAAGACATCTTTGGCTTCTGATGACATGAGACCTGGCGCCATTGTGGATCGATCACCGGAGCGAGAGTTGAGGAGGGGAGGCGGGTGTGGGTAAGAGATACCTAGATGGGGCGCACAGTTGCTGGTATCAGCTGCGTGAATGCCTCGTTATATATGTGAAGTTGAAAGCCGAGTGGAGATGGGACGAGAGGGGAGTGAAGAAGAGAGGAGAAGCGACCCCATCGAATGAAATGGATGCGGGGAAGATGGCTGCGCGGTGATGCTTTGGAGATCGGCTTGAAGCGGAGGTTGGACAATTCGGACATGCATGGCCGAACAGGCGACACGACTCGAGGCGGCACGCAGATGGACACGGAACAGTCAGCTTTGCATTCTCGTCTTGCTCTCATTTGACCGGTGCGTCTTTCCCTTCCGCTTCCTCTCCATTCTCTTGGCAGAAGGGCGCATTCGGGATCTCTGTTGGAATCTCGCCAAGATAGAGCCAAAGAGGGAAAAAATGCCAAAGTGTCTCGAGATGCGGTACAGTCACGCACGGCCAGCTAGGCGAGGCATCAACAAAGAAAAAGTGGAGGCTTCAGGGTGCAGCTTTGCCTCGTCACACGGCAGCACGCCGTAAAGCCTACACAGACCAGCAAGCGAGTCTCGTTTCTACGTAAGAATCAGCTAGCTCACGAAAACCTCCTATCCCGGATCGCCAAGATCGCACATGTGCTTAGCTCCATCCCTCCTAGCCGTTTGGAGAGCGTACTTCAGCTTTCGACAGCCGTGCCACCACTGGGTTGCCATCAGCTGCCTTTTTATGCCTCACAGAGGAGAGCAGTGCCCAATGATAGTTGACACCAGAGCCACGGTCTCGAGTTCTCCAACCAGAGAAGGATCAAACAGTCTGCGAGGGAGTCTAGACCAAAGACTGCGCACTCGAATCGGAGTTCCCGGAGATGTGTCTTCTGTCGACGGTCATCCCGTCAAGATCATGCGCGACCTTTACGGGATGGCCGATGCAAGACCAGAAAAGTGCGGGGAAAAGGAAGTCGAGCCAAAAGTGATTCGCCGAACTCGAATCTATAAAATTCCGCGCGGGACATTTTGAACAATCAGTATCGGGAGACGATCTCGATGCGATCCGCTCTCCGGACGATTTGGACCCTGAACGTGCTGACGATGGCGCAGGCATGCGTCGTGTTTGCATGCAGAGCGCCAAAGATCAGCTCATATTTCGCGAGATTGTGCTTTGCAGCTCTGTTTCTTTCGGCTCAAACACCGGCATACTTGGCGTCCATGACATACATCTTGGATATTTGCCTTCATCTCCATAACACACATTCAACCATCAAGCTGATCGACAGCTTCCACGCCATCCAAGCCTCCCAACATGACAGACGTCGGCGCAACCTACACCGCCGCGGATCAGCCCGCTGGAGCGTTCGATATCGACCTCCCCTTCACCAGCTACGACGAATCCCACCCGCTCCACTTTTCCTCCCGACCATGCAACAAATTCGACGGGTTCTGGTACATCGTCGGCTCGTCGCTCCCGCTCTGGAAGCCCAAGAAGAATGTCGTGATCCGATACGTCCCTCACCCGGGCGCGAAACCTGACGAGGTCAAGTTTGCCGACGAGATCCGATCCGAACCTCGATCCAAGAGCGCGGCTGATTCGGAAGCTGTCCAGGCGTCAGGGTTGCAGTCTAAGTGGAAGAGGGAAGAGAGCTGGTTCAACAAGGCTTTCGGCATCAAGGGAACCAACGTCTTGCAAAAGAACGCTAAGAACGGGTAAGCTTAGACGAATTTCCTCTATCGCTCATCTTGAAGTTTTCCATTCTTTCTGACTCTTCGCGATTCTTTGAAACTTCATTGTGACAACAGCGCGTCCTACCAATGGACAGGCAACGGACTGCTGCGCTTCTTCCACTCCAAATGGCAGGTCATCGGCTACGGTCCTTACGACCTCACCGACACCTCGCGTACCAAGTTCGACTGGGTCATCACGTACTTTGAAAAGACACCTGCAACTCCAGCCGGCATCGATCTGTACGTCCGCGACCCTAGAGATATGCCAGAATCCACCTACAAGGCTGTTCTGGATCAGATGAAGGCGTTGAAGACCAAGTACGAGCAGGAACCGGATAGCAAGAGGAAACAGCTGGCGGGCGAGCTGACGAAGCTGGCCGAGGAGTTCTTTGACATTCCGCACGACGTGTGAGCCGCGACGGCCCATCGTCGCGCGGGTCTGACGGCGGCAAGTACAATTCGATGATACCCTTTAATGCTACGTCTGTCGGTCGTCGATGTGGTTTGTTCGCGTGGTTGTGTGGTTGAGAGATGAATCGAGAATGTTCTTGTACAAATACAGTTTGTGTTGGTCGTTCTTCTTCAACTCCAATCGAGATCGTCGTCGTTGAACTTGCTCCACTTGCCCGCTCCCACCCCACCATTCAACGCACTAGCGTCCAACAGCGGCTTCCCATCCTCGCCCATCGGACCGCTCGCATCGATCGGCAATCCGTCCGCACCCAACCTCCCCTCCGCCCTATCCTTGATCGCTTGCAACCAACCACCCTCGTCGATCCTCTCCGTCTCCTGCGCCGCCACCCTACGGAAGTAGAAATCCTTTCTCGGATCGTACTTGATGCGGTCGTCGCGAAGCATTCGGTTGTCGACACGTGCGTCTTCGCCTTCCACGCTGAGCACTGCTTGCGGAGTTTTCGCGTCGATCACCTGTTGCATCACGTATCGAGCCAGAGAGTAGGTCAGTCGTATGTGAGAGAAAGGAGAAAGTAGAAAGGAGAGTAAAAGGACGTACGTAGTGGTTATCGCAATGAGGACAGAATTCATCGGACTCCTCGTACTGGGTGAGATCCTTGCGGAACGCTTTGCGACACTTTTTGCAGATGAATGCCATCTCGATCGTTTTACGCAGTCCGTGGTCTTGGCTCTCAGCGTGACATTCCGGGCACTGTCGAAGCGAAAATGCATTAGAGATGTCAGTTCCAAGGTCCTCCTGGAGCCGTGAATCGGTACGGACTGGGTGAGACTTACGTCGAAGAACTTCTGACAGCACGGTGCGCGGATCGACACCTGTGCGTTCAGAATGTGTTTGCTGTGTGTGTCGTTGTCCATCAGGATGAACAGGTCAGTCATCAGTGCGCGAGAGTTTGTAGATGGCAGAAAAGACGTTCTTACCACATGATGAATGCGCTTCTGCGAAGCCGAAGAAGTAGCGTCTGAGGTACGATGGTGGGTGAGAGGAGCTTCAGGAAGGCGATTCGAAGAGGATGCCGAGCATCTTCCAAAAAATCCGTCGGGAAAAAGTGTGTAACACACACGCGATGCCGGCAAACCAACACTTTACGCGCTTTCACCTCTTTCTGCACGCTCTTGTTCCGTCCGAGACACGCTTCGCCGAGAAACCAGCTTCGGTTTTCTTCTCATCTAGGTTTGCAACAACTTGAACTTTTGCACACGATCAGAATGTATGGAATGCTTGCAATGAGTCTGTAGTGATAAGGTAGTAGGATGTACAGGGAGGCAGACACTCTATCCATCCATGTTGGGACTTGGCAGCGCATCAAGCCTCGTTCTCTTCGTCCTCCTCGACCTCGATCGCGCCGATCTCGTACTCCCCAATCACATCCCACCTCGATCCGCCCGCCGTGGCAGCCAGATACTTGACGAACCGCATCACGCCCTCATCCCTCAGCACCACGCTCAACGTGTTGAAGCTCGGCGTCAGGTTCAACAGCACGCCGTCAAAGTCATCATCCTCCTCCTCCCCGTCATCCTCGATCATCTCCACGATCTCTTCCTCCTCATCCTCTTCGTTGTCAGCATCCTTCATCTCGGCATCGGCTTCCTCTCCATTCGCCTCCTTCTTCTTGCCGCTGTTGCCGCTCTGGTAGACGGCAGGGTCTTCTTCGCCTTCGTGCGGCGCCATGTAGCATTCCCAGCCACCGATGTCTCCGCTCTCCCACTTCGCTGCCAGGTCTTTGGCTTGCTTCAGCGACAGCAGCTTGGATGAAGATGGTTTTGGTGGCGTTGGTTTTCCCTTCTTGGCTTTGCCGGCGAGACCTCGTGGACCGGCTTTACGCTCCTCGTCGAGCGAAGGCTTGGAGGCATCGGGGGTGAGGTTGAGCGTCACGTCGAGTACAGGCTCCGTGTCTGACCGGGCGAGCGTGTAGTCGAGACCGGGACGGAAGCGCCTAGCCTCGATGGGGCGTGCGCCTAGCGGTACGAGCTGTGTGATGTTGGCGAGGAAGTGTCGGAATGCGTCCGATGGGAAGAGCACCGTGCTGAGCAGTTTCAGGAGTGTGCTTGCGTCAGTGGGGAGTGGGTTGGGGACAATGGCGGTAGAAGATGCGATCTCGCCTGCTTTGGCTGGTGCAGCCTGTTCTGACAGTACGGCGTATCGCTGCTTGTGCGGTGGTCCGGCGATATTCCATTGCTTGGCCTCGTCGTTGGCATCGGTGGCGCGGTCCGTTCCGACACCGTGCGATTGGATCCGCGTCGACTCTTCCCCCTTGCCCGCGGTCCACCACTGGAAGCCATCCTTTGCATCCGACTGCCTCAACGCCTTCTCCAGTGGCTGTGCGATCTCCTTCTTCAAGATGTCCGAAAGCAAGATGTGCGAGTCATCTCCAAACTGCTCGAACAGCTGTTCCTGCGTCTTGGCCACCAGATACGCCGGGTTGAGGAACTGCAACAGGAACTTCTTCTCGTCCTGACTGAGTGGCGAACCGGGCAGAGGCGTCTCCAGGTGTTCCGGGTAGGCTTGGAACTGTTTGGCGTTTTCTTTGGCGGACAAGCTTTCGAGACTGCTCATCTCCTTTTCCACTTCTGCCTCCTTCTTTTCGTCCTCAGTCGTGAATCCTTCTTCGCCTTCTTGCGGCCGGTGGAACCAGCCGGAGATGCTGAGACGAGACTGACTTGGGTGAACTACCTCTTCGACCGAGTGGAAGGAGTGGCCCGGTTGCACGGTGAAGAATGTGAATTGGTTCCACTTGGGAGGGATGATCTTGCTGGGCAGATCGTCTGGTGTTCCCTTTGTCTTGACAGGATACAACTCGAGCGCACCGCCCCACTCAGGCTGCCATGGCTGCTCCGGATCTGGCAAGTAGAGGATGTACGACACCCTGCGTGTGGAGATGACATCGTCATGGTTCAGCAGGTGGCACCCTTGACGGTAGTCGTTGATGCTCATGTCCTTCTTCTTTGCGGACAGCGGCCCACATCCCGTGACGCCTTGCAGCCAGCTTCGGAACTCTTGCGAGTAGATAGCGTTGCGTACGCGGAGAAGGTTCTGCAACCTGCCGGCTTCCTCCTTAGGAAGTCCATCGAGGTTGGCCAGATCACCGGTCTGATTCACCTTATAGATGTCGGTTTCCTTCTCGGCAAATCGCAGCTCCGAGATAATTTCTTGCCGGGTTGCCTTGAGGAGGTCTTCGTCGATGAGGGCGGGGATGACGGCGTGCTTGTACGGTGCGCTGGACTCGTACTCCTTGTTGAACGTGGAGACGGTGGAGGGCGAAAGGAGGTCGGGCGCAAAAGCCGATGCGATATCGGAGGAAGCCATTGTGTATATCGATATGACTATCGTCAAAGCGCGGATAGGTCTCGAGATCGACAGTGGTGGTGTGGAAGGCAAGCGGACGTTGGACGCTCCTTCGCATGCTTTCGAGGTGGAGGAAGATCTTCTCAAAAATTTTGGACGCTTTTTTTTGAGCGACTTCCAGAGCGAAGGCATGGTCTAACATTTGCTATCGCCGCCAAAATTACCTTTGCTTCGTCGCCGTGAAAAGACGTTCGGAAGCGAAGCTGCTCTTCGACACGTCTGGGGTAGAAGCGCTTATCGGGATCGTCTGCTCGCTTTACACCTCCTTACCCCACACTTGCTTATTTGCCGCATCCGTGCCGCCGTCTCGCCCATGCTAGACAAGTGCGCCACTGACTCTTCCGGTCTTGACTGCAACGTATTCCCAATTAGCCCAGCCTTTCTTGTCTGACCTTGCAATCATAGAGACTCGTGATCACCACATCCAGCTCGTCCTTTCACGGACAGCATTAGGGGACGACTTGAACGAGTGTTTGACCCGCCCACAGACTGCAAAGATGCGACAAAGCGAGCAAGCCGCGCTTGCATCTATCTCGCTGAGCTTTTGAGAAGGTTTGCAGGGTCTATTGTATCGCTGAAAGTGAGAATCTGAGACACGAGAGTTCACCGCGGAGCAGCGAGCATTCCAGCTTTATTGCGCCCAGTCGCCTCCACACATCAAGACGCTGCTCTCGTGAAAGACGCTGCTTGTTGGACAGCGTGGTCTCGCATAGCGCAGTTCGCTCACATGATCAGCTTCTGTCGTTCGAACGTCCATCCATCCGACGAGTCCATATAAACCGTACACCCTGTCCTGCGTTCACCTCGCCCAGCATCCTCACCACGGATCCAATCTCTCGTATTCTGGTTTGTCTCCAAACCTCTCTCTTACCCACCAACGACATATCCGCAACCCTCTTTGTTCCCTCTTAAAGCTCTCTCAAGATGGGCAAAGACGACGTTCAAGCGGACGAGTCCAACCTCTTCCAGCTCATGCTCGACCAAGCCGACGAAATCGACTTTTCCGACCCCTCCCTCCCGC